GAGCTCGGATACGCATGGCTGCGAGATGTATTCGATCGAGAGACCAAAGATAAAGCAAGGAGACGTTGGAGGCTTCTTATTCTCGATAGTCACGGATCTCATGTCAATATGAAGTTTTTCGACTACTGCGAAACGAATAAGATCCTTTTGATGACCTATCCGCCTCATTCTACGCATTCGCTGCAGCCGCTTGACGTCGGAATCTTTGGACCTTTATCTACAGCGTATAGTACGGAATTAGAGCAATTTCTTCATCAATCTCAAGGTCTTTGTCATATCACGAAAAGAGACTTTTTTCACCTTTTTTGGCCGTCATGGAAGAGGGCTTTATCACCTGAGGATATTGGTTCTTCGTGGAAAAATGTAGGCATTTGGCCATTGAATCCTGAGATCATTTTATCACGATTTAACCGAAAGGACGATAGCCGGCCTTTATCTAGTGGCTCATCTCGCTCAGTGCTAGATGCAGAGGATTGGAGAAAGATTGAAAGGCTTCTTAAGCATGCAGTCACCGATTTATACGATCAAAAAGCGAAAAAGTTGAATTCTACGATGTATCATCTGTCTACGGAGAATATCATTCTAAAATTACGCTGCCAAGGCCTTGAAGAGGCTCTTCTTCAAGAGAAAAAGAAGCGCCAGCGAGGCAAACCTCTTCTTTCTGAATTACAGGCCCCTGAGAACGGCTATGCGGTGTTTTATTCTCCCCGCAAGATTCAGCAGGCCCGTGATCTTCAAGCAGAGAAAGATGAAGCTTTACAACTTGCTAAAACTTCAAAAGAAGAAAAAAGGCTTTGCAAACAGCGCGAGAAAGAAGAAAAGAGACTTTTAATTGAAAAGCGCATGCGAATCCGCGCTTCAAATAAAGAAATTCGACTTCGTGAGGCGGAGGAAAAGAAGCGTAAAAAACAGGATGATCAGCTCGCTAAGCAGGCTGATATACAACTTCAAAATGGCTTCATTTCGGCTCAGCGAGGCAAAAGTAAGCCTCCTAACACTCCGCGGGCAAAAAATTCAATGATATCGCTCCTGTAGGCGCTGAGGTCGTTGAACAGGCTCCTCCAACGCTCAACCGCCGAGGCAGGCAAATACGGCCCCCACAGCGCTTTCGCGATTAAAAAAAAAAGTATATAGCTTCAATTTCATATATATTTCGCTCCGCTCAAAAAGTTCTATATAATTCGAAACATAAGTGGCTGTACGGCTTCAATTCCTACGTGGGCGCGGAGTTAAAAAACGTTCGTCAGGTGGGGATGTTCGTCAGGTGATCAGGTACGGTAAGCGTCGAACAACATGCAAAGTCAAGCTGTCGTTTCTAGCTGGTCTAACTACAAATGCGTTAGGCTTTGTGAGGAGACAAAAAGTATAAAGTAAAGTACTTGGTTAAATGCTCCAAGGGGGAAAAGCAGACATAGCGAAGGGGGGAAAAAAAGAGATATTGGCGCTGGCCGGAATCGAACCGGCGCTGGCACGGCCACAACGTGACGTCCTACCACTAGACCACAGCACCTTGTATATGATGTGCTGCTCAATCTTAGACTTGTATGGAACCAGATGTTACGAGAAACCCATTAAGCGCAGTGGCCTGGGGTGTAACAATTTCCCCATTATTGTTCCCAGAGCACTTTGCTGGAGTTACGATAACTATCAGATTAATGGAGGAGTTTTGGCGGTCGGGAATCGAGCATCGCCACGGAGTAGTAAGGAGAGCATTTGCCGACCGAGACGAGGGTTTGCAACGCCCATTGGATTCGCTAGGCTAACTCTCTGGTTTCTTCTACTTTTATTCATTGCTTTATTACACAATAACAGTAACTCTAACTATTAGGGGCGGCTTTGTAAGCCAGGAACATTCCGTTCTAGTAAATTTTGTGGTCGAGGCGCGCCTAAGCGCTCGTTGTCAACGAGAGGACCATTCCAGGTAGCTACTTCACTTCAATGTTATGAAGCAGATATACCTTTGCAAAAAGTAAAAAAGGTATCACATTCATCCAGTAGCCCTTTGCACGTCTTCTTGCCCGTTGTTCTGACTTGTTTAATCCTTTTTCTTTTAGGGTGTAGTGCGCTTTTGGATTTGAAATTCCGCAGATGAAAGCGAAATATATATCTGACGGAAGTTGTAGTAATTCAATCATATTGGATCTCACCTCAGAAAGAAGAAAATCTTAGCAGAGTCCCAATTCGGTAGTCGGCTTTTCTGCGCATTGTCAACTATGTCGGATGCTAGGAAGCTAAGTACAAGCTGAAGCGTCCTTCCAATTATATTCACCTTCAGGGCATGTTTGCCATAGCTGCACATATGGTGCTTCCGAGAAGAGGGTGTGTAGAGGCCACTTTGGAGGCGCCCTTATCCTGAATGGGTGCTATAATTCTGACAGTATATCAGAGTCGCACCATTTCTGGCTTATTGAGAAGCCAAAAAGTTATTGAGCCGCTCAGTACTCTTAGGTAGCGCGGTTCGAAAGCTCAGGCCAAACTCAACGCATCGCTCACTGGCACTACATACCATTCCCAGTCATTGTATCCCAGGGCACATGAGCTCCCTTTGTCCGACGCTTTAAGAAGGTCGAAATCTCGAGCCTGCCAGACTTTCTCAATCACTCTGCGTGTGCGCGATACGCTGGATACGCTTGATTTGGTCATGACGTCCAGGGTTTGCAAGACCAAAGTCCGACCGTATGTCGGTGTGCCTTCGTCCGACCACACCTCATCATCAAGTGGGTCGAGCGCCACCGCGGCTACAAAGACTGGCCACGTCACGTTGACCACCAAGCCCTGGTCTAGGAACTGCGATACAGTCTTGAGGATTTTGCGGACGTACGTCTTTATCAGCGGGGTCGAGGGTCTTGCATTATATAATGCGCAATGCAGATACACTCGACAAGCTAGCTGTTTGAGCTCTGCCACTGCTCGCAAAGTCTCGTCTTCGGCGTCATCTGTCTCTTGAATGAGACTGCCTAGTCTTTGGTTCAATATCGATGCTTTGATGTTGAATGTGACATGGTCTGAGTCGGTTATGAGCTCTCTTCGCGTCTTACTCAAGTCCATGATGGAGAACAGGAGAGACACTAGCTCCGGGCTGCAGCCCATCCATTCGTCAATCTTGTGGTCGTTTTCCCGCCAGTACGACGGTCCGAACAGATCTGCTTTGGCGCACGCCGTCCGCCCCATCACGTCTTGGAATGCAAAGAACCGTCCTGCGAACGAAGAGACAGGGTGCGCTGTGGAGCTGATGAGTCGTTGGCGGCGCAGCCGGATGATATCCTTTGCGCCTTGCATATGAACGATCCATCGCTTGTCGCAGTGATCCACGATCTCGTAGAGACATAGCATCATGATGATCACGAGGACTTCGGGGTCCGCGGATATAACGGAGGCAGGGTTGTTGATCAGATGACGCAGTTCATTAAGAACTTGATTCTTCAAGCGCAAACCAACGGCTTGATGAGTCGAATTTGTTTGAGACCAGTGACATGCCGCCAGGGCCTGTATAGCCTTCAAGACCGTCGGCGACGCAGTCGAACAGTAGGGCAGAAGAACCGTTGCAAACGGCGACTGCGATTTAAGGCTGGAGATCGTCCGCGGACAGATGTGCTTAATATAATAGTCGAAAAATAAGCTATGCCCCAGAAGATCCAGTTCCGGGAACAAAGCCAATGATCGCTGAGGACCCTGGGTAGCAAACCGATGGATCCGGTCGAAATCTAATACCCGTCTGCCAGCCATCAGAGACCCGCCAAGGTCATGATTCCCCAGTCCCACATTGCTAGCTGGGAGCAGGTATGGTTCGGTCCCTAGCTGATCAGCCTCGTAGAGCCGCTTCAACGTGGCGTAGTCCCCGTCCAGGAAGCTCCAGGACTGGATAGTCGGGTATGCACAGTAGACGTTGCTGTCCACCGAGCGCCCTGATTTCGGGGACGAGCCTTTGGACCATACGCCGGCTCGTCCGAAGGCTAAACCGCGACTGTGGAAATCTGATTCCCATTTCAAGGTAGTGTCAGGTGTGCAGGGCAGATCCTTCTGCCAGCATCGGGTGCAGGCTGGTTTGCGCTCGTCGCACTTTAGCCGGCTCTTTCTGCAATTAGAGCACCCGTGGTGACTTCGTGATTTGGTTTTCTTGGCTTTAGGGGCTGCGTCTGAGGGCATTTTCTCGATTCAGGGTCGGTTGATGCATGTATACACAAGATTCGATTGGCGGAGTCTTTTGAAAGAGAAAGATGTGCTTTTTTTGTAGGGGCACTGAGAGATACCTCAGCTTATGGGCTGGTCTCGGTGGCTATTCATATTCATTCGGACCAGAATCACTCAAGTTCAATATGTATACTTGCGTCGGACATCGATGACAATTGTCGGCACACCGGCTCCCGGTCAAGAGTCAGACATGATGCCATGCGAGGGCGAAACTCGGAGAAGGTCGACCCGAGTTTAGAGTTCAACGGCGTCTTTAGGAAACGGACTTAGTGGGTCCCTATCTCCTGCGTGGCCTTCATAATTGGCCATCAAGAAGCCCCCGAACGGATTCCGTTTGTCTGTTCCGCAGCCACAGGTTTTGTCCGGAATTCCTCCCAGGGAGTGGGACATTGTGTTGACTCGATCTCAAGAACGACATAAGTAAATGCGTCACCAGGCAAGGAGACCTTACAGCAGTGAATTTCGCACGGTTCTGATGGGCATTCCATTGCCACTGAGAAAGCTGGGTCACGTGCTTCGGCTTTGTCGGCACTAGAAGTGGGTCTAAGGATTTGCCATGATTGGATGATATACTGCAAGGTGTGACTGGAAGGGACAATTAGGGCACGTTTCTAGGGCATTCGAACAATTACGGCTCAATCGTGCATGATAACACTGACTTGCGTCTAGATTGTCTAAATATCGGAAGAACAGTCATGTATACAGGTAGCGCTTCTCAAATCTCTATCCCTTCCACCCTATCAACTTAGGACGAATTGTGTTGAACACCGATACACATAGTACGCCCGCATCGCCAAGGACATCGAAGCCATCAACATGAACAACCCTACGGCAACCTACAATCCCGAGCAATCTGAAAATTAATATACAGTCTATTGATCATCACTCTATCGTCTAGTCTATGAATAATTATTAAGCATCATAAGTCATCAACAAATTTACTCGCGGACGAGCACACCACGGTAACGCATCTTGCCCTCACGCAGAGTGCGCATGGCATCCTCGATACCGGCAGCCGTGAACGGGAAAGTCATGATCGTGGGCAGAACGTTCTTGCGGGCAGCGAACTCAAGCAGAGTGCGGATGCTCTCGCGAGAGGCAACCAGGGAGCCCTGGATGCGAACGCCCTTGAGGACGAGAGCGAGCATGGGGACCTGAGCGGGCTCGAAGGCCACAGTGAGGGGGTAGATGGATCCACGGGTGTCCATGAGAGGGACGAGACTGTTATCCAATGTTAGTTCCTGATTGGTGTTGTTGTGGAGTGAATGGTGGGAGGGGTTGTGCTCACGAAGGATAGTCGATGGCCGCGCTACCGCAGAGGATCAGGTGCTTGAGAGGTTTGAAGTCCTTGGGAGCCTCCTCGCCGGACCGCCAGACGTGGTACTCAGTGGCACCGTACTCCATGGCCTCCTGGCGCTTGGACTCGGAGCTGGACAGCACGACAACGTTGTAACCCATGGCGGCGGCAAGCTTGATGGCGATGTGGCCGAGACCGCCAATACCCATGATACCGACGCGTTCCGTCGAGCGCATGCCGTATTCGGTGAGGACGGTCCAGACGGTGGCGCCGGCGCACATGAGGGGAGCGGCGTCGACGGAGCTCAGGCTCTCGGGGATGGGGAAGACGCAGTTAGCGTCCCAGACGGTGCCGTAGCTGAACGAGCCGTTGTCGAAATCGTGGAAGCCATATTGCTGGACGTCACGGCAGTGCTGGTCCCAGCCTATGATTTGTGCTGTTAGTATTGCGGCCAGAGGCTGTCAGTTGAAAGAAAGGTCTTACCGGTGGCGCAGTTGTCGCAGGTAGCGCAGACCTTGTGGATGTATCCGTATCCAACACGGTCTCCGACCTTGACAGTCTTGACACCGGGGCCGACAGCCTTAATGATACCGATACCCTCGTGGCCGAGAACCTGGTTGGTCTTCAGGTAGTGCTCGTCGGTACCGCAGAGACCGGAGTGAGTGGTCTCGATGAAGACATCGTTGTGGCCGAGGGTGCTGGTGACCTTGTCAGGGACAATCTTGCCCTCCTCGGAGCCGCGGAAAACCTCGTAAGTGACGCTCATTTCGAAGATGTGATTTAGAAAATTTGTAGAAAAGACGCTTGATTAACTACCACTGATTCCGGACCGGAAGGGGTTATATACAACTATCAGACCTCGGAATCCTTGCCGTCCATCACTTTCCATCCCGTCAAGTGGAACAGCTTATGGAACATTCTACTCCGAATCAGAACTGATAACAGATTTTTCTTGATAAACCGCAGACAGGATTTCGACTGACCGGCGGCGAAGGGCAAAAAAGAGATATGGGGCCGTGGACCTTAAACCATGGAACGGTAAAGATAACCGTTACTCTAGTGCAAGGCAAGATCCACTCGATTCCACCATCGTGTGAAAAACTCGAAAGTCTCCGAGAAAAAACCGCGACGGAACAATTCAACCGCCCGGTCGCAATACAATTTGCACGAATTGTTATGATAATTGTCCCTTTGAAGTCTCCGAGTGAGGCGAGGATCAGACAATCATTATGGAACTTATTCCCGTGCGCGATCCACTCGAATCCCGACGGTGCAATCCCGAGAAAGGCCCTTTACCCTTCTAGAAGACTGCTGCATGCGTTTTTTTCGTTTATCCGTGTCTGCAATGAGAGAGTTCTTCTTGCCGGGATTCCGATTGTTGATCCTTCCAGGTTGTTTGGACAGGCGAGGCTCCGAAGGAATTGACGGTGCGCAGGTCTTGCAGAAGATGACGTCTTACGGGTTATGGAGCTTGAAACGAGTGTTTTTGGCCGTTTAATGACATTTCCCCTACTCGGCCCGGTCGGGGTCCCAACAGAGCTAGAAAGTCAGCCCATTTCGTGGATTTATGCGTTCAAACCCCTGCTTGCGTTGCCCTGCAGGTTTCGATAACTCGAAATTGGTGTTCTTTTCTAGACGACTTTAGCATACATCAGTTTGTGATTAGGAGCGATGACAAGGATCTCGAGATGTGGCTTAACTGTTAGAACTATAATACTGCTAATTTTAGATCAATCCTTCGACGTTTCATCGTTGCGAACGTCATTAAATCGACTGAGCATAGTGGATTGCCAAGTTCTGAAGCCGTGCGTTGGCGTCTCTTCTCTCACCACAGTCTCTTTGTTCTTTTTCCATCATGAACTACAGCGTATAGTACCATCCCTGCATTCCTTCAATAGAACCACCACTCTCCCTGGCCTTTTTGTTGACCCTCCAGAAATAAAAATCCATGCCCAACGTTAGCACGATGCTGACCATGGTAATGGCGAATGTCACCCATATCCCGGTAGTATAGTATGGACTTTCATCGGACTTGAACGCAACACTTGCGATGATGCCTCCCAAGCCTCCGCCGATCAGACACGTCGCAGACGCGACGGCGCGTTTGGAATGCGACGTGATGTTGTTCGCTTGGAAGGCTAAGACGCCAGGAATGCAGAATTGAAGGACACCGACGCCTACTAATGTCAGTATGCTCAGAAGAAAAAAAAGGTGTCGGTAGCATGAGCCCTATAAATGCGGAGCAACGCACCCAGAAATACCCCGAAATAACGCGCGCCATTCACCTGCCCATACGCAGTGATGATCATTCCCACGGCCGTGAGAAGCTGATGCACCGCAATCACCGGCCCCCGGATCTGATACTTGTCTGTCAACCACCCGGACAGGTAAGTCGTTGCCGCGGCCAGGATATACGGCGGTGCGCTCAACAGCTGGCTCTGGGTGTTGGAGAACCCCATGCCCATGAGGATGATGGTCTTGAAGTAGCTGTATGCGTACCCGGGCAAAGTGGACGCCATGAGATTGAACGCCCAGATGTAGAGCTTCCAGTCTTTGAGATGATGGAGGATGCGCTCCAGCGTTACACTGTCTTCCTCGGCGTCGCCACGATCGTTGTTGATTCGGTCGATCACGAATTGTTTCTCTTCGGGCTTGAGGAAGCCGTCGGCTTTGTGGGGGAAGTCGACAATGATGAGTCGCCCGATCAGGCAGACACCGCATGTGATGGATCCTTCGACGATGAAGATCCCTAGTTTGGTCAGACTAGTAGGCGAAAGGTATATGGAACAGGGGAAGGATGGACTTGCATCGCCAGCCATTCAATCCATGCGTCCCCTCGAGTAAAGTCAATGCGTACGCGAATAAAGCTGCAAACGCGTTCAACACGACAGACATAAGCCAGAAGCCGGCCAGTCGTTTACCGACTTCAAAACGCGTGTACCAGCATGTAATGAGATATGTGCATCCTAATAGACTTGAGTATCACTCCAGCAGCATGACCCGCACCGTGAAAGACGACGAACCTGGAAGAAAACCCGCCTCCGCTATGCCCAATAACGTTCGACAAACAGCCATCGTAGACCAACTATGGGTAAAGCCCATACCAATCAGAATTGCACCGAAGCTGACGCCAAGAAACGATAACCAGTTTGCGGCACCGGCTTTGGGAAGTACAAGGTTCTGAATAACTTCCGGCATTAGGGTTAACCGGCCGACTGTTGGGGTGTGTTACGTACGCTGGGGATTTCGAAAACACTAAACATATGTTCCGTGTTAGAATGTGCCTCATCCATGGCCGAGACTGCGTATATTGCGCCACTTACATATAGGCCACGAAGAACACCATGACGATGATGGTGTATCGTTGCCCGACGTCGAGGCCAAGGTCTTCTTGCATGCCTGCGACGAGTGCGAGACCGAGGTTTGTTCGATCGATGAGGGATATCGAATACATGAGGCCTAGAATGGGAAGAAGACGAAGGTCGACGCGCCGACTAGCTCAGGGGTTTCATTAGCTGTAATCGCTTTAGAACCGAGTATGGGGATAGTCAACGTACATCACCCTCTTCTGATGAGCTTCATCGATCCCATAGATCGGTTCTTGCTTGACATTGTCATTCTTCATATCGTGATTTCCCTCCTCAAGCTGAATCGACTCCAAATGCTCCGCCCCAGAGACCTTTTCATCGAAAGAGCTAGTATGCGTAGTCGCCATTATATTGTCGTCAATAATAAAACCGTAAAATAACGAGCAAGGATGTCAATTGCAAAGATAAGCCAGACGTCCGGACCCCGGCCATTTATCAACTCTCCCTCATAACCGAGATAGCCACGGGTGGCGTCAGGCGTATACCCGATATCACCGCGGAAGAGTTTCCAGTCTGGGGAATCTGGGGTAATGCGGTAGACTACCCCGCAGATTTTCCTCTCGCCAAGGTGTTGGGAGGACTGAGCAGGGCGGGGATTGGTCTGGATAGCTTGGCATGGGAATGACGAGTATGTTATCTGCCGTGTGGGGTCTGCGAAAGAGCTCATCGGCCTATCATTGTGGGATGTAAGATATGGAGAGGCGAGGAGGCTACTGGGATGTGGTGTGAGGAGTCTCGCTTCTGCAGGAGGCGCATTAGGTTGAATATCTGGAATGGAGTCGGTGCTATCGTTGATGCTCGTAACTAGTAGGCCTGTACGGCTGATGCAATCGGTTGGTTAACGTAAGATGTCACTTACTAAATAGGGCTTTGGTTGAATGCTATTGATCATTCAGCCTTTCTGCATAGTTTTAGATAAAAGTCACGGGGAAAGGATCAGACAACAGAATGTAGGATGAGTTTAGGGGATTTAGGTCTTGGAGGCTAATTCTACCTTTATATGACAACATCAGAACATGTTCAACTATAATCCCAATCTGTGCTGAGCATATACACTAACCCTTACCCCTGTAACGATAGGAATATGGTTTGAGACGGCTGAACGGTCGTAGTAATATTCGCACCCTCTTTCAAAAGCGTCTGTGATTGAGCATGCCCAGCTTGTCAATCCTGGCTGTTACTCGATAGGCCTGTTAGATGAAGCTGCTCTGCTTTATGGACTCGGCTTAAATTACTGCATTCCGGTTCCCAGGGTTACAGCTAATCCACCTGTATTTGCTCACAAGTTTTGATGGGGGCCTAAGCAATATAGCGTCAGCCGCATTAAGACTCGGATTGGGGTAAGCTCCTTATAATGAAGAGAACAAGATTGACATGGACATATCATGGATCATGCAACCGCAAACGAATGTTGACTATCTGCCTAAGACAAAAAGTGAGATTTGGCACATTGATGACTAGAATATGTTGGGTTACGCTACATTCCTCTGCTGCGTTAATACTATTAGTTATGTCCGCGACGTTCACGAAATTGGTATATTATTGGCGTGACAATTGAGATTAATCTAGAAATAGAAGGAGCTCTAAAATTAATGGCTTTATCGGACCCAGAAACATTCTTCAACAGGTCAGTGAACACATTCGTAGTTGTAGAGACCGAATCATATATATTGTTGTAGAGATTATTGACCGTCAGCTTACTGGGGCTTTTTCTTGTCTACGAGCTACTGCATCAAGCACAAAGAACGGATCGGACACAATATTACCTATTTGCCTCATGAAAGGCCATTTTATATTCCTATATGTAAAGTCAAATGTACAAGATGTAAAAACAATCGAGAAGAAGCCAGTTCACTCTACTCAACTAAATCAAAAAAGCCAAAAAAGTCTAACTAACCAGACACCGTGAAGAAACAAAACCATCTAACCATAAAGCCATAAATATACCACTCCACAACTCTAACCACCATGTCGACTCAACCATCTCTCAATCCCCAGGTCAGTGCTCACACACCTAGTTCCTGTAAGGCCATTTACATGCCGAATAAAGAGCCCAGACCACCGGAAGAGCCCGAAGACGAAGAAGAATCGTCGCTAGATCCGGAAGAGCCACCGCCGAACAAGGATCCCAAACCACCCAGGCCAGAGGATCCGGACGAGCCGGAGCCGGATCCCGAAGAAGACGCAGACTGGGAAGACGAAGCACCGGTGCTGGACGAAGTCGACGAGCCGGACGAGCCCGAGGAAGACGAGCTGGAGCTCGACGAGTCCAACTTACCCTCGAGCCACTTACTCGCCTCCCCAGTGTTCGCGATATACGTGAAATGGGCAGGTCCGACGATCAACGTCCCATCGCAGACCATGTCACCCGCGGCACAGTACACCTTGACCTTGTCCTTAGGGAAGTCGGCGATCTGCCCATGTTCCTGGGCGTTACGGGTGTATCCGAAGAGCACCACGCCCTTGATCTTGTCCTTGACGTCGTCGGGGAGCTTCTTGATCGAGTCGTCCATGACGGCCGTGCCTTGGCTGTATCCGCCCGCGACGATCTGCGTGTCCGGGCACTTGGATGCCGCTTGCTTGAAGAGCCCGACGGCTTCCTCGATGGCAGCCGGGGAGGTGTTTTCGGGCAACGCGTTGGACATCAGGTCTGCGGTGTATTTGGGCCCCACACCTTGACACGCGACTTGGCCTGCTTTGGCCTTCTTGAGGTCGCTGCAGACGGCTGGGCCGGTTGAGATTCCCTGGGAGGAGTTAGTGTTTTGTGGGAAGACGGAGGAGGGAGAGGAAACGCACCATCAGACCGGGCTCGGTGGAGGCACGGGCGAAAATGAAAGTAATGGGCTTGCAGGATCCATCGCGGAGTTCATTGCCACCGGAGACTTCATGGGTACAGTTAGCAGTGTTCTCTTCAATCCTACATACATAGGTTGAGACCAGGGAAGGGATACGTACGCTGTCGCTCCTGCAGACCAAGGGGAGTAGAGGCAGCTAGACCAGCCAGCGCCAGAGTAGAGAGACTGAACTTCATAATGAAAGAATGGACGAGTGGATGAACGAGAGTGGTGGTGATGGCTTCTGGTCGAGATGGTTGAGTTCTTCCAGATTCCTCTAAACTCGGATTACCACGTTTATTTATACATCTCTCTTCCTCCCTGCCTCTCTCGGTATTTTCTCTGCCTACCTAGTACCTAAAACCGGCGCACTAAAAAAAACTCTGCCTACTCAACAACCCCGAAAAACACAATGACGGCATACATTCACATGAGCAAATAAGCGTCAATCCTTCTCGTTACTTCCTGATACATCACAAGTCCGACGGACAAGTAGTGAAAAAAAAAAAAAAAATCACAGAATGTAGACCTCGTTTCAGACCGTCCCACTACAAAACCACCAGGGGCTTCACTAGTCCCGGAGTGCAGCAGATCGGAAACAAACCAGGCCTGGAGACGTTACCGCATTGATCAACCCCTGCGACTGGCCCCCAACAAACTCCTCCTAGGGCCTAGTCACTACCACTACAACTAGTCAGACCCCAAGGCCCTAACCCCTAGCCTAGAGGAACGCTGAACCAGGGTCCGGCCTGGAATTGATTGACACTCGTTGATCAGCCGAGGAAGTAACCCAAGTGCCGGGGTTCCTCCCTACAAAGCAACCAGGGAATATGATGAATCGCCATTCGACAGCTCATCCCGTGCCTGAAAATCAGGGCCGATCGAACTGAACTCGAAGGGATCCCGATCGGTTTAATTTCGGGGAGCAGTTCATGTCTCACTGCTTTTTGGGTCGTTTTGTTTTAGGGCTAACTTTATTCTCTGGAAGCCGGATCGTCAACCGAGGATGTTTGGGGCGCGCCGGTCTTTTTCTTTTCCTTGGGTTGGTCGAATACCCCAGACATGCTTGAACCAGGAATGATGTTGATTGAGAAGGAGTCTGAGTCATTAATTATGCACTAGAAAAAGGACAAGGGAAGAAAAGGGGCTAGTTAACATTGACAGCAAGTCATTCGTACAAATTCCAAATTTTAATCCTATTCCACCATCCACCCACGTGTCCTACCCCAAACTCTGAAGATTAACCAATTCATAGTACCGCCCTTTCTTCCTCAATAATTCCTGGTGTGTTCCGTACTCCGCAACCTCGCCTTGGTCCAGGACGTAGATCCGGTCTGCGCGCTGGATTGTGCTGAGACGATGAGCCACGGCGATCGTGGTGCGTCCGCGTGCCGCCTTGTCCAGCGCCGCCTGGACGACTTTTTCGGACTCGGAGTCCAGCGCGGAGGTCGCTTCATCTAGCAGAAGGATCTTCGGGTCCCGAATTAGGGCTCGCGCGATGGCGATTCGCTGCTTTTGGCCACCCGAGAGCATCCCACCTTTGCTGCCGACAATGGTGTTGAAGCCTTGTCTGTTTTGATTTCGTTAGCTATACTCACAGAATGTGAAGAGAACGGGGGTGATAGACGCACGGTAACGAAATGATGAAATCGTAAATATTCGCGTCCTTACAGGCTTTGGTGACGGCAGTTTCAGGCACGTGTTTCTTGTTACTTCCGAGTAGGATATTCTCGCGGATCGTTCCCTGAAATAAGGCTGGCTCTTGACTGACCAGTGCGATATGGCTACGGTAGGAAGTCATGTCTAAAGACAAGACGTTCTGCCCGTCCACAAACACCCCGCCTCGCTGGGCGTCGTAGAACCGCTCTAACAGCGCAACGATGGTGCTTTTGCCGCTGCCACTCGCGCCGACCAACGCGACATATTGACCTGGTTCCACGTTGATATTCAACCGGCGGAGGATAGGCTGTTCCAGACGCGTAGGATATCGGAAAGAGACGTCCCGGAATTGGATCGATCCTCGCATCACAGGGACAGGTAGACCCATGCTGGCTCCGGGACTCAGTGGCTTGCCGTCAAACAGCCGTTTGAATTCTGTCGCGGCGTGCTTGGCTTTCCCCATGTCTGGAGCGTGCGAGAAAATTGTCCCCGCGGCTTGGGCCCCAAAAATCACCTCACTGAAGCAGACGTAGAACTGGAAGAGGGAATATTCGTGATGCCCGACCAGTGTGCCTCCGTACCAGAACCCTAACGCCATACAGAAGAAGGGCAAGGCCTGGGAACTGGCATACAATAGGGATGATTTAATAATCGGGACAATGTCCCGCTTGATTTGGTCCTGCAGCTGGAGCTCATAGGACTGTAGAACTTCAGGCTCCATGGTCAGAGACGCCACGGTGCGGATGGCAGATGCGGCTTCGCAGGCCGAACTGGCGGATTTCTGGTATGCACTTTTGGCACGGCGCTGGAAGCGGTCGAGCATCCATACGCGGATGAAACCGCATCCCAAGAGAACCGGCACGGCGGATATGCAGACTAAGCCGAGCTTCCAGCCCATGATAACAGCGACCGTGAGGGAGGCTACTAGGTTGACCGACACGATCAAAATGGTTCCTAAAGTGACTCCACTGATACCGGCCAGCTGCTTTGTTTCTGCCGACAACGTTGTAGTTAGTGCACCAGTGGTGTTCTCCTCCCGATCGAAAAAAGAGACATCCTGGTGCAGCATGACGCGGAATGCCTGGCTACGGGCGCGATAGATCATCTTCTCGGAGCCGTAGGCAAACGACGTGCCTTGGATACTGTACAGGAAGAAGGTGACAATTCCCATCATTAGGAACATCAACGACCAGAAATTGGCATCGTGTCGGAGCTTCCCGTATTCGAAGGGTGGTAGACTCAGCGTGCTCACAGCCTTTGCGAACAGCACAGCCTGTGACGGCTGAATGCCTCCTGCGAGGATGGAGACACATAGGCCTAGAATCAAAACTGGCCATTCGGGTCGATTGAACGACGATATAAACTTGAACAGTTGCCATAGTGAATAAAACTTCTCCTTTTGAATAGGCTGCATAGGCAGAAACATGGACAACCGGGATTTTGGTCGCGATGGCGCCCCTGTCTTCAAATCAATGTCCGAAGCGTCGTCTCGCAGCCCACATTCTGAATACCCATCCCCATACGGATCGTCATCCAGAAAGAATGTGGCCTTCGAAGGGGTAAGCAGTTTTGGTGGCTCTTTTGCTGCCTCTTTCTCCTTGATCTCTTGGGCTTGGACCATGTCGTAGTAGACCCCTCGGTGCTCCATAAGACGTGCATGGTGACCTTGCTCGACGATGCTGCCGCTAACTAGGACGACAATGTTATGAGCCTCCTTGATTGTAGACAGCCGGTGAGCAATGACGATCGTTGTTCGCCCTCTCGCTGCTTTATCTAGAGCCGCCTGCACAATCCCTTCGGATTTGGTATCTAGCGCTGAGGTTGCCTCGTCGAGTAGTAGAATCTTCGGATCCTTCACGACTGCTCGTGCGATCGCGATTCGCTGCTTCTGACCTCCAGATAACGAGAAACTGCCGATGTTCGTGTGGTAGCCGTTCGGCAGCGCTTTGATGAAATCATGCGCGTTGGCCATTCGAGCAGCATCCTTGATGCGGTTCATGATTTTCGTCTCGGATTCTGTTTCAAACTTCGATCCGATTAATCCGTATCGGATATTTTCTGCAATACTCGTTGCAAACAGTCGCGGCTCCTGCGACACCAAAGACACCTGCTGACGCAGCCATCGCAGGTTGAAACTCTGAATATCGTGACCATCCATAGTGATAACTCCAGCTACTGGGCTGTAGAAGCGTTCGATCAATCCAATGACCGTACTCTTTCCGGACCCTGATGGACCAACGAAGGCTGTTGTTTTACCCGCCGGAATATAGATACTCAGATCGTTGGCGACGATCACCTCCGGGCGCGACGGATACACATGTCTGATGTTTTGCAGCACGATATTTCCGCGGATATATTCCAGGGTTTTTCCATCGGCTGAGGAAGAATCGAGCGGCGACTCGCGGTCAATGGTGCTATACAGTTTCGACGCCGCCGCGACGGCATTAGACAGCGCTTGACCGTTTGGTGCGACATTACCTAGGTTGTAAGATCCCAGGATAATCGACATCAGGATAGTCAGAACATCTCCGGCCTGGATATCGGTGTTCTTGTCAACCAAGTATCGTGACCCCATCCAAAAGCCAAGTCCGTAGTTCAGATACATAACACAAAGCAATGCGCCGACCATGATGGCGAAGGCGATCTGTGCTTTCATGCCGGGCTTTTCGGCATCTTTCAAGTGTGACTCGTACTTTTGCGCCAGAGTCTCCTGAGCATCGAACGCGACGACTGTTCGTATCGAGTCGAGAATATCTTCTGCCAAACTTCCGCCTCGTCCTTGGGATTCTAGTGCCCGTTTACTGAAAATGAGTGTGAAGGTGGAACATCCGCCCATGATGAGCAACACCGCGACCAGCGTGGCGCTGCATATTAAGGCTAGTTTCCAGTATTTGATGTATGCGATAACGAAAGCGGTCACAAAAGTAGACAGCCCGGTTAACGTCAGGCCTACTTTCTCGGAAATCCCGTCTTGGATCATATTCGTGTCTGCCGTGATTCGCGTGGTGACCTCTCCTGCGCCCAGCGTATCGAAGAAGGCAATGTTTTGTCGAAGGATGGCACGCAGGTATTCCACCCGGATGCGTTGGACAACATGATCGCCTGTGTAGATGAAGCCTACAGTGGCAATGTAGATAGTGACGAACTCCGCGACGGCGAGGTAGACAAAGTAGATGGCGTACTTCGTCAGTTCGTGATGAAAGTGGGAGTATGTGATTTGGTGCGCGGTGATGTCGCGAAATGTAGAGGTGAGGTTTCCGAAAAGAACCTTGGCCGTCAGTGACTCTCTATTCAAAGTACACTAGTTTAGATGAAAGTGTTGTACTTACTGTAAACATGGGCAGTGCCGCACCGCCTGCGATTGCAAACACTGAACTCCCGAGTACGATCGCGATATCCCAGCGACTCGCATAGCGATAGATGCCGAAAAAGCCAATGTTCGACACGGGCGCATGAAGCTGGCGATCGAGAACCTCCTTTTCCTCGTCCGACAAGGAGATAGCCGTGCTGTCTGTCCCAGGAGACTGTTATGCGCTGTCAGCAATTCCGAATATCATATCGCCAAGGATCACTCGGTGAGGGAGAAGTCTCGCACCTTGGGCAACGGCTTCAGCAGGATATCTTCCGTCAACTTCATGATGAAAGCGCTTCAATCCGCCGGGTTGTACTTCAGTTTGGCATTTCAAGAGTGGGCCATTGCCCACGGTCGCAGGGGACGAGTATCGATTGCAATGGACACAGCGAGAGATAATATGTGACTCGCAGGAATATGATGAGACATACAACTGACGCCGACCTGTCACAGAGAAACTAGATGCAGAATCAATCGGGAACAAGACCCCTGTAGCAGAGACCGATCGAAACAGACAGGGCAGGAAGAGAGACAGGAGGAGGCGTGGCGAGGGACAGAATCCCAACGACTTCCAGACCCGAGGTTCTCAATATTCCGCCATCACTCCGTATACTCTTCTTCCCACGGACGATCGGTGGCCCTCAACAATCCCTCCTTTCTCCCCGATCATCAATCCGAACAGCCCACGGTTGTAGCACAATAGCCTCGACCACAGTCCGCCCTCCCACGGACCAGGAACGGGGATCAACGTCCTCAGTACCGTGGAGTAACGGTAGATCACATCCATCCCTTCATCTCCCGCGACGGTTACCCTGTGCGGCAGAGAACTCCGATTTTGGGATTAACCGGCCACATGGGTAGATAGGAAGCAGAGTGGATCATCGCCCAAGCAAGATAAACAGGGGGATTTTCCCAGACCCGTCAGAAACCCAGGGTGCGACATGCATGGAACCTCAATATTGGGCGCGACTTAGGGCCGGGAACACTGACTGGTCAAGTCTGTTTTTTGGGGCTTATTTTCACATAAACAAGGATTAAGCAATAAGCATCGAACGGGAGGAGGGGACCCTGTTTCAGGATGGACCCGACCGTTGTTGGATGGAGGAATCAGAGGGCGTGAATTTAGGTTGAACTGGGGAATGGAGTTCGACCCAAAATTGGGCCAGCGCGAAAGAATGACAGAGAGAAGGTGAAAAGTCGAGGCGTCACCGACTTTGGCAGATGCCACCGGGAACCCTGCCGTTTGGGGCTTAGCGTCGTGCATCTCAGCCCTAATCTCAGGCCGGCTGCCTCAGGTTTGTGTTTATCTACGATCTACTCTTGTCGGGCTGTGTTTGGGACAGATAATCAAGGTTTTTACGGGTTCGTATTCTAGACACAACTCAATTGCGTGATTGAATGGATTGGTTGATGTAGAATGGATTTGTCAAATGGATATCTCAAAAAAGGTGGGAAGGTCAATCGCGACCCAAGGAAAGTAATTACATAACAAAATGGACATAGACATAGGCATGAATGAAGGAGAAAGTGAAAGATAGACAGCCTTCAATTCCGAATCTGAAACTCTGTCGTCAGTTGGCTCCCTGTCGCTTCTGAAGTTTCACCTTCAGATCGGGTAACTCCCAGAAAGCGTAGCACCGGCTCTCGCGCTGCCAATCCTTGACGCGGCCCACATACTGGGCGTCGTAGTCCAGGAAGAAGCCCGCCAGCGTCAGCTGCATCATCTGTTTGGCGAAGTACTTGGCGATGCAGGACCGGCTGCCCACCAGAAATGGCTGCACTGCTTCCTTCTTGTCGGTGCATCCCGGTTCCGTCCAGCGTTCCGGAATGAACTCCCAAGGCGCGTTGAAGTACTCGGGGTTGTGATGCAGCGCGAAGAGCGAAGTGCAGATTTCCGTCTGTAGCATGAAATTAGTTTCAGATCGATCTACGAGTGATAAGAAGAACCTAGACTTACGCCTTCGGGAATGTATGTGCCATCAACGTAGGCGCCCTTCGAAACACGCGGTCCACCCAGGGGCACGGGAGGGTAGAGACGAAGAGCCTCGGTGATCACGGCATTGAGGTAGGAGAGTTGCTGGACAGCCTCTCCGGACATGTCGTCGGCACCGGAGAAGGACGCCTGTAACTCCCGCACCAGTTTCGCGTGAGCCTCCGGGTGGGTCAATACGAAGTAGATGGCGGCGCACAGGGCATTCTGGGTGGTGTGGAATCCCGCCAGCATGATGGCCGAGAAGTTCTCAGCAATTTCCTCTTGCGGTAAATCGCTGGTCCCAGCGCGTTCCATCACTTCGACCATGATGTCACGGCGACCATGCGAGGCATGCAATTGCCTGGTGGGGTCGCGTTAGTGAGAGATGAAACAAAGACAGGAATCAAAGTTTTAACGGCGGCTTACTCGTTGATTAGTCTCATGCGGGCCTCCTCGCTGCGGGCTCGGATGCCCTTGCGCAGAATGCGACGCAGCATCCACTTCATGACGGTGGGAACGCCTGATCCATCGAATTGGTCGCGCACCGTGGCCCAGAAGAAGATACGAGGAAGCTGCTCGGTCCAGAAGTACGGCTTGCCGCGCTTGAGACATCCCAGGGGCTTGCCAAGGAGGACTTCAGAAACGGTGTCAACCGAGTGACAATACAACAACTGGTTCAGGCTCAGGGTGTTGCTCTTCTCCAGCTTCTCGTTGATGACATGGTGGAAGCGCAGGATGCACTCCCGGACCACACCAGCATGGGCACTCATACTTCCCGGGCTAAGCGAGGGACCGAACAGCTTGCGCACCCTGGAATGGTAGTCGGGGTCTGAGGCTGTGAAGATGTTGCGACGGGAGATGCTCTTGTAGAAGCCCGTCTTGAGAAAGGCACTGCCTTTGCCGGATCCAGTACCATAGATGCCGCGCAGGCCCTTGATGGTGTTGGTGGTGGCTTGTCCACGAGCAAATCGGGCAATCTTTCCATAAGAGTCGTGCAGAGCGTTGAACTGTTGTGCGCTCTTTCCGGAGAGGAAAGCCCATTTGGTTTCAATCTGAGTCAAAGTTAGAGAAACTGAGATAATGAAGAGGCAGGTCTACTTACACCGCAGACAAACAGGTCCAGGACCGAGCCAGGAACTCCGTTGATGGCCGGTCCCTTGGGCAGAAGTTGCAGCAGCAGGATAGCGAGGCATGGGATCTATTCTGTCAGCAATAACCCTCCACTTGTTCAAACAGACAGAGCATACCAGAACTACAGCCAGCACGGGAAATACCATGTTGGGAGCAGCGATATCCAGAATCTGCCCGGGAGGGAGAGCCATTGCGAGGAACACCATACTGACGACTTGCCCTGCAAGAGGTATGGGAACGAAAAACGAGAGACAAAGTAACGAAAGACTTGACTTGACCACTCAACCCCTTTCCAAAACACGATACGCCATTCCTTATATCCTTTTCACGGCATTTGGCTCGGTGGTAGATAGAGCCACGGTATTACTAGTCGATTGTACCGACCCTCGGGTCCTTCCCAATGTAGTCACTCGATCAGATGAATCCAGCCAAAACCATTGAGCCGTTTTGGTATGCACTCCACCGCGTAGCAGATGGTATGGTCTGATCACTCTATTGGACCGGGAAGGTCCATAATCCAGGTTGTTTCGAACCCCGGATTGCAGTGGAGTCGGCCGACCCTAACACGACGCATTTTTGGGTGATCGGCCGAACCCGTGAAGCTTAAGCCGAGCAGAATCAACAGCCCCAAAAATTGAAACAAAGTCTTGGTTTTTGCATGATCCTTACACTTGCGTGAATTTGGTGTAGTTCAGGGGCTTCTGCATGTCTGAGTAATGTGTCAACACCCTGTCAATACACTTGCGACATGTCTTATATCTATGTGCGACAGTCCCGTATTCCTCGACAGCTGTCTCTGTGCCCCCCACTGCGTTATTGGGGTATATTCTTTCGTGACTGCTCCCCGGCGTAGGCTTGACTTGAGTCTTTTCCTTTACATTCTTTTTTTACTTTCTGTCTTTTCTTCAGAATGGCCGACCAGCACACCAAGGTGCTGTTTATGGCCAACAGCGAACATGGTCAAACCAACATCATTCTGGCCATCACGCACGAGCTGCTCGTCCGCGGTGACATTGACGTGCACATTGCCTCGTTCCCGGCGCTGGAACGTCGCGTCGAGAAGCTCCTAACGGACAAGTCCCCGGCGTACAATGAGTCGTACCGGTCGCGCATTCACTTCCACCCGGTCCGAGGGCCGTCCAATACAGACGTGTTCATCCGGACGGGGAAGAGAGGCGCTTTCCATCCTCCCGGATATCATGGCGCCGTGCTCGGTTTCCAGTCCCTCTGTGAGGACATCTGGGGTTGGACCGAGGATGAGTACGTCGATATCTACGAGAGCTGTATCGAAATCATCAAAGACGTGCAGCCGTCTGTCATCGCGGCGGACTTTTTCTTCCTCCAGGGCCGTGACGCTGCGTTTAATGCTGGCTACACGGCCATTCTTATCAATACCACTTCTCTCACTCATATCGTTCTGGGCCTGCAGCCAAACTCGGCGCCTTTGTGGAAATACCCTCTGTATGTCTTTCCCTCTCCCTCTTTGACTAGAGGTCCGCGCGTGTGAATGCTAACTATTGTCAAGTCCGGGAACTGGCTTCCCGTATCCACTCCCCTGGCATCTGATCCCCTTCAACGCCCTGGCAGGGATCAAAACCGCCAAAATGTACCACGGCAGCGGTCGCCGTCGAGAGATCCGTGAATGGAGAATCAGACACAAGATTCACGGTCGATTCCCCTTCGCCGATGCCTGGCGTCCCGACCGCTTCCATCTCACGCCCGCCCTGAAGGAGCTGGACTGGCCGATGGATGTCCCGGAGAACATTCTTCCTTGCGGACCTATCCTCCTTCCTACGGCGTCGGTGCAGCAGCAGGACCCTGAGCTAGCGGGCTGGTTGAGCCAAGCGCCCACTGTCCTGGTCAATTTGGGGACTCTGTATGCGCCGGACCCCAACGTAGCCAAGAGCATCGCCACGGGACTGAAAATGTTCCTGGACGGGTGGAAGGGCAAGAAAGTTCAGATTCTTTGGAAACTACCGAAGCATCCGCATGATGTGGACGGTGTGTATAGTCGGTCTATTGAGCCACTGAAGAAAGAGACGGAGGAGGGGAGTGTTCGCATCGCGCCATGGTTCGAGGTCGAGCCGATGGCTATGCTGGAGACGGGCCAGATTGTCTGCTCCGTTCACCATGGGGGTGCGAATTCATGGTACGAGGCTATTCAGTAGGTTCCCCTGGTTTTCCATGTATGTTTGAACGCAAGTGACTAACGGCTGCAGGAATGGCGTCCCTCATGTCATTCTCCCCGCGTGGCAGGACTGCTACGAGAACGCTGCCCGCGCTGAATGGATCGGCATCGGCGTGTACGGCAACAAGAGTCGGGCTCCTAATATCAGTGCGCCGGAACTCAGTACGGCGTTGTTAAAGGTCATGAACAATAAGACCTATAAGGAGAAGTCTGTCGAGCTGTCCAAGCTCTGCCACGTCAAGGAAGGGCGCATTGCGGCAGCCGATAAAATCGTGGAGATTGCTCGCAACCCGGAGAAGATGTCCATGGCCATGCCAGAGATCAAGGTCGAGGACCCCAAGTGTAAGCTCTACGAGGTCAAGAACCGGTCTGGTATGACGCTTCAGACGGTTCAGGAGCCCAAGACGGAGGGCAAATCCACGTCTCGGTATGCCATCCTCCTCTCTCTTCGTTAAAACAACAAGTACTAACAAGCTATCAGATCCCTCCTTCAACACGCCATTCAAACTCTTTTCGTCACCGCCCTCTGCAACTCCTGGTTCTGGATGCCTCTCCTAGGGTACTCCCTCCTCCTCGTGCCTCGTCTCCGCCTTGCCGTCCTCCTCTACATACTGTACATCAAATTCATCGCCAAATCACACACCACAGGCACGCTCCCCTTCCGCAATGACTCCCTCCGCACCTCCTGGCTCTGGCGCGCCTACGCCTCCTACTTCCCCCTCACGCTCTACCGCAGCGCTCCACTTCCGCCTCACAAGCGATACATCTTCGGCTACCACCCGCACGGGATCGCATTCCGCGGCGCCGCGGGAGCCCTGGCAGCCGATGGGGTCGGGTTCGCGCAACTCTTCCCCGGGCTCACGAACACGCTCCTCATGAAAGACTCTGTCTTCTTCTCCCCGCTTCTCCGTGAATGGCTCCTTTCTATCGGGTTGAGCGGCGTCTCGCGGTCCTCGTGTATCAGACACCTCACGAAAGGTGGACACGATGACCGAGGCATGGGTCGCACCATCACCATTACCGTCGGAGGCAGTCGCGAATACAACCTCGCTCGACCAGGGAGCATGGACATCGTGGTCAAGATCCGGAAGGGGTTCGTGCGTGTAGCGGTGCAGACCGGAGCGGAGCTCGTGCCTGTCATGGCATTTGGGGAGAACGAGCTATTCGATCGGACGGATGTGAATCGGGGTTCGGTGTTTGTGAAGCTGGTTGCTGGGGCTTGGGAGGCCGTGGTTGGGCATAAGGTGGCGTTTTCGACGGGCCGGTTTGGCATCTTTTGTCCTAGGAAGGTGCCGCTGAATGTGGTTGTGGGGAAGCCGATTGAGGTCAAGCAGCAGAGGTGGGAGCCGGATGAGAAGTATATTGATGAGGTGCATGCACGGTACGTGCGGGAATTGAGGGGGTTGTTTGAGGATTGGAGGGATGTGTTTGGGGTGGAGAAGGGGGTGAGGTTTGAGGTTGTGGAGTGATATTTTTTTGGCTTTGCTAGATGAGGGTTTTCATAGGAGGCGTTTGGGTATATACCTTCGTAGGGGCATCTTTGTTCTCTTTCTCGGATGTTACGGGACTGGCTTTGGATTGGATATTGATATCACAATGATTATGGGACTTGAGTATATCTTCTCTTCACGACGCCACAGTCTAGATAGTATACGGGCCCGCGAAAATTAGAAACAATTTTCGCTGTCTATACTTCCTCTACCACCTTTACTCCGTACATGCTCTGTTTTTGATGGCCCTCCTCCGAAAATTCCCGAGTCGATCAAGGAGGTTATAAAAAAGGCTGAATAAGCTTTTTCACGGACTCAAAGGATACTGGATTGCGCGATGTATTACGTATATGGCGTATGCCTTCCAGAGAGAGACAACAGGTTCGTGAGAAGAAGTCTGAACATACATGAACCATAACCTAGATATAAGCATATTATACGACACCAAACGCCACAAAAAGCACACCCCCCCCCCACAATGCAACCCAAACCCCTTCCTTCGTCACCTACTCCAAATACCTCCCCCCCGTCTCCTCATGCACAACATCAAACAGCGGCTTCGCACTAAACCACCCCGCCCCATGCGTCCCGACCGTCTTATACGTAAATGCAGCGTCGGCATCATCGATCTTCACCGTCGCCCCGCCGCGCCCGGCAGCAGCCGCATCGGCCAGGAGTTGCGCATGGCAGCACTTCTCGAGACTCACGAACCAAAATACTGTTTCTTCGACCGATCGGCCTACGGTCAGGAGGCCGTGGTTTTGTAGTAGTGCGGCTTTCTTGTCGCCCAAGGCTGTGGCGATGTTGCGGCCTTCTTCTTCGGCGAGGACGACGCCGTTGAATTGCGTGTAGACGACGTGGTCCTGGATATCTTCGTTAGCATTCTCCCCGCGAGTTAGATGCCAGTAAAAGGTCTACAGCGCTGGTATAGGATATGGCAGACAGAGGAAGGACGCAAAAGATAGTACATACGTTGTAAAAAGCACACGCATCCTGCGTAATAATATCCAGCGGTCTACCCAGCGAACAAAACGCCCGTCCATACAAACTATGACTATGCGCCGCACACACAACATCCGGTCTGGCCGCGTGGATAGCCGAATGGATCATAAACGCCGCGGCATTGAGCATCCGCACGGGTCCGCCGTCAATGACCTCCCCTGCGTGGTTCACCAGGATAAGGTCGGAGGCTTTGATCTGCGAGAAGGCGACGCCGAACGGGTTCACCCAGAAGGTTGTTGGGTCGACGGGATCGCGGAGGGTAATGTGGCCGGCGACGCCTGTTCATTTCATTCCATGATTAGTGAGACATGTCGGGTGCGGAGAGAGATTGAGATAGGGAGGAGGGGGGGGATATACCCTCGTCGTAACCATTCTTGCCGAAGATACGGAATGCAGCGGCAAGCCGACCTTTGAGGTATTCTCGTTCCTTATGCTTATCGTCGAAGACGGGAGGTTTGAGCATTCCCATTTTCACTTTGGCGTTTTGGGAGCCTGCCTCTTGGGTGGATTGGCGGGCCTGAAGGGTCACGGAGGCTGTTTCGGTGGCGGTTGGGGGTGCCATTTTGCCGAGGATGATTCAGTTATCAGGCAGGTAATTGAAAGGTGGAATGTCGATTCCAGGTGATATGAAAAGACAGAACAGGGAAAGCCAGGGATTAAGTAGGCAAGGAAGATGAATCATTTCTTATCTGATCAGCGCGGGGTAAACTCTGAGTTGCCGGTTTCCTGCTGGCCCGAGGCTGCGGACATCCAATGATTCGGCACATTTTGGCAATGAGTTGGACTGCATTCCGGTGGATTTGGAGTGCATACTTCATTTACCCCACAATGCATAATTCCAAGAATAATCTATCACCCAAAAACCCTCTCTCAATGCACATCCCTAACAATTACAACTATAAACAACACCCCATCCAAGAATAACTAAGTCGTACTCCCACTAATCTTCACCACCCCCTCCGCCCCAATCTGATCCACCCACTTATCTTTCCGATGATACCAAATCTCCGCCGTCAGGGCACCGCACCTCTCCCTGGACTCCTCATCCAAAGTCCCCGGCTTGACGACAATCGATTTCCCCTCCGCCTCCTTCGGCTCAGAGGTCAATGGCGATCCGCAGTCTCCGCAGAACTGGCGTCGGATAAGCCCGTTGACGGCGGACTCGCTCATGTAGAGCTTTGGCGTGCCGGTGAGGAAGTGCAGTGCCGAGAGGGGGACCACGATGTTCGAGGAGAAGCCTGAGCCGGTGTAACGTTTGCAGCTGGTGCAGTGGCAGAGGATTACCTGTTACTGTTGCGTTAGTTTGAAGGGGTGAGTAGGATGGTTGGGATTTAATTGATGAGGGAAAGTAAGGTGCAGACAGTAAAGGGGTATTTAGATACCTGAGGAGCAGGCTGATCAACGGGGAGGTCGATGCGGTAGGTGATGTTCCCGCAGAGGCAGGCACCTGTCAGGGAGGACAGATCAGTCATGGTGTCAATTGATGGTCCCTCTATAGGCAGCTAACCCGGCCGGCAAATGGATTCAGAACTTCTGACAGGACAACCAGGGGCAATGCAGGGTTTATATACTACGATGACGGCACGTGATAGGGTTATTTGACCTACAGTCTCACTTTACTTTGGCCCGGTGGGGATTAAATTATTCGAATATAGTATACGAACAGTTAGAGTGTGGATCCTACTTCGTACTTCTGTGTAAAGGGGCTAGCTCGTAGTAGAGTGCTATGATACGTTCATTGTTGATTTTCTTGGGTATTGGAGGGAGCAATGCTATCTTTCTAGCTAATGGAATGCTTGAGAAGCAGCAAGAATGAGCTCAATAAGGGCATATGGCTATTTTCATCTATCCAAGTTGTACTCCGTACACTACTGTGGGATGAGAAGTGGTTACCCCTCATCCTTATCGATAAGCATCGCAGCCTCAGGCCTCCGCCGGGATACCTGTCTCGGCATCTCCGCTAGATGGGTGTGCTCTGACTCTGGATATGACGGGCGTCATCGAGGATTGCATCCCACAGTTCCTGATCCTCGAAGGTCATCTCATGAGTTTCGCCAGGTGCACCGAGAAAGGGAACAAAATCCCCTTCACAGAGAGTGTCGGGTGGTGGCAACTTGCCGGTTTGGAAGTACTTGCGGATCGCTTTATTGATGCACATGGAGGGCGCCGAGAGGGTAGAATGCTGTCGCGTTTGTTAACATAAATTGTATCATATTGGGTGAGCCGAGCAGGGCAACATACTCCCTCTGAGTCCTGTCGGAGTAAAACCGAGCCGGGGAATTTCTTGACCATATTTTCCGCACTGTCGACGTGAGCAGGATTCTTGTTTCATCCGAGTGGGGCATTACCTTCGCAGCGGTGTGACCGGGTCAAGAAGGTTGCTAACGAGCAGTGGTGGATGGGAAAGATTCGCAGAATAGGGTCCTGCATTTCATTAATCCTCTGCGTGATCAAGTCTCAGGGCCACTCACCTGGCACCCTCCATTTCGCTTTCACGTTCCATCCCACGCATCCCAGCCCGATATGGGCCCAGTAGTCCCCAAGCATAGTGCTGTCTTCACGAAGTACTTCCCAGTCTTGCAGGAATCTCTCTTCGTCCATTGCTTGCAGATACTCTGCGTCTGTACATAGGACGGCTACGCTCGCGTAGGCTTCATTCGCCCCGGAAGGCTGGCAGGAGATCGACCACGGGCCGTCAAGAAGACACTGCGTGGACGGACATGAGGGCTGACGGCTTTTTTGCTTGAAATCGGCGACCTCGGACCCGTCTCCGTCTGAAAGTGACCTCGCATGTCGTGCTAAAAGAGGAAATCCGACCAGGGGTTGATACATGGCGATGCGAAGAGACTGCTTCAGGTCAGTCCACGTGATGATTTCTGGTCCTCGTGTCTCCGATGCAGGAACGGGAACAGAAGCATTGTACAGCTTGTCTTCCAACGCGCGATATGCCTGTTTAATCGCCGCCTCCCCGCCCTCGCGGTAGAACGGACAACGCTCAGCGCCCGCGGTAGCACAATAATGCGCAAACTTATCGAAGATTTGATCCGCGTCAATGATGGAGTTGTGCCCTTTATTTTGGTAATATTTGTCAATATCAACCACACCATCAAGTACAGCTCGGCCCATCCGATCGGGAAACATTCGCGCAAACGTAGACCCCAAGATGGTGCCGTAAGAGCGTCCCCAGTAGAGCAGTTTCTCTTGGCCGCGATTCCATTTCGTGCGCTTTATGATAGTTTGTTCTGCATCAGGGCCGTAGAGACGGTCGCGTCGAGCCTGTTCCGCCTGGCCTTGCAATTCCCGCCACTCGGCGTGTCGCTCGATGATTTCAAGCATGTCGCGAGCGACCGGAGGGGTATTTACATGCTCGCCTAGTGCTTCCTGCTCGCCCTCTGGCACCGTAGACAGCCTGGCGGAGCAACCCATGTTCAGAGCGAGCGTGCGCTGCCAATTGCGGACAAATGCGTCGCCGGAGCTGCTCAACATGCCTTCTGCCTCCGCTTGCAGCTCCCAATTCTTCTGCGAGAAGAGGTTGGGAAAGCAGCCAAACCCGGGGGTAGTGTTGTTCACACCGCGAGGGTCAAACCCGATGATGTCAAAGTACTGGTTACGGCTCCTTTCCGGCTCGTGCTCTGTTGTCGGGTCAATGCCCGCATCGACGATGATTTGGAAGTTCCGACCAGTGCGTAGGACCTGTGCAACGCCGGAGCCACCGGGACCACCTATTCTGTTCAGCAACAATGAAGACGACAGTGATTAGTTATGCCGGGCATACCGGGATTAATCAAGATTGGACCCCCGTAGCGAGGATCCGTCACCGGCACCCTTGCTGGTAGGCGTGTAACCGCAACCGCCACGCGACGGCCCTTCCCGTCCGGCCGGTTGTAGTCCATCGGCACTTCCAGACGGGCGCACTGAAAGCCTCCGAAGCAGTCATGGTATTGCAATGAGGGCGACGGAGTAATCTGTGGTCCATTAATACCTGATCAGAAGACCTAAATCATGAGTCGCACCTGGCTCCAGTTGAATTCATCTTCGGTCGGCTCGCTAGGACTTTGAATCTCGTATATGTGAGGTGGGAACAGCCACCATATCGACACCACTAGCGCTAACAGCGCCAACGCAATGGACCGGGCCACATGTCGTCGCGGAGAATACACCACAGGACTTGGGGAGACGACACGCCGGCAATCCGTGAATGCTGCCTGCTTTGAGTCTTCCATATGTCCCACTCAAGATGCCGTCATTGACAGTGGGAAGAAAAGTGGGACACCCGTGCAGAATTAAAGAATTCCTAGGAGCCCGGTCGCACCAACTCGCTGGCATGCAAGGTGATTACCACCGTCCAAGACGCCGGATTGCAACCGCGAATGGAACGATAGAATTGGGAATGATTAAAGACCGATAGGTCGAGTGAAAAAATCCATCAGGGATGGGATGGCACGCCTGGATGCCCAGAACCGAGATCGGTGGGTGCAAGTGGGATGGATCAGCACGGTGGAGTCGCTTGATTGGCACACGCGTCTCACCTGCATATCCCACTGTGTTCATTTGTCCAAGGCCTGGCACAATTCAGTCTCTTGCATCGTTGCAGGGATGGAAAGTTGCACTCTTATCGCCTCGCATGGAGGGCATGGCACGCATGGGACCGGACCATAAAGCTATGACAACCGAATGACAATAAGAAATATCTATATACTCCGCAAAACCCCGAAAATCTATCTATAATACATGAATGATAAGATAATGGTACCGAAACCACCAACTGGCCAGCAGATGGCAGAGAAGGACGTGTCCAGAAGGAGAATCGAGCGACTCTGAAAAGGAAGAGCCAAAAGCATCAAGGAAAGTGCTTTAGCCAGTTCCAGATCCTCCCATTCACCTGCGTCGTCTTTTCGACCTCCTGTTAGGATGCCCTCTCGGGGGGATGGTTCCTCCCAGTGCCCGTACCCTCTCGGGCAGCGAAGCCTCCGCCTTCTCCAAGGAGGCTACCAAGGCATGGAGCGAGTCTTCGTTAGGATGTAACTCCGAAATCTGGCAGATTTCCGGCAAATTGCCCTCCCACAACTTGTGAGATCGCTCGGCTTCGTCAAAGAGATGTGGCATGACCGCCTCCAAGCCGCCGAGGTGGCGCGTGAATTGGTGAACGGATTGGTTCTCTCGCTTTTGAGCGTGCTGATAGAGCGACTCCGCGTAGCTGGCTATATACCGAGTCGTCGGCAGCTGTTGATAGAGAAAGGAATGGAACTGCAGCCACGATTCATTGCCCGTCCCCTGCGAGTGTATCATCCAGCGGTCGGTAAGACTTTGCGACACGTGCCGCAGCGCTTCCCGGACTCTGTAGCTGTCGTGCTCGAAAAACAGCGAGTCCGTTGAGAAATGCTCGGCCAGTTTCCGTTTAAATGACGTGAACTCCTTGCGGCTGGTTCCTTCGTAGATGGTAGTTACCGGGAGCGATGTCCCCGAATCGCAGTATTGAACCCATACTCCGTCGTCCCTGGCAACTCCATCGATTCCGAGCGCGAGCGCTTTATTCCCCAGATCGCATGGTGTCCCGAACCTGGCGAACGCAGAAGTAGATCGGCGGAATCGCTTGACACGTGTGTTATATAGCGGAGACTTTGCAACCTCTGGTCCTCCTCGGCGAGTTGATTCTGCAATTGCAGAACAGTCCGTTCTTTTCTCTTGCCTGCGAGCTCATTTTCCAGGCGCCGAATTTTGGAGTTGAGCTGGTCGGTAGTTGTTTGGATTAGAATGTTTCGTCTCTGGCCGCTGCCGCGTCAAGGCATCTTGTGTCGTTGTCGATTTGTGTCGACAGGCGGCGCGAACTTCATCCATATCCATTCCCTGGGGAGACGCGACCGTGTCGGCATCACGTGCCAGCCGATGCGATCAGGCCGCAACAGGCAACCCACAGCATGTGCATGTTAGTCATCGCGGCATCATCTGATTCTTGTTCGCTTTCCCTCGTCCTCTTCTCTCTCGTGTTCTCCTACCATCGCCAAATCCAGCAGCCTATCCAGCGTTAGCAATTTTGGCATCGCCTCGTTCCAAGCCCAAATGACGTGGTTGTTGTCGCTTCACAATCGCCGCCATTTGCTTGGTACTTGGTAGTAGTGAGTTTGGCCATTGTGGATCGCTTCCATACTCCAGCAATGAGTTGGTTGATGTAACCATAAAAACTCGACAATCGGCCAGGGGCAAGTACAGAAAAAAAAAAAAGAGATGCAGAGATTTCTCCATTCCACCGCACAAATCCCCTTCCTCGGTGTCTCGTCACTCCAAGTCACATCATCCCATTGACTTTCAAGCCACAAACCAATGGAAAATTGGTGACACTCTCGTCGATCCCGGACTGATCGGCAGCCTTAGCGTGCGAAGAACACCATCGCCAGGGAAGAGCCCAGTCGGCTGATTGGTAGCCCCTCACGCTTGCGTTAGGGGGCAATCCGGCCAGTCTCCTCATTACGTCGATCGCATCCGACTGACTGGCAATCCCTGCTTCGACTCTTCATTCATCACGCCCACTTTCCCCCGGATGACCGTTTGGCCCGTTCTCTCAGTCGGTTGATATTTGATTAAACCCCCGATCTTGGCAATCCCCTCCATGACTGGGCCTGACCTGCCGCACCGTCAAGAAAGAGCTCAATACGCGGTGCGTTCTTCGTGTTGCTTTCGTTGCCATCCAGATCTGTTTTCCAGTCCAATCATTTGCGTGGTCTCGCATGTATCTAATTCTAGGGCTTTAGTCGGGAAAAGGTCGCTTTTGTCGACACTAGGGACAGAATGCTGAGTGCATGGATGAGGTGCTTTCGCCCGTCGCAGGAGAACGAAAGCATCGCCAGTCCCCAACCATCGTCCATATATGATGAGAAACATAGAGACTATGAGGTCAACGTCCAAGAGTCCGACTCGGCGGTACCTGCCACCGGCGCCGCCAAGATTGAAGCCGTCGAAGCAGTGGGAGGTCGCAAAGGCCGCTATCTGCTGTACGCGGGGTACGTGCTTGTTGTCACCGTTTAATAGGAGACATGCTGATAATATCTCTTTTCTTGGATTTCATCAGGCTGGCAATGATCATGACCATCTAGTGAGTTTAGTACATACATTATATAGACATTGCACTTTCTAACCAATATCTCAGTGAGCTGGACACATCCACCGTGGGGACGTATCGCAATTTTGCGACTTCCGATTTTGACCATCTTTCCATGCTGGCCACTCTGAACACGGCCGCGAGCATCATCTCCGCCGTGTGTAAACCACCGATCGCCAAAGTGTCCGATGTTCTTGGTCGCGCAGAAGCGTACATCTTTACCCTCGCTTGCTATATCATTTCGTATACACTTTGCGCATCGTCCAAATCCTTCAACACCTACGCCGGTGGTTACGTCTTCTACTCTATTGGTCAGGCTGGTATGGCCATCCTTAATGCCACCGTCGTCTCAGACATTTCCTCCATGCGTTGGAGAGGATTCGTTTACAATATACTATATGTGCCGTTTTTGGTCACCCCGTGGATCTCCGCTTTCATCGTCGACAGTGTGGTAAATGGGATCGGCTGGAGATGGGGCATTGGCATGTTCGCAATCTTGATGCCGTTCTGCGCCAGCTTCATTATCATCACTCTGCTTGTGTTCCAGCAGCGGGCGAAACGTTCGGGTCTGATCTTAACCGAGCGATTAAATATATATGACTTCTGCTCGAGAATCGATCTTGGTGGTATCATTCTTCTCAGTGGTGGATTTACACTGGTGCTCATTCCAATCACATTGGCGGCTACCACGACCAGTCGCTGGCAGACCCCCTGGGTGGATGTTCTGATCGCTCTTGGTGGAGTTGTGCTGCTCTGCCTTTATCCGTACGAGAAATATCTCGCCCGGCATCCGGTTGTTCCCGTGCGCTATTTCCGTACCCTCTCTGTTGTTGTGTCGGTGGCCCTGGCTTGCGTCGACAACATCGGCTTCGGCAGCACTCATACCTATCTCTATGTCTGGTCGATGGTCTCGCACGACTTCTCTCCACGCGACGCGCAGTTCCTCAACTACACCAACGCCGTGATGCAGGCTTTGGTCGGTATGGGCACTGGACTCCTGATGTACCGCATGCGCTCGTACAAGTGGATTGGAGTGATTGGGGCGGTGATTCGAATGGTCGGCTATGGTGCCATGGTCCGACTACGCACCAACGCCAGCTCTACGGCAGAGCTTTTCATTGTTCAGATTGTCCAGGGCGTAGGCAGCGGTATCATCGAGACCGTCGTTGTCGTGGCGGCACAAATCTCTGTGTCTCACGCGGAACTTGCCCAGGTCACGTCATTGACAATGCTGGGATCGTTCCTGGGCAATGGCATTGGTTCGGCCATTGCGGGGGCCATTTATACGGGAAAGTTGCGCCACCAACTCCGACTGCATTTGGGCTCGGGCGTAAGTGACGACAAGGTCGATACTCTGTACAATTCGATCACGGGAACATTGCCTCCGTGGGGATCTACGGAGCGGGGTGCCGTTAATCAGGCCGTAAGTTGATTAGCTATCGTCTGTTGTTCGAGGACTGACACGGCGTAGTATTCCGATGTGATGGGCTACATCACGATCGCAGCGCTCGCCTTCTCCGCCCCGGTGGTGGTTCTGGCGCTGATCCTTCCCAACAAGAAGCTCGGGTGTGTATACCCCTCAGGTTTCAGTCCCTTGCTTCGCCCAGATTGCTGATCATCACTTCTCCACGTCAGGGACGGACACAACTTGGTTCAAGACGAACAACCCCCGCGCACGTCTCAGGCAGCATTAGTCGAGAAAGAAACGCGATGATATACTGACTAACATGATTGGAAATGCCAAGGTATTAACGGTTTGATTAATTTTAATTATACATTATTATGATATGATCGCCATGCACGATGCAGATAATTCAATGTTCGAAAGATAAACAGAAAGAAGGAATGAAACGAGCTTCAAACTGATCTCCTTATTTTCCCGGAGATCCCAAGACGCAAAAGAAATTGCGATCCGGCGTGTCATCCAGCGCATTCTTAACCATGTTCCACACATTCAGATCGTACGCCTCACCGATATGGCCGACGGGATCTAACTTGCACTTGTCCTGCACCCAAACGTTGTTGACGCCCTTTTCGTGCACAAAAGAAGTCGACGTGGGTGTCACCATCTCATCCAGCTTCGACGCAATCACCGTCAACTTGTTCCCGGCCTGCACAATCGGCTGGCCGTCATTCAACCTATCGATGGCTGCGCCGTCGGGGCCCAGATCATCGCAGGCCGCACAGCCCACCGTCTTCAAGACCTCGCCGACCGCCTCTCGCGAGGCATTCCCAAACGCATACGCCAGGTTATAGATGCCGGCGAAATTTGTCCCCCGAGTCGGCGGCGCGATGGCCACCAACTTATCCAGGAGCTCCGACGTCCCTTCCTCGAATTTGGGCACGTACAGCGTCTGGAACGCGCCCTCGGAGTGGCCGACCAGATCGATTTTCTCGGCTCCTGTCTTTTCCGCGACTTCGTGGATGTAGTCTGCGATCTCGGTCGCCGATTCGGAGATGGCTTTCAGCCCGCCGAGCAGAGGGAAGCCGTCGTAGTCGCCGTATGTCTGGGCGTAGGTACAGTAGCCCTGCGATTGGAGCCAGTATTGCAAAAAGTTCAGGTCCTCGTAGAAGGTGGCGCCCAGTCCGTGCAGTAGCACGACGGGGTTTGGGTGTTTTTCGCTGCGGCAGGAGAAATCGTTGATGCCGAACGCCAGCGTGGATGAGGCCACGGCGGACCCGAGTAGGAGGGATCGCAAATGCATGGCGATATATAGGAGAAGAAGGTATAAATTAGAAATTAAGATATGAAGCCAGCTGACAGGGAGAAAGAATCAAGAGAAAACAACCGGCACACGAGACAGCAGCTTCCATTTATCCTCCGCAAATCCCAGGGGGAATGGTTTCTTTTTCTTCTCAGCTTCAGCCCGCCCAGTGGAGATACGATTCAGCTGCAGATTTGATCAGCCCCAGCTGCATGGATTTACCCATCACATTTCCTCCATTTCCGATCAGATTCACTGGAGCTCAGCGTGTCGATCGCTCAGGAACAATTTCCGTGGGCGGCCTGATTGGTCAGGCTAGTGGAGCTGAGCGGACTCAGGCCGACTTTTCGTCACTGCGGTCCACACGCTAAGAACAAACTATCGATCGCATTTGTCATGGCAATGAATACGGGGGCTCTGAGTTGTGGAAATTGACAGTAAACGGGCTTGCCTTCCATGGGTCGGACATTCGGTGACAGGCCGTTATGTGAATCTCGCTCGTGGAAGCCGGTTTTTCGTGAATGTTGGTGGAAAAGCAGTTCCGGTATAGGGGTAGATGCAAGGCTTCGCGGGTGGGAGATCGACCTCTCGTTCCTATTTAATGGGCCTGCGATCGCTCTCCTTACTTTCTCCCTGACTTCATCAGTTGCCTCAGCTTACTCCACCCCACCTCTAGCCTTCTGGTTATTGGACTTCAACCTCACTTGACGCTCAGGATATGTGCATTATATTATCATTTCGGAATATCCTATCTCTGGGCTGTCCTGCGCCTCTCCAAAGGCTTTTCTTCTCTGCATCTCATCATAAGACCGTGCTCCTAGCCAAGGACGTCTTCATTTGCTCACTGGAACAGAATTCTACTAAAGCCTTTTCCATTGTCATCTTGATCTCAATTTCCCAGGGCTTCTTCCATTGATAATTTGTAGATTCTAGCTTCTTCCTACCAAGCATTCGAGATAGGTGCTTGGCAAAAATTCAGATTGTTCGAAGAGTGGTCGAGCGTTGGGTATCCTACTCTTTCACATCCACAGTTCAATGTGAAAGACTCAAGGCCTCATATAGGATTGAGGTCATGACTATTATTACTCATGACTCAATCTCGATTTGGAGACATTCAACGATAATTTCATGGTTATCGAGGCTCATCGGCCTTTCCAAGTCAGATGACTGGTCTCGAGCATTGTGCGAAGGCGGAACCTTTTGTCCGGCTTTCTATATCCTCCTTTTCACATCTTGGTTCTTATAGAACTGCTGAAAGAGGATGTTTTCTATGGCCAAGGGACTATTTTTTCTTCTGAACAATATCCGGTAAACGTTGCACAAGAGGAGCAGAGGTCAGAAACGAAAGACCCGGATGGCAAAGCCGACGCGAAGACGCATGATAGTCGGAACCCATGCAACGATGTCAAAGAATATCTATCGCAGCCAAGAATTTCACGGCTGGACTTTTCTTCCACAGAAGAGAACGTCATATAGCCAGCGCGGGAGAGTGCATTCTGGAAATGCCAGGGCAGCGCCTAACCATCAAAGGCTTAGGTCTTCGAGCTTTTCATGTGTATCGATCTTCTTATATCGGCGGTCTAGGTCTACCTTCCACTTTTCTACGCAGGATGTATTTCACTTTCACCAGTGTTAAGCTCGTTCGAATGCTCGCTCAATGCTGTTTGTCGACAAATTCCGGCAATCAGAACACCTACAGTAACCGAAACGCCTAATCTTGGTCAGTTCAACTCCTGGGTTTAGGAATGTGGCCTAGCTCAATAACGAGGTGATAAATGAGGGGGCAAAGGCCAAAAAGATGCTTCACTTTCCCCTCTCAGATTTGATCGTCTAGCACTGTTTTCCGGTGGCCTCTTACTTTCAGGTAATTTTGGCTCAATGCCGGAGTCATCGTTCAGAGTATTCTTCGTTGAGTGAACAACGTGGATACGAAAAAAGGGCGCAGCAATAGACTTACCGTCCCAGATATCCAGGCCTTAATCTTGCGAAAGTTAATTCCACGCGCCGTGTCAGCAACCCTGCTGTCCTGCAATAAGTCGAACGTGTCACGGCATATCTTTGTACGAGGCTCTTATCTCCTACGGCCATCTTCGCTGTAGCACGGCAATGCCAATTCTCAAGAACTCGCGAGCACCTGTTCTTGGAATTTCGATGCCAGACAACATCAAAAGCGGCATTCCAGCTGGCTATCTGGCACGGAGATTGCCACTGCCGAACAGGCTTTATCTGCGCCTTTTACTACCCGGTTATGGAAATTGACCCGGCTCATAATCCAATTTCGTTCCAGTATCGTCCGGGCCGTAAGAGAGGCCTTTCGAGCGGTTCTGCAGGTAGCTATTACCATTGTCACCTGTCACAATGGTCTTTGTTGAGTGTATTCATCACGTACGCTTTTTGGGCAGGGTTCTCGTTCTGAATCTAACTTCAGAAACGTTGAATCTATTAACGGCATGCCCACATGCCGAAAGATTAGAGCGTATGCCATTTTGCAGATATAGCAAACCTGCAAGATGCGGTGAGTCGCCATTGAAGGATGACGTTTCTCAGACTCTGTCGCTTTGCCTTTATATAGACGCTCGTTCAAATGTGCTTTAAGCTCATGAATGAGTTCACAAAGAACCCAAACAAGTCACGGACTGGCCGAATTCCGCCAGTTATATCAAGGACCTTCTTGCGCCCTACTGTGAGGAGTTCAAATCTTTTGTGCCCGTGATGCCCCAAGAGACTTTTGGGGTCGCAAACGGAAGATGTAACAACACCATGTCGAGCGTTTCTATTAAACTCGCTCAAGATAAGACCGGTTCCCTACTACGGTAACACCATTTCAACAGAGACAAGCCTCTATCGAGTCCTCCCAGTTCTTAGTAATTCACGAGAATTTATCGGCGGCTATAGGGTCTAACCTATCCGCTTGATACAGAAATTTATCTCGGTTGTATTATCGCAGGGGATGCACGAACTGCGTCTATCTATCGTGGGGAAGGATTGGGGTCTACCTTGATCATACTTTCCTACTATAACGCGCTGCTTGATAGAGCTGTCTATCTTGGGCGTCCCTACACTCCGCTATCTCGGCTTGTGGGTGTCTTGTGGATAAACTCGCGGATGCGGAATCAACGGCATTTCGAAGAATGTGGGCACTAAATGCCTAAGCCTAAGCGATTCAGACGGACAAAGAGGTTGAAGCGAAGAGTCTACCGCTTCCGATTCATAATCCGAAAGGATACGTCACCATGGATCTATAAAGCCCTTGTGGCCTGTTCTTACAAAGGATTCTCGACAACTCAATTTTATAAACATTCGATGTCATAAGAATCTAATCTCGACGGCAAACTCATAGCCTTGAGCCAATATTGAAATTAAATTATCCACTAAGAGGAACAGGACACGGTACACACCTCTGTTAAACCTCTGCGAGAAAGTATGTTCTCCAGAGGCAATCTGTTGTGTTATCGTCTATTCCAAGGTAGACCTTTGAGACGTTCTTACTGAACGATGTTGGCCGAATTGTCGACCGATGTTTCTGTCGGTTGCATACCCAGGATAAACCTGGACAATGGTGAGGCCGCCAACGTAATGCCGGTAAGTCCTTCTTTTCCTTTCAAAATTTTCATCCCTTTCTATGTTCCGGGACATAGAAAGTTGTTACCGAATCGTTGCTCATAGTTCGAAGGTTTTATAAACAGAACTTTCCACAACTACCGCAGCATTCTGATAAAGATCTTTCTTGCTTTGCGGAGTTAAAGCAAAGCAACGATCAAAAGCCGTGGATTCTGCTTCCTCGCAAGAGAAATATGATATAGCGCTAGCGACTCTATCACTTACGCCCACAAATTATGTTTATCGTTATGGCCCTGTAGCCAAAACGCACCGATAAAGGTGCTTTGCACAATTTTTTTTTTTTCATCGACGATGATCCATTTGATGATAGATCATTCAAAGAAAATGTTCCTGGCAGATGCACGATCCCGCAGATCTTTCAGAGGCGTTATTATACCTTGCTCTCTACCAGGTTCAGCATGTTCTTAGGAGGCACGTTAACTATGCTAACTAGTCCTGCCAACGTCCTTGGCTCCGCTCCATATTTTCCCTGCAGCTTACTGGTCGGTCAAAGGGATCTACTCAATAATCCTTCATTGGGTCATATCGGTTCCTCTTGCAATGTCAAAACACGAGTGGTCCGGACAAACCCCGTTGAATCGACCAAGTCTTGGCTGCGTTTCGTCGAATATGATGTTTTCTTTTCCCCAGGGCCGGATTCAGCTGGGAAATTCCCTGCCCGTATTTGAAACTTACTTCACTCCACAGAAGAAAAAGAGTATCTGGACTCGTGCAGACTACACCTCTCCCTGATCAAACCCTGGGATTTCCTTCATGCAACAATGTGCGCTTATATCGTGCGCAGGCGTCTCGCATTGCGTGGTGGGTTGGGTTTTGATATTGTTTCTCCGAGCAGGCATTATGGAAGGATGTGTGAGATTTAGGATCTATCCATACATTTGACTATGGGGATTTTTGCTTTCTTTAAGAGCATCACATATGCAAGTGATGGATCGTTCTGATATTGGTATATCTTGCTTTGGAATGGGACCCCAGTAAGGTGACAGGGGGGAATCACACGCGGAAATAAACTGCGAAAGAGAGACAGAAGAAGGAAGAGAACCGGAACAAGAACTCCCTTATTGTTACTGAATGTTGTAATATGAAACCTTCTTGTTTCGACAAGGAAAAGCAAAGAAAAACTACAAGAGAAAAACTTTATCAATCAGCATTAAGGCTTTCATCAAATTATTGTAGAGCGTGTGCATCAAAGCCTAGGACTATCTCAAACGAGCGAAGTAATTAAAATACAAAACAATATCAGGCATAACGAGTGTTCCATAAAATTTCCCATGCAAAAGATCCCAGATTTCCAATCCTTATCGCAGTGAGCATCAAAGGTGATGTTATAGTGGCAACAGGTCAAGGCCACAATGATTATCGGCGAAGATTAGCATCCCTCTTAGCAGAAGAGATCGTCTAGTTGTCCTCCTCGCACTCGCACTCCTCGTCATCATCGTCGTTGTCATCGTCGTCGTTGGAGTCAGGGGAGGCGTCAGTGTCAGCAGGCTGGCCGTCGTGCTGCTCCTGGCATTCCTTGGAGCCGTTCTCGAAGGTGCACTCAATCGAAGCAGAGGTGCCAGAGACGGGGTGGCCGTTGATGGTGACCGAGGACGAGGAGTGGCCGTTGGAGCTGGAGGAGGAAGAGCTGGAAGAAGAGCTAGAGGAAGAGCTACCCCAGCTGCTGGAACTGTGGCTGCTGTAGCTGCCGGGGCCGCCGGAGGTAGGGGTGCCGGAAGAAGAGCCGCCAGCGCTGCCGGATGCGCTGCCAGAAGCGCTGCCAGAGCCGGAGGCATCGCCAGACACGTCACCGGAGCCAGAGGCACCGCCCTCAGCGCCACCAGAAACATCGCCAGAGGCACCGCCGGAAGCACCGCCGGAAGCACCGCCCTCAGCGCCGCCAGAGACATCGCCGGAAGCATCACCGCTAGGGCTAGGAGAAGAAGTGTCGGGGGAGGAAGTGTCGGGAGAAGAGCCAGTGGGCGAAGGGCTCTCGCCCTCAGTAGGACTAACACCGGAGGGAGAAGGAGCAGAGGGGGTTCCGCTAGGAGAGGGGGCACCGCCGCTGGGCGAAGCACCACCACCAATTCCGGCACCAACATCGGCACCGGCGCTGCCACCTCCACCAACATCAGCGCCAACGCCGGCGCCACCCTTTCCGCTGCCGCTGCCACCAATGCCAGCACCAACATCAGCACCGGCGCTGCCGCTTCCACCAACGTCGGCTCCAACACCGGCATCACCCTTGCCGCTACCACCAGCGCCCACATCAGCGCCGACATCACCGCTACCACCAACGTCAGCACCGACGCCAGCACCAGCACCACCGCTGCCACCAAGGCCTGCACCAACATCAGCACCGGCGCTGCCGCTACCACCAACGTCAGCACCGACGCCAGCACCAGCACCACCGCTGCCACCAAGGCCTGCACCAACATCGGCGCCAGCACTGCCGGTTCCGTTAACACCAGCGCCAATACCAGCGCCGCCGTTTCCTCCAAGACCAGCGCCAACATCAGCGCCAACGTCACCGCTACCTCCAACATCAGCACCGACGCCGGCACCACCGCTTCCTCCAAGGCCGGCACCAACGTCGGCACCAGCACTGCCGCTGCCACCAACATCTGCGCCAACACCGGCACCGGCACCGCCGTTTCCACCAAGGCCAGCACCGACATTTGCGCCGGCACTGCCGCTGCCGCCAACGTCAGCTCCGACACCAGCGCCAGCGCCGTCTTCGTCGCAGTCTTCACCGTCAGCTCCAGCGCCAGCACCGGCTCCCAGTCCAGCGCTACCGCTCACATCAGCGTCGCCACCCACGTTGGCACCGAGACCAGCACCGCCCTTACCACCGGCCCCGAGGCCAGCACCAAGGCCGGCACCGAGGTGGGCACCGAGATCAGCATTGGCACCAGCACCGGCACCACCGTGACCGCCGAGCAGGCCGGAAAGGAGACCGAAAGTACGGGCCTCCACGCGCGGAGCGGCTTCGTTTCCGGGGTGGGAGGAAGGAGGGAGGCTTCCGGTAGTCACAGACACCGGAACGGCCATAGTTGCGGCCGTGAGGGCCAGAGCACAGAAAGCGTAACGCATCTTGTCAAAAGAACGTGTGTGAAAGAATAAAAATAAAAATTAGGTATAAAGAGAATGTGTAAAGAGAGGCTTTTTGGTTTTTTGTCTTTTTATCAAAAAAAGAGTGTAGCGATGTCCAGGCTGATGATGAATGAGAAACCCAATGTTCGGGGAAATTCTTGCTCCCTTATATACCCCTGATGCTGGCCATCCGGTGCAGTTCTCAATCTTTCACCACCCCATGGATCAAAGGTCTCCGTTCTATTCTGGGCTCAGGGCGGGCCAGAGCTGTCGGGGTTGCGGACGGTGATCTTCGTTTCAAACAGGAACAAGCTCTGGGGGAGACCAGGAGACGAGCGGATTATTGAAACGCACTTACCAAACCTTGCGAGTCAAGGTTTGGCACACTTTCAGGTACCCGAAAGTATCCAATCGCCAGCTCGGAGCAGTCAAACTCTGCTCTGGAAACAGCGCTGTCGACATTTCGGCCAACGATCATGAATTGCCTAGACCATTGCTAGTCGGTCGACAGACCTGGGTAGCGCAAAAACTGGCGAGTGGCCACTGCGATACCGAAATTGGGACAAGGAAACGGATATGGAATAGTCCGGCCTTCTCGGAAACCGTCCCACCTCCAAAGTCACCCTCTCGGCCTCTGCTCTCGTCCCTCGAACATCGTCCCGGGGTCAAGGCTCCGCATCTTGTCGTGAGACCGTGAAAGAACCAGTCACATCTGTCCAGCAGAATATAATTAGAAATGGAATGCGGTTTAGCATCGAGAATAGAGTTCTCATTGTGGACCATGCTAGGGCTGGCGGGATCGCTGAAACGAACCTATGCGTGGTCTGAAACGCTTATTTTGGGTACGAGGGAGCGTTCGAACGACCGACCCGATTAGTCGCAGATCGTTGCCTCGACTCCGGGGGTTCCCGCGGACTCGCACAAACCAGGAGATCCTCGGATCCTAAGAACCAGGATATAGCGCGATTCTCAGCATCACGGGGTCTGGGCCTAGGGAGTGTCGGCTGCGCTCGAAACGGTTAGTATCATCTCTGGTCGGTTTGATCTGGAATCCTCCTAGTGGCCTTTAGTGCCGATCCCAAAATTGAGACTGCTCCTTTTCTCGAGTTCACAGGGAGAGCATTGACGATGTAGGCTTCTCCGGTTGTTTTCTGTTCACGCGCTTTCTATTGACTTGCAATTTCTCAATTCAAAATCTCCGAGTCAATTTGACGACTTAGGTTCCTTGTTCAAAGAATGCATTATCGGAAGCAGGCATCCGCACGCTGCTGTCCTCCACTCTGCAGTCCGCATAAACTCCGGCGCATTGGTGGTTCGCAAGACCCACAACCTCTAGAACCACGAAACAGGGTCGCAGGGCCCTGTTTTACGTTCGTCGGCCTCTATACCCGACCGAGTATCAAACGGGATGATCCTGCCCATGCAACGGTGCAAGTTAAAGCGGATTATCGCACCGAAGCCTCCCTACTGGCCAATGCCCGTCCCACGAGCATCGGGGATTGACTCGTTCTTGCGGCGGAAGATGGCTAAGACCAAGGCGGTTCGAGTTCCCGCGACTAGCAGGTTAGAAGGAACCATGTTTCCCTCTACCAAATAATGGGAGTGTTGAGGAGATGCAACTATTGAGAGATTTCGTGATCCATGAAGGCCCTCCGATGGGAAGTTGAAGGTTGAAAGTTGGAAATTGCTTGGCTTCAGGGGCCGAAGGAAGGAGCCTGTCGCTCCTTTCGGCTTAGCGCCTGCCTAAGCGGTGTGGGCCCTCGATCATCCACTAATCCCGTTGCGGACATCACATGCTCGGCCTCACCATCGCCCAATCGAGAAAACCCTCACGACTCAACTTCTCCTGCGGTGTATCCTGTCGGTCTCATGAATCTAATGATTCGCCTACTCGCTATTATTGATTAGACGCTCCTACTACAAACAAATCCACTGCCCCTTTTATCAAAATTCCATAAGCCCCTGGTTTGCACATACTATCCCTCGTACTTAGGTTTCGTGGCTTTCCTGTTGAGACGAGTCACATTTCTACCCCACGAGAGAGGAGCACATCGCTGCCTCCTTTGCGCATTGACCATGGTATTGAGCCATTTTGGACCCCAATCTAGCTAACTTCTCATGTCAACCGTCTATCTTCTGCCGTCTTCCAACCAAAGCCAGATAGGAACTTGTCCGATCTCCAGAAATAGCAACGTTCTTGACACATTAGAAGTTTCAGGCGGCGCCCGATTCTCATTATAACAGTGACTAACTGAAATATCTTCTATTGGACTTCATCCCGCTGGGACGGCATCTGTATCCGCTGTCGTCCGGTTCAGCAGTTTCGTCAGTGGGAATGTTCTGGGAGTCATGGCCATTCGAAGAGAACCAATGAGAGCCCAAGTCGGCATTTGCTATCTTTCTTCTATTACCTTAGGCTTTGCTGCTTTGCGAGGTGGTTACTCATATGGCTCAACGGTAGGACGCGAGCATTACTCGCATTGTACATGATATTCGTAGACCAGATCAGGTTCTACCTCTGAACATATCAATCAAAGTCTTCCGCGCTCTTGATGGCATTGCTTGATTTGATTGAACAATAGAATATCATATATAGAACTATTTCAATATTCCGCATCTTGCCGTTCTTGGCTATGGTTCAGTTTTCGGTAGCGAAAAAGAACCTGGTTCATCCCACGACAAGTTCCTAATGTTCATGATATCGCCAGCATCTACTCTGTGTGAAAGTAAATCTTTTAGACAGCATTATATCACTGCCAATATATTATCACGAAGTACAACGAGAATCATACCTTCATTCCGTGGGCATGTGCTGCAGGAAATTCTGAGTCCCTGTAGCGAGATATATATTTTACACTCTAGGCTACCCAGCAGCACTCCCCGGTCCACAGCCACAAGATCGCAAATAATTCTAATTCAATAAACTTCAACATAGGAGAATTATTAACAATTAGGAGCTTTACATCTCCGTCATCCAAATACTAGTAACAATTCAAGAGGTTGTTATGCAGGGTGGGTTGACTCGAAGCCTGAACTCGTTGGCTGTGCGTACCTGGTTTAACATGAAGATTAATGACAAGGTATCGACAGAAGGCCAAAGATTTAAACGAATTTTAATTTTAAGAAAGTAATGTATAATAATGGAAAATCTGGTCTAACTTGAGCTATTAGCTCGTGGAGGGTCTAAAATCTTCGTCGGTTGCTCCCCTTTCCCGAGCCACTGGTCAACCGACGACTCAGGATACCACCTACCAACTCCCTCCTTTTCATACCCATCGTTTGAATATTCTTCTTCAATTCACATACAAAAGAGAAACTCTTTCATTTGAAAAAAAAAAAAAACTTTCGAGGAAGGCTTTCATCGCCCGAACCTATTACTAGGAAATATCGATCTACACCGAAAGCATATTATTCTCATAATTTAACGTTTAAACTTCCTCAACTGAGGATAGGTAGTCAAACATTCCGAACTCCATGCCATGCTCATGCTAGTAATCTCTTTGCATACCAGGAAAACCTTCTTGTTCTCTATCTGCGATCACGAGAAACCAGCTATCCTTACGTATCCGAACTGCCTCCCCCATGAACTCCGCCCTGCCATCCCAACGCACATGTCACCCAGCCTATTAAACGTCGGATAATCGATTCTTGAAGAGAATAACCCCGAAATTCACGGATCAGCGGCATACGGTGGGGATTTAAGGATCAGTCTGTGTGCTTCTCAGTGAAATTGATGAAGTTGAATCAGAAGGGATTGTCTACGCTTTTACAGCCATGGGGCACCATAAACAACAACATGAGATTGTACTGTATTGCTATCAAGCATTTTTCATACCTCAACTATAGGGAATATCTCGTATGCTGAATCTATTCTGAGGCTGAAGACCAGTGTCTGTCAAGATCCGAAGAACATTTCAAGAAAGTTAAAATGCTCCTCTACAGAATATATCCTACAAAATCTAAGAAATTCAAGGCCAAACGTTGGAAACAAGTTCCCTACCTGCACTTTTCTGGTTATTTCCAGAACTGCATGCCTTCTTATGGATGGTCTACAGTCGACTACGAGACATATTGAACTTATGAAAATCGGAAACCTTTTCAAATTGGGAGCTAAAGGTCTGGTATGGCAAGTGGTAACTTGATCTGAGACACAGCAGGCCGTATTGCAAGCGAACAAACGTGTACCAGCCCATAAACAAATGAGATATGAAACAGCAGATAAGAACGAAGCACAATCACCTCCAATCCGATTATGTCCTTTCCATCAAGCCCGACAGAACATCAAGGATTCAACAAGGACAAGAGAACAGGGCGATACAATTATGAAGAACATCCGTTGCCTGAAACAGTTTCGTTAGTCGCGCCATGACCAAGAGTAAAAAGGGGTAAAGGAAACCCACATGATAAGCTAGAAAGGTGTGCATCATGGCAAAGACGTCTCTAGACCCTTGAGATTGAATCACTCAAAGACATCTTCTTTGATCACATTCTGATAGTTAGGATCTTCGACTTTATCCTCCCCCCTGCGAGTTCTGTACATCCTCATCTGGACAATAATGAAGAGTTGGCTTGCGAACCAAAGCAGGGCCCAGTTCAAAATGATCCGAAGTCCGTCGGACAATGACATGGACTTGAAGGATTTGATTCGCTCGATCGTGAAAGCCATGCCCGTTGCACTCACGCTCCGATTGTTGAAGTATCTGGTTTTATCGGCTCCTCCGAAATATGCGTCGACGTATCTATCAGCAATGATAAACGGGTAGCCTATAACGAAAATAGAGATAATGGTCAGAATGAACCGGCCTCCACTGGACGATGGCATGCGTCGGAATTGCTCCATCATGGAATCCATTTTTCCCTTTGCTTTCAAAGCGGGTTTCGTAGAGATTTTGAGGACTTAATTCTGCTGATAGAGCGAGTGAAGTAATAGAGTGGCGATGGCGGTGAGGTGAAGAGGGTATGTTGGGGTATAGTAGAGAGGCATATATATGCCCAGTGAGTTCTCATTCAGGGAATAGAAAATCTCCGGATTATACCATTAGAATCACACAAAAGAGCTTTTGGCGACCGGGCTCTTCCAAGTTCGTCTAACTTCAGCTACAGCAAACGCTTCTTCCCAACCGAGCCACGGAGTGACTGCAGATGATGGTTTTTTCCATGTATATCAAGAATTCTACGACCAAAAGAACGATTTCTTCCATTATGGACTGAACCATGACGTCAAACGTCCATATGGAATGAAAAGTGGTTCATCCTACAGCACGATCTACAAAATGGATCAAGTAAATAACCTACTCAAGCATTTACTTCTCATCTACACGCAAATCAGGTTAAAGAGTTTTACATATTATCTTTTAACTTCAACATCTTTTTCTAAAGATCACAGCAGGCCTCAGCACATCCTGGCAAAACTCCATCCATATCATAACAAGAAAGCCGCACCAATCCCACAAAGCTCACCATTCTAACCCACACTCTATCTAATCTCTCTCCACGAAGGAACTCGATTCTCAACAGAAACAGCTCCGTTGAGTGTTCGCAAACTCACCAGCAAAAAGAGAAAGCCAATCAATAAAATCATAAGCGGGGCTTCATTCAAAGCTCGTGGTACAATGTCACGGAAATATCTCACATCTGCGATCAGATTATGAGCAGCCCAGAGGATCATCAAGCAAACCACTGAACCCCAAATTCTAGTGAATATGAAGTAGGCAAGAAAAAACCAGAACATCCAGCCGAGGTCGAACCGCATGATGATAGGAATGGTTTATCTGGTGCCTGGGCGCTGCCTCAAGAGAGCCTGATGATGAGGTCGGATACTCAGAGGCGTCAGTCGAGAAAAGGGATCTAGAGTGGTGTTTAAGCCCTGTATGGAGCACGGGCTTATTTATACTGGAAACCGTGTTCGATTTCGGCCTTTTCCGCGCTGTTTGCTATAGTAGTCAGTGTTACTAATGTAACGGATGTTCCCATGGATTATGTAGAGCTTCCATGCCCAGCGAAATCCTTTTCTTTCATTTCGTTTAATAGACAGGCCCGATTATTTGCGTCCTTCCCAGAAATCATGGAGGTTCGATAGCAGAGCTCCAGAACTCAAGTACTGCCAGATCCACGAGCCCAGTATCGAAAGGAGACATCCTTTACAATATGCTGCATTCACATACAGGGGGATATTGACGAGGACCGTCTTCTACAGTCCAGAAGAGCAAGGCCAAGCCTTCTTGGTTGCTAGAGTTCGTTCTTACTGTCGCTTGATAGAATAGGCCTTTAGGACAGCATGATGGTGTCTACCTTCAGGCCAGGATAAGGCGTACGTTTGCTTTGCCTTGATAGCGAGGCGGGAAGAGCCATGTACCATGGCGTGTTCATCACACTTGATATTCAAGGGGCCGAGGATGATCTTCTCGACTCCAGAAATCCAAGGAGAAATATGAAGCCACATGAATATTGCAGCCGATGTGTGGCATGTGGTATGTCAATCTTCCGCTTCTATCGTCGTACCACCAAAAATAAGGTAGGCAACATTGAACCCGATGTTTGACATTCTGTACACGACATGGAACTGGCAAATATTGATTAAGACATTTCCCAAATTAGTCCTCCAAACGATACCGGATGCTTAAATCATCAGATCTCGCTGACATAAATCATTACTTCATTTCCACTGCATGCTAGAAGTCGTCCTGCGATTACTAGCAAAATCCTCCTGCCCGAAATATACATATTAGTGTGCAACCAGCAGAGATGAACTCTAAGCTGCTTTAGGTGGTGAGCCAGCACGAACGGACAGCTCGGGCATTGAACTTCCCCACAGTCCCAATGCATGACGTTTCTCTACCAGCTTCAGCACCTCGTACATGAACTTGCGCTCAGGCCCGCCGTCAGGGAAAGCTTCCCAACCCACCCGGACAGGGAAGGCTAAGCGGTTGATCATGTTTCCTGGCGCAGTGAGTATATACCATTCCAAACTCCGGCAGATGCCACATCCCAACCCATATTGCTCGACCGGGCCAACGCGATCCGGTCGGGTGTCCACGGAAGACAAGACAAGCCGCGCAGAATAATACAAGCACATGGTTTGGGCCAGGCGTAGGTTTGGATATGCGAATTTGGTGGGTTTGATTATGGCACCAGTGCGCAAATCCCGACAGTAGAAGGTGGGGAATTGATCATTGGGTTCCGTCTCAACTTCTTTCGGCGGACCATCAGGGTAATTATCGACCATTGCGACCTTCCACTGCAGAAATCGAGAAGTCAAATCCGCAATGCTATTCCATAGCGTGGTCTGCTTAACCGCTGTTTCATGTGCGCCCATCATGATCCCAGACTGCAGGTCGGCTTCGAGGGAGTCATGTTGCGATAATAGGGCCGGTATTTCCACTGTCAGATCGAGGAGGTGATGAAGAATGTCCTTCTTGGTCGTACCAGCCGACCAGGGGATTGTCTTCCAATCTTCATGAGCTAGAAACGTTGGCAAGCGAGCGCCGAGGGCGGCTCCAACCTAAAACAATCTTGAGGTTAACGGAAGGCCAGATAAACTTGTAGGGAAGGAGGAAAATACCCAATACGGACGAAGCTCCGTGAATAGCAAGTGCTCAACACCGTAAATGTGGTTTTCAGGGCCTCGATGTTCAATCAAACGTACTGCGCCTTGAACGTGTGCCAAAAGTGATCCCTGAGTAGTACGCTCAACACTCTAAATATCCCGTCAGCATAGACGATGGTTAAAAGATTGAGATGCCTAGGCAACATACCTCAAAGGCCATCAAAAGAATGACCGTCACCAAAGTAGATTCAGCCTTACTACGCTCCGGATCTTGTAGGGCTTCCTGAAGACTACGTAAGACACGGGGATAAGTACGGAAACCCGAGGCCTCGATGCCCTTGTCTTGAATAGACCGACCGAAGAAAGCCACTGACACAGTTTCGAACGCGTCGGTAAGGATAGGCGAGAACATGCGAATCTCGGCCGCGCGTCGCAAGGCTCCTGCCTGGCCAGATTTGACCCCTACCTCTGGGCTGAAAGCGTCGACAAATCGCTCAATAAAGATATCGAGCATTGGCCGCGTCGAGCTCATGCATATCATTGAACTGACAGACGAGCCATCGGACTCCTCGGATGAGCTCCGATTAAAATCCGCATGGCCAGACCGGTTGCTGACATAGCCTTCGTCATCCACACCCTCATCGTAATTCTCACATGAGAGGCGCGGGACTAAGGATCCGTCGTGTCCTTCGGAGCAAGTCAGTGGATTTGTTTGCCTCCGAGTATACTCCACATTGGCCCAAGCGCAACGCACCTTGTGTTCCTTCCCACGGACCGGTTGAAACAGCCTCTAATTCCCCACGAGAGGCACGAATATCCGCGACAAGGTGATCGACAACATTGAGCGGGGCGGAACGTACGGTGTCGAAGAGCTCCTGGAGCTCAGCAAGTCCCCGTTGGGTTCGGTTACGGTGCTCTAGAGGAAGATGACGCCAAATTAGCCCATGAAATATTGTGACAAGCGGTTAGCTTATTTGGTGTGGGAACACTCACCGCGATTATTTAGTCGCACCGTTAACTCGCGGATCTCCGTCCGCAAATGACGTATCTCCTCGGCCTGGGTAATGGGCTGGAGGTCCTCATCCGGCATCGATTCGTAGACACATTTCGACGGGTACCCATGGGCGCAGCATGCATGACAGGGTTTGACGCGGTCACACTATTTTCAGTGGTCAATTGAGGCTTTTCGGTTGGGCTCGCGCGCATGAAACCAATGAGATTTTGCGTCATCCATAATAAGTAATTTAATTAACCTTCTACATTAATGCGACGTGGAAAGCACAGATAGCAAACGCAAAGCAGGGAGAGTTGAAAATGATTTTTGAAAGAAAAAAAGACAATAAGGTGAAGTAGTTCCTGACTGGGGATGGCATCGCCAAGCTAAAGCAAGAAGGGAAAACAACGGATCGGGAACGCACCTTGACCTTGCGGGCCCGACAGACCTTGCAGGACCGCGTCTGACGAGAGGCTCGACTGGCATTGACCGGCGACTCCTTCTCTCCCGGTTCGTCGGGGAGCCGAGCGCGCGAATCGTAATGAACCATGGACAGACAAGCGAGAATGAGAGAGGGTCCGATGCCAGGAATCCAGGATGGACTGGGGGAATGGCTTTGGTGTGGATGGGCCAACGGTACGGCAGGAACGAGACAAGCGAGATCAGGACGAGCATGTCCGAGATCCCCCCTTTCGCTTACACCATCGACGAGCCATCGTCGCCGGTGGGAGGGATGGGCAATGGCCAATGACGAGGCACGCTGGAAGGCAAGGAGGAGCCGGTGTCATCCGTGTGGGTTCGGGCGGTGTCAAAGCGACTCTAGTGAGGCCAGATGAGACGAACGACAATGGCACTATGCTGGTGTCTGTCACTGACGAAACAAATTGAAACCGACGATGTAACTGTACTCCGCTCGTTGGTTTCCCTTCAAACTCTGGCAATTGATGGATGGTGGGATGCAGGTTCAAGATGGAACTGGCAAACTGCCTCTTGCGATCACGGGATCGGGGAAACGCACCTGCCCGATCAGGATTTCACCGCTAGTCCCACTCGGGTTAGACATTATCCCCGGAGCTGAAGTTATTCCGGACCCGCCGCGCTGCCTCGGCTTATCGATGACGAAGGATTGGCTCCACACCTGTCTACTTTGCAACAATAACACCCAAATCCCTAAGGAAATGCAGCAGGTAGGCAAATGCTTAGGTATTTAAATGGCCACTCACTGCATACTTGCGCGCCCCCTTTGGCCATCTCTTTCCGGAATGCTCTAGGACAAACCAGGGCTGTGCCTGAATCAAAAGCTTACTGGAACTGGTTTTCGGATCTTGTACCAACTATAATGCTCACTGATGTGAATAGGTGCAGCGCATTAGAAGAGTGCCCTTATAAAGCAACATTATTTCCTATAACCCTGCTTAACTTGCAGTTGCTGCACAAGAGAGAGGCAGGCTGGTCAGAAGACCTTGCGAATGTCCTGCTAATCCATGTGCTTGCTGCTTCACAATGACACATCTGCTTGCGCCCATCACCTATCCGACCTTTTTAACAGGCTTCAGTACGGTCTGATGCCTACTTCAAGGTAACATTCAATTATAAAGAGGGTCCCCCGGCAATCACCCTTTGATTCGTCTCATGTAAGTGACCGGCAGTTGGACATGTCCCGCTATACCATGCTTTATTGAATCAAAGTAGTATGTTGATTTAACATGCATCTCCCCAAACGAGTTATTAGGCTCGGGTATACTTATTCATGATGAATCAAGCAATAGCTCTTTCCGTCGGGAGACAAGGACCACCAGGTGTAGAACATCTGAAAGACGGCAGAAGCAACTTGGATTCAGTGACAATCTCCGTCGGCGACACGAGCTTTGGTATTGATAATTAGGGCGATTGGACTCATTTCGTCTGTCTTTATTATTCATCTAGGCGACCACAGGGAGGCATCTACTCAGAGATGAGAGCGCGGAGGCCGATTCACTAATGAAATTGGTGGTCCATGGTAGGCCAGGCTGGTGCGCTTCACCATGGAGTGGTATCGTGTATGGAATCGTAGGAGAGTGAATTATTTTCAGAATGCCTTGCTTGGTCGGTGATGAACGCAAACATTTGGCCAAGATATCTCATGAACTCTCAATCTCACGATAGAGTCTCCAGATACGTCCAAGTGTTCCGCTACTTTATTCGTATCCTCTTTGGGTCACGACGTCAGTACTTGACGGCAATTATCTCCCTCGCCATCCAACGGCGGAGACTGTACCTCAATATTCTGGTGATAACTATTGAATTTAAGTGAGTTGATTATGATTAGTCAAAATGGACAACTCTAACATGAATGAATACCAGAAACACCATGTGCCAGAAGCTCATTGAAACCATCGAGCACCGATGCAGACATAGAGTCGATTATCCCGGGAGGATCATCGAACTGAATGGCTGCAACAATTGCGGCATCTTATAGAAAACAGTGCACCACCTTGGGAAGACAATCAAGCGCGTTCCGTGCCCTGATTGTATTGCCAATGGCGTTTATGTGAAGAAAAATGGGGTTTGGAAGAAGGCCTAGGGGATATTTGGGATTTTGGATCTTGAGTGGAATCGATAAGCCATTCTGGGCAATACTACCTACATTTTCTTGCATGCCCTACTGGACCATCTAACGGGAAGTTCTCGATCTTGTCATGCCAAATTCCAAGCACAGCAGCTGATATTATTTGCCGTTCGTCCCTTCTATCTTTCCTCTTGTAAGCCGGCAGCCTGAAACAACAGGCAGTAGGAGACAATGGCTAAGCGATTTGTGACACATTCACTACAGCCCTGCCCTTACCTACTACCGACGTCCTTTTCCTCTTCCTCTTCCCAGTTGACAAGCGGCAAACCCTTCCCGTCCCCTTCAAGTGAGGTACCACTTCTCGCTTGATCGGCTTCAAACATGGACATCCAGCGCCGATTTCCTGGTGTGCACTGGATTTGGGGTGGAGCAATTTCGTTCGTTTACGAGGTCCATCCTTCTATCGTCGTCAAAGTCCCAAAATCCGGAGAGTTTGAGCGTCAACAATTCCAGAAAGAGCTCGAAATCTATCGGATGTTCACTCAAAACCCACTTTGTCCTTCAATTGTACAGTGCTTTCTGCTTTCAGACAGTGGCATCTTCCTGGAGTATATGCGAGGTGTGACTCTTTGCCTGGGGCTGTTTTATCTACTAACAGATGGCCTAGATGCATCACTTTCGTCTAGAATACAAAACAACCACACCCGCGATCAGCAGACCATGGTAGTCACTACGGTGCACAGATTAGAGCCTCTATCCCTACGAAAAGAATGGATGAACGACCTCGCTCAAGCCGTTGCTTTTCTAGAATCTCTTAACCTTGCCCACGGCGATTTACGCCCCGAGAATATCCTTCTTGATCGCGACCGACTCAAGCTGTCTGACTTTGACTGTACGGCGGCGATTGGAACAGCCTACGAAGCCTGCATGGCTCCGTACGGCAGAATACTTAACGGCAATGAGCCAGACCAAGGAGAGTGTGGAACTTCCGGCTTTATGGGTCCTCGCACAGAACAGTTCGCTTTAGGATCTTTGTACTACCTGATAAACTACGGTTTCGAGGTTTATGGAGACCGCTGCCTTACGGAGAATCCTTACGACCACGGCCCCAAAGTGGTGGACTTGCTGCAGAATATGGAGTTTCCGAAATTGAATGCTGATCCCTTGCTTGACAGTATCATTGATAGATGCTGGCATAACAAGTACGGCACAATCAAGGAGTTGGCGACGCATACGAAAACGCTGTTGAGCGACAAAACAGTTGTGATGGAAAGCAACGGAGGTGGAAAGAATGAGAATGTTCAAATAGCACCCGTCATCCAAGCATCGTTCATCGATCGGTGGTGCATTATAACGAGTCGCATATTTCAAGGGATACTTCATAGCCTCGGGGTGTGGTGGAGATCGCTCCTAGAGAGCATCCGCGGCAAAGCATCAATCGCCGGGCAAGGCTACAGCAACACCTGTGAAGAAGTGAATAAGAACCGCTTAGAACAGTAAGTTTTGTGGAAAAAGTCATTCTGCCAGGATTTAGTGGAGCGTGGACTTCTTCGGGAGCTTTCTTCAGATGAGCCTGAGCGACTTGGTTTCGCTTTCGATTGGTACAGGTACAGTCTTCAGTGTGAATAGATAAGGGAATTTATGTCTTTGAGTTAACTCAAATAACGTTTCAATATGACTTCAGGCGAAATAATCATGAATATTGTGGAAGGAAAATTCCCGGGCACACGCCGCTAAACTTTCTCAGACCCGGCCAGGGAGGCAATTTCTTTCCAATATATAGTTATCCTTAGGCAGCTTTTAAATCCCTTGCTTGTGCACGAGTGAGCCAGGATCTTGCGTAGATGTCTTTTCTCAAATAAGCCCAAGCATACCACCAAACCACACTCTGTGCTGATCCCCATGCGCATGGGATTCTTTAGTGAAAAGTTAGATTTTCTGCTCCCTGGTGGGACTCTCTTGGTCAATTTCAATGGCTTCTGGGTCTGTAGAGTGGCCGTCTCTCTTGCCATAACGGAAATTCCTTGTTCTTCTTCAAACATCTATCTAAATACTTTTGCTTCCACCCTACACCACTTGATTCTCTCACAGATCTATGTAGGGATTATAAGCAACTAAAGTCAATTATATAGATTTGCCTTTTGGCAGCATCTAGGGTTTCGACTTGACAGCTTCCTGAATTGTCCGCCCTGGTGCCCTATCAACATATATATCTAATTAAATTTGTCACACCTTGTGGAACTTCAGTTGCCGTGAAACTATAGATACTATATAAACACCATCATTCCTTCACTTGGTTTCCTCTTTTTTGGTTTTCCATTCTCGTGATCTCAAGCACCTAGATTTCAATTTCTAGACCCATCGATTCAACTACTCTTGATCTTTCCTGCCGGCCTGGACTAAACCACCTACAGCCAGACACAGAATGCCTTCCCCAATCGCCGCAGAAATTGCCGAGCAAATCCGGTTCAAGAAGTCCTAGTACTGCCGTCTCGCCGACGACAACGACCTTGACAAAATGGACAACGTCATCACACCATACGCAACCTTCTCATTCTACAACACCGACGGGACCCTCGTTTGTGAAGATGAGGTGGAGTATAAGTTCAACTCACGGGCCTAGTTCGCATGGTAGTTTAGCGAGATGCTTAAAACGATGCAGACGGTCCATCACGTCGGGCCTGGGGAGTTAGAGCAAGTTGCTCCGAACGAGGTGAAGGCTGCTTGGTCGTTTATTTATCATTGTGGACCGAAGGGTACAGAGAGGGGGAGGCATGAGACCGGGGGAGGGTACTACTATGAGAGGGAGGGCGGGACGCAGTGGTTGATGAAGGAATTGAGGATGGAGAGGCTGTATTGGAATGTTATTGGAGGTTGAAGGGGTTGTTTTTCATAGTTGGGTCACTGTGGATCTATGAAGTCCTGATGCTTATACAATAAGGTAGATTGTTCTCATTCACATGATTTGGCGATTGCACTTTCCTGGTTAGGAAAGGCTCGTGCCTCGTTGCCTAAGGTGTCTATCTCCGCGTGTCAACTTTGGAGACACACAGCCTCGCCTTCACTCTTCAACAACCCTTCTGACCACACCATGAATTCTCAGGATTGCTCCACTCCAGCACCCTCTCTGTGCAACTTGCCCATCGAGTGCAGACAAGCCATCTTGTGTGGTCTTTCAAGCGTAGCGACGCTCAAGGCAGCAATACTAACTCACCCCGCATTGTACTGGGCTTTTGCCGATCGCAGCGAATATATCCTCCGCCAGATTATATTACACTCGATCGATCCAGAACTACTCCACGATGCAGTCCTCGCATTCAATGCTCGAAGCGTGAAAGAGGACTGGATGCCCGAAGATGTCCTGGCGATCCTAGACCAATACCAGGCCCGTCATATCCCGTCCTCATTTCGCTGGTCTATGCAGGCTGCGTCTGAAATGGAGGAGTTGTATCAATGCACCCAATTCTTTACCGCCGATTTCACCTCGTCTGCCTTATCCAAAACAACCGCAGCCTCAATTCAGCCACTTTCGACCGACGAATGGCGCCGTGTGGCTAGGAGTTTCTACCAGCTGGAAATCCACCGGCTGCTCTTCCGCTACGGAAATTGGGAGGTTGACAAGCGGGAGCAATGGGACATGTACCACAGACGCTTCTATGTTTGGGAGCTCGAGCAAATGGTCTGTGCGAGTGATTATTTGTTCCGGAGACTGGCACCGTGTAAGTCACTTCATATTCCCAATCCCACGCGGTCTCAACTTACCATACTCTCTCAGTATTCAATCACATTGCGGCCCACGACATAGAATGGGCGTCTCGAGCGGTGGGTTATTCCATGATTGAGCCTTGGGAAACAGCCGGGCAACCGACTATCATGGGCAAACTCGTACGTTGACCCTTCCATACTTTAATGAATCATGTTTCGGCCGTCTAATACTCGCTAGCTTTTGCAAAGCCTCATCCAACTGAAGAACGTTATCACGGCTCCAACAAACGTTGAACGATATCGACTTCTGACACCCACCGTGACTGGCCACGTCGCCCGTCTGCCTCACGACGAGATGCCTGTCCATAGAATCGGTATGGATGAGACGACCCTGTTGGAAAACTACCGCCCGGAGGATATGAAACGATTCCCAATGCTAGGAGTCCTTGATCCAAACAGTGGCCCGTCACAAGTCTGGATCTGGTCTCATATGAAAATGCCGGCACCGGACTTTGTCGGAGGCGTTGCGACGCGCGAGCTTCGTCGAGCGGGATACGTGATGTGGGATTCCTCACGCCTGGAGACAATGGGGCTCTTGACCCAAGAGCCTTTTCGAATTCCCCCGCCACTGGATTTCATCTTTTGGGGACAACCTCCGGAAGAGGTCATACAGTCAATCATGAAGCGATTCAGGCTCTATTTGATGGGCGCACGGGGATGGTGGGCGGAGGGCGACGAGTCACGACTTCGCTGGGAGAAGCCTTGTGGATTCGAAGACATTGATTCCGAGGTGAGATCGTTTCGGGATTCGATTACGCTATGAATAAGGCCTTTCTCTTATAAGGTCAGCGGAGCGGAGATAGCATCCCTTACTAGTATATAGATGCAGTTGTTACCTCCCAGCTTGCCCAGCAACTTGGCACGTGGGGGTCTCGGATCCGAAAGGTAGAGTCTATACGAGGAACATGAAGTCTATTCCATAATTCCATCATGCAACGATCGGAGCATCGACGAGAACACCACCGGTAACAGCAGAGTTGACAAACCAAGCAATACGACCCAGCCGGAGATGGTGCGAGCCAAGCATTCCCAAGAGTGACGAGGAAGTGCCTCGGGATGGAACAAAGCAGCCAGCCTCCAGCGCGCATGTAAACCTTGATACCCGCACTCAAGGGACATGGTCCAACCCATCAGACCACCCACACCCCTGTGGACGCCACACTCGGAGGACCTGCTCGAGAGCGTAAGTCTAGACGATCGTGACGGTGTAGATCCCTTCCCTTTCCCCGCGGACATGCTCCGAACCCCAGACGGGTCACCCGCATGATGGATGAAGAAGAAAGCGCCCCGCGTGGGGGAAACCGATTGACGGCTGGGAAGGTGTCTCAGATTGGCTGCTAAGCTGTTTCTCCTCCCCGGACTCTTGCACTAACGTTGGGTGTGACCCCGGATGAGATCAGTCGTTCCGTGGTCCCTTTCGGCGAGTTGTTGGTTGGTCGCTCCCCCACGTTTTGATGTGCTGTAGCTTAGGTGGTTACCCCGGTTCTTTCGTCAAGCATTGCCGTGTGCGACCGGCATTTTCTATATAAAGTCGCTTCGGTCGCTCGCTGATCCTTTTTCGAAGGTGTTAGATTTGACCGGGCTGTGAATTTGCTTGCGGACTACGGCTACTTTCTATTTCCTTCGAGTATCGTTCACCATGGGCGAAAATGTCACTACCGACTCGGAGGCCTTTGGCGAAAAAGCCAACATGACCCACGATGAAGTCGCGCAGATTGCGCAACTGACCGACGAAGAGAAAGTGATTGAGAGGAAGCTCCGGCGTCGCATCGACAGTCTGATCATGCCGCTGGTCATCTTGGTCTATCTCATGAACTACATTGATCGGTAAGTGTCGTGAATGGCGTACCCCTTATCTAACGAAACTAATTCATCCGCAGCAACAATTACGCTGCAGCTAAACTCCAAGGTCTGGAAGAAGACCTTAATCTGAACGACGCGCAGTACCAAACCGGCCTGTCCATCCTCTTTGTCGCCTACATCCTCATGCAGGTCCCGTCCAACCTCCTCCTGAATTATATGGGTCGGCCGTCGCTCTACCTCGGCTTCTTCACCACCGCTTGGGGCTTGGTGTCGACACTGACCAGCCAGGTCAAGGGATACGGCGGTATTGTCGCTTGTCGTTTCATTCTGGGCTTAGTGGAGGCTCCTTTCTTTGCCGGGGTGTTGTTCTATCTGTCCAAGTGGTATACTAAGAAGGAACTGGCTCTGCGGATGAGTATATTTTACTCGGGTTCCCTGCTCAGCGGCGCATTCGGTAATCTCATCGCTGCCGGAATCTTAAATGGACTGGACGGTCACCAGGGCATCTCCGCATGGCAGTGGCTCTACATCATCGAAGGGGTCATCACCATCGCGATCGGCCTGACAGTGTCTGTCGTCCTGCCCGATTTCCCCAACACCTGGCGTCTCCTCTCGCCGGAGATGAAGCACGTCGCGAACCGCCGGTTAGCCATCGAAGCAGCCGAGGCCGACGTCGATGAAGCCGGCAAGATGAGCCAGATCAAAGGGCTCAAGCTGGCCTTCTCAGACATCAAGACCTACGCCCTCGCCATCGCCTACATGGCCATCACGGGCGCCAGCGGCTTCCAGAACTTTTTCCCAACACTCACAGGCACCCTCGGCTACGGGGAGATCATATCCCTGCTGCTCGTCGCCCCTCCCTACATCTTCATGGTGTTCTACAGCCTCACGCACTCCTACATGTCCGACCGCCTGGGCAACCGCTTTTGGTTTTTCGTCTACCCCATCCCCATCACGATCGTCGGCTTCGTCATCTTCATGACCACCAACGGCTTCGGCCCCCGCTATTTCTCCTTCTTCCTCATGATCTTTGTCTTCGCCCAGAACGGCACCGTCTACTCGTGGATCGCCAACGCCATTCCCCGACCCCCGGCCAAGCGCGCCGCCGCTTACGCTTTCATCAATTCCATCGGTAACTCCGCTAGCATCTGGACCCCCTACACGTATCGCGAGAAGGACAAGCCGCATTATCGACCTGCTATGGGTGTCTGTATCGCATTGCAGGGCGTCGGTGCGCTGATGGCTATCTTTATGTATTTCCATTTGAAGTCGCTGAACAAGAGGCTGGCGAGATTGGAGGACGAGGATGTCGTGTTGACGGATCGCGAATTGCAGCGCTTGCAAAGGACGGCGGACGTTGAGGGTATTGATATTGCGGCTGCGAGACAGCTGCAGAAGGGGTTCCGGTATATGATTTGATTTATTCGGTTTGAAGCGATCACATATACTTAGTAGTAGTTAGTCTGTGAATTGAGTAATCAAACAATTGATCATTCAATCATTCACCAAGATTGACGTCAGCCCTTCCCCTCTTCATTACACATTCTCCCTCGTAACCACGGATTCATGCATGAAAGGGGGAGGGGAAGAGAGTCATCAGTAAATAGTGATGACATCAGACTCCGTTATCGACCCACTTTCAACTGCATTGCCTAATCAGTCATCACTGAATTAGAACTCCGTAGTAACTGACTACAGGTAGGGTAGCTAATAGTCGCATCGATGCATCGGGACTCGGAACCATACAATTGTGGCTCGGCTCGTTGGATCTATCCGTACAATTGCTTGTTCTGGCCGTTTCTTTTTTCCCTGTACTTTCTGTCGTGGTGACTGCATTAATTGGTTTGGATTGGATTGGATTAGTAGATTGCTTATGTATTGGGTTGGGACTGACCTGAACCTGTTATCTAGGCTGTACTATACATACCTAGGTGATGTGCTCATCTTTTTGATCTGTTTTATGGTGTATGACCGTTAGGAAGTTTGATTGGGGTCGTTATTTTGACGACAAGTTTCTTCATTTTTTTCGTGGATTATGTGTTGGTGGTTAGTGCCTCAGGACAGGACCGTGTATAACACCTGCACTTGTACGTAAGGCGGTGGATTGCGACCGTTGGAGCTTAACCGGATAGAAGAGGAGTTTGGGCGGGTATGACCTCAGAAGGGGTTTGAAATGTGAAAATGCGTCAGGGGAACGAAGGGCGGGAGCTGATTTCGATACACCGTACGCTGGTCGGAGGTCGGAAATGTAACATCGAAGAGAATTTTTCATTCTACGGGAAACTAAGGTAACTGCCTACCTAAAGGATTGACTGCTACTGTGTGCTACTACTAACCTGTAATAGGTAACTTAGTAGGTAGACAGACAGACTACTGTCGAGGAATGAGGGGAAAGAGTGAGCGCTTATCTGCAGAATTTACGTAGACTTCTTTTCATCTGATCACGTATAACCAGTTATAGCAGGTAAACCGGTTTCCCCAGGAAACCCCTTTCTTTCTCATGAGCTTGTCGACCGATCTACAAGTGCCAGACAGGGAGGTAGCTGGCATTCCCCTCCCCCCTACATACCTTTGCCGATCGACAGAGAAGATGCAGAGGGCAGAGCAAAAAGACTCACTCTCTGTGACTAGTCTCAGCTCCAGTCTCTCCAGTCCCCAGATGACGATGCTGGGGTGCAGTGATTGCCAGTCGCTGATGCGGGGAGCCGAGCATTTGAATCCACAGTGGAGTCCCTACGGCGACAGCGACGAAGTTAGCGTGCATCCTGTTTTCTGGTGATCGTCCAATCTCCTGATCACAACGAGACATCACCCTCAGGATGTGACCGAGATGAACGAGTCAGCTCTTCACCCGTTACCCGGCCGAACGAGGTGATCGAGTCGGCCGTGGCGAAGGATGCTTCGGGCTAGTACCTCAGGAGGGTGGCCAACGCCTCCAGAGTAGAAGCTTCCAGACCAGGCATCCGGCGACAGCACTTACTGAATGCGTTGTCTGGATGATGCTGAAAAATAGAGCTATCCAGAACCGCTAACCAGAGTTAATAGGAACGGGGCAAGTCCCTCGAAGGGCGACATTCCGCCTGCCGTCGCCTATGATCTCATCCCACATGGTTGGGAGGACAGGAGCAAGAGGGACTGATGGGACTCCCTTGCATGATTCGTTCCCTTGGAGGGGGCAGCTCCATGGTCTGCCTGTCTGCCTGTCCTCCTGCATCATCGCCGATGCGGAGAAGCTGAGCATGGCAGGCCATTGAGGGGATCTGATTCGACCGTGGAGTGTTTGCCACGGAGGACTCTGATCCGTTGGCCGTGACGGCGGTGATCTGCGATCCGTGGGAGGGAGCTGCCCCCCGCCGCTTTGGGCGACCGGCGTGTCACCTGACCTGGAGGATGGTGGTCGCGGCCGTCATATATAGTTGCGCTTGCTCGAGCTTCCTCTGTCGTTGGTAAATCCATCCGTTGGTTCTTTCTGATCTGTGATTGACAAGATTAGCAAGAGTTTTCCATCCTTTATCTCTATCCCTATCCCGGGTATACCAAGCACCAGTAGCGTCTCATCCTGTCCATCTATACTTCCGTACATCATCCACAATGTCGCATCTCATCGAAGCCTCGCGCCCGCTGATGCGCGCTCGCAACAACTCCGTCACTCGTTCCTTCTCCATCGCCATCCCTGCCCGCAAAGCCGGCGAAGTACTATGGTCTCCCAAGCCGCGTGGTTTTCTCGCCGAGTACGTGCCCCTCCTCCCCTGCAAGACAATCAGCACCAGCCGGTGTCAATGACGTCACCCAGCAGGGGTATACATTCCCCAACGCATCCATGCTAACCAAATTCACCAACAGAGTCGACTCGATTCCCCGACGTGAACCCTCCCCCGGGAACCGATACTCGTACACGCGCACGCAAGAGGCCGAGAAGCTGGGCTTCTTGAAACGGAAGATGGCGGAGCAGCGTCAGCATCTAGACGAGATGGATCGCCATCTGTGAGTGCTTTGTTGCTTCCTCTACCAACCTTTCAATCCACCGGATCCATTCTATATATATGTTTCTTGTCTATTGGGGTTGGCAAGAGGGCGCTGACCACCATACGCAGCCAAGACTTGGCTCGAGGACAAGTCACGAAGAATTAGGGCGTTGAGTTTGTTTGCGGAGTACAGTGTTCGGGGCTTTATTGATTGATTGGTGGTCTCGCTCTTTTCGTTGATCTCGTTTCTTATGTCGGTTGGCTCGACATGTCCGTCTCTGCGACCCTGTCTTCGGGTTGTCATTTCCTATTTTTTTGCTCTTCTTATCAGGTCTGGACGGTGTTGGTGACACCTCTACCATCACGATGAGAGGCCATCACACCACCTCCGCCTGCAACCGTGACGCCAGGATGTCAAGTCCTCATTGACCTTGACTCACAACCTATCCTTACCCCCGCCAGATTGTCAAGCGGGACCTGATAGTGGCTGGAAGGGGGGATTATGTTTTCGTTCGGCTAGAAACATTTGTCTATATATATACCCCTTGGGTGGGATCATTGAATGACCTGCCGTCTCATCTATCTAGATTATCCGATGGAATCATAAAACAATTGCATTTCAAAGAATAGTCTACTTGTTAGTTGTGTTCTATGGTTTATTTATAGTAAGCGTTGAAGCTGAAAACGTCATTGTATAAGTGCGGTGGATGTAGATGGGACGCCTTATATCTGACAGAAATGTTCTACAGACTGCGTGTCCTGTCCTGTTGCCATCTTGCTCTGACAGAGTACGATGTAGTCAATTTGCTAAGCATTTCGCCGTTTGCTAACCCCTTCAAGAACGTTTATGTATGCAACGTCTAAGTCAACGAAAGTAATTACTATCATGCAAGTTGATCATCACAGCTTTCATCGACTATAGTACTGTAGGATCAAAGTGATCGCTCACCACTCTAAACCCAGCCGGTCTGACTTGACTGACCCCGGAATCAGATCGACCATGCGATTGGGGATTTTGATGAGCAGATTTTCGGCCTCTCCACTGTCAGAACGACTTTTTGTTTCTGTGATCCAGAAATGCAAATGCAAACTCCCTGTCGGCCTGATCGCATTACGTGATCTGACGCCAAACTCGCAAGACTAACCCAGAAAGGGAGACGGATGGCGCTCGGTCGGAACCGGCATTATCGGCGTAGAGCCGGCGGTTGGATTTTCGCCCTCTGTGGTTCCGTGGGGTCCGTCCGTGTTTGGGTCTGTCGAGAGTCGAGACTAACGGTGTACTCCGTACCTAGGGTAGACAAGAAACTGAAGAAAGGCTTCTGGAAGGGTGGGTGGTTCGCGCTGGTGCCTAAGGTAGGCGGTTTAGTGCGGCTGAGCTAGGTGCTCGTTCAATACCGGTTTGGAATATGACTGGGATTGAATGCATCTTGATCTTCTAGACTGCCGAACCTATATGGATCGATAGATAACAGCAGCGGTGACTCACGTTACACAGATTAGTTAGTTGGCGACTAGGATTTGCTGTTATGGTTCGTTACACAGAACAGGCCGACACGAGATTGGATTCCACCTTATGTCATGGCGAGAATATGATGGTTGGCTACAGCCCCTTCAAGATGTCGTTCCGGCCTGGCCAGGCTGGATTGATAATGTTGCCAGAAGTTCGTTGATTTGTAAGGTGACACCTATGGTGTCCAAGGTGTACTGTTCATGATCGTCAAGACGGAAGTATGGCGGAGGCAAGACCCTAAAATCCGAGTCCGACAAGTTATCAGATCTGTCAGATCGCGGTCAGGCTGCCACATGCGAAGACCCGGATATTCTTAGAAGAGGGAAAGGGAACGAAGGAAATTGAAAAGCTAAAAACCGTCGGAACCTCCACTCAGTCAGGTGCCGCTGACTCATCGGAACTCGGCGACAGTCTGCGGTCCTTCATTGGTCACGGGATGTACTTGGCCGATGAGTAAGCGGGAATCCGACTGACGGCCGGTCGGAAGTTCTCTGGCCGAACGACCGACTCTCCACTTCTTTTTATTTTCCAGATCGTCCATCCCCACGAGCCCGTCCATCACGTCCAATCATCGGGCTGGCTCAGAACAAAAAATCTGACACGGGAGGCGCCAGGGGATCCCTCATCATCAGCTTGGTCTGCCTTATTCTGTCTTGCTTTTCGATTGACTCACTACTGAACAGGTAAATTCCGAGCATGGTCGGAGATGATTATCACCGGTCCCAGGGCTCCACTGCCCCGTCGACCGGTTGCCGTTCTTTGTGTTTTGCTGTGCTTCGCCGGCGAGACTCGTCACTGCCTATGACACTAGATAACACTAACGAGAGGTTTGTCAATGGCCGGTGGATCTGCCTCGGAGTCGGGGCTCGGGCTGGCCCTGAAAACCGTGAAGTTTCAGACTTTCAGGGAGGACCCCCGACCCACCCTGGATGAAGGTGTCGCTGGTGCTTATATACCCATCCACGCCGCTCATCTCGCTAGCATGGAGTTCTCCTTTTTCCCCTCTTAGATCACTCTTGTCTCCAGAAAGCTAGCTCGCAGACCCCCGTTTTGCGACGCTCGTCGATCTAGCTAGCAGCCATGGAGGAGAAGGGCGAACACCTCCCCTACCCTCAGGCACCTGCCTCAGAGGGCCGAGATGATACCGATAGCACGGCCACCGTCCTTGGGGATGATCCCTCCCCCACCCCTCCCGTCGCCAATGTCAGCAAGGCCAACGGATGGAACCTGATGCCCCGTGTCAAGGAGCAGCATGAACGCGAAGTCGAGTCCGGGTTCAAACGCCGCGAACTCGGCGTCACCTGGAAGAACCTCAACGTCGAAGTCGTCAGCGCCGAGGCCGCCGTTAACGAAAACTTCTTCTCCCAATTCAACGTCCCTCAGCACATCAAGGAATCACGCAACAAGCCCCCTCTTCGAAAGATCCTGGACAACAGTCATGGCTGCGTCAAGCCGGGCGAGATGTTGTTGGTCCTCGGCCGACCCGGTTCGGGCTGCACGACCTTGCTGAAGATGCTTTCCAACCGAACCCTTGGGTATCGCTCCGTGGAGGGTGATGTCCGCTATGGCTCGTTGACCGCCAAGGAGGCCGGCAACTACCGGGGTCAGCTCGTCATGAACACCGAAGAAGAACTGTTCTTCCCTACCCTGACCGTTGGTCAAACCATGGACTTCGCTACCCGTCTAAAGATCCCGTTCAAGCTGCCCGCTGGCGTCGAATCGCCCGAAGCCTACCGCCAGGAAACAAAGGATTTCCTGCTCGAATCGATGGGAATCTCCCACACCAACGACACCAAGGTTGGTAACGAATATGTCCGGGGTGTGTCCGGTGGTGAGCGGAAGCGTGTGTCGATTATTGAGTGTTTGGCCACGCGGGGCTCGGTGTTCTGCTGGGACAACTCCACCCGTGGCTTGGACGCCAGTACCGCCCTTGAGTGGACCAAGGCCATCCGTGCCATGACGGACGTCTTGGGCCTGTCTACCATCGTCACGCTGTACCAGGCCGGTAACGGTATCTACGACCTCTTCGACAAGGTGTTGGTCTTGGATGAGGGCAAGGAGGTCTACTACGGCCCCATGGAACAGGCTCGGCCCTTCATGGAGGACCTCGGATTCGTCTGCCGTGAGGGTTCCAACGTCGCCGATTTCCTCAGTGGTGTGACCGTCCCAACGGAGCGCAAGATCCGCCCCGGTTTTGAGAACCGCTTTCCCCGGAACGCCGATGCCTTGAAGGCTGAATATGAAAAATCGCCTATTCACCAACAGATGGCGCTCGAATACGATTACCCTGACACCGACCTTGCGCGCGAGCGTACCGAGGATTTCAAAACCTCCGTCTCGGAAGAGAAGTCTAGCCGGCTCCCCAACAGCAGTGTGATGACGGTCGACTTCCTGTCCCAAGTCAAGGCTTGTATTGCTCGGCAGTACCAGATCCTGTGGGGTGACAAGGCTACCTTTATTATCAAGCAAGTTTCTACTTTGGCACAGGCTTTGATTTCCGGTTCCCTTTTTTACAATGCTCCGAACAACTCCGGAGGTCTGTTCGTCAAGTCCGGTGCCCTCTTCTTTTCGCTTCTCTACAACAGTCTGCTTTCCATGTCCGAAGTCACCGAATCGTTCAGTGGTCGCCCGGTCTTGATCAAACATAAAAGTTTCGCCTTTTTCCATCCTGCCGCCTTCTGTATTGCGCAAATTACTGCCGATATCCCCGTTCTCCTCTTCCAGATCAGTATCTTCTCGCTTGTTGTTTACTTCATGGTTGGATTGGAGATGACGGCGGGCGCGTTTTTCACCTACTGGATTCTCGTGTTCACTACTACTATGGTAAGTTGCTGCACTTATACTTATGCACAGGGGTTCAGTGCTAATCATTCTATCTATAGGTCATGACAGCCTTGTTCCGCGCCGTGGGTGCTCTCTTCAGCACCTTTGACGGTGCCTCTAAGGTTTCCGGTTTCCTCATCTCTGCCCTGATCATGTACACTGGTTATATGATCCAAAAGCCTCAGATGCACCCCTGGTTTGTCTGGATCTACTGGATCAACCCGCTCGCCTACGGTTTCGACGCCCTGCTGTCCAGCGAGTTCCACGGCAAGATCATTCCCTGCGTGGGCAACAACCTCATTCCCTTCGGACCTGGCTACGAGGACGCTGCCGGCCACCAGTCTTGCGCCGGTGTTGGTGGTGCCATCCAAGGACACACTGAAGTTACCGGTGACCAGTACCTTAGCTCCCTGTCGTACAGTCACACCCACGTGTGGCGCAATTTCGGAATTCTCTGGGCCTGGTGGGCCCTGTTCGCGGCGGTGACCATTGTTGCGACCTCCCGCTGGAAGGCTGCCTCCGAGAGCGGCAGCTCCCTGCTGATTCCCCGCGAGCGTTTGGACAAGCACCGTCAAGTGGCCCAGGTGGATGAGGAATCCCAGGTCAACGAGAAAGCCAAGAAGCCCGTCGACAGCGGCTCTGAAGACAACGACCTTGACCAGCAGCTGGTCCGCAACACCTCTGTATTCACTTGGAAGGACTTGACCTACACGGTCAAGACGCCCACTGGCGATCGCGTGCTCTTGGACAATGTCTATGGGTGGGTTAAGCCCGGCATGCTGGGAGCCCTGATGGGATCCTCCGGTGCCGGAAAAACCACTCTTTTGGACGTGTTGGCTCAGCGTAAAACGGACGGTACCATTCGTGGCTCTGTCTTGGTCGATGGTCGGCCTCTACCCGTCTCGTTCCAGCGTTCTGCCGGTTACTGCGAGCAGCTTGATGTGCATGAGCCTTTCGCGACCGTGCGTGAGGCGTTGGAATTCTCTGCTTTGCTCCGACAGCCTCGCCATGTGCCCGAACAGGAGAAATTGAAGTATGTGGATACGATTATCGAACTTCTTGAACTGCACGACATCGCCGATACTCTGATCGGTCGTGTTGGCGCCGGATTGAGTGTGGAACAGCGCAAGCGTGTCACTATCGGTGTGGAATTGGTCTCTAAGCCTAGCATTCTCATCTTCTTGGACGAGCCCACCTCTGGTCTCGACGGTCAGTCTGCCTACAACACGGTCCGATTCCTGCGCAAACTTGCCGACGTCGGTCAGGCGGTTCTCGTCACTATTCACCAGCCCTCCGCCCAACTCTTTGCTGAATTCGATACCTTGCTTCTGCTCGCCAAGGGTGGTAAAATGGTGTACTTTGGTGACATCGGTGACAATGGTCACACTGTTCGAAACTACTTCGGCCGCTATGGCGCCCCTTGCCCTGATAATGTCAATCCCGCCGAACATATGATCGACGTCGTCTCTGGTGCTCTCTCGCAGGGTCGTGATTGGCATCAGGTCTGGAAGGAATCTCCGGAACATGGCGAGGCAGTGCGGCAACTTGACCAGATTGTTAGCGACGCGGCGGCCAAGCCCCCGGCCACCGCTGATGACGGTCATGAGTTCGCCATGCCTCTGTGGAAACAGACCAAAATCGTGACGCTGCGTATGTCTACCGCTCTATTCCGCAACGTGGACTATGTCAACAACAAGATCGCCCTACACATCGGTTCTGCTCTGTTCAACGGTTTCTCTTTCTGGATGATTGGCGACTCGGTCGGATCGATGCAGCTGCGCCTCTTCACCATTTTCAACTTCATCTTCGTGGCCCCCGGTGTCATCAACCAGCTGCAACCGCTCTTCCTGGAACGTCGTGATATCTACGAGACGCGCGAGAAGAAGTCGAAGATGTACTCGTGGGTCGCGTTCGTGACCGCCCTGGTCGTGTCAGAAATCCCTTACCTCTGCCTCTGCGCCGTGTTCTACTTCGTCTGCTGGTACTACACCGTCGGCTTCCCGTCCGACTCGGACAAGGCCGGTGCTGTCTTCTTCGTCATGTTGATGTACGAGTTCGTGTACACCGGAATCGGTCAGTTTATCGCGGCCTACGCCCCGAACGCCGTTTTCGCCTCCCTGATCAACCCCGTCTTCATCGGTACGCTGGCCTCCTTCTGTGGTGTGTTGGTGCCGTACCAGCAAATCCAGGAATTCTGGCGTTACTGGATTTACTGGATGAACCCGTTCAACTACCTGATGGGCAGCATGTTGACTTTCACCATCTTCGACGTCGAGGTCAAGTGCAAGGACTCGGAATACGCGCTGTTCGACCCGCCCAACGGCACGACCTGCGGCGACTACCTGTCTACCTTCATGCAGGGCATCGGGTCGCGCATGAACCTGCTCGACCCCGAGGCCACCGAGGGCTGCCGCGTGTGCCAGTACTCGATGGGCAGCGATTATCTGACCACGGTCAACCTGAATGATTACTACTACGGATGGCGCGACGCTGCCATTGTCGCTTTGTTCGCGCTCAGCTCGTACGCTCTGGTCTATGTGCTGATGAAGTTGCGGACCAAGGCCACGAAACAGGCTGAGTAATCGGTCGGTTGATAACTCTCTTCCATCATACCTCTCTTATTTTATTTTTCCTTTCTCTGTCATTATTTTTACTGTTTCTCTGTTTTTTATTTGTTCTTTCCATATCATAGCCTATTATTTCCCCCCATACTCTTCCCCCCTCAGTCCGATAGATGGCTATATGGAGTTTGTGATTCCCCTAGATATGCGGAACGATAGAGATTACGGATGCGCGTGGCCAGCATCTAATGTTAATAGACTTATATAACAATCAGTATTGAGTATTAGCTTACAAAAGAATATGCATATTCATTGCTATTCCCATCCCTTCTTTCTAACTGTGTACTCCGGTGTACTGTAAATCTAGACCCATAAACTCACCCGAGGTCCCCAGATAGAGAGCAGAATATGGGCACGTTTATGAGGTAATTGTCCTCCTGGCCTCCACCACTGGAAAGACGCGACGAGACGAGACCTCCAGTCTATCCGCCCAGTTCCGCTGCCTAGACGCGGATGTCTCGATCGGGAAATACCGAAGAAGGTCGATCGGGTAAAGGGCCGGTTGAATTATGAAGATCAATTTGTGTTGTGAATGTTATTCTTGATTGTGTGAGTTTTATTGGATGTCGTGGGGGGAGGGTGGTGTTGTGTGACGTGATGGGCAGTAGGTAGGTAGTACAATGGCCAGGTCCCAGGAGCTGATAATGTGAGCCCTAACAACTTTTACACAGCAGCACTGTCCTTTCCTACGTGAGTGCTCTCGGTGGATCGGGAGCTGAATGTGAATCGACTCGGGATAATCCCTGCCGATCGGTTTCGGGATGGGCCATAGTATGACGGATATATTTATCTTTGATGGCCGTGCTCAATGCTCAAGAATAGTGGAACTGTGAGACTGAAACTTGTACTGTGTTGCAATTGGCGGCTGAGCTTTGTTTCTTTCTTAATTCTTCATTCTGTGCTACTGTGTCGGCGTACACCGTAAATATTCTAGTTGTACTGGGTACTGTGTAGTTAAATTTATTTCACACTGGAGTCAGTACACTGGATTCTGATTCTGATTCTGGCCCGTTGATCATAGGATTTGACATGTGGAGAATAGACCACTTTTCCTTTCTTTAATGTCAAGGTTTATTCGTCGAGATTAATTGACCAGGAAGAGACCCAGCTGGCAACTACTGCGCGACTACCCGGATTCTGTCTGGATAGCGCGATTTTATTTCTTGTCTTCACTGGCTGAGTTTCATTGTTTCATGATGCACCAATAGAGGAAGGAGTAAGAGGGAAGTGGGAAGATGGTTGGAAATTGGAAGACAGAAGTGGTTCTCACCGCGTCTCCACTCGGGCGACAGAGACCTTCCGCTTTAGCAAAGGCCGATTATATATAGCATTGGCACGGCGCCAGTCTCCTGCAGCAGAGTGCAGCAAGTGTAACAGAACGCAACGCTCTGGGCGGCCATTCCGGATGCTGAGTGTAATATTTTCCAAGTTTCTGCAAGGGAAGGAATTCTTGTGCAATGTATTCCGTAGTTAGTTGTATTCAATTGCTGAAATAGGAAGACAATAACAATGAAAAATAAATAAATGAATAAGCAGCCACATGGCGTGCGCCCTGGAATGGCGAAAGACGAAAGTTCTTCCAAGTCTAGAAGCTGCGGTGCCGAGACAAGCGGCGCGCCACCGCTGCTTCCCCTGGGAAGACGACTCCGTATGGGCGCCACCGTACGGTGCGCGTGCAGAATGTGATATTTCTGGTATATCGAATAAAAGATTTGAAAAAAAAAAGGATTGAGGTCGGCTGTTGATGGATGGGGAGAGTACGAGTACTCTGGATACCTACAGAGGAGGAAAAGGAAAAGAAAAGGTCTTTTGCCACCGGATCCACGCTGGTTGCGTGGATGCCTGAGTCAGCGGTCATGGTGATGCCTGGGGTCCTCAGGCAGCATGTTTGATTTTGATTTTCGGCTCCTTCTCCTTAGTAGCAGTCTTCTTTCTTCTCTTCTAACCTTCCATCCACTCTGTCAACCAGGATAATGCCATCCTCAATATTCCCTGCTGGATGACGTCCCGGCGTCTCCCTGTCTCGCATCGGTAGCGCCATCTGCAAATCATATCATCGTGATAGCGATGACCATCCATCCCCGATGGACACATCATGCCCGCTCCACTTGGTTCAACTAGTCGTCTCTTCGCAGGCGGGGATCTTTGCCAATCATCCTCTGTCCACTTGCCCACCGCAATGAGGTCATGGCTTCTCCTGGAGCACTCGAGGAGTCCCGGATGATCCCACAATCCGCCGGGACGAAGAATAAAACCCCTATCGGCCTATTCTCAGCCCGCTGGCTCTGTCAGACCTTTGATCTTCCTTTGAATTGCCCTCGCGCCTACGGATTGTCCTAGTCGATTTCCTAATCTTTTAATATTTTATTTCTATTTTTCTTTTATCGGCTCCTCCTCCCGTTCTAGACCGACTTATTTTTGGTTCGTCCCGTGGTCGCGCCGTTTTGGCACCTCTTCCTCTCGCGGCCTCTCCCCACCCATGGTCCGTTCGCTCGTCGCCTTCGTCTCGGTGCCATTGGCTTTCTTATTTTCCGGTTCTTCCTGTTCCTGATCCGTGTGAATTCTTCGTTTATTTTTTCTTCAGATTTTTGGTTACTTTCTTCCCATTTTGTCATTGTCTTTCGTTGGGCATTATCCTTTAGGCTATTCGATCTGATATAATCTATTCCTCATTCCAAAATTGTATCTTTCCTATCTCTGTGGCTGGCGCACTAGTGAGTCTGCAGCCGGCTTCACCTCATGCCGCATTCACGACAGGACAGCGCTTCTTATGGGCTCCTCGGCCATCGCAACAGCCACGAGGATGACAATTTCCCAGACAATGGCCCGAGTCGCGAGGAGTCTCCTCATTCTGATTCCGAACGACCCGACAACCATCACGATGGCGCCCAGGACCAGAATGAATCGTCTCGCGCCGGCCGCGTGCGGTTTCAATCATTCAGCAACAACAATACCCATGATACACTGAGTCCGATCGCTCGACCGCCCATGTCACGATTCAATTCCGACCAGTCCGTACAGTCTATTGGATCCATTCTGCCCACAGCTGCCCGGTCGACAGACATCTCGGATGCCTTTCGCTCCAATCCATTTGACTCTGAGCCCGCCGAGGAGGCACGGGAGCCCCAGCCTCGGTCATCATTCCCGTCGGATACGTCGGATGAGTCCGAATTGAAGAGAGAGAAGGATAATCAGGAGCATATGACGGCTAAAGAGCGATGGCATGCGGCCGGTAATCTGATTCGCCAGAAAACGATGAAGCTCGGCGAAAGGCTGGGTCGACCTCTTGACGAAGGTGACCCGTTGGGTGCTTCCTTGTTGCCGGATGACCTTGAGGGCGGCATGTCGCAGCGCGACATGTCGGAGAAAACGCGACACGTCATCGATATGCCCAGTGGCAGTGAGACGCCGCCGGCCCCCAGTGCAGAGGCTCACCGTCTCGTTCGCCGCATGACGCAGGGTCAGATGCGCCGACGACGCCCTCGATCGGCCTACATGCGGTCAGGTCAGAGCACGCCGGAAGGTCTCGGTCGTCCCGATTCGTGGTACGGCTCTCGGCCGCGGTCGATCAGCGGCGGGGGTATTCTGTCGCAGCTGCTGAAGTTGCAGGCCGGCGGGAGCAAAGACAGCCTGTCGGTGACTGATTCTTCGGATAGCGAATCGCAGGTCTCCTCGGGAGCTGCGACGCCGAAGCGGGAGAAGTTGAAATGGTACAAGAAATCGCATCATCAATCGACCGCGTCCCTGGTGGAAGCGTCGATGAACCTGAGTCGGGCAAGTTTACCCGCCGCGACAGATGCCATGTCGGCTGCGACGCCGAAACGGGGCAAGAAGAAGGCGCATCATAAGACGCGCTTGGAGGATGAGATTCGCGTCACGGTGCATATCGCTGAGATTCTGGCGCGACAGCGATACATTATGCAGCTTTGTCGCGCCCTCATGCGATATGGTGCCCCCACCCACCGCTTGGAGGAGTATATGCAGATGACGGCGCGAGTGTTGGAGGTGGACGGGCAGTTCTTGTACCTGCCCGGATGTATGATCATGTCGTTCGACGATCCCACCACGCGCACGGCCGAGGTCAAACTCGTGCGTATGGTGCAAGGCGTGGATCTCGGTCGACTCGCCGAAACGCACAATGTTTACAAAAACGTGGTTCACGATTTGATCGGAGTGGAGGAGGCAATCCAGGAACTGGGTCATATTATGAAACGGCCGCCGCGGTTTAACAAGTGGCTCATGATTCCGGCATACGGGTTGGCCAGTACTGCCGTCGGCCCCTTCGCTTTTGATGCGCGGCCGATCGACATGCCTATTTGCTTTTTCCTCGGATCCCTGGTCGGCCTTATGCAGCATGTCTTGGCTCCTCGGTCGGTGTTGTATTCTAACGTGTTCGAGGTCACGGCGGCCGTGCTGACCTCGTTCCTGGCTCGGGCTTTCGGTTCGATCAAGTCGCCATGGAACGGCGAAGAGCAGCTGTTTTGCTTTTCGGCCTTGGCGCAGTCGTCGATCGCACTGATCCTGCCGGGATTCATGGTGTTGTGCAGTAGTCTGGAGCTGCAGTCGCATCAGATGATCGCGGGGTCGATCCGAATGGTTTACGCGATTATTTACTCGCTGTTCTTGGGCTATGGCATCACGGTGGGCACAACTATCTATGGGCTTATAGACGGAGCGGCGACGTCGGAAAAGACCTGCAAGCGCCTGGACGTGTACGGCAGTACGTACGTGCAGCATTTCATCTTCATCCCGGTCTTTGTGATTTTCATCGCCATCATCAACCAAGCCAAGTGGAAGCAAATGCCGGTGATGATCGTGATCGCCATCTGCGGCTACGTCACCAATTTCTTCAGTACGACGCGGCTCGGCTCTCGGTCCGAGGTGGCCAACACCGTCGGCGCCTTTACGATTGGATTGCTCGGGAATCTGTACAGTCGGCTGTGGCACGGACATGCGGCCACGGCCATTCTTCCGGGCATTTTCGTGCTGGTGCCGTCGGGCCTGGCGTCTAGTGGTTCGTTGATCGCTGGCATCAACTATGCTGATCAGGTGCGCGAGAACCTCAGCAAGGGCAACGGGTCGGCGGTGGACGAGACTAGCCAGGACACGTCGATTGCCAGTCTAGGCTTTGGAATGATCCAGGTGGCGATTGGCATTACGGTCGGATTGTTTATTTCTGCGTTGATCGTGTACCCGTTTGGGAAACGACGCAGTGGATTGTTCAGCTTTTAGATTTTCTTTTTCTGTCCGGTGGGATTGTTGATATTAGCAGGCACGATATTTAGATCTTGTTTTATATTAGATTGATTTGGCGGATAGCGATTGGCAGCGATTGATTTGGATCATCTGGATGATATGTACTGTATTATAGAATGTGTGTGTACGAAATATGAAGCACGATTTGGAGAACCCCTCGCCAATCACGTTAAGTAGATGTGCCAATACCTTATCCCCGAAGGATCAGATCCACTGTTGCAAAGGCTGACCATGATTCAGGGCTAGATCCGCCAGAAGTCTGTAGGACAGATGGGGCGGACGGCGATAAGTCCAATCTCCGCTTCTTAAATGCATCCTGATTCTATCTATATAAACCATAGAACCGGACAACAGCACCATGAGTCTCTCGCCCTTGCTGATGCTAGCTATCGTGCCCTCCAACGAAGCCACAAAGAGACAATACATACAACCACCACCACCATGTCCCACGACCACGAACATGAAAATCGCATCTGGCTCATCACCGGCTCCTCCTCTGGCCTCGGCCTCCAACTCGCCCTCACAGCCTCATCCCACGGCGACACCGTAATCGCCCTGACCCGCAACCCAAGCAAACTATCCACCTCCCTCCCACACCCCAACCCACGCATCATCCCCTACCACTACGACCCAAACACCGCCACCTCCACCTCCCTCACCTCCCTCCTAACCGCCATAACCCAAACCCACGGCCCAATCGACATCCTCGTCAACAACGCCGGCTACATCCTAACCTCCACCATCCAAGAAGCCACCTCCACCGAAATCTCCGCCCAATTCACCACCAACCTCTTCAGCCAAATCCACCTCGTGCAGGCCATCGCGCCCTCCATGCGCGCCCGTCGCAACGGCACAATCGCCTGCATCGGCTCGATCGGCGCGTGGTCGGGTTCTCCTGCGGCCGGGTTCTATTGTGCGAGTAAAGCGGCTGTTGCGATATACGCGGAGGCGTTGAAGGCGGAGATGGAGGAGTTTGGGGTGGAGGTGGTTTGTTTCGAGTTGGGGTATTTTCGGACGGGGTTTTTGGGGGAGGGGCATTGTGTTGGAGCGAAGGGTGGGAGTTTGGGGAGGGGTGCGGTGGAGCAGGAGGCAGTATCGACGAGGGAGATGAGGGAGGCGTTGAAGGCTTATAATGGGAAACAGCCGGGGGATCCGGTGAAGGGGGCATTGGTTATGTATGAGGCGTTGACGAAGACGGGACGGTTTAAGGAGTTAAAGGAGAAAGGGGAGTCGTTGCCTGCGAGGTTGGCGGTCGGGAGGGATGCGATTACGGCGATTGGGGAGAGTTTGGAGAGGGAGAGGGGGATGTTGGAGAGGTGGGGGAGTGTGATTGGGGGGACGGATTGTGATGATGTTATTGTATAGGTGAATTGTCTATATCATACTGGAGATTAGGTAGATAAATGATTCGGTCAGATTATATAGCTATATATAAACCCTGATCTTGACTATCCCGACCATCTATCCAAGCCCGGTGCGCAGTTAGGAAGAGAACTGGCAAGTGCCCTGGGGCTGGGTCTGGGCCTGAGCCTGACCCTGGGGGTACCAGGGCTTCCAGCCGTGGTGACGGTGGCGCCAGCCACCGGTGGACTGAGCAGCCGCGGCAGTGGTCTCCTGCTGAGCGACGGCAGTAGGCTGGGTGGCGTCGACGGTGGCCTCGGCGAGGGGCTGAGCGGCCTTGACAGTAGTCTCCTGGGCAGCGGCGCTCTCCTGGACAACACCGACGGTGGGCTGGGCAGCCTCGACGGTGGTCTGCTGGGCGGCAGCGTTCTCGTGGGCGGCAGAGGTGGCCTCAATAGGCGAGACCTGTCCAACGCTGGTGTTCACCTCCTCGGCGGCGGAGCTCTGCTGAGCGGCGGCAGCGGCGGTGGTCTGGACGGCCTTAGCCTTGGTCTGGAGGGTGGTGGCCTGGGACTTGACGGAAGTGGCGGCGGCAGAGGCGGCGGCCTTCTTGGTGGTGGACGAAGCGGAGGACGAGGAAGAAGAGGAAGATCCGGACAAAGACAGACAGGCGAAGCTGAGCGACTTAGTGCTGGAGGTGGAGGACCCACCCCAGGTGTTCACGGCCTGGGACAGATCCCAGTCCATCTTGACGTAGGGCCAGCAGATACGGCCATCGCTCATGGTGACCATGTCACCAGCGACGTAGGTGTCCTCGCTCTTCAGGGCGCTGCCGACCTTCTTACCATCGGAGTCGACCTGCTGGTAGAAAGTACCGGCGAACTCGCCACGGCAGCCCATGGCGATGAAGTCGCAGGTGGGGTTGGAGATCTCCTCCCAGGTGATGAGAGCGGCGTCCTTGCTGAAGGTGGCGGCGTGGGCGTTGGAGCAATCATTGTCGCCCTCAGTCAACCAAGTGACCTGGCTGTCGCCGTCCTCAGAGCCGACCTCGGAGGTAGCCTGCTTGCCGACCTTGGTGTACTTGTCCGAGAACAGAGCGATGGCGACGTTGCGGTTGTTAGTGCGGTTCTGGACGTTGGTGTATCCGGATCCCATCCACTCGTTCTCGGTCACGTCGACGGCGCCACGGGACACCCAGGAGAAGATATAGCGGCCGGTGTCGGCGAAGCGGGCCAGCGCGCTGTAAGAGCCGGACATACCGCCCATAGCCTCGCCGCCGGCGCCGTTGGTGGTGTTCTCGTTGGAGATCTTGACGCCGTCGGTGGTCATGCCCTGGGTCTTGGTGTTCAGCCAGATGGCACCCTGGTCCTCGGCACAGATACTGGCGAAGGGAGCCTCGTCGGCCTCTTCGAAGGCGATACCGGTGTTGTGGCTGCATCCCCAGGCGCTGCTGGCGCCGGAGATGGTCTTGAGCGTGCCGTCCTTGGAGACATACTCGATGCTGTCACCAAAGTGGCCGGCGGCGTCACCGTCGTAGTCGGTGACCACGATGTAGGCACCGTAGAGACCAGCCTTCTCAGAGTAGACCAGGTCGCCGTTCATGTCGGGGGAGGCAGCCAGACCCTCAGAGGCGTGCACGTTGGGTCCGCCGAGCCAAGTCTTCCAGGTCTGCTTGCCTTCGGTGTAGCGGTAGAGCACGGCCACGGGGGTGTCGCTGGGGGGAGCGTTGGTGGTGCCAGAGGGCATGGCCTCGTTAGTGAGCAGAGCGAAACCGTCATCGTGGGCGACGAGACCACCGGCTGGACATGTGTCAATACCTTCCTCAATTATAACCCGCCGGATGCTGCAGGCTATGAAAATGAATGCTTACCCTCCTTTCCACCCTCGACGGTCACCGCCGTTCCCGTCGCCTTGAAAGTGCTGGGATCCAGTTCCTGCACATGCACATCCGTCTCACTCTCATCCAGGTACGCCACATAGGCGGACTTACCGTTGGGCGAGACAGCAAAAGGCGTACGTCGGTGATGGGGATATCCGGTCCAGTAGGCGTCCTTGACCGGGTTGAAGGACTTGCTGAGGGTCAGCACATCCGGGTGCTTGGAAAGGTTGGATTCAGTCAAAGCTGCGGTCGCGCCCAGCGCGATCGACAGGATGGTAGAAGTAATGAATGCCCCGCGCATGGTGGGTGGTTAAGGAATGAAAGAACGAAAAGGAAAAAAGAACGAAAGGTAGGGTTGCAATTGGCAGTGTATGGTCTGCTGAAGAAGTGATTCTGGATCGACGAGATCGGCGTTTATATAGGGTCGGCAGTTACGGTAGGGAGGACATGGTGCTCCGTTACCACCCCGTGCTTAGTCTGTTTAGACTATTATCCAGTCAGGTGGAAAATGGGCCGGTAGTTTACTAGGGGATGGGTCGACAAGACCCATAATCCATAATTCATGGATATTGAATAGGCCAGAGGAAGTGGACATGGTAGCAAGTAGTCAATTCGGAACTCCGTATTTCTTGCCAGAAGAGGATCAAGTAAAGTGGTTTGATTCATGCCAAGCAGCGGAGAATTTTGACAGCGTGTTTCACGATGGGCATGGCGAGACCCTTAATACATCAAATTGATATGAAGGCAAGACAGCATGAGACAGAGCGCCTGGCTAAGCTAGTGGGATTGTCTCACATCCCCACTCCTCGGCGGTTGATGGTCTGGGAATTGAAATACCTTGGCCTCTCTTTAATATAAGAAGCTATTTAGCTTCATTTGCGAGTCAAGGCACCGGTAGCTGTCAGTAGACTATGAGTGAGTCTGGATCTGGGCTGGACTCGAGATGATGGCGGAAATCCCCCTGCCTGATTCACGGATCCTGGGGCCTGACACAGGACGAGCCCCTTAATTGAGTCCGATAGATGAGGGATTCTTCGGGACGAGCTTTCATCTTTGGATGAAGATGGGAATGAAGATGAAAAGGAATAACTTCAAACCTCCGAAGACGCAAAGGAAGGCCAGCGCAGGCGGTAAGTCGAGCGGTGGCCGATATCGCCGCGTCCACGTGACCGGCTTCGTCTCTCACTGTGGACTCTCCCTCCCTCTCCATCTCATCCCACCTCATCCTCTCGGTCTATCCCTTTGACTCCGAACCCGTACACCCACGAACATGGCTGTCCAATTGCTTGATGGTGGTCTGGGTACGTCCCTCCAAGATCACTACGGCGTGAAATTTGACTCCGCTTCCACCCCTCTTTGGTCCTCCCATATGATCGTCTCCGACCCCTCCACCCTCCTCTCCTGCCAGCGTGATTTCGTGGCCGCCAACGTCGACGTCCTCTTGACCGCAACCTACCAAGTCTCTATTGAAGGGTTTGCGCGTACCAAAACCCCTGAATACCCCGACGGCATTCCCCGCCATGCTATCCCCACATTCCTGCGCACCGCCGTCGAAGTCGCCGAGAAAGCCAAGACCGATCGTACCGCAATTGCGCTGAGTCTGGGCCCTTACGGCGCCTGCATGATTCCTGGCCAGGAGTATAGCGGAGCCTACGATGCCGAACACGATAGCGAGGAGGCTCTGTTCCGGTGGCATCTAGAGCGGTTGCAGCTGTTTGTCGAGGCGGATTTAGTTCCTCGCGTGCAGTATGTGACGTTTGAGACCCTGCCTAGGCTAGATGAGATCCGGGCTGTCAGGCGAGCAGTTCACGCGGCCAGCATCACGGCTCCGTTTTGGATTGCCTGCGTCTTTCCCGACGAGACGGACACGCTGCCCGATGGAAGTAGCGTTCAACAAGTCATTCAGGCGGCATTGGGAGATATCAACGGCGGAGCGACACCATGGGGTGTTGGTATCAATTGCACCAAGATCCACAAATTGGCCGGGTTGGTCGAGAAATTCGGAGGCAGCGTCACACAGATGTGCACTGCAGGCCAGATCCCAGATTTGCCCAGCCTTGTGCTCTACCCAGATGGTACCAACGGCGAAGTCTACAATACTACGACGCAGATTTGGGAAAAGAAGGAAAAGGCCGGCCATGATTCGGTATGTTCGCTCAAACCCCTCATTCTACACGTACTAACAACCGCAGCGTCCTTGGGAAGTACAGCTAGCCCAGATCGTGCGGGATGCTCGTGCCAAGGGCCAATTCAAATCCTACCTGGTGGGCGGATGCTGCAAGGCATCTCACTACGACATTAAAAAGCTGGGAGAGCAGTTTAGGACCGACTAGGAATGCATCTATATACAAAATGGGCTAGCATAGGTCAATATACAAGGCTGGATCGCTGCGATTGTGAGATCAGAAGAGCCAGTTCACGAAGCGTCCCCAGGCGCTAGTCGGTGGGTTGGTGTGTTCGACTATCTCGCCTTCCTGCAGTCGACCAGACCATAGATCGATGTTGGAGGCGCGAACGAACTGTGATGGTCAGAATGGGGAAAACGCTACTGCACGGAGAGGACGACGAACCTTGGTTTTATGGAAGAGCTTCCAGCCAATGATGGGCACAATGAAGATGGGAATGCCAATGTAGGAAGCGAAGAAGTCAGCCGTGTTCCAATTTCCTTTCAGAAATACTGGGAAGCCGGCGACCAGGGTGATAATAGTCGATCCGATGAACCCGAACCAGGCAGCATACGGCTGCAGCGGGGCCATCCAGGGCAGCGAGCTGCGGCTGACGCCCTGCGCCTTGAGTCCGGCGTAAAACCGGATGTAACAGAAGCAGAGCGTCGCCCAGGCGATCAAACCGGCGACGGTGCTCAGATTCAGCAGCCAGGTGAACGCTTGCGAGGCGCCACCAGAGCCGAGACCTAAACCATGCTGATCAGCAACCGAGGCTTTAGGATGAGAGGTCCTAATCTACTTACTTAGATATGCCAAGGGCCCGAACAGCCAGGATGCGATGACGGCCACATAGGGTACGCCATTCTTGGTGACCCGGCCAAACACTTGTGGGAGCTGACGATCCGTAGTCATGGCGAGGATCATACGCGAACCGACCCAACAGTACGAATTACCGGCGGACCAGGCTGAGACAAGAATGCAGGCGTTGACGATGGACGGCAAGGCGCTGATGCCCGCCTGTCGGATGGCAATAACCCAGGGAGCACTGTTGGCGTTGTCGGAGCCCGAAACGAGTGACTGGTTGCGGGGATCCACGATGAGGCCGATCAGCAGCGCGCCCAGGACGTAGAAGAACGCGATACGGAAAGTGACGCGGCGCGCGGCCTTGGGAATGGCATAGTGCGGGTCGACGGATTCCGCGGCGGTGATGACAACCGTCTCGACACCGACGAAACTGAACGAGGCGTTTACAAACGACGAGAGGAAGCCGAGGAAGTGACCCTTGGGGCCCGTGATGCCGTTGTAGTTCGTCCAGGGTCCCGGGTTGTGCCAGTAGCGGAACCCGATGCTCTCGTGGTTGGGACCGCCGCCGGAGGTGATGACGATGGACACGATCACCAGACCAAGGAAACAAAGCACCTTGATAGCACCTGCAACGACCTCGGTCTCGCCGTAGAAGCGCACGCTCATGAGGTTAATAGCTAGAATCAAGACCAAGCCGACGGTGATGACCACGGCGGGCGTGATGTCCGTCCAGAAGGACACGATGACGGCGGCAGCCGACACTTCCGAGGCGATGGCGATCGTATAACAGTACCCATAGGAGATAGCCAGGGAGAAGCCGACAGCTGGGTCAATAAACCGAGTGGCCCAGTGGGGGAACGAGCCCGCGGTGGGCAGCAACGTAGCCAACTCGGCGATGCTCTGCATCACACACCACAACACCAATCCCACCACCAGATACGCCAGCAGCAGGCCAGCCGGACCCGCGGTGGCATAGGCAGCGCCCGTTCCCACGAACAAACCTGTGCCAATGCCGCCGCAGAACCCGATCATGTTGACCTGGTAATTCTTCAGGCGTCGCTGCGTAGCACCGCGGCCACCCACGTTCAGCTGCTCCCCTTTCAACGCGGGGATATCATCGTCCGCGTAGGCCCCGCCATACGAAGGCCGGACCTGATCGTCAGTCTTCTCGGAGATCATGGTGTCCTAGCGGTGCTCATGCAAGCAAGCCGGTAACCTTTTCCGAGCGGAGGGGAGGAAATGTCCGTCCGAAAAGGCAGCTCAAGGTTGTTGACAACTTGGCGGCGATCCCAGCACGGATTTTTCGACTTTTCTACAGGCGAGTTGCGACATCGGGATTCGCCATCGCGTAACCGATGTGGTTTTCTCCACGCGGCGTGTTTTTCGGACACTGTCCGGGTCCTATCATGGGGGCGGATGAGGGTTCCACCCGATCCACAGTTGAGGTTTTCTGGAGCAGGCACAGATACGGGGAGGATATACGGATTACGGAGTATGATATCAGTGGGACTACACAGCACGGAGGACAGCGGAAGACAATGGAAGCGAGAGTTGCTCGTAGACTGTATGTACCATGGAGTATCATTCATTTGGGCTCGACAGGGATATCAAGGTAGCATCGCGATATCAACACTGCGGACTATACGCCGCTGACTAAGGCCATCTCGACCAGTTTCGTCGCGGGAAACCCTCGGAAATATTCAGCCAAGGTGAACTAAAGGCATGGCAGACACTCATGGCAATCCAAGAATGCGGAGGTGGAGACAACTCTATACGCATGCTACCTGTGCAGGAAAGAAGTCATGACACCTATCAGAGTCACCACTCTCCGCCGTCTCGTCGGTCAAACTCGCTTCAAGGACGACGCCTCAAGTGATTGAAGCCATGACTCATGCATTGGATCTCTGCGGCATCCTGCCGTTATCACCAACAATACTCCATTCAAAGCAGTATCATTGGCCTTGATGATAGAATGGTTACATCTCCTACTGCATGTGCAGAACACTGCATCCGCCTTGCATGACATGCATTATCACCAGTGGTAGCATCCGGAGAGTATCGTCGCGCCAATCGTGAGGCCCTGTTGGCGCCACCGCATACCGCTGCAGAATGCCCTTTTCCCATCCACGTAACCCTAAGCCGGAGTCCGCAGGTTCCCCCTTGTTCCTCCCGTCAACACAACGACACCAATCTAAACTTCCAAATGTAACCATTGGAAACACCTCGGTTGGGTCTTATCTACCACGAGGATAGGGGAGATGGTTCAAAATCCAAGCGCCGTGTAACATTTCCCCCGCATATCCTGGTCGCGACCAGGATCAGTGACCAGCCTGATGCGATCATCTGCCTGCCGATCCCGACCACGCGGATGGCCCTCTCCCGCGCCAGTTACTCGGTACTTTGTGTGCATTCTTCACGGTCTAAGCTTGCATTTGAAATCAGCGAGAGTTACGCTGCCTATCCGTCTGTCCGCCACGTTCGTTCCCCTGACAGTTGGGCTGGCGACGGTGGGATTGTGATTCGATTTTAATGGGTTAGATTGGATGTCCCCTCGGAGTGTTACATTCCTCGCCGATGAGGATGGAATGTTATCGCTAGCCTTTCTCTGGAAGTGTGACTGAGGCGGATGATGGCGCTGTTGCTTTTACCATTCGGTCCTGGTGCTGTTATTCGAATTGAGTGTATTTAAAGGGTGTGATTGCCTGCGGTATGAGATATCCGATCCGATCCGATCAACCCAGAGCAGAGGAAATTATTTACCGAGAACCACCGCTGCCATGTCGCCTGTCAATGCCTTCAAGCTGCTTTCGATTGTCTTTCCGTTGCTGCAAGGGGTGCACGCGGGGCTCGACCTGAACGCTGCAAGCAATGTTGCTGTTTACTGGGGTGTGTCTTTACTCTTGCTTGAACTTGGCTGTAGAGATGCTCATGTATTACAGGCCAGAACTCCTACGGACAGTCGACTGGTGAATACGTGCAGCAGCGTCTGTCGTATTATTGTCAGAGTGAGTGGTTTTCTGTCGTATATCGGTTCACACAATGGCTAACCTAATTCTCACAGACAGTAATATTGATGTATCTCATCCTCCATTTATGTCTGGGATCGCTCAAATCTAACAGCACAGGCCTTGCAAATCTCCTTTGTGACCCAGATCAACGGTCCAGGAGGAGTTCCCGCGGTCAACTTCGCCAATGCCGGCGACAACTGCACCACCTTCCCAGGGACTTCTCTCCTGAACTGTCCTCAGATCGCGTACGTTCCTCCTCCCTCTCCATCCCACTGAAGCTGCACCACTAACCCTACTATGAACCAAAAGCGAGGACATCCAAGCCTGCCAAAAAGCCGGCAAAACCATCCTGCTCTCCGTCGGCGGCGCCACCTACAACGAAGGCGGTTTCTCCAGCGAAGCAGCCGCCATATCCGGCGCACAACTCCTCTGGGAGACCTTCGGCCCCGTTAGCAACAGCGGCGCATCACGGCCCTTCGGCACCGCCGTGATCGACGGCTTTGATCTCGACTTCGAAGCCACCGTCAACAACATGCCCGCATTCGCCAACCACCTCCGTTCCCTGTACGCCAAAGACGCCAGCAAATCCTACTATCTCACCGCCGCCCCGCAATGCCCGTACCCGGACCTCGCTAATAACCCGATGCTCAACGGCGCGGTCTCCTTCGACGCCATCTGGATCCAGTTCTATAACAACTACTGCGGTCTGCAGTCCTACGTGCCTGGGTCCTCGACGCAGAATAACTTCAACTTCGCGACGTGGGATAACTGGGCGAAGAGCACCTCGCTGAACAAGAACGTGAAGGTCTTCCTGGGCGTCCCTGGCAATACAGGTGCCGCGGGGTCCGGGTACCAGCCGCTGGACAGGGTGAAGGAGATTGTTGGCTACGTGAAACAGTTTAGCAGTTTTGGGGGAGTGATGATTTGGGATGCGAGTCAGGTGCTTGCGAATGGGGGGTTCTTGAGTGGTGTGAAGGGGGCGTTGACGGGGTCGGTGGCGGAGACTGTTTCGCAGAGTACGCGCAAGGCCAAGGGTGAGGGGTTTTTGACGTTGGCGAGGGCTGAGAAGCCGTTGGGGACTGGCATTTGAGGATTATGGTCTGGTGCTATGAGGCAGGAAGGAGGGAGAAGGGAGATATACATCTACGTGTAGATAGATGAGGAGGAGGTTTAGGTACAGCCTTGGACTGAGCTGGTTCTCTATAAACAATGCTATACATTGATAGCTGATCATGTACATACATATCAGGGTATCCAAGGCTCCAATGACAATGAGAAGGCCTAAGCGTTCCGTTTTTATGCGTTCCGTTTTTATTATATGAATTATTAACTCGTACTGGAGCAGAGCGGAACCAAGACTTTAGGAGATACTCCAGCTCGCAACGCTTGCTCCAATGCGACACCATGGCGTACTGTTTGGGCACCGGGTATTCGCGGCAGGGAGGCTGCTCCGAGGGATTTGTAATTTAACAATGCGTATACGCCGTTGAAGGCATTCAATCGAGCGGCAAACTTAAGCACGCCTCGAGCAGCTTTTCCCAAATCTCTCGCCAGACCGCAGCACTTGCCGATCTAATCAAGTTAGCTCTCCCGACTGCCTTATGTAACTATAGCTGGCTCAAAAGTGGGTTCTCACTCCAACACTCCTGTTGGAATTGCTCGAGCAGGTCGTCCCACTGCTCCCAGTTCACGGGGCTGACGTCCAGCGCGGGCACTCCGCCCATGGCCACGAAGTCCATCTCTTCTGCGCCGGTGCCTACTGCCCCAATTCCAGTCCTAGGGCCTCGCTGCTGCTGGAACGGCGCGATTGAAGATTGCAGTGGTAAACTGGTGGCATGGGTGTTCCCGACGAGGGCGCTTTCGCTGTCGAGGGTCTGTTGTGTGTTCTCTATATTATATGAGACCCTGCTGCTTGAGGCTTCTTGCTGGTGCAAAAGCACAGACTGTGGCGGAGGAGGAGCAGCTGCTACGCTCTGTGACTCCCCCGGGCCCAGCTGCAGCCATGGCGCAAGCAGGTCAGGACACGGCTGCGAGGGGATACCCCTCTGCTCACACGTAACGACATGGCCTTTCCAGGCCTTGATGATAAGGTTGCGGATGGCAACGTGCAACGTGCTGCGACGCGCGCGGGGGCCCATCTGGTGATAGTGTCGGCCGCAGATGCTGTTAATAAGGGCCCATGCACGGGCAACCTCAGCGCCTTCGACCCGGCGCCCGCGCAGCTCGGACAGCATGTAGATCAGGGCATCCCACTGTATGTTGTAGTCGACATGCCAGAGGTATTTCTTGGTGGCGTGGTTGGTCTGCACGGCATCGCAGTGCTCGGCGACCTGGACGCAGGTGGTGAAGATGCGGTCCTGCTCCGCCTCAGATAACTGGAGGGTGCGCTGTGCCGGGTTGAATGCGGTGGCGCCGTCACCGTCACCGACCCCGGCCATACTGGCCCCGGTGTATTGTCGCGGGTGGTGCGCGGCGAGGCGAATCATGCATACAACCGACCGAGCCATCATCACGGTGATGAAGTGCAGTGGGATTGAGACATCGCAGTGCCTCAGGAACTTGTTCTCGAATTTCTCCTCCAGCTCGTCGATGGCCGCATCCTTTTCCGACAACGGCACGGACGAAGAGCGAAGGAACCCCCAATGTCCATCAAACCCAGACTTCATCCCGGCGCGGCGGCGTAGCCATTCGCCAAACTCATGCCGGACGAGGCAAAACACCATTTCCGTTGGTCCCGTGTATTCCCGGGGTGGCTCCGTCATGTTCGGGTCCAGGTTGCTGTCGTTGATGTTGAGAGGGGGCAATGTGGTTTCAGAGGTAGGAGGGGGTAAGTAGGCGGAGCCGCATCCCGAGAAATAACCAGCAGTGGCATCGAAGATAACGAGTTGCAGCCAGAGGCGCCGCCGCATTTCTGTCTCGTAGGCGGACAGTCCGAGATGAGAGCCGTCCTTGTGAAGGCCGATGCGCTGGGCGATGCGCATAGCTATGCCGCAGAAGGACCACAGTGTATGCGGGTCGGACAACAGGCGCAGAGAAAACTGTCGTCGTTAGTGAACGTGTGCATTCCTGCACGCGCGCGGGTTCAGCAAGGGGATTTATGCATTACCAGATATAGCAAGAAGGCTTGCAGCAACACCATGTTGGAAGTCTTTAGCAGCCCGGCGTTGCGAAGGGCCGTTTCTGTGCTGCGCTTGTACCTCGAGATCAGGGTGGCGCGCGACTCGCCATAGGAACGCTTTACCTCGTCCTCGCCCAGGGAAATCACCGAAATGCAGTAGATTGAGAACATCAGCGCCTCCATCTCTTTGCTGACTGCGTGCAGGTCTCCAGCGGCCTCCAAGATCTGCTGCTGCACGACCGGTGCGTGCAGAATTCTAATGAGTGGATTAACGTTCTCGAGAAACGTCTGCCAGAGCTTGAATATATGCACCGGGTTTGGATGGATGGAACTGAGGGTGGTGCGTCCTGGCGGACCGAAAATCAAACCTGATTCATCATCAAGGGCCGGGGAATTGTCGTTTTGGCCGGACTCGTCAGAGTCGGCAGAAGACGACGACTCCTGTATGGCATCTTGTGCTTCCTGTAACTGTCTTCTTTGTCAGCATCATGTAAAGTGGATGGCTTGTGTTGAAATCACACCTCGTCGCGCACACCCGTCCATAGATTGCTTGCAGGTTACACCATCAGCTTTAGTCCATCCACCAGTGGAAAATCAACACACACCTATCAAGATATACCGAGCTTCCTTTTTTGGAGACCAATCTCCGCGACTCAGCATGACTCGGATTGCTCGCACGAGGAGCCGACAGAGACCCTCTTGGATTAGCTAGCTCGGCGACAGAAGCCACCGGCGTTGAAATCACGCCCCCATGGCCCGGCGAGGGCACTGCAAGCGTAGGCGAGCAAGCGTCTGGATCGATGCTGTTCTGTCTCAGCACTTCTTCGTACCTTTCTAGACGCGCCGCCAGAATGGCTTCAGGGTTGTTCCTCTTTCGCCGCCGAGGACGTTCGGGAGAGCGGTAGACACACTGCACCCCATTTCTAGCGCACCCAGCACACGGTTGTTGCCTGCTGCACTTGACTTTTCTCCGCTGACAGGTGACGCACGAGTGTGACTTTGGTGGTTTCGGGTCCTGCGATGACGGTGTTGTTATTGTGGAGCCCGGGCCCAGTGGCTGGCTGTCCGCCATGGCGGGCGGTAATCGGTGTGCAGACTGCAGAGTCTACTGGAAGTGACCCTGAACCCAGTTGATTATCACAGAAGATCAAATCCCCCGACGATGGGTTGATAGATGATCACGATACCTAACTGGGTTAGAGATGCGAGACTCACTGGTCCCGTGATAACTAAATTAATTCTCTGGATTAGTAACCGTGTCTGATCACCTGACATCTCTGTTCGCGAGGCCCGAATCCCTTCAATTCGAGGATGTCCTGAAGAATTAATTGATCAGCTAATTAATGATCCTGTATTTTGAAGCTCTAAAAATTGCAGAAATATGACTTAATTTACATTGAATAGGTGAAGATCACGCAATGTCGTGCTTTAGTCCGGACAATAAACCGCAAAAAGTCAACTGGGGTTAACTATAAGAATTAGTCGAATAAGATAATGATCGTACAAAAGGATTATATATTGCAAATTTGGGAAATACCGGTATGTATTCCAGGCGAGCCGTAATATTGTGTTGACCAAAATGGGTCTAAGTCAACGTAACCGATCTGTGAAAAGGAAGCCATTCAAATCACTCAAAATCTGCATGAACACCGATTACATGAATGTAAATAGTTCAGTCATTACTTCCGGACTTGAAATCATAACCATGTCCTAGCCTAGTAGGCTAAAACACAGTTCTCGCTCGCGAGAGTGTCCTAGTTCCTTATCTCAAGCAGGGTCTCTCTACTTATCTGTCTATCGATATATATATATACATATAGAACCAGTGAACAACCAAGAAAACAGCCGATGATCACCGCGGATTTAATCGCTCACACGCGGTCCGAACAGCCTTCTTCAGTCGACTGCGCAGGAACGCCTCCAGAGCCTGGTGCAGATGGCTTCTACTCTCCTCACTGACTGCGCCGCGCGACGTGTACTTTGTCGCATAGTCTCCGCGGTAACAGTATGTGCGACTAAACACCTCCACAACCTCTTTCATCCTCATTAGCTCCGTCAGAATTAACTGCGCTACCATCCGATCCGAGTGTTCATGGTCGAGCGTATACATGCCGATCCGGATGGACGGGATCGACACTCTCTCGAAGGGTGACCGGGACATGTCGTCGCGCAGCGTGCTGGTGACAGCGGAGGATCCTCGCGAGTGGGTGCCATTACTGCCGCTGATGCTGCTGCTGCTGCCACTGCCACCATTGTATTTGTTGTTGTTGGCGCTGCGGTCCAAGCTCGCTTGGTACCAGCACAAGATCTGAGAACACACCATCGTGATCAGGAGCACGAGATCGGACTTGGCAGCGCAGGAGCAATGAAGGATGGTGAGGAGGTTGTCTAGTGCCGCGTGGTTATCTTGGAGAATCGTGTCGAAACTCAGCGATTCGGCTCCATGGCTCGCCATGGAGACTGGGGTGGTGGCAGCAGCACCGGGGCTACTCAAAGAGGGACACGAGGCCATGGGCATGTCGAGTTTCTGGATGGTGGAAATGGCCAGGTTAGTGCAGTGGTGGTGATGGGCTCTGGGGCTGTCGCTGGGGGCCCCGGCCATCAGGCCTTGCGACAACAGCGGCGGGGTCTCCTTCTCGTGGCGGAACAACCAAGGGAATTGGGATTCCGGATCGTCCAAGGTGCGGTGCAGGTCGGGTCGTGGCATCGGGGGCATGGCTAGGGCATCTAGCAAGCCCGCAGCCTCTTCGTTGGAGGGCGACTGCTCGTCCAGCGTCGCGACCGAATCGTCCCAGTTCAACAGACTGTCGACATCCGCGTGAAACATGCTCGAGGTGGAGAAGACATAGCGATCGGGCTCCGTTGATGCATTGCCGTCTTTGAAGTCAGTTATTTGTTCGATAGAATCCCCGTCGAACAATGCCGTATCTCTCGTCTCAGCAGCATTACCGGGGCCATTCGAGGTGTCGCGTCGCCGTGGCCGAGCGTGGAAGGCCTCCAGTGGCCGCTTGCGCGCTCGCTGCGACGGGCTGTAGATGCAATTGGCGCCTTGATAGATGCAGCGCTGGCAGCGCGGCTGCTCCTTGCTGCAGCGAACCTTGGACTTGGCGCAATTGTCACAACTGGCTCGGATGCTCTCGAGTCGCTTCGAGGGAAGAGCCGGCGGAGAAGCGGGGGGAGCGTTTCTCTCAGCACAGGGAACGTCCATTGTTGCTGAGCGCGAGGGTTTGGGGGTTCTTTTATCGGCCTGGGCTGGAAGCTCGGGCTTATATGTTGCATATTGCATGGCGACTGGAGGAGCATTTCGCCAAAAAAGGAACCTGTTATCGCCCTGCGTCCACTGGTCCAAACCTACCTTGTCATGCTCGCCCCGATAAAATCGAGATCGGAGCAGGCAAGCTGGGTGTACGACCTGGTAGGTCGCCACCAGAAAGATCGCTGCTCGAATGTGGTTGGTGACACCTACGCATGTCTACATCATTACCCATGCTGGCTGCGTCATAACCAATAGATTCGACACCTACTACACCACTAGACGGAGGGCGCTCTAGTGTAAAAAGATGAGACATGCATAGACAGATCTATGGTGACACGAGCTTCTTCAGGGATCTAACTGGACCGCCACCATCCCGCCCCTTATCTCGTGTATGTACTCTTATCCTTGCACGCGCTATGACTCATGGTCCCAGAAAAAGGAAAGTCCTACCAGGGGACGGGGAAATGGAGGGACAAAAAATCCTTTAAGTGCAGCTGAGCGCCCTAGGGGGACATGGCTGATCATGCAGCTATTTGAACCGGGCACATTCTTTCCCCGCGCGATGGCGTCTTGCCGCTCAAAATGGCGGATTCTGGCCGTCTATCTACGGAGAAGAGTATTCGAGATAGACCTGCTAATGTATATAGGAATTCATGCGGCTCGCATCTATTGCGTGTGTCGGGCCGCTTTAGCCGATCTACGCGAAGATAGCTTTCCACCTTCGCCGTCTCTCCGACAAAGAGGCCTGCCGTAGCAGGACCCTCTCCCCGAATCTGTATGTAATGTCTGCCGGGTATATTAAAGCTTACTCTTCACGAACCCCTGCAGGGACAATCAAGAAACTTGGATTGAATCGCCCGACTGGAACGAGAGTCCCAAGCTCGTATTTAGGAGATTCAGCTCCTGTGGGGCGATGGGCAGCGAACAGAATCAGGGTTACATCCGAGGCGGCGATCACCCAAGCAAACTTGGCTAAAATTTGTGTGGCGCCCATCGGGGGCTGAATCTGACGATGCATACTCCGTTTAACCCCCGCTCTTACGTGAGGTGATCCTATACTAACTACTGCTGATGGGAGAATTCCTGGGCTCTCTAGCAGCCGGTGCGGGGATATCGATGATGGTGGCGTAAACCAGAGAAGATCAGATCACCAGCCAATTTACTTCACAATAGGATGGCCCAGGCGCATGGCCCCCAAGGAGGCCAACCGTATCCGCGAATGTAACACTAGAGGCCTGTAGCAAAGAAGGCAAACCAGGATAAGCCTCCGCCGAGCGGGCCCGTGGCCGATCAACTGCGCGAATATCGATAGTGGATGGAGCTTCCTGAGACCTAGGACTGTAATTGGAGCAAACAGCTCCGTTGAATGCTCAGATTGTATGGCGCAATGACGTGGCGAAATGAGGGTAGATAAGAGATCAATAACAGAGCATATAAGGACTAGCTCCGACGCAGCTACTGGCTGACGGCGTTTTTGTAGCAACGCGTGGCGGCTTTTCTCTTGTTTCCCCCTCGTCCTTGCCGTAACCGGGCAAAGCAACGAGTTAGTATGCCTGCTAACAGCTGAGTCCAGGCCCATGAAGGCTGCAGAGGGTGGGCTGGGCCACATAAGAATCCTGCAGGAGCATACTCTCTGGCCAACCCCGGAAGGTGAGGGGATATCCGCATTGGATTGGCCCTCCCTGATCTTTTGAGCGCATGATACTCTTTTTCTGCACATGGCTAGCCATGTGCCATCCTGACGATTGGCATTTGGTCCAGGTACGGTGGACTGACCAAGTATGTATACTCTCTGGCCAGCAAGTTGCGAATTCCTCGAGCTGTAAATGTGGAAGAGCTATGTCTAGTATGTTTTAAACTCCACCGTAATTTCAATACAAACCGATGGCACTCAGGCTATTGCCAATGGCTGCATAGTACAATCGGAGAATTCGGATTCTGCAGGCGCGAGAGTATACGTGGACAAAATTCATGGGCGTTTAGAAAGGTCACATTGCCATGTCCTGTGGCCATGCCCATGCCCACGCATAAAATATCCTGATTTCTTCAGTTAACCAAACAATCCAATTGGCTTGGCTTATGTGAAGCATTCGAACTATTTCCACTACGGCAAAAAATTCAAATAACCAGATTTCGAAAACAATGGGTGAAGAAGATTGAACAGTTAGATATAGCCAAAAATCAACTATCCGCCGACATTACTAGGTATAGAGGTCATATATTCTCTGGGAACATGTATTCTCTCGATATTTCCCAGCCAGTTCGATTGAATATTTCCCATGAACATTCTCAATCACGCCAGAGCCTGGGTGATAAACCCCCCTAACTTAGCCCCGTGTTCTCGTCTCTACAACGTTAACTGGTCAGTGACAATGATTCTAACAGGTGACCATGGTGGATACAAGAAAGATGTCAACTTACCATCATCGAGAAATGATTCAACCCCTCCGTTCGATCTAAGATGATTGTGCCACCGGGAAACAAAGCCTCCCATCCGCAGGCCGAAAAGTCGGTGCGAGCCTCCGTCAAGAACTTCATGCCTTCGGTATCGTCCGGATGCGGAGGCATTTTGGGCACATTCTTCCCGTCCATAACACTCTCAGATGCCCATATGATCGACGTGCGTGGAGTCTTCCCGACTGGTAGAGGCGTGGCGAAGTACTCGTGCAGCGTGTCGATGGTGGCGTTGAAATGGGGGACTAGCCATGCTGGAGGTTTGGCGGCTGCAGACCCTGTGGTGGTGGTCGGCTGACCAAACAGTTGCAGCTTGTTGCAGTAGTCGTAGAAATGCTGGGGAAGCTTGTCAAGACCTTTGGGCACGGGTGAATCAATCAGCAGGAGATTGTGCACCGCTTCCCCGGCGTTGATTAGCTTCTGCGCGGCGCGATAGGCGAGGATGCCCCCGGCAGACCAGCCACCGAGGTGGTACGGCCCGTTGGGTTGGCGGCGGCGGACCTCAGTGATGTAGCTGTCGATAAGGGCGTCCAAGGTGCACTTGAACAGCTCCGGGATCTTATAGTAAGGAGAGTTGAGGCCGATTACCGCCACATTCGACCCCAGCCGTGGGATTCCAGAGTAGGACGTTGCCGAACCAGCGCCGTCGGGGAAAAGAAACAGGATCTTTTCGGCGAACTTGGGAATTCCCTGCAAGAGCACGGAGGTCGCGGCCGGCACGGCAGCATGCTCCTCCTTCAGGTCAGCGGCATCCTGCTCGGAGTCTGAGCCCTGAGAGGTTGCCGAGGAACGATTTCCAGAAGAGATATCTTGATCTGACCGGTCGAGTTGTTCTGATGGAGTCCGGCAGGTGTATTCAGATTCTGAGGCTTCCGGCTTGAACAATGTCTTCAACTCTTGTACCGTCGGATAGTCGATAAAGACGGAGTCTACGTCGATGTCTAGATCCAGTTCCTCACGGAAGCGGCTGACGATGACAAGGGACAGGAGCGAGTCAATGCCAATGTCGGCAAATACGCAGTCATCCGTCAACTCTGAGACCGCCATACCGCTTTCTTCAGAGATGATACCAAGGGCGGCATCAAAGACTGCGCCGACGTACAAGCTGGCACCCTCGACGGGCTCCGTGGCGGAGAACCCAGGTGCTTGCCCCAGGATCTCGGGCACTGCATCCTTGACGGGACGAGGCTGCTCCAATATGCTGTCTGAAGGGACTGAATCTTCCGCCCCGCTGTATTGCTTGAGGAAGCCGTTCAGTTCCTTCACGGACATGTACCTGGTGAAGATATCATCAAACTCCATGTCCAGATTGAGTTCCTCACGGAACCGGCTGGTGATGACCAAGGAGAGAAGGGAATCGATCCCAATGTCAGCGAAAACGGAGTCGTCTGTCAGATCACTCAGGGAGAGACCGCTTTCTTCTGAGATGATCTTCAGAGCCGGTTCGGCAAGTGAAGGCTTTGACCGGGTGGCAGGGGCTGGGCCATTGACTCCTCTGGTCTTGGTGCTGACAGCAGGAACCGAGGGCATGGAAGGCTTGGATACTGTTACTGCGGACCGTGCTGGTTCTGCGTTTCCCTTCTGTTGCGGCTGACCCCGAGATGGTTTGACCCCGTCGACGGTCAGGAAGAACCGGAGGACCCTTCGTGGAACACCTTGGAACTATGTCGATATTAGAGATGGCATCTTCGGCATGTTCAGCCATGTTTATAATAAGACTTACCACAATTCCTTTGTAGCTGGCGACAACTCTCCAGTTTTCATCAAACACTGTCACGTCCCCTTGATATTTTCTTGAATCCCTCTCGGACATTTGACAGAAGGTCGAATAGGTCTGGTCCTTACTGAGAGGCTCATAGACCTGCAAAGACTCCCATCCATGATTGACGAAGACCTCCACATCTAGATCATTACTGTCGTTGCAGTTCATGACAAACCCACCAGCTTGGGTGAGGCCATCCAGGTAAGCTGGGTGGGTGTGGAACGTGCCCTCGGTTTCAACGCCCTTGAAACTCACCCGACTGGCGCACTCATAGGTGTTGCTATCCATGACAACCTCATCAAGAGGCCGATAATCCTTGTGGAACTGCGCGAGTGGACTGATCATCTTGTACACCATGGCTCGGTTGAACCGTTGTGTCGGGCCATTCTCCAGATCCTTGCGCATACTCGCCATCCGTGCCTTTTTCTCGTGAGCCGTTTGTTCCAGCTGCTCTAATCGAGATCTATCAGTGAAGTGGATCTCGCAGTTGGCATGCTCCACAGTTGGCTGGCCTTTCTTCTGCATAAGCTGTTAGAATGGAGGTTCTCCTTGACTAGTACTTCGGATGATCTTACGTCAAAAGAACAGAACCGCCCCTTCGCTTTCTTAGCTGCCCAGTCCACCGTCACAAATGTGCGCAGTGGTTGGGGGCCCTCCGGCTTTGCAATCAGGGCTTTCATCACGGTCATGTTCGAAACATCAACCAGGCTTTCTTCCATCTCAGGGTGATAGCGCTGGAGCAGATATTTGCCAACGGTAAGCGCGATATCGGCGTACACAGACTGCGACCAGTTAGATTTGTAATTATAGTTGCAGGAGAACAACCCAAAGAAGGTTTAAAGAAATGGCCTACCGGTGTACATAGAGGAACCCCATCTACCTCATGGCCTTGTACCAGAGGATTGAAATCAGCCCGTGCCATATCTGACTCCACAGTGATGGCATCGATGCTCTCCTCCACCACATTGTGAATTGTCGTAGACGCGAGGGGTCCAACCGATGGGGTGACGAGAGGCGGGTCACCCTTGCGCAAGGACCAGTCATGCGTATATTGCATCCAGTAATCCTTGAGGTTCCATTTGTATGCCGGCAGCTCCAAGACTTTGTGAGCCGCCGCAAAGTCCCGGTGATACTCGTGCCAGCGAATATCAATGCCAGCACGATACAGAGACGAGAGCATGTCGGTCAACGATTTCCAATCATCTCTGTTGCGCTGGAGGGTTGCTACGGCGGCCACCGCAGGTCCGAGGGTCGCTTTCACCATTCCGGTAACGATGGAATGTGGTCCGATCTCGAGCACGAAGGACCCGTCCTTGACTGTTCCATTTTCCTTTGCGGACTGAAGGGCATCCGCAAACTTGACAGTCTCACGACAGTGGCGTCTCAGGTACTCGGGTCCAATAATGCCGACATCCTCAATCACGTTGGTCAGGAGTGGGGATATGACTGGGATCGCGGGTTGCTGGAACGTTGCTCCGCCTGCGACGTCTTCCAAATCGCCTAGGATAGGGTCGACCTGAGAAGAGTGGTAGGCGAAAGGCACGGAAAGGATTTTGGATTTTAAGCCTTTGTCGCTCAATATCTGTTGCAGCTCTTCGACCTGCTCGTTCGGTCCTGCAAGAACGGTCTCCTCTGGAGCATTGACGCATGCAATCTCATGAGTTGCTCCAGCAAGAGCAGACTGAACCTCCGACATGCCGGCCTTGACAACCAGCATACTATGTGTGCCAAGTGTGCATCGCTTTTGCAGTAATTCCGCGCGTTTGCCCACCAAGAAAATCGTATCTGCGTCGGAGAGGACCTTGGCAACGTTCAGGGCGGCGTACTCCCCAAGGCTGTGGCCGACAACGGCATCGGGCGTGACATTCCATGAGATCAACAGCCTGGACAATGCAATTTGCATGCAGACGGTGGCTAACTGCACCGCTACAGGGGAGAACTCCTGAATGTCCCTCCCCGAATCATCTACGATGATCTCCTTGAAACTTGCGAAGCCCAAGGCCTTACTCAGCTCATCAAAGCGGGATATATCATCCTGAAACTGGCGGAAGCTTCGATAGAGCGTTCGGGCCATCCCAACATACTGCGCCCCCTGGCCTGTAAAGGCAAAGACCATTTTCGGAGGCGACTTCGGTCTCGTCGCGCCATCGCCGCGGGCGATTGCTGCTTCCAGATGACGCTTGATTTCCTCTGTTGTTGACCCAGCAAGCATAACTCGATGGAGATGGTGCATGCGTCTAGCGGTCGTAGTATACGACAGCTGGGGCAGGAATAGTGGCTTATCCTGCTGCCCTTCAATGTACGCCATCAGCGACTTCAGGTTCGCCGCCATGGAAGCTGCGGACCTGGCGGAAACGGCAACCAGATGGGTTGTCCGGGGATCAGTCCCCTCTATTTCAACCTCTTCAGGCTTGTCTTCAAGCAGTACCGCCGAGTTGCCTCCCGCAGCGCTGAAGTTGTTCACGAAGGCCCTGCGCGGCTCGTTACCAGCGCGTCCCCACGGAATCGGCTGCCTTGCAATGTGCACGTTTCTCGACTCCATGTCTGACGGGAACTTGGAATTAATCTTCGTTTTGATGCCGCAGTGGGGAGGTATGATATTATTTCGCATCATGAGCAGAACCTTGGTGAGGGCGCTCACGCCAGAGGCCGCCTCGCCATGTCCGATATTGGCTTTCACCGAGCCGAGGTGAAGGGCCTGGTCGGGTTGCCGCTGGTGACGAGTATTCGTGGGAGCGAAGGTATCCAGGACGGACGACATCTCTCTCGCATCACCCGCTTGGGTACCGGTTCCATGCATCTCCACATAGCTGACGCTGTAAGGGTCAACTCCAGAGCTATTCAAGATCTTTTGAAAGATGTCTCTCTGGGCTCCGACATGGGGACGCGTAATTGATTCTGCCTCCGCGGAATGATTCGTGTACGTTCCGAGAATCAGGCCATGGATTGGGTCCTTGTCAGCCACTGCGTCTTCGAGCCGCTTCAGGATGACGGTGCCAACTCCTTCGCCTCGACAATATCCGTCGGCACCATCATCAAAGGTCTTGCAGTTGCCCGTCCGGGACAAAAAGTGTCCTCTATCCAATCCGGCCGTAAAATCCGGGTTGGTCAAAACGTTGGTTCCACCGGCAATTGCAGTATCTATATCGCCTCGCCACAAGGCGTTGCAGGCCACATGGAGAGATGCCAAGCTCGACGAACAGGCCGTGTCCACGCTGTAACTTGGACCGCTAAACTTGAAGAAGTAATTGAGACGGCCCGGGATGAATGCACGATTCCCACCCGGGATGAAGTAGGTGTCGATGTTCTGCGCGCTATTGGTCTCCATCCAATCGTTACTGGTCACGCCGTAGAAGACACCCACGCGATCCTTGCGAGTCGACGGCGTTGCGTCGGGGACAATGCCAGCTTGCTCAATGGCTTCATAAGCCGTCATCAAGGCAATCCTTTGCGCTGGGTCCACCTGTGGTGCTTCGCGGGGAGACATGTTGAAGAATGGGGCATCGAATGCGGCAGGGGAGTCCAGCCAGCAGCCGTACGGCGTCGCACTTGTGTTCTTCTTCTTTCCGGTCAGATCCACATGCGTCTGTGCGCTCCAGTGAAGGTCGGGGACGACTTTATGCACGTCCAGTCCTTGGAAGATCAAATCCCAGAATTCTTCGTTGTTCTCGGCGCTGGGGTATCGTCCCGACATGCCAATGATGGCGATCTTTGAGCCACCCGTCGAACCAATGGGCTTAGTATGATCAGCCTCGATGTGAGTCGTCCGAGGAACTCTCTCCGGAATAGCCCCATTGGACAATCCCGCTGTGGAGTTGAGAGCAACCCCCAGAGCTGTGTCGGCATTTGTGCCAACTGGGCTGATCGTGAACTGGGATGCACCACTTGAAGAGAGGACGGAGGCTACCCCCTGTGTGAGCTGGTGCCATTGGACAGGCTCCAAGAGAATTTGAACCAGTGCTGCCTCCAAGCGACGTCGAAGGTTATCCCCTTCGATCAGTTGGCCGGTGGTGCTCGAAACGACTGGTAGAACCGCACTATAACGGCCCCAGACACCTTCAGGCGTTGTCAACAAGATGGCCTTAATGTCTTCCTTCGTGAACAGATGTGGGGCATGATATGGAGCAAAAACGGGGATTGTGCGTGGATGAGCAGTCGTGAAGTTCTCCAAGTCACGGAGAAGACCCAGTATGCGAGGCGGTCCGCTGATTGTCAGCCAATTCTCGGCGTAGGCGCTGACATAGGGCTGGGAAGTGATGGGAAGGCGCTTTCTCTAAGTGTTAGCCAAACCCAACAGTCCGGAAATAATGTGCAACCTACGTGCGAATGGGAGAATTCCTGCAGCCGGTCCGAGACCTCCTGCTGCGAAAGGCCAACCAGCACTATGGACCAATTTTCCTCGGACTGATCGACAGCCTTGGCGGCGTTCAACGCGCAAAGTCCAGTGCGAAGTGCCACGACAACGGTCTGGACAGCAACTGGAAGAAGCTCCGAAACGGTGTTGCAGCAACTGACTGCGGCCGCAGCCAGGGCGCCTGTGCATAGGCCGGACACGCATGTCTCCTTTGGGAAAGGATAGGCACGTCCGAATCCGTCATGCTCACTAGCCATGGTCAGACAATGAATTGGAGAACTGCAGAGGGCGATTCAGTGGCACAAACCTGATAAATTGGGCTAATTGGTAGATACAAGTCAAGGTCGTCTCAATGGGCTGATGGAGCCTTTCCTGTCGATTCCTCCACGCTAGAAGCTCTGCGATGCTCGAGAAGCGAGGGTAGGTGTCTCTGTCCCGAGCGGGGAGCTGTGCAATTTCGGATCGAAGCGCGTGGTACGCTTGCTCAAAGAAGGCCTCTAACAGTGGCGAGGTCTTACAGTGAAGGAGTGGCGGAAGTTTAGTGGAAACCTCAAACGTCTGGTCCCCGAAGAGATAGACGTGTAGTTGATCCACCATGTTGGATCCAATTCTCTGCCCACGGACCAGATGTAAAGATTGATGAGATAGAAGCTCCACAGAGTAAGAACACAGAGGCTTCTAATAATGCAATCACCTCTTCAATGGCCATTGTCTCAGTGCAGCATTCGTGACCCTGATGTATTCGCAGCCAGTAGGACGCCATCGCGAAATCCCTGTATCAGCTACTCTCAGCCCTGATCGGTCCTCGGAAACCCGAAAGTGAAGTAATACGGGTTTCTCTGGAGTCCGTTCAGAGTATCCCGAGTCCCAAAGTAGAAACAATATCCTATAGCCCCCCATGTCCGAGGCGAGCGAGATTCCCGATCCCCGAGAACCCTTGAAAGGCCGGCGGGCCCAATTTGTCATGTTTCGGGCCCGAACGTCGTCAGAGTCCGAGAATCACATTCCTTTCTGACCGCGTCAACTGGTGACTTTTAGAGAATCGTATACAATAATTCAAGAGAAGCGAGATTACAAATCCGGGCCCATGATGCCGTAGCTCCATGATTACACGCTGAGGAGAGGAGGCCCCGTTTTCACTAAAGGTAGTGGACACGGCCCTTTTTCCCGCGAGCATTCCCCACGACAAAAGAGAAGCGGCTTGTTCATGACTATTTACACCAAACCTTTCTTACTAGACAGTTTGTCATCAGTATACGGCTTTACGATCTTTGAGGATGTCCGAGAAAAGCCCATCTGTTGCCGTTCTAGGGTTAGGTACGACTATCGCTTTGATTGATCCCATGAGCACTTAGTGTCTCGCCATGTTGTGTTTCCAATATGAATGATGTGGCTGACTTTTGAATGATACAGGGGCCCTTGGCCTGGTGGCCATGAAGAACATGCTTGAGGAGGGGTTTAATGTCACCGGCTTTGACAGAAACCCATACGTTGGCGGCCTCTGGCACTACAACGAGGGCTCTACCATCTCAGTACTCCAAAGTCGGTCATGTACCAAAGATGTTGGATGTATCCGGTCAGGCTAACACATGACTCTACTAGGTACTGTCTCCAATGGATCAAAGCACAGGGTACATTCCAATGAGTTCTTTTCCGAATCGCATCGGGACTAACGTTGGTCGATTGCAGGGCTGTTTCACAGACTTTCCATTTCCAGACGGTATGAACTTGCGTAAATCTTCCATTGGGCAACACAAGGAACTGATCGGTAGTTCGTCCAGAAACTCCTGATTTCCCTCACGCAACAGATATGGCCAAGTACTTGGTTGCGTACGCCGAGCATTTTGGACTTATGCCACATGCACGCCTTAGCACCAATATCCACCGTGCAGAGTTCTCGGAAAAGACCAACAAATGGGAGGTGGAAATCTCACCAGTCGCTGGTGGACCCCGCGTAGTCGAAAAGTTCGATAAAGTGATCTATGCCATGGGACCAGACCAAGTTCCCAATATCCCTAAGGTCCCAGGAATCGCGAAATTTAAAGGGAACATTACCCACTCGATTGGATTCAAAGAGTACGGTTTGTCCTGACCCTTATTCTCCGCAAGTTCCTTGTGGTCGATTTTCTGGAAGCTAAAGGCGTTCTGCTCAATCGTACAGACCACAGGATTGGACTGGAAAGAGAGTCTTGGTAGTTGGATTTGGGAATACAGCAGCGGACATTGCGGGAGTCCTGGTGGGCGTTGCCAAGCACGTCTACCTATCGCACCGCGGCGGCGCCATTGTGGTACGTCTTGAGAACCGGTTTGAATGACAACGAAGTAGCTTGCAGGGAACTAACACTCTGAACAGCTCCCTCGATGGGTGGACGGGAAGCCGGTTGACCATGTCCGGACGTACCGAAAAGGGTTTCTGTTAGGCTTGCTCTCACGGTACGCCCCGGGTCTCTGGAAGACGACCGTGGACAGAGTCATTCTAGGGCTACGCAACCGGCTCTACGACTTGAAGCCTGAATGGCGGCTTGACCCGGCACCATCATTCAATCAGCAGCGGCCAATAGTTAGCGACAACCTGGTGAATAATCTTTCGAATGGACGCATTACTTCTGTGTATCCAATTGAGGAAGTCCTTGACGATACGACCGTCGAATTTAGTGACGGCACCAAGGTAGAAGTCGATGCCATCATCTGGTGTACTGGATATACCATCGATTACTCCATGCTTGGCAAAGCCAACCCTACCCTCTACCATGAACCGGAGGGAATCCCAGTTGCCAATGGTCGAAAGATGCCCCGTCTCTACCAAAATGTCATTTCCCTTGAGCATCCCGAGTCCCTCGCCTTCATGGGCAACCTGTCATTCATGAATCCGGCCTTCCTGATGTTTGACATTGCTAGCATGGCTCTCGCCCAGGTATGGAAAGGAAGGTCACCTCTACCCTCGAAGGCGGAAATGAGGCGCTCAGTAGACGAGCAGCACAAATGGATTGCAAGACTTGCCAGCAATGGCCCGGTGACGCCTGGCCTGGTCAGCGGAGTTGACTGGCTGGAGTGGGTCGACCAGGCGGCCGGTTTGGGGCTGCAAGAAAACCTCGGCTACGGCATGAAGGGCTGGTATTTCTGGCTTACCGATCATGAGCTCTGCAACATGGTTATGGATGGTCTGCTGCTGCCGTTTCATTATCGACTGTTCGACGCCGGCAAACGGAAGCCATGGAAGGAGGCTCGCGAATCGATCATCAAGGTCAATCGGCAGCTGAGGGAGAAAAATTGGTACCCGTAGTACCCTCCCTTGCGTTGGCAGATGGTTGGCATGGGGCTGGAGGTTTATTTCTTGCTTGTTCTGTAGCTAAAACGCCAATGGATCTTTAGTTGTATGTTTACTTGTAACATATTATTGATATTTGCACTCCCCCAGACTCGTGGTGGCTAATTGACGTTGAGCGACTATGTAAGATTAGTAGTACCAAAATATGTTCAAAAACCCTATATGGGCCCCGGTCTTGATCTTTACCTTCCCAAGAAATATTTCTCCCTTTGCTAACTAGTCATAAATGGGATGAAAAACTGCCCGGCTGTTCAACTTCGGCAGAACCTATAATAGGGATGGCATCACCAGTGCTTTCGGTCCCGAAATCAATCCTCGGCCCCGAGGACGCGATATACCCTCGGGCCCGAAGATGGCCCCACCTTAGTATATCATCATCATTCAATCCATACCTTTACACCAGCTTCTCTTCACACAAACATCCTTATCATCTTTGTGCTTCTTTCTCGTCAAGATGACCGCGAGCACCGACACACCACCAGCTTCGGAAACAAATCCATCGACGAAGGCCCCCGATGGCGAGACCACCCAAAATGAGAATAACCACGCTTCAGGATCTCGTCTGGCGCTGATTATGACGGCGATTCTCTTGGCCATGTTCCTTGTTGCTCTGGTACCTAGCCCCAATTCATTGCGATATAATGCTCTTCTGACAAAACACCTTTACTTAGGACCGTACAATTATTGCAACCGCTGTTCCGCGCATCGCAAATCAATTCCACGCCTTGAACGACATTGGCTGGTACGCGGGCGCCTACCTGATCACCAGCGCTGCCACTCAACTGCTGTGGGGGCGCATCTATACTTTCTACAACACCAAGCTCGTTTTCATTATTGCCGTCGTTATCTTCGAGGTTGGCTCCGCGCTTTGTGGTGGAGCTCCCAACTCGAACGCGTTCATTGTCGGCCGCGCAATCGCAGGAAGTGGTTCGGCGGGCATTTTCTCGGGTGCGACTGTCATCATCACCCAGATCATTCCTCTTGCAAAACGGCCCATGTATATCGGCTTTATGGGCTCAACCTTTGGCGTTGCCTCAATCGCTGGGCCCCTCGTGGGAGGTGCTTTCACGGATAGAGTGACCTGGAGATGGTGTTTCTATATCAAGTATGTATTTCTAGTCCCCACAGCGTCTTTTGTCCATATAGCTAATCTTATTATTTAGTCTTCCCATTGGCGGGTTTACCCTCGCGATTCTCGCCTTGTTCCTCCGTGTTCCCAAAGTCACAAACTCTGATCCATTGTCTCGTCAGTTGATCCGTCTCGATCCTTTGGGCACCCTTGTGTTCTTGCCGGGAATCATCTGTTTCCTCCTCGCTCTCCAATGGGGCGGGAACGACTATCCGTGGTCAAGCGGCCGGATCATCGCGCTGTTCGTGGTGGCTGGCGTTCTCATTATTGCGTTCGCGATCATCCAGGTCTGGCGGCAGGAAGATGCGACTATTCCACCGCGCATCATCCGCCAACGCAGCGTTTTCTTTGGCGCCATTTTTGCACTCTGCATCGGAGGAGGCATGATTTCCATGCTCTACACGCTGGCATTATGGTTTCAGGCCACCAAGGGAACCTCGGCGGTCCAGGCTGGCATTGACACAATCCCCGTCGTGCTGTCCCTGGTGATCGGGTCCATTTTATCGGGTGCCATGATTTCCCGGTTGGGATACTACGTTCCCTTCATGTATCTCTCGAACGTGCTGACATCTGTTGGGTCCGGCTTAATCACCACCTTTACATCATCCACGGGTCATTCCGCGTGGATCGGGTACCAGGTCCTGTATGGCCTGGGACTCGGTGTCGGCATGCAACAGCCCAGCATGGCCGCGCAGACAGTGCTACAGTGGAAAGACGTCTCCATCGGCGTGTCCATCATGTTCTTCATGCAATCGCTAGGTGGCTCGATCTTCAACTGCATTAGCCAGGCCCTGTTTACCAACTACATCCGGGCGCACCTCGCCGCGATCCCTGGTCTGGATGCGGAGAAGGTTCTGGCCACGGGTGCTGCAGAGCTGTCCAAAGTTATTCCTGCAGACAGGTTACCCCAGGTGGTATATATTTATAATGAGGGCCTACGGAGGGCGTTCATCGTCGTGCTCGCCGTGTCCTGTCTAACCATTTTGCCCGCGCTTGGTATGGAGTGGCGATCGGTTAAGCAAAAGCGGGAACAGATGAAGCAAGAGCATCAGCCCGATACTAAGGATGAGCCCAGTACTAAAGATGAAGTCTGAATGAATGCTATCCCATTTGAAGGGGCATTTTGGTTATTAAAGGAATGAGCGGTGGGGGAACTAATGGAGGAACGGCGGTTTATTTTGGAAAGAAATAACTCGTCTGGATCATAAAAAAACGAAGAAAGGGATCGGCCGGATGAATACCAGCATTGTACCATTTTTAGCATATGACTCTACTTGATTCCCTAATACTGTTTGACTTTCTATAGGTTATAATGTAATAAACGTTTTTAATTGATGTCTGCCAATGTAGAGTACAACTTGACATAGCTACAGCCCATGGGTTTCTAGATGCCTGAGTTGCAGCGGTATTCTTTTGCACAGATTTAGTCTAGGGACAAGTTTCTACTTCGTCCGGTCGGTCCTCCAAGTGCATACTATCCCTGGCCACCGATCTCCGAAATTCACAAATTGCCAAGAGCAAGCCACAGCCCTTATCTAAATTACTGAACATTGAGAATCAATCCTGATCTCTATGATGGTTATATGTTTCCTACCGTATAAATAACAAGATTTCAATAGTTGCAATTAGCGCGCGCTTTAGGTCGGTGGCCAGAGACAGTGATAAGCTAGAGCTTCAGCCCCGACCCGGAGCTGGATTCGGAACTTCGGGAGCAATCAGTGGCTTCGGGCCCGAGAGAATATCACAGTCGCAGCGCCACCCGGAAGATCTGAAAAATACATATTGCTATTGAAAGCTGCATGGGAGTAAAGCATTGTAGCATGCCAACTGCGGTCTTTCTGCTTCCTGTCAATTGCTGGTAATGCTTGCACCGCGCACAATTCACGTCTCTCGCATTGCCGCTACTCGCCGGTTTGTAACAGCCCGCTCCTCCAGATCGTTAAGTCCGCTCGGCCTACAACTACGCCCCCTTTGCCGCCAGCTCTCCATGTCCAGCCCCCTGGAGCGACAGCAACTGTGGGCGAACGCCCCGTTCGCTCTCATCACAGACACCGGCATAGATGCCCGCCCCGAAGTACCCCGAGACCATTACGCCTACGAGCTGGCTCGCATGATGGCGCACATCCACAATCTACTCCTCCGCGCCCTCAACGCCTCGTATAACCAGTGTCTGTCGGTCTGTCCGGACACCCCGGAGACGCGAGACTTCCTTGTCTTCAACCAGTGCCTGTACTCCATGCTGAAAAGCCACCATGACCAGGAAGAAGAGTCCCTGTTCCCGGCGTTCGGCCAAGTCACCGGCAACCCCGACGTGATGGCCGTCAACGTGCAGGAGCACAAGCGCTTCGAGACGGAACTGCAGAATTTCAGGGATTATGTTTTCGACACGGACCCGAAGGCCTACAGTGGGACGCAGCTGAAATCGCTCCTCGAGTGTCTCGGCCCGTTGGTCCAGGAGCACCTGCACCATGAGATCGGGACGCTGTTGGACCTTCATGTTGTAGACAGCAAGGCCCTCAAGGGAGTGTTCGGCTTGTCTAAAAAGGGTTCATCGGGCGAACCCCACGACATTTTCAAGTAAGTAGCGGTTGGATAGCTGTCATTGTGGAGAAGTCATTTGCTGATTGATTGCACTTTTGTCTAGGGACATCCCCTTCACCCTTACATGTGAAGACATTACGCTGCAGCTGGACGGCAAAGTGACGCCCCCCTTTCTCGGAAACCTTGCGCGGCAGTTGATCAAATGGACTGTGGGCTGGCGATACCCTGGTGTGTGGCGATTTGCGCCAAGCGATTTCTTGGGAAATCCGCGTCCTCTGTTATATCCAAACCCGTCGAATTCGTGATATATTGAGGGTAAAACTCAAGTAATAGGGATGGGATTATATGACACATTAGGTAGACGATGAATTCAACAAAAAAACTATTTTCATCGGCTTGTTGTCTCATCTTCATAATATCATTCTCCTACCACGCCCCAAATGCAAATCAATAAGCGCTGGGATGATTCCCCAAATATCCGCCGTCAGCCAACATCACAGAGCCGTTGCAGTACGCCCCCGCTTTGGAAGCCAGATAGAGGATCGTTCCTCCAATCTCCTGGGTGTCACCAAATCGCTCCTCAGGTGCCATGGAAGCAGGCAGTTTCCCCCCAGTGCTCTTGTAGAAGCCTTCCGTCATCTCTGTATGGAAATCTGCACGTTCCAGTTAGCCTTCCACGGATAGATTAAGGATACACGATTCCCCTGAAGAAGTTGCTCACATCCGGGCGCAATGACGTTCGCTCTGATCTTCCACGGAATCAGATACGTCGACAGGTTCTTGGTCATCTGCGTCGTCCCTGCCTTGCTGGCCCCGTAGATAAATGCCGAATTGTCTCGCCCGAAACCGCCGACACTGCTGAGCATCACAACCTGGCTGCGCACGTAGTCCTTTCTCCCTTTCGCCTTGGCCTGCTCGGCGCGCACCTTGTTCCCTTGGTCCAGCAGCTCCAGGAACGCAAACGACACTTGCAGGGGCGCGATCGTATTCGCCTCTAGGACCTTGGCGTAATCCGCGAACGACTTGTCAAACCAGTACTCCCGCACTGCGGAGACGTCCCACTTTGCATTAGGGCGCGAGGCGTGTGGCCCGAGATTTGGCGTTGCAATGCCCGCGTTATTCACGAGCAGGTTGACGTAGCCGTCCTCGTTGGCAATGTAATCAACCGCGTTTTGGAGGTCGTCCTTGGAGGTGATGTTGCATTGCACGGGGCAGATATTGCCGAATGTCTGGGATGGAGATGAGAGGTGTGTGCATCGGTGAGAGAGGGCAAACAACAGTACTCACAGACTGTTTGGCTGCCTCTTGGAGGACTTCTAGCCGTCGTCCGAGAATGAAGACTTTGGCACCGTTGGCTTCCAGCGCTTTAGCCATCATCAACCCCATTCCGGTGCCACCGCCGGTGATGACCGCGACACAGTCGCTGACGTCGAACAGCTCATTGTTCTGGAGGGGAATCTCGGAGGCTTTGAATGTCATCTTTTCTAAGGAGATACAATCGATGCAATGTTATGGTGTGGACAATACTGGTGGATGAGGACTGTCGCAATGATCACTTGAATATCGTACACTCGATAGAGGGTATATGCTTTGGCGAGGGACACGTCATGCTTTCCGCTCCAATAGACAGACCGACTTACAGACCTGAAGTCGGTCCGACTGCTCGAGGTACCGACAATACTTGATCCGCGCTCTGCTGATCACGAAGCACCCTGACTGTGCTCGGGTTGTCATCTCGGGCCCCGACACCCGACCGAATGTCTCGGGTCTCGGGAATCGTACATCCAACAGCCTGCGACTAGAAACGTAATGATCAAAAAATTTCTCTACGGCATGTATTGCTTGGATAGTCTGTGTAATAGAAACAGCTTGCGCATTCTGTGTAGTCCAAACACGCCACTACGTCCCAGCGACGTCAACGAACTCCTCGAGTCGCCTCACCAACTCCCCAACATTCACCCCCGAACTACTCGTTGCCCAGTGCACCAGCGAACCAAACCAAGACTGTTGTTGCCACTCCATATCATCTCGTGGCGACCTTGGTGGTAGTAGAACCGTATCGAGTTTGTGAACCACGCCATCCATGACGACGAGGTCCGGCTGCGCGATTTTCACTTCGTTGTTAATTAGGGGGAAGGAGGAATGGGAGGAATCACCCGTGTCGATGGAGATGCTGAGATTGTATCCCGGCACCAACGTAGGGAGATTTAGCTGCATTGGTTCGAAACTGTTAGCATGGGGGAGGGGATCAACGAAGAACGCCTGTCGGACTCACTGTCGATCCAATCTGGAGCGGAACCTCTCCCTGCCCACTCTCTTGGAAATAGACATCCGTAAACATCGTGCGGTTGGCCACGACGTGGTACTCGAGCAGAGCTTTCAGATATTGCCGTCCACCAGGACTGAACAGAAAGCGCTTAGTTTTGGACCCCAATTTGTCGAACGCGGCGTTGGATGGAGCGAACAGCGTCTGGCCCACATGGGTGGAGGTGTCGTTGATGGTCACCGCGACGTTCGTCAGGATGAGACCCTCTCGCAGCGTGGAAAAGTCAGGGTCGTCCCGAAGGAGGTCAGAGGTTGATTCTGGAAGCATGAGCACGCGGTCGACATGGTGGACGTAGCCGTTCACTCCAGCCTGCGAGCTGTCCGCGGTAGCATAGTGTGCCCTATAGTTAAATGAGAAGCGGTCGGATAGTCTCTGAAGACTGATGCGCTGGCGATATTTCTGGTAAATGTCCGCGAAAACAAACGACGGCGCCGTGTTCATCCGTGAAAGCGCATCCCGGCTGAAAGTTCCTGGTCCCATGTGGTAGCCGACCAGGTACAGCCAGTAGAATGAGGGGAGATTCCATTCAAACGTCTCGTGTTCGAATGCTTCGTTCGTGGGCACGAAGACGGTAAATTGAGCCTTGGGTGCCTTCAACCCCGCCACGATATGGGCGAAATCCCCCAAAATGTCTGCAAAGGTCGAGGTCCGGTTGTCGTTCCGGATCAAGTCCCAGACAGTCATCGAGGGGGGACTGTGGTCGATGGCAGTGGGCTCCGGTATGCGCAATGGTTGAACTTCCCCATGGAGTAGATTCCTCATGAAGAACTGGATGCCTAGTGCGATGGTCGCAACTACCACCGTCGCCCTCGTCACCCAGCGAACGATTTGTCTGCATCTTTTCCAATTTACCCTCATGCTGCCGTGTTGAAGGGCCCAGCAAGGACGGCGATCTGGCAGACAAATTCACTAAGAACGAGTTCCTGCAAGGAACAGGGCGGAACGCGGAGCTCACCCTTTGTCGTTGACGTAGTCTGGGTAAATAAAACTCGACGATCCTTCGGACTTAAGGACACGAGGCGTCCGTCGTCTTCAGGATCTCTTTATCCCGATCAGCGGCGGGGAGGTCTAACCCTTGCTACCCCGACGGCGAGACGCCCACAGCCCCCGCCACGCTCGGGGAATGAGAACATGCTGGATTTACAATGGCGTTGTCTAATAATCGCCTGTGGAAACATGTTCTTTGAAGAACCGCCCCTCCCGAATCCAACTCGCATGGTTCAATTTCGCTCACCATGAACCTCTCATGTCGCTACCAGGCCGTCTTGCTTCTTGCCCTGGCTGGGTTCGTCTCGGCCGCAGTGGTGAAAGAAGAGTTAACTCTAACATGGGAGCGGGGAGCGCCCAATGGACAGGCCAGGGAGATGATCATGATGAATGGACAATTCCCGGGACCGACATTTAGGTGGGATGAGGATGATGATGTTGAGGTGAGATCCGACGGTCTCGGCTACCATGAGGGCAACTATCGACAGTGATCATCTTTCGTAGGTATTGGTACACAATCAGATGCCGTTCAACACTACAATCCACTGGCATGGGCTTATGTATGCAGCCTTGAGATCCCACCATGAGGTCTGGCCCTGACCATACGCAGGATGCAGGATACGCCGTGGTCCGATGGTGTACCGGGCCTGACGCAAAAGCCTATCGAAGCGAATCAGTCGTTCATCTATCGCTTCAAAGCGTCACCCCCGGGGACTCATTGGTGAGCAGTACTCTTCTCCTGGAGCCCCCTATCGTTCCAGCATATCATGACTAAATAGCTTCGCCGATCCTTTTTAGGTGGCACTCCCACTCTCGCACCACATTGCTAGACGGGTTATATGGCGCATTGTACATAAGGTTCGGGCACTTCCCAATCTTCATGGAGACATCTCGCTGACTAATGAACCGACCCAAACCGACCAACCCAGCTCCCTGGGCACTCATCAGTAACGATCCTCGGGATATTGAAGCAATGCAGAGGGCCGTCGCCAATCCTCAGGTTATTGTGGTCTCCGACTGGACCCAGTTCAAGTCATGGGAATATATGGACGCCCAGGAAGCATCAGGATACGCCATCTTGTAGGCCTGCATGCATGACCTGCCCCCGAACCGACTCGTTATAACTAACCATTTTTCGCTCAGCTGCGTCGACAGCCTCCTCATCAACGGAAAGGGGAGTGTTTACTGCCCCGGTGAGGATTTCTTGGTCAACCATACGAGTACCTATATGAAGTGGGCGATTTACCCAGGCCACGTCAACGACAAAGGGTGAGCTAGCTCCCGCGTTCCGCCCTGTTCCTTTGCAGGAAAATTGTTCTCAGAAACTTGATAGATGTCTGCCATTCGTGATATCGACCGAAAACAAATACCTCGCTGATGGCCGACCGGAGGCGATCCCGATGCATCTTCAACGGGGCTGCGTTCCGGCAACAGGCGACCAAGAGATCATCGAGGTGGATCCCGCGGCGGAATGGGTGAGCCTGAACTTCGTGGACGCGTCGACGTTCAAGACGCCAGTCTTCTCCATCGACGGGCATCAGATGTGGGTGTACGAGGCGGACGGGCACTTCATCGAGCCTCAGCTGGTGGACACCGTCAAGTTCTACGCCGGCGAACGCTACTCGGTGATGGTCAAGTTGGACAAGAAACCACGAGACTACACGATCCGGGTGATGGACACCGGGTTGACTCAGATCATCGGCTCTTACGCCACCCTCAGATATAAGGGTGGTGGTCGCGACGACACTGGAGAGATTCAGGCCGTCATTAATTATGGAGGGTTGAACACCACGGCGGTTGTGACGCTCGACCGAGACCATCTCCCACCATATCCCCCCAGCCCCCCGGCAGCACACTCCGACGCGTTGCACCTATTAAACACACATCGGTGGCACAACGCATGGAAATACACCATGACGGGTGGGGGGATGTACGCGGAAGACCGAAGCGCATACGCTCCGCTGTTATACCATCCAAACTCTGCCGACGCGATGCACGAGAGCCTAGTCATCCGGACTAAGAATGGCAGCTGGGTGGACTTGGTGATTCAGGTCGGATCGCTGCCCGAACAGCCCCAGGAGTTCCCGCACGTCATGCACAAACACACGGGCAAGACGTGGCAAATCGGGGCCGGCGAGGGCATCTGGAATTACACCTCGGTGGACGAGGCGATCCAGGCCGAACCCACCAAGTTCAATCTCATGAACCCCAATTTCAGGGACACGTTCATCACCTCCTTCGACGGGCCGTCCTGGGTCGTACTGCGATATCAAGTGACCAATCCTGGCCCGTGGCTCATGCATTGCCATTTCGAAATTCATCTGGGCGGTGGTATGGCAGTGGCCATCTTGGATGGTGTAGATGCGTGGCCCGAAATCCCGCCAGAATATGCACCCGATCAGAATGGGTTCTACCTTGATGCGGATAAAGGACTATGATCGCCTTTAGAAACAGCATGGGGATCAAAATGGATACCGTGACTTTTGATTCTGACTTGGCTCACGATTTGTAGCTGCCTACTACGCGGACGCGGTATTGCATCGGAGGCAATGTGGGTGGATATTGTTGGAACATTTGCATGCTGCCCCTAGGCCATTCGTGTCGGACCCTTTCCCAGAGCGCAACCCGTCAGAGGCGCTCTATATGTACATACAACATGAAGTGAAGTAGTAGACCATTCAGCAAAGTTGTACGTATTGTATACAGAAAGCATGGGATACTACATGGATAGATTGATAGCCCCACCAAGTGCTAAACTGGACCAGCTTCCCAAGTCTTTGGAAGAGTGATAATGATGCTACAGTGGTATCTCCTATCAAAGCGCTGCCCGCTTCTACCTTGTCGCCGCGAAGACCGGCATTGAAATCCCACGTCAAGCTGGCCATAGGCAGCGAATCTGTCTCGCCTCTCCTGGGGGGCTTCTCTGACAAGCTCCAGGGACGCTATCGGGGATGGTCTCGGGAGTTTGGGTTAGACCCGATTGCGTATCTCGGGAGTTGGATCGGGATTAGGGATCAATCGGTGATCATCAACCCGAGCATGTCCCGAGCCCCGTCCAGGCCCCCGAACACTCGGGCTAAGATCGGCACCGGAGCGGCTTAGAAAGGCCGGGATTCAATCCCCATGGTATGGCCTAGAACTGTGCTGGATTGAGGGCGCTTCGTTCTCAGATGTAGCCAATAGACACAGCTTAAGTAGTAAACTTGAAGCGTATCGTATCTGGCAACGAATGAACGGGTCGGTCCAGTTGGAAATCATTCCTCTGCTGAAAGAAGACGGTGTGCGCGGAGCCCATGTTGTTTGTCCAGAATTCCTCGGTAGTATAAAGCTTTCAAAGCAATTCAAGAAATAATCCTCTGTGGAGAGTTTTCCCGAAGAAGTGAATTACGGCGCACAATATTTGGACTTTCGAACTGTTGTATTCTGTACGCAAAATGATTCTAACAAACGAGGCTGCTGAACCCGCGTCACCCGCACACGACGTCGGCTCCCAGAACGAGCTCCCCAGCCCCTCTAATGGGACAACTTCGGAGTCCTTGCTGGAGGATCTTGCTACCAAGATTCAGGAGAATGCGGGTCGCATAAGTTCGTTCCTGCGTGACAATGGCCACACTTTACCGTCGTTCAACGTGGACGCCCCTGCTACCACCCTGCCAGCCTCGGCCCCAACCGAGATCCACGCCGCAAGACAGGCGCTGATGGAGGCTGCTTTGCAGACGTTCCAGTTGGCGGCGGGACCCAGCGAGTATCTGCCACACCTGGCGGTTGGTGTACGTATATGGCTTTTCTTTTGCGGGATGATGATCGTCGTTGCTGAACATGCTCCCACACTCACTCACCGCAGTATCAATATGTCGCCTGTTTGCGATGGTTAACCCATTTTGGAATCTTCGCTCGGGTTCCTCTCACCGGTAGCGTCTCGTATAGCGAGGTCGCAGCGTCCGCGAATGTCTCTGAAAGCCAGTTGAAGACGGTGGCCCGGATGGCCATGACGAACCATGTCTTCTGTGAGCCGGAGCCAAATACCATCGCGCACACCGCGACCTCTGCCCTACTGGTGACCAACCCGATGTTCCACGACTGGGCTTCGTTTATGTGTGAGGCATCGGTTCCGATGGCGTCGAAGTTGGTCGAAGCCTCCGAGAGGTGGCCGGGAAGCGTGGAAAAGAATCAGACGGCATACAACGTTGCTTTTGACACTGATCTTCCTTTCTTCGACCACCTCGCCACTTTGCCGAAAAGATCAAAGCAATTTGCGAACTACATGAAGAACGTCCAGAATAGCCAGGGCACGGCGATTCATCATCTTTTGCAGGGTTATAATTGGGCCGCCTTGGGTGAAGCAACAGTCGTTGATGTCAGTACCTTCATTTCCGTTCTTATTTCCCTTATCAAAAAGTGACTGAGTGGATACTCTGCTTGCCTCCGTTCTTCTGGCATTTACGTCCTGCTTCACTTTCTCCTTCGTGCGACGAGGAAACTAAATAATTGAGAAGGTCGGGGGCTCCACTTGTGCCGCCAGTATCGCACTCGCCCGTGCATTTCCAAGCCTCAATTTCATCGTGCAGGACCTGCCAGAAAACGCCGCAAACGCCGAAGCGGCGATTGCTGAGCAGCCGTCGAGTATTGCATCCCGGATCTCCTTCCAGGCCCACAATTTCTTCGAAGACCAGCCCTATAAAAAAGCGGATGTCTACCTCCTGCGCATGATCCTGCACGACTGGCCCAAGCGCGAAGCGACGGCCATTCTCAAGAACCTCCTCCCAGCGCTGAAGAAGTCCTCGCAGATCATCATCATGGACACGGTCCTCCCGCGACCGGGTTCAATTCCGTCGGCAGAGGAGCGTCTGCTTCGCGCAAGGGATATGACAATGCTGCAGGCTTTCAACAGCCTGGAGAGAGATCTTGATGATTGGAAGGAATTGCTGAAGGGCGTCGACGAGACACTTTCTCTCGTAAACGTGGTGCAACCGGTTGGGAGCGTGATGTCGGCCATGGAAGTTGCGTTCAAGGCGTGATTTTGAATTATTGATGGAAAACGATTTTCCTTTGCTGGTTGAACACTTGCCTATTGCGTGTCAAGGCTTATATAGGTCGAACCTTGAGGCAACGAGTTTGCTTTATTCACTGTTTATCTCACAATACTTCCCACCGTTCCTATACAGAATTTTCTCCACGCTTAATGTTTCGTTGGAGCACCACCATAGATGTAATTCATACAATATGGATGAAGATCACGCGACATCTTGGTAGCACTTTCCACCTACTAGAACAAAAATGGCAATGATCTTATGTCCAGAATTTCATTTCGCTACAGAAGATGATTGAAAGTCACGTCTACAAGGGCGGCCATCATGTGATCGGAGAGCCTTCCGAAGATATTTGCACTGTTTGCATCCCTCCATGGCGTTATCGCCTTACATAATCCGGCTTATCGGCGATCCTTCTCGACGTCGATCAAAACAATCGAGTCATTCCTCCATCAACCACCATCCATCCTCGCAATAATGACCGCCTCTCTCATGGCAGCAGCCCTCCTGGCTGGAGGTGTCTCTGCAGCTCAACTCCCTCTCATTCAACCTTCCCAGATTCCTCAATCCCCTCAATTCCCGATCTCAGCGGGCGAGAAACCGCTAGTCAGCTCCGACGCCCTACAGGAGCAGATCGATCCGGACAGGCTGCTTCAGCGAGCCAAGACCCTCTACCGCATTGCTGAGCAAGGCATCGATGAATTCAACCACCCGACTCGAGTGATTGGCAGCAGGGGTATGCTCTAGACATTGTCCTCCGTCTCCTACCTCTCCATCCCTTGCATTCCCGTCCTAATACATAACAGGCCATCTCGCGACCTTGGACTACATCTATTCGACCATCATCGGCCTGGGCGACTATTATACCATCTCAAACCAATCGTTTCCCGCTGTCACAGGGAATGTATTCGAATCACGGCTCGTGCTGGGTCATGAGGTGCCGGAATCGGCTCATCCGATGGGGCTAACGCCCGGTACGAAGAACAAGCAGCCCGTTTACGGACCCCTGAAGCTTGTCGCCAACCACGGCTGTGAGAAGTCCGACTATCCCGACCTAACTGGTGCGATTGCCCTGGTCAGCCGCGGTACGTGTCCTTTTGGCACCAAGTCCGAGCTGTCCGGCCAGGCCGGCGCCGTCGCCGCCGTGGTGTATAACAATGAGAAGGGCGACCTTAGCGGCACCCTGGGGACTCCATCGCCCGACCACGTTGCGACATTCGGGATCTCGGATACCGACGCGGCGCCTTTTATCAAGCAGCTGAAGGAGGGCAAGAAGGTGGACTCGATTGCCTACATGGACGCTACTGTCGACACGATCTCCACCACCAACATCATCGCGCAGACTACGGGCGGAGATCCCGAAAACTGCGTCATGCTGGGCGGTCACAGTGATAGCGTGCTGGAGGGGCCCGGTATCAACGATGACGGTTCTGGATCGCTGACTCTGCTGGAAGTCGCGACGCATCTGAGCCGGTTCGACGTGAACAACTGCGTGCGGTTCGCCTGGTGGGCTGCCGAGGAAGAAGGCCTCCTCGGTTCGGACTACTACGTCTCCGTCCTGAACGAGACCGAGAATCAAAAGATTCGTCTGTTTATGGACTACGACATGTTGGCCTCACCCAACTTCGCCTATCAGGTGTACAACGCCACCAATGCCGTCAACCCGACCGGATCGGAGGAACTCCGCGATCTGTACACAGAATTCTACCAGGACCACGGCGTCAACTTCACTTATATCCCGTTTGATGGTCGTAGCGACTACGACGCGTTCATTCGCAACGGCATTCCTGGTGGTGGTATCGCCACGGGAGCCGAGGGCGTCAAGACCAAAGAAGAGGAGGCCATGTTTGGTGGTATCGCGGGCGACTGGTTCGATCCGTGCTATCATCAGATTTGTGACACGGTGGACAACTTGAATCTGACAGCTTGGGAGCTGAACACGAAGGTAAGTCCTTGATTTCTTATCGTGTTAAACTGCAGCTTGTTACTAATGGCATATGCACAGTTGGTCGCGCATACAGTGGCTACGTTCGCACGCTCCTTCGAGGGCTTCCCTGAGCGGTCGAAAGTGGAGAGCACTTCCGTTGAGCGCGAGGAGCGCGAGGAGTTCAAGTACCATGGCCATAAGCTGCAGATGTAGTGGTCTATCCTAGTATTTGTTTTCGGGTCTGTGATAATTTTTTTCGGGACAGCTAGATTGTACGTAGTATAAGTGGTGGGTTAATTTATCATACTTGGCTAGCAATATATCTATATATGCTTTGAAATAATCAAACTGTTGACTGGAGTTTATGTCATAATGCTTTCGAGCAAGGGTACTCCTAATTACCAGTATCATATAACATACATCACTAAAAGCTTCTGGAATATCAAACATCGATCACGCCAAAAGAGACATATTTTAGACATTACATTGGACATATATCTTCCTTCAAATATGGCTCCATGACACATTACATTTACCCCAACCGAACAAGAAGAAAGCACACTACCAATCAGCAGACGAAATTAACTAATTCCCTGCCACAAAAGTCTGCTTCTCCTTCTTAATCCTCTTCACGACCTCAATATCCACCTTCAGCGTCTGAGCCACCACATCCGCCGGCGTCAGGGCAAGCCACTGCGCGAGCGAGATGTCAGCCACGCGATCACTCTTGTAGATCTCGACCCAGATAAGCTTCTCGGTGTCCGAGGTGTTTTCGATATAGTGGCCTGCACAATTCTTTTGTTAGGATGTTTATCCTCGACGGAACAAGAACCTGGGGTGATAGAGAACACAAAGAGAAGAGAAAGAGGAAGACACTAACCACTATCTTCAGGAAATACCCCAGTATCACCAGCGCTGAAATCGAATGTCCGTGCCTTCGAGTCCCCGATGAAGACTGTCGCGCGCGCTTGGCCGCGGTGGAAGTAGAGCCATTCTTCGGCCTAGTAATTCATTCATTCATTCATTGTGTTAGCACATCGCCATCCACAACGTGAACCCAAACCCGAAGAAAGCCACACCGCAAGGACACATACATTAGGATGCCAATGCAACTCCCTCAACCCCCTCGGCTCGAGCTCCACAACAGCCGCAGCAATAGTCTTCGAGATCGGGAAGTTCCTCGAGTCGATTTTGTGCAGCACGCCGCCTGTTCCTGGCACTGGCTCCGCGGGATGGCTGTACGTGCGGTACACGTAGGAGCTGTTTCCCGTGAGCGTACCTTGCGGCGTGTCTGTCGCTTCTTCGCTGACTGTGCCGTTGAGGATATATGGGAATTTGGACGGTACGGTGTCGAAGACGGACGGGTCGACGCCGAAGTTCTTGGCGAGGATGTCTCGTGGCGTGTGTGTGATCCAGTCGTCGAGCATGAATGTTGTTCTTTGAGAGGGATATTTTGTTAGTATTGTGTATCGGAATTGGGTATTTGGTAGGGGGGGGTAAATTAAAAGGGTTTGTAACAAGGGAGGAAGGGAAGACGAACCCGACTTTCTCGAAATCCCCATCATCAAAAACAAGCAGGTATTCATTCTCTTCATCGAGACCTTGCACATTATGCGCAACACCCTTCGGGAAATACCAGATATCCCCCTGCTCGAGCTTCTGGGTTGTGAAGCCACCGTTTTCGTCGACGCCGGAAAGAAGCAGAGAGCCTGCGTATAGGAAGCCCCATTCTGCCTATCGGGTTGTCAGTCCTCGACCCTATTCATTCAGTGGCAGCAGGTAAATGTAAATTGGACATACAGTACGATGCCAATGCAACTCTCTAATCGCCCCCTTTCTCAAATGTTGCTGTGCCCCTGCAATGTCGCGACTGGCCGGTAAATCCTGGACGACTTGCTCGCGCGACCAGCCTCCGTTAAATATCTTGGTCTTGGAGTCGGAGAAGCTCCATTTCAGGTTCGGTACGACGCCATTGTCGGTTGAAGGGCGGCCGAGGTTGTCTGGATTCTGGAGGTCCAAGGGCTCGTTGGTTCCGCCTATATGTTATTGCTTGGGTTAGCGAGCATAAGAGAGATCCCTGGGGATACATACCGAGGATAGAAGCGCCTTTTCCCGTGTCATCTATTGGTTGGCCGTCTGAAAAGCCGGATTGTTTGTCCAGGACAGTGGCTCCTAGGATGAATGGGACGGAGATGATTAGTTGGAATAGCAAGGTCGGTTTCATGATTAAGAGGGTGATGAATGAGGAAAGCCTGGATCTGAAGTCCAGAGAATATAGATCGTAAATTGCAAGGAGAATTCATATAACTTCAAGTAATACCTGGCGAGGAAAGAAATCACTAATCCGATATCACAACATCCCCTCGTTATCTGACGCCAGCTCTATCGCATCCACTATAAGCACTCGTAGAGTTCAATAAACTCGTATCAGTCTAGCACCGTCCTTCAATCATCTTCCCCATGCATGATAAGCACCAATCAGGATCAGATGCAGCAGAAGATCGGCATTCCACGTATAACGAAATTCTGCGCAGTGTCACGAAATCAAGGGTTTAAAGCATTCCTAGCGGAAAGACAGGGCCAGGAACATGCCCAAACTAAGCTTATCAGGGCCTAGAGCCAAAGTGCAGAACTCTGAGTGCAGCATTATTTGAAATGAGCGGCTCAAAGATTAAAGAATATCTGATGGCGCCATCTTCTTCGGCGTAGCCCTAACTTAATTAGAATGTGAGGGCTGAGGATTCCAGCCTGTTTTAGCCAGCTCTCAGTGTTTGAGGGCTTTATTTGCTTGTTTGATGAGATCTGCATTTGGATTAACGTATTCCAATCTATGACATGCATTTCCTTTCCCTGACGAGATGCGCTCGTGCTGGCTGTTCTGCTTTGACCACGATTCGGATTCGTGCTCGCCCAGATTAACATTTTACACTAGGTCGTATACCGACACATAGACTTCAAGATAGTTATCTAGCTGATTTCTATGACATTGCTCTATTATCCGATCGCGTTATAAATCGTAAGTTCGTTATGAGCAGTTTCATAGTCGCCATCATCGGCAGATCACCACTACTTTGGCCAAAGACTGTGTATGCCATGGAGCTATGACGAACGGCAGCTAGCGTCCCCAGTACTGTACCTTACAGCTCTAGTCGATCGAGGATACTATGGGTCATCTTCCCCAGAGATCACGACATAATGTGGGTTCAAAATCGTGATCCTTTTGTTAACGCCCCTTGCGTGGCTGGCCTCCCTGGCAAACCCCGATAGATGGTGTCTAAGACCTCGAGGTCTCATTTCAATTGACAGCATGCTTGATACTCAACACAAATCAAAAACAAAACACAACTTGCGTGATTAGATACAATTATTTCGTGTGATGTAGGGGAACTGGGATGCGAGGTGTGATGTGTGTATGCAAGATGCAGAGCGGTCCTGGAGAAACAAGAGACACTTTGATGTCGAGAGACGAATATATAAACGAGCAAAAGGCCGGCCTTGGTTCAATTCCATTCGACAATTCAATATCCTACAGCGACAAATAGGCAGATCGACAACCCAAAGGTGGCAATTGACTATTCTTCGTCTTCATTTCGCCAGCATGAAGTCCACAATCGTTCATCTTACCTCCCTTGTCTCCCTCGGACAATGTCTCTCCTTGCCACCGTTGATCCCCAGCATCCCGGGTGTGACCGAGCCACTGAATGACCTTTCGCCCCCTCTTCCTATCTTACAAGTTCCGACACCTGCGTTGGACAGCCCCCCATTCACCCCAAGTGAGATCAAGCCCAAGAAGATCGGTTACTTCTGGACTGGCTCGGGTGATAAAGAGCATAAGGGTGAGTTTCCTAATCCTACTACCTGGACTCCATTTTTGACTGAAGTATAGATTTCTTGGCTACGTACAGTCTGGATGATGTGAGTCTATGCTCCATCTTGGGCCGGATTAGTATGCTAATGACGACAGGACACATTTGGCACTCTCATCTGGATAACCGATGTCCCGTCTAGTGGCAACGATCCCCACCATTTAGGTCCTTCCCTTGATGGAAAGACTCTTGTTGGAGGCGGACTTCTCTCTCTACTCAAGACCCAGGTGAGTTCGTTTTTCAGTATCACCAACCGATCGCTGACCATGACCTCAGGATACCGCATTCTACTTTGACACCTCCAACCCCTACCGCCCCAAGTTCAAGAAAAGTAACCGTGGCATCCTAGCCTCGATTGCCGATGAGATCCGTGCCAAACCCCAAGGCGGCTTCTACATCACTTACATGGGCTCTGCAGTAGGCACGTCACCCGGTCGTCTTATTGAGACCGACGCCGAATTCAACATCATCCAGGAGTGGCCGGAGGACGTCGAAGGGACCTTAAATATTCTAGAAGAGCAGTTCTCGCCCCACGGATTAAGCATTGACTGGAAGAGAAAGTTTATTCTGACCTCCGACTTCGTCGAGCCGATCAGTATCCTCAAGCCGAGTACGGGGATAAAGAGGGCGAATACACTGCGTCTGTGGGATTTAGATTCGAAGAAGATTTTGAACACGATTACCATTCCTGATGTGAGTTAGCGAATTAGAGAGCTGTGTGAACGGAGACTGATTTGTATATAGGGCGGCGGTATCCAAGATGTCAAGTTCATCCCTGGCAACCCCGATGGTGCCGCTCTGGCCACGGCAGTCCATCTGGGCCAAGTATGGATCATCTATCCCGGACAGGCAGACGAGAACGGAAAGCCAGGACGCGCTGAGCTTCTATACGATCTAGGTCCTAAAGCGCGCGACACGGTGGCTATCTAGTAAGCCAGCCTCCCAGGATTATCCCAGTACTCTTCATACTAACAGAACCGCAGCACCGACATCACCCAAGATGGTCGCTTCTTCTACCTTACCCTGACCACTGCAAACCACGTTGCAGCTCTCGATATCAGTGATCTCAATAACGTCAAGCGTCTGGATGATCCGGACGAGGAACAGCCCACTGTTGGCCCTCATTATGTCAAGGTCACGCCTGACCAGAAACACCTTGTCGTCACGGATTACTTTGTCCAGACGGGCGATATCGGACTGATAAATACGCTTGCTGACTTCAAAGCTCTGTACATTGATTTAAATGACGACGGAAGTCTGCAGTTCAATCGGTCCATCGACTTTAACAAGGAGTTTCCGGAACGTGGAGGAGGAAAGCCGCACTCGAGTGTGGTGTTTGATCTGACCGATCCGAAGAATCCTTACTACTATTAGTGTTTATATTCTTCTTCTCCCTTCGTTCTGCTCTTGTATTCTTCTCACAAGGAATAGACTTTAATAATTGACTGTCCCTTCACCTTCCTTTCGGTTCTTTCACACAACCTATCTTTTCTATATCTTTGTATTACCTCTTCTTCCTCTTCTTTTCTTATTTTCTTCATGTCTTGGTTCTATCTTGGGTAAACTTTCTACTATTTTCAATAATTTATCCCTTCTTTGGTCGTCAACCGATGGCTGAGTATTAGGTAATGGAGGCAAAAAAGCTCTTATCTTGTCGGGCATCTTCTCTAACTGTATGCACTCCAAGGCATTCTGTATCCAAGTTTTTACCTCTATAATCTAGATATAATATTCAATATACTGTGCTTTCACCCAAATATCACGAGAAGTGTTGTCAAAGTTGTAACTAAACATATCGCTTTAGTAATCAGTAGTTATCTAGGGTTTCAATATTGAACAGATAGACGCGTATCCAAGTCCAAAACTCCGAATCTAAGGGATGAAGTGATGCTAGTTATAATGTTGAATCAATCATGAATAAAAATACAGATCTGCGCCAGACAGTAGCATACATATATACTAGACTACTAGTGCATGCATGGCCTCGGCAACTGTCTCCATCCGAAACAGCCCTCATGTACCTCATTGTACATCCCTGTTCATCTCAGCTGCAGGTATCACTTCTTTATTACTTCGTTTATTAATCCCCTCAACTCCACCAGACAAAAGTACCGGAGTATCACCGAATCACGTGTGGATGAGGCACAAAGAGGGGTTTGTCCATCCTTCTTCCCGGACCTTCACCTTTGCTTTCTCTCAGACAACCGAGTCCATTCCGTTTAAACAATATAGCATCAGACCCGGTTTCCAAAAGCCCAGTTTAAAGCAACAATGACCGTCTCCATCCACCCCGACCTCCCAATGCACCAACGCGCCGCCGTCCGCCAAGGAACCGGCGAATCAGCCACCACCTCCATCCAATCCATCCCCATCGACCAGCCCGGTCCGGGCCAAATCCTCGTCAAAATCACCTGGACCGGGCTATGCGGGTCCGATAAGTCGCTGCTCCACGACGAGTGGAAAGACTTCGGCATCACCATGATGGATCAGACGAAGGGTATCGCAGGCCACGAAGGCGCCGGCGTCGTGGTCGCCGTGGGCGAAGGCATGCAGCGACGGTGGAAAGTGGGCGACCGCGCCGGCGTGAAGTGGATCGCTGCGACGTGCGGGGAGTGCGAGTTCTGTCTGAATGGTGTCGATGAGGTGCATTGCGTCAATCAGATTAATAGTGGATTTTCGGCCCCCGGCACGTTTCAGGAATATTGTCTTGCCGATGGTCGCTATAGTTCGAGGATTCCGGATGGGGTGGCGGATGAAGAGGCGGGCCCGATTATGTGTGGTGGTGTCACGGCTTATACCGCTTGTAAACGGTGGGTTTTTACTTCTCGTCTTTCTTCCTGGGTTCTAGGTTTTCGAGAGCTGGGGTTAGGGTTGCGCATTGCTAATTGAAGTACAGATCCGGTGTTAAACCCGGGCAGTGGATTGTTCTCCCCGGCGCGGGAGGCGGACTCGGCCATTTGGCGATTCAATACGCACGGGCGATGGGAATGCGTGTCATTGCCATTGACGGAGGGGAACAGAAGCGAGAACTATGCGAGAAGCTCGGAGCGGAGGTATTCATTGACTTTACAAAGACGGCCGATATTGCGGTCGAGATCATGAAGATCACGACACATGGTGCGCAGGGCGTCATTGTCACCGCGGCCACTAAACAGGCGTATGCGACGGCACCTACGTTCCTGCGACCGAACGGAACAGTCGTCGTGGTTGGATTGCCCAAAGATGCGTCAATCTTGGCGGGCGCGCCGCCGCTGTTGATGGCGCTGAAGAGGCTAAACATCGTTGGGAATATCACGGGCAGTTTGAAGGACGTGGAAGAGGCGCTGGACTTTACGGCGCGAGGAATCGTTCGTGTAAGGCTTCCCATCTTGTTGCGTTTGCCATACTAACGATGTTAGCCGGTTCTGGTTAAGGGAAAGTTGGAAGATCTGGGCTCGTGGATTGAGAAGTTGAAGAATGGTCAGCTGGCTGGTCGGGCGGTCTTGCAAGTTGCTGCATAAGAGCTGGTCTTCTGTCAGTTTATCCAGGCGTTTGTTGGTCATAGGGTGGAAGCCGGAGTTGCAAGGAGGTGGTGCGATTTGAGTATGACGGGAGCAGGCTTATGAGGATTAGGAGTACTGGGTAACCTGTAGAGTTGATTATGTTGTTTTCAAATAGCAATGACAGGTTTGCGCTGAATGTCTGATGTCTTTCATTCCAAGAACTCTGTTGTTATCCAAGTCAATTTCAACTGTGCCAATCAACCTGATATCTGGATCTTATGTTTACTTTGACGTTATTGTATAAGAACATGATCAATTCGCTAAATCTAACAGTCCATGTTAGATTAATCCTCTTACAAAAGGGGTGCCGAGAGTTCGAATTCGAGCAGGCATGTCACGTCGAAAGTGAGCAACTGGGATGCCCATAGTTCGTCTTGTAAGACAGACGACTCTATTACAGCATCTAGCCTCGTCTCCCCACATGACTACTCATGCGGTAGATCAAAGGGCCAGATATCTCTAAGGTCCCTTTCACTCCTTATCGGTTCGTCGTCATCTGGATCTTCGTTTGTAAGCACGGCATTCAGCATCCCCTTGAACATAGCCTCGTTTTCTCTCTTTGCTGTTTCCCAGTTCTCTGGGGGGACCCATCCATCAGTTTCACAGCCAAGCAAGCCTGACAAATCACGCTTCAGGTTCTGGGCCGCCTCGAAACGCCTGTACTCTTTCTGATGCAGAGTAGTTTCTTGGGTTGTCGGTAATGGGAATGGACACGACCCAGAAAATCCAAGTTTCTCCCACTCTTTAGAGGTCTCGATAAGCTCATGCCGGAAGGCGACGGCACCAACTTTCCATGTTCTGTAGGAGTACCGGAAAGGGCGAAACATGCCTTCATCCATTAACCTGGGTTGAGAGAGTTTTGGCATAAGGTATTGGGTAGAGGCTTCGTATATCTTCGCACAGAGCTCGCTCTCATTTACTTCCTGAGTAGACGGTGAAGGCGCATAAGCTGCAAAGTCCGGAATTTCGTCTGCATACCAGAAAGCCGGCTCTATGCTGGATGACTGCCAGTCAATAATACTAGTTATTATCGAAGGGTCTTTCTCCGAAACGAATATGTTCCGTTTATGGAGATCGGGGTGAAACAAGGTCGGTTTGGCCGCGTCGCAAACTCGACTATCCTTGGTCATGGCATCCAGCACCTGACGACCTTGCTCAAGAAGGGTCAAGTGTGCCGGTATTGAGCCATGATATGACGATTGATTCGAGGGCTGGTAGTTCCTCGGGGGTACCCTTGAAATACCGGCATCGATGAGGCCATCGGAATATGCGCCAATAGTCAACCCTTAATGTGTAGTCTTAGCACTGATCTCCTAACGAATTGGGATATACTGACATGGGCCTCGATTAGGAGGTGCATACTGGTAATATCTGCCATCGCCACAGCCCCAATATCTGGTTCCACAATGAGGCCCAATGCAGAATTCGCCATCTAGCCGTAGCCCTGAGAGAGACCCCAGCTGGGTAGTGGAAAAATAGAGGCTTCCGTATGCTGGAAAGTTGATGTCGGTCATTTCCCTGAGCTTCCTGTAAATGCCGTCTATACATCTAACTTTCTGTTCCCCGGACATATAGGGCCATTTTTGCTGTAGTGGAACACCAGCTGCGTGTTCCATGATGATATACTCGCTTCCAACATTGTTCTCTGCGTCGTCGCTCCAGTCGAGGATTTTAGGAACCGGAATACTGGTATTCTTTTGCACTGTTGATCACAAATAATGAGCCAAAACTAGATATTTCTGGGACATCCTTCCGCGTACAGTATTGAATCGTCGCCACTTCAGAAGCCGTGGCTAATTTCGCGGGACCAGCAAAGGTGAATGGTAGTCGCGCCACAATGCGTGAATTGTCGTCCATAGTAAAGATGAACACCCGGTTGAAGCCGCCTTCCTGCTTCTCATATTTTCTGATCGAATTTGTACCTTTAGACAAATCCACTATCTTTTGACAAAGACGCTCAAAATCAAAATCAATCTGGCGTATCTGACGTTCACGCTTATCGTTCCGAAGCCATCGACCGCTTGTGTATGGATGAGGATCGACCCCTGAACTCGTGTTAGCCTCAATCTAAATGAACTACAAGGATTCAATAGTTCTTACTCGCAACAGATGATCGGTTCAATACTCGCCCCGAGAATGATCGTACGCGACTAATATTGGAGTAGAGAGAAATGATATGGGGAATGACGGAAGGCCAGATACGATGAGGTCGTGGAGGGTGGTAAGATGCAAACCAAGGCACTTGCAGCGCCTGCAACGCACTCTTACACCTCATTAGACAAGGTCTCGGTCAAGAAGCAATTGAACTGCAAGTATCCCAGAATTAACTCAATATAATCTCGGTAGACATTTGATTCTCTGCTAGTGTGGAGTTGGGGGTGGGGCGGCCCGTGCCTAGCATGAGTAGCATCGATCTGAGAAAATAGACGGACATATAACGGAAAGTTATGCTATTGTCTGGTCCTAGAGCGAGTAAGTGAGGCTCCATAGCTGCATCTGCATTCTACAGCCCTTTCTGAAAGATATGCTTGGCCCTTCGAGCACGATTCGGACTTCGGCGGATATGTTGATCCCTCCCGATCCCACTGAGTCAGCCGTTCCTCCAAGTCAGGGGCGCAAGCATCATCAATCATCATCATGCCCCGGACGCGTCGCCTTCTTCGAGAGGAAATCACCTACTCCCATGCCAAAGAGCGGGAGGTGAACATACTTCATCAGCTGGGTTATCTCGACCAACAGTCTCGCTTCTTCTCCCATCTCTACGCTAGACGCGATTGGATGAAAGCTGTTGTTGTTCATCACCTGAACTTGAACTCGACGGGCGCGTGTCATATTCCAAAGCCCGAGGACTGGTACCGCGGTAGCTTCAATGTCTGCATTCCCATTACCATATGTGACTGGAAGCGTCGTCAACAGCCCGGAAACCGTGTCCTCCTCCGATTTCCGCTACCCTATCGTATCGGGGAGGATTTTAGGCCGGGAAATGGAGACGAAAAGATCCAATGTGAAGCTGGCTCCTACGCATGGCTCCAACAAAATTGCCCAGAGGTTCCAATTCCACGACTCTACGGCTTTGCTCTGTCAACAGGCGAAACAGTACGTGCCCAGGTGCCAACTTCTTCATACGAGCAAGGTACCTAATTCTTGAAATCTAATTTACACGGTCTGAGAATCTTCCTTTCCTGAGCCGCTGCTTCGAGTCCCTACGCCGTTGGTTACTATCCTGTTTTCGCTTCCCGTTACCTGCAAATTATGTTCGTCATCCCATGCAAACGACTGTCGACGGAGTCAGCAATGCAGGGTACTTGTTGATTGAGTGTATCGAGGAAGCTCAGGGCACGATGCTCTCAAATACCTGGATGCAAAACCAACACAACACGGAGTTGCGAAAGACATTCTTCCGAGATTTGTCCAGGATGCTGCTCAGTCTGAGCAGAATACCTTTGCCCCGTATCGGCTCGTTTATCATCGACAGAGAAGGCTTCTTGACCTTAAGCAATCGCCCCCTTTCAATGGAGCTTCAAGAACTGGAGAATGAAGAGATTCCGACCGGTATATCCCGTGATTATACCTACTCGAGTGTCGAGTCCTACGTGGCGGACATCTTGGCAGTCCACGATAGTCGCCTAAAGAGCCAACCTAATGCGGTGAATAATTTGCAGGACTGCGGCTATCAGATGTCAGCACTAGCAGCAATGCGGACAATACTTCAATTGTTCTTATGTCGGAACCTGCGCCGTGGCCCCTTCGCTTTTATGCTGACTGATCTCCACCAAAGCAACATCTTTGTTGATGAAAAGTGGCATATCACAAGCCTAGTCGATCTCGAATGGGCTTGTTCACGTCCTGTGCAAATGATCGAGCCTCCTTACTGGTTAACTAACCAAGGCGTTGACGAGATTGATGTCGAGAAGTTTGACAAGCTTCGACAGGACTTGATGGCTATTATGTGTGCCGAAGAAGCAGAACACTATATAGAAGACATCTTGAGGGACGCAGAGGGAACGCCGCTACAAACATCCGAAATCATGGAGCAGTCTTGGAAGACAGGCACCTTCTGGTACTCACTGGCACTGTCCAGTCCGACCGGTCTATTCAGGCTGTTCTACGAGCGTATTCAGCCGCTTTTGTCCAATCATGGCTCAGATGACATTGGTGAAATCATGCCTTTTTACTGGGACAAAAACGTGGGAAAGTTTGTAGCCACTAAACTCTCTGATAAGAGGAAGTATGATCAAGAGCTTCAGTTAGCCTTCACAGCAAGTAACGTTGAAGGCTAACTATGTGACTAACGGCGCTCGATTTGGCAGGTTGTTAAGCTCACCATTTAGATCATCTCAATCGCGGTTGTCTAGTAGATCGCATCCCTCCACCTCCGTATTGGATGTGAGGAAGTATATACCCCTTCCGAGGCAAACTAACCTTGATTCCTTGCCTACAGCGCCCCATTAGTGGTGACAGGGTGTGACAACGGGCGTAGTAAAGGCAGCACTGATTTTCCAAAACGATGGCGGAAATTGTATATGCCTTACATGATATAGCAACGCGGAGTCTGGTATGAGATGATATACACCCCTGCCAACATGAGCATAAAGCCTAAGGGATCGACGAGAGGATCTGTAGGGACCATCTGAAGGGAGTTGTCCGTGGGTTAATACAACATAGCATCTTAGCAAGGGAGTTTCCCGTCCCGATAATGTGACCATGCAAAAATGTTATTCCGGCATCGACTACTTGAGAACGGTATCTCCCCATATTCCTTAGTCCCTGCTCTTTAACCTTTCAAATCAGCTCCATAGTGCTTAATGTTATGCAATCTCTCCTATACAGAATTCCTTGTTTATTTGACCGTTTCCCCACTGCAGGATGGCTCATTTCGCAAAACCCGTTGTTAACGAGATAGAATCGATCGGGAAGCATATGCACTCATTTCGTGAAAGTTTCAAGGCCACCTGCGAGGACTTGTCACTGCCGATCACGATAGATTCTATCAAGCAGTTGGGCCTTCAAGGTAGGTAGTTCTTTGAAGCAGTCGGCAGTCGATGCCATGCTAACAGGGGTTATTCAGATCTGCGTAATCTGGCTACCGATCTCAGATCAGCATTACGAACATTTCCAAATGTGCGGAAACTTCCTACCGCCAACAGAAAGAAGAATCTTCTAGATGATATCTCGCGCCTTGACTCGTTCATACACTCGGATGCGTTCGAGATTGACCAGTTTATTCCGCTGCTGCAAGCTATTTGGGTCCAAGATACGGATGAAGTTATCTGGGACCGAATATACACTTGTTACTGAGGCCACGCCACCTCCAAGGCCCCCTTTGGCTTTGACGGACCAGACGCCGTACTTGCGTACCACGCGCAGTTATGTGGATTCCTCCGACCACCGCATAAATACCGATGATGTGCTGAAACAGGAATTGGGCTCCATATACATCGGTGTTCCGGGTTTCTTCGAAACCTTTTTCGGTGACATTTCCGAACTGGAACAAACGGCACTCACCATACTAGAGCGATGCAAACAGATGGACCCTCCCCTTCACGGTGGGACAGCCTGGAGAGACTGGCCCAGGGCGGCGCAAGAGGAAGAGGTTCTCGAGTGGCTCACTATGACATTTGATTTTATACAAGCCTTCGCTTTGGAAATTACGCCTGGCACGACAGCCCGTCGAACGATGATAGCCCAACATTCAAAGCCCTTCAAGGGGTCAATAGCGAAACGCAAATTAGACATCGCTCTTATGAGCTGTAATGACACTTCCACTGACAACATGAAGTGGTCAGATGTTCTGATTCCAGGAAAGTTGAAATCCAGCTCTAATCTCGACACAAATTCCAACACATGGCGGGATCTAGGTCGATACGTTAGAGAAGTTTTTCTCACGCAAGACAATCGCCGGTTTGTATTGGGCTTCACGATTTGTGGATCTGTGATGCATCTATGGGAGTTTGACCGTCTAGGAGCTATAGCCTCCTCCCTGTTTGACATAAATACGAATCCGCTTCAGTTTATCTCGGCGATTCTCGGTTTCTTATGGGCTAATGATACGCAACTCGGCTTTGACCCCACCATTACCTCTGTGGATGGGGTTCGATCCATCCATGTAGACCTTGACGGACAGTCGAAGCGCTTGATCCTGGACGGTCTTGTTAGACCACCATCAGGCGTGGCTGGGAGAGGTACTACTTGTTGGAAGGCTCATCTCGATGATGACTTGAAAACATCTATTGTTATAAAAGACTCGTGGCAGGTTCCAGAGCGAGAGGAAGAAGGAAATATTCTAAAGGAGATTCGGGAGAAAGGTGTTGTCAATGTTGCGAGGTACTTCTACCATGAAACTGTCATTGTGAATGGTGAGGTCGATGATATTCGGGACAACGTTCGTAGGGGTCTTGACGTGACAAAAGCAACAGACTCGAGGCAGACTGGCCTAAAAGTGGTCGAAGACAGGAATCCTGGCCAGAATCCCATGAGCAGGGAAATCAGTCTCGGGGGAAAGCGGTCCTCTAGTCATACTGGTGCTCCGTTGCCTTCGAATAACCAGCTATTCTCAAGCCAAAACCGTGTTCACCGTCGTGTTTGTGTCCGTGACTACGGTCAGCCAATCTACAGGGCGACATCCTGTGCCGTTTTTCTGAATGCGCTATACAAATGTATAGAAGGTAAGCTTTTCATCTCGGAAGAACCTTTTGTTCGTAAAGCCCATTTCTAACTTGCAACAAGGCTATGAACCTTCGCACACAAAAGTAGGTATTCTCCAGGGCGACATTTCCCCTGGAAATCTGATGATCAACGAGGATACAGGAAACTGCTCCTGGCCGGCTTTTCTCATTGACTTCGACCTTCCTATTAGAGAACACCAGGAGCCAGCTTCCAGGGCAAGAGGCAGGACTGGCACGAGACCATTTATGGCCATAGGGCTGCTCCTGGGTGAAAAGCATTCTTTTTGGCATGACCTCGAGTCCTTCTTCTGGGTTCTATTTTGGATATGCATTCATTATGATGGTCCAGACATATGTGTTGGACCAACGGAGTTTGACTGCTGGAATTATGACGATGACCAGAAACTTGCATACTCGAAACAGGGAATTGTTGCCGACGAGACGGATTTTGACACTCTTATAAAAGCACACTTTACCCCATTCTACCAGGAATTGGTCCCTTGCGCAAACGATTTGCGCACAGTCGTTTTCTCTGGCCGGTCCAGAAGGAGAACAGGAGACAAAGATCTTTACAAACAGATGAAAGCTGTTCTTCGAAATGCCGTTGAGGATCCAGGTGTGGAAAATGCTCATTAACGAAATCTATTCTAGAGATTCATTATGCACGCTTTTCTACGCTCAGAAGACTAACTCAATCTTCAAGGGTCAGATGTCCCTGTAATCTCTTTATCTCTTGCTGGCCCATCGTCATCTGGATTTTCGTTTGTGGACGACATTCAGCACCCCTTAAACTGGGGTTATTATTATTTGCGATTCTTGATCAAGTGTCCTCATAGAGTGAGCCCGTTATATAGCGCATACATGTAACCTTTATTTCCCGAAGGACAAAGTCCGTACTAGGAAAGAGCCGTTCCTTCCGTGAAGAGGCCAAATATAGTATCGTCAAGAAATGTGTCCTGACCCCAATAAGTCACCTTAGATTCACATAAGCCCTCCAGTTCAGTTTCTCCAAATGTAGTCATACCAGGTACAGGTTCAGTTCCGATGTTGGTACCTACGCTAGAATTAGTATGTCTCATCATAACTCAACGGATCTAACTGACCACTCGGATCCCCCAGCTGATCTAATCATATACATCCCAGAAAGGAAACTCAACCAGTTGGAGGCGAATAGACCCTTGATCAAGGAAGTTGAAGCGCTAGAGACATGAGCATGATAGGATACCGACTCTTCGCCTGGGTGTTTGAACCGTGAGTCATAGTAGGATCCAGATTGACATTATACAATCATTCAATGTGACCAGTCACCTTCTACGTCACTTTGCGGACATTGAGAGTGCCGGCTCCATTCTCGGACCTTTCAAGTACCGGATTTGGTCTCTATAAGAAATCAATGCCATCTGGGCAAAAAATTCTTCCAACAGGCTTTTCGCATATCCCTTTCTAGCATTACCAAAAATCACCCAAACCGTTTGCTTCAAATCCCTAACAATGCCAATTTTTCGATATCTCCCAGCCTATTCACATCCTCTCCTTCGACACGAGGCCAGGCTCAATGGATTTGCAGGCCCAAACTATGAAGTCCTACCCCAATGTGCTTTCACCACACTCAAGCCACAAGTGCCCGAGCAAAGCAGAATGTTACTTTTCATGGCACTACAACTTCTTCGAATTCGATTGCCCGCAAGGGTCAGACCCCGCTTTCACCACTACTCGATTGGTTTTCACACTCTCAAAGCCGACGACCATACATTACTCAACTATGCCTTACGCCGTTGATATACTGTGTTGGTGACTTTTCAGCAAAAATAATAGGAGATGACGATCCCAAGTTCGATTATCAACGCTCACTGCGAAGTATCACCATCGGTCTTGTCATTGCGCTTCCTAGCCGCGAATGGTTCCTCTTCTTAGGCCGGCAGTTCAACTACAACTCATTGCCTTTATCCCTGGGCGCCAAAGTAGCTGCCAATCAAATTTTCTACACTCCGATGTTTAATGTGTATTTCTTTGCTTCTCATGGGCTACTCGCCGGGGACGGTCTTTGGGGTGCAATTGAACGAGTGAAAAACACGGTCCCTACCAGTATCCCTAGGAGCTTTCTTTACTGGCCCTTGGTGACAGCATTCAATTTTTCGTATGTTAGACCGCAGTCTCGATCGTTGGCGGCATCGGGCTTTGCGGTTTTCTGGCAGTCTTACTTGAGTTGGTTGAACAGTTCGGCTGGGAATAGTCCGACTGGGAAGGAGGAAAGAAAGCGCACGTTTGGGGGGGCTTCCCTGGACGATTTGGACCGTCGAATGCTCATGTTCGATGACAATTAGAAGCAATAAGATTAGCCATAGGAACATTTGTGATCATTCTTTTCTCTCGAAAGCCGTACTTCTTGTCTAATTTATCCGCATGTCGAGCTTGGTCTCTGGGAACTGTAAGGCGTTCTGTGCGACCAGTTTTGAATGTCAAATATACGAAATTGAAACTTTTTTAGGAACATGCACTCACTTTATATGTGTGATACCATCTTTACTTAATCCTCATACGGTCATTTAGTTGTATTTGTAGCGGCTCATAGCACAAGTGAGCCCACTAATAAACCCTATAGATCAACTAGTTCATCAATGGTGTAATGAACAAGCAGCTTGCCCTCACTTGCCTGGTCCATCTTCTTCTCGATGAAGGCATCCATTTGTGCACGCTCTTCCGCACTTAGGAGGCTTATCCGATCTTCAAGCGTCCTGAATTGACCAAAAGACCTTGTATCAATAAACTCCCAATATATCTCGTCAAACATGGCACTATGCCTTGAAGCAAGACACATCCAAAATAGCCCGTTTTCCAATGAGCTCTCCATCGCGGGAGATAGTCGCTGAGATTCCAACAATGATCCGTCTTGAATCTTCCTTGCCTCGCAATCCCGAAGTACTTCAAGAAACGTGCGAAGTCTGGGCATATAGCGCTCCAGGAATTGGTTGAGGTCAAGCTCCCAGTCCTCCGGACGCTCCAGCAAGAGCCACCAAGGTGCAGCATACGTAAACTCAACCGGGGCCGCGTAAGTAAACTCCCAATCGACCACTCCAGCGACAACAAGCTTCGACGCATCAACGAGGACATTGCCAGGGCAGAGGTCATCACAGTAGAGACGGAACGGTCCTCTGCAATGCTCGGTTGATATGTCACGCGAGAGTCTACGGAAGAGACAGCGAGCGACGTATTTTTTCCGACAGTCCGCTTCGTCTGAGACTGCGTCGTTGCGTTGGTGTTCGAGATGGTAGAAATGCTGCTGAGCGAGCTCCTCGAAATACTCGGCCGCGTTACTGAAACGGTGTTGCTTGAAGACATTGAGCGGGGCGCTTTTGCACGGTCCAACCACCTGATTCGTCCTGTTTTATGGCCCCGATGTAGGGAAATTCAGGCTTGGAAAGTTCTAGCAGAATTTCGGTCATGCTGGAATAAGCTCTCCTTAGGACAGATGTCGAGATGCTCGGTTTCAATGTGGCTGTCTCCTGGGACGAGTCCCGAAGGTATCCGCTCAGCTTATTCCCTTCGATATAAGGCATGACAATGTACGGCCCAACGGCGCACTTGCCATGTCCTAGAACCTTTGGGACAGGAATCGTTGTGTGCTGAGCAACATAGTTCATTACGGCGACCTCATCCTCAACCTTTTCCTTTCGAGCAAGGACCCGACCAAGTGCGGTAAATCGAACGACGACTCGGTGGCCAGTGTCGTAGGTGACACGATAGCAAACATTGAAAGCGCCATTTGGGAGCCGCGAGGCTAATACAGGTGTACCAGGACAGTGACGAGAGGCAAGCTTGCCTGCCAATTGCTCCGGCGACTTCCTGAGTAGGTTTTGGACCCACACCTGAAAGAATCGGTCTGACTGCGCTTGTGCGAGATTATCGCTGTCCATTTCGTCTGTACAACAGACTGGATTCTGAGAAAGGTGGGGGGGAAACAAGCGCAGCCTCCCCCTTACCTAAATGGCCTTGGCCATCCCGTGATCATGTGATATTACTTGAAACATAGATCGCTGATCAAGAAACATAACCAGTCATTGAGGTGTAGACAAGCGGTGAAGCTATTTGGTTCTATCGTCTAGTTAAGCCATTCATAAATTTCTAGCGCAGGAAATTGAGATTCAATCTCCAAGTATATCGGAAATGGTTATATATATATATGTCGGAGTTAACAGCTACACGTAGTTACAAAATGTGTTAATGTTATCAGCAATTATCTCAATACATTCGAAGACAAGTGAGTAGAATTAGTGCATTCTAGAAACGATTTATACCCTCTGTGCTCGTAGTATCTCGGGCAGAAGGTCGGAGATGACAAGAAACAACGTGGACACCATTAGGTGTAGACATTTGATTGCGGGAACATATAGCACTAAAGTCAAGATCTTTTCCATCAATTGGCCGGATGGTGTAGTTGGTTTATCACGTATCGTTAACACCGATAAGGTCCTGGGATCGAGCCCCAGTCTGGTCATCCTTTTTTGCTCGAACACTTTGTGTTAGTGCCCGAGTCGGGAAAGGGATTACCCACATCGAGGAAGGGTACGGGTCACCTTTCTTTCTCAACACTTGACGTACATTGGATTCCAATTATGACATTGTCGCGATCATTATTACTACTTCTCGAATCAGCCAACACAATGGCATAGAGTACACATAATCTCATTTCTAGAACTCTACCTATACAACTCAAACCGAGTTCGAGTTATCGGCACACGAAAACGCCGCCGACCCGCCAGACTCCTTGTACGAGTTCATGATGGCAACCACGGAGCCATAGGTACCAGCGACCATCAGGAACGAGCCGACGCAGATAACAAACACGCTCCAACAAACCATGAGAACCCACCGTGTGGACCGGTCCTTCTTCCGATGCCAGTTATCGTACAGCCACATGCAGCCCATGGGCTGGAAGCACATGAGCGTGCCGAGCAAGGCGCCGATCAACGACACCAACGAGTCGAACACGGGGATCGCGCTGGCGATGATATACGCGATGATGGTGACACTGGCGGTGCATCCGAACCAGGTACACCAGTGGACCCAGGTGCTGGTGGTGAGGTGTCTCGAGCCGCGGAGGAGGGTCAGGAAGATGTACTTTGCGGGGAGCTGTTGAGGGGTCAAACGAGAAGGGAAAGTGTTAGCCGGTTTAAAGTGTTCAGGCGCAACGGGGTCGGATCATACGTGTGTGACTATCGTCGTCGTGACAATTAACCCAGGCAGGGCGATTCCGTAGCAGATTTTCTTGACGAGGCCGCCGGCGGACCCGAGTGCTGGCGAAGAGACATACGAGCCGCAGTAGTAGTACAGCACGACGCCGATAACGATGTATACGATTGTTACGCCGGACTGGCAGATGAGCAGCGCGGAGGTGTATTGACGCGGGTTACGCATTTCAGATGCAATGGAGAAGAAGCCGGGGGTGCCGGAGAAGGCGAAGACGAGGGCAGAAACGGACGAGATGGCCTCGGTGAAGGAGGGATTGCCGAAGACCTTGAAGTCGGAGACCCAGGGTCCGTCGGTTTTGGGCGCTGCGGCTGGGCGGTCTTGCACGCCGACGGCAATGGTGACGATCAGAACTGCAGGGGGAGAGAGGTATGTATGAGAGGATGGTTCTACAGGCCGTTGTGTCTACGGCAGCTGGAGGAGTCAGGAAGGGGGGAAGGAATGTGATCGTACTTGCGGTGAGGATACTGGGGAGTCCGACCCATGCGAGCCAGGTTATACGTCCGAGGGTTCGGATGCTGCCCAGGGCAAAGCCTATAATGGCGGAGATGGCGACAAAGATGGCCGTACAGGCACCATGCGTTGAAATTGCGTTTAGACTGATTGAGATACCGAGTATTCCGGAGCCGGTGATGAAGATCCAGACTGTTCAATGGTAAGTATGGTTGCGTTGTGTTCTGGTATTGAGGATACATACAAAGACTGAATACAACTCCGAGGGTTCCGCGGCCAACTGGCCCAAACATTAACGCTCCAGCATCATCGATACTGTACACTTCACGGTGATTGACCTTAAAGGTACCAATCACGTATTCAGACCAGGTGGTGATGGAAGCAATGGCGACCAGGCAGATCACACCCGGAACCATGCCGAGGGTATCAAAGGCAGTCGGAATGGATAGAACCCCCAGGCCTATTTGGGTCTTCATCATGAGGACAATGGTACCCAGAAAGCCCACCTAGATCATGATTAGAACACCAGGGGCAATTGAGTATGAAGACAGCGTTTCCCTGTGCACACATTACGATAGTTAGGTCCTTCTTCTGTGATCTCGCCGAACACGGCATCGTGAGTAGCATCCTCATAACCAGGGATCTCGGGGTCCTCTTTCTTCGATTTAGACGGGTCTGTAGTAGTCATGGTGTCGAGTTAGGGAGGAATTGAGGTCAATTGAGACTTTTCTCGAACAGGGCAGTAGGAAAAGTGGATCGTTATATAGGCCCTCCTGGGGTCTCCTACCGGCGGGCAAACAGCCCAATGCGGTCCTCAGGAATTCCCCCGAGGGACACCCAGTCACTCGCTGCTACCACCATCTATTGCTACTGCTAGGCTACTACTAACCCTCCATCGGGCTTAAGGTGCGGGGGTTTGAGTGGAGAAAATCAACCCCATATCCGCGGGTGGAGACAGTCTGTTTCACCCCGTTTCTGTTCACCGGCTATCCTATCTCCCGTCGCCGCCTGCTGCCAGTTTTCCGGTGCGGAGATTCGTGCCGTCTGCCGTCATGCTGCAGGCGTCGGGAGTGACCGGCTTTCTAGAAATCGAAGCATAGAAGACTATACTGCGCTGATGTTGACAGCCCGCACCGGAAAAATGCCGCAACGACAGGTTGAATCAAACCATGTGTTCCCTATGAAGATCCCCGACGTCATCAACGAGAGGAAACCTCACAAGAAGTCACCTGGGCTCCCCGCGCCGCTAAAGCCGAAGGGGCAACGTTGGTGAGATCACCGGGAATGTTGGCCGGATATGGAATGTGGAGCGCCATTCACTCGCCTCCCACTGGTCAATGACCGATTGTTTAGCATGCGGGGTGGCTGAGGCTGCTGCGGCGGCTGCTGATCCCAAAAAGCAAGTTGGGCATAAGGCCCGGCAGGGATCCTGACTGCATATCTGCCGGTGGGCAAATCAGGCGTGACGTTTTGCTTGCTTATGCTTTTGAGTGGTTGAATGTCTTGACAACACTATGACTAAGTGCGTTGGCACTAAGTTAGTTACTACGACAGCGATGACTACATCACCCGAACTTCCTGTCATCTGAAAACAAGAAATGCCCTGGATGCGTTTCAAGTACAAACCAACAAGATTGTTGATCGATATCCGGGCAAGAATGTGTCATTGAATGATATCAGGCAGGATCAGCATGCGGGAAAGCGATAGGGAAACGCAACATAAGTGACATGCTGATAATACTGCATTATCTTGATCAGAGTGGACCCGTCTGCATTATGGGATTCTGTGAATCTGTACGGTTATCATCCCAAAGATATTGACCGCATTACAAATTCATTACGGGGGCTGCTTTATGGAGCTTTAATGGCCAATTTCAAGAACTTAGTGTTTCGGAAACTAGTTTCCTTTCCACAAGGGGCTGTCGTGCTCCTTTCATCCGTTGGGGTTTGTTATTTTACTGAAATCGCCAGGGGCAGAAATCGCGACCTTGCGATCCTATACTCACCACCAGGGCCACAGGAACGGCAATAATATGCGAGTGCCCTCTTCAGTCGTGATCATCGAGATCCCCGGGCGTCCTCACCATAAACACTACGAAATGTAAAACTTAAATACCAGATACCGGACCAACCAAACCGTCGACTGGGTGGAATCCCCAAGAATTGCGTGCTTCCATGAATGGCTATCCGTGAATCGCACTGTTGAACCGCCTCATTGCTCAGGCCGGGCTTACGCATGGAACCAGCCACAAAACACACCGGCGCGTGTCTATGCCGCGACATTAGCTTCACCGTGGAGGGCCTACCAACCGCCGTATATTGCTGTTACTGTCGCCACTGCGCCCTCGGAGCGGGAGGCCCTTGTCAGTTGTGAGTCTAGACCACGCACGCATCGAGACGAGGTCGATAGGGGGAATTGGAATTCCTCCGGAGCGCTTATTCTTGCTATTCCCGTTATAGACCGCGAGTTTCCCGACCGACCAATTCACCATATTCGACCCCCATGACCGCTTGGCTACGTTTAGTATACCGGATACCGTAAGTGGATACTCGAAAGACAAGTGTTTCTGCAAGCGATGTGGGTGCACGATCTATACGGTTCCCGGGGGCGAAGGACCTCGATGTTTCGTGATACGGCCGGGTTTGATCGAGAATGGGTAAGTGACTACCACCAAAGTTTTGATTTAGTTGACTGTGATGTAAACTTTCAGGACAGGTTGGAGATATTCAAACCTACTATTGAATGCTTTACCGAGCGGTGCCCGAGCTTTTTTGCGAAAGGCTAGATATTCAGGTAGAATGTGAAAGCGCCTTGGAATGGGCGCCGAGGGCGACAGTGGTATTAGAACATATTCGAAGATGTGTGGTAGGATCGAACTAGAGAGAAGGAATGCTATCCAGTGTCTCAATCAGCAGAGTTGGGCATATTTGGTCCGGGATCAATTATCTGGAAGCGGAAACTCGATCCGGAATATGCATGAATTATGCTTACTCTCAGACTCTTCCCATTTGCCACTACTATCGCCAAGATACAATCTGCTCACGCCTAATTTCAGGAACAGTTTGACACTTCAGGTAAAACCAATCCTCGATGTCGGTGCATGTCTGCTACCCCTTGCGCGTGGAGATATCCATATCCAATCTCCAAGCCAAAACTGCATGATTATCGCACTCCCGCCAGCTCCCGCTTCTCAAGGCTTATGTAATGAATGCCATTCCTGATAGTTATCATTTGGGGATTTTATACTGGATTTGGCAATAAAACGCATGGCGAATGAAACGGCAGGATTCGTATCGGTCTCAGAAGATGTTCTCCAAGTCACTAGTATTTTGAAGTCATCGTGCGGAGTCCTTTCGGAGAAGTCTACTCTCAGACCTCGTCGTGGGCGTCATTCCTTGCTTTCCGAGGATAACTGTGGGTTGGCCGTCGGGGTGGCGGCTGTCTACACCTTTAAATCCTATTCCTCGTCAGTTTCACTCGTAATCCTTCCTAAGTGTAAATGTTCTAAACTACAAGATCATGTAGAGATAACGCCACTACAGGTAGATCAGAGCAAGGGGAAATCAATGTAATAGGCTCTGGAATAAGATAGCATGAAGTGTATACAGGGACGCCGAACTAGTGGCGAGACTGATCGAAGGATGACTAGTTTAGTCCCCGGATTGTCTCATGGTTCTCATTCTCCTTGCCTATTTTGGATAGCTGGTGCCAATCAAACGAGACGAGAGATACTGACCTGCATTAGCGTACCGAATTCGCTTGAACTAGCAAATCATAGAAAGACCTTATCCTTGAGAAGCTCGAACAAGACACAAGACTAAACCCAAATCAGGTAGGAAAAATGAGAACCGTTTGGAACTGGACGCGGATGCGGGGTTAGGCATCAACAAGATACGAGGTTTTGTGGGGACAGCCCTAGCTTGATGGCTTGAAGGAACTATGGATCCGCCATTCATAGACAAGCTGTATCCTCACCTGCCAGTTTTTGGACGAGTCTGGTGGATCGAACAAAGGGCTTCAGTGCACGATGGAGGTGACCAAATTGGAAAGAATCATGAGATGCGGTCTGGAACAGCACGATAGGACCCAGAGATTGTGTAACAATGCTATCAAGATGGTCCACATGAGCCTATCTCCACGGTTTCCCCGCGATGCTGCTGGATGGGCATAAAAAAGCGTCACTGCCACGGCTTTGAGAATCGTATCATCAGATCCTCAATCATCCTCGAACACATTATCTTTGGTGTTTATCTCTCCTCCAGACATCACAATGTCTTCTATGCTTCACTACCTTCGCTTCGGCTCCAACAAAGGGGAGGAAGCAGCCCCGGCGCCTGCAAAGGACGCCCCCGTCCGCGCTCTGCCAGCATCATGGTATACTTCACCAGAGATGTACGACCTCGAGCGCCGCGCCATCTTCTCCAGGCGATGGATCTTCCTCACCCACAGCTCCCGAATCAAGGAGGCTGGTGACTGGCTGCGCTATGAGATGGCGGGCTTCGACTTCTTCGTCATCCGTGACCGACAGGGAAACGTTAACGCGTTCCACAATGTCTGCCGACACCGCGCCTACCCGGTGATCGAAGAGGAGGGCTCAGGAAACAAGAAGATCGTGGCCTGCCGGTACCACGGCTGGTCTTACGGCCTTAACGGCAAGCTGGCCAAAGCTCCCGGATACAAAGACCTTGACTTCGACAAGGACAAGAACAGCCTCTTTCCCATCCACGTCAAGGTAGATGTGAACGGTTTCATCTGGATCAACTTGGATGCGAAGGAGACACCTGAAGTCTCCTGGGAAGAACACTTCGACGGTGTCGACACGCAAGAGCGATACAAGCACTACAACTTTGACGACTACGATCTCGACCATACCTATAAGCTGGACGGCGACTACAACTGGAAGATCTTGTCGGATAACTTCAACGAATGTTACCACTGCCCTACTACACACGCGGATATTCCCGAGTTCCTTAACCTTGATTCCTTCGGCAGCGACACCAAGGACGGACATATCCAGCACCACTGCGAATCCACGCCACAGCAGATCGAAAAGGGTCTTTACACCGCAAGCACATACTACTTCCCTGCATCTGCCATGGTCGTGTCGTAAGTTCACCTTCTCCTCCACCCCCTTACCTTTTCCACAAAAGCAAGATCTAACAAACCCTAGACCACACTTCATCATGATCCAGAAGTTCCTCCCCAAGGGCCCTAAGAGCTCCTCCATGGACTACGAAATCTACCGCAACCGCAACTCGTCCGACGCCGACTTCAAACTCATCAGCGAGATGTACGCGCGCGTCATGGGTGAAGACAAAGTTCTCTGCAACAACGCGCAGAAGAACCTTGACCGCGGAGTGTTCACCAACGGCCAGTTGCACCCTACGTACGAGAAGGCGCCGCTCTTCTTCCAAAGCACGGTCCGCGAGGTCATTACGGAACACTTCAACCGGGAGAAGGACGAGGGTCAGCAGGTTTGGCCCGCCAGGCCGAAATTGCCCTCTGACGCGAAGATCAGTGAGCAGGATGAGGAGATTTGTTCGGGACTGGCCTGTGGAGCGCAGAAGGAAGTTCTGGCTTGGTAAGAGGTTTGGCGGACTTATGGTTTAGTTTCAGGATATCTTTCCTCGGACGTTCTTTTTGCGAGTCCTGCGATTTGAGCTAGCTTTGTTTTTTGGGTCTTTCTTTCATAATGTGTAGTTAGATTTGGCGTCGTTCTTTCAATTTAGCACGAACTCCATTCTTTCATAAGTTGTTCTTGAATTTCGAAGTCAACTCTACATTAGGGCTGTAGTTTACACGCAATGACACTTTGTCCGACAACAAATCAACATTCTTGGATTTCGAAATAACTCTAGATTAGGGCTCTTAGGTTTAGACCTAGTGACACTTCGTTCGACAGCAAGTGAATTTCCTTCATGTATGCAAACCTCTCCGCAGTTTTCATCAACCGGGCAAGATGGCCGAGCGGTCTAAGGCGCTAGGGTCAGGTATCTGACCTAACATATTCATACGAATATTCCTAGTCTCGAAAGGGGCGTGGGTTCGAATCCCACTCTTGTCATTCCTTTTTATATCTTTTTACGATACACAAATCGGCACGGGCGAGGGCGGCTGTGCTCAAAGACGACATTTTAAGGCAGTTGCGACACTGAAGGGCTAATTTTTCTTACGTCGTCGTCCATGCTTCTTGTAGGGATTTTGCATTTTTATATAGTCGAACATAACAACACTCGGCCTTACAGAACTTACACTAGACAAGGAAGAGGTTGTCAAATAGTTGCACGCAGCCCAGGGGTTTGCCAGTACGCTCAAACAGAGCACCATCAGGTAAAAAATTGCCATTGATTGAGCGGCCACTCCGGGTTCCATTCCGACATTCCGAAAGGGATGATAGAGGCATGTTCGGAGTTTCCGAGCTGTATCCATATTCCACCTCCATCAGGCCAGAGCTAAATTGGAAAAAAAAAAAAAAAAAAATTAAATAGCGGCATAAGTAGACATCGGAATACATTTTGACCAGACTCCGTTTATTCCGAGCATTGTCATGAATGCATATTCCGGCAACCATTCCGAGGGCGTGATGTTGCATATATGCACTGAATTGCAGCTGTTGACGCAACTTATAGAGTTTGATGAATCTGTACACAGTTCTGAGATTTGAACTCTGTCCATCAGATCGTAGACCATACCACAACATTGGACTTCTTTTACATAGTCGCTTCCCTTTCTCAATATTCACAGTCATTTCATTCCGAGCATGATAAACCTCAAGCTCATGGCCCCACACAGTGGCGTCATACGCGGATTCGCTCTCCACGCCCTACAACTTCTCTAAAAAAAAAAAAATACGAAACTTTAGAGTTCAAACATATGCCAGAATAAACCGCTTCATCTACAACACACTTCCAACCTCACAATGACGCTGGAACTCCTCCCCGTCACGGAAGCGGACACCGCGCGGATCCACGAGATCATATTCCAAGCATTCGAATCAGATCAACTCCACGTACTCATGTTTCCACGAGAACACGCATCCAGCTACGAGGCGTACATGCACGAATCCCTACGCTCCAAATTACGCGACCCAACCATCACATCCCTCAAAGTCGTCGACAAGAGTTTATCCGGCGACGCGTCTATCGTCGGCTACGCTCGGTGGAAATTCCCAATTAGCAACGACCAGCACCAAGAATCCACGCCGCAGGAAAGCCAAAATAGCGAAGAACCGTCGAAATCGCCAAACGTGCCCTTCCCCGCGCATGCGAATAAGCAACTCATGGATTTCTTCGGAAGCCAAATCACGAAACTGCGCGGGCAATTCGTCGACCCGACGCGCGATTTCGTGCTGGATTTCCTGGCGACGGACCCGGCGCATCAAGGCCGCGGCGTGGGCAAGGTGATGCTGAAGTATGGGCTTGATGAGCTGGATCGGCGCGGGAATGGGGGAAAGGCGTATCTGGAGTCGACGGCGGTGGGGATGCCGGTTTATCGGAAGTTTGGGTTTGCCCCGTTGGGGGCGATTGAGATTCCGTTGGCGGAGTTTGGCATCGAGGAGGGGGGTGTGTTTACGTCGGTTGTTATGGGGAGGGATGCGCAGAAAGCAGAGGAGGTGTTATGATGTCAATGCGATAGAACTGCCCGGGCTTGCTACGACTGTCTAGATGTGTTTGGTTAGGGTGTCACTGTATAGCTAAAGATACTAGAAGACTTGAGCGGACCACTGCATTGAAAGAAGAGATTTAAATCTATAAACATTCAAGATTCGTTACGCCTTGAGATAGCGAAGACGAGAGAGAATGAACGAAAAAAAGACTGAACAAATCCAAATCAATCCACATAAACAGGATACTCACTCCCATGCTTCCATGGAAACAGCTGCAGATTCTGGGCATTTAACATATTCACACACCGTGCCAACGCACTCACTAAGGCGAGGAAATCCTCTCGAGCAGCCTGCTGATCTTCCATTTGCTCAATCATCTCTTTCAAAACAACCTCAATCTTTCTATTAACCGAACAGAGAAAATTGGCGCCAACGTAGCCAACGAATTCCGTCGGCGTGGGGACGAACACCCTATACATGCTGATTAGGTGCTCCAGGTTGAAATGGGGCTGGGTCTCTGCCGTCTTGAGTATATTATTGAGAATCCAATATCCAAGCGCTCGTACTTCGCTGTTAATGAAAACCATAGTTGCGAAGTACGAGTCTTTTGAACCAGCGTGCGACGACGCTCGACCTTGATGGATAATTTCAAGGTCGGAGGAGATTCCGGACCAGGAAGATTCCGTCTGTACTGGTTAGCCTTTGAATTTCAAGGTACCGTGGAGAGAAGGAGAGCTACCTCATCATGAATCTCACGGACCAGACTCTTGACTTCATCAGTCACGCCGGTCCGCTCCAACGCCAGCGGAATATGTCCCTGTGGTTCCGCCTCGCTCGCATCCCAGACAATAACCTCGATAGCATCCGAAGCCTCGTTACATGCCTGCCAGAGCAGTGATCCTGCTTTTTTCAGTTTCTCAATGTCCTCGGAGACTACGTATCCACAAGGTGCTGCGGGGAGATCCTCTGTCAGAGTGCCATATTTGATAGCCATGTGTTGAAATCCCGACAGAAAAACAGTTCCGTCGGGCTCAAGAGCTCTGTTAGGAACTTTGTGATCGGGATGGGTGTACTTTGTAACATGTTAGCCTTTGGAACAGGTCATACACAAGGGGCTCATACGATCAGTGCTTCCGCCGGGACGAGATGATACAAATGGTCACCGGAAACCAAGGCATGACTCTGCAGCGAGCGGTAGGGGAGTTTGTCGAAGAGTAACTTGACCAATGCAAGGGTTTTTTTCTGTCATGACGGCTGCAATCACAATGTTGAATTTGGGCCATCGAATCTTGATACTCCGAGGCTGGTTAAGAGTTGCACCGACTGTCATGTTTGCGTATATAACTCAAGGTGATTGTTGGGTTAAAGGCTTAAAAATGGTTATCAAGCGCCCTTTGCCTTTTATATACCTTTTTCTTGCGACAGTCTCGCTTACTGATCCTTGTATAGAATCGCCCCTCGATCATAAACTCGGCTGTACTGAGCCCTCGGGATTATCTTTGACAGGCACCGAAACCCTTTGGATCAGGCTTCAGGGCAGAAACTTTGGAATTCCTTGTATGGAGAAGGATATAAGGCATAAATTCCACCACGATCCGGAACCATCTTGTATGACCATACCCCGAAACTCTCTCTTGTGCCTGGCCAATTTCCCGATTTGGTCCATCGTGTGTCTTGTGCGGCGAAGTCATCAAAACCCTATCATGCCATGACGTAAAAATCTAATTCTTGACAAACGGTTTAGGTCCAATATGGAATAATTCCCGAGCATCAGGCAGAGAAGGAAACTCAGTCTAATAGTATGTAAAACCGCACCAGAACCTCCATCTAATCTAATCCCAACAACCCAACAACTGCAATCACACCAATTTTTCACAACTACAGAACAATGTCAAATGACCCTTTCCGAAAAACCTGCCTCGTCTCATACCCAGACCCTGCTGACCTCCCTCCCTCCCTCCGCGAGAAACTCAACATCCTCCCCTTCCGCCGTAACATCATCCACACGATAACTCAATCCCGCGGCCTTGCTCCCCACCTCATCAGCCTCGTCGGCGCTTGCTTCGACGGAAAACAACGCAGCCTGCCGGTACTAGACTGGCAACTGATTGTTCTGCGGGTCGCGACGGTCCTCGACTGCAAGTATGAGTGGGACGTGAACCTCCCCGTCTCGGAGGCCCACGGGATGCCGCAGGATAAGATACAGAGGATTGGATGTCCTGCCTCGAGTGTAGTCAGTGGCAAGGGGCCTTGGACGGATCGCGAGAGAGTACTGTTACGGTTGGTAGACGAGCAGTTGGCAAAGTATACGAATGCGGAGGAGACGATTCGGGAGGCATTGGGGTGTTTGAGCGAGGGGGCGCTGGTGGAGGTGTTGATTGTTATCGGGCTATATGCGACGTTGGCGCGGTTGATAAAGGGGCTGAGGATTGATGATGATCCTGAGGTTCCAGGACTGAAGGAGTTGATTGGGGGTGCTATTACGGCTACGGAGTGATTGGTTGAGGGAGACACTTACGATAATAGTCATTAGCCTGAGATATTTGGATTTAATTGCACCTGTTTGAAGGCATGATGTCAAATAATTCTTTGGGTAGCAGGATGTGTGTCAACTCAAACTCTCAGCTAAGTCTGGGTTAGGTATTGATATATATCGGACGCTGCTTCAAGGCCTCAACCACCGCCGCAGATGTCGTTTGAACGTCGACTCTCATCAAAGGATTGGGAAGGTAAGAGCTACATAGTTGACTTAAGGAAGATTTCTACTAGCATTCTTCAATTCTGGAAATCCCTTCGTCGGCTCCCTTCAGCAGCATATTTATTCCTAGATAAGCTTTGTGTTGAGTTCTAATAGCTTTTTTTATAGGATGATTGATTTGAAGAGTATATACGGCATTTCCGCGGGTAAAACCGCGAGATTGTAGACAATATTCTGAAAACTGTCCTCTATCCTCACAAGGAAATCACGCCACCCAGTCTCCACCCACTGCACAAGTTTTGGGCAAGTTGCAAAGCACTGCCAGTCACGACGGCATTCATAAGGTCAAATTTGTTATCACGATACTCCGACTAGGTGATGGAAATGAATTTTCGCATATAGTTCAAGTCTTGGAGTAAGCAGAGAGTCTTGAAAAACAGCGGACCAAGATATGGGCCGTCTGCTGCCTCATTTTTCAACAACGTTCACCTTGACGATCTTCTTCGATTCTGCGGAGGTCGGCTGAGACTGCTGGGTATCCTGTGTTTCCTCGACCGTGAGAATAGTGAATTTGTTTAGGAACATGTCACCAGCGGCATCGTCACTCTGAGCCTCAGTAGTCGATGGTGGCTGCTTCGCGTCTGGCTTCGAGGGTTGGCTGGTCTTCCATTCAAGAGTCTCGCAGATTTGCTTCAGCGCAGTCATAAAACGAGCATACGCCTGTTGTTGATGGAGTCACCCTGGCCCAAGAGCCAGGAAGTGACCGATCCTCTCAACATGATGGCACGTTTGGCGATGCTGAGAACTGACTGAGGTACAGTGAGAGCAGAACCGGCAACCACCTCGGCAAGCTTTTGCAGGTCTCTGGTAGTCACACTATATTTGATTGGATCTGCATCTGAGCCATTGTTCTTGCCATTGCGTTTGCCCTTTCTCGTGGTAGGAACGGTAGCAGAGAGGGCAGGCGGTTGATAGCCACATCGGTCGGCAATCTCCAGTAGCCATGTTGCAAATTTGTTGGTGTAGTGGCGAATGAGGGCTAACTGAGGAATAGCCTTGGCCTTATAAGATGGAGGAAACGGAATAGAGGATGGCCCGAGAATGGCACAGGGATAGAAAGCGTCTTGCTACAAACAAAACACACAAATATCCCCAGAGCCCCGGAACTTCGGGACGAGACCCCGGAACTGCCGAAGTTTAGCCAGTCGGATGGACACCTGAGATTCATGCCTGAGCAAGTCTCCACTGGTTGGCCGTTCTGCCGTATACGGCAGGTTAGGCCATCATAGGTACACCTCATATATATACTGCTGGGTCCGCCAGATTATCTGAAGAGGGATACCACCATAATCTGATACAACTTTGTTCCCATTTTTATAGAGCACCATGACAATCCCAAACTATGAGCACTTCCACTGGTGTGAGACTAGCCCCGGTCGATGGGAGCGCGACATAGACGAGGCCGAACAGTTCTATACTACGATGGCCAGAGTCTACGAGGGAAGCGGTCGCGTGTTCTTCGCCATGACAGGCCACCTTTCACTGTCTGTTCGCGTCGAGAAAGATTCATCTCGTCGCGAGACTCAGGACCGGGTTCACAGTGCACTTCGAAGAGCATGGCTGCAGCTGCGATATGATCATCCGACCATCGCGTCTTGGACTGAGTTCGAAACTGTCAGTCAGAAATGCAAGAAAGTCTATCAGGAATTTAGCTCGAATCTCACGAAAGAAGTTTGGCTGGATTATACCCTGCAGGTAGTCTCGACCGGAGTGACGGGGCAGGAGTGGTGTAATCAAGACCCTCCAGTTCCCAAAATGCCTACTATCTTTATGGTCATTCCGACCGTTAACCCAAGTCAAGAGGATAGTTTCTTTCGCTGCGATCTGGTCCTCCGATGTCATCATGACATTATCGATGGAATCGGGACGCTGCATTTGCTGGATAATTTGATCAAGAACGCGACCGATTCTTACGACCGGCTTTCGGCCCCCAGTAACCTGGCATTTGGCCATGAGTCGAAGAACCTAAGTCCTCCGCTACGTGTGGCTGCTTCTATTCCAATTTCTCTGTCGTCCGAACAGAAAGTGCAGTGCGACAAACTTGCGGCGTATAATGGCTCGCTGCGGTCTGGTGTCAACATAGCTGCGTTGCCATTCACACGCGGCGCAAAAACACCTGGAAAGCATCAGCGTGTGGCCTTGACGCTGTCGGAGAAGCAGACGCAGGAAATTCTGGCAGCTTGTAAGAAGATGGGGGTTAGCGTTACTCATGCATACCATGCGGGGATTGCGATGATTGTTCGCGATTTGCAAGCGCGATCTGAAGCAGAGAGAGTCGTGCGGTATATCAATTACTGTCTCATCAACGAGCGAAGCCATTGCAAACCGCCATACAACACACCAAGCCACGCGGCCTCGGTCTATCACTCCGTCTCCGGTCGCAGCTTGATTGTGGACATGAGTGTTCCCGCGATCGGCGATAAAAGTGATGCCAGATCACAATCTCAAGAGACATCTGAGTTCAAGCGTGTGGCATCTGAGATCAAACAGCACTATCTGGACATCCGCGACGACACCGGCCATGTCCCAAAAGCCCCTCATTACTGGGCAAAGGGCACTCCGTCATATCCGGACCCGGATGAATACCCAGTCCCTCCAGTCCCTGGGCCAAATGAATCACCGTCGGTGTCAATCTCAAGCATGGGAGTCATTGATAAGATCATTAGTCCAACTCGCGGTGTGTTTCAGCTAAGCGATCCTTGGGTCACTGGAGAAGAGCTGGGAACTGGACTTGGTGTTTTCCTGGGCACTTTTAGAGGCCAATTGGCGTTGAGTGCGGCATACAATGATGCGTGGCATGATAGAGAAGAAGCTATGGATTTCTTGACTCGATGTAACGAGGTCGTTTGCAGGGGGCTCGGATTGTGAATTAATATGAAGCGTCAAGCATTCAAGGTTTCATGTATAGTTATGCGGCTGGTATTCTAACAAGAGTAGTTGCTGAGAAAGCTATCTTTTAAATTTCCGCATCTCACCCTGTCTGGCTACGTGAGCGCTGTTCAACGTCATCAAACGGTTTACCTGAGTGAGGTCATTCATTGGCTTCACCATCATTATCATCCTCTTTGTCTTCTTCCTCTTCACTTTCCCCCTCCACCCATCTTATATCATGCGGTCGGAGTTTTCTCATTTCCTCCTTGAGCAGTTTAATGATCTCTTGATTTCCCCAACATCGGGCTTCCTCAAGCGGCGGCTCTTCATGTTCATTCAACAAGTATGGATCAGCACCTTGGTCCAAAAGCAGGGCAACAACTCTCTCCCGAGAAAAAGGCTCCTCAATGTCGGCTTCAGGCATGCGAGATGCTACATGTAAAGCAGATTCGTCATTGTAACCACTAAAGGCATTGATGTCAACTCCGTGTTCCAGAAGTATCTTCACGATCTCTACACTACCGACATCCGCCGCAGCATGCAGGGCCGTGCCGATACCCGACTGTTCGTTCGGATCGGCACCCCGTTCAAGAAAAAGCTTCAACATCGGTATGTTGTTCGCGACGATGATCTTGTATAGATGTGGCGTCGAGTTTTCGTACGGTCCATGAAGCCTGGCGCCTTTATCCAGTAGGAATCTGACAATATCAACTCTCTGAGACTGGACGGCGCGTTTGATGACACCTCCCGTTTTGACGTCGGCGCCTGCGTCTAGGAGAAATTGAATTGTCTCGAGATTTGCGAGCAGTGCTGCCCGTTCTAGGACGGTGTCGTCGGAAAACCAGCCGCTGGGTGCGGAACCGGTCGCTTGTATGTTTGCGCCGTGGTCCAGAAGCAGTTGAGCCATCTCGATATGACTCGCTGCTGCTGCTTCGTGGAGTGCCGTGTATTCCCAAGCAAATTTAATACAGGCTCTGTCGTTCACTCCCGCTCCCATTCTCAGTAGGAGTCTAGCGGCATCCAACTGATTGTATTTGGCCGCGTAGCATAGTGCTTGTGTGCTTCTTGCTTTCGGTATCTTTCCAAACGTTGTGGCGTCTATCTTCTCTATCACTGATATCCGTCCCTGCTCGGCAGCCCATGATAGCACTGTCTTCTTAGAAGGAAGAAAGTGGGTGGCTATGCGGGAATAAATGAAACGCTCTAGTATTTGGGAGGAAAAAGATGATGTTTGTAGCCAGGCGCTTACATCGTTCAGAGCCAGGAGTTCTGCTATCATAAACACAATTTCATGGGGTAGACGGGTTATGGAAGCCTGAGTTTGTGCCATTACGGATAATCTAACACAAGTCACTTGAGAGATAAACATGTAAGGATTGGAAAAGGGTCCTTGCCCGAGTACAGATGCGTCAAATTTAAGAGTTAGTCTTTCCGTGGTACAATGTGTGTATACTAGGCAACACAGTCAGCAGGCAACAGCTGAATCCATGCCTATACGGACAAGGGCTCTGTGTCATACTAGGGCTCGCGGGTTGGAGAAATGCTAGTGCTGAATGGTCCTCCTACGAAGAAGCCCGCCACAATATCTGCGGGTCACTGGACCAGCTAGCCCTAAAGAGGCAATGAAGGCGAACTTGTATCCAACAAATCCACCGCAGCCTTTCGCTTTCTCGAAGATACCGAGGCTAGCAGCCTACGCCAAGACAAGCTAATCAAAATCCTGACATTCCTTCAGTCTGCGCTCGGGTCTGTGCACTGAACAGCCTCCGAACGGTGATCTCACCCTGGGATCAACCCTTGAATATGCCGGGAGCCTATCGGCTTGTGCCGCATTAATCGACAGGCCACACTGAGGCCTTTCCCAGCAATGTTGAGAAGTGGCGGAAGCAGCTTCCGGAGATCTAACACAGGAGATGGCGAAGGATCATAATCCCTGTAAGCGTGGAACTAACACAGACTTGGTAGGCTAGATGTTTCAAACGATCCGTCTATGAAATTTCCAACCACACGAACAAAATTGTGTACAATCCCTGTTTGATATTAGGTTATGGTCATTGGCCGTGTCTTTTGTTCTATTTCTCTCAGGCAAAAGGGCCATTGCGTAGGAGATTCCAACATGATCAGCCGATCTTACCTGCAGAACAACCCAAGCAAAAATTTATGCTAGTTTATTGTCATCTCCGTTTCCTGCGCGGGTGCAGTGGATCGAAGATGACACTAGTCATGCAAAACAGCGGCGTATTTTTTTGCGACTGGCTTAGAACCCTGCAAAAATTGCCTTTTTCGGACTAAACGAGATTCACCAAAATGCATTTAGATAGAAGTAAGCTACACTTTCCGAATTTCACCCCTCGCTCAGTGGCCAAATTACGCATTTCACCAACAAGTTTGACTTTCATATCTAGAATTTCTCCACTGATTTAACGGGGACGTCCGGTTGTTCGCTCCAACATCATCACATGACTACGCCTACGGAGTATATAGTGGCCCATTGTCTCCTCCATGTCCTCGAATGCTTCCTGCATAGTTTGACTTTCTTCACATTAATTCACTCTCTATTCCTACACATTACCATTCTTGATCGACAACAATGACTCAATCTGTCCTCATCACCGGCTGCAGCGCCGGCGGGATCGGGTCCGCTTTGGTGGAAGAATTTCACGCGAAAGGGCTACACGTCTATGCGACCGCGCGATGCAAGTCTAAGATGACACATCTCAAGCACCTGGGAAATGTCACATTCCTCAAGTTGGACGTGACTTCTTCGTCGGATATTGAGACGGCAGCGGAGTTCGTCCGAGATCATGCCGGTAAACTCGATATTCTGATCAACAACGCCGGTCAATCTATGGTCTACCCGGCACTGGACAGTAGCATTGAAAGTTCGAAAAAACTGTTCGATGTCAACCTCTTTGGGCCGATGGCCGTGGCTCAGGCTTTTGCTCCGTTGGTCATTGCCGCCAAGGGCACGGTAGTTAATGTTTGCTCGATGTCGGGAGTTGCAAATGCGCCGTGGCTGAGTTGGTCCCACTTATCTGCGGTTTTTGAAAACCGTTCCTTAAAGTAGCTAACGAAGAAATCAGGTGTGTACAACGCCTCCAAAGCCGGTTTACAGTCATGGAGTGAGACCCTTCGATTAGAGCTCAACCCTTTCGACGTGCAAGTCATTTCACTGGTGACCGGCTCCGTCGCCACGAATCTTTTGACCCACGCCAATATCCGCCTGCCTAAAAACTCACTATATCTGAAAGCGAGTGAGCAGATCCAGCTGCGTGGAATGGGCCAGGACGTACAGTCGAAGGATACTCCCGCTGAGTTTGCAAGCAAACTTGTCAGTGATGTTCTCGGTGGTGCTACAGGCCTGGTGTGGCGCGGGAAAATGGCATCGATGATTTGTTTTCTATCGAAGTTGGCACCTATGTGGTTCATGGTAAGCGGATTTCGTTCTTGCCTCAGGTCGACGATTTTGGCAGTGCTGACGATGCGATGTTTTCTAGGACCTTGCCTTAACTCTCCGTACGGGACTTGAGCAGGTAACGAATCGCGGTGCGAAATGAATTCGGCTTTTAACATGAACCACTTTTTGTACTGTATTCGCAGACCTCATTAGGATACCCACAATTTTGCTATGTTTACCCACGCTTAACAATTAAATACATTTACCGTAAGTTTCAAATGCACGTCGTATAACAAATGAATGCCCTATTCCAGAGCGAACTATGTAGGCGGATTTTTAATGGAAGCAAATTCACAATTTAAAAACACACCCGAACGCGTAGTTGCCAAGTACGAATGTGGGACCTATTCTACCAGGTAGATCCCGCCCCCAATAACTTGATAGAAGGGCCTAGTCCGAATAGCGTATAGTATAGTGGTATCAAAGATTAAGCGGGAAATCTTCCCATTTCTTTCCCCTTCCTCCTGCCTCGAAGTCGCTGGTTTTTCCGCGAAACCTAAACCGGATTTCTTATGCAGCAATCAATGTGAGAATGACGATTTCTCCGAACCTTCGAACAAGAGGCAGTCGAAAGCCCAAGACATCGAAGCAAGACAGAGTTTGTCCAATATGTTCCAAGGAGTTCAACAAAGCCGAACATTTGTCCCGACATTATAGGTCCCACACCAAGGAGAGGCCATTCCAGTGCTCGGACTGTGGACGTGTCTATACCAGGCAGTGAGTAGCGAGTGATGCATAAACAGTAAGGCATAGTATACTGTATACTGACTTAGCAGGGATACATTGCTACGACATGTGAGGACTAATTGTTCTCGAAACAAAACAAGAGAACATAGACTATCCGGCTGCGCAACTAATGACCAGAATTGGGGCCATCCTATGCCACGGTCGCCCGAGACCACCAATTGCGATGCAGTGGTAGGAGACTCGTCTGATGCTTTTAACCAGAGGATTCAAGCGGTCTTTGCTCCTGTCGGGAGCACCGATGGTGGCAACCAGCCAGGGGCCATCAACGCCGCCCCTCCATTACCAGATAATTACAGTGGCAACGTGCAGCAGCACCTAGATAATCAACCCCTTGCCGTATCAGACGCCGGGTTCGAAACAGGGTGGGCTTCTTGGCTGTTGTGCGACGACTTTAATCTAGATGCCGTCAACTCGTCTTTGCTTCAAGCTACTGCAGAAGGTACACAGCGGTTGGATATTGGCTATCCACAAATAAGCACACGACCCATGGAAGAAATTTCTACTCATAGCGGCGACTTTGTTAGAAGAAAGTGGCACACATACTGTGAGCTGAATCCTGCTAGAATCAGTCCAGATCCCAGTCTGGAAAATGGTTGGATCGACGAATGTTATCGTGAAGAGCTCGCTGAGCGTCTCAAGCCGCGAGTCCAGGCAGGAATTCTTCCTTCGACCACCTTCATAGTACGTCATGCTTTTTATCTACCTCTCCAATCCGCAGAAAACGAAAGCCATTCATAATTGTCATTCTTCGCGTAGGACCTCTGTCTGCGAGCCTACTTTAGACATTTTCAACCTATCTTTCCAATTGTTCACGAGCCGACTTTCCACCCCAGCAAGCGCAATGCCGTTCTTCTGTTGTCTCTCTGCTCAGTCGGAAGTTTGTTTCTTGGTTCCCCTCAAGCGACAGACCATGGCATAAGTATGTTTGAAAGACTACAAAAAGCGAACGTTTCCTCGGTATAGTTAGCCCCCCTCAACCGCAGAATTCCTCAAAGTGCTCATCCTGGACTCCAGTGGGAGGTGCATATTGCCAGTCCTCCAGAAGCGCGTATAGCAGCTATACAATCAGCACTTATTGGTCAGGCATTTGGCTTTCTTGTTGCGGTATGTACATCTTCCTGAAAAGCACCGTTCAATCTTCTTTTCGACTGACTTCATCTTCCCAGAGACCTAAAGACCTTGCAGGTATTGACTTCTTTCATGGAGGTATCGCTGCGGTAAGCTCTTGCTGTGTATATCAAACATTAGACAAGCATTGCTGAACCTTGCTCAGTGGGGTCGCAGAGGCATTGTACCTCGCATCGATCAATCTCCATGCGATCCTATTAACTTAGTCGGTGATGCTTTAGAAGCCGCATGGAAGGAATGGGCAATTCTAGAGACAAAGAAACGGTGAGATAATCACCAGGGTACTGCTATATATACCATTTATTAATTTTCAACAGTATCGGACTAGCAATCGCTATCCAGGACGCGGAGTTGGCGAAACTTCACCATCATGAATCTGTATTACGTCATGGTTGTCAACTTTTGCCAAATACGTCTTCAGATCACCTATTCGATGCGCCAAATGCAACTGCTTGGAAACGTCTAATGGTCCAAGAGAGCTACCAAATCAACAGTCAGATTCCTGCATTCAGCGACTCACTAGACCCTTCCGGCACAACACCGATTTTTAGAGGGCTCAGTGGCTTCGAACAGTGTGCTATGCTGGAGTCACTCAGTGTTCTTGCCTGTGAATCTCACCAGCCTACCGTATTCGTGTCAAACATGGCAGAGAAATGCGAAGAATTGCTGGTTGAGTGGTATCAGTCTTGGGAATCAGCGAAGGCCTCAAGTATGAATTGGACTTCCCCATTGATCATTCTTTGGCACTCTAGTTATATCATGCTATATGCAAACCTGGATGTTCTAGAGCGCGCTTGCGGTCGAGACGGGGATGAAATAGATCCCAATGCTCTTCGATACGCTCAGCAATGGGCCGCGTCAAATGAGGCCAAGCGGTGTCTCCTACACGCCATCTATATTCTAAAACGATTTGAGTCGATGTCAGTCGGAGGCGCATCTCCTATCCACCTACCCCTGTGTCTTTACCAATGTGGAATCATATGGTATTGCTTTGGAAAGTTCAGCGAGAATGCTGGATTTTCTGCAAAAGACGCCGAGGGTCAACTCAGGTATCCTGAGATTCAGTTGCTTAGGACGGGCGAGAATCAGGATTTAAACGGGGAACATACGAGTTGGCAGAAGGGGTGGGATCCTTTAGATCAATTATTCAGCTGCGTTGATATGCTGCGGCGTGTTCCCCATTGGAAGTTGCCTCAAAATCTTGCGTCGACTTTGCTGGCACTTATAGAGAGAGAGCAGGACATATTTTGAAGACTCGTGAGCCATTTTTATTGCACTATGGATCGCTGGATTAGCACATTAGAGAGCGATAATATTTGTCGCATGCTTGAAAGATACAGAATTGAGGACACTTTTCTCCGTTTTTTCGAAACCATATCCGGAATAAATACGACGCCTCTTTTATGTTTTTGCTACTAAAAAATAATACAGCATCTACTTACAGGGATCTCTTCTCCCAGCGTGCGGGATTTCTTTCAAGGCGCCATCGTACGATAGTTGCCGCTTGCTAACAGTGGGGAAGGTTGGATTGTTACCACATCCCATGTCTCGGGATCAAATGCGGGACAGTTTGAAAGTGCAAGCACGGCAATGATAATAAATAAGAGAGCCTGGTGATCCCAGTCGTGCCTCTCTATTCTCGCTTGCACATTCCCATCAGCGAATCAGCCAAAATGCCGACCGAAGAGCCATGGGAGACCACGGACATTCTCATCTGCGGCTGCGGCCCAACAGGAGCAATGCTCTCAGGCTACTTGAGCAGAATGGGCGTCCGCAATATCGTCTTGGAGAAAGAATTCCAGATCACCACCGATCCCAGGGGAATTGCTCTTGACGATGATGGGATAAGGTACTTGCAGGGGTTGGGTCTTTACCGGCATGTTTTCGGCGACATAGGCTCTTGTATGTGGATCTGTTCATCCTATATCTTGTAATACTAATGCTTATCTGTCTTCAAACTCTAGGCATGGAAAAGGTTAACTTTATTGGAGGAGAGCACAGTGACTTGAGCACAAAACCACTCTTCTACCTTGATACTGCGTCGGTGAGTAGCACATTTTCGTGTCCACTTAGAATTTCTTTTTTTTTCCCTAACGTGGGATTCTCCAGACGAAGGGATATACTGGGCATGTTTGGATGATCACTCACAAACAGCCTACCCTTGAAAAGCATCTACGATCCGTCATTCAAGGGTCCCAGTTCTCCACATTGAGAACCGGTTGCACGTTGGGCTCAATCCGAGAAGACGACAAGTGGGTGTATGCCTCCTATCTTGATCCGAACGGGAACGAACGGTATGTACGAGCGCGTTTCCTTGTCGGAGCCGACGGCAAGACGGGCTTTGTCCGAAAGCATTACTTGGAGCCTCGGGGTGTTAAGATGGAGTGGGCTGAACAGTAAGTTAAGACGATGAAATGTTGCTTCTTATTTACCCGTTCGGAAACTGATTGACTCTCAACACAGAACTCACTATGAGGAGACCTGGGTTGCGCTTAACTGGGAGATCCGTCTACCGACGAGAGAAACGCATCCTGAGTTCGCATTGTGGAAACATGGCTACACATCAGAGGAGGTTTATGATCTCTTCTTCCCGAAGGACTTTCGGTTCCTTTGTAACCCTTCCCGAGCTGCCGTGTGCACGCGCTTCGGACAGAACAAGGACAGGCTGTGGCGGTTTGAATTTGTCGTTCAACCTGGAGAGGATCCAGAGGAGATGGCGCAGGAGCATAGAGTCAGAGAAGTTGTTCTTCCTTATCTGCGGCACCACGGTAATCGACATGGGTAAGTCTGTCGTCCTTTTTTGTATATCTTTGGTAGCTGTGTGATATCGCTAACAGTGATCCGTTTCCCAGATTAACCAAAGACGTCGAGTTCCCGGAGGACTGTATTCGTATCCTTCGCTCGCGGCCCTTTCGGTTCGCTGCCCGGAATTGCAACAAATGGGCCCTCGGACGAGTCATTTTATGCGGCGATGCTGCACATGTCTTCCCCCCTTGTCAGTATACCCGTCGAACTATCCAGCGTCTACGTGCTTCACTTGACTAACACATTCTTCTCGCCAGTCGCCGGTCAAGGCATCGCATCTGGATTCCGCGATGCCATCGGTCTCGCCTGGCGTCTTGCCATAATCATGCGATCTAAATCAGGCCAACTTGATTTTGAAAAACACCTGACGGCATGGTACACCGAGCGTCAACAGCAATTCCAAACATCGCTAAACAATACCCTACGAAACGGCCAGCTCGTCAGCAGCAAGAACCCGGTGCAAAACTTCATCCGTGATTGGGCTCTCTGGGGTATGCGATTTATTCCGAGCCTCGAGTATCGATTGCAACTTGGTCCGAGGCTTGAGGGTCCGGTGCAGTATGCTCATGTGGCTGGGATGCCATTTTTGCCTGGCTTCAACGGTGGAGTGTATTTTCCGCAGATATACTGTATGGAGCTTGGGACTCCTGAACCAGACGTGCTTTTCACGGATGATGTCATTTTTGCCCAAGGGAAAGAAAAGTTGTTTCAGATCGTGGTTTTGCTAGGCTCGTCAGCAGAATTGTCGTCGGCCATGGCAGACCTCGAGGGTATACACAGAATTAGTGGTGGTCATTTAGGCGCCAAAGAGTCGACGATACTCCTTCCTGCTTCCACCAAAGAGTCATCTGAGCACTGTACCGGAGACCCCACCATCTATCGAGCCGCCACCGCAGACGAATTTGCCCAGTCTGAGCTATGCTCTGGAAGACCGACACCGCGCGATTACGATGCCTCTCAGGTGTGGCGGATGTTCCGGTCGAAGCGGTATGTGGTTGTGAGGCCGGATCGCTTTGTCTACGCGGCCTGCGCTACGAGGGCTGAATTGGAGCAAGCTGCAAGGGGGATTGTCGAACTGTTTCCCATGGAATGAATGCATGTAGCATTGCTTGGCTAGGTCACTGTCGAGGAATCTTGATAGAAGTGGTGTATATATAGATCTATTCTCGAAATCTCACACATCTTTGATATTCCACCATTGCTCACATATCTTTGGCGGTGTCTAGTGCCCCAACTATGCGGCGACTAGTTGAAAGGCATGAAAAGATGTTAGCACTGAACAACAACAAAAATAAAAAAGAATGCATCATCCGTGAATCGAACACGGGCCTCGTCGATGGCAACGACGAATTCTACCACTAGACCAATGATGCTGATGGAGCGGACCAGGTTGAATTCTGATTCGCTGATAGAATTTACTCCTCATAAATTGGTTTATATCCATAGACTGGTCTGAAAATACTCATCCATGTTCAGTCCGCGAGTATTACCATCTTAAATATTAAAATGTTGTTGGGGAATGGTGTATGTTATTTCGCAGCAAGCGGTGCCAGTATTTCTCGTCTAAGAATCAATACATCATTCTGTTTTTCATACATGTTGGAAGCATTTGTTGTTGCTCGCGTCATGCTGTGCATAGAATATATATCAAATTGCTAAACTTCTTTTATAACAGACATTGTAAATTTGATCTACCTTGAACACGTATTCAAAATTAACACCTGAAAGGAAACTTTTCCACTGATACAACAACAACAGTTGGTTGGTTTTGGCCCCCTTCCCTTCTTTTTCCTAAACAGGCAGGACAGGCCTTCCGTGTCTAGGCAGCCGCTCGGGTCCCTGGTCCGATATACCCGGTGTACAAGGAAAGTAAATCAAGACATGTTTTCCCAGTCTTCCATGAACCGTTGGATCCATTTCCATAACTTTGACGACGTGACAAACATATCTTTCCGAAGTCTCGGCGGGTTGTTTGCGGTATACTGTGTTTTCCACTCAGACACGAGCGTTAGCTTTCTAGCTATTGTTTCCCGGAACTCCTTGTTTCGAAAATAAATCTCTTCATCTTTTCTGATTTTCGACAGTGGTTGGTCTTCCATTTGAACCTCGTTATAGAGCTGAATGTAGTGAGCCGAACGCCGACATTGTAAGAAGTATTGACCCATGTCCTTTTCTGGGCCATATGCAGAGCGCCATATGGTAGCGAAGAGATCGTCATCCACAATAGAGTCCAGACTGAGGAGCCGGCTCAGTTTTCCGACAACTTGACCTTGTTCAAGTAATTCACAGTACTTGCGAATCAACCTTTCCATGTGTCCGGGCATAGCAGCAATGAAGCCATTTTTGAAGGGTGCATGTAGCTCGGAGCTTAGTTCGTCGCGGTATTGCGGTAACTCTGGCGTAGCTAGCAACATAGACTCAGGAATAGACGATGCAAATGCCCAATCGATGATGCAGGTGATATTATACTCATCATCAACGTAGATGTTGTTAACACTCAAATCGGCATGGCACAGCGGGAAAGCGTCCGGGTTAACAGCTGGCAGCTGAAGTCTCGGTATCATATCACGGAGAGCGTCGCCTGCAATTATATAGTCCAGCCTATTGTCTGCTGTGTCAATCTTACCTCCAGTTGTCACGAAATCGTTCCATAGATCCACAGCACTTCTATACTGCGCGCTGGATGAGTAGTCGTCGTATAAAGGGACGGCTGCCACGAAGCAGTGATGTGATAACTGCAGGATTTCCGAGTGCTCTGAAAAAGCTGAAACCAGACTATCATAAAAATCGAATTCTGAAGTGAAAGGACCGCGTGGGATCTCCAAAGAATATCGTTCATGTAGCACGTGGCCACGAGAAAGACATCCCTTGACCACAAAAGACCCATTTTCTTCGAATAATGAGCCGATCTTGTCAAACCGCAACTGCGAGAGTTTCCAGGTGATCCCGCCCAGCTGCGCGAGTACTTTGGCCTTGCTGCGCATGTCTAGGTCAGGTTGAGGGGAACCGGCTGCTTTCCAGACCTTCGATAATGGCCAGCCGGGCGCTTCACTCACTAAAATAAACGGGATTCCAATATCGTTATCGGAAGAAGCGCTATAGTAGGTTATAACTGGAACGGAATGGTCTGAGAGAGACAATTACCAATAGTCGTATATTTCAGGAGCTGGAATATCGCTATGGGTCCGGAGATACCGGAGCGTGGCAGCTTCACTTGCCAGTAACTTTAAGCCCATTTCTATTGGCATGAATGCCCTGCGATGAGGAGATCTAAAGACCCATCGTATTCCGTCCTCGAATGAAATGAAGATGGCCCAGTTGAAACTCCCGGAGGCAGGGCGTTGGTCTGGATTACAGGTACATGGAATACCCTGCCGTAGCGTGCTTGCTTGACGACATAACGCTCGAAGATTAAAATCGGCGTAAGCGAATATTGCCGGCTTCGAACCAGGAGACATTTTGATCGAATGGAACTCGGGATGGTCAGAAAAAGAATACAGATCAGCTATGCCGCAAGGGCGGTATTTAAGTGCTTCTAGGGATGAACTGTTGGTCCGTCCTGCATTGTCACCGATGGGTAAAGCGGTATTGGCCAGCTTTTCGGAGACTTGAATGTATTCATACGGGGATATCGGAGGGTATAACTGCTTGTTCTAAGAAAGCTAGTATTGTCATCTACAGAAAACATTAATCCCACGAACAAAATAGAAAGATTTGATATCTATAGAAGATTGGCAATATGAACTACTACGAGAAAACTCCCTCAAGTTCCCATTTTGTTTAATTTCTGAGGTTACTAATTGTAAAGTATAAATAGGCAGCCAGCCCGGTGATGAGCGGTAAAAGGCCTTCAGCCTAGCGGGAAAATTTCTTGCGGGGGGCCCTTAATAACCCACTTACCCCCCTTATATCTGCCGTCGCATCTCAAATACTGCCTGTGTTTTATGGATTGATACCAATATCTACCACAATCAATAAACCCTTATTGTCGTCACGAAAATGCTATCGGCCTCCAACATTCCCAATTGGCAATTATCCCAGCCCTATCAATTTTCTGATCCACCATCGTGGGTCGTTGTCTTTCTTTGTCAAACGGACGACGAAAACTATGAAAGGATTTTGAAAAAGTTATGCACTCTGGACAAAGCATGGGACGATATTCCGCCGGGTCAAATGAGACGCCTGTTGCCGATGCCATGGATTCGTGACTTCACACCCCCGATATCGGTCATTTTTCAGATGTTCGAAGAAACACGCTACACGGACGGGCTGATCTTCATCGACGAGCAATCCTTGCATGATAACACCGCTATTATATTGAATGGGTACTACGGCCCGGAGCGCGTTGAAGCTGCGCGCGTACCTATGGACCGAGCCAATCTGACCCTCGATGCATCTCAAGAGCGGTCGCTCGCGGCAGTGGTGCCAAATTTCAACCAGGTTAAAATTATCCCTGAGCGCAGGTCTCAAGTCCGCTTGGGTGATCAGTATGAAATGATATATCGTCTTCCTCTGCATATTCCGGCAAACTTCGAGCCGAAGCAATCCAAATTGACATTGATATCCCTGGTTCATCTGTCGGAAGAGGAAACGGGCGCGATATTGTCCCGACCCTGGACGAACGAGCAGATTGAGAACGTGGAGATAATCAACTGGCCGGCTGATAAAGAATCGTGCTCTCGTGCTGAGATGTACCACATCTTTCAAGCTGTCAAGACCCCCAGGGTTCCCAGTATTGATCAAGCCTTCGCGATGTTTATCGATACCTGTGAGGAACATGAACATGGCATCATCTTCGCAACAGAATGGAAAAAAGAAGGAGAGCGAAGAGGCAACACTGTCCACTTGTCTCGTGTTGAAAATCTAAGTGACGCCATAGGAATCTGGCAGATGATTTGGAACCCGTCGCTCACCCACGCACGAGGCGGTGTTGTTAGCTACAACAACTTTAGGGTCAACCCCAGTTTGTTCTACTCGAACAAGTTGGACGACGCGTTTGAGAAGGTTAGCAACCCGGATGAATTTGTTGTATTCGACGATGCCTGTTTGATCTTTGTGTTGGAGAAGATGACAGATCGAGATGTGAGATCCATGTGTGGAAAAGTCCTCTTGGGCATTGACCAGGCCCTACAATTTGTCGACGTTTCGCAGTTCATCACGACTTCGGATATTGAAGGCTTAGTGGCCTTTTTCGAGTCGCCTGAATTCATTCAATCGGGCCAAGAAATTCCCCAATATTTTTTCGCGGTAGACCGTCATTCGCTAGAGATCGCCACAGGAGATGAAGAGGAAGCTCCTTGTATTATGCTTGCCGGAAGGAAGCACCTAGATTTGCTGGTAGAGAAGCCAGACGAGGAAAGGTTTCGAGACGGAGACGAGCCGTATGGTCGTCAGTGTCTAGGTTATGATTATGCCCGACTTAATGCTTGCAACGCTGTCGATGTATGGACTGACTTGGAGGTCATGAACATCGAATCTTTTGAAATATCCGAGGAGATTGAAACCGCCTACTTTGGTACTGTTTCGAAGTGGGCGGAGGACAAGCATGACTGGCTCAAAGAGAGTGGGAACCAGTACCTCCAAGCATACCATCCCGAGGATTGCAATGAGTACTGAGACACGTGCGCCTCGATTAGCAGATGGTGGCCTGAGGCGCCTTGGTTGTGTTGTTTGCTTTTTCCCGCGTGTCTTTTCAACTTTCCTTGGCCTTCAAATCTCACCGCCGCTTCCTCCCTGGAAGAACCACGCCTCTTTCATCGCAGTGCAAAATCAAATACCACATGAGTGTCTTTTCAAGAAACCACTTGGCATCAACTGATCTTTAGATTCATCTGTGGATCGAATATGGTTCTAGTTCCTCGGATCCTCCCATCCGTTCTTCTGTCAAGCTTATACCTGCCTTGGCACCAGTCCCAACATGATCATCAGCCTGTGGTAACAATCACAAACGGAACACTGGTAGGCTATCGGAACCCAAACTACGATCAGGACTTTTTCCTCGGGATCCCATACGCCCAGCCGCCCGTAGGGGATCTTCGGTACAACCACCCGAAGCCGATCAATGCGTCCTGGGACACCCCGAAACATGCCACTTCCTATGGCTTCTGGTGTCACTCAGCTCCTCTCTCCCTTCCAGGATTCTCACAGGACGGGTTTTCGCACGAGGAAAGCGAGGACTGTCTAACTTTGAACATTGTCCGCCCGTCAGGTATGGACTCCACCGCAAAGCTTCCAGTGTTGGTATACATTTATGGTGGGGGTCTCCAGGAAGGCGGCAGTGCCGATCAACGATACAACATGTCATTCATAGTTCAGGAATCCGTCCAGATGGGGCTTCCGACGATCGGTGTCAGCTTCAACTATCGCGTGTCTGGCTTTGGTTTTCTATCTGGTCGCGCGATTAATGAGTCTGGCCTTGCGAATCTCGGGCTCTATGACCAACGCCTCGCACTCCACTGGATCCAAGAGAATGTTGCCGCGTTTGGCGGTGATCCATCGCGAGTGACGATCCAGGGAGAATCATCTGGGGGGCTTTCGGTCGGATACCACCTTCTTGCGTATGGTGGACGTGACGATGGGCTGTTTCGCGCAGCTATTGGCCAGAGTGGCGCCCCTCTCATTTCGGCTGCGTTGGCACCGATAGACGAACAGGACGCCATGTACAATGCTGTACTGAACACTACTGGCTGCGATGGCGTTAATGATAGTCTCGGATGTTTGCGGCGTGCCCCGGAAAACCTGTTGAAAGCCGCGTTCCAGCAGCAATTCTTCTTTCCGGTGATGGACGGCGGCATGATTACCGGATATTCCTCCCAAGGCCTCAAAGAAGGACGGTTTGTGAAAGTTCCGTTGCTGACGGGGACAAACACAAACGAAGGAACGGGGTATATTGCCTCTGGGTCGTTTGGCGCCATCAACAGCCCTGGCGACTTCAAAGGTGTAATAACGGGCTTTGGGCCTGGGAAGTATCTTTCAAACGACACCCTAACTGCCATTATCAGTGAATATCTTGAGAGAATGTCACCGGAAGATGTTCAAAATGACCTAGCAACCGTCCTCATAACACCTTCACCGAAATATGGGACCTTATATGGACAAAGTACTTTATACATCGCAGACTACCTCTTCAATGCCCCCAAGCGATATAGTGCACGTATGTGGGCCCATCACGGCGCTCCCGTCTACAGCTATCGCTTTGATATTGTTCCAAACGGCATCTCGCCCGAAGTCCTTGGCGTATGTCACTTCCAGGACGTTGCCTTTACCTTCCAGAATGCCCTTGGTGTTGGCTTCGAAAATCCTCCGCTCGCTTCGACGGATGAGCGGACAGAGGAGAAATACCGGAATGCGAGTGTTTCGATGAGTCGCATGTGGCTGAATTTTGTGAACACACTGTCGCCGAATCACTACCACGGTAGGTCGACTAATTTGTGGAGATTTGATTCCAGATTCTAACTCCAAACAGATAATAGGACAGACTTCGTCTGGCCTACTTACCAAGGCGACTCTGTAGTCAATGTTGTATTTGGCACCGAAGGGCCTAGATTGGAAAATGACACCTGGCGGCTTGATGCAATTGATCGGATCATCAATGCCTTTGGGGAATATAGATTTTAATTCAGTTTGATTAACTCGAGTGCTACAGTCCAATTTCCGAACCATAGTGGTGAAATGACCGGTGGAATGCGGGTTCAGCTCCGCTCCAGGCGCGCGCCTTCATGGTTACATCCACTAGCAAGAGCAACTCCCTACTTGATTAGAGCCTAATCGGTTCTGGATTCTCAGCGACCGGAGAACTCGGACACCATCGGCAAAAGATGCCATCAGGTTAATGTCTTCACGCTAATCTGGCCTGTCGATCTTCGCTTGGTGCCGGACTACCGGACTGAACACAATTTCTCCGCAGTACCCTTCAATCTTGGAGGGAGTTTTCGTTACCCAAGCATACATGCCTGCAATGGAACCTTTCGGTTACGCAGGGGTCCGTGATGATTCTCCTGAAGACAGTTCTTATATTGAAGGACTTCTTGGCAGGTTCGGCAAGCTTAGTTTGTGCCGATGTAACCAAATCTCCTTAGTCTTGTTTCACAGTACGATTCGTTTGCTACCGATCGTTTGCAACAATTCTGGCCTGTCACATTTACTCTGGTTGCGCAAGTTGTCGGATTATACACAGAAACAAAACCAGGAAATTAATTGAGTGGGGGTGGCTGGACGCCTGCTTCTGGCCAAAATGTGACCTAATGAAGCATCACCGTGATATGATCTTCTGGGTTATCTGGCGAGTGTTGAAACCTAAGATTGTTACATTAAGGCTTGAGCTTGGTGTTACCTAAGAAAATGCTTTTGTGAGGTATTGAGATTGATATTGTGGAGATACCATGGCTCGCAATTTGATAAGGTTGTATCACTTGTCATCGATACGACACCGAACGCTCCTTCATCATCAACGACCTTGAACTTGTCGACTGACCGGTCCACAATGGATGGTTATAAAGTGCGCATTGTTTCCGGCATTGATCTTTGGTATTCAGATCGATTGACGTGCGACATAGTCGACTGCTTCATTATCCACTACTACCGAAGGACTTTCCTTACCCATCAAGATGCATCTTTCCACGTACTTCCTCGCTGTTCTTACTGCAGCCAGTACTGCAATGGCACACATGGAAATGATTCGTCCACTTCCCTTGAAGAGCCAGTATGATCCCAAGAACAAGGAGTCGAACATCGACTACGATAATACCAGTCCCTTGAGATCAGATGGTATGTTACCCATGATTTCTTCGCGCGTGCTACCAAAGCCGGAGCACCGACCATGTTCCTCAAAGCTAACCTTTTCATCAAATTAGGATCCAACTTCCCCTGCCGAGGCCACCACAGGAACACTGCCTGGCGCACTACATCCACCTACTCCGCCGGCCAGAAAGACTACATGGAGCTCGCCCCCGGCACCAACCACCGCGGCGGCTCATGCCAGATCTCACTCAGCTACGACAACGGACAAACGTTCCGCGTCATCCAGTCGTATATGGGCGGCTGCCCACTGACGCTGAAATGGGACTTCCAGATCCCGGAATCCGCGCCCGCCGGCAAAGCCTTGTTTGCGTGGTCCTGGTTCAACCTGGAGGGCAACCGCGAGATGTATATGAACTGCGCGCAGGTTGAGATCCAGGGCGGCAGTGGTTCTAGTGCCGAGAGCTTTAACCGGTTGCCGGAGATTTTCGAGGCGAATATTGGGAATGGATGCTCGACTGTTGAGTTGAAGGAGACGGTGTTTAAGGAGCCTGGCGAGAAGGTGGGATATGCGGGTGGGGTGAAGAAGGGCGATAAGCCGTTTCCTAAGTGTGGAGCGAATGTTTGAGTGATTGACGAAGTGGATAACTGTGGCGAGTGAAGATGGTCTGGATGTACCTATTGATAATCTATTCTCAATTTAACTGCTTGTTTACCTGCTTCAAAATGCTACCGCCTAAAGAAAGTAGAACACTGCCTACTCTTGATCTACATACATGCACCGCATCGCAGCGCTTAAACTGTGCCCAGAATAGCAACAAACTAGGCTTCTCCACGCCGCAACGCATGACGTCAGCGGCCCACCCCCACAGGGACGACTTCACTTCCTCATCCGCTAATCCAGGACCGTCAAACTGTCAACAACCCACGGAACCTTAACAGCTTTCCTTTTCCCCTTCACTCTTCACGGTCGGGGAAGCTATAGAGCATGAGCATCACGCCAGGAATGCCTGGCGAGCTATCCGATCGCAACGCCAGCGATGAAAGCCTCGACGCGGTGCGCGTCGAACCAGAGCATGGCGAGCCTGAGGCCGACTACGTGGATGAGACGAACGTGGTCCAGACCATCGCGAGGCGCAAAACACCGTACATGGCGTATAAGCGATCGAACAAGGTCCAGGAGGAAGAGCTCGCTGAGGGATTGTCTAACGAGGATCTCTGGATGCTGATTAGACGGTTCAACAAGGTAACCCCTTGTTCTCGGCAGATCTGTCTTTATGACCGTGCAAGGATTGCTGACTAACTTTGTGTATGCAGCAAATATACTATGTTAAGGCGACGCAAGATACCACGCAGAGCGTGCTGGATCTGAATCGCGCAGCGGATGAACAGTTTCCGCCGGAGAAGCTGCGTATGACGATTGAGCGGTTCTATACCTCTGTTATTGTAGGGGTTACGGATTTGTTTAATCATGTGGTACGGTTGAGGTCGTGGAAGGAACCTCGTCGGACAGCGGTGTTCTGTGGGGTATGTCCGTTCTTTGACCGTTTTATCCATCATTCTGAGCAGTTCGGGATGTTATGCTGACGCGTAGTAGGTGTATTTCCTCGCGTGGATTGCCGATCTTCTTACCCTGGTATCTCTTGGCACCCTAATAGCTCTGATAATGTTCCCTGGACTCAGGCCGTTGATGTTTCCACCTGCCCCTACGTCTCAGGTTGACCCTAGCACTGGCGATATGAAGTCTACTGGTGAGCCAGGCTCACGAGATAGTATCACCGGGGCGCCCGAGAAATATAAGGGTGAGGCGGCGGAGCAGGAGGCCAACAACTTCGTGAACAGCATTGCGAACGTTGCGATCGAGAGTGCGGCCGGGAAATATGGCCAGGCCGTCAAAGAAGATACCACCGAGCCAGCACCGGAACCAGATATCATCGATGCCGGAACGGTGGCGCCCGATGCGCAGGGTGAGACGGGTCCGACCGGCGACAAAACTAAACAGCCCATGAAAAAAAAGGTCGGTAAGGCGACGGACCAAATCATGCGGATTATCAGCGATGTGACGGATGTGTATGAGCGGTTTGCGAAGTATGTGGTCTTTTCAAACTTTTTGAATACTCGTTCTGACTGTTATTTTGATAGTGTTCTCTCACCCACGCCGCCGTTCTATGCTATCTCAACGCGGCTGAAGATTGTGGGCATTCTTTTTGGTCTCGCTGTTGTTGCGTCCCTCACGTCTAGCTATTTGATTGTTAAGGGTGCTGGGTTTGCGGTCGGGCTGGCGTTCTTCGGAGATCCGGTCTTCCAGCGCACGATGGACTACTTGAACACCAATATCCCCGATTGGAAGAAATATCTTGATCTGCAGATGTATGTTTCTAAAATTCTAACACCTTCCCCATATACTAATGAATTTCATCTAGGACCCTCCTCAAAGGAATCCCCACCAACGCCCAGCTCACCCTCACACTGCTACGCATCGGCGAACTCAACTGCAGCCCTCTACCACCCCCTCCGACCTCTCAAACCCCAGACGCCTCGATGCCCATCAGCCGCAAACTCTCAAAAGCACTAACCCTCGGCGAAGAAACCAACGACGAAAAGTCCCTCACCTCCCCATCAACCACCACCCTAGGCACCCAGGACTCCTCTTCCCCAGTAGACACCAAGCCCAAACGCCGCTGGGTCTACAAAGTGCTACGCTTCGTACGACGCACCATCGCGACCGCCATCAAAAGCCACGTCGCGCTCGACCGCGCCCTCGCGATCGCCAACTCCACCCACACCAAACATCTCATCGGCATGCTGCACAAGAAAGGCTGGGTATCTGCGCCTCTTGGGCCGTTGAAGTTCGACGCTAAGTTCGAGCGCAAGCGCGGGACTGTCGTCATTGATTCTTCGAAGGAGCCGCCCGTGCTGTATTTCACGACGGTGAACTCGGCTAATCTGCATGATTTGCGCGTCGAGGGACAGAAGAAAAGTAACGTGTTGTTCCAGATCCCTGTCACGGAGATCAGGGAGCTCAAGAAGACGGAGGGATTGGGGTGGAAGGGGAAGTTGATTGTGGAGTTGACGGCGGGGAGTAAGGAGGCGGCGGATGGGTTAGTCGTTTCGGGCGCTCAGGAGGGTCAGATGTATCATGTTACGGGCATGCGGGCGCGGAATCAGCTGTTTAATCGGTTAGTGGCGATTGACGCGCAGTTTTGGGAGAGTTGGTAAATGTTTTTGTGAGGTTCTTGCATCTACGGTTTTGTGCATGTGTTGGGCCAAGTGTCGGTCGCCTGTCTGTCTTCATATTCGCATTGCAATCATGTGAATTATATAGCGATTATATTCTGCCATCAATGTAAGAACTTACTCAAGATGAACTAGTAAAGTTTGGTTTATTCGCTATTTGTGCTAGTCTTGCAGTCTACTCTAGAGAATTGAGAAAATTGGTAGTATATGAGAATTGCTAGAATGACAATGTGTTTGTGAGAGCCTTGCAGGTGATTACAGCTTCGATAGAACCCCGTCCGGCTGCAGAACCGACAGATAGCTTTTGCGAATCTCAGAGATTGATCGACATCTATAAAAATCGTCAGCGCCACGAAAGATCTTTCCACGTTGCAGAGTCTTACCCTGCCAGAGCCATAGTGATTTTCAATTCCTGCCGCAGAATCCGAATCGCGAGCTCGACGCCTTCCTGTCCGCCATACTATAATAGAGTATGATTAGCCAAATTCCTTATTTTATATGGCCCAGGGCCATTGGAAGAGATGCTTACAGCAAGCCCCCAAATTGGTATCCGTCCGGCAAAGCAAAAGTCCGCTCCAAGTGCCAGCGCCTTGAAGACGTCTGAGCCTCGCCGAATACCGCCGTCAATGGCAATGGGAATTCGTCCCTTTGCGACCGGTGCGCAATCTCTCAGCGCGTCAAGCGTTGCGGGAACGCCGTCAAGTTGGCGACCACCGTGGTTGGAAATTACAACTCCGTCGAGTTTGTTCTGGATTGCGATCTCGACATCTTCGGGGCAATATACTATGACTTGATGAGTATATTAAGTTCAAAGGCAGGCGAGACCTTACCTCCTTTCAACCAGATCGGAAGCTTCGTGTGCTGCCGAAGCCATGGGATAGCAGTGGCCCAGTCGAGGCTCGGGTCTTGGAAAGTTAGAACGCGTTACCATTGCATTTAGTGACTTGGCAGAGCTCACCATAATCTGTATGATCAGATGTGTCACTCCCATGGCTCAAAATATTGGGCCAGGACATATCAGCCGGCAGTTGATAGTTGTTCTGGTACTCATTCAATCGCTTCCCTAAGACTGGAACGTCCACGGACAGAAACAGAGCTTTATATCCCGCCTCTATTTGCATTGTTAGCAAGTCTTCAAGCAAACAGCAACGATGCGTAGAAGAGCACGTACTCTCAGCACGCTCCAACAATTGCAAAGTAATCGATCGATCCCGCAGTACACACATCTGCATAACATAGGGATTCCCGGACCCCTGTTCGGCGACCTCCTCGAGGCTGTGGTTCGAGTACGAGGACAGACCCATGCAGACACCAAATTTCGCCGCAGCGCGTGACGTCGCGAGCTCGCCGTCGGGATGGGCGAGTTTCTGTGATGCGGTAGGACTGAATCCGAAAGGAAGGGAGACCTAGAAAGTATGAGGCCTGGTCAGAATGCCGCGTTGTGTCTATACAGTCAGAGGTGGTTGAATGACAAGTACCTTTGTATTCAGTATCTCCGTGCTGGTATCAATGTTGTCCACGTTGACTAGAATCCGTGGTCGGATTTTGTAGCGGTCGAAAGCGGCCTCATTCTCTCGTAGTCTATGAGATCAGAGTTAGTATCATCCGATGAAAGCTCTGATGGGAGAATGATGATACTGACGTGATGAGGTCCATGGCACCCTTGTTATAGTAATCTTCACCATCCATTGTCAGTACGGGTGCTTGCTCAATTTCCTCTTTGCCAGATACCACATACCTCTTACCATAACAGGAAGCCTCTCGCTCCCAAGAGCCTTGAGGTCAGCTATACAGCTAACATTCTTGTGCAGTGTTTCTCCGCGATGGGCCATGTTTGCTTGACTCGGAACCCCTGCCTGTAGAAAGTAATGAATATCCCAAGGACTGGGGCAGATGACTTCATCCAGGAATTATATTCCTAGGACACGCCAGAGCTACGGACAGCTCATCGTCCAGATTGGGAAATCACTTTCCTTCGTTGGAACCATCTACACGCCCCGCTTTTCACCAGGAGAGCACTGATACCTAATCTCTGGCCAATTACAGAAGATCCATCGGAATTCTTTACCCCATCTCTGGGGAGGAACTGGGGAATGATGTTCACGGAGGTAGGCTTCCCCATACTGGTTTCCGTGGGAGATTAGGGCTTCCGCGGAATCACTTTCCCGTTTTAGCAGGGCAGCACCCCACCTACTCATGAATCTGATTAAACGCGAGCATTGACTGACAAGTTGCACGTTACAACTATTCAGATCGTACGTTGTCTCAAAAGATTTTCAACAGAATGGCACGAGTTTTTCTGTGAGCTTAGTATGACCAAGCGCGATCGTTGCGAAGATATACTAACCCGTTGTCGTATAGAACCGGAGCTTCAGGCTACATCGGTGGTGACGTTCTCCACGCTCTCAAATTAGCCTTTCCCCAGTTCGAGTACACTGCCCTGCTACGAGACTCTGCGAAGGCCGGTCAAGTTACGAAGGCATATCCGGATGTCCGTGTGGTGCACGGAGATCTGGATGCAACATCATTGATTGAGGAAGAAGCCCGGCGTGCAGACATTGTAATTTGTGAGTTAACCTTATAACCTTGGTTGTGTTTGATCGTTTAACTAACTCGATCGTTCAGATGCTGCAAACAACAAACATGTGAAGAGCGTGGAGGCTATTTCCCGCGGACTGAGCGCGCCCGGTAGAAATAAGAATGGTACATAGCAGGACCCCTCTGATGCTAAGTTTGTGCGCTTGTGCTCACATATTTAAGGGGTTTGGCTGCAGGTTTCCGGAGCAGCACTTTTGTCTATCGCCGACATCGAGAAGAAAACCTTCGGGGAGTACTCGGACAAGGTTTACAGTGATCTTGACGGTATCGAGGAGCTCCGCGCGCACATCCGACGTTATTCCGGCACTCGTATAGTCGACAATTACCTTCTTAACCTGCCTGCATCTCCCACAAAACCCAGAACTGCCTTGATCTTCCCTCCTATCATCTATGGCCGCGGCAGAGGACCAGTGAACCAGCGGAGTATCCAGATCCCAGAACTTGCAAGGGTCTCCATGCAACGTGGCGCCGGATTTCAAGTTGAAAAGGGAGAGAGCATCTGGAGCAGTGTTCAAATTGCCGATCTCAGCAATATCTTTGTCAAGCTTGTTGAGCAAGCGCTGCAGGGCGACAACGATGCTCTTTGGAACGAGAACGGCCTGTATTTCCCTGGAACAGGAGCACTGGTAAGTCTTCACCCTAGAATATTCTGAATTAGTACCTAATTATATATAGCCATGGAAAGCGATCTCTGAGCATGTGACTCAAGAGTTGCATCGACTTGGCCTCGTGGATTCCACTTCGGTTAATGCGATCAGTCACGAAGAAGCAGACACTCTTATGCCTGCCGGTAGTATCTTCTGGGGGACAAATGCCGGACAGTTGTCTCAGCGTGCTCCGAGCCTTTTAGGATGGACTCCCAAGGAAAAGAGCCTGGAGGAGGAGATTCCTGATACTGTTCTGCTCGAGGCTAAGAGACTTGGATTGAAGTAAATGTGATACTGTTCAGTTATGGATAATGCCATGCTAGTCCTAGATAACTGCTGTTGTTTTGATTTGAGTAATGCATTCAAAAAGTCTGGAAGTGACACTACTTCTGAGGAGCACTTTTCAACCCAGAAATTGATTTGATTGTATGAAGTCCATCGCAATGTCAACATCCAGGCTGATGAGGGGCACTGATAAGATAAGAATCGCGGGGTGCCTCCCACTCGATCAAGAAGGCACTTCCGGTCAGGTGACCCCGAGGGGTCTTTCTGGCAAGTGGTTCCGGCCAGGATACGCCTCTTTTCTTCTCCATCAAGCAACAATTTCCTCGCCCCGCGTCTCCTTCCATTTCCTCCTGTCAATGCCTCTATCTATACTATATCGTCGATATACGAAACTATCGACTGTTCTTTGATGGATGCGGTGTCGAACATGACAGGAACCCGCCAATCCGCTCCCAGAACGCGTCGCTCCCATACGCTGGGTGGCTGCAACACCTGCCGACGACGCCATGTCAAGTGTGACCAGAAACGGCCTTCTTGTCAGATGTGTAAGGTCATGGGCATGGTATGCGAGGGGTTCTCTGATGAAATCCGATGGATGCCCAGCAGGAAGCATCAGCAGCCCCATCGAGGTCTTAAATCCCGCGGCGTGAATAAGCACGGGGCACGACGCCACCTTTACACTGGTTTGTCTCGCTTTTCATTTAACTCTATTGATTTCATCATATCCGAACTATTCTTACTCATCATTTAGAGCAGTCTAGGCTATCCATGAGCGATGCCTTAGGTGCCGACCTCGTTTCAGGATCCATTGACGCCTCCCTGGCGGAGATCGATACCAAGTCGCGGGACCCTGAAAGACCAGTAAGAGAAGATATTGTTGTTGGTCCTTTCTCAGTTCTCGATCTTGGTCCTGCTCCGGGGGTAACTGCGCAGCCCCCGCAAAACTTTGTCGTTGAAATGGTTGATGAACTTTCGACCGAAGTTCTTCCACCCGAGGATCTAGGCACCGCGCCTTTCACCCGGATGGATGCCCTACCTGATCTCAATGACTTTTTGCAGTGGTCTGACATTTTCATGCTGGGCTCAGAGCTTCCAGGGTCCTTCTTTCAGGACCATTTCAGCGCAACTGAAGGGCCTTCGATTCTCTGGGATACTGGAGCTATTGGCACAGAACCTGAGAGCCTGACATATCACACACCTCCCTACTCGGGTGATGACTTGGTACCAGCGACTCAAGAGGTCCCGACTGAACCAAGAAGTGAAATGTGGTCCATGTTACCTTCTCAGGCGCCGCCCGTAGACCTCAATGGCCTGTCAGTTGGGGTGCCATCGGACACACCTTTCTTGTTGCGACACTTTCAGGACCAGGTGATACCCAGGATCATGGCCTTCCCGTTGATCGAGAAGCCGCCCTGGAAGCTGTTGAATGTCCCGTCTGCCCTGGTGACGTATACCGACCTGACCTTCATGGGATCTCAGAGCATCAGTCATGCGCGACAGGCAAACCTATATTGTCTCCTTGCCTGCTCTGCCATGCACCTCTCATTGAACCCATCCTTTGGCATTGTTAGCACTGCCGAACATTGGAAACAACTAACAGATCGCACTTATCACATAGCCAAAGACCACATGCAACGCTCGTTAAAGGAGGAAGCATGTGAGCCGAAAAAGGCAAAATACAAGGATCAGTTAATGGCCATCTGTGCCTTGACAGAATTTGCAGTGAGACTCCCTTTTCTCTACAGACTTACACGGTGTACTAAAACCTCATTCAAGGTTCTTTCCGGTCAGCAACAGGATGCTCGGTGTTATATGGTCGACGCGGAACGCTTATTACGCCTTCGCGGGCTGCCCAAGCGCAAAATCTCTCAAAAGGCTCGGTTACTGCATCATGTATATACCTGGCTCAGGATAGTAGGTGAGAGCACTTACGCCCTTCACGACTATACTCCACACGAAACTTTCGTCCAGAATATCAATCGACATTCCCGTTCTGAGAGACTCGCTTCAAATAGCCAACCAGACTCGGGAGGGGAGAGTGATCTGCGTCTTGATGATTTTCTTCGCATACACCCGAAGCCATCAGACAGTGATCTGAACATCGACGAGCCAAAAGATGACGAGATTGGTCTTCACGATATTCATCTGTTAGACTCTCGGGAATTTTCCGGTACTCTCTACCGACAGGTCTACGGCATCCCAGAAACTTGGTTGAGTCTAGTCTCACAGACGACTCGGCTTGCCAACGTCATGAAAACACTTGAAGTTTTCCGTAGCACGTCGAAAGATAAAGAGGGTACCCTGGAGGCACTGGAAGTACTCCAGCGACGCAGCTCCCGTCTCGAGAATATGATATGCTCCTTCAAGCATAGCAGAACAAGCAAGACTGCCTCGGATCAGCACGATATCTCCGTCGCACCACACAACCATTTCATCCGGGCCTTAAACTCGGCCTTGGTCATATTCTTTTATCGGCGCGTGCGTCAGGTACACCCATCCATTCTAGAAGGCCACATAGACGATGTAATTACTGCCCTACAGGAGTTCAACGCCTCTTTATCCGAAGGCAGTCAGACGGGTCCTGGTACCGTGTGGCCTTTGTTCATTGCGGGATGCGAAGCCATGACGTCTACCCGGCGAGAGTCTATATTGAGCCTTCTTGAGGCTGGAGAAGCCAAGTGTCAGTTCGCGCCCTTCAGGACTGCCAGGAAAGTGATGGTGGAAGTATGGAATTGCCAAGACGATGGTTCGTCTTGGTCTCAGCGTGATTCTATACCTACATGGCTCGACGTGGTTAAGCGCCGACGGATATGGCCCATGCTCTGCTAGTGCAGTTTACTAAAACCCAGTCCGTGTGCATCTAGAAAGATAAATGGGATTGAACGTCGACATGTCTCATACAACATACATACAATTTGGAGTTTCTCATGCCAACATGAAAAGATCATAAACTCATCAGCACTTCTCCTCTAAACAACCTTCACACCCGCGTCCCTCAACAACTGCTTCAGTTCCGCCAAAGGCTCGCCCATCAACAGGGCGAAGGGCTTCCTTAGCCCGCCCGTCGACTGACCTCTGAGTTCCACTCCCGTTTTCACAGCGGAAGCGTAGTTGTGCGACTCGAGGAATTTGCAAATGGGGAAGGCCTTGGCCCAAAGCTCACGTCCCTTCTCGATGTCCTTGTTCACCGCGATGGCGTTCCACAACTCGATGGCAAGCTCGGGGATGATGTTAGCAGCACCCCAGATTGCGCCGGGCGAGCCAGCCGCCAGGCCGTAGAAAGTAAGGGTATCCCAGCCGTTGAACGCGGTGACCTTGTGCGATAGACCGAACACCAACTCTGTGAAGGCAGGGGCGTTGCCTGAGGTGTCTTTGAGATACTTCACACCCACGCTGGACAGATCCGCGATTTGCTGCGGCGTCAAGGTCAAGCCGCTAGCGGAGGGGATGTTGTAGTAGACGATGGGGAGCTGGCTAACGGTGTGGATCTCGTGCATCAGCTCCGTCAACTGTTCGACGTTCAAGGGGTCGTAGAACGGCGGCACGACCATCAGGGCGTCGGCGCCAGCCTGCGCCGCGTGGCGAGCCAAATCGACTGCCTCCTCGGTGGAAGTGCTTCCGATGCCTGCCGTGACGGTAGCACGTCCGGCGGCATATTCAACGCATAGCTCGGTGAGCTGCTTGCGTTCGTCTCGAGTCATGGTGGTGAACTCTCCGGTGCTGCCACCGGGCACTAGGCCGTGGATTCCAGAAGCGATCATGTGGTCGATGTGGTCCTTGAGGCGCTTCTTATCGATCTGAGTCTTATCATCGGTGAACGGAGTGATGAGAGCAACCATGACTCCTTGGAGCTCCTGTGGGGTCTTGTTCTGGGCCATTTTGCGTAATGCGACGATGTGATGTTGGTTCTGGTGGTTTGAAATCTGTATGATGAATCTTTCTGAGGCCGAAGAACGCCCGTCGAAACAACTGCATTTTATTTCCCCTCGCCGGGACTGCTTGCCTCACGACATGATCTCTTTGGGGAAGTTATGAGGTTCATCGTCGAGCATCTTGTTATCGCCGTCGGAATCGCCTTCCTTTCCGAATGTCTCCACCCTGCGGCCGTTGACTGGCCGATCGAGCAAGTGGCTCCGAGACCCTAACAGGCAGGTCCTTGCAGACGTCTATTGCCTAAAAGAGCGGGGATGGCCCTCTCCAGGTTGCGGAGTTGGGAGTTGTTGTTCTTCACATCTTACACACAAGCTGGCAAGTGGCAACATGGCAGGACTCGATCTCTTCGTCGATATTACCACCCCTAACGGGCGCACATACAAGCAGCCCACGGGCCTGTTCATCAACAATGAATTCCGTCCGTCGTCTAATGGACAGACTATCGTGTCGCTTGACCCAGCGTATGTCTTGCTTCCTTAGAACAAAGCTTGGAGGGAGATGGTATGCTAACGTGATTAGAACGGACAAGCCGATCGCGTCTGTGCACGCCGCCAGCGCCAACGACATTGACCTGGCAGTCAAGTCGGCCAAAGCAGCCTTGGTGCATCCTTCTTGGAAACTGCTGCCTCCAACGGAGCGAGGCCAGCTGATGGGCAAACTGGCAGACCTCATCGAGCAGAACCGGGATCTCTTCGCGTCAATCGACGCTTGGGATAACGGTAGGCCTGCCCCTCCCCTTCAATGCACAATCTAATCCCTTGCATCAGTCTAACCCTATATAGGAAAGCCATACCATGTCGCATTTGAAGAGGACCTAACAGAGGCCATCACTACCATCCGATATTACAGCGGCTGGGCGGACAAGACGTTCGGTCAGACCATTAGCACCACCCCAGAGAAGCTGGCATATACGCTCCGCCAGCCCATCGGCGTCGTGGGACAGATCATCCCTTGGAACTATCCCCTGTCCATGGCCACCTGGAAACTTGGCCCGGCTCTAGCCTGCGGCAACACGGTGGTCCTCAAAGCAGCCGAGCAGACACCACTCAGCATCCTCATCCTCGGCACATTAATCAAGGAGGCCGGATTCCCTCCGGGCGTGGTGAACCTCGTCAACGGGTACGGCCGCGAAGCTGGAGCGGCATTAGTGCAGCACCCGCTCGTCGACAAGGTCGCATTCACAGGATCCACGATGACCGGAAAAGAGATCATGAAAATGGCCGCCGGCACTATGAAAAACATCACGCTCGAGACGGGCGGCAAATCCCCTCTCATTGTTTTCCCCGAGGCCGACCTCGACCAGGCCGCCAAATGGTCTCATTTCGGCATCATGTCCAACCAAGGCCAGATCTGCTCCGCCACCTCCCGCATCCTCGTCCACCAGGACATCATGGCCCCCTTCCTCGACAAGTTCAAGCAAGTGCTTGAATCCACCTCCCACATCGGCGACCAGTGGAGCGAGTCCACCTACCAAGGTCCCCAGGTCACTCGCGCCCAGTACGACCGCATCCTCTCGTACATCGAGTCCGCTCGAGCAGAGGGCGCAACTGTCCTCACCGGCGGCAGCGCCCACACGCCATCCGACCCCAAGTACCAGAACGGCTACTTCATCCAGCCCACCGTCTTCACGGACGTCACGGACTCCATGCGCGTCTACCGCGAGGAGATCTTCGGGCCCGTCGTCGTCATCGTCCCCTTCGCCACCGAGGAGGAAGCTATCCGTCGCGCCAACGACACGACCTACGGACTCGGCGCCGCCGTCTTCACTAAGGACCTGGAACGGGCTCATCGCGTCGCCGCCGAGATCGAGGCCGGTATGGTCTGGATTAACAGTAGTCAGGACTGTGATCCGAGGATTCCGTTCGGAGGTGTCAAGCAGAGTGGTATTGGGAGGGAGTTGGGAGAGGCGGGGTTGGAGGCTTATAGTCAGGTTAAGGCTGTTCATGTGAATATGGGAAATAAGCTATGATTGTGTCATGTTTAGTAGGGCTTTTAGATGATTAGATGGTTGAATGATTTTCTTTTCTTTTTGTTTTACTTTTACTTCATGATCGGGTTGAACGGACCAAGTTAGATCTAGACTGTAGTTGCTAGAACTTTGTCTCTTTCTCTTTCTCTTTCTCTCTTTTTTTCTGGCATATTACCCCGCATGTCATCCGATATTATTCTATTCCTATATCCCATCTACTCCATATTTCTAATAACATAGAATATAAGCCCTATTCCTAGATTCCTACTCTACCCCAAAGAAGGTCTCAGCCGGATAGTTAACTGATCCAGTAACTCCGCATCCTCTTCCCAAAGCGGATAAGTATACGAGATACGCGGTAAGCGATACGCGATACGCAAATACGCACCGGATACGCAGTGGGGCATATCTATCTATCTGCCTTGGCCACTGGATTCCTGGGGATTCGCATTGCCATAGGCTCGTCTAGAGATTTATGGGATGGGATAAGTGGGATTAGGGTTGTCGTTCGAGGAGAGGGGCGGTTCAGGGGTCGGTAGGTGGGTAGATATATATTGCGGCAGGTTCTCTGGCTCTAGAAGTGCATATGCATCCTTAGTTTATAGACTCCATATCTAACAACGCGTTCCTTACCTATTGACCTACCTGCCTACCAACTTTGGCACAATACTCACTCTCGAAGAAGCAAAGATGAGCAACGAACTTCAAGACAAAACCGTCCTCGTGACAGGCGGAGCAGGTGGCCTCGGCAAAGCCATCGCAACCAAGTACCTCGAAGCCGGCGCGAACGTGGCCATCTGCGATATCAACCCGCAAAGACTCCAGGACACAGCCGCGGAACTAGGCGGGACCGAGGGCCGCCGCATCAAGGCCATCCAGGCGGATATTACATCCTCGAGCGAGGCGCAGAGACTCGTGGATGAGGTTGTGGCGGAGTTCGGGAAGTTGGATATCTTGATCAATAATGCGGGGATTATGGATCGGTTTGATCCCGTCGGGGACCTGGATGAAGGGCTCTGGGATAAGGTTATTGGGGTGAATCTTACGGCGCCGTTCCTGTTGAGTAAATTGGCTGTGAGAAATATGTTGGCTCAGGAGGCGGGGAAGAGGGATGGGTGTATTGTGAATATTGTCTCTGTGGCGGGCAAGGCGGGATGGGCTGCTGGTAAGTCATTCATTTGAATTCTGCGTCCTTGGGTTGGGGGCTGGAAGCTGGGTGTCATGTCATGTCATGTCATGTCATGCATGCTCTTCGCGCTGCCTATATGAAGGATCTAGTTGCATTTGGAGTTCATTGCTAATGCCATCTCGCTGGTCGAATAGGCGCGGCATACACGGCAAGTAAGCATGGTCTTATCGGCTTGACGAAAAACACGGCGTCGTTCTATGGGAACCAAGGCATCCGATGCAATGCGTTGATGCTAGGAGGGATGGACACGAATATCGTCGAGGCGTTCCAGTCCGGCATCAACGCTGCCGGAATGGGCAAGGCAAAGGGAATCATAGAAGCCGTTGGAGTACCTCTTTGTCAACCCGATCAGGTGGCAGATGTGTGTTTGTCGTTGTCATCTGGGAAAGGATCGAAGTTGATCAATGGTGCTTGCATCCCGGTCGATCAAGGATGGACTGGAATTGTGGGATGATTTGATTTGAGTAATATCTCCTTTACCCCCGGGGTCGGAGGCTTCGCCGGCTATCTGAACACAAGAGAGAATTTGGGTTGAAAAAGCGAATTGCTAGGCATCGTTAGCGTCGTCTGGTGGATGATATTTCCGCCAAGTTCGGCAGTCGACCTAAACCCACTATGACGGCATGATGCATTGATTACATCTAGAACAGGAAATAGCTCCAATTATGTCCGCATATCCCCGCCGGTGTCAATAGCGCTCCATCCAGAAATCTCGAGGTGAAGCAAAGTGGAACCGAGAACGGAAATAAAACCACCTAACTCCGATCAGTCATGATATATAGTAGTCGTCATAGAACGCCGACATTAGACATCCTGTGAAACCCCAAGTGACCTCAACCCTCAAACCTTGCACGACCACGATGAAGTACGTACAACTCGGATCCAGCGGCCTTCGCGTCTCGCCCATTTGTGTCGGGTGTATGAGTTATGGCACTCCCGGCAAGCAATTCGACTGGTCGCTCCCGGAAGACGAGGCCCTGCCTGTCCTGGACCACTGCTACCGGTCGGGTCTGAATTTCTTCGACACGGCCAATGTCTACTCAAACGGAGACTCCGAGGTCATCCTCGGGAAAGCAATCAAGAAGTATGGCTGGCGCCGGGAGAACTTGGTCATTGCCACCAAGCTCTGGGCGCCGGTCGGACGCGACACCGAGAAGCCCCTTCGCATGTCCGTGGAAGACAGAGACAACGCCGGCTACGTCAACCAGTACGGTCTGAGCCGCAAGCACATCTTCGAGAGTGTCGACGCCAGCCTTAAACGCCTGGATCTGCCGTACGTCGATCTCCTGCAAATCCATCGCTTTGATCCCAACACGCCGCCGAAGGAAACCATGGAGGCGCTGCATGACGTCGTCAAGTCCGGCAAGGTGCGCTACATCGGCGCGTCGTCCATGTGGGCGCACCAGCTCTTGGAATATCAGTACACGGCACGGATGCACGGCTGGACAGAATTTATCTCGATGCAGAACCTGTACAATGCCATCTACCGCGAGGAGGAGAAAGAGATGTTTCCGGCGTGTGCCAAGTTCGGCATGGGCAGCCTTCCCTGGAGTCCGGTGGCCATGGGATTCCTGGCCAGACCGTCGAAGACATTTTCCGAGACAACGAGGGGAAACTCCCAGAACAACCAGTTCCTGGGCCAGCCAATCACGGAAGCGGACAAGAAGATCAGCGCGAAGATTGAGGAAATTGCGCAGCGTCGCGGGGTCTCGATGGCGGTGATTGCGCTCGCATGGTGTCTGTCCAAGCCCTTCATCACGTCGCCTATTGTGGGGATGAGCAAGAACGAGAGAGTGGACGAGGCGATCCAGGCCATTGACTTTCAACTCAGCGAGGAGGAAATCTCAAGCATCGATGATCTGTACGAGCCCAAGCGAGTGGTTGGTCACAGCTAGGGGGTAAAATGGCTAAAAGCACGGTGTCATTTCCGATGGAGAGGGCCAGAACGAATGATGGACTGTATCACAGACACCGACGCATCTACCCTTGTCAGGGTGACCTTAGAAAAGTCAAACAGAAGGAATTCCATCGCGCCCGGGTCTAGAATCCCACTCTGAACTCTTCTCCGACCAGGATCATTAAGCACCCCAGGCTGAGTCAGTAGATAAACGGTAGAACCATGAGGCATTTACCTTCCGACCGGGGATGAGTCGACGCCGGGGCCCCTCGTCGAGCGAGAGCGTGCAGATCTAGGCTGCATCGCACAGACAGGCCCTGGCAGGTCGTTGCCTGCAAGGCGCTGCGAGATCAGATCCCTTTGAAGCTTGGACCAACGATGTAGAAAGGAGGAAGTGGCGAATCTCCCACCCTCGGCTTAGATTCCGGATGTGATTCCTGCGCCACCAGAAGAGGTCGAAATGGCACGTAAGCGAGTCATCGAATGAGACAGAAGAGATGGACTCTTGACAAGAAGAAAATCCCAGGAGGGCTGCGGATGAGCCCAAAGAGGAAAAGTGCTGCACACCCTCTTCATCCTTCGAAAGTGTATTTATCATCATTTTCTACACAAATCATTTCTTATTGACTCACTCACCGAGTCACGCATGACCGACCAAGGAGACCATCCCCTTCGATCCCCTTCGACCATTGCCATCTCGTCGGTGCCTGCGCCTTTTGCTCCGTGTCTTACCGGCCGTCCGGCTCGAACCTACGCCGCCGGAGAGTTCATTCGCATTCAATCCGATTGTGCCTTTGTGTCTTCTTCCGTCTGATGACTGCGCATGAGCCAAAAATAAGGACGTACAGTCCGTCTGAATCATGCTGCCTTCTGTCAAAAATAGCGGGGTCAGGACGCGCTGCAGTATGACGGCATCATCTCCTCTCGACGTCGGAATGCGAGATCCATCCATGGTGATTGGTTGCAGGGACTAGATGAAATGATAAATGATGAATAATGTGTTTCTCACCCCGACAATAACCACAGGGAGGTGGTGGGGGAGGTCCGAGAGCAATGTGATAGGAACGCCCAGTCGTCTGATCACCCGAGGGAGTGATGACTGAGACCATCACATTGTCGGCACCGAGACTTCTCCTCTGTCGATTGCAAAGCCCTACCCTGGACGGTCTTGAAACCGCAGTCGCCGACTAAACCGCGTTGGGAGGCGAAGTTGTGCTACCTGCTGAAGATCGACTGTGCGTGCAGTGGTGTATACCGCGATCTGGGGTTGCAACGATGGGCGGTGCCTATCACCGGGCGAGGGAATGACATGCAGACTTCGCCGACCAGCCAGTCAGCCCCCGGCATGACCCTAGTCAATGAACTAGATCAACCAGGGGGGTGCAAAAAGTGCGAAACGGTCTCAAATCTACCCTCACTCTCTGTTGATGGACGCGCACTCTACTGGGGTTTTATTTTTACCTTCGTCGACGTAGTCAAAAGTTGGGTCGGTCTGGGTCAGCCGATTCGGCCGCGTGTGTGGTTACAACCGGTTTTTGACCTCTCCATCTGCTGAGCAGAGACTAAGGAACTAATATAGCTCCTGTCAACATCCCTTTTGCTCAGCACTTAAAAGGTCGACCGAATTCCCCGTCGACAAGCTCTGCTGCTCGGTCTCGGGTCGTACAGTGCAGACAAGCTGCTCTCTTTCTCTACCTAGTCAAGGGCTGCATCGGCGCCAAGGATCGCTGGCAACAGACTGGCCGTCTTTGCGTGACCTGCGCATGCTCTTCCATGCCGTCATCTTTCTGATTATTATTGTTCCTTCCCTTTTCTCCTTCCGCCGTTCCCATCGCGCTTTCCGAATCCGTGGACGTGCGTCACTGTTAGCATTGGACTAAACCCGATCTGAACTAGCGCCCGTCGACTCCCCAGGAACTCATCAGTCCGTCCACTGTGTACAGAACAGACAACCCGATTGAGAACAGAACTATTGATGCCGCTGAGAATTATTTACCTCTGTTTCGTGAGTCTGTTGCCTCTCTCTTTGTGTCCTCTGGAATCTGCATTTCTCGTTTAACCGACAGGAGAGGAGTGGAGCCCGCTGTCCGGTGCCCCTCTTTGGACTCTCCCGCGGCTCCCGCCATGACGCCATGCTTTTTCCCCGCAAGCTAACTCGTCCGAAGGTCACGGTCGTTGGGCTGATCTTGAACTTTACCATTGTTTACTCCTTCGACTTTTTGGCCGGTGTTGATTGCGTTCTATTTGGGACGATATTGAAGGAGTGTGGACTAAAATAAGAAACAAAGAAACAAAGAAAAAGAAAAAGAAAAAGAAAATCTGACAAGGCAACCAACTACTCCGGACCGCAGAGGGGCGGTGACAAACCAAGGAGGGACGAGGGAAATCATTCCCTTATCCACAAGGTACCGTTGCCGCGCCTAACCCAACAAAAGAATTAAAAAAAAGATAAAACCCTCGATGGCCTCTCCACGCTCGCCGTTTTCAACTTCCTCTTCCTCCTCCTCCCCCTCGCTTTATCCCTCCTCCTTCAGCTCCGTCCACTCGCCGCCGTCACTCAGCAGTAGGTTTCCCTTCCCCACTCTACCGTGGTCAACCCCTCGACCAGCAGATTAAATCAAACATGCCATCATTGGTCTACCGACCCTGATCGGATTCATCCTCCTGCGCTGTCTTCCTGATATTTTCTCGCGGCATCCCCACCTGACACGTGTGGCATGCCTGTTCCGCATTCCGAGTGAATTGGTGCTGATCGCGTGCTTCTTCCAGCCAATCTCTCCTCTGCCTCTTGGTCGCCTTCCTATCGAGGCACCCAGGACCACTTAGACAACTTGATTGCCAGACACGGTCACCCCACTCGAGTCTCCTTGTCCTCCCTCGAAGAATTAACGGCCACTTCTTCAACTTATAATCCCCCATCGCCTCGTCCCTCCTCGCCCGTCTCCGACACGGCCGATTCTTTCGACGCTCTTACTCTCGGCTCGGCTTCTCGTCCCATCCCCATCCCCAAACCTTCCCCTCACTACGCGCATGACAACGACCTGCCCGTCACACCATTAACGGGGCGTTTCGACAAGGGCTACTACTTTGCCCAGCGAGATCACCACTCCAGCCATAGACACGGCTCTCCTTACCGTCGTTCTTCCTCTACCAGAATGCGTTCCGACAGTTCTTCCTTCTACCCTCCAGTTGTGTCGCCTTCAATGTCCCCCACCGGACGATCCTCCTCCCCGCAACCCTCTCGGGCTCGAGCCCAAAACACCTCCAAGTCGGTCCCCGGCTTCCATCTCGGCAGCCTCCCGCGCTTCCACCCGGCAGTCTATCAGCCTTCGACCGGCAGTCAGAACCCTCCGGCTCAGCAGCACATCTACCGTACCTCGACGAGCTCGCGAGACGCCGTCTGGCAGTATCGGGAACTGATGGAAGGCTCGAGCCTGTCCAAGACTCCCTCCCGGCCGCTTTCCCCCAGTCCGTCGGCTCCCCGCTTGGACCCTCTCCGCAGTCCGGGGCCCGTTACCCCTTTGGCCCTGGAAGACGCCAATGGTTATCTCCTATCGGGCCCCTCCGGCTCGGAGTACTCGTCGCGTGACCACCCACATTCCGGACCGGCGCCTGACCTCGTCGAACGGCTGATTGCCCGCGAGAATGAACGGACTCGCCAGAAGGTCAAGAAGGGCTCCATGGCTAGATGATGTCGTGCGGTCGTAAAATTTGCCCTGCCAGTCAGCTGAAGGGGCTTTTCCTTTTTTCTTATTTCGACTTTTTCTCTTTTTATCGCTTTTTTCTACCTTTCGTTCGGACCTTGATGACTCACGCACCTCCAAAATCTTCGGGCATACAGAACGGTCATCTCCAGATCCAGGACTACAGACCAGTCATCACGAAAGATTTATGTATTATTGATATATTGCGCCTATACCCCACTTTGTACCCGTCTTAACAGATGTATTTTCCTATCTCATTTGTTTTCTCTTCTCGCCCTTCTATGTGGGCCATTTGTCATTTATTGTATTGCATTTTCATTTTCATTTAAAGGATTTGAGACTTTGGCATCGAACAGAAACAGACTGTTCTTGAATTTAGATTGCACGCGACACTGCGAACAGTGCTTCGATTGATAGCGAACTGTGAACGACGGAAAATAAAGCAGCCTACACAGGACAAAACAGAAATCGCAAAAAAAAGAGGACCGGAGAGCTTGGTATTCTATATTTATGAAAACAGATAAATAGAAACTGGGTGGTGATCTACACGAATATCAACTTGCTGAGTAATGGCTAGTTTGAATAATTATCTAAATTAAACCTTTAGTGCGCTGTTATACTACTATGATCGAAGGTATAAGTATCCGGATGTTGGTGCAAACCATTTACCCACCAAGTTCGATTCATTCTATACGAAACCAATGAGAGATGTATACTAAATGAGCTCATGGCCGTCCCCCCGCTAACTATTGTTCATAGAGTGAGCTGACTAGGTACTCCATACAGAGCTGAGTCGTTGGGGTTCGTCTGACCACATCCGGTCGCTCCGATTCCGACTATCAGAACAAAAACTGGGCGATTAGGTAGGAAACGGGAGTGTTGTTTTTTTCTCCCGGAATCCTTTGGTTTCCTGCCTTTCCATTCCGATTCGTCAAGATAGTCTAATACTGACTTTGCTCTTAAGATTGTACTCCCAATGGTGTAACCTTCCTGTTTCCAAGTTCAATGTCCACTTCGTCAAAAGAACAATATATCCGAGATGTGACCGCGAAAGTCAAGTCCCGTTCTCCGGGACCGATGGATGATAACTAGATCTTGCAGTCTCGATCGATCCTTCAGCTCTTAGTCTGCCTCGACTAAGCATGAGAAGGCTGTGGATCGATTATACTCAGTTTCAACTAGTGTTCAATCACGTAATACGCTCCTGTATTAGGAGAGAACAATTCAATGCAGTGGATCTGTTCGATGAAGAAAAACCTCTAACTTTCTGGTCTGATCATGTGCCGTGGTTCGGTTCTGTGGGACCCAAGGATAAGGCGTAAGCTTATATCTGACATAAGAGTCCATGGATCTGGGGTTGCTTGAGTAGGTTATTTAGTGTTTGGGGGGAGGTAGTATAAGGTGGTGTTTTCTATAGAGTAGCCTAATATGTTGTTGTTTGTCGTTTGTTGGATCGATCAATCGATTGGAGATGTACTCCTACAACACTTCTGGATATGCACCACAGTTGTCACGAATCAAATACAGGACATAATTATATCCCACTGTATGTACAACCCTCCAGCCGCAACGAACCACCCGTACGACCCTCCCACCCCGCAATCCACAACCAATGCACAATGTATCTCAAACCAACTCGACCAAAAGTCCAGTCCAGGCGTATACGCAACCCGCATGGCCACGAGACAGAGTAGGCTGAGTCTGGTCTCGCCGTCCGACTTGCCTCGAGCGTGTACGACCCTTGATGCGTGTTTTATTGGATGACGTTCTCGTCCATGGAACTGCAGGACTCGGACGTGGTACAGGAGGCTTTTCGGGGAATTTGCGTACACTCAGGATGTTTTGGACGATGACAGATAGACATGTGAGAAATGACATGCTCACGTTTGAATGGGAATTCACTTTGCCTTCAGGTGGCCTTACATGACACCTACTAGTTGGATCTGTGGTGCTGTCGAGGGAAAGGTATATAAAGGGTGAAGATATCCGTCTTGAACATCTATCCATCTATCTAGTATCTACTCATCGCAAAATCCAATCCCATTCGGACAATCAGTCAATCAATCGATCAACCATCCGATTTCCCAACCCCTACCAAAATGAAACCCACTATCATCCTCCCCCTCCTCGCTCTCTTCTCCGCCGGCTTCGCCGTCGCCCTTCCGGCCGCCGAGGCTCAGGATCCCGCTGATCCGGAATCCGACCCCGGAGACGTTGGCACTGAAGCTGTTATCCCTGGTGTATGTACATACTCCTCTGCCCTATCTCCCCTCCGCTCACCCGAAGCGCGTCGCGTCACAGACGTCCCGCACGGCTCGAGCTAACACTGCCAAATGGATAAATAGACATGCAGTAGCGTCACTCAGCAATGCACTGCCAGTAACCGGCCCGGGAGCACTTACCATGCTCCTTGTCCTAGTAACCACCGGGTGAGTTTTCCTTTGCGTTCTTGGTTCTGGTCTTGAGATTGGTGGGTGGAGTAGATGACTGACAGGTATACTATTGATTTGATTTAGTGTGGTGCAAGACATACCTGCAATATTGATACCGTTCATCTTACTGCTGTTTGCAGTTAAGGGTGGTGTCTAAATTGGATGGACTAGGGACTAAGAGTGTCTAAATTGGTGGGTGGAAGAATATGAGATTCTAAGGAAGGGTGGCATGGAAATGGGAATGATTGACTAGGTAAGGTAGGGTGCAGCTGCAGGGGAATTCGGGCAAGGCTGTTAACAGTGTTCAACCACGGTTACAGTCGGTTAGGGTAGCATTGGGGATAGATAGTGTGTCATTCTTTTAGTTTTGGTCAATTGACTGATGGGGTTATATATTTTTTCACTTGCTCTGTTCTACAACCCGAATCTAGGGTAGATAGAGTGATGTAGACTGTACTCGGGTAGGGGCTGATCTGTTGTAATATATCCCGGGACCAAACTAGGGTTCATATATTTTGGAAATGTTGCTTTTGAAAGCATTGGAGATAATAGTAGCGTGACGGAGGCATTCCTGAGTAAATACTACTTGGAGCTGTATGGAGGGCTAGTTCGGCTAGATTGATGACTCTAAATACCTGTTCATAATGGGTAGAAAGAGGAAAAGGGAGACTTCGTGAATGGAGTGTGCTGGCCAGAAGCAAAAGAAAAACTAAAAAGAAATAAGATAAGTTGTTCTGCGTCGGCCGGGAGTCGAACCCGGGTCCCTTGCTTGGAAGGCAAGGATGATAACCGTTACACTACCAACGCGGTAACTTGAAAAAAGTGTCTAATTTAGAAACTATGAGGCACTGTCCTTTCTGACAAACTCACCGCTCGGGCGCCGGAGAAGAAGCTCATCTCCCCGGACCGAACAGGATTTGCGGGGCGGAATGCGAATCGGAGTCGTGCTTGTTAATAATTCAATGCGCGACTTCTCCAACCGACAAACCATCCCCCCGCTCTTCAATGGAGCTCTCTTCTTCCTCTTCTTCTCCCTGAACCCCTCGATCAATTACCCCGTCTCCTCCCCAGATACCCTTTAGATCACCGATGAACAGGCTCACCTGAACACGCATTCCTTTGTCCGATAGCGGACCTCAACGTCATTCTACCGCCCTAATTCGATTTTTGCGACTGTATATACCCTCTCCGATTGAAACCTGAATCAACACAATATGACTTCAACCCCGACTTCGATATCGAATTCCGGAGCCCCCGGTGTCCCAGACCCTCAGGCCGCGCAGAAAATCGACAGCGTTGGTTCGGGGAGCGCTCGCGCGCCGGTGACGAATTCAAAGCATGACTATAAGGGGTTCGTGGCTGGTGTGTTTTCGGGAATTGCGAAGCTGAGCGGTATGTCCTTGTCATGCAATATCGTATTGCTTCTAAAGCTAATTACTGTGCGGAATATAGTTGGCCATCCGTATGTGATCGTCTTCCTGGTTGCGCACGCCTATTAATCGTTCTCTCTCACAGATTCGACACCGTTAAAGTCCGCCTACAAACAAGCAAAGATGGTCATTTCAGAGGCCCCTTAGATTGCGTGCTACAGACAGTGCGCAAGGAAGGTGTGAGTGGGCTGTATAAAGGAGCGACGCCGCCGCTGGTCGGATGGATGGTGATGGATTCAGTGTGAGTCCAGTCTTGAATTGGGAGCATACGGGAAGGACTGTCGAGGCTGACGTGGGATAGCATGCTTGGTTCTTTGACGTTATACCGCCGACTCCTTCTCGAACATGTCTTTTCGAAACCGGAACTGCGATCGCTGGTCCCATTCGCTAGAAAGGATCCGGACCTGCTCACGCTGCCTAGCTTCGGTCATGGTATCGCTGGTATCCTGGCCGGTACTACGGTCAGCTTTATTGCCGCCCCTGTGGAACATGTCAAGGCGCGCCTACAAATCCAATACGCTGCGGATAAGTCCGGCCGTATGTACAGCGGCCCGATCGACTGCACTACTAAGATTGTAAGTTCTGTGACTGGTTTACGAATTGGAACGAGATGTTGACTCGGCTCTGTAGCTCCGAACACATGGAATCTCCGGTCTCTATCGGGGTCTCTGCGCTACGATCTTCTTCCGCGCGTTCTTTTTCTTCTGGTGGGGATCCTACGACGTCCTGACGCGATGGATGAAAAACTCCACCAACATGTCGGCGCCCGCGATCAACTTCTGGGCCGGCGGTATCTCGGCACAAATCTTCTGGCTCACGTCGTACCCGTCGGACGTGGTGAAGCAGCGCCTCATGACGGATCCCATGGGCGGCGCTCTTGGAGACGGACAGCGGAAATTCCAGTATTGGAAGGACGCGGCTCGGGCGGTTTATCGTGAGCGCGGTTTGAAGGGATACTGGAGGGGATTTGTACCCTGCTTCCTGCGAGCATTCCCGGCGAATGCGATGGCATTGGTAGCCTTTGAGGGTGTGATGCGGTCTCTGCCGTGAGACAGAAGAATTGTAACGAATATTAAGAAAAAGAAAAGCCAGATAGACTGTACATAGTAAATAGATCGAGAACGATGGATGCACCCATGCAATATTTCCGCATTCGGCGGTGCCCAGACCCGTGACCCGCGCAGTCCCCATCCGGAAAGCTTCGTCATCCCTCACTTCCCGTTCCCTTTTCCTTTTCTTGTCTTCCTCTTCTCTTTCCACCGTTCGTCCTCCCTGGCGATATGGTTGTCGCTGTTGCTGGCTAACACATCCCTCCGTCCCTTTGCCGGGCCTGTCCTGGATCGCTGAATTGATCGATCGGCCCCTTGCCAACGCCAACTTGTCGATCTGCACCACTGACCACGTACCCGTCACCGTCTGGCCAACTCACCCAACACCGTTACCACCACCTCTAATCGGTCTCACGGTCCGCGATGGCCGTCGCTCGTCCAATGCGACGCACCAGTCCTATCACGCTGCTCCTGGCGGCCCTGCTCGCCTTTGGATTCCTCTGCTTTTTGCTCTCTCCGTCTCCCCCCTCATCCTCCGCCTCCGCCGCCTCCGTCCCCGTCGCCGACTCGTCGCAACAGCTCCGCGAAGACGCCGCGCAGAATCCTCTCTCGCCGCCCACAAAACCATTCCTCAAAGAACAACCAATCCGCAACGATGGCGTCCAGGCGCCCCCTCCCGTCGTCCACTACAACCTCAACAGTCTCACCAGCACCGACAATGCCGCCGGCATGGGCGAACGAGTCCTCATCCTCACCCCCCTCGCGCGCTTCTACCCCGAATTTTGGGCCAACGTCGAAAAGCTGAGCTACCCGCACGCTCTGATCTCCATCGGCTTCATTGTGCCCCGCACCAAGGAGGGAAACGCAGCGGTCGCAGCCCTCGAGGAGGCCATCGCAAAGACGCAATCCGGACCCGTGGACTCCCGGTTCGCCAGCATCTCCATCCTGCGCCAGGACTTTGAGCCCCCGCTACAGTCGCAGGACGAGAAAGAGCGGCATAAAATGGCGAACCAGAAAGCGCGGCGCGAGTCTATGAGTCGCGCCCGCAATAGCCTGGTCTTCACCACCCTCGGCCCCAGCACCTCGTGGGTGCTGTGGCTGGACGCCGACATCATCGAGACCCCACGAACCCTGATCCAGGATCTCACGCGGCATGACAAGCCGGTCATCGTGCCGAACTGCTTCCAGCGCTATTACAACACCGAGACGAAGCGCAACGATGTCCGTCCGTACGACTTTAACTCGTGGATCGATAGCTCCACCGCCCAGTCCTTGGCTGAAGCCATGGATCCCGACGAGATCCTCCTTGAGGGCTACTACGAGATGCCGACGTATCGGTCCCTGATGGCCTACATGGCCGACCAGAGAAACCCCGACCCGCGTCGCGAGATCGAGCTGGACGGTGTCGGTGGCACCGCGCTCATGGTCAAGGCCGATGTGCATCGTGACGGCGCCATGTTCCCTGCGTTCCCGTTCTACCATTTGGTTGAGACGGAGGGTTTTGCGAAGATGGCCAAGCGTCTGGGTTATTCGGTGTTTGGGCTACCTGATTATTTTGTGAGTTGCCTCTCTACCCACTCTTATCTTCGCTGAACGTGGTAAACTAATCCTGGCGAAACTAGGTATATCACTATAACGAGTGATAGAGATATCAGAGGTGTAACGATTTCAAGTAAACATAAAATTATCCTATAGATTTTGTATTGCTTTTCTTTTTTTTTTTTTACTGGGACCTTGGTTTATGTACTTTGCGCTGTGCGCAAGGTTTCTTCGCATTCATTCATGATAGCTGTTCGTTTAATTTACCCATTTTCGCTTCTGTTTCTGCTTCTTATTTCGTTTATGTCCATCTTAACCTTTCACATTCCTGTTCATTATATTGCAGTTTTTGGTCATATCTTGTGAATTGGAGTGGAATACAGTTCTGGATTGGCGTCTGAATGGATGGTTGATACGGGTTGCGAGGAATTATATATTTATTGTCTCGTCAGTAGTAGATGGAATGTTGGTTTTTGTAGATTTTTTCGTAACCGAGAGGAACTGAAGGTATTATATCTTCCCAAATTCTATATGGTATATTGAATTTACATATCATCCGTCTTGTGGAGTTCGAATCCAATTGGTCAATAGGGTCGTAATATAGGTCGGTGGTAGAGAAGGACCTGCGACAGGACAGGATAGTGACGACGATGGTTTAGTCCCATGAGATTCTGCGATAGTTAGTCAGTCACCCTATTACTTGATTTGCAAAGGGGTAGAGAGGTAGAAGGGTAGAAGGAAGGGAAGAAACATACGCAAGCATGATACCCGCGCCCAACGCGACGGCCAAGAACTGGATGATCGTCTGCTTGATCTCCTTCTTCTTGTCCTTGCCGGTCTCCAGCAACTCCGGAATGACCGACACGGTGCCGACATACAGGAAGGTCCCTGCCGTGAACGGCAGTAGCATATCGCCCCAGGTCAAACTCGTCCCGAGCAGACCGGCGGTGGCGGAATCCGCAGCACCAGCATCGCCGCCGTGGCCGCCTAGCTCCTGGACCGCGATGCCGATAAACGTGCCCAGGAAGGCGCCGACAGCCGTGACGAACTGCGCGCCCATGGCCTTCCGCTTCGAGAAGCCGGACTGGATGAGCAGCGCGAAGTCGCCGACCTCGTGGGGGATCTCGTGGAAGAAGACGGCGACGGTGGTGGTGGCGCCGATGGTGGGCGAGGCGTAGAAGGACGAGGACATGGCGAGGCCGTCGGTGATGTTGTGCGTGAAGTCGGCGATCAGGTTGAGGTAGCCGCCGAGTTTGACGCTGGGGTTGATCTCTTTGCTGGTGTCTTCGGTCGACGGCGCAGTCTTCTCTTGCTGAGCGGACTTCTTGTTGCGCTGTTTCACACCCTGGGTGCCCTTGTCGGCGCCGCTGGCTACAGCGGTGGTGCTCGTCTCGGGATGGATGTGGGTGTGTCCGTGGCCGTGGGAATGATCGTGTCCTTCTCCGCCGGTTGCGATCCGCAGCGTCTTATCCATTGCGACGAATGTGAAGAATCCGACCATGATGCCGAGACCGAGGAGAAGGTTGCGGTTGGGCTCGACCATGACGAAGCGGACGTGGTCCTGGGCATCCTCGCCGAGGAAGATCTCGGGCAGGAGATGGAAAAGGGTATCACCTAGAAGACCCCCCACGGCGAAGGCGACCATGACGGACAGCGAAGAGGGGTCGATGTTGGGAGGACATAGTGCGAGGAGAAAGTCTAGATGGTGAAGACAGTTAGAACGATCGCGATGGGGAATTTGCTGAAAACGGACGTACTCGGGGGTCCGGAGATATAGACAGTGGCTAGGATGGCATTGACGGCGGGACTGCCGGGGAAGAGGACAGAGAAGATCTTGGATGTCAGACTGGCGGTTTGGGGGCTATTTGCGCGTTTGTGTTCGTTGAGTGATTCCACCAAAGGACAGTTCTGAGAAGTCAGTGAAATTCGCAACGAATGTATAGTCGGATACAGAAAGGTAGGTATATAGATAGCCTGGTTAGGGCTAAAAAGTGACAGGGTCTTTGTTTACCTGCAGTTCATCCTCGATCTGTCCGACCGACAGCTCCCCGACATCTAGTACATCTTTAGCGATCGCGAAAGCGGAGAAAAGCAAGACTCCGGCAGCCAGCGCAAAGCCAATTCTCCGCGAGGGAGCGAAAAGACGCGAGACCATAGCAACGAGGAACAGGCCAGGGGTGAAGGCCACGAGGGGAGCAATTGGTGGAGGAGAGTGGACTGTCGATCGGCTGTCCGTCGGCGATAAAGCCCAAGTCACCTGCTGATCAGGGACCCCTGAGACAAACATGCCAAGCCCCGCAGTGCAAACACGGACGAGCTAATCGATAAGATCATTTTCTTTTTCTTCCGAACTTTCTTGCCGCAACTTTTCGAACCTCCGATTTGATCATCATTGCACTTTTGATCCACGTTGCACCATGACAAACATTCGTCAAGCCAGGAAGCTCCGGTCGGGGTTGTCGAAGAACAGGCCTAAGAGGGGAAACATCCTCAAGAGCGGCAAGAAGAAGGTCAACGTGTTGGGAAATGCTATCATCGCCGAAAACTGGTACGGATTCGATGGTCAGAACAAAAATCATAAAGAGCAGCGCTAATGGCAATTCACAGGGATCGCAAGTTGACTCTCACGCAAAACTATCGTCGCCTCGGTCTTACTCACCGTCTGAACGCCCCCGCCGGTGGCGCCGAGAAACGCCCCAACAAGGACGGCGGTATCGACGTCGCCCCCGAAAACTCGTTACACATCAAGGGCAGCTCGGAAGCGACAGCGAAGCAACTGGGACTGGGAGAAGTCGAGGTGGAACGCGATCCAGAGACCGGCAACATTATCCGAGTGGTTAGCAAGAAACGAGACAACCCGCTCAACGACCCCTTGAACGACCTGTCCGACAACGAGCAGGACGCCTACGGGGCTCCGAAGACGGACATTGTCAAGCAACTTGAGCGGCAAGCAGCGCAGGAGGGAGAAGATGTCAAGACCAAGAAGCCGCGCCACCAGAGCTCGCGGGAGGCGGAATGGATCCAGAGACTTGTCGATCGACACGGCGACGACATTGCTGCCATGTTCCGCGATCGCAAGCTGAATCCTATGCAACAGAGCGAGGGTGACATCAGGCGGCGCATTAAAAAGTGGAAGAAGAGCCAGGAGTGATGGGTGATACCGATATGCATTGTGCAAGGGCGAATTCGGCGTTATATGGTTCATTTTTGGCTAAAAGTCTTGTATCTATTCCCTTCCACTAGCTGTCTCTGATTATTCTTCAGCTTGATGGATCAGATTACTTATGATAGATCTGACGTGCAATTGAATAGTAATCTGCACATAAGAATTCACGGTAGCAGGTTTTTAGTAAGAGTCCCAACCAAATCACTTAGATACTGTCCATGCGCCTGGCAGTATAGCTGGCATCTGCTTTCACACCAGATATTTGATGCTCTTTCTGCTAGAAAGATCCCCTCTTGTCCTCGCTTATTTCACTTCGCCCTCCTCCCCTCTCACTTTCTCTTTATCCCTCACAACACCCCAGCTGTACTCGCTCCATCCTCAACTACCCATCTATCACAGCAGTCACAATGACTCCCTTCATCGCAGTCATCTTGACTGTCCTGTCTCTTGTCCAGCTTGGATGCGCCCAGATTGGATAGTACAGCCTCTCTCTCACACACCTCTACATCGCATACATTGTTTACTGACCGATAATCCCAGCAACGCCATCACCAACAGCCTGCTTTGCTCCAAGCCAGGAGGCCACTACTGCGTCCATGGCTCCCTGCAAGACCCTACCATGATTTCCTGCGTGTCAATTACCACCGCTGAGATCCGCTCGTGCAATATTGAGTGCGTTGTTTACCTCTCGCCATGCCTTTGTCGTAGTGCGATTTTGCTAACCAACACCATTATTTGTTCTTGCAGACTAGCGAATATCCTCCCTCCTGGATATGAAGATATGGCTATCTGTGCGTGCTTGTTTATACCATTCGTCTTTCTCTCTTTTGCTCTCCTTACCTCTTTAAAACCATGGCGACAACCTGCTCCCAAACTAATGAGACTAAATCTAGGCTACGAAACCACTCCCATACTCGGTGACGCCCTCTGCGCGTTCAATGGAACCGGATATCCTCGCTCTGGCAAACCAGTGCCCATTCCTGAGACAGCGCTGTGCACTTCCGATTCTTTCACCGGAGAGTCCGACAGCTACGACGATTCGGACGACGAGGATGCCATCGACAGTGACAGCTACTACTCTCCCGCGACCAGCTACTCCGACGATAAATTCAATGTCTCTCGCAAACGCCTAGAATTCACTATCTTGGAGTCAGAGCCAGAGCCAGAGCGAGAGCCTGAGGATCCCCAACACACGGCCCCGACCACAACCACAACTCACCCCGACAACGAGAAAGGGATCATCCAAACCATACCTTCCCTCCCTCTTCCACTTCCCGTTACACCTGTGGACTCCCTCATCATGTCCTCAACACTGACTAGTCAGCTTAAACCCACAGTTACCAGCCCCGGTCACCCTCAACCCCCCTGCGTGCCTCAGTTGGGAGTCCGAGATCCGAATACCACGGTCCTCGAGAGCTCAAATTCGAATGACTGTGTATCTGATCCTGCGTTTGCGGTACTGACGTCCATTCCCACTTATACTCCCACGCCTGCTCTCGTAAGACCCAGAATGGCTGATAAATGTACCTGGACCCCGACGCCGTTGTATAGGACTGGGGCGGGCGTTTTGCCGTCTTCCTCCTCGTCTTGGAGCATTTCTTTGTCTTCTTCTTTGACTTCATTTTCGGAGGTGGCGAGTTTGAGTTCCAGTTCCACTTCGAGTGTCACTCCGGCGAAGACTTCGGGTGGGAAGGAGGCTGGGGCTGCGGCTTGCTTGGTTCAGAGAACCAGCTTTGTGGTGTTGGTGGGGTGGGTGCTTTGTTTGGGGGTTTTGTTGGGATGGGTTTGATCTTGAGGTTGTTTATTTGGTTGTGGAAGATTGGTTGTCTGTTGTTGGTGTTGTTGATTGGGTCGGATAGGGTTTCTCTACTCGTCTACTGCTATGGGTCAGATTTGGACTGAAGTGTCTCGCCTTGGAGGATTGTCTTGTATTCTACTGGGATTGAAGAGAGTTGGACGGTCTGCAGAGATGGGTGTGAAGCCGAATGAATATCAACGAATAAACGACTTTTCCTATCTACGGAATCTATGACCTGATCACATATCCTTAACATACCCCTGCCTAGCCACTCCGCCCTGATCCAAAACGATATAATAATCCGCATCCTTGATAGCTTCCAGCCGATGCGCAATAGTAATCACAGTCGACTCCTTCATCTCCTCACGAATAATCTGCTGAATCTCCAACGAGCTCTCGTGGTCGATCGACGCCGTCGCCTCATCCAGAATAACAATCGAGCTGCGACGCAGCACCGCCCGGGATAGTCCGATAAGCTGCCGCTCGCCCTGGCTGAGGTTCCGGCCTCCAGCCTCCACGTGTGTGTCGAGAGTCCAGTTGTGTCGGCCACATACTCGTCTGAGGATCTCGGCGCATTCTTCGTCGGCGTAGTCGCCTGTTGGGTCAAGGTTGAGGCGGATACTTCCCGGGAAGAGGACGGGGTCTTGCGCGACGAAGGTGATTCGTGTGCGTAGTGCTTGGGTGCTCACTTGTGCGATGTCGATGTCATCGATCAGGATGCGGCCGGATTCGGGGCGGATGACGCTGAGAAGGGAGACGGCGAGTGTGGATTTCCCACTACCTGTGCGGCCGGTGATAGCGGTGGTGGAGCCTCCAGGAATCCGCAGGGAGATGTTCTTGAGTGAGGGATCGAGATGAGGAGCGTAGCGGATCGTGACGCCGTCGAATGTAATATCGCGACCGAATTTGGGCCACGAGGCGGGTGGTTCGATGGTGCCCGGATTTTCTTCCTCCACGTGCAGCAGCTCGTCCACGCGCTCCACGGAGACAAAGTCCATCTGCAACTGACCGTACTGTTTGCAAAGCCCGTGAGTGGCGTCGACCAGGCTGTTAGCGGCGATGAGAACAAATGCAGCCAAGCCGGGAGAGACACTTGTGTAGAGAGCAAGCACTGTCAGGCAAAAAGTGGATATGGCAGATAGACTCTCAAAGCGGAACATCAGCCAGCTCTGTAGCGACCAGTAGAAATGATCCATGCCTTGGAACTTGTCCACGACTGCGATAACCCGATCCTGGAAACGCGTCTCTGCATGGAATGCACGGACAGTTGTCAAGCCGTGCAGAAGTTCGCCAAAGTTGGATATCAAAGGGCTCAATGATACCATTTCTAGCCGTCGCAAGCTCTGCGAGGTTGGGAGGAACTGCAAGAACGTGATGATGAAGGCGACAGTAAGGATCACGGAGAATCCGAGGAAAGTCGGGGTCACGGAAGCAATCACTATCATAGACGAAATCCACGTAATGGCGAGAAATGCAATGATTTGAAACTGTTGGCTGATGTTCCCATCCACCACGCCAATATCCGACGTCAGCCGGTTCATCAATCGACCAATGGGAGTCACATCGAAGAATCGGAACGTCGCATGGCTGACTCGCACCATGGCCTGCTGAAACATTGTTTTGCCAGCATAGTAGACAACAACCAGCATCAACAATTGCGACAAGAGCATAACGACGGACTGGAAGGCCGTGATAGCAAAGAATGCTAGCAACCACGGGCGAACATCTTCTGCTGGAGCGGGCAAATCGTCGATCGGGCTCTTGGGCAGCCAGTTAACTGTGTTTGAGAGAATCGATTGGGTGTCGGATCCAGAGGCAATAGACATGATGTTCGACCCCGAGTACTCAAAGAAAAGAACGAATTGGTTATATGCTTCACCCCATTCTTTGAGAAACCATGCTTGTGCGACTGAGGTGACTCGAGACACCGCCACGACGACAACAAGCGCAGACCACCATTTATACTTTCCGGCTCTGATGTAATTCCAGTAAACCCGGGCTTTCACGCCCCATTCGGCCCGATGCTCCTCTTCAATGAACTTGTCTGGTACCGCGGCCGTGTCATCCTCAATTTCGGCTTCATTCTCGGACTCATTATCTACTGTATGAGACGATGAAGTATCGTCCGCACTGGAGTCATGAGAAGCGATTGCAGCTTGTCGGTTTTGCACTGTAGCTCGGCCATGTTGGACTTCGATGATCTGATCCGCGATGTGGCCAACGAGATGGGTGCGGTGCGTGACGAGGACAACGGTTCGGTTCTGCATTAAAGGACCCGAGAAGCATCTGCGGACGATGGTCTCCGCTGTATTGTGGTCCAAGGCGGACAGCGGATCATCAAGGAGCAAAATGCTTCCTGCACTGTATACTGCTCGAGCAAGAGCAACGCGTGCCTTCTGTCCACCTGAAAGACCGACGCCATTCTCGCCCACGAATGACAGGTCGCCATGTTTGAAATTGGCGAGATCGGGAAGCAAAGCGCAAGCATCGAGAACGCGCTTATACCGCTGTTCGTCATAAGGCGATGAAAAGAGAATATTGTCTCGGATGCTCATGCTTTGTAACCAGGGTGTCTGGGAGCAATAGCCGACCATCTCATTGGGAATGTGTGCAACACCATCGATACGATCTAGTTCGCCCAGCAACGCCTGGAGAAGTGCGGTCTTTCCTGCACCCACTTTGCCACAGATGACAGTCAGTCCCTGGGAGATCTTGAGATTAACATCCGACAGGACAGGTAATTTCCTCCCGGCCCAAGCAAATGAACAGGAGTCCAACAGTAGCGAAGAGTCGGAGTCGCTCGACGTGTCTTTCGTTTCCTTGTCTGGCTCATGCATAAAATCCTCAATTCGCTCCACTGAGATGGATGCGTTAATGAGTATCGTGATGAGCATGGGGATTTCTCGTATCCGAGTTTCTAGCATAGTGAACAGCTGGAGTGCAGGAAAGATGATGTCGATCCGAAGGGGATGACCTGCCAGCACCGTATAAGCATACAATGCCACAACAGGAAACAAGCCGCTTGTGAAGACATTGATGAACTGAATCAGAACCGTCCAAAGACTGGTAATGATTCGAAGATTCAGTTCGGACTGCCGCGCATCAAGGACCTGGCCGAGCCAATGGTTCTGCCACCCATACCAACGAAGGTGACGCAGTGCTTCCACAAACTGGGAAGAGATCTGTAGCCTGGTATCAGTCGCCAGCCTGCGGACACGCTCCCATTTGAAGAGAGTACGGGTGATGATAGCATTGATCGCTTGGCCAGCCAGAATAGCTACAATGCCCAGGAAACATGAAGGCCCAAGTAGCTTCCAAACAAGAGCAATGGCAATAATCAGACCTAAGGGCTTATCGACAAGACGGTCAACTTCCCAGAATCGCTGGGCTACCTCGTAGGCGTCTCCGCGGAGAAGGTTAAATATCTTTCCCATGGAAGCCGCTGTCTTTGGTCTTTCTTGCTGAGGGCTTTGCGATCGATTGAAAAGCCCACAGAGCTTCCGCTGCTTGGGCCCACCTTCAACATCGTCATTGCTATCGTCTCCATTTGAAAGTTGCTCTTCCTCTTCCTTGTCTTTCACCTGCTGTTCAAAGACATTTTTTCTAGATAAGGCTTTTTCATAAATCATCATCATCATCTCACCCCTGCTTCTCTCATAGCACCTTCTGCCATACCAGATGTTCAGCACCTGTAATTGGGCAGACACGAAACGAAGAAACAAGGACAAAAGAGCATAAGTCAAAGCAACTCTCTTTCTATCCGGGAAATTCATTGCCTGCAAAAGCTGCTGCAGGAGAACCGGGGTGGAAAAGCCTAAGAAAACGTCAGTGATGAGCAAGATTAGAAGGAACGCGAAAGGCTAACCGCAGAGCATCTGCACGATGGAAATCAACGTAATAATGAGGACGTCAATTCCATTGGCCTGAAGCAACCGAGTGACCACCGACCCCTGGAGTTTGCGGAACTTCTCATGCAGTCGGCGATGTTGGAACTCAAACCCCAGAAACCATACGTCGTCCTCGTTCAGTTGCCTTTGTTTCCCCAAGGACATCAAAGGGGCCATCCACGACACGCTGAGGAATTGCCATAGTCTCAAGTTATCCTCTGGGCTGCGGAAGTCGGCTGATGGCGCCTGGCCGACCACCCCGATATCAATGCATGGAAGGAAGGGCTCCCGTAGGGGCATCACAAGGATGACGGCGCAGCCGGCCGCTGCAGCGCCCGCGGCAAGGTAGTAGGCGAACAATTTATGCACACCGTAAGCATTTTCATTCAGTATGTATGCAGCCTCTACTGCGAATGCAGTTCCAAAATAAACAAGCAGAGAGACGGGACTAGACCGTGGTCGTTCCCTGGTAATTAACGCGGCAGTCAGAGCCTACAATCAGTTAGCCAGCAATTGACCCACGGGTCAGATCGCCACTCACCCAAGATACCAACAGGATGTAATTGGCGCTATCCGACCCATTGGGGATGACTTTAATGAGCTCAGCCGCGAAGCCAACAATTGATACAGCAAGCAGGGATATCACCCAGCCTAGTCGTTGAGGCCCTGTTCTCGACGCCAGTTCAGGGAACGGCGAGGGCTCTGGGATGAACGGTTTTGTCCATTTGGGGCGCCATTTGTGTAACAGACGTCCAAGGATCTGGAAGACAGCAATTGTGATGATAGCAATGCCAGGTACTACTGAAACATAGCGCATTGCACATGGCGACAATCGCGCGCTGTCCGAGTCCTGAGAGGTAAATCAGCGCCAAGAACGAAAGAATGCGTAGGAGATCGAGACTGTAGGCTTACCCAGAAAAAATGACATGCGTGCAGCCCGGCATCTTGCTGATCCAGGGCCATTGCCGTGAGATGGTGCAATTGTCAAGATGATGAGAGGAACAATGAGCGACGTCCCCTCTTGTCATCCTTCGCTCGGCACGCATTCCGGCGCTGGTTGGCTGCTGCCTGCGCTTAGGTAACCAGATGCCAAGGATTCCGAGCGACTTTCATTGAACCGGAACGACAGTAAGTCTGGCAATGGACAAGATTCTTCTAATTCAAGACATTCATTGCTAAGCTAGAAAACATCATAGCGCCAGATTCTGCACAGGAATAAGGAAACACAAGCTCAAATCCATAAACAAAGCCAAGTCATCTATAAACACGTCTAACCCCATATATACAAAGTCTATTTAGATCAATTTATGTGCTGTTGCTTTGGTTCTCCACGTGCTCCTGTCTCTCCTTCTCATAAGAACCTTCTTTCAGGTCAAAGCGGAACCGCTCCTCGTCCTCCTTCAATTCAGCCTTAAGCTGCTTGTGCGCATTCCAGATAGGCTTGATCTTGAAGAGACGATCAACCTGCTCCAGCGGGATACCACTGGTCTCGGGAATGAGGAAGAAGGCGAAGAAGAAGGCAAGGAACGAGAGAGCTCCGAAGAAGAAGTATACGCCGTAATGCATGGCCGCAAACATTTGCTTGGTGAACCGGGCAATCAGGAAGTTGAAGAGCCAGTTGCTGGCAGTGGTGGCGGCTTGACACAGAGAACGGAGGTTGGGATCGAAGAATTCCTGTGTTTCTGTTAGACGGGTGTGAGGTAAAGCCAGCGGTGTGAACTTACGGAGTTGATCAACCAAGGGGTACCGTTCCATGACGGAGTGTAAATGGCAGTCCAAAGGTAGAAAAAGAAGATGCATGCAATTCCACCGCTGTTGAGGTGGTCGGTGGGATTGTCTTCGGGCTTCACGGCACAGATGTAGGCACCAATGATGAACATGCAGATGGAACCAGCAATAGCACCAATCAAAAGCAGCAACCGGCGTCCCAGTTGATCAACGAGGAACAATAGCCAGACAAAGGTCATCACGGCCTTGACGACACCGAAGATACCCGTGGTCAAGTTAACAGTCTCATCGGCGACACCGATGCTCTTGAAGATAGTCGGGCTGTAGTAGTTGATTGCATTGATCCCAGATCCGTTCTGCCAGAAGAAGAGCATGCAGCCCAAAAACAGGCGGTACATCATCGGAGGGCGAGAGGCGAGGGATTGGAAGGGCTTCCAGAACCCGATTCCGACGGTGGCAACCTGCTGCTCATGGACTTGATCAATGGCAGCCACTTCTTCGGCAATGTAGATGTCGGTCTCCTCCAGCTGACGGATCCAACACAGGTTGGCCATGGCTTTCTGGCGTTTGCCCTTGAGGAACAGCCAGCGAGGAGATTCCTTCAGCCACAGAGTTCCGACCAAAAGCAAACCCGCGGGAACAATTTGGACAGCGAAAGGAATGATCCACTGTTGGTGGTTGGCATCCAGAGTTTTTTCAACGCCATACTGAATCATAAACGGTTAATTCAAAAGCTTCACAGCAAGGCGACGAACAAATGCACTCACGTTGATCCAGAATCCTACCATGCCACCTACTTGCCAGCCAAGTTCGTAGAAACCGACGAGTCGTCCACGGATGGCAGGGGGGGCCAGTTCCGAAAGGTAGATTGGGATAATGTTCGAGGCCACACCGGTACCCAGTCCGGTCAAAACACGTCCAGCGTACATGATACCGAGACCGCGAGCGCCCGTCGCGCCCACCTGTAAACCGGCGCCCAAGATGAACATGGTAGCGGCAAGGACCAAACTCCATTTCCGTCCCCAGTAATGGCCAAACGGGTAGGTAAACAGAGCACCGAAGAAGGCACCGGCGATGAAGAGGGAGACGATGTTCTCGCTGATCAAATCAACATGGTCGTCTGTCATGTTGTCGAAACCGAATTCCTTTGTAAAGGACGGCAGCGTGATTGTCGTACCGATGAAGGCACTGGTGTACCCGATCATATTGGAACCGCATGATGCGACTCCGGCGAGAGCATAGACTCGCCAGTTGTAGACCGACTTGGGGGTCGGCCGGTCCTCAACGACGTGTAGAACGCCCATTGCTGCGGGTTGGACAGCGTTAGGGGAGGTAGAAAAGGATTGAACAGAGAGAAGATTCGAATCGTATGATTGTTGAAGTTGACAGAAAAGAAAATGGGCCTGGGACCCTCAGTAATATCTAGGATTCTAGAGGCGGCACCGGTGTGGGTTTCAGTCTTTTCGAACCCTCTCCACACCTTACGTCGTGATTAACCCCATACTGGGGCTTGACGGGGATAGAAAGCGAGCTTGCGATACGCTGAAAAATCTAGTTCATCCTATAGATGCAAGGGTTTTGGTGCACTTGACCTGTGAAAAATTCCCACGATCTCCATGCGGTGGACACCACGGCCGGGGAAGTGTTTTCCCCAAGCTAAATTGGTTCGCTTCGCCGGTGGGTAAGTCGTTCTAGCTCTAGCGAGAAAAGAACATTCAGCCGCGGCGATCATATTCATATATCACTGGTACGCCACGCTCCCCTGGATTTCCAGAGAATGCAATTCGTTGACTTCAGATCCATCCGTCGAGTGGACAGGACTCCGTCGTGGTCGCAAACAAGCGTGCAGAACCAACGGACAAGTGCCGTCCAGGACCGGAACTCGAGGGAGGCACGGCATATTCTTCTTCAGCGGAGACAGAGTTTGTGACGATGAGCGAAACCGTGTTCGCTGCATGGAGCCTATCCAAGGTTCTTGGCCGGCTCGGCAGGAAGTTCTAGTGGTAGTTGTTAGAGAGGCCACCGAGATCCATTAGCCGGACCGGCCGGTGTCCGCAGTCTAGTCGTAGTAGCGTTACACTTTGCACCTTTGTTCCTTTTCCAGGCCACCGACCACGGCCCATCAGCGCGATCGGGACGGGGTGAGCCCTTAACCCTATTCTCAGCATGGGACATCATTGGTCTTTCGGACGATTCCCGAGCGCCCGAAACACGTCCCTTTGCCGACTCGCCAACTTTGCCGATCGCCGACTTCCAGCTGCAGATGTTTATGTTGAATTTGGCTTCAAGGACGACGTCGCCACTACGGCATTGAGATCAGCGTGGCGAGATCAGCTTTTGACATTGTCACTTGCTCCTCAGCGAGGAATTGCTGACTGTCGCAGAAGTGAACGATACTCCGTAGAGATGAAAGGGGAAAGCCGAGATCGGGGCGTCCAAGGAACCGAAGCTTTGCTAAGCATCGCGTGGCAACCGCGACGGTCACCTGACCGTGACGAGTCAGGTGACCCACCGTGGCCGGACGGAGAAGGATAAACGAGACCCCCAAGGCGATCGGGAGAATGTAGATCTCTCTCATGGAGATGGGAGGCAGAACTTCGGCTTTCTCCTCTCGCGGATGTAGTTTGCTTGGTTTGTTTCAAGTGGCACTGGCTCACTGTAGCCGTTCTATGTACGATATAGTCACCGTTGAACATCATGCCCAGTCCTTCACTTCATTTGACAACGGCTTCAAACTACCGAATCCAATAGTCACAGTGCAAAATGACCCATTCTACTGGAAAAGGGCAAACACTCGTGGAACCTGCCATACCAGGACATTCTCCCTTGGACCTTGACAGCTCCGGAGCAGCCGGATGATATATATTAACTATTGAGGCACTATGGAGGCAAACTTCTAGAATGCGGAGGGGACGCAGCTGACCTTTATTATTAATCTAAGCGGCTGTTAGCAATCCCGGGGTTCTCCCTTCTTCCCCAAAACCCCCACACTGCACGCGGGCAGATGGTTGCTCCAGACTCCAGTTGCTGTCCGTTTACCCGCCCCCAGGCTCAACGAAATCCCGCAATCATGCAGCCAGCCAGTCACGTCGCTTGCTGTGTCGGTCTGGGGTCTCTCCGGCCTCTCCGCGTTCTCCTGCTGAACTTGAGATTCTCCGCCTCACCTGTCAACCAAGAAGATTCTCCCCCGCTTACGAAAGCCTGCATGCGCGGGATTCGGCCGTGGGAGAGTCCATGGGGGTTATGACTTACGTCAAAAATGGGGAGAATGAGGCACCTAGTGAGTGATAGGCGTGGAAAGCATCAGATAGTTACGTGTTGGAATTATCAAACAGGCTTAGTGTTGGATTCCGACTGTAACTACTTTTGTAGTCTATTAAGTCAAGTCTTTCCAGTCCCAGATTTGCGAAAACCTTTTCCCATCCAGGAAAAAGATACGTAGGATTGAGATGGCTAGAGGATTGAATGGATAAAATTGAGCATTGTGGCGCTCATATATCTCATCACTTGAGAAGGGAGTGTACAGAAAGAACAGGGTTAACTAGGTATCACATATACGAGAGCTGATAGGGGGTACGGCAGTCCAGTGGTAGGCTACTGGTGGTCGGCGCTGAAGGGAGGTCTGACCGGTTTTGGTTTCTGGTCTATCACTATGATAAGAGGTCGTGGCTAAGTCCTGTATCCACTAATTAGGTAAACTACTGGAAGAAAGGGATAGGGGTTTAGTGGCAAGGTGGAATATAATTTTAAATTATATAGTACTTCCTTTTACTTAGCTCCACATCAAGTAATAATATAAGCTTATAGAGAACAGCCCTCTCTAACCTCGGGTGGTAGCTCATTATCTCTCACGCAGTCAAGACTCCATTTTCTCCCTCCCACCTTCCCTCTGTACATAGAAACTATTGCAATATACAGACACATTGCCCATTGCCTCCCTATCTGGGAGCACGGATGGGGCCCTATCTGACGCTACGATCAAAGACTGCAGCGACAGGTGACCCGTTATGGCCAAACTATACTCTCCTTTGTCCCTCTTGACTACGCGAGGTCACCAATAAAACCATTCCCGTTATTCCGATTGCAGTGTCAACCCCAGTGTGCCGAGCATGCATTCCAGGCAATTCTCATTCTACCGAGGAAATTTAGTACTTGCTAAGGATGACTAGCTTCATCATTGTGCGATCTATACTCTGGAATTTACAATGGCTAACAACCAGTACAGGCAGTTCGGTACAACAAGCCCTACATGATAAGTGAAAATGCTATCAAAACTAAATGCTCATCCCTGAGCACCTACGAGAGAGACCACCTTGCCATGCTACAAGTGACGTCTTCTAGGACAATGGGCTCAGTCTATCCGGCGAAGGCTTTGATTCTTGAACTTGAATTAAATACGGAAAGACGAAAACAAAGAAACAGGCATAATCAACACTGACCCCCAGAAACTGATTCAATCACTGATGGAAGTACATAAACAACGCCGCCTTGCTCCTGAGAACAAAGCCTGTTATTAGGAGATACCCTCCAATGCCCAAGGTGACTGAAGTTACCTTTGAAAGAATGATATAAGCCAACTAGGTGGACATCACATAACCCATGTTTTTCATCTAGGAATATCTTGAGCTTCGATCGAATGATGGGTTGTATAACGAATTGCAGTTTATCAGGATATACTCGCGGGTCTTTGAGTTCTAGAAGAAGCGCTTTCCATTCCCCTAGACTGTATTCATCCCCAAATAAGATGTTCTCACTGGCACCATTCCGACACGCCTTCACAATATATTTGTCCTTGGTGACTTTGCCAGCTTCGCAGTCGTTAATTAACTGGTATAACTCACCAGATCCCGGCAGTATTGTGGGAACAATGTGTTCTCGGAGAGTCTTTGCTTGTTGAGGTGTAAGGACTTCATGTTTATGAACGAGGTCATCGAGCTCATGCAAAATAACACCCAGGATGCGTTTGTCCGCCAACAAGAAGATCTCCCGCATATCGTTTATGCTACACAAGGCCAGATGTTTAAGTATATCACCGTCCATAGACCGGAGCTCATCCTGGTAGAGATCTAAAGCAGCTTGGTGAACTTGCTCCAAGAATTGACCGTCCGAAGTGATAGTTGTGGCGCACAGTCTGTACCCAGTGAACGAGGTCCAGTCTGGGACAAGACAAAGATCAGCTGGCGTGATGACCCTGACATGCGTGCCTGTCCATGATTCAAGCCATGCAAGCATTGGGCCCGCATCAGAAGGTTCGTGTCTATTCCGGACGAAATGTAGAGGGACGTTGGGCTCGAACATACTGCGGAATGTAGCAGCAAGGATTTCAGGATTCAGCACGTTTATGCCTGGCACGTTTGTGGTTATCAAAGCCAGGGAACGGGCCATCTGAAAAGAGGATACCATCATCATGGAGATAAAACGGGCGTTGATTTCGCAGATATGAAACGACAGGCCCAGTTCCTTGTGTACGGAGAGAAGGATGTCGGGCCTCCAATGTCCTGCACGAGCCCTGAATGGTGGCAAGTGACCTTCCTTGGTAATTTGATGCAACCACTATATCCTGGCATTAGTTATCTTCTGAAAAATGGAAAACTATAACCTACGTGGATCAGATCCTCCTCTTGACGGTTGAGCGGCATAAGAGCTGCTAAACCTTTACTACCGTCACTTGGCCCTCCCCATCTCTCCACGATACTGGTTATGGCTAAGGCCAAAGCCTGGTGGAATTGTTCCAACTCCTTGGTCAGGTTCCTCGGGACTAAAACTGGGTGAGGGCAAACTTTTTCTTCCCACACTGGTTGCTCATGTCGAGTGAGTGTAGCAAGATTCGTCCGAGGACAGTCTAACCCATGCAGTATATTATTGGTGCGCATTTCATTCATTGTCACAGGCCGACCTGCGTGAATTGATGCATGAAGGGATATCTGTTTCCATTCATAGGACTTGGCGTATTCCATTGTTGCGCACGTTGAGCATTGCTAGGTTAGCACCCAGGAGGTTCGGCTAAACATGCTGGCAAACTACTGAAACTTATAAACTTACTAATGGTTACATCTGAATAACTTAAAGGTACATCGCGACGTTACCTTCCTGGTATGGAAATATTCTTGGTGACGTGTAGAAATCCGGTTGACGTAATCTAATGGCCGGAAACGAAGGAATACTTATGATTTACCATGCCAGAGTTCCGTGTCTCCAAGCCAGGATGGTCCAAATCGAGAGAACTAATTCAAAATTGTCGCCCTCGAAATCAATTCAATGGCAAATCATGCTGTTGAAGGACGGAAACCGTCTTTTGTCTGCATTCCGATAATCGACTACTCGCTCGCTCTGTCACCAGCCACTAAGACCCTTTCTTTTTTACTACAGCTCAAAGAAGCCCTGGTGATGGTAGGATTTTTCTATCTTAAAAACCTACCGATCCCTGCAGAGGTGAAGGAAGCGTTTGTAGAGAAGTGAATACAGTTATGCAACCTACCTCTGGAAAGAATAGAGATCGACATGATCAATAGTAGGCATTTCCTAGGTTACTGAAAGACCGCTCAAAGAATGGACAATCAAGAATTATTTCATACAAATGTCTTACTCAAGCATTGTTCATAGAAATGGGGTTGACTGATATCAGATTCTAACACCACTCCCGGCACCGGGCACAGATGAACCAGTCTGGCGTAATGCTCTAGGACCAAATAAGGTACTTTCTTTCCAACTTGGACATGAATAAATTGCGTGTTGACACAAGGGTCTTCAGTGGCCGGATGAAACGGCCGTTCCTGGTTTCCGCAAATCGTTCGAACAATATTTCAATTGTGTTGGTCACTTAGCAGATGCAATGAAGCTTCTGGTCGCTGAACCATTGGATTTGCATTCGAATGCCTTCCTGGAATTCTTCGATGTGCCACCGCGTAATAAAATTTCTATTGTGAGGTATCCCCCTCCGGAGGCATCTGCTACGAATAACAACACCTTTCAAGGCGTTGGGTCGCACGAAGACGGCGGGTTTCTCACGTATCTCCTACAAGCAACAGAGTATACTAGACTTGAAGCCCGAAACAAGTATGGAGATCGGGTTCCTGTGCCTTCAATACCGCACACTTTGGTAGTAAATGTTGGCCGCTCACTGGAATATATAACAAGTGGGGTGTGTACAGCTACCACTCATAGGGTGAACTTGCGGTCAGAGTGCTTTACAGATGCAAACGGACGCTTTCTAGGCCCAAGCTTTTCTTTTCCTGTCTTTCAGACACTCAGGTTAGATCTGCATCACGAGGACATGTCATTAAAGATACCAGACCACATCCTTGATTTGGTCACGGATCAGCAAGTCGAATCAGATGCGGAGGCATTCTTCTCGCAGTACCATAAGGAGAGCCCTGGCTATGGCATCTTCAAAGCTCTTTTAGCAAGTCACCCAGACGTGGGCCAGAGGTGGTACCCGGATATATTAGCTGAAGTTCTGAAAGGGCAAAGGGAGTTTTCAGCATAACACAAATGACAGCTACCTCGGCGCTTGACAAGCAGGGGATTCTATACCAAAACCGGGTTGTCATATACTATGAATTCTGACTACACTTGATTTGACTACAATTTGCCTAAATATTAGTCGCTACTATAGTCTAGTCTAACGTCTTACTTTCATTTCTAGTAGGGCACAGCTTTTACAAGTTCCGTAGCATCCTCTTCCATTTCAAAATTTGTAAGCTATTCTATGTGCGCATTGCTGGTCAGCATAGCACTGAATTATCTCGTGTCAAGCGCCTTCTTTCTTCCCCAATGGAGGTGTTGTGGAGGTGGTCGGAGGTTCTCCACTCTCGCCGAGCTGATTAACAAGATTCGGCCTGGAGAAGACATGGAGGCGACGTTCCAGCTTCTCACCTGCTAAAGATTTTTGCAGAAATCTCTATTCTATGATTTTGTATCTGAGGATTTCAATAATTAATCCATAGCATGGATCAATCTCCACCGGAAGATGATTCCGAGATTCAACCGGCCGCTCGCCGGAAGCCCCGAACTTGCCCTCACTGTAAACGCCATTTCCGCCGCCATGAACATCTCCAACGACATGTTCGCATTCGTACGCCGTGCCAGTTCAAACAAAGACGATTCGAAACTAGGGCTGACATGCATCAGATACGAATGAGAAACCCTATACATGTGCCTGTGGTGCCTCCTTTGCTCGACGCGATTTATTGAAGCGCCATCATGCCGCGACCCATTCACCGATTACTCCAATAACGCGGCAACATTCTCCGGTTACTAGAAACAGCAGCCAAATTCAAGCCATACAGGGTGGCCATATAGGAACGGAAAATGTCCCTTGGACAATTCCTGAAATCTCAAGCGGACCTGTTGATTCTCTGGAAACTAATGGGTACCAGCCGGCAGGTATGAGTTCACGCGTAGACCAAACTCAATGCTTTGCCCATCGTATCATCTCAACTATCACGGCACAACAAACTGATGCTCGACAGGAAATTTCCCATTCGTCGCTGATTATGACCCGCTGGAAGAATTCGTTTCTTTCAGCCACAGCATGGGACTGACAACCGACTGGACATTGCCGACCGAGCTTGGTCTGGCTCCGATCATTGCTAAGGAACCCAGTTACTACTCCATGCCAACGCCGTCGAGCTGCTCAAGACGACAGGAACGTGCGACTTCTGTTCATGTAGACCACTCTCTCACCCAGCTCCCAGTTGAGAAAGATTCGATAGGTAACGCCAACAAATCTTATATCCTGAGGGAAGCTGATAGAAAGGATGCACAGGAGAATTTGGAGTTTTAACATTACCCATTCTAAGAGTCACCGAAGGACATCGTCAGCGTCTGCTCGAAGAAGTGGAAAGGGCTCAGATCACCGGCACAAATTTTGCCCTGCCATCGTCCCAGTCTTTGAGCCGATTTACGAACGCATTTTTTGATAGCTTTTATCCACATGTGCCCGTGGTGCACATACCAACATTCAGTCTAGATAACTGCGACGCTAAGATCACTCTAGCCATGGCTGCTCTTGGGGCTCAATATCGGCATGAGCACCGCAAAGCGGTCATGTTATTCTACGCGGCTAAAGCAATACTAAAGAAAGAAGTGAACGAGCGAGAAGCCAGAGCGCTCAACATAAGATACTCTTCGGGTCCATATACAAATACAAGTACAGGCCAGAACACATCTAGCGGCAATGAGCTCCCTTATAATGAGCTTATGTGTGAAACACGGTGTGCACTCTACCTTATCGCATTTGCAACATGGCAGAGCGAACCAGAGATAGTACGGGAAGCATTCAATCTTCAAAGCTTTCTAGCGAGATGCGTCCGGGAGGGCGGACTAACGGAGAGCGAAGAGACCCCTCAAGCTGCTCCTCTCGACTGGCATACATGGATTGAGCAAGAGACAAACAGACGACTTAAGCTATTCTCTTTTGCTTGGCTCAACTTGCAAAGCATCGCGTTCGGGGTACCTCCAATAATCCTAATCGATGAAGTTCATCTTCGCCTTCCATGTACCTGCATCGAATGGATATGTCCGAACCAGGAGAAATTTTCAGCAATCCGGTCTCATGGTCACCAGGAGCAAATGCTTTTCCCGGATGCACTCGATCATTTAGGCAGAGGTGTGATTTCAAATACCTCTTTCTCGCAACCAATTCCTTCACCTTTAGCAAACTATATCCTTCTCCACGCTCTCATACAAAAGATAGCGCTGACGCACCGGGCGATCAGCTGGACCCTTGACCGTGGGAACGCTTTGTTAGTTGCTCTGAAAGAAAACATGCGGTAAGTGAAAGGTCCCAGGTCCATTCCACTAGTGCTCATGGTTATTACAGAGATTCTCTCCGTGCGTGGACTTTCCAATGGCAACGAGCCCCCGAATCTAGTCTTGATCCCCGAAACCCGAATGGACCCGTTACTTTCACGTCAACTGCTCTGCTCGGTCTTGCATACGTCCGACTCGCCTTTGACATGTCCTCATACAAAATTCTGGAATCTCGAAACCCTCAGGAAATTGCCGCCCGACTTCTCAATTTACCAGATCTTCCTCACGGCCCCCACCTGCTTCCTGCGATGCTCCATGCAACCCACGCCTTGAGCATACCCGTCAAGCTGGGAGTGGATTTCGTTGCGCGAAGCCATGCTTTTGTATGGAGCATTCAACATTCTATCTGTGGGTTTGAATTCGCAGTTTTTCTTTGTAAATGGTTGTACCATATTTGCGATACTCATGCGACAAGGCCTCTTGATGGTATGTCGTATCTCCTCGATCCAGATGGCTCACCGACCCGTAGTTTCCCATGTCTTTGACCAGTACTAAGTCCGCAATAGAACACGAAACCCGATCGATAAACTGGATTAGCGACATCGTCGAGGAAGGGCGAACATCCGGTGACGAGGATCTTTGTCCTGAGCCGGTATACCCTTCTAATTACAAATACCTGGCTTTTCTTGTTGTGAAGTTGTGGGCTCGTCTAATCAGGGGAAATGGGCAGTGGGCCTTACTGGGTATTATTGGAGAGAGCCTCGATATCCATGCTGATAGATGTCGAGAGAGGTATATTTCAACGCAAGCCTAATTGGTTAATTTCGCATTATCCCGTGACCATAAATACCAAAGTCCAACTCTATCAAAGATATTCTATCCAGTAGGAAACAACATTTCATAGAAAAGCCATAGACAAAATCCCATCACCACTTGGCCACGAACCTCGACTTCGCCCTCAACCTCGCCCCAAAACTATACAACAGATAGATCCCCACCACACAGCCCACCGTCAACCCAGCCAGCAAACTACATCCTCTCCCCACTCCCAGATTCCGATACAGCGGCGTCGAAAAGATAACCGCTCCACAGGCAAACGCACTACGGGTGAAATCCGTCGCCGCGAACACGCTCGCCGCATATTGCGGATAACACGCAGGGATGTATAAAAACACGCATTGCATCAAAATAAAGACGCACCCGGGATATATGACGATGCCGATTGTCGGTACGATCCAGTGGATCTCTGGACGAGCAGACCACCCGAACAAGAATAGGCCGATGGACGGGCCGAAGCAGGCGAATAGGGCTGGGGTGAGTAGGTCTTCTGGGTTTTTGAATCCTCCTGCTTGGGATCGGGGGATAAAGATCTTGTGTATGTAGAGGTTGTAGATGACGAATGAAATGGAGGTGCCGACGACGATGGCGAGGAAGGCGAGGCCCATCTCGCCGAGGTTGAAGCCGTGGATCTCCTGGTAGACGATGGGGAAGGCCTCGAAGAAGGAATAGTAGATGCCGTAGGTGAGGGAGGTGTAGCAGTTCAGGAACAGGATGGCTGGGTCGAGGAAGGTGATCTTGAGAGGGATGAGTAGGGACTCGCGGACCACGGTGTGGAAGGATAGGTTTGACTGGGCGATTTCGGCGGCAGAGTGATATCTATACGGTCCTTGTGGGTTGCGCTTTTCGAGACGCCTTGCGCGTCGGTAGAGGATTGTGGATGGGCTGGTCTCGGGAAGTAGGAAGATCAGGACGAGGACTGGGCCAGCTGCGATCAGAATCTCCCACATGGAGAACCGCCAGCCTAGAACTGGTATTGCGAAACCGGAGACCAGAACGCCAATGGCGGGAGCGCAGAAGACGGAGTATACCCAGGTTGTCATGGCGTGGGGAAGCACGTCCGGCGAGTATACATCCGCGATTGAAGCGCCTCCGGTAGCGAGGCATGGGCTTCCGAAGAAGCCCTGAAGAAAGCGCAGGAAGTAGAAACCGATCGCATTGGGGGCGAGGGCTGTCGGAATGCTGATAACGCAGAAGAGAGAGAACGATATTGCATATGGTAGATTCCGTCCGATGCGAGGAATCTCACTCAAGGGACTGAAGAAGAGAGGCCCGGTTCCGTACCCAAGACTATGTGAGGTACTAATAATTAGAAAAGGGTGTATATGGTTTTGTAATTTGGTAGAACATACACATAGAGTGCCAACCCCAGAGCTGCCTCGGCCTTGTTGACATCGAACTCCTGGATGAAGGCATCTTCACTAGGCGTGTAGATCGGCGCTGCCATATACACGACGAAGCTGTAGATACCTATGACAAAAGGCACAAAAGCCTTTTTAGCCTGAGACCAGTTGCGTGGGTTCTCCGCATCGTCATCCGAATACCAATCCACTAGGATAGTCTCGTCGTCGCCCGTCTTTTCGCAATCGGATTTGCTTTGCCATTGAGTGTGCTCTTCGTCATATTTCAGCCAGGTTGGCTTGCCAATTAGACGAAGGCACTCGCCTATGAAGCTGTCTCGAACACACTTGGCTGCCATTGTAGCCTGATGTTTGCACTGTCGAGAGCGATTTGGTAGCAGTGGGCAACCTCGTAATGGCCGCACGATGCCATTTAAACTGCTCCAGAATCGCCATCTTTTTCTCGAAGGTGCTTAGATTTGTAAGAAAATTCAATCGGAGGAATTAGTAACATGAGAACTGATTCTTATTTCTTTTTTGTGTCTCCAATGGCCACATCAGTCACTGATTGCGGTGTGTGGAGGTTCTTTGGAGGTGCTTTGGAGACGGCTTGGAGACAGTTAACCTTGAAAAAGTTTATCATGCAACTGCTGCAGACGAATTCCATCCATGACATTAATCGGATCAATAACATTAACGAGGTGCTTGAAAATCTCCCGGCCTTCTCAATCCCAAATCAAAAAATGACAATAGGCTTTTTGAATTGAACAAATGGCTGACATTGGCTCCAAAGGATCGTACCCATGTATGTATCCAGAGTCATTAGCTATGCGATACGCAGTTCCAATAATCAAGACAGGACCTATAGCTCGAAATCCTCAGATATACATAAGGATCCATCTGCCTCGCTATGCATGGATCCAAGGACCATTACTAGCTTCAAGTATGGCCTCCTGTTGGTGCATCTGTTGATGTAACATTACTTAAAAGGCGATGTACGAATCAACAGTCAAATTATTTAGTGCCCGATCACATTCCAATTCCTTGCGATATCGATTCCCACCCATCCAATCAGCTACTTGATACCACCAGCTATCGCGTCCGAATCTCATTGCAGTCGTGAAGTCCCAGTACTCAGGACACCAGCCACCAGACTCCCAGTCAATGAAACCAGAGAGATGACCATCGTCGCCAACCAGGATGTTATGTGCCTTGAGATCGCCGTGAGTGAATGTGACTCGATGTGGATATTGACGGATCTCATTTGCATGCTTAAGCGTTTTGATATATTCCTCTTTGGATTTAAAGCTGCGTCCACTGGCTGGTCTATCAGGAAATCGTGTAATTCGGTCTCGTTAGCGAATGGACCCATGATGTGGAATGGCACTCTTGTGCTCCGGATGGAGGTCCCGAGAACTGAAGATATGCGGTGAGGATCAGGGGGCGTCCATTGTCGCATAGCATCGACACATTCCTTGAGCTCGAAAAGCCAAGGCTCTTCTATTTCGACTTGAAGGGGTTCACTCATGTTCATAAGCTCCATGCCAGGCAATCGGGTCATTAGAATTGAGTAAAGGAATGGGGCAGAGTTTGGGTGCTCTCCACAAGATATGACCTTCGGTACGGGCATCCCAGCGGCGCGAGCCATTTTCATCGCAGCGACCTCCTCGAGACTTGTTCGTTCCGTCCATTTCAAGACAAGTCCAAAGGGCAAATGCATAATAAAAGGATCATTTATGTCCAACCATGCACAATACCTCTCTGAAAGGCGTCTCAGTGCGCTGTGAATGATACCACAGACCCTCCTGGTAATCTTTCCCGGGATGGGTGGGACCGGTGGAGTTGTCTTTGCGATCTTTGCCGACATAGGTTGAGGCCAGGTAAATTCCCGCCTTAGAAAGAAAGGAACCTATGATTGAAACGGCATGTATTTCGTTGTTCTGTGGCTAGATTAATTCAGGGGCACGCAGGATGTTCAGAAGAAAATCAGGGAACCGACCAGCGGAGAGTCAGTGATGTGGCTGCAGGAACTGACTAAGCGAGGGGATTGTATGATCCTTCTTCTTATACTTATAACAACCTTAGAAGTATATCACTATAGGGTTTCTATATAAGATGAATTGAAACCGGATCTTAAATAATTACAGTATAAACAAGCCTTGATTGTACATTACTGGCCCAGTAGTACCCAAAAAATTCTAAAGCACCCAGTTTGATGACATTTTTATTTTCTATAATTCCATCTCCATCCGCGTCACTCACCGGAATGGTTGGTGCTTGGCCGGATTGAGTACTACCTTTTTTCAACAGTTCCCAGGCTCTTTGCTCTCATGCACATCCACGACTATACAGACTTGTACACTTCCCTCTTTGCTTCCAGCCACCTACCCTGAACAATGCTGGCGAAATTAGTTGGGTCTCCTCGCGACACTCGCGAGCATCACCATGCATAATGAACTTGTCACTCTACTCTATAATCTAACCAGAATATTCCTAGATGTTGCTGTGGCTGTCGCACGGTGACCGTTTCATCCGGAGCACACGATTCTTCCGGACGGAAAGACAAGCCGAGACAGAAAGACAAACCGACGGGGTGTACACGTGAGCTTGGAAATGCCCGAGGCGCTCAGGGACGTGAAAAGCCAGCTATTCTTTGTACCGCAGCCATTTGATGCGGGGGATATCATACCTGATCCTCTGTATCTCGGATGTATCCCAGGTGCTTGTAGTCTCAAACCAAGGCATATATAAGATTTCAGAGTCGGAGTTATATATGCTAGTGTTGGATTGGTTTTACACAAAACCTACGATGTTCGAATGATGGATATACATGAGACGCAATATTTCGGGACGATAGAGAGGTGTCAGATCACACGGACGCAAGAACAGAGCATTGCGCGGGGTCATGCATCTGCGAACTAGCTAAGTTTGGACAACTTCGTCCTAACTAGCTGGTGTAAAATGTCTAGTACTCAAGCTGTTGGCTTCCACACCCACATGACACACTTTTTCTTTACAAGTTTACAAAGTTTTCAGAAATCTTGTTAACTGAAGGTTTGGCACCTCCACCGGTGCAGCAATAGAATGTGAGTGTCTCTCTTTCGGAAGAATATACTCACTTCCAATTCTGAAACCCCACTCATAGCCCTCAGATCATCTAGTCTTCCAAGCGCTTCCTTCTAGTGTAAGTGACCAAGCCATCAGTACGCGCCTGTCTAACCAAGAATATATCAGCACGGCTGCGCCCTCCAAATATCAATATGTGTACTCGATTTGTCCACACAACCAAGTTTGTCAACTGCACAGCGCAACTAAAACATACAATCATAGCTTACGACCCTCAGCCGCCATGCGGCAAGCCAAACTGCGGAGGATATAAGGACCAGCACATGGGGCAGTCTACTAAAAAAGGAGGAATCTGTCCTAGATGCTGATGACGTGGTGCAATTTATCTTACTTGGACTACGAAGCTTGTGACTGTGGCAGTAATAAACGGGTATATGAGAGCAAACAGCAGAATGGCTAGAAGAGAGCAGATTCTTGAAATGTTATCTTAAAACACAGTCTTTGATGACATTCTATTATTCGTCTTGATGTTCACTCCCGGCTCCTTTCGACGCCTGGACTTGAGTGATGTCAAAAATTATTTCTTCAGCGGACTCATACATTTGCCTCCAGCACTTATCTGTGATCATAGAGCACGCATGGCTGTCAGTAGGAAACTGTCCACTCTGAAATCGTGATGCTATCTGCTCGTCATCTTCTAAGTTGTCCAATTCTGGGAACACTTCATGTCCCAACATTATGAAATAAATTGCAGATCCCAACGCAAAGATATCTGTCTTAACATTTGCGAAGTCACCGTGAATCCGGGGCATAAACGATTTTGAACATTCCCGGGACAGCCCATCCAGCAATGTTTCGCCATGCGTTGACTTCAGCATACCCTGGAAGTCCGCGAGCAGAACATTAAGGTTATCGTCCAACAAGAAATTGCGGAGGTTGATATCACAATGGATAACCCCTTTTTCATGTATGTACTTGACAGCTTCTGCAGCCTGTTTACACCAACGCAGTTTTTGGTCGAAAGAGATACCGGGCTCCGACGTGACGCGTTCGTAGACGTTTCCGTTTGAGGCATACTGCAGTACCAGACCATTCTCGTTTAGGCCCTTCGAGGCGAGGATTCGTGGATGGCTTCCAAGGATAAAGAGAATCTTGGCCTCTATTTCAATACTCTCCCGGTTTCCAGGGACGCATGGGTACTTCAGAACCGTCGACTCGTCGATAAGGCCAATGAAACTTTCACCGCCACGGCCGATGATCTTGGAGACACCGGGAGGATAATACCGACGAATTTCAATAACTTCGACGTGGGCAGGGTGAATGGGTAGGTCATTTGCAGCTGTCGGGGCAACCTACATTCATAAGAAGAAATCTTGGGGAGCGAAGGATATTAGCACTTACAGTGTTGGGACTCGACAGAGAGGATTGGCGCAACTCTTCAATATTACTCCTTGCCGGCTTCCACCCAAGCAAAGAATTGCAGACAAATCCGACCACAACATTGATCGGATACCAAATCATTCGGCATATGGATAAAATTGGGACGTGGAGACTCCGCTTGAACAAGAACATTGTGGATAAACCTGGGAATCCAAGGTTATTGCGCTGATGATACAGCGTAGCATGCTCCTAGATGAACAGAATCGTACGCTGACATTTAGAAGGTTGGCTTGCGGCCCTATTATAACCGCAACCTGTCCGAGCTCCTTGGACGGTGATGCGGAATAACAATCGGACCGGGGGAAGCGAGTTACCATCCTCCCACGTATGTACATATACTTCTACAGTACAATGGCCAATGTATACGTACACCCTCAATGGATCAGTTCTTCCAACCCTTGTTCTCGTGCGGTACGGCATACGACAATAATCGATCCCCGATGGCAATCCTGAGCTAGCGCCCCACCTCAGATAGCTTATAGGCACGCTAGTTACTTGCCATTGGACATCCGCTTGTTCACCCCATCAATCCGTAGAACCATGTCAATTTGCGACTGTATCCCACGCATCTGATTAGTCTGCCGCCGGTAGAGGAAGTAAACAGTACGAGATAGGCCCTGAGTTCTCACGATCTCGATGCAATTTACGTGACATACTCCGTATTGATCCTGTCCCGTCCCGTCCCGTCCCGCCGCCCCGCCTCATCCTGGTGTGGTAAAAGGCCCTGGAAAATAGAAGGCCAGTTAGGTAGATATTGATGGCAACAAGCTAGCTTTAGGGTTTTTTTTTTTTTTTTTTTTTTTTTTCCTTTTCTCTTATTAACACTGGCCATTTATTTCAATATTGATATTGGATATCTAACATGTGTAAGAACAACAGCTTTGCTTTTATGAAATTGTTCTATCAAACTACAGCCCCCTTCTTTTGGGTTGAAGCCTACACTATCAGCTTTACATAGTCTCTTTTTCTCGAAGAATATCATAGATTGGTAGAAAGTATCAAGGCCCATCAGATTTTCCTCCAAGATATAAACTGACATGAACCAGCTTTCTTCGCATCAAAATCTCCTCAAAGGCTTATGATACCACTCATTGATCCGCAATGTCTGTACTCGGATTTCAGGTTATCTTGAATGCTTGTTAGTCAAACTTCCTCATGGTTGAGCGTCAGATTAGAGTTAATTTACATTCCGACGACCAGCGGTCCGTTTCATCCGCTCACATCCGAGTAACCTTGATGTAAAATCTTTTAAGTAACGAGTCCATCATTCCTGGCACAGAAGTCACCGGGTAGCCCCTCAGATCAACTGTCTAGGAAAACTTCGAATCTTTCAGCTACCTGCAGATCTACCGAGTTCAGACCTCGAGAGCCAGTTGAATAAGATATGCGCACAATGTATTGGTTTTCTTTTCTGCCAAGAGGCCGTCTCATCCAATCGACTGCTCGTATATCTCGCTTTGTAGCCACGGGCTCTGTACCCAAATCAGTCCCCGAAGCTCCAATCTTCCCTGTCCTGAAGAACAAAACGGCGATAATTACGGGCGGTGCGCAAGGCATGGGCAAAGCAACCGCATCAGTATTTCTGCGAGCCGGAGCTAAAGTGGTCCTTGCTGATTTAAAAGCGGAGGGTGCGCAGACAGCAGAGGAACTCTCCGCCCTTGGAGATATTCGTTTTGTGCAAACCAACGTCTCCAAGTCAGACGATGTTCAGAATCTCATTTCGGAGACTGTCAAGGCCTTTGGAAGACTTGATGTGGCGGTCAACAATGCCGCCATGAATCCGGACAAGACTCCATTGGTAGATTTCGACGAGGAGTATTGGAAAAAAGTGCTCGACGTGAACCTGACGGGCACCGCATTATGTTGCAAGTACGAGATGCAGCAGATGCTGAAGCAGAAATCCAAGGGTTCTATAGTCAACATCGCTTCCGTCAACGCGTACATGACGCAGCCGCTCATGCCGGCATACACAGCAAGCAAGCATGCGTTGTTGGGGTTGACCAAGCACGCTGCAACGGAGGGAGGCCCGGCAGGCATTCGAGTTAACGCTGTTGCACCAGGGGCGATCTATGTATGTTTCTTTGCTTCTTCCTCTGAGACGCTGGCCTGTACTAACAGCAACAGAGCGAGATGTCTGCAAGGGCATTGAAGATCATTGGCGCCACGCCCGAGGAATTCGCACCCAAGATTAGCAGCTTAAATCGCTTTGGAGAACCGCACGAGGTGGCCCAAGGGTCGCTTTGGCTTGCTTCGGATAGCTCATCGTACGTGAACGGTATTTGTTTGCCCATTGAGGGAGGTTGTATGTCGAAATGGTAGTCTTGCGCGTTTTGTTAGTCCCAAATGACTCTTAAACGATGGCCTGCGGACTATATTTGGAAGCCTGAAGTGACTCGATCGCATTCGAACAAGCGACGACTAGGATAAGGGACGCAGCCAGATAAGCCGCGTCATGACGGAAAGAGCAAGGTTGTAAAGCAATTCATGTCATACGAGTGTACACGCAACGCTTCTACAGAGCTTTTATACACAGCCTTAGTAAAAGCAAAAATATGATTTCGTGAGTCCAGCCGCGTTGCAATCTGTCTGCTAAATCTCAATCTCTCGAAATCCCTCTCGTCGACCAGATCATTGCATGGTTCGTAGTCCCCAGACATAAGCATCCATCATACGGCCACTAAAGCTGTCATTGTCTCTGGCCATCACGTTAATCGAAGCAACCTTTTCACCCCCGGGTTTGATTTCCAGCTCGAAACCTTGATATGTGGTACAGCATTCGCAGGCTATTGTACAATGGCCCAAGTCTGAAGACCTAACAGTACTCCTCGATCTTTCACAGCATCCACATAGGCGACCACAGCAACCCCCTCGACCGGCGCAGTCCCAGCGTAGGAAATCTGACAAGTACCACTTGGGGTTCTCTCGCAGGCACTTTATTGCACGATTCAAGGGTTTATCGAAGGTTGAACAATCAAAGTAATGTATTCGCTGAGAAGCGTTGAAGTAATTTTGGCTTGCCCATTCCAGCCCTTTCTCCAGGATATCGCACCGTTGAGTCATTATTTGCTTAGTTTTAACATCCATTTCTAAGCGGACTTCTTCCTGCAATTTCTGTAGTTTTTCAAAGTAATGAGCCTCTTTTTGGACCACAAGACGTAGCCAGTATTCTTCGTCTAGAAACTTTTTGAATGTAAGAATGTCTTCCTCCGAGAGGCCGATCAGGAGGTGCTGTTGTTTGCGCATGAGCTGAGCGTTTTTGTGATTTCCTGACTGCTGGTACCGCTGCTCTCTCCACCTCAAAATCGAGACAAGCGCTTGGAGTAACATGGCTGTCGTGATATCGAGTCTGTGGGGGTGTGTTCAAGAAGCAGTTGTGGATTTGTGCTCTAGCATGACAGAGTTTTTCTGCCGATGCTCTAGATGACGTGAAAATTCGTCACGGTGACTTAGAGCAAGTAACTAGGCCATCATTTCTTTTGGGCTAGTGTCCGTAGCGGGTGGCTCCTTCATAGTCCCGACATGATGCCGGGCCTCTGTCCCGTAAACCTTATACTGCAGTATCATGATATCGTCTTATTCGGATGAAAGATGGCTGAGTCTGTGCTGCTAATGGTTTGTCAGCTCTTATGATAAGGTAACGCGCTGTTGCCATACATCCGTATTATGAACTACTATCATGCCTTCCGTATTAAGATGGAATATAGCAACTTCAGTTTTGTCAGGGCTAGAGTTACGTTGTTTCTGTACATATCCAAATTCATCAAAATAGACGAGTTAGAAACCAGCTATCACGATCTCCTCCCCCCGCAATCACAATGGCGCCTCTGAATATCACCAACGTGTGGGTTCTCAATGCCACCCATATCACCGTGGCCATCAACAATTACGACAATGGCACTGCCACGAAGGCCGCCGCCCCCCAAGCAAGCCCAGCGGTTGTGCCCCTTGGCAGACATGACCAGATCATGCTGGGATTTACCATCCCAGCATTTTGTCTTCTTGCGGTAGTCCTTGCGTGGTGGGCAAGGCAATGTATTAAACGGGAGTATGTTAACAAGCAAATTGGTATACTTTAGGTATTTAACTGACAGATCTGCTACTAGCCACAAGCGCAAGCTGAGCATTGCGCTTGAGCCATTCAAGGCGGAAAATGCCCATCAGTATGTATATCTGAGCCGTAGGGCTCGCAAAGATGGTATGTATAGAGACCATGGTCCTAAGTTTCGAAAAGCTTCAAAATTGACCGAAACGAATAGTCACCCCCTTTGACATCAATCTGTTTCCGTTGACGCCCGCCGGCAACCAACCAGAGGAGCCCCCCGAGAAGCTTTTTGTCGCCTCCGCCTCCCTGGCCCTCGCTGGCCTGATTCTCTCTGCCCACGGGCTCCCTCCCCCGGCCCCTGTCGGCCTGGCTCTCGCTGCCCCAGCCACTGCCGCCTTTCCCCTCTTCCGTTCGCGTAAGGCGAAATAATGCCCGACGTGGCTTCGATTTCTCGATTTCTTCTTTTCCTTTGTCTTTTCTCCGGGTCTTTTGGCCATAGTTTGGCTTTTACGATGTATATTTAATTAGAGCCATTGACAATGGAGGTAAATGCTGTCGAGAAGACCGGACTCCTGTATCTATAGTCTAAGAGTCACTTTAATGAACCCATAATGACGTGTTCAAGTCTCAGAGCTAACTAAGTTCATGGTAGAATTGACATCGTGAATCACCGAAGCTGGACATTAAAGCTGGCATTCATTCCTTCTGATATGTCACCCGGCTCAATAAGCCGGCTTATACGCATCACACGTGCTTACGAAGCTACAATACATGCCTATCTCCATTCTGCTATTGACGAACTTACCGAGGAACCATCGGGCTATCCCACGGGGTCTTGGCAGGAAATGCGCCAGATGATCCCTACTGGCAAGATCAAAGCTATAGCAAATTGCTATCTCGAAATCTCCAACGTACCAATTGGCTGTCGTGAAGAACAGGGCTGCTGCCACTCCAATTTATTCTGTGTTGTGTGAGTGAGAGTGCGGAACAGACGTGGGTTGTTTTCGAACGCGTGGAATCTCTTGCTACGAGATTTTGTCTTGGAAATATGACCTTGATTAGTGAATTTGTGTGAAGTCTGGCTGCGGTGCATTGAGAGCCCACGATGGTGCGACTGGCGGAATTTGCTGGTTGCCTTCAAGTGGGATTTAACGCTTTGTTGAGTTGATTATGCTCCCCTTCACACGCTCATGTCAACGCCCATCATTTAATGATAAATGAGGCGGTCTATCCGGTCGCAATTATTTGCACGTCCTTCCATAAGATAGTAGGAGATATACCACTTTATCAAACAGTGCCAACCCTCTTTAGCGAAAGGTTGTTTATGCATATCCACGCCGCCACAAAAGGCTAGCAAGCATCTTGATCCTGGTCACACAGCTTAGGGTTATGCGGGTCCCAGACAACCGGAGCTAATGTTCAGTCAACGTGGCTTACTGATTGTCTGCTTTCCTTGGAATTATGGTTTAATTAGTGGACTTGGGGTATTGTGAACTCTTCTCTTGCACTACAGATGGCATCGATTATTTACTCTGCAGCTCAAAAATTGCATTTGTCAGCACGGGGGAAGAATGACGTCAGTTGACTAAATGAATGTTCCATGCAGCGTCTAAATAAATAGTCCTTAGACCCCTACTTTGCAATACGTTATAACTCAGACATTATAGCTCTAAAGGCTCTTATCACCATGGCAGAATCGAACACCTCTCTCGTGGTACGCGTGCCGGAAGGCGGATCTCCCAAGCTGGTGCTGGAGGATCTACCCGTTCCTTCTCCCGGCAGCGGACAGGTCCTTGTGAAGCTGTCACATGTAGCGCAGAACCCTACAGATGGTATGGGATTTTCATAATTAAGTTAGGAAGGAATTGAACGAATTGATTGATACTCATGCCTTCCAGTGCAAGCATTTGACTCCAATGCCTTCGGTGACGGTTCCGTGCTGGGATGCGATTTTGTTGGCGAGGTAGTCGAACTAGGAGAGGGCGTTACTCGACTCGCGAAAGGCGATATCGTGGCTGGGTTGATTTGGGGAGGTAGGTCTTCACATGCTACAATTCGCAATCTGAACGTGTGTGAAAAGCCTTGCTAAGTTTATCAACCATTCAAGGCGAAATCAAAGGACTCGGAGGCTACAGCACCTACAGTCTCGCCGACGAGAAGATCTGCTTCAAGATCCCTACTGGGCTATCCAGAGAGCATGCCAGCACCGTGCCTCTTGCAGCCACGACCGCATGGCTGGCCCTCTATTCGGAAGACTCGCTCAGCATCCCTCGTCACAGTCCCGGTACGAGCATTCTCGTCTGGGGCGGAAGCTGTATGTCCTGATCTCCCACATCCCAGCGCAAATACCCATCTCCACTATCTAACCTACCTCCACCAACCCCCGCAGCCAGCGTCGGTCTCTACACCATCCAACTCGCCTCCCTCCACGGCCTCGACATAATCACAACCTGCAGTCCCCGCCACGCAGACCTGGTCCGCTCCTACGGCGCCAAACACGTCTTCGACTACCGCGACGAGCAAGTCATCTCAAAGATCCGTGCCGTGGCGCCAGACCTCCGTTACGCATTCGACACCATCGGCAACGAGACTTCCTCGACGCTAGCTTCGCAGGCCTCGTCGGGCGAGAATCGGCTCTGTACGGTCCGTCCGGGCAAGGCGTTTACGCAGAACGTCTCGGAAAAGACGCACGTCAGTGACGTTTTGGTTTGGACGGCGTTTTTGAAGGAGCATCGGTATGGGGAGTTTTATTGGCCGGTGAGTTTTCTTTGCCTCTCGTTTCTTATTTTCTGGATCTTGGGTTTGGGTGTCGGTTGGGCTAAATGGTGGGTTTTGTAGGCTTCGAAGCACGATCATGAGCTGGCTAGTGAGCTGTTTGAGAAGTTGCCCGGGTGGTTGAGCAATGGCACTATCAAACCGAGCGAGCCGAAGGTGTATGAGGGTCTGAAGTCGGTGACAGAGGGCTTTCAGGAGCATCGGGAGGGTAAGATCTCTGGTTATAAGATTGTGTATAAGGTTTGATAGAAGGCGTGATATCCCCAAGAGCAGGATACATATAGCGATCTTGTGGTAAGATATGATAGGCGTATGGACTGCCTGAGACTGCAACCTCCCAAGCCTTTTCATGGCCATTTTATGTAGATAATGTAGGGAGACTACAATCCACATGATCCTCTATAGCATCTCCTACGTCAGCTCGTTCACGGGCTCTTACGGTTCGTAGTTCTCATTTTGAGATATAAACTTTACACATCAAATTCCGTCTCAACTCGTAACATTGACGATCAAAAAGAAAAGAAGAACCAGCTACTCCTCTTTGACCTGGTCCAAGCTTGGAGGTTTCCCCTGCTCAGTTGGCATGCTAACTCGCTGCACAATCCGAGCCCATCGTCTTCTCCTCCATTCTCCCATCGCGTTGGCTCCAATACCCCCCTTCTCTTCGTAGTCCTGCGCAGCTCGTCCCTTCCCTTTCTTCTTTCCTTTCTTGCTCTCCCCCTTCGAGGTGGACTTCTGGTCCGATGGATCGTAGTCGTCATACCCCAAAGTCGTGGTCATTTCTTCCTCATTCTTAGGAGACACCGTGGACGGAAGATCCCAAACCCAGCCCCCAACCTCCTCATTAGACATAGGGCTTTCCGAGTCGCTTGCCGACACCTCGAATCCGACACCTGTGATCATGCGCTCCACGACCCACTCGCGACAATCCAGATCCAGCTCCCATTTCTTACTCTTCCAGGCCCAGCCCCGAGGGGCTCGAACATCCTCGAAAAACCGACATCCCTTTGGCCGGTCGCCTGCGATGCGGAGTGGGGATAACGGGTCGTAAGGCATCGGACTGAAAACGAAGTGCTCCCATTGCGATTCGGAGAACGGGGCAAGAGATCGATATTGGATTTCGAAGATTTCGACTTCCCGTTCCTCCGGGAATGAATCCAGGGAGATATCGGTTAATAAGCCCAGTAGAGACATAGTGGCGGACGGCGTAGGGGGTAATCCCAATAAATCCGACGCGTCCTTTTTGACGAAGTTGGCTCCGGAGGATTGATCCGCGGTGTGGTCCGCAAGTTCACCTATCACACCCTGGATAAAGTCCTGAAGACTTGGATGGCTGGATAGGACGGCCGCATTACCGCCAACTAGAAGGATGTACCGCCACGGGAAGAAATGGGCGCATATGAACAGCAGAACGGTGATGATGGTGCACAGAAGAAAAACATTCGAGGATAGTTTCTCATTTGAGAAGTTGGTCAAGGGCGCAAAGACTGAGACAGTCGCGTCGTGCATATCAGAGAAATCGGCCATCACATTCTGCAAGTCTCTCATGTTCCGAAAGAAGTCCTTGGAAGTCTCCGAAGCTGGCTTGATGGTCTTTGCCGGCGCAAGCGCTGGTCCGTGGTACGAGTAGTACGGCGTAATGCTCGACGTAGAAGTCGACGGGGGCGGGGGGTGTCGCGCCAAAAAGGCGGGAACCATCACAAAGAGCAAGATCGATGCGATTGGGATGATGACGAGCAAATGAGGGTCCAGACATACAAAGGAATATACAAAGAGGAATGAAAAGGTATGAGACGATTGTTTCCAACTGAACAGGCGCTCCAGTTGGTTCTGGAAGGAGAAGACGATCCCGATTCTGTCCCGGATCTCAGTCGTCGATTCATCTCAAACACTACGCGCCGGGAACCAACTGGGCTTCATTTACCTGGCATTGAATCTGCGGAAGTTGTTCGCCATCACCGGTAGACTGAAGGCGGGTCGCTTGGCATCGGCACCGGCATGTCGGTCGGCCGATGTAGATTCATCGTCCACGTCCTCCGCGGGAATGACTTGTTGAAGAAGCCTAAAACACGGTCAAATATCGATAAACAATGACGCTGCGTGGCAAATGTAAGGCACCGAAGGAGCAACATACTTCGCAAATAATTTATCCTGCAGAGAGGGACCGCTGCTCGAGGTGGAGCGTCGGTGACCCGCCGAAGTTTCAGCGGAGGAAGAGCCGTGGGATTGCTGCCCGACCGAAGTTACGGGGATGGGTTCGTTGCGGTTGACGATGGCGTCTTCGGTGATTTCATCCATGATAACAACATCCGGTCACGGCAGCGACGACGATGGGGGAAGGAAGGAAAGAAGAGACATTTCCGGCGGCGGAGAGAGGGAGGGAAGCACATGCAGGCGGAGGGCGGTAATCTTACCTTACCAGTTCCGCCCGAGGCTGTTTGGGCTGTTTGCAGCCGCCATTCCCGAAGCGGACGGGGGCATCCGCAAAAAGGAGCAGGGGGGGCAGCCTTAACCCTTAGGCCCTCAAGCGTTGGTCTTGTTTACCAGGACTCCACCGCTTTTAATTATTAGTTAGTGTTATTGTTGTCGTTGTTGACCTTCTTGTCCCTGTGGAATTTTTTTTTCTTCTATTCTCCTTTTGTTTCTCTTTTTCTTATAATTTTCATCGCCTTGTCTGAGTACCACCGACAACGTTCTCTGGATCTCAAATTCTGGTTCTCTTCCTTTCCCCCGTTTGCTGGTGCGCCGTCTATACTCCCGCCCGTAACTTTCCTCCCGAAGTGTTGCCCCAGGCAGACTTTCTCCCTCTGCACACCACCGTCCGCTCCAGCGCTGATAACTCCTATTTCTCCACCCCTCTAGAGATTTCGGACAGACTGGGAAAAAATAAAAAATCAACAATTTTCTAATATCTTCATTCCTTCCATTATCAACCGCTCACCGTCTCCTCCCCAAACAAACCCATCGCTCCCCTAGAACGGTCATTCCTGTTCTTGATCCCCGCAATGGACCGGTAACGTCCATTGATGGGTCGCGCGACGGTGTTGGTCAAGGCTCTCCTTTGTTTGAATAGTGAGAGACCGTTGACTCCTGAATGCCATTGCGATTGGGTTTCCACTTGGGATCCCCTATAATTTTTCATTTTCAATCCCGCCCGAGGCCCGTCTCCTGCAACTTCGGAATTACCTCAATCGGACGTCGATGATGCCAGAAAAGCTACCCTCCCAGCCAGCTCTAGGGAAGGGACCGTCGCGTAAAGATCATTCGAATTCTTCCAGTCCCTCACGAAATGACGACTCGGGTTCAGGAGGTAAGCTCGGCTTGGATGCCATGTGATGGTGGCCAGATGGGATCGTTGTAGCCGACAAGACTAACGTTCGTGGTGATTTAGCAGAAGGACCTACAAGACGACGATTGCACAAACACTCCTCCACCACCCTCCTATCCGACGCATCCTCCCAATCTCCAAAGACCGGTCCGGGCTCTCGTATAAGTGTGATGAACAGAAGGAGGTTATCGATACGGGATCAGAAGGCACCTCAGGGCCCGCGACCGCAGGAACCATCCCGGAGAAAGTAAGTTGTCCGCTGCTGGAAGTGCTCCTTTGTTCTCTCTGCCACTCCGTCTCCCCTGACCCCGTCGCCTGCATTGCATTCACCGTCATTTCACCCCGTAAGACTGCAGCTCGATGAATTAGGGCTTTCGGAGGTTCTAACCCACATTTTCTTTCCACAGCATTACATCCGGCTCGTTCTTTCACTCCGGTAACTCGTCAATCGATTCCACAAATGATTCAACGCAAAGCAACAACTCCCGCATCAGCCTCCGATCGACCAGCATGGGTACTTTCCCAAAAATGGACGACAATCAAACACCTCCCGAAAATGCGGAGTTCCTTGCGCCGGTCAATTTCGACGACTTCCACAACAGCATTGTCGCGGAGCCCAGCTTAAACCATTTCCCAATGCCCCGAAGCGGGGGATCTGGACCTGATCCCCATTCACACGATCCGTGGCCGAACAGCCACGGAAATGGCGTTTCTGGACGTTTGAGGAGTAATTCTACCCGAAGGAAGAGCGTGTCAAATCAAAACGCATCGGCCGACGTGGCATCCACTCGAACTCCCTCGTATGCAGCAAGCCGAAGTCGTCGACAGAGTATTGTTCAGCCCGGGGCGACCAACCCTGCAGCGCAGCGAGCTCCTCGCAAATCGATAGGACCCGGCTCCATTCCGACAGCTGGCTCTGCCAGGCGGCAGAGTCTGTCGGCCAGGAAGGCCAGTGCTAATACCGCACAATCCCAATTTGACCAAGCAAATTTTCTCAGCCCACGAATGCAGCATGCCGACAATGGCTCCACGGATCGCTCGAAGCTTACGGCGAACGCACGGAACATGAAGGCGAAGTCACTCCAACCCCCTAGTAGAGAGCCCGGCGAAAGCTTCTTGGCAACCTCTACCGTTCCAGATCATTCCCGGTCGTCCTCCACGAACGCTGTCCGAACGCCAATCAAGAATGTCGCGGATACAGCAACGACTCCGTCCTCAACGAAGCGCGTGTCGGCCATGCCACCGCATGCGACTGGCCTGGGCGCTCGCACTATTAGTCCCACCGATGCGCGGCGAATGAAGCGCATGTCGACGGTGCCTCAAACACATCCAATGCCATCATTGCCATATACTCCTCCAACCCAAACAGATCCTCTGCCTCTTCGTCCTCGTTCGAGCGCCCAGTCGCCTTCGATGATCCCCCGCAAGAGCGTGACCCCTTCTTCGACCAGAACCACCCCGGACCCCAATCGGAAATCGTATAGCTCTGGCTTGTCTTTGTCTTCCAATACAAGCTATAACTCGGCGCGAAACTCGCAAGGCTCTCTACAGCATCGCTTATCTCAAGTCTCGTCCTCGTCGCGGTTGCCGACTCCTAAGCCTCGTTCTGAACATGTGACGGCCGATGAGGAAGTACCTCCTGTTCCGGCCATCCCTAAGGCGTACGAGTCCCCTAAGAGCGAGATTGATCAACCAAACTTTTCTGCTCCCCGCAAGACCAGCCTACCGTTAGATATCCATCTACTCAAATCTAGAACCGATACAGACTCAGACACCAACCCGCAAGCAAGCGCGACGGAGGACGACGCTTCGGATTCTGCTACTACTCGACGAGCCATGAAAACACCAGAAGCCAAACCAAGGGCATCCGGTAGCCTTGCTAAGAAGAACTTGCAGCCGCTCAAGCTCCCACCTTTGAACCTGCTACCGCTGGGAACGCCAATGACAACTAAAATAGAAGCGCTGCGAGAAAGAGAAGAGGAAGCTAAATCGCACACTCCGACAGGCCAAATCACGTCCAAGACGCCTAGTACGCCTTTGACAGCGTCGAAGGCGAACTTTTTCTCTGTGCAGGATGATGATGATGACGCGGCGCCGCGAACTCAGGCCAGAAGCAGCACCGCGCACTTTGTAGTCAGCACCTCTGTGCCTCACACCCTGAGGACCGCCAGTAGCTCCAGTGCCTTGGGATCATTTGATAATGCACCAGCCGGCGCAAGAGCGGGTTCTCCCTACATTTCATACACGCTGCCGAAGAGCAACAGCGATCTCAACTACCTCCGCCAGAAGCCCAGCGCCGACTACTCCCCTCGGCCTGCGCAACCGCACAAACTAACCGGCCCGCGTCCGCAAACTCAGTCGTCCGCCTTATCTTCCAACGCGGAAACCGTCAGCCAACTCTCAACCCCATCTGATGCTGACAACAACAGCACGTCCGGATCCTCGGTCCGCAACAAGATTGTTGTGCCCCGGCAGCGCAGTGCCTCCAAGCCCCAACCGCCCCCTGATGCAACGACGACCGATCCCAAAAAGCGGGATCCCATGCCACCTCCTAAGATCCCGGCATCTGCAACCTGGAGCAATCTATCTACGACCAAGAATACAAGTCCGACTCTGAAGACCTCTTACCTCAAGTCGAGGAGACAGTCGTCCATGATGAACATGGCAAACCCGGCATTGCGGAAACCCAGTTTCAGCAGTGAGCAGAGCCTTGCATTGGAGCCAAGCCCATCCAACGAGTCCGGGGAAAGTGACACTCCGCACCAACATCGTTCCGCATCTTCCATACTCTCGCCCGTTCACAAGATCATCAACTCCGCCAAGTCAAATGCTGGAGCCCACCCAACATCCACGGATCCTGTCAAGGATTCTGATGTCCAACTTGCTGATGAAGAGATGCGCAAGCTTGGTAGTCGACGTAAAGACTTTGAGCACGCCGCAAAGGAACTGGATGAACTCCGCAACAAATCCGCTCCCCAAGAGCGCGTCACCGCCGGGCAGGCTCTCCGCATGGCAGGCTTGAACATCTTCGAACGCGGAGAAATCATCGACTTCAAAGACATCTATTTCTGTGGCACGCAGCATGCCAAGAAGCACGTGGGCGACCTCAATTCTCAGGCTGCCAATTTCGGCTATGATGACGATAGAGGCGATTACAACATTGTCATCGGTGACCACCTCGCATATCGGTACGAAGTGATTAACGTGCTGGGTAAGGGAAGTTTTGGGCAGGTCGTGCGATGTGTTGACCACAAAACCGGCGGTCTTGTCGCGGTTAAAATCATCCGCAATAAGAAACGATTCCACCAGCAGGCTCTGATCGAAGTGAACCTTCTACAAAAGCTCAAGGAATGGGATCCTCATCGTCGCCACAGTGTGGTCAACTTCACTCAGAGCTTTTATTTCCGCGGTCATCTGTGCATCTCGACCGAACTTTTGGGCATGAACCTCTACGAGTTCATCAAGGCTCACGATTTCAAAGGATTCTCTCTGAAACTCATCCGTCGCTTTACGAAGCAGATCCTGAGCAGTCTCGTACTGTTGCACGCCAAAAAAGTGATTCATTGCGATCTCAAGCCGGAAAACATTCTCCTCTGCCATCCAATGAGCTCCGAGATCAGAGTGATTGACTTTGGCTCGAGCTGCTTTGAGAATGAGAAGGTGTACACCTACATTCAAAGCCGATTCTACCGCTCCCCAGAGGTTATCCTGGGCATGTCATACGGCATGCCAATCGACATGTGGAGTGTCGGCTGTATCCTGGCCGAGCTCTTCACGGGGTATCCGATCTTCCCCGGAGAGAATGAGCAGGAGCAGCTAGCCTGTATCATGGAGGTGTTCGGACCTCCGGAGAAGCACTTGATTGAGAAGAGCACTCGCAAGAAGCTGTTCTTCGATTCTCTTGGCAAGCCAAGACTGACAGTCTCGTCGAAGGGTCGCCGTCGACGCCCGAGCTCCAAGGAGCTCAGACAATCCTTGAAATGTGACGACGATGCTTTCCTCGACTTCATTGCTCGTTGTCTGCGCTGGGACCCGGCTCGGCGTATGACGCCCCATGAAGCACTCCGCCATGAGTTCATCACCGGAGTCAAGCTGCCCCCACGGCCCCGAACATACACCGTGGGGACGAATTCTCCGGCCAAACGTGGAAACCTCTTTTCCAATGCGTCATCAGGTCGCCCGCTTCCCGATCCTCCTTCCACGAGCCTCAAGAACGGCACCTTTGTTCGCAGCCGGGATGTGTCCGGCACGTCTCCAGTCAAACCCCCCGTTGGCAAGCGACATTCTACTGTGAGCGGCCTACCGCCGTCTACTCCCGGCAAGCGAGGCATCAGTACCTCCAACACTACGCCCGGATCGGCGTTGCCTCGCGTCGCCGCCAGGAGCATTAGTGGAAAGCCCGACCTCGCCACGGCAGCAGCTGCGACAAGCTTGGTGAGCGGCAAGACCACCGACTCCGACAAGAACACGACCACTGACTAGCTTACAGAGGACTAAATAAAGCGGATGAAGAGCGTTGCATCTGTTCTTTTTCATTTTCTTCCTTCATCGACCCCCCTTTTCACTTCATGCATATTTGTAATAATAATAATTGTTTGACTATCAAGTTGCATAAACTGGTCGGGAACGTTTGTGATTTTTCTTTTCTTTGCACCCATGTTATGATTGAATCTGAACTTGAGGAGGTGGACGACAGGAAGCCCATTCTATACCCTTACCTGAGCATTTCTATGCTTCCTCACGATGTCTGTTTGTTGTCTCTCGTTTATTCCATTTCCGAAAGCCTGTTGCTGTGATTTTGTTACGACCCTGGAAGCTGTGTTTTGCATGTCTATCCTCATTGTCTCTCGTTATCATTAACTTTCTTTTTCTCTTATCGCATTTATTTCTTTTCTTTCTCAGTGGAATGTTGACTTCCACTGGACCCAGATGTATATTTATATTTATCTTTTTCTTCTTTCGTTGCTGCTTTCTAATTCGCCTCGTGCTCTTTGGGGATTGCGCGGAGATGGCATGGGTTATGTTAGAGCCGGAGCATTGATGCATATACACTTACGAGATACACTGAACAGAATTGTAGACATTTATTGACATGAGAATTCCCCCAATTGAATCTGCTGTAATCGTGAGCAAGAAATGGTCGCTAACTACGAAGTAGAAACCGGTGGTTTCCTCAGGGCGGAGGTTATCAATAAGGGCGGGATGTGGACTACTTGGCCTCAACTGCCGTGCTTTCTCCTCTCCGCACCAACTGCTTCATCCCCATCCACTCCTTTACCTACTTCGTGTCCGTCGTTTTCTTTTTACTACATTATTCATGCCTTGATTGTTTTCTTGCGGTTCCTGCTCTCTGACTTGGATTCGTCATGAATGGGTACTCAGGGCATGGCCTGGATGAAGATGCATTCGGGGAAAAGCCCAGCTCGAAGGGCGGCTTGCAAACATTCGATGCCTTTCGTACGTTATCACCATTGAACCTGTTTCCACATCTCCAATTGAACTACGAGATGATTATCATATATATATAAGTCTCTATGCTAACCCGCCTTCCAATCATCAGCCAAAACCAAGCCTTCCTACACCACACCCTCGCGCAGCGGCGGACAATGGACCGTTCTGATCCTCCTCGTCTGCTCCATCTTCTCGTTCTCGGAATTCCGCACCTGGCTCAAAGGCACCGAGAACCACCACTTCAGCGTCGAAAAGGGCGTCTCGCACGACCTGCAATTGAACCTCGACATCGTCGTCCAGATGCCCTGCGATGCCCTGCACATCAACATCCAGGACGCCGCGGGAGACCGCATTCTCGCCGGCGAGCTCCTCAAGAAGGAAAACACCAGCTGGAAGCTGTGGATGGAGAAGCGCAACTATGGCTCCGGCGAGTACCAGACTCTCAGTCATGAGGACGCCTACCGTCTCTCCCAGCAGGAGGAGGACGCGCATGTTCACCACGTCCTGGGCGAGGTGCGTCGCAACCCGCGCAAGAAGTTCCCTAAGGGTCCGAAGCTGCGTCGGAGCGATGCGGTCGACTCGTGTCGTATCTTTGGGAGTTTGGAGGGCAACAAGGTGCAAGGGGATTTCCATATCACTGCTCGAGGCCATGGGTATCGGGATTTCGCGCCGCATTTGGATCACGGCTGTATGCTCTCTCATTCCCTCATTCCCAAAAGTTCAAAATGTCTAGAACGATGGAAAGACTAACAACAACCCCATCTAGCCTTCAATTTCACGCACATGATCACCGAACTCTCCTTCGGCCCTCACTACCCGACCCTCCTCAACCCCCTCGACAAAACCATCGCCTCCACCGAATCCCACTACTACAAATTCCAATACTTCCTCTCTGTCGTCCCCACCATATACTCGAAAGGTTCTCGCGCGCTGGACATCTTCTCCGGCGCCCCTCCCTCTCAGCAAACCCACTCCAACTCCAAGAACCTCGTCTTCACGAATCAATACGCCGCAACAACCCAGGCCGACGAACTGCCCGAAAGCCCCTTCTTCGTGCCCGGGATCTTCTTCAAGTATAACATCGAGCCGATCCTGTTGATGATCAGCGAGGAACGCACCTCTTTCCTTTCGCTGCTTATTCGGCTCGTTAATACCGTCTCTGGTGTTATTGTTACCGGGGGCTGGATTTATCAGATCTCTGGATGGGCGACGGAGTTGTTGGGGAGGAGACGCGCGAGGAAGTCGGAGGGCGTGTTGACGGGGAGACATCATGCGGATGAATGAGTGGGAGCTAGCTAGCTGGCTGGGTTGATCTCCCCCTTTTCTCTTTTCCTCTGGGCGTGTTCTCACTTTGTTTTGGGCTTGATGTCCATGGCAAACTTTTGGAGTCTCTAACTTTAATTTGGTTTTGGTGTTTTGATTTCGCATTTTTGTGCACAATTGTACGGGCATAAATTGGTCTTCTCTTTTTCTGTTCTCATCTGGTCTGATTTAAACTCGCCCGTGGATATCCATCTTCATTTATTGCCCTGAGAGCAAGCACTGAATGCTTACATATTGCGTTTGCTGAAATCCAGAGATGCTGTTATTTGGCCCGAGGTCCGTTAGATCAGAAAAGGTATCAACTGCGTAGATACCATATATAAGAGGGAAGAAAAGAAGAAAAACAAAGGTATATTCATTGGATCCCCTAAACCCACAAACCAACCTTCCGACTCCCATCGATATCTAAACAAAGTAGAAAAGGACAAAAGCACTAGGTCAAAAAGAAAGGCGGAAAGAAAGAACCATAAATTCATGTGATGGATGTCTGAAAATGCTAAATCTCAAAGATCTCACCCATCCCGACACCAGCGCCCTCAGCGCCCGCGCGACTATCTACCAAATCCAATCGCCACCCTTGCCAGGACTTCAACTTGGTCTTGATCTCACGGACCCATTCGACGCGTTTCCGCGCCTCCTCTTCAGCCTGGGCGCGCGCGAACTCGGCCTCGTCGAACTCGTCATCTAGGTTCTCCTCAGAGAGGAGTTCTAGGCTGCCGCGCGCGGCAGGAGGGTGTTGTTGGTGCTGGTTCGAGGGCGCGCGGCCTCGGTTGCCGTAGGTGTTGGCGCCGGTGAAGGCGGCGATGCCGCTAGAGAGCACGGTCGAGAAGGATGAGTGCTGCTGCGACTGGGCCATGCTTCGGCGGCGGGCGTGTTCGGGACTGCCGCCGACGAGGTCGACGTCGTCGAAGGTGTTGGCGGCGGCCGAGTCCGGTGCGAAGTCGGTGGTATCTTGGCCAGTGGCGGAGAGTTCGTCTTTACGGTCTTGCCAGACCCCACGGCGGAGGTCGAAGACTTCGCCTTCGAGTTCGCGGATGCGGCGCGAGAGGCGGGAGCGCTCTTCGTCCTCGAGCTCGTCGATAGCGTCGTCGTCAGCACCACCGCCGCCGCCGACTTCGCGTTTCTTGACTTGCTCTTCTTTCAGTCGGAGGTTCTCGTTCTCGACGCTAGCGAGTTTCTTGCGCAGCGCCGTGGCTTCTTTCTCGGCTTTTTCGCTCTCACGGAGTCGCGCGGAGTGTCGGGCTTCCGATTCCTTATGCAGATTGCCCATGGCTTGTAATTTCTTGTCTAACGTTTCGATCTTCTTTTCGGATTCGGTCTTTTCGGTCTTCAGTTCCTCGATCTCGCGCTCGAGGTTCTTGATCAAGGTTTCGGTGGACGTCTTGTCCACGCCCTCCTTGACGGCCTTCTCGGACGCACGCGTCAGCGCGGTCTTGGTGTCTGTAAGCTCGTTTTGCGTCTTCTCGAGGGCGGATTCGCTGCGCGAGAGCTTCTCTTCCAGAGCCGCTATCTGTTCCTCGTGCGCGCTGTTGGAACTAGTCTGCTCGGTAAGCTGTGCCCGCAGGTTGGAGATCTCAAGCTCCATCGCCTCGATCGTAGTGGATTTCGACTCCAATTGCTGTACTAGATCCGACGGCGGTGACTCGGTTGTTCCAGGGGATGCGCCGGAATTGTTACGGTGGGTTTTCGTTTGAAGGTGTGAGTTCTGTCGTTGCAGGGACGCAATCTCAGCTTTCTGTAATCATCGTCAGCCAGTCAGTCAGTAGCCCATCGCAATCACCCATGCGAACGGGCTCACTCACCAACTCATCAATCTCTGCAACCTTCTGCTCCGCCTTTTCCAACTTATCCTTCAACTCCGCCGCATCAACACTCGACTCCCGGAGATCCTCCAACTGATCCTCCGTCTTCCGCCACCTGCTCGATCCCTCCTCCAACTCCTTCTCCAACCGCTTATTCTCCTTCTCCAGCTCCTCGATCCGCGTTGACTGTTTCCGGTACACCTCTTGCACGGAGTCCCCGTCCGCCGACAACGGCGGCAACGACGGCGACTTGATCGTCGCCGACGGAGACGGTGACACGCTTCCCTGCGACACGGACGTCTTGCGGAACGATGACGACCTCATCTTCGACTGGATTGAGAGCGAGGGTTGGCGGCCGTGCGATGCGCGCGGGGCGTCTAGTCGAGTCGCGCTTTGGGGTTCGGTTTCTGGCCCAGGAGACGTGGGGGCATCGGGCATTGGTTCGACGGGGGAGTCTACTCGCTCGGGGATCGGTTCTGGCTGTTCAGGTTGGGGTTCCGGTTCGGTCTGAGAGGGTTCTGGTTGAGCTGCTTCTGCTGGTGCTGCGTCATCCTGCGCGCCGGACTCGGGCTGCTGCTCCTGCTCCTGCTTCTCCGCTGGCGGTGCGGGGGACTCTGCATCGCCGGGGGTAGGTTTAGCTGGTTCGGCATCTTTCGACGATTCAGGTTCTTTAGGCGAGTCCGTGCCGGCGGTCTTCTTGTTGGCTTTCTTCTTTTGTTTCTGCAGTTGGGCGACCTATTCAAGTTGGGTTCCGGGATGGTTAGCTCTAAGAACAGGACAGCGCATATCGTCTCCCCCGCGCCAGGTGGGCAGGAAGAACAAACCCGTTTTTTGGCAGCGGCGAGCTTCTCGGCCTTGAGGCGCTCTTCTTCGTCGGCCATGCTGGATGGATGTTCGGATTGAATGGCGACCTGGAAGTGGGAAGGAAGTGGGAGAAGGGAAGAAGAGGTGGCCTGGGCGGAACGGACAGCTTTCCCCGTGTCCTGCGCACGGACCACCGCTGTTTACTTCGTCCTGAACGGAGATTGACAGGGGACACTCGACACAAGCAAGTGTGCTATTTACAATATCGGGGAATGTGGACATGTTCCAAATCATTATGTTCATGTGGAGATTGAAACCGTATAGAATTTAGACTGATATTTAATTGAACAATCTCAAAATAAACGCCTCCTCGTACCAATCTCCCGAGCGCCGCCGATGCAGCGCGTCATCATAGTTTCGAAAGGAACAAAAAAGACGAACAGGCAAAACTATCGTGAACGAGAGTATGAAAGCAGCATAGAACAACCATCAAGGCCTAGTAACGATTAAGGGCCCTGTTGCTCCTAGTAAGACACACTGAACGCCTCGTCCTCATGCAGGTTGAATGCACCAAAAGAAGTCATTAAAGGAGTAAAAAAAGTCTCGCGCACAAAACCTTATACACTGAAGGGTAGAGAAAAAGAAAGAAAGAAAAAAGAGCAAGATCATCAGAGCAGTCGTGAGAGGACGTCGACAAAGTCAAACCTCCATGGCGTCAGCGATTTCCTCGCTCATGGCGCGAACAGTTCCCTTGCTGCCGGACCGAGATCGAAATTCTTCGTCGCTGAGCAGGTAGTTATCATACTCGTCGACGACCGGTCGGGTGGTATGGAGCGGATTATCACCCTCGTCGCTCTCACTTTCCTGTTCCTCGAGGTCGGCTCGGTCGCCAAGCCAGTATCGGGCGCGTTTGCTGGAGCCCAACTCGGGCGTCATGTAACCATCGTCAAACGTTCTCTTGGTGGTCGGTGTTGAAACGACACCCTCACTCGGCGTATGGCTCAGAATAGGGATGGCTTTGAGATAGATGTAGCAAACGCGCTTGCGCAGTGGATGGAAAAAGAAGTAGTGTAGGCTCCAAATGGCTCCATCATCGGCATCGGACGGGTCCTCCTCAGGAGAGTACGAATAGACCGAGCACTCCTTCAGCGACATCTGCGCATCAATCATCTTCCACATTCGCGGACCCCACGTAGACGATGCTCCGGCATTGTATGATCCGGAAATCGTGACGGGTGATGGGGGCGTAAGATCGATGGCTTCACGGGGCCGCAGGTTGAACAGAGTCGTGTCGATCGTGTTCATCACCCTCTTCAGACTCCGCTCGCGATGGAAATCCGACGGGCGCAAAACGTGAGAAAAGTCATAATCCGGGTGACTCGCATTCAAGGTGGCGATCAGATAGGCAAATGTCCGGCGACTCGAATGCTCACTCAGGGGGCCGAACGGGCTGGACCGAGACAGGTTGAGCGAAGCAGCGGCATCCGTCGCGTTGGGAGGCGACAACGACGCCGATAAGCGAAGAACCGACTCATACTGGGCTTCTAGTGATTGCTCGATGTTTTTGTACAGTTTGCGATCGGCGCGAGCGGCCTTGGTCGTGTACAGGTCGCAGCCTCCGAGGATGTGGCAGTCGGCGGTGTCGAAATTCAGCGAACTTGTGACATCCTCGATCTCTGAGAGAGGGAGAAACTGATCGGATTATCAGGTTAACAAATAATCTCAGGCAACGAGGGTTGAGGCGCCAGCGTTGGGATGCGAACCTTCATCTTCAACAGGAGCGGTCAAGCCACACGGTCAGACCACGCGGAATCGGGAGCGGGAAACTTGGTGGAGATGACGTCGACAGTAGAGACGACGTCCTGCGAGTCGCTTCAAGAACGGAAATATCGTGAGAAAGGCGCAACAAGATGATTCCTGATCACTTGCAACGACACCGGTCGGAGATAAGAGAACGAGTGAGCTGGCAGGAGCAGTGGAGATCGCAGATGTCGTCAGGAGCGGCTACGGGGATTGGGGGCGGATTGGGGACAACGCAGAGTTAGGAAGAGTGATTCACAACGCCAGCATCCATGGCCAGCAAATCCGAGAGTGAATAGTGAAGATGGACAAAGAAGTGAAGCGATGGGAATGAATGAACGGGATGGGGGAATGGATGGAAGGACAACTTGGGGCTTGGAAGCCTTGGGGCCTTGGGGAGTGGCACGGATCACGTGGGCGCCGCGATCGGCCAGTGAGAGCCGCCGGCGCCTTCACGGGTTCCGGTCGATGATGGCGTCCCAAACATTGGATTGAGGATCAGCTTCAGATCAGCCCTTCCTGGCTCAAGTTGCCGAGAACTTCCCGATCGTCCTGATGTGTAGTCAAGGTGGTATTAATTAGTCTGTGCTCGCATGCTTTGCAAACGCCTATGTACGTCCCAACGCCGGGTCTGTCCAAAAGCAATCAAATACCCCAAGATCAAGACGAGAAAGAAAAAGAAAAAGAAAGCGATCTTCCAACAAGAGATATAAACACAGGAAAACGCTCAGGTGGTGACAATAATAGCGCGCTACATCAGCTTCGTAACCACATCTTCCTCAACCTGGGGTCCAAGCGACATTAGCCTCTATTGTGACACGACGATGTGCGCAATCCAGACATGTAGCGAGGGAGATGGACGAAAGTGTGGAGATGCAGGTTTGCATCCGACTGGGGTATCATCCACGCCCTCAGACCCGAAAGAGAGGGGGGAATCCGCCCCAGTAATGCCGGACCGTGCAAAGGACAAAGTACGAGACGACATATAGGGGGGAAACGAAGTCGAGTAGCAAGAGAACGATGCATGCCAACGTATCCAAACCTCGGGGCAAAATCACATAGGGATCGGAATCAACTCACCTCCATATCTTCCAGACTGTCCTGTTGACTGATGCATCTCAGCACATTCTTCTTGCTACTTTCCTGCATTTCTCCTGCCAGCAAGAGTTCATCCAAGATAAAGTATGCCTTCTGAAAGTTGAAGATAATGTCCAGCTCGCACACGTTGCCGTAGTACTTGTCCATCTGTTCGACGTAGCGGTGCACGACCTCGAGGGTGATCAACTCGTTGTCGGTGGAGGCGCATCCGGCGATGAAGAAAAGGGAGGCATAGCGACGGTAGACGACCTTGGTATCTGTCGGAGAGGACCAGTCAGGGGTACGACTCTAGGGGTGAAGGCGACGAGGACATCTCATCCGGCGGAAATGGCGTACCTTTATACTCGAGGAAGTTGCACATGCGGGTGCGACGAGACAGAACCAGCTGGGTCACATCCTTGATGATCTTGGCCTTCTCCTTGGGCGAGAGCGTGGTGAACCATTTAGCAAGGCGCTGCGAAGAGAAGAATTAATCGGTCAGTCTGTCAGCTCCGGCCAAAGTCTCCTGGCGGCTCGGAAATTGGGTGGGCGACGAGACAAGACATACCACTTTGCCCTGCCGGGACAGCAAAATCAAGTAGCTGGGCCAGTCAGTCAGCACATTGCCGGGGGAATTGAGAGCATGAAAAGGCTCACTGGATTGCCATTGTGCGAGATGATGGGGGGGCCAAAGTGGGGATGGAAGGAGAAAAAAAGGCCACAGAAGCGACGGTGTTGTGGATGTCGAAGAAAGCAGCGGCGCCGCTCTGCTCAATTTCCTTTTGTCTCGGCCCGCCCGCATCTGCCCCGCCGCCTCAGGAACAACTCTTTCTTCCACCATGGGCATTTGCGATTATACGGAGAATCTGAGGTATCGGAATGACTCGAGGCTTCTAGGCAGTACGTTCATGGTTCGATACCCACGTGCGCCTTGCCAGTGAGTCAACAATCCTGGCCGTTCCCGAGAGCGTCGTCAGGCTGGCTGCAAGCTCAGTCCCCCTTTCAATGGATTCAGTATGACATCTCGCCTCATTCATTTTACCATCGGTTCATCATGGCTTCATCTTGGCTTCATAACGAGGCCTTTATCAGTCGCTCCAGGACTGCAAATCACCACTTGTATCTACGGAGTATATGCCACTCACTGCATTGTTGATCGGCTGACGTGACTCTGATATACTCCCCTCACTATACTACTCCGACAGGAAAGACTTGTACAATCTCATCAAATAACCTATCCTTCTGGGATCTTACACGCTCACGATCAACATTGACGGGCCAATCATCCAGACCTCGTTCTAGCAACAACCTAGCCCCCTAAGCAAAATCGCGATCTAGTCAGTTGGTCAGACGAGGGACATACCCTCAATCCAAGTTGATACCTTGGACAAGGAGCCGGAACTACGGGATAACACCGAAACGCGGCTACTGGGGGTATAAAATGTTCACCAATACGGAAACATGGTCATCAAAGCAACATGGGTTCCCCTCTTTGCTATCTCCAGCCAGCATGGAACCAAAGCCATGAAGACGCATTCGAACACCTACGCAAACAGCGCGACGCCAATCTAACAGTATTCGGAAGACCGATGAGCTGTTCGATCCACGTAGAGTTAACCGCAGGGGTCGGGGTTCAGGGGTTTGATGCGGCATGGAACAGACTCCTAGGATCCTTGGGTGATTCTCGTTGACCCTGCTTGTTCTTGGGCAGCGTTCCGTAGTGGAATCATAGGCAGTCCATACAGCCTCATCACATCATGCATTAGGATATCTATTTGAAAATACACTCTAGAATGAGGCCAGATTTCTTTCTCCCTTGTTTTCAGTTCTTTTCTTTCTTATCTTCTACCACCGGAATACATAGAACCACGGTCGTTGCACTTTGTCCCATACTGTATATTTACTCGGCAGACTAGAGACTAGTACAGTTGCCGCCATATCTCCATCTCTCCCATCTAGAATCTCAAAACTAGACGAACACCCTCTCTACTAAAAAACAAACCCCAAGTCCTTTCACGCGCATAAACCCCAACGCCACACCACCTCCCAAAAGCCCAACAGTCCCCAACAATACGCCGACAAACAAAAGTTCAAAAAGACCCATGTCCGGCGCAAGGCTGCGGCGCAACCACCCCCGGCTACTCCAAGTATCTTCCTTACTACTACCCGCATGATACTTTTCCTTGCCTGTCATCTTGCCGACCCGTGGGACGAACTTGAAGGGATACCTGCTGCGAGACTTTCGTTGAACGATGCCGCGGTACATTATGGTGCGGAAGAACTAGGATGACAAAAAAAATAGTGAGTAGTTCGGCTCCTGCTTCGGCTCCTGTTTTTGGAGCATCTTAGTATGAAACTTACGTTGATCATCAAGTCATCCATACCAGGAACCAGCCATTGCAGCCACGCGAGCCCCGCAACGAGGACACAGAACCCCGCGAATGCCATATAATAAGCGAGTCCAGGACGTCCGAGGTCCAAGGCATCGCAGAACGCATGGCCGTTGATCCAGCGACTCCCGGCGTGGATGAACGATTTCGAGACGTAGAATGGCGTAGGAAGGTTCCCGACACATTCTAGGAAGTTGTGGGATACTGTTTTGGATGTCTTGGTCAGATGGACTTCATGGACTAGGAGACTCTCCATGGTTTTCTTGGCTTGGTCGACTGTTTGGAAGTTCGACACCGGGGTGCCGAGGAGATGGCCGATGTAGCGAAATAGGGCGATGTAATCTTCCACATCGTTTGGGGAGGGTTGAATGCCGAATCGGGGCAGTTGTAGGAAGAACGGATTGCAGCAGAAGGTGCTGATGGAGTGAATTGAGTCGAGAGAGTTGGCGGGGATACCGTGGCGTTCAGCGTCAAAGTAATCCAGGTTGGTTTCGCAGAGCTTTAGGATTCGATGCCGGACTGACGAATGAAGAAGCCGGACTCGGATTGTCGCGATGTGACCTTCACCTCCTGGTTGGATGGAGGCGAGATCATGCGTGACTTGGATCAGCCATTGGAAAGTGGCTAGGAGTCGACCCAGAAGGACCCGAGTAGAGAAGCCTCCTGTTCGAACGAGAACTTCAATGACCCCGGCGGCGGCCTGGTGGGTATGTTAAGTGAGCAGGCTAGTAGATCAGAGCCATGTGTCGCTGTCTTACTGAATTCTCGGCCATGAATCCCTGCAGGGCAAACCCCACAATGTTGGCCATTGCATAGCGATAGAACACCCGTTGGCCTCGGGCTATCTGGTCCCAGTCCACCCAGTCGGGGATTGTATGTACCTGGTTCCAGAAGTGGGATAGAGTCTCGTCGGCATCGTGGTGGTCTCGAAGGAGGGCGTAAAGATCGGTAGGAGGAGGACTTGTCCCCACCATCCTCTGCTCCTTCATGACATTGGCTCTAATAGCCTGAATTCTTTCTATGGATTGACTCCCCACTGTGTCCCATTGTTGGCGCAATGGCTCTATCTCTTGCTTGGAGAGATGGGCGTCTGACCATGTAAAGCAGTATCTGCACTTGTTGATGACATCGCCGGACTTCGGGGTAAAGGAGGGAGGATTGAGCACTGTGTCGTCTCTGATGAACATACTAACTGTTCGGAAAGAAGTATAACCTCATCGGCTGACTGCAAACATCGAAGGTCAGACAGAGGCGCAAGGCTCCCTACCCATTAAGTACACCCTGCCAGAGCACTCCGTGAATATGACAGCCATGAAGCAGCTAACCCAAAAGGAAATATGCACTCCATTCACCCCTCCATGCGCGTTCATCTTGACAGCCCGTCTGACATCCGGGATACGAATCGGTTACCTTGATCGTTTACGCTAATGTAGCACGAACAGCCTTGCTAGGCCGCCTTGCGATGACACCCCATGTCCGGAGAAGACCCTGCGAGAAAATATGCAAAAGACCCAGAAGAGGCCTAGGCCCCATCTCCAACGACGTGGGCCAAAGACATCTGAATCCTGATCTTGGCAGGTCCGCACTAGTCCTCCGCTAACAACGACATTGGGCCCATGTGCCCCGGACCAGCTGCGGACGCACATGCGGCGCAGCTATACTGCCCCTCCCACTGTAGCGCATAGGCAATCTGATCGTGGAGATTGATAAGGTGGCTTTTGGAGGAACCGATGCCCGATATATCCGGCGCCCAATTCACTGGCATCTTAGGACAACAATGAGGGTGAATTTTGGAACTTGCAAGGATGATGATCAAGTCCCGTTTAGGCAAACGTTGTACATGCGGGCAAGTCCCATTCAGACTAAGCGGCGGATTCTACCGTAAGCGATAGTAAGCAGGGATTTCGTTGACGTGTGAACTAGCATACTGTTAGGGGCTGTTATCACTAGTATAGATCGTGGTAATCTCGGGCTCTGGACGGCGTCTTAGATATTATGGTCTATTGTGAGATGATCAGCAATGACCATTGTATAGCGCTTCGTGTCTAGATATGGTGTCCCGTGGCAGTCTATAAAGTACAGCCAGTATAGTTCTTGGCGACTACAAAGCATTAATATAATGGTTACATGATTTCGTACCCTCTCGTGACTTCTTTACTGTTATGGTGAATGCTGCTGCCTTCAGCTTTGTATTGGATCATATCTCATCATGGCATCCATTCAAATCCTCAAAAATCAACTCTTGCCAAGAGGAAAGGCACTGCTGCAAATGCGACAAATCCCAGTGCGTCTTCCAAATATGTTTGTGCTTTTTCTATCAGAAAGTCCAGCAATCAATCCGTTCTATGAGGCTATAAGGAAAGAGTCGGAAACGTGGATGTCAAAGTCAGTCTTCAGGTGCATTGGACAACCACAACTTGATCAACTGATGATATGTGTTAGCAAATGCTTATTCAACGAGAGATCCCGGAAGACCCTATCCAAGACTGACTTCTCATATTTCTGCTCCATTTCAGCGCCACATGCTTCGCCTGAAAAACTTCGGACTGTTTGTGATTGGGGGAATTGGGTATTTTTATCTTATCTCGATGGTTGACAAGTTGACGCTGACATTGACAATCTCTCCATGATCAGGTCTTTCCTTTTGATGATCGTAAGTTTCTGGACTTGGAAGTACATGCACTTTCGATGACTGACCCAGGCCTAGAATTCGACAACGGTGGATTAAAAGATGATCCCGAGCGAGCTCAAGATCTCATACATAGGCTTATCGCTCCTATGGAAGGCCATGATGAACATCTCGAGAGTGATACCGAAGATCCTCTCGTCGCAGTCCACACATCGGTGTGGAATCGCGTTGCGAAAGTGAGTACTTCAGACCCCCTGTCGACAGATTCGCTAACAGTCTATCTAGGACTCCTCAGAAGGTAAATACAGTTCCATCCGCACCCTACAGAATAATCCTAACCCCAAGACAAAAAGGCACTCAGCGACGCTTCGCAAAATCAATGCAAAACTACTGCACCGGAACTCTCGAGCAAGTATACAGTCGTTCAAAGGGACAGATTCCCACCCTCGAGGAGATGGTAGAACTACGCAGAAAGTCAGCGGGCGTTGCGCCACTCTTCGCTCTTGTTGAGTACGTCTTAGAATCTAATCTTAGTTGCTGGCTGATGGAATTGACTGATTTCTGGGTTGTAGATACGCTCACCAGCTAGAAATTCCAGACGGGGTCTTCGCAACAAGGAGTATTCGGGAAATCGAACGGATTGGCATCGACCTCGTCCTTTTGTAAGTATGACCTTAGGCCCTGTTCCTATCATACCATACCCTATCAGCAGCCCTAACCAAGAAAAACTACACAGACAAAACGACCTCCTCTCCTACTGCAAAGAAGAGGTAAGACTCAACCACCAGCCAACAATCTTTAAACTTAACACCATCATCCATCATATCCAGATAGAAAACGTAACCCACAACATAGTCACCATATGTCGTCAATCCGGGATGTCCGCACAATCCGCCTTCGACCACATCGGCCAAATGCTAACCACTTGCTACCGGGACTGGTATCTCGCATTGGCAGAATTGCCGAGTTGGGGCGAGCTCGTGGACGCTCATGTTCAGGGGTATATACGGGGCGTGCGGAATGTGGTTCAGGCGAATTTGCATTGGAGGTATGTTCATACATACCTGGGAAGCAAGACCTGTGACTGGGTTTTATGTTAATGCTTATGCTTATGCTTATACTGTTCTGTTAGTTTTCGGTCGGGACGGTACTTTGGACGGGATAATGAGAGGGTACGAAGGAGTGGTGTTGTGTATGTGAGGCCGAGGAGTGCGGACTTGATTCAGAATGTGATTTGATATGATGGTTATCAGAGTGTTGTCGGTTGGTAGACAACAGAACTAGGGGTGATGATGAAAAGCAGAGAAATGAGGTGATAAGATGGATCAGTCGCAGCAGCTATACCCTACAAATCCATCACAGAGAACAGCGTACAATCCAACAGAAATCAATTCCAAATTACATCTTTAAACGTACAGTCGAACACAAATACACAAAAAACTCCAACTTCTCCTATAACCCATCACCATCCAGCCTTTTCCCCATACCCAAATCCGTTCCCATCCGATATAAACCCCTGAAAAGCAAAAGACAACCATTTCCCTCCCATTATTTGTCACACAGACGGTATCGCAAACTCCAACCATCGTTAGTTAAAAATGACATTAGCCGTTGATAATACGTAGGTCACGTCGTTATCATCAAACTTTCCCTTTTCGCCGCATTAAGTAGACATAACAAATTATAGAATGAGTGTGGTCCGATCGCTCGGGTGTATTTCACCAATTGGCACCGCATTAATGCAGGTATTATAGAATTAAATGCCAATGGGGATCGCTCACGAGAGTGTGTCGTCGATTGTGCTCGATTATAGTGTACGTACTCGTGTCCGCGCTCGGAATCCAGGACAGAGCCTCTCGTTGACACCACTCTATATGAATCTTATTAGCGAAAACCCCTGCCATCCAACTTCGAAGATCATACCAAGTGATATACACTTAAACCTGGGCCATACTAGGACGAGTGCCGCGGGCAGGGCCAGTACGTCCACGCAGGTTGACGCCAGTTCGACGGGAGGCCATGAACGACATGATCATCGAGACTGTGTACCCGGCCCACGCAAACCACAGGAAAGCAGTCGAGGCCTGGGCCTCGCGGCAGCGCTTCTCGCGGTGGACCGAGCCGTTGGTGATCTCGTTGCTGAGGGTGTAGGACTAGATGATCGACGATTAGCCAGTGGATCTGGATCGAGTGGGACTTGATAACGATCATCGAGTGATGGAACATGACAATCGCCCCAGAACAACATTTTGCTCGGTATCCAATGTCCAGTGTTCCACGAGGAAGGGGGGGAATGTATAGGCACATAACACGTACATTGTTGCTGCAGCTGTGAGATTCAAGCTTCGCCGCCAGCGCGATACCCGCTGTGAGGAAGAAGATGGCGTTCAGGGTATCCAGGACGATCATGAGGATGGGGTGGATGGCCCAGTCGGGGTTGAACGTGGCCGGGGTCAAGTAGAGCAGGGTGAACATGGAGAAAGCCGACACGAACATGGTGTAGTTGACCGTGGCAGGGTTTCCGGCGAAGGATTCGTTGATCATGTTACCGATCAGGGCCATGACGAGGAGAGTCCAGAGGAACTGTTTAGACGGACAAGAGTTAGCCATCACTATCCGTCTCTTCATGACAACTATCGCATCACCGTCAAAGCAAAGACGCGCTACTAACCTCCCACAGCCGCAGGCCAACCGCGATACCTTTCATAGCCATTTCAACGACTTCAACGGGCGTTCGATCGGCGAGTTACGCGTCGGAGGATAGGGATGGGATGGTGTTGTTCGCGATACCGATTCCGATATCGAAAGCTGTCAGCGATCTGAGAGAGGAAGTCTCGAGAGATCCAGCGGAGTTGTGAACCGACAAGGAATGCAGGGATGAACGGTCGGGTTGATATTTTAAAGCGCGGGATGATCGGAGAGGGCGGGCGATGACGATATGCGAGAGGGTGACTACGACGTCATGCGAATCATGAAATCACCACTGTCGATTCAACCCACTTGCTCGGGATTTCTCAGGAATGGCAGCGAAAAGGGAGAAGAATTTTACACTTTGGTTGTCATAGAATTCAAGGACAGACTAGTTAGTAGTAAGCTAGTCTCGTTCTTTCTTTTTCTCTGCCTAAGAAACTGACCGATCAGCGCCAGCTCATCACTATCACTATATAGTTACCTAGTTAGACCGCTCTGCCTACACAACAATACTAGTCCAAAAATAACCACCACCTCACCACCTCCCCATCGACCATCCCAGCAAAGATAAAACACCAACACCAGACTAATGCAGGCAACGCACTTACGACAACCACTCGTCCCGCCATGATCCGGCATGAAACGTTGATGCCGTCACCGACTTGCAACCGCGAACGCCCCGGCAGGTTCGGTGATTGGCTCTCCGGGCGCCTCTACAGATCCATGGATGCGATTTGATCGATCCTCTCTGATTGACTGATGACTTGGCGCAGGCCTGGTTGATTGTTGTCTGGACTTGGTCTTGGTCTTGGTTATGTAGGACTTAGTTATGTAGGTGTGGTTGGGTCGGTTGGTGCAGTGGGTGGGTCTTTGGGTCTAGTTAAGTAGTTATCCATTGAATTCAATTAGTTGGTGGATAGGGTTCGCGATAATATTTCGATGCTGCCTGTGCAACAGGGGGTCATGGATAAGGCCTAATGGCAATTGTAATGGCGGTCTATTTCAGCGCTGGTGGCTTGGTTGAGAAACACTTTTCCCCTTATTGAAACAGGAACGAGAGTTTAGAAGCTCACGCAGTATGCTACAACCTCTATTATACGCTCATCATCGCTATGCTATATTAAATACACCATGGCTCGTAAGTAAGCCGACACAATCGATCCTGACAAGCTGTCGATAGAACCAAAAAAGACTTCGCAAGCCAGCGCGTCCTGTATACTTAATGTACAACCATCAAACTCTATGGCTTGAACGGACTTTGTACAGACCCGTACCTGGTTAAGGATTAGCATCATCATTTCAACTGTGGTAGACCAAGAGCACTCACCCCTGGGTACACTGTCTCCCAAGCGCAGCGCTACCACTTCTCATATAACAGATCTTCGCCTCGCGGCACGCGTCGGTGACACATTCCGGGCTCTTAACGCTCAATCGACCCTGCAGTCGATTCTGCAACGTGACCAGCTCGCCATCATCCTCCATCGCCTCGGTGACCCGATGCCAGAACGTCGCGTTCAACGGGTCATTCTTACCCCATCCCGCGGCAGATCCGTAGGTATCTCTCGTAGAATATTCAAACCGGTACACTGGGCCGGTCTTATCAAGAGATGAATACTCCGACACGTTGCTGAAAAACGTATACGCTTCGTAAACGTTAAAGTCTCCGGTGTCGACCTCATACATCCGGAACCCGCTGTTCAGGTTCGTCAATGGCGTTATGCTGGGTCCGATCCAGCCGGTCGTTAGAGCGGTGTCGGTGTTTTGCACGGTACCGTTGTTCGAATAGTAGATCATGAATTCGTCCTCGTGGGTGTGGCCGTAGAAGATGTTGGCGATGACGTGCGGCGAGTAGCGATCTACAATCTGGTAGAAGAGATCTGTAGGGTTAGGGAGAGGGTTCGATCCATCCCAACCAGACGGGACGTGGCCGACAATCCAGACTCGCTCGTGGTTGTCTTCGGCTTTTTGGAGCTCGGAGATCATCCAGGAGAACACGCCTGAGTTGTCGGGCTGCGTGGTGTTAATGAAGTTGAAGAAGTTGCTTCGATACCAGAAGTCTATCAAGACCTGTTAGTGGTGACTTTGAAAGATAGTTCTTTGTATATACCTGTGTTGAAAGTAATCACACGCAAGCCGTAGTGCGTTTTGACCGAATAGCCACCATAGTGTGTACTGGCCTCCGCAGCGGTCTTTGCATCAACCCAACCCCCATGCTGCCACAGACCAGCTAAATGCTCAAAGTTCCAGCTGTTCTGCTGGCCCAACGGACCCGGGAGCTTATGAGACGGCGAGATGTTCTCGGGACTCGTGTCATGGTTACCCAGGGCCGCAAAAACCGGCCCTGTGAGGTACGATTTGAGCATACCAAACACGCTCGTTTCCGTGTACTCGGTATAAGCCCTGTCCACCTGGACAGCAGGGTTGTCATGCGAAACCAAATCTCCCGTGTACAAAGTGAAAGCCAACGGATCCTTGCCCTCGCCGGTCCCGGTCAAAGGAGCAAGCGCTTCCAGGGCAGCCAGAGTCAGATCATATGGCGTGTCACATTTGTACGCACCATAGACCGGGGCCGGCAGAACCACCTGATCCTCGAATTCCGCGTTGTGAAGGTTCGTCCGACAGCACATCCCGGACGTGCAGTTTGCCTCGGCACCCACGGAATACCGCGGGTCAAGATGAATATCAGACAGATGTAGGACCTTGATCCGCTCGCCACTAGCCTTCGGTACACTGGCCTCTGATGGCTTCGGCTTCGGGAACAGATTGGTCGTGTCCAGGCGAGTCTGCGGCTGACCGCAAACCTCACTATTCAGATAATAGCAGATATAGTCCCCATCCGAGCCCTCAACATCCGCATAGTAAAGCACCTGCGTCCAGGGAACCCCGAAAGCCGTCTCGGTATATTCATTCTCGCATTCCTCGTCCGATTTGAACTGGAACTTCTTGCACAAAGAAGTCATGGCATCGGGGACTAGTTTAGGAGCATACAGAGCTGCCGGCTTGGCCGCAGACAGCGCGGCCTTGCATCTGCTGCAGCTGTCTGCGTTTCCGCTGCCATTGAGAATGCTCGTTACATTGGCTAGCGTTCGCTGGAGCAGCACTTCCTGTTGATGCTTGGATAGTCTGTGGAGCGGCTTCGGGAAGACCACGGGATCATTATTCTCCTCGGGGATGGTGTCGGGGTTTGTCAAGTTATGAGGGAATGTAATATTCAACACCGGGTCATAGATCGCAGGTTGAGGCTGCTGAGTTGGTTTTGCCGGAAGGTAGTGGTACGACCTGTACTATGTTATCAGCATACACCCAATCAACAAACCCCCCTCCCCGGAGTAGTCCACTGGTTACTCACGAGAAAACACTCGTCGGAAAACCAGCCTGGGCTACATAAGCCGACGACCCAGGCAGCGACGAAGCATCGGCGAAATCAGCCGGCAGAAGACCCAAACCCGCTAAGACAGCCTGAAACTTCATCAGGCGAAGTATAGACCCCATTGATCTGGCTATACCACTAGACGGAGACGGACGCGATAAAATCCGCCAGAAACACTAGATAAAACGCAAGGCGACCTGCAAGAAGCAACCAAGTCACGAATCCATCACAGACAGGCGTCCATGAAGTATTTGATTCCCGACGATGTTGACGCCGATCGGAGACTGGGATTTCCTAATCGAGACAAAGGGATGCACGTGGTGACAGAGTGCAGGTCCAGTGGATGCAGGGATCAACAAATTATTCCCCTCCCTGCCGATGCGATATTAATAGTGGATCGAAAAGGATTCATGTTGGCCATCGGCTCTGCGATGGACATTGGCACTATTTTTCACCGACAATCGGAGATCAGAGGTGTTTGATGTCTTGGTGTTTGAGAGGTGTCGAGTGTTTGTTTATCGGTTATCCGAAAGGGGAACTCCGACCTGGAGGAAGTGGCGCTAGATCGATGGCAGCATAGTTAGTGTTTAGGTTAAGAGAAAAGCTTGACTATCCGTCGGAGTGCGCTTTGATAGATATTGAAACTACCGTATACTTTCTCGATGAATCAAGACTCGTATATTAATCAGTTTGTGGCCAAACCGCCTGGTCATATCATACCTGCTTTGCTGAGCGCCAAGATTGCTGCCTAAGGCCACATTTGGTTGGCAGCGTTGCAGCCGACCTCCCAATTCCTAGGTAGTGAAACTATGTGATCGCCATCCACATAGATCCGTAAACCACATGCTACATGTTATCTATTATATTCTCTTGCCATATTTGCAGTTTACAACCTCTTCACCCGAGCGATACACGATTACCTAAGATGTTTCACCCGTATCGACGCTGCCAATCAGCATGGATCCGTCCGCTCGGGTTCGTCAAGCTCAGGATCGACGCGATTGACATCCTAAAGTTCGAAACTCTGGTCCAGACTCTGGATCATGATGTCATGTCGATTCCGTCGGCCTCCGGACCACAGACGATCGATCCTGTTCCTAATTGTCTTTGCCGGGATGTTAAATGTTGATGACGACTATGATTTGCTGGAAATTGGGCTCCGAAAGGGAAATATTTGGCGACGTTACATCCTGCAAGCCAAAATCAAGAGATGGACAGTCATTTCTATTTTCAGATCACGATCAAATTTCATTGTTGATAATTTCCATTTCCATAAATATATACGCAATAATGCCTGTTCTTCCCTCGCTGGACGGCTCCTCCTTCGATGCCGATATCCTTGACCGACATCTGATCTATGATTATGCCGTGCAGGACGACAAAGGAAACGCCGGAAAGTGGCGCTATGAAATGTGGTTTTACAACCAGGACCGCATCGTCTATGAGATCCATGGCGGTCCGATGGCTGGCCGGAGAAATTTCCAGTCAGCCACCTACCAATGCATTCGGCCGGGTGAGCTCTGGCAGTGTAACTGGCTTGAGGAAACCGGAACGCTGTGCTCGTTGGTGTACGACATACCCCGCAAACGCATCACCACCTTGCTTGGGTTTTCCAAGGGACACTGGGAGCAGAATGAGGCAGCACGCGGCGATAAACGAAACCCAGAAGATTTCGCAAGATGGAGAGACTTGGCGAAGATCGGCACTCAGGTGCAACGGACGCTGTTGAGCGAGCAGGCAGAGATTGTGGAGGATTTCCGTGGTCCTGGGAAGTTGGAATCCATTGAGATGGACTGGCCAACGTTATAATAGATCCAGGGGCGCAGTGGCGGGGAGACCGGAGAATGTATAGCCGAGTGAAGGGTGCGCATATGTTGGGTCATGCTTGTTATCCAGTACATAGTCAGTCTACTCCAACTGAGGTATCGTGCTTAACGATGTTGAGCTGGAGCGGTAATGAAGCATGTTATTCCTTGACCACACTATCAAAGGGCACGGCTGGCATTAATATTTACAAGGAGGCCGTGCACAAAAGAAACAGTGACGATCAGCACCCAACATTGATGGACATGAATCAACTTAGGCGACCATGTCTGCAACATGGGTCTCAAGTAACCGACGGAATCTTTGGGGTGATGCTCAAAGGCGGGGATGCCACGTGACATCCAAGCGACGGTACTCGTGAGATCGGCGAAAGACTTCTGTCGATCAGTCATGGAAGCAGCGTACACAAGGCATGCGCTGCGTGCGGCCCAATTGTGATCTCTTCATCCAGCATTTATTTCCCAACTGTTCGAGGCGAGGTCGCGGGATTCTGTTCCCATGTATATGTAGACCGGCCAAGTGCGTCAACGACAACATTATTTGTCGACCTGATTGCGTATGGTCGCAGCTAGGGGAGTCCAAAGAACCGATAGGCTCTAACAAGAGATAGCTGGTGCCGTATGCCGGAAGATTCGAGATGAACGAATCGGGTCTGAAGAGAGATGATGGAAAGAAACAAAGGTTCTCTCCGGGCCTCCTAGGTATCTTGGGTCGTTGAGCTCCCGCTCGACGGGGCTTGAACACAAACGAGTTCTATTTGAACGTCATCCTTGCTGCGCGGAGGCGCACTGTTGTAGGATGGACCGCGGCTGATAATGGCAACAGCTACTTGCTCGGCCTGCTGGCTCGAGGTCATATTGTCCACGAACCATGTTTTCCACGGGCTTTCGCTGGTCCCGGAGGTTTTCAGGGTCGCGGATAGATCAGTATCCGTTTCTTGTCCGAATGCTAATAAAGTTTGAGTAAATAAACCAATCATAAAGTTAGCTGACAGGGGAGAACATCATGGGTACGTACGTTGAACAGGGAAACTCTGAACGTCAAAGAACGGAGGCGGGCAATTAGCAAGGGACGGCGGGTTGATAAGCATTTGGCTTATCACCGTGTCCAAGGGATAGCTATAGTAGTCTCCCTTCTTCGATAGATCATATATGGCCCCTTTGAATGCGGATTTCAGGTTGCTTGAGCACTGGGGACCCCAGACCCCGTCACATCCGTTATTATCGCCCGCCGGCGTGCCGGTCAAGTTCCCTACTCGCATCGCGATCTCGGACGTCCGGTTTCTGTCGATGACGGAGTTGTCGATTCGTCGTGCGGCATATCCTAGCCAAAAGCTGACCTTGGTCATCGGCTCGTGGCCTTTCCCTCGCGAGTTGGCGTCAAAACCATAGTAAAGGTTGATGTCATCGACGAAGAGAGGGGGAAATCCGAAGGAGACCGCCGTCTGGGCCAGCGGATCAACACACCCCCCGTCCCAGAATGAACAGAGCTGAGCGAGCCCTGATTGAAAGATAGTTGCGAATAATAGAAGAGTCAAGTAGGGCCGAAGCTTCGACCCCCTTCCCGATAGAACAGCCATTTGGGGCCGAAACTGAGGCGAGTAACCTGTGTTGACGAAAGCGACCGACCAACCTCAGAGCAACAGCGGCCAGCCGACTACCATGCTCACAACCGAAATCAACAGGTGGGTTGGCGGACGAGATAGAGGGGGGGGGATCGATAAACGCGAGTTGATGCCAGTTGTTGGGATCGGATGAAGGTCTATGGCATAATAGGGAGAGAATCGGCTAGAGTATCATGAGAGCGAAGGGGTAAATACGGTACGGAGTATTGTGGAATCCTCGGCGCTTTTTGTCCGTCCGGGCTCAGCCAGGTCACTAAATTAGGTATCCCGGGGCCAAGGTGTTATTTATGGTCGTGTGAAGGATCGTCCAAATAAGAAAAGTGTTCCTCCGGCAAGCCACTTATTTTTGTCGTTGTTTCAATCCACGTCCGGAAGGACCAAGGGATCAGAGCCACAGCCGAGTGGTTGAATGCGTGATCGAAGTGATGACGAGAGGGAGGGAGGGGAAGTTGTTTACCAGTGCCGTCGGGGCAGGCTAAGGCAAACAACAATAATCCAAGGGGGGGAATGAGGATGAATGGCAGAACAGATCCGGGTCGGAATGGTCCGACAGTGGGAAAACAACCGGGCGTCTGATCGAGAGCGTCGTCCGTAACCCTGGAGAAAAACCAGGAGATGAGGTGAGGTGAGAGAGTCCAGAGAGGAAAGGCCGGTGGGCAGACGAACTGGGGGTGAAGCGGCGACAGTAGCGGCAAGGCAGAGAAAGCAGCGACAACAACAGCGGCAGTAGCTGCAAAAGCTGCACTCCAGGGTAGACGCAGGAGTTTAAAGAAGGAAGACTGGGCGTGACGGTGATGCCTCCCTTGAACAGGCGTTGAATTAATCCCGAAAGGCGTGTCTTGCCCGTGAAACAGGGAGTGGTGGAGCCGAGGGGGTCACTGGCTGGCTCCCTGCTTTTTTTTCTTTTTTTTTTTTTTTTCCCAATTTCACAGAGGCATTCTTGATGTCTTGGCCCGCTTGGGCTGGCGCCGCTAACAGCCAGTCCCCGCATACCTCCGACCGAAAACGGAAGGATGAGTGGGTGATCCAGGCCGGAGTGCCAGGAGTTGGCCACTCACAGCGTCGCCCCGTCACATATTTCGGCCCTGGGAAAAGGGCGCCAGGGTCCGGAGAGGCCAATGAACTCGCTTACACGGCCAGCCACCGCTGCACCTGGCGATTCCGCTAGTCTCGAATTCAGTTGTTTTCGTTTTCTTTCCCCTCCTCTGAGAGTACACACTACACAGTAGTTATCAGGAACATTTCCCTGAGCGAGGGCAATAGTGCCAGATGCATCAGTCCTTATCTCCAGTGTACTATCGGTAGCCCGAAGTTTCCAAGGTACACACTAAAATTCTATCTATTGTACCTTGAAACAGCGACACTTTGACCCGGGTACTAGTACCAGTAGGGTAGTGATAGGATACTTTATCCATCCATCCCTCCATCAATACTATTCCAACTCCTGAACTTGCACGTCAGGGTCTTGGTCCCATCCTCCTAACCAATTCCCAGCAATAACTGGCTGCCTAATGGAGTCCTTATTATTAGCTGATGGGCCAAATCTGAGTCCTCTCCGTCCGCCGGAAGTGATGCTGCGCCAAACAGGCCTTACCGGCGAACTAGTACTGGCACTACTGTACAGTTCATACTAGTGTTCCAAATTGATATCCGCCCCTCTTGGTCACTCCGACCGATAACATCTGTTGGTCGGATTACGGAGTATTGGCAGCGTTGTTGCCACCTGTTGGATCAGCCGTCCAGATACTACTCTGTAGGCAGCGATCTGTAATCACAATCACAATCACGAGGGCGATAGTGGTATGCCGATGCTACTTTGTATCTTATCCTGCAATCTGCATGTTCTTGAACGGGGGATGACACATCGCCCTGTATGCTTGGCATCGATCATTACCGAGCCTTCCGTACCGTTGGGGGATGGAATTTCCACAGGTTGAAGAAATAATAATAATAATAATAATAATAATGTGATAAACTGATTGCTTACACCGGTCCGGAGTACGGATATGGATAGAACCCTCTTAACCTCACATCACTCAGAAATTAGACATAATCAAAAAGTTTTCACCACCCGGTGAAATCTCTATTAAGCATGCCAGACGACCGCGGTTCCTATGGTTTCCCATTTAGCCACTAACTTAGTAGAACGGATAGCTCCTCGGACTTCCAACGGCGTCCTCTCCTAGTCGTCGCTCCATCCCTGGATCCGAGGTCCCAGCACAGGCAATGGTAGTAACGATTATCAAATAATTCTGAAATCTGGATACTACTTACTCCGCAGACACAGACTAGTTTGTAGTTACCACTTACCAGATGTCTGTGAACTGATTGCCGAGATACCACGCCGACTGTTCCTCACTACTGGCACCTGATCGTCGTTTATCGCTTGTCGAGTCGTTCGACTGTTTTATTTGTCTTCAGGCTCATGGTCTCTGGGTGCCAAGAGCACGCTATCCCAGTTTTTTGGTTTTTTTTACTCGAACTTGAACTCGAACTCGAACTCGCACGCGAACAACTCTCAATTTCAACGCCGAGTATCGAATCCAAATCCGATTAATACCGGAGTGAACCCCATCGCGTGCGGAAGAGCGGAGTAACTAGAACATACTTCTAGTCTCATTCTCATCACACCGCAAGCTAATAGGAAAAAAAAATTCCCTGGTCTAGCAGTACTACTCGTACTCCGTGACCGTAAGTCTAGGTAGGAGTCTAGGGGAGTAAAACAATCACTAGTCACGACAAACTAGAAGTTAGAACTGATACTTGCCTTCGCATTCCGAACTTGTTTTACATGCATTGGCACAGGCGACCAGCTGCTCATCTAACCCTTCCCTCGGTAACCATTTACCTTTCTTTACTACCTGAGGAATCGGACTCCGTGGTCACTTGGTTACACAATGCACGATTAAAGGGATCTATCTATCTGTACACATTCATGTAAACCGTATGTACTGTAGGTATGTATGTCTGTACGCTATGGCCGTATCCTTGCCCTGTGGCCAACTGGCCATACGGTGTACACAGGAATGCATGTTATCCGGAAGAGACTCTCATATAAGACGGCGACGGCGTCGCTCATAGGCCCAAGGGAACACCTTCATGAGGTCATCTGTAATCTGTAATCTCTTAACTAACTAAATTATTTAGTGTTCGGTCCTTCCCATGTGCGTCATAGGGGGGGGGAAGAAGTGATTGGCAATTTAGTCCGGCGAATCCGCGGACGCTAATTGTGTTCGCCGAAAGAAAAAAAAAAAGAAAAAAAAAGAAAAAAAAAGAAAAGAAAAAAAGAATGTAAATCAGTTGTCGGATGCGCCCTTGGTTTTTGACAGAACTTGTCCTAACTCCTACAGTCCTACTGCTAGGTAGAATACGAGCCCACTTCTAATGTCTGGGTTGGTTTATGGATTAGGATTTATGGATTATGGATATAGGGCAAGCGAATCGCAATAGGTTTCCAGTATTTATTTAGTACTCAACTCACCAGTTACCATGCTAACCCATGAAAGTACCTATCTATCCTCCGTATCCTACGCGAGACGAGAGTACTGTAATAATGTTCTAAATGGAACCAAGACCCAGATTAATATCCGACAAGCCCGCCATCCAATGATATCTCCAGCATGCTGGGTCTCCTTGGGCAAGAAAACCCGTTCCTTTTGCTGTTGCAATCGAACCTTGCGTCATGATCGCAAGGCTGGTAGGATCCCTCCGCGTTACTCGATTCGGTAATCTGCGGTAGTGCTGGCATGCATCAAATTGGGGGCTCGGAAATTGAGACCTCATATCTTTCTCGGTCGTTTAATGTTTCAATAAAAAGTGAATAATTCGTGATATTGAATGAACTATGTGGTTTCTCCTGGACAGTGAGCTGGCGACAAGCCTCCTTGATTTTTTTTTTTTAATTCCCCTCTCAGTGAACAGAGATGATTGCCCATGAAAATCCCTCTCCTGTGTGGACGCTATGCTATACTCCGTACCTCCTTGCTCGTAAATGCGATCCCTTTGCGCCAATTAGGTAAAATAAGCCCCTCCCCATCCTGCGCCCCCTGGTTACAATCGACCATGTCTTCCCTCGAGCGTATGCACACGCGACTTCATGACTGCGACCGACTCGGTAATAGATCTGTTTAGCCGGCGGACATTCTCCATTTCCCTGCACCTGTTCCTCTCTGCGACGGCCACAACCTTGCGCGCCGTTTCAAGCTCTGCAACCTCCATGTCGGTCAACCCGCGGGGGACCGATCCACGACGTTCACGGGGTTGGTTGTTCGTTTGGAGATTGGACACCTTCGTCACGGCCTTGACCAGGGGTAACATCGAGGGCAAGTGGAAGGTCAGCCATGAGGCGTTCTCGGGCGTGGCCCCCCGATGGCCCCAAATGCGATCCATGGCTTCTGCGCGCTGTCGGAATCTATTGAGACTCTGCGCCCCATTGGGCAGGGGTGCCACCCATTTATCCCAGTTAAAGTCCGGAAGTCTCATAACATTCTCGGCATTGTCGTGGCTATCCTTCGACTTTCTCCAGCTGTCATAAAGCCATCTCTCGTGTGGTGCCAAGTGTGCTTTTGCGATACTCTCTGGGTTTCTCGGCCGCTGCGACGCCACCCTCAAGCCGGTGTAGAGTGCGAGACTGTTTCCGTTGTCGACTTCCTTTGCCAGCTCCTCCATTTTTCTAGCTGTCGCTTCCAGATCATCCTTGTCTTCTGGCACAGGGAGGAGTCGGTAGTTCTGACACAGGTTGAGTAAGCCGTTAGAGTCCGCGGGCCTCAAGGCGGACCGAAATGGTTCGGCGGCGTAAACAGGGGCGTTTTCATCTTCCCATTCGCGCTTAAGCCCGCGAGTCGGGAGGCGCTCCATCCTGGTCTGAAGCATTCGTGTCAGAACTATGCATCAGATCATATACGAGATAGTTGTGATCGAGAATATACTCAAACAGTGACTCGGAAGATGAATGTCCACCTTGTGTCTCGAGTTTTGCTCTCTTGTGCAGCAAAAAAACAGTGTGAGTTGTAAGGTAACGCACGGTGAGGCTACTTTGATCTCAAAGATGACTGAATCCGCGAATGAAACACAGATACTGAAAGAGAGCCAGCCGTCTTGCAGATGTCCAAAGTCTGTCACAAGAATGTGGCTCACTCCATCCAAGTATTTGTGTATCAAGACGAGGTAGTCACAATCGAGCTCAAGTCACTAGCTGTGGATGGGTCAGAGTCCACTCAGAATACCAATCGAGATGTTTATCTTGGGTCGAACTCACATGGACCTCAAGTGAATGGAAGTATGTTGTTGAGCGGTTGCTGTTTCCTGTTTTGCTAAGATTACTAAGTTGATATTCACTGCCCGGCAGTGACCTGTAGTGCCCATTGATCAACGAATAGTATCAATTCTGTTTTCAATTCCAAACACAGGGCGAAAACGATGAGACAAACAAAACTTCAGTCGTCCCAACTTTCACAGATATAGTACAGTCGACACCAACACAACGCGTAGTTGCAGTCGGCCATCCTTCCTTTTCCTAATATACAACAATTTCGTTCCCTTCCTCGCGCATAAATGATCAACAAAATACGGAAGTAGGGTCAAAACAGATAAAGATAAAACAAAAATAAAACAGGGGGAGAAAGTGACATGCGAATGAAGATGTTGTCATGAACTGACAACGATGGCCAATAATTCATGTCGAAATGTGGTAGGAGAGTGTCCGTGATAAACCAAAAATTAACGCCATAACACCGCGCTTGAAGATTGCACAAATATATCTCTGCAGGTCAGCTTCTTCTTTCCATCCTCAATCATAGCATCAACCCATGTTCAGTTGTCGTCGTCATCCATATGCGCATGGTCCTTCAGACCATTACCCCGAAGCCAAACGCGCTTCCAGGGACCTTCTCCTCCAAAAGCCGCTTCGCGGTCCTGGCGCATTCCCTCGAGAACGCCAACAATTCCACCATTTCGCAAGCGCTCCAGCACGACATTCATGCCTTGCTTGCTTTTGAGCACAGCGTCTCGGGTTCTGTTGACACCGATAAGCTCAATCGTTCGCTGAATGCCAGCCGTTGATAGCGACGAGAAGAATCCTTTCTTCGGAGCCTCCTCGTCGGCATCACCGGCGTGATCATCAATTGACTCTGCCCGCTTCCGGTTTCCCAAGAGCTTTCCCTGTCCGAGCCGGGAACGAAAGGTGACCGTGGTCTTGACCGTGGTCTGCTCGCTGATCTTGTCATCGAGAGACAGTCCCTGCAGATTCTCAAGCGCCCCCTCGATGGATTGACGCTGATAAACCTGCTTCTCGACGACGCTCAAGATGCCAGTCCACTCCATATTGCGTGATTCCGTCTCCATCCATCCCTCCTTTGCGTCCACGACGGTGTTCTCTAGGATGTAACTTTGGCCGGAGTGGTCCGAGCCTCCCATGCCCTTTGGCAGCAATTTGAGAATTCCCGACGGAACTTTCGACTTCTTCAGATGGAGACGCGTCGTATGAAGGCGGTCGGTTTTCGGGTCGACCCATCGATCAATGACATCGGTCGTGAGGACATGGCGAGAGTACGGGTTCGGATAGCGGAGGAAGTAGGCTAGAGAGACGGCAGGGAAGGAGTAGTCGTAGGTGAAGACGTTCTCGAAGAACTTCATAGTTGCAAATGCATATAGACAGTACGTAGGATTGGATTCGAGGGGAAAGGATGAAGCTGAGGTGGCGGTGGGATGATGGGTGGTTAAACTGGTAATGGGTGGTGTGCACCTGGGTTGCTCGTCTGCTCAATGGCTTTTCTCAGTGGTCGGGCAAATAATTTGCTCGGGTCCGACCGTCCGAACCTCCTTTCAGAAGGCAACTTTCTGTCAGCTTCCGCGCCGGCTGGCGCTAGCCCGTTTGGTAATGCGGGGATGGAGTCACGTGGCTAGACAGCGTCACCAATCAGCGGGTGGAGACCGCGGACTGCTGACAAACTCCGTCCAGCTCGCTTCATATTGGAGTTTAGAAGGGGTATCAAGGATAAGTTCTACTTTACTATCTAATCAATCTATTGTGCTAGTTCTCATTGAAGCTATATCATCAAAAGCAAACGCTTTAAAGCTGCAATATCGGAAGCTGAACAACTCATGCGTGGATTCATCTGAAAGTCTGATCTATTACGCAACCCACCTAGCAGGTTCTCCGCAGAATTGCATGTGCAAATGCGACCGAGGTGGTGGCATGGACTTGTCTACTGCAAGGCAGGGTGGCACTAGGTAGCTGTTGTTCTGGTTGTATTATACTCAGACGATGTAACTATGAATGTCCTGGTTTTCGGCAAGCTCGCAATCCGCTTAGATATATATTGCCGTTATATACAAAGCATCAGCTCACAGCATAATATTACTTCTTGTGAGGTATGGATGGGGAATGTAGAATAATTCAAACAAACTAGAACAATGATAACTCGAGGAAGAGTATCTAGAAAAACACACTACACTCAAGATGAGCCCATCAATTAATCCATACGGCGCCCGAGGATCGGGCAGTTATCCTGTACAAGGGCAACCATTTATCTATGATAAATCATGCGAGGGGAGCCGTTACTATTGAATCGAATAATCAAGGAATATCGTATCTCTAACTATGGCATGACCTAAGATCTACTCTTCTCTATGAAGGCTCCCGTTAAGCACGACTCTCCCACAAATGAAACCTCGAGCCCCATTACTGAGCCAGCAATCCTCGCCGTCAACCAAATCCGCAGCTCGAATAATCTGCTCTGTGCAAAACCCCTGAGCCAACGCGTAGCGTCTTGTCGTGCCCGCATTGCCACCGCTGGAGAGAGGTGGTGTGATCCAGTCCGGCCCGGTCGCTTGATCCGTGCGGACATGGTTCCTGCGCCGGAAATACGGCGTTGTGATGCTTCCTTCCATTATTTCACCCTCTGGGTTCACGACGAGCACCTCAGCCTGCTCCTGTGGAGAGAGAATCCCCGATCGAACGCGTGCGGATGTGTAGTCTTCCCGCGCGGTGGTCTTGTGTGTGGTGAACGCTGAGGGTTTGGTAGGTTTCGTGTCTATATAGACGCGCCATGGGGCCGATGATGACGAGGAGTGCGTTTCGGAAGGAATAAGTAGGCCCGAGGGATCAATTGTCGGCGTTGGAGTGGCCTCCACCGTACCGACTCCATGTTGGTCAATCACGATCCGTAGACGCCATGGTTTCGTCTGGTCTGGGATGAACGAGTCGAGAAATTTCAGGAACTGGTCTGCGTCTCTCTCAAGGAAGTCTATCGCCGCTTGCCATTTGAAACATTGCGCTGCCCGGAGGAGTCGGTCTTGATGGTACGGTAGAAGGTAATATGGCGTGCGTAGGGAATCGGGATAGCTGAGCACATCCGGAAGCGCGGGATCGTAGCGAAGGGTAGATATGATTTGGAATGAACTGGTCATTTTCTTGCGAATGGTCAATGGTTTGGGATACTGGCCGAGAAGAGAAAGATAGGCTTGATTTATTTCCTCTATGCTCGGGCGTAAATATCACTGCGATTCCGTTAGTTCGTTTGCAAGCTCGTTTTCCAATGGCCCTGCCAAAAATCGCGAGTACGGTGTAATGAATCAGCTCTGGTAGAGAAACAGTGTCCACCACGTCCAGGGCAATTAGACAATTAGACAAGAACTCCTGTGCTCTGACCCGACTGACGATATTGTGGAGAAAACAGGGAGCTGAACATCCCTTGGTGGCGGATGTGATTGGTCTGGGAGCTCGGAAAGCCACTGCGTCGCCGGAACCTCGCAACGCATAACTTTTCAATCCTCCAACTCCTGCCGACAAGTTCTTGCCGTGCACCCTGGACCAGTTAGTCTTTCCCTTTCGTTTCCCCACCCTTTCGTCACCTCTCGACTGCATTGGCGACGCTGATGAGACCTGGAACTGACTTTCTTCTAGAGGATAAAAGGAAAAGGAATTAATAAAAGGATACCGGGTCATCATGTCGAGCGAATCGTCGTTGCCTCAACCCGCGAAGAACATCGTTGTCGACACTGCTTCGCTCCCCGCCTCTTCCTCTGCGTCGGTATGGGACCGCGTCTCGAAATGGGTGTCGGAAAATAAGGCTCTGGTTTACACCATTGCCGGTGTGGCCGTCGTCGTGACCAGCGCTGGTGTCGTTTACTACCTCTCCGACACCGGCCGCACGGCTCAAGCTCCTGCGCCCCCGAAGAAGAGCAAGAACCAGCGACGAAAGGAGAAGGAGAGGAAGAAGGCCGAGGAGGAAAAGAAGGCCAAGGCTGCCTCCGTCCAGGATGGTAGGGCTATCCAACGCGTCTCCGACCGATAAACACCCTCCGGAGTCGGGCTAACGATATCCTAGAACCCGCAGCAAAGAAGGCCGAGGAGCCTGCCGAGGAGATCCCCGATGTTGACGAGACCACTGTTGGAGAGCTGTCGGAAGAGGTAAGTTGCGGCTTTTCTTGACATTTGTCGGCTGCTTAAACCTGCCGCGGGCGCTGATTTCGGAATCACAGACACGTAAGAACTACGCCGCCAAGCTGAAGGCTGCCGGTAACAAGGCCTACGGTTCCAAAGAATACAACAAAGCGATTGATCTCTACGGAAAGGCCATTATCTGCAAGCCCGACCCTGTCTTCTACTCCAACCGCGCTGCCTGCTACAACATTCTGTCGGAATGGGAGAAGGTCATCGAGGACACGAGCGCCGCTCTCGCCATGGACAGTGAATACGTCAAGGCCCTGAACCGGAGAGCCATCGCATACGAACACCTGGAGAAGTACAGCGAAGCCCTTTTGGACTTCACCGCCAGCTGCATCATCGACGGCTTCTCCAACGAGGTCAGCCGCAACTCTCTTGAGCGCCTGTTGAAGAAGGTGGCCGAGCAGAAGGGCAAGGCCATCGTCGAGGCCAAGGGCAAGAAGCTTCCTAGCCCTACTTTCGTTTCCAACTACCTTCAGAGCTTCCGCCCTCAGCCTCTCCCCGAGGGTCTCGAGGAGTCCGTCGAGCTGAGCGAGGATTCTGGCAAGGGCCTGTTGCGCAAGGGTCTGATTGCCATGGCCAAGAAGACCGGGGACGGGTACGAAGAGGCCTCCGCTTCGTTTGAGAAGGCCCTGGAAGTCGGTGACCTGGGCGAATTCGAAGCCTTGGCCCTCAACCTCCGAGCCACCTTCACCTACCTTTCCGGCAACGCGCAGGCGGCCCTGCTTGACCTGAACAAGAGTGTTGAATTGCAGCCTTCCCTGGTGCAGAGCTACATCAAGCGCGCTAGCTTGCATTTGGAACTTGGAAACAAGGACTCTGCCGCCGACGACTTCGAGGTCGCCATCTCCCACAACAAGGACGACCCCGACATCTACTACCACCGTGCCCAGCTTCACTTCATCCTGGGTGAGTTCGCCGAGGCCGCCAAGGACTACCAGAAGTCCATCGACCTCGACCGCACCTTCATCTACTCTCACATTCAGCTCGGTGTGACGCAGTACAAGATGGGCTCCGTGGCGTCCGCCATGGCTACCTTCAGACGGTCCGTGAAGAACTTCGAGGATGTGCCCGACGTTTACAACTACTACGGCGAACTTCTCCTTGACCAGCAGAACTTCTCCGAGGCCATCGAGAAGTTCGACAAGGCCGTGGAGATGGAGAAGCAGAGCAAGCCTCTGGGTATCAACGTCCTGCCGCTTATCAACAAGGCCCTGGCCCTCTTCCAGTGGAAGGGCGACTTCCCCGAGGCCGAGAACCTGTGCAAGAAGGCTTTGATCAGTAAGTCTCGCCCATGAGCCCCTCTTCCTAAGACTAGTTAACAGATACTGACTGACCTGATCACAGTTGATCCCGAGTGTGACATCGCCGTAGGAACTATGGCCCAGCTCCTCTTGCAGCAGGGTAAGGTCTCTCAGGCGCTCAAGTACTTTGAGCGGGCGGCGGAGCTTGCTCGTACGGAGGCTGAGATCATCAATGCTATCTCATATGCCGAGGCCACCCGGACACAACTCGAAGTGCAGGAGAAATACCCCCAGCTTGCCGCTCGTCTCTCCAACATGGGCGCTGGCTTTGGCGGCGCCCCCGGCCTGTAAAAAGAAGGCAAGAGAAAAGCAATTTACGGAAGAAGCGGTCTTTCTTTGCCCAAATCTGTTGAGATGACCATGAGCCATTAGTTGGATTAATGTTTTGTTTCTCTTTGTTCTTTCTCCCTCTCTCCTCTCTCTTCTTCTTGGCCACCTGTGAGCCACAAGTGGGTAAGTGCTAGTTCTAGCCTGACTCTTATTCCTTTTCATGTTGGTCCGATATGTCGGGGCGCCGGGGACCATTCCTTGCCTATGTATTTACTATCTCTTTGGGGGTTTCCGTTCTGTTATTTTTTCATTTCCTTTTTCCTTTTCTCTTTTTCCTTTTCTCTCCCATCGTGTTAAATTCCCCGATATCATTTTAGTATCCTCCTTCTTTACAAGTGTTGGTGGCATTTAGCGAGGACGGGATGCGATGCTAGCAGCACGGGGACATATTCTTGTATAGGAAGAAAGGCTGGACGTGATCAGGACGGTAGAAATGGGGGCTTGATAGTTGATTGGGAGGCAGTAGAGGAGGGGGTGAAAACCAACAACTGCACTGTACCATAGCGAATGCCAGAGTCTTATTGCGACGCCTTCCGGGCATCTCCGCGCCGGACAATCATCGTCCCGTAAGTCGATCGTAATGGCGGGTGTCCACCTGACGGGGGCAACCCCACTTTCTCCCTATCAGTTTATCGCCCTCTTTCATCCCATCTATGAAACCCTTCCTACCACCGTCTTCGTCCTCTTTCCCCTGAAGTCAAAAGGCTGTTGTTATTCACCGTGTGTGCTGTTGTCTGGGGCTTTTCTCATTCTGCTTTTGCTTTTGGTGACTCTTGGTGGACTGCAAACGCCCTCGGTTTGCTCTGTTACTCGCCGTGACAATCTGACGTAACGCTCTTCTTCCTCCGCATTGCTGCAGCTTCCTCCTCTTCTATCGTCGATCCCCTAAACCTCTGGACCTTTCCAAATCTCCGAATCCCTATCGAGCCCCCGTTGTCGAGATCTCGAAGTCTCACGTCCCTTTCCCCTGAGCCGTCTGACTTACGGGAGGACTGGTCCATCCTGGCAGCCTTGGGCTGTACGACTTGCTTACCCAGTGGTACACGGCAACCTTGGGGTGGTCCACGTTGCTCTCTGCCTGACAAGCGACCGTCCGAAGAGGTAGGTACACTTCGCTGCCCCTCTCAGGTGTACCTTTCCCCCAAGTCCCCGTCATCATCCACGTCACTCCGTCTTCCCACCTTCCCATCGTTTAGTTTATCTCGATTTGGCGGTAGAGGACGTAGTGTCCTAGGAACTGTCTTTACAGTGCTCGTTGTTTTAACTTCATCCTACGACGCTAGCCGCCTCTGCATGCAAAGTCCGGATCGGGTCACTCATATACCTATCACGTACAGATTTCGATCCCCCTCCGTCGAAAGAAGCTCTCTCCTGGAACCACCTTGGGTATCCTTATCGTTTCGCCTTTAATTACATCGGTATGGATGGAAAACGGGGTAAGTGACGCTCCTGTTCTCTGACGCTCTGTGCTCGACGTATCTTCTCTGACTCAGTTCATTTGTGTTATAGCGGTGGTGACCCTTCACCCTCTCAGCCTGTCTGATCCCATCCCATACCGTTCTTTGACCTTTACATCCGACTCGGATCATGTCGAAATCGGTCGTGCTTCCAAGCGTGAGGCAAAGAATCTCGCTCCCACCCACAAGAATGGCCTTTTTGACTCGCGGGTCATGTCAAGAAATCATGCGAACATCCGGGCATGCTTGGACAAGAAGGTACGATGCCAACACGTGTTTGAGAGATCTATATCTCTATTAGCGGCAACGAGGGTCTGGATCCTTCCCGGCTAACTCGACATGACTACTTTTTAGGTTGTCTACATCTCCGATGGTGGATCTATGCACGGCACCCGCCTAAATGGCAAGAAACTGTCCGTCGACCAGGAAGTCCCGATTAAAACGGGCGATCAAGTGGTTTTTGGCACCGAGGTTACTCGTGGCCATGGTAAGTGAATTCCCGACTTTAGATCTTGATCAGTATGCTGATTTTTGTAGACACCTATCCTCCCTTGTCAGTTCGCTGTGAATGTCAATGGTTTGGTTTTGAGTATGTCAGCCAATCCGTTTCTTGGCTTTGATATACTAACTGGATCAAAAGGGAAAACAAACCTGCATCAACTAGCAACGCCGATAGACCTAAAGTAGCCACCAACACGTTTTGTGTACCTGATGATGATGATGACGACGACGACGACGATGATGTTCAAGTCATCGACAAACCGGCGCCAGTGGTATCCACGGTGGAGAGTAGCTCTGGGTCTGAGGAAGGTTCAGATGATGGATCGGTTGTTGAAGTCTCCTCTCCGAAAACCACCCCTCTTAAGGACATCGATGGCGAAATTCGTGATGGCTCGAAGCAGACGCCTATTGAGGTCGATAATGAGCATAACGAACAACCCCTTGCGACCCCCAGAATGACACCTTCCTCGAATGAGGGCGCCATTGCAGATGCAGATGGTGAAACCCGAGATCAGCTGGGTGAGAGCAGTAACTCCGAGCCTGATTCCATGCTGGATTACTCTGAAGGCGATTTGGCCTCTCAGTCGGACGATGAGGAGTCTGAATCAGACGAAGAGTCAATGTCTGACTCGTCCTTTGAATCCGATATTGAACTGTCAGATGCAGATGGTTACTCCGTGACCGTGCAGATCCCATCATTCCCAGAGAGTCGAAAGCTATCACAAGCCGATGACCCTAGTGGTAAGACAGAGAATGCGATATGCCATTCGAACGGTCAAGGGGAACATGCCCCGGGCCAAAAAGCGGATGGCGCCGGCGATCTGCTGCGAAACCGTCCTCATGGAGACGGCACCGCTGAGCTGCCTGAAATCCGCGGGGATGCCATGAGCTCGAACCCACAAACTGTCTTAGAACCTGTCTTAGAGCCCGAGGTGGCCCCCAAACCGAATCCTTCCGCTTGGTCGTCTAGTCATCAACTGTATGCGAATACCCATCTCCATCTGCAGCCATATGGCAAAATCTTTGATCACTCACTCACCGGATTCCATTCCAACAGCTTTGGCGGAGGATTCCCCGGATGGCCATCGCGTGGCAGCCTCCCTGTCAACTATCAATATGCCCAGCCAAGGAATGAGCTGAGACTCAATGATTTGCCCCTCAATGAGATCTACAGGCCCGGTTCCTATTACAGTGATGGGCCTTTTGCCCGCCAGCTGAACGTACCAACGGTAGCTGCCGGTGAACTAGGCCCTAGACCTGAGCTAGATACAAATGCCGCGGCAACAGATACCACTGGAAACGGAGGAATCTCAGAAGACTACAGCGGCGAACGAAACACTCACCCCAGACCAGACAGCCGCCTGAGAATATCCGACATCGTTTCGTTACCTCAAATCCCCCCACAAAAGCCTCCCCGAAAGCGAAAGGTAGCGGACATGGAGGAAAACAGTCCAATGGATTTCCCACCACCACTGCTTCACGACACACCCACTTTCGATTACAACGCTTCGCAGGAGGACCAGAATGCCGGGATTGGACTTGAAGAATCCTCTCTTCCCGATGCCCAGCCACAGCTTGACCCAAGCGGCATGGGAGAGACTTACACGCAACTCACTACCATAGATGCGACCAAGTCGGCACCTTCGATCGATGACCTGGTCTCTCCTGAGCCACAGAATGAGCGACCATCCAAGCGGCCGAAGACATCCGAGGCGTCGAAGATTAGAAGCCATGCGGCTACCGCAGTGGTTAGTGCGATGATAGGGGCTGTTGGTACCGTCGCTTTGTTGGCTTCCCTCCCCTCTGATTACTTCATTTAGGCGGGTCACAAGAATGTGCCCCTTGCTCTCAATCTCTCTGTAAAGGTGGAATTGACAATGTCTCCTATGGCCTTTACCCTTACGATCTATTAAACGAACCATGGCTTATGCACCGGAATGATTTCTTTTGTTGAACTTTTTTTTACTGGCTAGGTTTATCTCACATTCTCCCCTTTCATTTTGTTTCCTTCCCGTCTTTAATTTTAGGATCGCTTGACCGAGACTGGGCGTGGCGATGAAGACAACAGGACACGCGTTTCTTTAATGTACTGGAATTGTGTTTAGGCAGGTAATAGTACCATTTTAAGGGAATTATCATTGCAGTCCATGCGGACTCCCCAATTAACTTTGATCTTGATTGCTAGCCAAATGAAGAAGGGAGTCAGCTGACCCGTGAAGTGTCTTGTGCTCTCCAACTTCGGCGGTGATTCTTCTCTTTTTCCCTCTTCTCTTCCCCCCCTTGTGCAACCTCAGTATGCCGGACTATGAGAGAGTAAGCGTCGTGACTCCACCACTACGAATCAGAATACTTTCATGACTGCACGTTAAAGTGTCGACATCATTCATGTCTCATTCTATGATGGATTCGGATTCGGACAGCTTGAGGCCACTGCCACCTAATCGCCACATTTGCCCAAACCCAGATCCCAGTTCAGCGCGTGATTTCGCTCGGTTACTTGCAGGTCGCTTAGCCTCGAATAAGCGGGAATTTCTGTCTGCTCAGCCTGTTCATGGTTAATTGTGCGATGGCCAGTAGTCAGCAAGCCATCTTCTTGATGCCAGCTGAAGCGCTGATGCGGCGTCTGAATCGCTCATTTTGGCTTCGAAGCAGCAGCAAGTCATCTAGGAATCACCACATGGGCGGCTGTAACCTTTCGGCTTTTTTTTTTTCCAACCCCCCTTCCCTGCTTCGTTGCTCTTTCCTCTAAATCCGTTCAGGAGAAAAAGGAAATTCTCCCCAACGTCGCCTTCGGACGTGCTTTCTTCCTTAATGCATTCTTGGATTTATGAACTACGACCATAATAATCTAGCCCGCTCGCCTCCCCCCTTGGGCCAAAATGGTGCCTGCCAATGACCTCCCAATCGGCCGTGTCTGTCACCGAGAGCATCGTACAAGTATTCCGAACTGACACTTTGGATGGTCCTGTTTGGTATTAAACCCAGGGATTCATATAACATGTGACCAATCTGCAGAGTCAACTCACTCCAGCAGAGCGCGTCAAATATCTGATTGGTCGGGCTTCGAGAAAACCCATTCGATGAAAAAATAGCAAGTTGACACGAGATCTCTGGTCTATTTGCGGAGCAATCACCGTGCTGCGCATGCGATGGCAATAATTTCATGGCACCCTTAGCTAAACGGATACCTGCATGACAGGCAGTCAACACCATTCATCATACAGTGCGAGACATGCATGGTGCTGTGTCGGAAGCTACCACGAGACCAACATGTGTGATAATTGTCCCCTTGCTGACCCGGAGACTGACCATTCATTGCTTGCTCCGACTATCCGGTATTGGGGTCGCATGTCGGATGAAACATTCTTTGGCATTTTAGGTGCAATAATACCGAAAAATCGAACTTTATCTCAATTGATCTTAATTGCCCAGCCTAACTGTAAATCCAGTCGCACTATCTGCAGCGCTGCAGTAGCGTGAATCCTTCCGCCATGGCATGGTCGGAAATCGCGGCGCAAATGCGGTTGGATGACAGGAGCGAGTGTTGAAAAAGAAATCACCGCTGGGACTTAAGGCAAGTGAATCCGAAAACTGACAGCCTTTCGGCCGTTGAGAGACCGAGAGGGCCTTGTGTAGACCCACCGTCAGGGGTGAATACCGCGTCGCTAACTTGGTGGCTCCGTTCGTTGGCCAGAAGGCAGCCTCGTGCAGGATGGAAATCCTCCAACTTGCTCTTAACGCGGCAAGCTGGATTGTGCCCAGCGCGAATGCATGTGCTTCCAGTACCTAAGCAATGCTACTTTATGCGTTCTTCCTCAGTGTCACCCTGCCGTCGCGAATGGAAATGCAACCTGTGCGATCTATACTCAAGACCGAGGAATGATATCATGCTCGCATTATTTTCCTGCACCTATCCGCGGCCGACTGTCAATCGAAGGCTCAAAGACGGTCATTCCGAGTTATGATGGCGGTCTGGAGACCTGCGATTCTTTGCTGATCGTCCCGATTGTTCGTAGCTCGAGTAACACGACTCTTGGTGGCTGCCATGCGTTGCCGCTATATTTTCCGTTTCATGGACACGTTGACTCGCAATAGTCCCCTCTGTTTTTGGGGTGCCGCACTGAATGTTTCATTACTAATTCCAGCTGTACCTTCTGCTAACTAGACTCAAATCTAATACAACTCGACGCGCCATAGGCGACCCTCGCAGCTGGGCTTGGTCCTGTTTACAACACTCGGAACAACGAGCACAGGTTAAAGCCAGCTCAATGAATTGCAGATGCCTTCAGGTTCCCACTATTACGGGATCTCTATTGTTTTATGACTGACAGGCATTGCATCTTATTGATCCCCAGAGTGTCTCCTGCAAACCGCATAAACCTCATCATTGGCGTAGCTCGATGTGACCAACAATCAACGGTTCTGATCATCCCGATCAATGACATGCCGGGCTTCTTGAACGCCTATCTGCGTGATAGCTGGAGCCCATCGGCACTACCGATGCGAAGTTCGAGTCGGTGATCCTTGATTCGAGTCCTGGTTGCACAATCTCTGACAACATCGTCTTACGGCTCTCTACGGGGAGAATTTCGTTCGTCTGAGCAGGGGCAGGCCTGGTATAGGTGCAGTTCTCTATTTCCATTTCCCGTTATTTTCTTTGATCTTATTGCGCGGTTTTCATCTCTATTTCCCAATCCATTGCTTTTTTCCCTGCGTCTGTCGCGCCTTGTCTCTCGAATATTTGCTTTTTATTTTGTTCTTCTGTTCTTCGATGCATTTTTTTTTACAAAAAGAAAAAAAAAAAAAAGAAAAAAAAATTAGTTTCTGTCATTTGTTTCTTTTGCTTTGCCGCGTCTCACGCATGATTGATAAGAACGGGAGCCCCTCGCTCTATAAGAACAGCTAATATAACTCCTATCAAGAAGAACCTATCTTTGACAAAGCCTATGTCAAACTGAATCGGTTGTCTTATCCATATATATTCTGATTATCTTACACATTTATCTTTGACACCGTCAAACCCCAATCTTATTCGTTCCACCATGGCCCATCAGGCAGTCTCCACCCTTCGCCTTGACCCCGAACATACCTCCTGCATTGGCGGAAGAACGGTTCTGACGTGCCGCCATTGTGCAGGCAATGCACCGAGGTATGCTTCCCTACTCTAACACGACAGCTTTGGACACTAAACTAACATGATGAATGTAGGGGGTCCATTTGTACTAGTTGCAGTGGCCGTGGCTTCAACATTTTTATCTGCGCGCATTGCAACCCAGCCGCTGCCTCGGCCCAGACCCCTGATTCATCGACCCCGAACTCTCCTGTATCGCTGAGCAGAAGTTCCTCGACCTCATTGACCGCCAGACAAGATATGAGAAATCAGCCATGGAGACGGTTCGGGGATGGTAACGACGGTCCCGGCGGCGGACGAATCGGGACCAATGCCAAATCTCGCGATTCGTAGAGAATCCTAGGGGGAAATGGGGACGGTTCATTCAATCTGTGAGGCGAAAAAAAGCGTGGGCACTGCTTCTCCTATGAGGGAGAAGGGCATTGATTGTTATATATTGTACTTTGACGTTTTGGTTTGGTCGGTTTGGCGCAGAGGAGTGGATACGCTATCCATTTATAAGGGCTACATTGCAGCGTACCCTTTTTGTATCTTTTTTTGCTGATTGCAGTCTGTTTGGAGGTCTTTACTGCTGTATGTTGCCTTTCTGTTGATTTATTCTCTTTATTTTCTTGTGGCGGTCTCATCTTGAACGCAATTCACACAGCTACTTCCAATGTCTGCTACCTCTGATGACCATGAGGGGCAACAAAAACATATTCTTTTTGTGTTTAGTATTTTACCACCAAGAAGCGCTAGCCAGTACTAGCCCCAGTGCTGATGTCACTCGACTCCATTCCCCCGTGAACAATCCGGGGTAAAGTAAACCTGACGACCGGATAACCCGAGCCCCTCGTCTGGCGGTACTTCCGAGGTCGGCAATGAGGAACCACAAAGGCTCCACTTCCTCTGCCGAGTGACGAATGCGACTCTGGCGATCTACATCCACGCGTTGTGCCTCGATTTTGCTCGCGGGGTTCCATAAAATCAAGACTATATTACTGGGACAACCTGCTATCCGAGTCCTGTCATTATGAACCTCTCAATGATGACACAACTACGACCACAACCCAAGCCCTCCGCTATGACTTTACCTTGGAGCGAGCAGCCCCCCGACAAGAGGATCCAGTATGCGATCCCTCAATTGGAGGGCGAGCGCATCACTATCCCCGGAAGTAAGGGCGTCTTTCGGATCTTGGCGTCTGCGAAACAGACGAATGGGTTGATGGCTGTTTTTCAGAGTGGTGCTGTTCTCTCTGACGCGCCGGGCTTTCATTATCATAACCATGCGCACGATGTGTTTCTGGTCACGAAAGGGTTCCTGAAGTTGTGGAATGGGGATAAGTGTCGGATTATGGGTCCGGGGGATTTTGCTTACGTGCCGCCGGTGAGTAGTTCCTCGTCGTTTTAGGAGTCCAAGCAAGGGCTAGGGTATAGCAGGGTGAAGCTAACGAGGGCGTGGTGATTTAGAAAGTGATTCATAACCCCGAAATGATAGGACCGCATACAGAGCTCTACGGCCTAATCACCCCCGGCGATTGGGTGGATTTCTTCCGCCACGTCTCAGAGCCTTACGAGGGGATCCTTGTTCCGGAGAGCGACAACCGCGACCTGAAAGCCCTGCTCATCCCCAAGGTGATGGCAGCCAAGGAGAAATTCGACGTCGTCTTCCAACCGGACTACCAGCCGCCGGAGGTGAGCGAGTGGACCGCCGACGATGAGAAACTGCCTAGTTCCTCGCAGCAGCCGTTCTTTCTACGCGCCAACACCGGCCCCCGGTGGATGCTCGGCGGCGTGATGTCTCGACCCTTCATCACGACGGCGCAGAGCGACGGGGTCTGCGCGATCTCGAGCATCGAATCGTCCAATCGCTACCCGACCCATAACGCGCTGTTCTCGGACTATATGACTTTCGCGAGCGTGGACCATTGTCTGTGTGTGGTGGAGGGGACGTTGGTCGTGTCGTTGAAGGAGTCGGTGGAGACTAAGGTGCTGCGCGAGGGCGAGACGATTGTGATTCCCGCCGGGAAAGGGTTCTCGTTACATTTCGATAGTCGGTATGTGCGTGTCTGGTCGTTTGCGGATGGCAATGGTATCGAATCGCTGGTTCATCGGTTGGGCACGCCGTTCGAGGGCGTCGTCTTGCCGGAGAAGCAGCAGGAATGGGATTTGACGCGCGTGAGAGCGGTCACGGCGGAGTTGGGGGTGGATATGGACCTGGATTCGTGATTAGTAGACTTGATCCGAGATAATTGCATGAATTTATGGAAATGACGCATCAATGAGAATCCAAAGAGGCACTAAGTAAATTAAATTAACTAAAGCAATCCACTGAACAAGGCAAGGAGGAAAACCCCGTGGGGCGATCGATCCGCGGGGGTCCAGCCACGTGACGAGCAACGGCAGGGAACGACGGCAGTTCGGCAATTCCGGCGCATTTCCTCCTGCCCTGCTCTTTCTGCCCTTACATCGATCTATCTCTACGCTTCAATCCACGGACATCTGATCTAATTTTCTGCTTCAAATCTCCCTGATGAGTCTTGCAGCTGTCGATGGATAATGCACCGCCAGACTCGTACCGCAGCGGATGACCCGGTTACACCCCGGGCCAAGCGGCCGCGGGCTGCGCAAGCTTGCGACCGGTGTAGATTAAAGAAATACAAATGCGACGAGCTCTACCCGTGCTCGCACTGTAAGAGTGAGTGGGTCGGATTGAGCTGAGTCTTGGATTCGCGGGTCTGATGTTCCTGGCAGAGAGCCAAATCAATTGTGTTTACCAGGGCACCTATCGCGAGAGAGAAAGCAATCGGTCGGCGAGGTAAGTTTGAAACAACCCGAGCGCTTAATCTCGTTCCTGACACAGGGTACATCCTAGCTACGTTCAGGACCTGGAGAAGAAGGTCAACGAGCTCACTGCGAAACTCCATCTGGTCGAGTCGGAGATTGCGTCGCAGCTATCTTCCCAGTCGCACAAAGCCGTGTCGGAGTCTGCCGACCGACCGATCCCTCAGGCCAGTATAGATGCGACGCCATGTTCCATGCCCCCGAATCCATCAACGCCGCGAGAAGAAGAGCCGCTGGCCTACGAAAATCCAGACGAAGCCGGAGATGCCCTTGACGACGGCATCAGTGAGTTGAATCATCACACTAAAGGCATTGAGTATCACGGCAGTACCTCGTCCGCAGCGCTCATAGGCCATTTACAAAAGGCCCGTGGTCCCAGATTACCCGAAGAACGCTGGAACATTCGTCCGAATGGGCAGGAGTTCTCGTTGATTTCGACCCTTCACAACTCGAGCTTCTCGCCATCGTGCACGGCTGGTCCGGCACAGCAGGTGACGCTACACCAGCAGGATTATTACTTCGAGCAGGCTCATGCTTTCATGAATGGATATTTTGAGAACATCCATTTTATTCATCCGCTGATAGATAAAGAGGATTTCTACCTACGGGCTCACGAGCTATGGCTGAATCGAGATCAGCAGCCAGAACCGAGCTTTGTCGCTCTGTATCTGAGTGTTCTTTCGTTTGGGGCTCTTGTGCGTGTATGGGACGAGGAGAGACTCGGCGGCTTGACGCGGTTCGAATGGAGCCGGAAGCTCTTTGGCGAGGCGCAGATGTACCTGAACTATCTGCATTTTTCAAACAACCTAGACACGGTCCAGTGTTTATATCTTATGGTAAGATAGTTCAGTTGACTGGCTAGCCTGGAAATGGCATGGCTGATTGGAATAGGCAAAAATCTGCCAAAACGAGCTGAATCCGAACTGTGAGTGTTCTTTGACCGTAGATCCCTGCCCGAGCTTATGTTTGTTGCAGTGGCCTACATGTACCTGGGTCTGGCCATCCGTACCTGCCTGGCAGCCGGATTCAATCGAGAAGTTCGAAACTCGACAGACCATCGGTCTGGCTGGATTTCAAAAACCTGGTGGTGAGTGATGTCGGGTCCTAATAGGCTGTTGAACAATTGACTAACCTAACTCAGGGGGCTTTTTTCGTTAGAGATGTATGCACGACTTACCCGCAGCTTTCCTTGGACGTCATATTAATGCATGGATAGTGAAATGAGCTTTTCTGTCGGCCGCCCCGACACACTAGGCATGGATGAATATCACAACCGGCCACTCCCGGAAAGGGACGACTCCGAATATGCGATCATTCCATGGATGGTGGAGTTTGCACAGATCATCCGAAAGGTCTCCGTGCAGATCTATCACTCCCGCATCACCCTGCAGGAGAAGCTGCAGATAGCGCTCCAAGTCGAGTCCGAATTGGACCGATGGATGGCAAAGCTGCCAGACAGCATCAAGCCAGATATCATGCGACAGCCAGCAACCGGGAGTACCCTGCGGGATCCAAAATGGGCACGAAGACAGCGATTGGTCTTGGGAATCCGTGAGTCACCCTGTTGGAGAAGTGCGTAGGGTTCGTTCTGATGGCGACAAGGTTACTACAATGTGAAGATGCTACTGTTCCGCCCATTCTTGAGCCACTTCACCCGGAAACTCCGACACACACCGACCGAGCTAGAAGAAACGATCGCCAAGTGTCTTGATGCAGCCATGCGGACCATCGAAGTCATCTACGACATTTACCGTATCCACACATTCTTCCGTTGTTGGTATGTCCTCCCTCCTCCCACCTCTTTCCTTCCTCTTCCTCTCAACACCATGACCCTGTTAACAACGACAGGTGGTACAATGTGACATACGTGATGTTCGCCACCTCAACGCTCCTCCTTCCCATGTCCAAGCTTGGCATGTGCGCCGAAACCATCCCGTTACTGCGCTCCGTCGAAATGGCGGTGGAGATCCTCGAGGCGATGGACGAGTCCGTCGTTGCACGGAAATCCGTTGATATCATCAAGCATTACCTGCGGGAGTTCCGAGCTTCCGACGTCCAGTCAGCGTCGGCCATGAGCGGCCCCAGCATGGAGGGTCATACGGCGACGTTTGCCTCCGAGACGGTTCCTAGCCAGGGAGGGTTTGATATCCCGGTATGTTCTACTCTTTGTATCACCCTTCTGACTGAAGTGCTGGTGCTAATATGCTTTCTGGATAGGAATGGGCTTACGGATTTGGGTTCCCGGATTGTTCGTTTGAAGGCATCGCTCGGCTGTTCGATGATCTGGGCGGGCTGCCTATGTTGGACAACTAATTCAACTAACGAGGATGTTCTTTCCCCAGCGCCCTGTAAAACACTATACTCTTCACGACATTATCGAAATGATGAACTATGATTCTCTATCTACCAATATCTAGCTAGACCTGTAATACGTATAAGCTGAAAGCAGAAAAAGCGCCACAAACACCGCTCCGTTTCGTCTAGGGATTATCACCCGATATTAGCCAATTTGGCGCGGAAAGTATAGAAAAGCCAAGATGTATATGTCTTACAAGTTCGATGTCTTCTTCGTCTTTGCAAATAATTCCGGATTCCGCGCCACCGCGTTCTCTACTTCTTGGATAGCATCGTAGCCGTACAACCATGGCTGCACTTCGGGACAGGTCCTGCATTGCGTCAGTTTGTCATTTTCTTCAGAGCGCTCTTTCTCACTGAGAGTGTCGCGCTAACTGAACAAGAGTAAGGGAGATAAAGGACATACCATCGACTCGGAAATGCCCCTTGGATCTTCTTCCCCAACTGAGACAGAAAGATCTGATCCCGCTTCTTCTGCGCGTCGCCGTTTGGCATGTGGAAGTCGTTTCTCTGACGCATCGCATCGTAGCCATTAGCTTTGTTTTCTTTTTCATAGGACAAAAAGGGGGAGAAACGAACCTGTTTAAACGTCTCCTTAACAATCGCCTCGCCCCTCGACTTCCGTAGACTTTCGTATAAACGCAAGACCTGCGGCAGATGAGATTTGCTCTTCAGGTGGCCCAGAAGGCCGCCTAGGACGGCGCCGTCTTCGAGAGATGAGTTGGCGCCTTGGGCGAGGTAGGGGAGCATGGGGTGGCAGGCGTCGCCGCTATTTTTGTGTCTTGAGTTAGATGGTTGGGGAGGTGGGTTTGAGGAGACGGTGTATACGTACATGAAGACGAGGTTGGATTTGTCGTTGACCCAGGATTCCATTTCTCCGTCTGTTGTTGGTTTGTTTGTTAGAGCTGGGGTTCCTGAGAGTCGTCGATGGATGGAGAGGGTATATCTCACGATGCATCAGTTTCCACTTGTCGACGTTGTCAACGTAGTTGAGGAATCGAGTCAACCTGTTTAATTTCATTAGCACCTCATTCCACGAGAGGGATATGAAAACATACACAGGATCCCACCCCGCAAACAACGCCTTCATCTCATCCACCGAGCCCGCCTGCCTCGACACCCCCGGCGGCAAATTATCCGGCACCAACAGCACAATATTAAACATCTTCCCCCCTCTCAACGAGTAAGCCACCACATGCGCCCCAGGCCCGACCCAGAAATGACACTGCGGATTCTCCACCCACGCCCGCAGATCCGCATCCTCGGGACGAATCTGCTCCGCGTTCAACACGATCCGATACGCCAGATCGCCCGTCGGAAGCGGGTCGTCTTTTCGGCCTTCAAAACACTCTCGACATTTCGACCACAGCCCGTCCGCTGCGACGATCAGATCTCCGGTGAATTGCCTACCTTGGGAGAGCGTGTGGACGGTGGACGTGGCGAAGTCGATGCGCTCGACCCGTGTGTCGAGATGGAATGTGACGCCAAGGTCTTTGGCGCGGGCGAATAGCGCCTGCTGTAGGTCGACGCGGTGGAGGTCGATGAATGGTGCGTTGTTGTATTTGGCGCGGATGTTTCGGTCGAAGTTGTTTTCTTGTGCCAGGATTTGTCCTGTGTAGCGGTGCACCGTGAGGGATGTTGGCTCCGCGGCGTCGGTCCAGATACTGCTGGGGAGTTGCCAGTGGTGGAAGAGGCGCGAGGCATTGGGGGTGATTTGGAGGCCTGCGCCGACCTGTTTGGACGGAGTATTAGCTGAGAGGATGTTGGAATTGGCGGATAAGACAAACCTCAGCTAGCTCTTTGGCTTGCTCGATGACCTGCACCGAGTGTCCGTGGGAAGCGCAGGAGATGGCCGTCGCGAGACCGCTGAGACCTGCGCCGACGACGATTATGCGGAGATGCGCTTCGTCAGGAACCTGTTCATCCTAAGCCATTGATCCAGGAGGATTGTTATCCGGAAGAGAGTCTTACCATGATGACTTATTACCTGATGTTCAATTCGGTAATACCTTCCACAAAGCACAGTACTTCGAGCTACATCCGACAATGTACAAAGTAAATGACAGATTGATGCAATAGCTTTAAATCGCCCTCCGAGAACGCCGCGACTTGCGCAATGCTGACACGCTGCTGCTTACTGCTCGCTCGGTGTTTCGCCCCGAGGTTCTCGGGATTGCCGAATGCCCCGGATTTTCCACGATGGAGACCCGAGTCGATCCTCCATGGGCGTTTCGGTTAGCGTATTACAGGTCTCTAATTGGACGCTGGGGCTCGAGCTTATCAGGGTCCGATTGCCGCGTGGGATGGGGTGGATAAGCATTGAAACGAGAGGGGACTGGGGTGTCGGGGAAGTGGGAAGGCTTGGTTGTTGGTACGGAGGGTTGAGTGGAGATGTGGGAGGACTGGAACTGGGGATTATGGAGATTTACTTGCCATGTATGTGGTCTTTATAATTTCATGCTACTTGTGATTTGACATGCATTCTTGTCTATCTTGCCTTATCTGTGCATAAATTAGCTATTTATTCTGAGGCAGAAGTTATTAAGCGCGAAATGCATCCATGATCCTACATTTTGAGCAATTAGTAATCCTATTTTAGGCCAGGAGATTCAAAGGCCTCCATTGATGAGTACCATTTCCTTTTCCAGATGAGCGTATACATTGGTCTGTTGCACAATCCATAGGCAAGTGATACCATGTAGTTGCGTAATTATGTACAACCAAGACAAGATCAGACCATACTATGCTCGCACGGAAGCATTTCCCTCGAGAAGACCGAGATTGATTATAAGTATCTCGCGATCAATTATCCTAGTCATCCATGCGCATTCTTGAATTCCCTCCGTAACCCGCAGACTCTCACATTCTGTAGCTGAAGTACACTCCGAGAAATCGGTTCATTTAGTTCTCTATCCTCTAATTGCATTAAACATATCCTTTCCTTCCCAGTACGACAACGGTAAAAGCAGAAAAAAAGAAAAATAAAGTAGGAAATGACCGAAGGGTACACAAACCCATCTCTCAACGCATCGCCTTCAGTACACCATCATTTATTCCTCCGGAGCCAATGCCCTCGATTTCTGGCGCATAGCGCGCCTGTACTACTGTTTTGGATCTTGGTTAATGTTACCGATAGGTTGGAACTGGGATTAAACCTGCTGTGTTCTGAAGTTAGCTGAAGGATCCTGACTCGAGGTACTTCTGTTCTTCAGGTTACTACCGGCGCGGTGTTACGTAGATCGAACTTTTTCGTTTTTTTTTTTTTTTTTTTTTTTTTTTCTTTTTTTAAGAGAAAAATAAAGATACCAGGTAATGTTTCATAAGTCCTTTCGAGGCAATTGAATACTGACCGAACTGAAATTTCATAATTCCCGTGCCTGGCATTCAATATGTAACATTAATTTTTAGTATATTGTATGTGGGTGTTGATGTAACTGATGTAGGATGAGTGACATCTTTAAAGAAACATGAAGAGACGAAAAAGAGATATAGAAGGTCTGAGTAAAATACCATGCAGCCCTTTGTCAGACTATATCAATTTCATTTCTAGATATCTTTTCATCTAGGACCCATTTCTCCCAGACAACTTCAGAACTAAATGACTCAGTGAGTGTCGGTCTGGGCATAAAATCTAACCCCCCAAGCCCTAACATACGGAAACAGAAACATACAAAAGACACAAAAAACCAATCACATTCTTTTCATCTTCAGCTGTCCTTACCTGCTACATATATCGTCGAACACCCAAAGTAAATTTCCAAGGAAGAGGGTTGGTCGGCTTGCTGAGTGCTCGGATTCGTCATCTTCTCTATGGAACACTGACAGTTTTAGGCATTTTTTTATATGTTTTGCTGTTTTGATTTCTTTGTACGGTATACACAGAATGTTCCAAATCAACAATATGCTATTGGATAATGGTATCTCAGATGTGTGACTGCCCATCTCTGTGCCAACCCAACAATTAGACCCAACCCCGAAACTCCAAGAATCCATGCAATTGGAATCATGTCACAGTAATAACTATCAGCTGTAACTAGTAGAGCAATCTGTGTCCGTGCGGATAGCCAATTTATTAAACTGGGGGGCCGCATGTGGTCCCGAACCGTTCGGCTTGTCCGAGGGCCACATACCGTGATACGAATCAAACAGCTTCATTCCCTCGATCCTGTGGCGTCTTTCCCCACTCAGATGATCATTTCCTGGGGAAGATGCTTCGTAATCTGGGGTAGGGTGCTGTTGGTCCCGAAGCAGAGGGAAATGCGTTATATCGCTTATTGTCCTCGTCACCTCTGAAGTGTTGGGCTTAGTGAAGACACGACCGAGACTCAGCCAGTATGACGAATACGCTGGATCCTCGCGTACGTGAACCTTCACCGGAAAGAAATATAGAAGGGATACTGACTGACTGCAATAGCTCTTCCCGCGCCGGGTGCGGTATGCTGCACTCCTGACTGTTAATGTTTTCGTCTTCATGGGCAATATGTACTCGGTAAGTCTTGAGCTGGAGTGTTCGGAGGATATCCTCTAATGTATCTAGTCTGGTATTGCGACTGGGTTCGGATCCCTCGCTGCAGACCTTCAAGTTCCTTACCAGAAGCTGGCCGACCTCATCAGTTGGTCTGTTATGGCTATGGGATTGTCCAACTTGTTCTGGATGCCGCTGGCTTTATGTATTGGTAAACGCCCGGTTGTTTTGGTTTCGATGGCCATGTTTCTAGGAGGGATCATTTGGACTGCTGTGGCGAAGGACTACGATAGTTTGATGGGGGCAAGAGTATTTGCGAGTTTTGGTGAGCTACACTTTGGCCAGATAGTTGTTCTTTGTCACGATCTCCGGGATAAGATGGCTGATAGCTTGGTCTTACAGGGTTGGGATCTATCGAGTCGATCGGACCGAGTATTCTCGCCGGTATGTGTCTCTCGTCCGGATATTAATAACTTCACCTAACGTTCCCCATCGAAGACCTGTTTTACGAAAAGGATTATGCCAGTGCAATGGCCACCTACGCCCTGTTCCTCTCCGGTGGATCACAAATTGGACCCGTGATAGCAGGATATCTTGTGGCTGCTCGAGGATGGCGCTGGTTCTTCATCCTCTGTTTGATTCTTGCCGCCGTCAATCTTGCCACGACATTCTTCCTGTTACCTGAGACCACGTACGAGCGCGATGAGGAGGAGCAGCCGACTGATCCCAAGAAAGATGAGCATACCCATATCGAGACCGCCGGCATCCCCGCCGAACGTCCCTCCTTTGACTACGCCGCCTACTGGAAAAGACTTTTCATTGTTCGTCTATCCAAAGAAGCGCGTCAGAAGGGACCCCTGAAACACTTCTTGTATCAGTTCTGTCTGCCGGCACCAATGTTACTGGTTCCTGGGGTGTTGCTGGCATCGGCCATGTATGGGGTTATCCTCGGAGCGTAAGTGTCTTGCTTGCTTGAACATTAGGATTCGACATCATATAACAAAGAACGCAGGGTCGTATCCATATCAACACTTTGTCCGTCGCTGCTTTCCCCGCCCCCATATCTCTTTTCTTCTTCTGCCCTGGGTCTCTTCACCCTCAGCAGCTTCATCGGTATTTTGATCGTCTTCCCCATCGCCGGCCCGTTAACCGACCATCTCTCGCAATGGATGCGCAATCGCAACAACGGCATTCATAAACCCGAGCACCGTATCCCCGCCCTGATAGTTCCCTTCATCATCAGTCCCATCGGTCTCATTGTTTTCGGATACACCATTTCCAGGCATATGCACTACGCTGCCCCAGCGGTCGGCCAGGCGATGGCAGCCGCGGGCCTGACACTTGTGCCTTCCGTGATGCTCTCCTATGTGGTGGATTCATATCCATACACAAGTGGCGAGGCATTGGTTTTAGTTAACGCCAGTAAGAACGTCGTGGCGTTTGGATTATCCAAGGGATCGGTATCCTGGATGACGCGTGAGGGAATCGATAACATGTTTTATGAGTTCGCGGGCATCCAGTGGATCGTGATTGCTTTGGGTTTGCCGCTTTACTTTGCAGGTCCTTGGCTGCGGAAGAGGACAGGAAAGCTGTTCTAGTTCATTTATTTGTCTGGCTTTGGGTGTATGGTGGACCATGTTTATGTGAAACGGTGGTGTGGACTTGCGAGGTACATAGTTGCGGAGTTGATTGACATCTCCATCGAACCTGTTGCTAGATCCAATAGATGACGTACGACGTACCACTTGATACGAACAAGGCGACCTGTTTCACCGTGATGTGATAGATCTCCCGCCAATCTAGAGGCAATTCAGTACCCAAAATAGATTGACTAGACGTCATTTAAATTGTTTGCTGGAACTGTGGACTCTCGGTAGGCTTGGAGTGAAATGCCAATGTCTGCTCCGCAATAACGCCTGAATGCTTCTTTATGCGAAGATCTAAGTAATCCTCCGAGAAAGGAGCCAAGTAACAATGTTGAGCAAGAGCCAAGAGGGGACCAAGAGTAGGATCGTGGACCTAGGTAGGACAATGGAGACAGTAGAATTTCTTGGCCGAGAAAGCGCCGACCTTTCAGGCATCAGTATTCTGGACGAAACTAGCAGAAAGCCAAGAAGCTCATGACTGGAGGACCGAGTGGTGATAGGAGGAAGATGAAACTAAAGCAGGAAGGTGTCTGGCGGTCCACCTGGTGGAGAGTGGGAAAAGTGGAGATCGCAAGCTCGCTTTACGAGTACGAAGCCAGCCCTAAGGGCCTGGAGACCATCTGAGACCGTCTGCAGACCCCATTGCTTTTAATCTATGTAAATCTCTCTTATTCATATCTTGGAGCAATTTTCAGACAATCCGTTTCAGTATAAAGAAGACTATAATTGTATAGTACTATTAAACATGCCATCGGACGGCGTGTACGTGCCTACCCTTCCCTATAACGGTCCCTTAATCTATAATGCTAATCGGTATGCACATAGTGGCTGTTGCGAAATTATTCTCGCGTTCTTCATACCCCCTGTGGCTGTATTTTTGCACCGTGGATGTGGTGCTGATATCTTGATCAATCTATGCTTGCTATGTCTAGCATGGCTGCCGGGTGTTATTCACGCTATGTAGGGGGTTTCCTTCTGTTATATAGACACTGCGGATTTTCTAACTTTAGTTTAGCTATGTGCTACTTCATTAAACTTGGCACCTTCGATATCTTTTCGCTGCTCAACCGAGTCATTGGAGTTCTCTTTCTCCAGACCCGATGTTGAAGCAATGTCTTCGTTTACAAACCATGGCGGTTTGCATGAGAACACCGCAATTGTTTCGATATTGAATTTGTGACTGTTATTGCTGTACTTTTATTATAATCGCTCAATCTAGTTCTAACATGGCTATTGTGATCGCACGGTACAGATTTTAACCCAGGCCTATAAGTAGTATGTGGCCGCCCACCCTCCTGGATACTCGTCCGGCATATATCGCTTGGTTGAAAAGCTAGATTCAATGCTTATTAGTTTTAAGCGCGTTTTTATCTTAGGTCCAGTATCACAGCACTCACGACCACTTCAAATTTCCTAAAATCATGTTCTTGCACCCTTGTATGAGTATTTCCACGGCGTCTTGATCTGATTGATTCATGATCTGATACTCTTTCCTTTGCAGAAACAGATGTTCCGCTACGTTGAATCGCTGTCTGGATTTTGACATATCTTTGATTATTTCGGTCAGTGCATCCTGTGCACTTTTGTAACCTTGGTGATGCATCTTCAATGGAATTGCGCTCTCAACTTGCTCTTCGGTCTGAAGAAAGTTCAGCTTAGATTTATCGTTCGGTAATTAGAGTATAAAAGAACACTCACGATTTCTTTTTTCAAGGAACACATATCATTAACCCTGTGGTATATGTGCATCGGTTAGCTTTGAATACTCTATAACCAGGTTTAGTTTCTTGAACACACATTATAATCGCGATTGTTGTCTCTTTGAACATCACTTTGAATTCTTCAGTCTCGTAGACCCACGATGGAATCACAACCCCGTAAGCATATCTGGCGAATCGAGCATTAACCATAGACCTAGGATCTTCGAGTAAATACTTACTTCATGGCCATGAGATAAGGATAGGCCCCAACAGTTTGTTACCTGTTGTCAAGATACTCCTCCCATGTAGGAAAGCCTGTGATGCGCACTTTCTGGGCATGGCAAACGGAATCAACATATTCGTACAATGAAACTGCAAACCGACTTAGTGCCTCTGTTACTTTACTGTTAGCTACTCTTCCAATGCGGAATATCGTGCCATTAACCTTTGGACTGGCCCTTTTTCATCGCATCCCCGATCTCCTTGAAACACTGTGAGCTGTGAGCTCCCTGTGCGGCGCAGCCTTGGGGCCACTTGGAGTCATTCTGTTCAAGGCAACTCTTCAAAAAAGCGATTGTAGCATCTTGACATTGCTTTGTGCCTCTCTCGTCTTTGGTAAGATTGCCACAATCGATTTCTGTAACCGGGCCCACGTCAGTTGTAATTGAGCTTCTCAGATACACCCGAGACTTTACCGTCATCCCATACAAAGAACTGGGTCTAGGTTAGCCAGAACACGAACAGTCAATTCCAGAGAGGTCAGATTACCCAGTACATAAACTGTGCTAGTGTCAGAAATCTATCTACCTGGCAGCCGGTACAAAAGTACCCGGCCGCCGCGGCAAATGAACCTTTCGCAAAACTCTGGCGCCTATGCTTTTCGGGAAACCACCTAGTACAAATGAAATGTGGTATCAGTTATGGATAATGTAGCTTTTCGGGTGACCCAGGTGAGAGGTAGGGACTGACCGCTCAACAAAGTTATTGTCAATATCGCGACGAACCTCGGGTTCTAGCTCATGTTGTTCCACACGCCAGTCTGGGTAAAGCAGAGCAGCTAAGTCGGGAATTTTTAGGGTCTGGCCTATTAGGGTTCGAAGCATTGGTGCGCGATGGTCTTCACAAGTTGTCATTTTGGAGGCCTTAGAGAAATGCCTTTGACAACCACCGAATGTTCGAACTGTGACAGCTCTAAGCCAAAATTGAACTTCAAAGTCTGAGCACCGAGACGAATAGAGAAAAAGGAATTAATATACCAAAAGCTTGATGGTGTTTGGTTGACATGAGGAAGTCGAGGTTCTACGAGGCATCTTTTATAGACGCGCGGGCATAACAACCATTCCGGAAGAGGAAGAGATCCCCTCCAATAGTACATCATCCGCACCAAAAAAGGGGTTCTTTCCCAGATGGGAGAGAGACATTTTATGGTAATGCTGCCAGAGTCAAAAGAAGACGTCGGACACGAAAGGCTAATCATAGATGCAGGAAGATAGGATTCTGGGCCGTTGAGGATTCAATAGCTTTGAGGCAATTCTATCAAGGACGGTCTGAGTTGACGCAGGAGAGCACAATAGGAACACTATAAAGTAACGCAGCGCATGCTAATCGTATGAGGCTGCATCTTGTTTTGGATAAATTTTGTAATGTTAGAATTGTACTTGAAGCAAGATTCAAACTTACAACAACTGTTAATTGTTTGAAAGGGCAGAGGTATGATACAATGCTTACCTACCCATTGGTAATAAGGCGCATAAATCTATCAAGAAAAGTCAGGGTCTCTTAGAGCTCTTTGCGCCCGCCCCTAAACAGCAGAATGGACATTGGTGTCTGGTGCAACCTCTCGTATGTTACTATTCGAAATGACAGGGAAACGCAGCAGAGGGTGAAAATGCTGTTGTAGTAAGTTAATCAATTTAAGCTTATCCACATAACTTAACTTTAACTCCGCTGAGGTTTGATAAAGTGAAATAGAGTAAAGATTAAGAGATTAAGGAAAGAAGGAAAGTCAATTCTGCGCGTCTGCGATCTTTGTCACCCGAGTTTAAATCGTCAATCATGGTTTTGTTTTTTTTTTTTCTTTTTCTTTTTCTTTTTTTTGTTGGTAGTTTGGAACACATCGATTTCATGTGTATGCCTATTTCACTGTAGCATCAATCAATCCAACATTATTTTTGTTTTTTTGTGTACCGACAATCCACTTAACCAAAGTCCTCTTCTGAACATAGGACATTGTTAGTTAGGGCGCGCGTGCTAACTTCGAGAGACGATATTAGGGTCTTGCTTGATTGGTTATTCAGAACTATGTTTGATGTTCATTGCGTTTTTTCTAGCTTCAGTAGATTGAATTATTATAGTTCAGTGTCACGTCATGACATTAAGGGGCCGGGGGATTTAAAGAGGATCTTGACCAATCTCTTGTGTATCATATCCCTTACTCCTCGTGTTCCATGCATGTGAAGACAGGATAATCATACAAGCTTTCCGTTTCGTTTCTCCATGCAATATGGACGAGCTAAATGACTTCATACCGTTTTCTCTTACCCCTTTGGATCACATTGTGCCTTCCATATGCCCAACCCTTTTCGTTGGTTTCCGTTTATCTGAATACGAGTCTTGTCTCCTGCGCCTTCAAAAAGGCATAGGTGTACTTGTCTCGCGTCTTCCTTTCTTGTCGGGAGAAATAGTGCCATGTGTCAACTCAGACGGAAGGGCTGGGCGTATGAAAGTTCAACAACCTAGCTCTTCAATCAGAGACATTCCAATGCTCTCCGTCAGACACTACCCCGATAAGAGATTACCAAACAACAGATCTTGTGGAGATAAAGATCCCCTAGTCCAACAGGATGTCGCGAGCCTCGATCAGTCATACTGTCCATTACCGCTGCTCACAAACCCAACAGGCCCGATGCCTGTTGTGCGTCTCCGGGCCAACCTACTGGCTGATGGAGTCTTGCTAGGTATGAGCTTCAATCACCACATCGCCGATGCGACAGGAGCTGGTATCATTCTGAAACTACTTGCTGAAAGTTGTTGTGCTTCCTCTGCGCAAGACGTCTCCATGCTCCCAGATGAAAAGGTCGAATCAGAGCTACGAGGGCAACTATCTAGCATTGTGGATTCAATCAACCATGTCTCGGGAGAATGGCAGCTAGAAGATAAATCTAGAAATGACGCCTTCACGGCGAATGGATCCAAACCAATAAGGTTCTCAGGCCCAGGTCTCATCGACCGCTCATTTGTGGTCTCAAATGACAGAGTCATGCATCTCCGAGACCTATGCAACAACCTAATGCCGATTCTACTGCGCCGACATCGAGATTCCCAGAACAAAACCTTCCCCGAAAGCAGCCACCTGCATCACCCACCATCTCTCAACAATATCCTGGTTGCAGTTCTCGGACTTTGTGTTGAGCGAGCTCGTGCCAAAAATGGACTTATTTTGCCCAAATCCTCCGGGGTTTCCATGATTGTGAACCTGCGTCGCCACTTTCAGCCCCCTCTGCCGGATCATTACATTGGCAACGCAGTCAGAGTTGCCCGAGTCATTTACCATCGTTCAGGCGACGACTTATGCGCTGACTCTGAAATTGACACCGACTCTCTCGCAGGGCTTCCATCTTCTCTCGATAAACAGGAACTCCTCTACCTAGCAAACGTCGCCTTCCGAATCAGCGCCGTGGCAAAGTCTACTAGTGATGAGCATATTCAAGGTCTGTTTTCCAACCTGAACGACCGAATCAACGGGAACGATACACCGGACCAAGGCCCAGATCTCTGGGTGTCTAGCTGGAGACATTTATCGGTTTACGAGCTGGACTTTGGCCCAGGGATGGGAAAGATCGATAGTTTCGAGTCTCCACCCGGTATGGTTGACGGTGCGTGTGTTATTTTGCCGGCAAGCAAGGAGAGTAGAGGGAATAATGAACCAGCGCCGTGAGGATATGGGGAGACTGGTTGATGATAGGTTGCTTAGGTGGGTTTCGGGCGGGTAAGGTGACCAGAGAAAAAAAAATAAACATATTGCATGTAAGATATTGATTTTGTAAGAGGATTCTCCTGGTTGTCTACTTAAACGGCTTGTGTCCTATGCCAGATTGGTCACCAATAAAACCATTCTATATTCCTGATCGTTGTCAGTCTGCACCGAAATCCTCTGAAGATTGCTATTAGTATTATGGAGTTGGAGATAGAAAGACAAGCAGGTCTCAAATTAATCGCGAATTCTAAGTCTGGTGCTTGGTATAGCATTCCTTACCTCTCCTTTGCAGGTTTCTCAACAACTGGCCTAAATCGCTCCTACTGTGGCACAGGAACACAGCCCATATGCGTGCCAAACCCTCGCTCTAAGCTGCATGTGAGACGACTATGTGAAAATTGCCGATCATAGATTATGATCTATCATACAGGAAAAGTCACAGTCAACTCATAAGGCTACCCCAAGGCTGTCAATACTAAAGGAACTGTGTAATCCTCAGAAATGGATTCATGTGTTTTTCAGTTCTCCCACAGACCTCCGTTCCCTACCCATTAAGCATAAGCCCATGCTCTTAACCAGATTTAGATCGCCTGCTCTCGCGAATCTTGAAGAATATAGACCCCTAATCACGTCAGCTACCTGTCTTGAAACGTATAAATCCATGTATCATAGCACTTACATCGTACACTCCCCGTAGATCTTCCTTGTAGATTTTACCATTCTTCTGGAGGAGAAGCCAGGTCGTCCCCCACTCAAAAAACGCCGCTCCCCACTGCATGCTGTTAGCACTATTCTCTCTTCACATGATTTGTACAACACATACCCCGAACGGGTCAGCCGCACATCGATTCCCGTGCGTGAGGGAGAATAGGTCACGTAATGTTAGGGCGCCATCATTATCAGAGTCGAACTTGGAGAAGTTATCCTCGAAATGCTGAGCACTGAACCGTCCTTCTGGGTCGTATGTATTACTGTCGGAGCCGTGCTAAAAGTCACGTCAGCTTCTGGGGTTTCGCGGCCTAATTGACATGGCAGTAAATTGATCAACTCACCTTCGCTTTATGCACGCTTGATACGTATACACGAAACCATGGGTCAGGAAGCCAACTATGTGCCAAGCGTGTCGGGTATGAGAAGTTGATGTTGATGATCAGAACGGCCAAGATGGAGAAGATTACGTTGAACCCCAGGTCTCGGAACCCAACATAGACATCCCATGGATAGATCTGTCCGTCTCCGTCCGAGTCCCAGAATAGAATATGCTGTTGGAGCGGTGTCTGTACAATCGGGCCTCATTAGTTTCCAGAATTTCTTGAGTGTCAAGATAACATACGTAGTCTTTCACTTTGCCTGCCCATTCTCGGTCCCCGTCTGGTGTGTCCACCGATGCGGCCACATTCCCTCGTGCTACGCCGGGGTTATCAATGAATTGATTTGCATATACGGCTGGGAGTCTCTCTGAGGTCACAGGGTTGTTTTTGGCAACAATCTTGATACCACCGTCTTTCTTGCCCTGCTTGATCGCGGTAATTTGCTCTTGTCCCACGGCTGTAGAACTAGCCGAAGAATTAAGTTGCTCATAAGATGCCATCGCTGTCCCTATTCTCTCTATATTGCTTTTGAAAGAATTGGAGAACAGAGGAAGATGATTTTGAGCTGCAAACGGAGGTAGGGCAGGCAGGCTTATTTACGTCACATTGTTGGAGCGGGTCTGACGTCATAGTTGATGAACCACCCATGAAAGATGGCACCATTTCGCATTGCTTGTTAATTCCCAGCCAACATTTGGTCAATCGGCCCTTAGTGTGTTCCAGTTCACTCCTGACCATCACTTTTCAAGCTTACACTGGAGTAGAATCACATGCCAGGTTCTACTGAAGGCCTCGCCGTGCGCAATTGTCCCAAGGCCTTATCTTTGTGAGCAGACAAGTGATTGCCATTATCAGATGCAGTACACACGAATGGGGAAATGTTTCTAGATTGCGCAACAGGCCTCTGGTTTTGTTATTCTCGGTTTTAGTTGAGTTTCGAGTTGAGCTGAGGTCCAAGTTCCCCTAAGGGTCAGGGTATCACGGTTATTAATAGTTGTCAATATAGCAGGAGTGCTGCAAGCAATTATATATGTTGATGAATCCGATGAAATAACTGATGAAAACATTTTAGATAGACCATATTGATCAGACTGTTCACTTATTAGATTCCAACGATTATCGAGAGAAGGTGGAGGGGCGGAGGTTGACGTGCTTTACTCCCTGTCTCGCTGCGGGATACCCTTGGAGCCTCAGGCAGACAATCGGGGTGGCTACAACATCGATCGGTCATTCGATGTACTTGTACTCCATAATGCTGTGACTATTCACTGGATATATGATCATCGTCCTTCCTAAGCTAACTGCCGTCAGGTAGCTGCTAGATCTCTTTTGCATGTGGTCATTCTAACCGCAGGAACCATAGGAACTACGTGATGATGACTGCATGATTCGTGAAACCTTGCAAGCCCGTGGCAATCACCCCAGAACAAGGCTCGGAAGCAGACCATGAAGGTACAATGCTTGACGGCGTGCTGACGTCCTTGATGCATTATGCATCTTTCCGCTTGGTTCCAGATAGGACCCAGGCTTCGACCTGACATCACAGCGACGTGTTCCTAAGACATCATGGACGCATCATATCCCGACTGTCTCTAGCATAAATACCCTCCGGTTTCCCTTTGTAGTCTTCACTAATACAACTTCTCAATCTCAATCAAGCTACAACATATCATATCATTATCCTAAACATCATGGCCGACAACTCAAACCCCGGAAACTTCGCCAATCGCTCTAAGGAGGAAGTGCAAAATATTGCCAGCCAGGGAGGCCAATCTAGCCACAGGAGCGGATTTGCCAGCATGAACTCAGACAAGCAGGTATGTTGAAGATGTTCGGAGCTACTCGGTTGAGCATTAACAATCGCCTTTCAGAGAGACATCGCCTCCCAGGGTGGTAAAGCCTCTAGCGGCAGTTTCGAACCCGGAGACCCTAGAGCTCGAGAGGCGGGAAAGAAAGGCGGTTCGGTTCGCGATGCACCGGAAGAGTAAGGCGCTCGTCATGTGAAGCTGCCTTGGTTTTACTCGAAGAAAGTCGGTTTTGTTGACCAAACTGAGGGGAGGGTCATAAATGAATAATGTAAATTAATATGTAACGAAGGTTGACCCTCGTATATAAGGCTCAGATAACATAGGGCTTTAATCGAAAATGCCTCTTACAGGCTAGGAATTGCGTCTAATAATAGATCTAAGCATGCGTAGACCGTAAAGCTTTGATGATGGACGTCTTAATGAGTAAATCACTTCATATAATGGTAGTCTCCACAATTCAACGACATTGTCGCCACGCGGTAAATGGCCCTAGTACACAATCGCCGAAATAAATAGAGTTTATATGAACACGGTTCTTTTGCGCCAACTATTGTCTAGACCTGGTAAAATGATCAAAAGACCGCACACGGTCGAAGACGTCTTTTCAACGTCATCCTCGAAACGTCGGGATGACGACAAGTCTGATATAAGGCTGATGTATTCATGTTGAGTTGTTGTGATAAAACCCCATCAAATCCTTCCATTCTTTTTAGTTCTATCATCAAATAACTTTTCGAGCTACTACGACCTCCACTAGTTCATAATGTCTAACCGATACGAAAGAGAAGCTGAAGACCGCTACGAGCAGGAGAATGACCCTTCCCCTGTTGGGGGCGCCGTCTATGACAACTCCTACGCGCACGAGACCACTCGCCAGGAGAGAGACCGAATCCCAGTTCAGAGGGACGATGAGGACTTCGAAGATCCCATGCAGCCCCCGTACTCGAACTCCAACCAACAGTTAGGTATGTTGTGACCCCGACCTACCCGCCCTGTCCTGTAGAGTTCAGAATCTGACAGACGCCATTTAGATGAGGATGAGTCGGAGGTCATCAATGACTCGAACAACATGCAGACCGGGTCTCGGCTTCGTCACGCAAAGCCACAGACCCGTAACGCATATAATGAAGGTCCCGGGGAAGACGATCTACCCGCAGAAGCATATTGAATGATTTTGCAAATTGTATGATGACATGAACCTGCCATCCAATTGTGTAATTTATGTGTTGCTTGAGGCTGCAAAGTTGCTCTGAGTTCAATTGAGAAGACATGTACTTTATCTTTCTGTGAGATAGTTGAACATGACGGACTGCGTGCCGCGTTGCGAAAATGAAAACCCAATTTAGGGAGCTTGACACGGATATATAATGTTTCACGTTCAGTAGAGCAAGGCAGCAATGTATCTTATTGCCCCTGGACAAGTAGGTAGTAAAGTGGACTTAGAGCTCCTGCCAGCAATCTCCGAGGAATCTGCTAGGTCTGTCTGATAATTTTGGCCTATGTCTTCCCGATCCCCGAAGTAGAGCTCGGTTTCAGATATCGTCCTTCAACTTCTTCAAAGTTTCAGCGCATAAAGAATAAGCGTTCCCTAGATGTCGGGGGATGCTTTCGAGACTTCGGGATACTATATCTATCTTTCATATCTTTGAATAGATCACCTGAAACTGTTGATTTAAGTGTAGCCCTAGGCATCTTGGGTTAACTTAAAATATCACTACTAAATGGCCACCAGTAATTCAGTATTAGCTAGGTAGATGAATAGCTTAGCGACAACCGAGAACAGCAGAGCAACCCCCTAGATATCACAATCTGGGAGTGTCAACCTTCACTTTTGTGCCATTTTCTTGTCAAAGTGACAGGACAATGGCATGTTCGACTCGACCAATACACCATTATCAGGAACAATGCCCTCCCGGACCCAGCTCATGCTACAGTTCACCATCACTTGAATAGCAGAGCTTTTGTATGTATGAGAAATGGAGGGACGTTTGAGTTTCCCATTTCTCAATTGTTCAGAAATTGCAGTTTGTCCGGCACTTGACTCGCCCTTTGAAGGTTCTCCTCTGTTACCCTCTGTTTGAGATGTATCCACGTAATATCGTTGCACATTCTTCATGTAGCGAGATTCATCCGTTCGGCCTACTTTCGCTTCAATCAAGGCGCAGCAGAGGTCATTGAGAAACGGACGAGGCAGTTCATCTTGACGGGCTAAAAATCGTGCTTTGGTTGCATTTTGAACCCAATTATCGACCAGAAGCACACGCAATGGAGATTTTGGCAAAGTGTGAGTATAAACGTGTTTGATCGTGTCGTACCCAAAAACCCTGGTACGATTTGTATCTAGTACGACTTTGCAGCGTTGTATAACATCGTTTTGCAAACTAGGAACTTCGAATTTGCCAGCAAGGATCCAAAGCTGAAACAAGCTGAGCATATGAGTCGGAGTGGCCAACTCGCTGGAGATCCTGCTGTGATACACCCAACAAAGGAATTCGGAGAAGGTATCTGGATCATCGTCCGGGAACTGCACGGGGCATTCCGAAATGGGTCTCTCGCTTCGGTCTTTAAATATAGGTTCACAAGAGGACTCAGTCTCACATTTTCTTCCCACCAGTCTAAGCAATCTGTGAACAATGATACCTCTGACGTAAGTTCCCAGTCATCCAACGGTCTTCCAAGTCCTCGGACTTTTCTCATCTTCATTCCTGGTCCCCTGGTCCCCGATCGCCGTCCGAGTCGGCCGAATGATCCGTTCGAGACGTGCCCGCCACGCCCCAACCGAGATAGCCCTAAGACAAAACAAAAAAAGTGAGATAAGCAAAGGTCTTTGTTATGTACTAAAGGATTTTATTGGCATTGTTCTCTAATGCTCAGTAGCATATTCGACATGAAGAAGTTGCTGGTGCCATAGTACTCCGTAGGTAACTATAGTGGCAAAGTGAGGTCATCAACTTTAATCGCCGATTGACAGATCGCCGACCCACATACATGTTTGACTCAGCGAGAGAAATAACTATAAATCCGATCGTCTCGGTCGATATGCGATAGCATCCCCATATCAACCCACACATCATGTCACATATTCGGCCTCGCATCAGCAATGCCTGGCGGGAAAAGGCGGGCCAGCTTTGGACGCCGACCATGACCTCGCCGACTCGAGCTTCAATGCTCGGAGACTCCAGCCAACCATTCTCTAGTTTTTCCGGCCAGCGAGCAAAATTAGCATATAAAACTAGGACAATCCCAAGAGATCTACTCAGAAAACAAGACAATCAACTGGGTTTGCCCACAGTACCAAGCTCATATCGAACTACACGCTATACACGGCCTCTGCCACTCAACCCTTTCATGAATCAGACCGAACGTCGAGCTCCATACAGCACCATGACTAGTTCATCAGGAGAACCAACCATACACGACGTCTTCGAAAGCAACACAGGCACATGGCAGTACGTGGTTGCTGATCCATCGACACTAGCTGCGGTCATTATCGACCCGGTACTGGACTACGATGCCGCCACCAATTCCGTGGCCACCACTTCAGCGGATGCATTGCTTGCATTGGTCCGCGAGAAAGGCTACACTGTCGAGAAGATTCTCGAAACACATGTTCATGCGGATCATATAACTGCAGCCTCGTATCTCCAAAATCGACTGGCTGAGCTGCAGGGCCATGCGCCACCCATCGGCATTGGAAAGCGCATCGAGCAAGTACAGAAATTGTTCAGCCACCGGTACGGCGTTCCGGAGCAGGAATACAAGGGCATTTTCGACAAGCTTTTCGATGATAACGAGGTGTTCAACGTTGGACGGTTGGAAGCCATCGCAATCCATCTTCCGGGTCATACTCCTGATCATCTAGGTTATAAGATTGGGGGTAAGTTCTGAGCATCGAGTCAATATTGTCCGAGCTAATGAAGAATCTAGACAATGTCTTTTGTGGTGATTCACTCTTTCATGCAGACATTGGCACCGCTCGCTGTGATTTCCCCGGCGGTAGCGCAAACAATCTCTATCAGTCTGGTCATAAGCTTCTTGGTTTGCCTGACCATGTTAAAATCTGGACTGGCCACGACTATCCTCCTGAGGATCGCAAATCTGCCGTGTCTTGGATGAGTGTTGAGGACCACAGGGCGGAGAACAAGCATCTTAAGGCAGGCATCACTGAGGACGAATTCGTAAATGTTCGGAAAGAGCGGGATGCGAAGTTGGCAGAACCAAAACTACTTCATCAGTCGCTGCAGGTCAATATTCGAGCAGGACGGCTACCTAAGCCTACGGAGACTGGGCACCGAATGCTTCATCTTCCGTTGAAGCTCAAGGGGGTTGAATGGTAAACGAGGTGAGGCTTGGTATTGGGCCAATTACCTGTATATATGTATCTATATGCACCTGATTTTCTACAAAGGAAGGATGTGCTATTCGAGATCCCGCTGGTTCAGTAACGGCACTCAAGCAATTAAGCTACCTGGAACGCGAAACGATCCCGTTGTGTTGTCGTCTTTACGTATCCATTTACTCGGTCCGGTCCATTGTCGAATCGAAATCGAGGGTCCAAACTGTCTAGACAGCAACACGCTAGAAACAACCCGCACCATTATGAGTCAAACAGCTCTCACCTGAGGGATGCCTCAGACATGACGTCTGAAGTCTCTCATCGAAACAGGGCTCGGATACAGCCTGGTTACACATGGTGATTGGCAAGATGCGTAGATGCATATATGACTCAAGACCCTTGCGGCTGTTAACAAAGAAAGGTCGTATGCACCCCACAAACAACCCCGGTTGCCCAATAGCCTCAACAGACGGTGATATCTTTCGTCAAACAACAACAGACATCCTGGGCCGGTTTGAAATGAGGGGTTCAAATGAAGTGCACGCCACTGACCTAGGTGGATTATAGCATATTGATCTAGCTGGGGGAAGCGTAGGTCTTAAGAGGTACATGACCACCCGGCGGCACATAATTGTTTACTACTTCAACTGTTTTCTGGTTACCTCACTGCGTCATTCTGATCATCTCTTGTGTAGCATCGCATCATGTCTACAACGCTTGAGCTTGCTTCTCGTGAACAAGATCAGACACGGAGTTCGAGCCAGCAGTCATTGGCCCTAGACACAGACGATGCAGCAGTTCGAGTGAAGCAGAAGTGGAATGACCCCCACATCAACAAATGGCGTCTGTTAGCCACCTTCATCAGTTTCGCGTTGGTGGGAGCCAGCGATGGAGTCTACGGTGTAAGTTATTTTCTCGTCACCACTCTCTTCACACCCGATGAAACATTGACGCTAACCTGTATTCTAGGCACTGGTCCCATATGTATGCCTGGGATAACTATGTCGTCGGATATTGGACAAAATAAATGCTGGCATCCAGGAGATTCGAGAAGACTACAAGCTGTCTACCACAATCGTTTCTTTGATTTTCGTGACCCCGTTTGCAGGCTACACCATAGCCACTATCATCGTGAATAAAACGCTGATGACTTTTGGTCAGCGAGGCATCGCGCTGATCGGCCCCCTGTGTCACCTCCTCCCGTTCGTTGTGATGGCCATCCACCCGCCCTATCCGGTCATGCTTGTCGCCTATATCATCGTGGGCCTCGGAAACGGCCTGGTCGACGCAGCGTGGAACTCTTGGACCGCAGACATGATCAACGCAAACACATTAATGGGATTTCTCGGCGCATTTTATGGGCTTGGGTTAGTAGTGGATCCAAGGGATAGTATTCTCAGAAACCGCAATGCTGATTAACGATCTGTACAGAGCCACACTGAGTCCAACGATCGCAACTGAGATGATCAAAGCCGGCTTACGTTGGAATGTGTTCTACTATACCCTACTCGGCGGCTCGGCCCTAGAACTTATGGCAAGTGTGGCTACGTTCTGGCACGCCGACGCAACGAGTTTCCGTCAAGAGAACCGTAAGAGTGCCGACGCCCGTGGAGACAGTCGCACTATGGAGGCTATGAAAAGCCCAATCACTTGGATTATGGCCGTGTGGTTATTTGTTTATATGGGCGTCGAAGGTGAGTTGCCATCGGCATAGCTCCTCCTGACAGACCTCTCTGTCTGACCGTTGGTCCCAACAGTGTCTGTGGGTGGCTGGATTGTTGATTTCATGGTCCAAGTCCGCGTGGGAAACAGCTACGAGTCTGGATTCGTTCCTACCGGTTTCTGGGCTGGCGTGACCCTCGGACGACTACTTCTTGGGTTCGTAAATGACTGGCTGGGTATGCTATCCTCGGATCTAGATATACGCTGTAACTCAGTGCTGACAGAGAATTGAAGGAGAGCGGATCGCGATCACCGTTTACCTCGTTCTCTCGATCGCCCTCGAGCTTGTGTTCTGGCTGGTGCCAAAGTTCACCGTCTCTGCCGTCACAGTGGCTCTTCTTGGCTTCTTCACCGGGCCTCTCTTTCCCGGCGCTCTTGTGGTAGCTGCGAAGCTGCTTCCCAAGCATCTGCACACCCCGGGGATCGGGCTCGTGTCATCGTTGGCTGGTGGTGGAGGCGCAATGTACGTTACACCTGATCTTTGCCTCGACTTTTAGAACTTCCTAGAGTGCTGCTTCAGACTGACTGATACTACCTGTGACTGTTCAATATAGATTACCATTCGTTGCAGGCGCTATATCTGGCGCACGAGGCGTGCAGAGTCTGCAGGCTTTCGTTCTCGCTTTGCTGGTTACCTTAATCGTTATTTGGATACTTCTTCCCCACAAGAAGCACTCTAGTCATAGTGATTAAAGCGGCAACTACCACTACAAGTCCAACGCTTATTATTTTGGAGGGGGGATGAACTTGGCGTGGTATTCGTGTCAAGGACTTTTGTTTGATTGTTGTTTGAAAATTACTGAATACATTAAATCAAATAGTTCGACTTTCATAGGTATTTGCAGAGTCAGAGTCTAGATGGTGTCTTAAAATGCCGATATACCAGTCTCATAGAATTTCCTAAACACTCCCCTTTACGGCTATACTGTGATATGACCGGATATGTACTAGATTAAAATCCTGCATTCGTATGTCTGACGTGGCATTACATCGCCAAGAAGCTTATGAAACTCTACTTTCTTTGTCTTTCCCTGGCGTGGGAATACGCCTGCTACTCTGTACTACGTTCCCCTAAAGATCAAACGCAAAAGGTTTCCCGTGTCTGTTCCTGGTCACTATTTGAGCGGTCCGATTGGTTCTCAAAACCAATAATTGCCTACACGGCGTACTCCTCGGACCAGCTTCATCTATGAGAACAACACTGCATTCGTTCAGACAAACATGTCATTCTCTGATACACCGGAGCCGAACTACCCCAAAGGATTGTCATTGCAGTCTGTTCATATCGTTCGTGATCTCTTCGTACTCACCACAAACTGATACGCTCTAACCATACATGCTAGTTTTTCCGACATGGTACATAAGAGTCCCTACATTTAAGCTGGCGTTGATCAAATCTGACCATATTATCAAGGAGCACGAACCCCCACGGCGCCTTATTTTGTTAAGGTCGGTTAGAAGCTCTTCATATCCATATTAGTAGGCCATACTAACTGTTTACTGGCAGGAACATGGCCTTCCAACTTGTATATTGAAAAGACCCTCGGGAGCTAATCACTCAGGTACTAAAGTCTAGTACAGATTGGCCATTATGCACCGCAGCCGGACAACTGCTTGGTGCAATCAAACGAGCCGATAGCCAGGAACAATACGACTCATTCCGGTGGAAGAGGGTATTAGAGACGATACGTAAAGACGATGGTCCCTCGCCATCTACCGAGGGCCATAATCTCTGGTGAGAGCGGTGCCAGCTGCGGACCTTTCTTCACTGACACAACGATAGCAATCATGGCGAGTTGACTGATCCTGGAAGATCCGCCATGCTGGCACTAGGTAAAAGTCTCCGATCTCTCTACGTCGATCAACTGAACCTGCTTCCAGCTGTTTTGACGACTTCGGAAATGGTCTTCTTTCGATCTTCCTCGTTTCCAAGGGCCTTGGAGTCCTTGCAGCACGTCCTTTGGGGCTTCTTTCCCCCACGATCCCGTGCGCAGTCTTTTGGTCCCTTTCAAATAGTCATGCGAAGTTCCCGAGATGAAACTCTGCTACCGAACGAAGACTACTGTGAGCGTTTCATCCAGATATGCAAGGCCTATACCCGCCGCACAGCGGATCGATGTAACTTCCCCTTCTCTGCAAGAACGAGGAAAGTCTTAACCCCATCTCAATAGGGAACAACAGTTCAGAGATGCACTACCTCAATTCTCTCCTCCGCGACAGTATGCCCGATCAGCAGCGCGTAGCGGTAGACTCCAGTCCCACGATGCATGCGATCCATGACATGATCAATTCCACGGCCGCCAGCGAATCCTCGGAGATCAAGCTCCCCGAGCAATTCTACAACCGAAGGGTGCGTGACATCGTCGACATGATCGCCTTCGAGGAAGAGTACAGTGCATTCCAAGAAAGTCAGGAGATGCGACGTGTAGGCATCGGTGCTCTTCTGGGCGACGTTGTCGAGAAGCTCGTCATCGACGTCGAGCAGCGACTCCCTCGTACAGACACCGAGGTGATACCGGGTCCAAGCCCAAAGCTCTTCCTCGCCGGGTCTCATGATTCAACCCTTGCAGCAATAATGGCCTCTCTTGGCGCAGTTGATGAGAAGACGCGGCGCAAGTGGCCCCCTTACGGGTCTGTGGTTTCCATCGAGCTCTTTTCCGACCCGAACGGCAATCATGACATTGAAGCGATCAATAACACTGTCTCTACGTTGTCGTCGATTAGTCGTACGGCGACCCATAAATTGACGTCTCAGCAAAAGCGTCGACTTCAGCATCACTACGTTCGAGTCCGCTATAACGGCCAGTCACTGGTTGTGCCAGGCTGCAGGGAGATGGGGCGTAACTGGAAGGGAAATGAGAGTTTCTGCACTCTGGTGAGAATCCGACCTAACCCCGATAATCGGATCTAGGAGCTGATGGCTTGATCAGGCTGCTTTCAAAGAGATCGTGGATCGAATTACGCCGTCAGACTGGAAACGGGCGTGTGTGACTAATTTGGACAAACCGGGCTTCCCCGAGGAGGTCGAGCCTGCTGGCTATTAGCACTAGACATGTAGTTTGCAGTGCGGAAATGAACTGAACGGAAAACATCATAGTCCTAATAGTTAATGACCAGGAATGATGGAAAGGGGCGCTTACCTCAACACCTTCTAGCAACTTCTTCTCCACCGCCCACGTGATGGATCTCCGCCCATTGTTGTGACCGCAATGGAACTAAACCAAGAGACCAACGCAGCTGCTCTCCCAAGGTTCCTGATTCACTATCCTTTTATCGGCATTTGACTTCTCCTATCTCCCCTGGGACTATTATACCCCCTTTGTCCCCTGAATTCCTCTTCCCTCTGGGCTCTGCTTGGTTACGCTTTATGTATGCCTGACTTCAAGATCTCCGCTTCTCTGGAGGGTCACGGCGATGATGTAAGATGCCCCAGTCAATGGATCATGGCCACCAGAGCAGCCACCACCTGGCCTCTTGACGACTGCTGACCATATCCCCGATTTCTAGGTTCGCGCTGTGGCCTTTCCCAACCCCAATGCCGTCTTGTCCGCCTCTCGAGATGCAACGGTTCGGCTCTGGAAGCTCGTCTCTACCCCGCCCCCAACTTACGACTACACCATCACCTCACACGGCTCGGCGTTTATCAACACCCTAGCATACATCCCCCCAACCCCCCAATATCCCGAAGGACTAGTACTCTCCGGTGGTCAGGATACGATTATAGAAGCCAGACAACCCGGGAAAGCCTCGGATGATAATGCGGATGCTATGCTTCTGGGCCATGCGTCCAACGTCTGCGCCTTAGATGTCTCATCCGAAGGGGGTTGGGTGGTTAGCGGTAGTTGGGACTCGACAGCTCGACTATGGAGGGTCGGGAAATGGGAGGCCGAAGTCATCCTCGAGGATCACCAGGGTAGCGTTTGGGCTGTGTTGGCCTATGACAAGGATACAGTCATTACGGGTAGGTGTCCTTCCTGCTGCCTTAAACTACGGTTTAGACGCTGACTCTCAAATAGGGTGCGCGGATAAGATCATACGGATATTCAACACTTCAGGCACTCTACTGAAAAGCATCAAAGATTCCCGCGATGTCGTTCGGGCCCTGTGCAAACTCCCTCCTTCCCATCCTACGGGCGCACAGTTCGCTTCGGCGGGTAACGACGGAGTCATCCGGCTTTTCACACTACAGGGTCAGCAGGTTGCGGAGCTCCATGGCCATGAGAGCTTTATCTATTCCTTGGACGTGTTGCCCTCTGGTGAATTGGTCAGTTCCGGTGAAGACCGAACGGTGCGAGTCTGGAACGGTACACAATGCGTGCAAACCATTACTCACCCGGCAATCTCGGTTTGGAGCGTTGCTGCTTGCAAGGAGACGGGCGACATTGTTACAGGTGCTAGTGACCGTATTACTCGAGTCTTCACCCGGAGTGAAGAGCGAGTTGCCGCTGCCGAGGTGGTGCAGCAGTTTGAACAGACAGTCAGAGAGTCAGCGATCCCGGAACAACAAGTCGGCAAAATCAACAAGGAGCAGCTTCCAGGAACCGATTTCCTCAAACAAAAGTTCGGTACTAAAGATGGCCAGGTACAGATGATTCGTGAAGACAACGGCAGCGTTACAGCCCACACATGGTCTGCAGCATCGCAGGAATGGATCGCGGTCGGCACAGTGGTCGACTCTGCTGCCAGTAGCGGAAAGAAGACAACATATCTCGGACAAGACTACGACTATGTTTTCGATGTTGACGTTGAGGACGGGAAGCCGCCTCTCAAGTTGCCATTTAATGTGTCGCAGAACCCGTACGATGCTGCCACGAAATTCATCCAGGACAATGAGCTCCCTATGACCTACCTCGATCAGGTCGCCCAGTTCATCGTCCAGAATACGCAGGGTACAACTCTCGGGCAAGCGTCGGGGCCCACGCCCGCAGGTGCTGATCCCTGGGGCTCGGAGAATCGTTACCGGCCAGGGGATGGTTCAGATTCTCAACAGGCTCAACAGCCACCCGTTCCCGAGCCACGTCCCAAAATACTTCCCCAACGGTCATACCTATCCATCAAATCCGCCAATCTCAAAGTCATCGCGAAGAAGCTGGGCGAGCTCAACGATCAGCTCGTGTCGTCAGGATCGAAAGATGTGTCGCTGAGTCCTTCGGAGCTGGAGACGGTCGTTGCTTTGTGCGGCGAACTAGAATCTTCGGAAAAGCTGCAGCAGTCCCCTGCTGTTGGAGCTGGAATTCCCTTGCTGTTCAAGGTCGCTACCCAGTGGCCTGTCACAAACAGACTCCCCGGTTTGGACCTTCTCCGTCTCCTTGCGGCCGCCACTCCTGCGACTGCTACCATCGACTACAATGGCCAGGACCTGTTCACCGGTCTTCAGGCCAGTGGCGTATTCAATGCCCCGTTGAATGCCAATAACGCAATGCTGACCTTCCGAATGCTGGCCAATCTATTCGAAACCGACGCCGGTCGTCAATTGGCTGTGAGTAGATTCGATCAGATCATCGCTGCCGCCAAGTCAGCCCTGACGAACGGTGGGGGCGCCAACCGTAACCTCACCATCGCCGTAGCGACGCTTTACATCAACTTTGCAGTCTATCTGACATCCGACGGGAGAGAGTCGGCTCCCGAGTCATCCGAGAAGGGTTTGGTCCTTCTTGCGGAACTCACGCAGATGGTCTCGGGAGAAAAGGACTCGGAGGCAGCATACCGGAGTCTCGTTGCCCTCGGGACGTTGGTCAAATCACTCGGCGAGGAAATCAAGAGTGCGGCGAAGGAGATTTACGACGTTGGTCAGATACTGGGAGCGGTGTCGGGCTCTGGACTCGGGAAGGAACCTAGAGTCAAGAGTATTGTTGGCGAGATTAAGGAAGCATTGTCGTAAATTCGACCAAGGCTGCTTTGAGTTTCAGCGTTAGACTACACCATACACACTTAACGATAGCTATGCACTAGTCATGAATGGAAATTATTCGAATTTCATAAATTGAAATCCTCCTTCGTTATAGATAATAATTGACAGCAGCTTATGCACTATAGAGAACTTTCGTAGATTCATACCCTTAACGCTAACCTATACACAGTATACGCACACATCCCTAAGTACCTCTTTTAAAGCCTCCCCTCCCCGCTAACCCCCACCTCCACAATCTGCTCGATTCCCGGATAAACCGGCAAATCCAACCCATACTTATCCGTAATACTCTTCGTCAAGAATCTGCCTCCCAGAAAGTGTCTCCCACGATAATACTTCACGCACGGCTTCGGCGCCGTCAAACTTATCAGCGCCTCTGGCATGAACTTCGCCCCGGGCCCTTCCTTCGGCGGTCCGCTCTCAATGTCCCATGAGCTGGGCGCGTCGACGCTCAGCACGGGGATCGTGGACGACTCGATCTGCGAGATCACGGTGGGGAAGGGTTCGCGGAGGGGACCGCCGAATGAGAACCCGAAGATCGCGTCAACGAGGAAGTCGGCGGATTTGATGGCTACGGGGAGGTCGTCGATGAAGGGGACGGAGAGGTTCTGGAGTTGGGTTTTGAGGCGCTGGTTGGGAGGTTAGTTTGGGGGGGATCTTGCTGGCGAGGAGGGCGATGGATGGGTTGGGTATATTTACCTGGTAGAGCTCGTTTTTGCCTTGTTTGGGGTAATAGATTGATGGCGTGTAGCCGTATTGAGCTAGATGGCGGGCTGCGACGAGGCCGTCGCCGCCGTTATTTCCTGGTCCACAGACAACAAGGACATTCTTTCCAGAGCTAGGCGGGTGTACGCGGTAAACTAGTCCGTGGTGTTAGCCATGAACTGTTGAAGTTACGTTGGCGGAATAGTTCCAACAGAAGTCGACTCACCCGCTTGTGAGACAGACAGGCCAGCTAGTTCCATCAATTGATCCAGAGACCATCCGCCGATCTCCATGAGGTCCTTGTCGAGGGATGCGGCATCTTTGGAGGAAATGGCCTGCCTCGCATTAGCATAATTGCTGGTGTTGTAAAGCGGGGAATATATTCGGTACCTTCAAAGACATCTTTGCGGTTAGAGCGTAATTGCGGAAAGGGACGGGAATTCGAGGCCGTCTAGCAAACAGAGAACGAAGCATACAATAACCAAGGGGATCTCGGAATTGGACTTCAAGTAGCGAAGAGAATCGAAGCTAGGCTCGAGTCCCAACCAAATAATCGCGACGGATGGGCATTGCATCATCGTCTTATCACGGCGCATCTCATTCTCCACCGCCTAGACTGCGCTAGACCAGAAATGGGATTTTGCGGAACAACACCTTTTCCAGTCCCGCGTGAACTTCCGCGGAGTCTGTCTTGCTCCAGATCCCAGCGTTCGATATCCCATTGCTCTTTTTGCGCCGCGGTTTCTTGCTTGTCGATATCCAGGACAAACCGTCAATATGGTCGTTCGCATCCGTCTCGCCCGCTTCGGCAACAGGCACCAGCCTTTCTACAACATTGTGGTTCAGCACACCCGGTAAGTTTTTTTCCCATCAATTTTCTGGCCGGCGCTCTACGTTGGAATTGGGAATGGCGCGGAACTACTGAGAGCGATGAACAAAGACTAACTCTTGCCTCGATTAGTACTGCCCGCAACTCGAAACCTTTGGAAGTCATCGGAACCTATAACCCTGTGCCGCAACGTCCTACGAACGAGAACGAGGACCGATCATACAAGGACATCTCACTAGATCAATCCCGCGCCAGATACTGGGTTGGTGTTGGCGCGCAGCCTACTGAATCTGTGTGGCGGTTATTGGACCTGGTACGTGGAAGACTACATATACTCCTGTAAGAAGGAGTTGGCAGGCTAACCGATCTGCTTGAATAGGCCGGCATCGCGCAACGCAAACCGCACGAGATGAAGTAAATTAGACCGGGAGGGTCTCATTCGTTCTCGGGTTAATCTTGGCTGCTCTTTCGGCTGTTCTGACTGTTCTATCGCTGAGTCGTCAATGGTAAATCGTCAAACGCGAGGTCAGATTCCCTTTTGGGAAGACGGCACGAACGGGAGAGAAAGCCTAGATGTAGCGCGAGATGAACAGCGCGACAAAGAAAATCTGGCTTGTGCAACCAACCCCCTTGTCTTTGGCATTTCGCTTGGCGTTTCTGGGCTTATTTCTAACCACTTTTTCTCACTTGTATGTACATTATGCGGGTCAACTGTTTTCTTTGTTGATGTAACATGAAATCGCGTCCCTTTATTGGGGTTTTTATTTTTATTCTCCTTGTGAATTCTTATCTCTTAACGCCGGAGACATCGTCTCCGACATGTTTACTTTGAGTCATTATCTTAGGTTCAAGCAAGGGGGACGTCTGCTTTTGTATATACGTATACGTACGCCCATACCAGGCAGCCTCGAGGAAAACATCTCCGGCGTCTTCCGATGTCATTTGACCTAAGTTACTACCTCATCAAGGCAGCCAAGGCCCAACCAGGTCTTCGGTTCTGTACTCCGTACTTTTGACCCCCAAGGCAGAAACCAGTCGTGAGATCTTACCCCATACTTAGCCTCACCTGCATGTCATTTCCAACAGGGCTGAAACAGCAACGAGGGTTGGTGGTTGGTTGTCTTTGCAATTCCCACCGCCTTGCCATGTCTTGAAGTAACATACATGCTGGTCTGGTCTGGTCTGGTCTGTCATTGTGCCTGAGACATGTAGGTCTCACAGCATATATAGAACTCTCAGGACAATGGAGGACCTCTCTCTGTCTGAGTTTGACGGCCGAGTCTGACTCACGAGACGCGTCATGGGCATTCCCTAGGTCCCTTGTTTACCTGTCTGTCTACCCAGCCGGGGCTCTACTTTTACTATAGAGTGTGTGCAGTGTACCCCGTACTGTACTTTTCAAGGATCGGATCATAGGCAGTCCGTCAGATGAACTGAGACCAGAATCTAAATAAGCACTAGGTACCACTCCGAGTGCACGCTAAGTTTAGCTAAACAGCCGAAACAAGATCGTCCAGGCCAATCGATCATCGATCATCGCCATCGGACTTCGGATCCAAAGAACAAAAAGAGGAGAAAGGGAAGGAGAACCAGTAACAGCGCACCAAATAAACCAGATCAAACGCGCTGAAAGAACCCACGAACCCCTCTAGTTACTGTAAATAAAACCCATCCAACAAGGCACAACAAGTAAAACCAACTTACTAAGAATAATGCGCCGCCGGGCAACCGTTCAAACAAGAACAAAGAAAGAAGAAAGAAATCAAAGCCCACAGGAAGGGGGGTAAAGAGAGGAGGGGGGAGGGAATCATCAAATGATTGGAGACACTCCCCCGAGGCAACAATCCAGCAGGGAAGATCGGCGGCAGAGTTTGAGCTTTTCCATGGATTGATGGCAGCCACCGGGGCCCGCTTGGTTAGGGTCTTGCGCCTCCTATTGGCGATGTGGCTTCATGGGTGGAAGTCCGGAGTATGGGGTCGTTGGGATTACTTATTCACATTCGGGACTTTTGGGTTTGGGAGGATTGTGATGGTGGTTTATTAGTTCGCGTCGTTGTGTACTGTGTCTTGCTGTTTTGGATATCCGATATCTAATATAGGTTGAATGGGGGGTATTCGAAAGGAAGGGTGATGAGGGACTGGACATCTCCTAAGTACCTGCCTGGGTCGGTCAAGATGAGGCCGAAAACAAGTTGAATATAGATTATGAGAGAAAATGGTAATGACGTCCTGCTTAGATTTTCTCTCGCTAGATATACTTCATTTTCGCAGCCAGAAGAGGACCAAAAGTTCTTTTATTGATCAGGTGCAGGGCTGCCGTTGGGGAGGGTTTCCGTCAGGAGAACAATTCGTCATGGCGAACTAGGCTACAGGGGAGGGCAGGGGAGAAAAGAATTCCAAGGCGCAGGGATAATGCCGAACACGATGCCAACCATGCAGCTAGTCCCTATCTACTTCTTTCCCCGACGTCCACTCGGAAGTTGCTGAAGATTTTATCAAGCAGTACCGTCCCGTAAAAGGGCCGTGATGGCTCCAGTCTCCACGCGCCGCGGGATCCCCGTGCACGCACTTTGCCTGATCGCATCCGTCTGTCGGGTCTGCCTAGATCGCTGCACTCGGTAAGAGCAATGCACGAGGTTGTGATACCTTGGATTCCATTAGTCAGAAGGGAGAGAAAGTGAGAGCCTCGCGGATAGTGTGACTCATTGTAAAATGACTGACGATTTCCAGGGTTCCTTTCTTTGTCGGACAGGCATCTGGTTCTACTCAGGGGGGGAGAAAACGGTTGAAGATAGTGAATCCTACTCGGTGCTACTAGTTAGGACTTTGGAGAGGAACCATAATAACTAACGTAATTAATTTAATTTAATTTTAAAAAAATAATAAAAATAAATATCATCAGAATAATAATAATAATAATCCCAATAGCGCGTCGTGTCAACCGGACATTTCGGGTCGCGCTTTTCCTAGTGACAGTTTAGTCCTTCCAGACGGAACTTCCAGGCCTGGACCGGGACTCTCGTTGGCCGAAAGCAAGAATAGTCCAGACTTCCCGGACTGCAGACTGCGCTTGTCGTGTCTCTCTGCCTATGAGTCGAGTAGAAGGCGTATAAGACGGCTGCAGGTGACTACGAAGTCCCTGGAACGGAAGCAGACTCGATCCGTGGTCCAAACGCGCTCCTCATCAGGCCTCCCTTCCTTTTGTTCTGATCACCATGATGTCGTCTTCCCACTTTACGGAGTAGGTTTTCCTTTTTCCCAGTCTGTACCTGGTCTTTTCAAGGGTGATCAACTATCAATCTATATGAATCTTCATGTAAATGCTGCCCTCGCATTTGACCGTAGAAATATAGAAGTTCCTTCAAGTATACTTCGTACTCCGTATTACGTACCGTTTCCGGGATGGGCTTAGCACCACGACCCCCGCGTGGTTGTAGCCACAGCCCGACCAGCCCGAGTTCGACCACAGCATCACCAACCCCGTTTACCTCCCCTCCCTCTTCCCTCCTTCTCTTTCTCCCTCTTCCTTTCCTCCCTCCCTCCCCCCCAAAGTCAGACTAACTCTATCCTCCCCCCGAACTCCCCTTCCTCTCGTCCTCTTTTTGTTCCTCTTTCCTCCTGATAATCTTCCTTTCCCTTTCTCCTTCCGCCCCCCTCCCCTCTTTTTTTAAGTCCTCCACACACATCCACCCTCCTCTCTCTTCTCCATCACGTTCATATTGTATCGTCATTTTTAATGTGCATTTTCCTCCTGTCATCAAACTTTCGATCTTATTGATCATCATTATTCTTCGAGTTTGGTCTTGAGACCCCTACGCATCATTTCTATATCCGCGCTCGGCCCCTCGGTCCGTCAGTCGCATTTGCCTCTTCTTCCATCCACATCGTGATCTTGTTTCATCGTGTCGCTTTCTTTCTTCGGGGAATGATTCGTTTGACTGTCGCCTACCTCGTGCTGCATTCATCTCGATCGATCTAAATCTTGTCCCTGATTTCCATATTATTAATCTTGCTTCCGCGTTTTCCCCCCGTTCTCAAATCTCCACGCATCCAACTCGGAACCCCCCTGTCACCTCTTTGCCTCCCGTCGCCTCTCTTTCCTCTGCTCTCACCCTCGCTCCTTGCCTCGCGAGGAACCTAAACCTACACGTTCCACTCCTCTCGTGGTTGGATCGTCGGTCCGCAAGGCATGAGTGGCAGTTCGAATCAGTCGACCCGTACGAGTCCAGGCTCCTATAGTACCACCCAGCGCACACCATCCGTGTCGTCGGGCGCGTCGCCTCCGCATCAGTCGCTCCCATCCTCTCAGGTGCCCTCGACGGCCCAGAATGCGATGTCGACCGACGTGTACAGTCCTACCGCGTCGCAAGCGCCAACGTCTCTAACTTCCTCGTTCCCCTTTGCATTTTCGCCCATCGGCTCGTCTCTTGACCACGTTCCGTCCGCCACCATGCGCCTGAGCGATTCCGACCGGTCGCCGCAGAGCCTCGGCGGCTTCGTCCGACCTGGCAACGGCGGCGCCGTCGCGATCCGTTTGCGCAACCTACCGAATACCACAACCCCTGACGTCTTGCGCAGCATGCTTCTCTTTTCCAAAGAGCTCATCGACGTTAATTTCGAGCCCCTCGGTCCCTCGAGTGACAATAGATACCTCAGCGCGATCGCGCGCTTCCGCTCGCTCGCGGGCGCAGAGGAGGCACAGACTCTCTTGCACGGCAAGCCGAACTCCAATAATGACGCCAAGATGATCGTGGAGATGTACAGCGGCGCTCTGCCCCCGACTTTGGCTCCTAGGCGCAGCACCATCGATCATACCGGAACCCCGTCTCTGCTCGGAAACGTCGCGTCAAACGGCCAGCCGGCGCGGTCGCGTTTCAATGGCACCTTCCAGAGCATGGAAAAGCTCACCGCGACTAACCCGTCGTCAACCAATGAGCCCTTACCCCCTTCCTCTGACGCAGGCTCCCGAATGCATAACCTGTTTTCGCCTCAATCGCCGATCGGAAATGGCGTCCATGACCTTCCGCGCATCAGCGGCAAGTCGATGATTGACCAAGACCTTGATGAAGACACGGGCGAAATCCTGAAGGACCCGGTGGGATATGCAGAGAATGGCCACTCTAACTCAGGCCCGGGCTCGCTCCCTCGCAGGTCGACCAACCCCCAGTTTCCTACTGCTCAGTTTAACAACTTGTCCATTGCGACGAACAACATGTCCTCGCCGCCGTTGCCTAACTACACTCCCGGCGGAGCCGTTCACGTGGGAATTACCACCCCTGCCGGCGCCTTCTCTCAGCAACCCATGACCAACAACTTGGGAAGCGCCCATGCGCACCCTTATCCGCACGCGCACCAGGCTCGTCATAGCCTCCCAGCCGCCAACCCGAACGATATGAACCCGCCCTGCAACACTCTGTACGTTGGCAATTTGCCCCCGGACGCGTCGGAAGAAGAGCTGAAGGCCCTCTTCTCCAAGCAACGCGGTTACAAGCGTCTTTGTTTCCGTCACAAACAAAATGGCCCCATGTGCTTCGTCGAGTTCGACGACGTGGGTACGGCAGGCAAGGCACTCAACGAGCTGTACGGGTATAAGCTATCTAATAGCATCAAAACCGGCATCCGCCTGAGCTTTTCGAAGAATCCTTTGGGTGTTCGATCGGGCCAGCCTGGTTCCAACAATGCATCGAATGGTATGGCAACGCAAGTTCCGGTGTCTGGGGGCAGCAGTCTGGGCGGCATGCACAACCACATGTTTTCTACGGTGAGCGGACCGCCTCCTGGACTCGGCCCACCAAATTTCATTCAACCCATGCCAGTGCGAAATGGAGCCATGCATCCAATGGCTAACAATGCCTCATTCCATGCAAACACAGGCCTGGGTATTCGGACGCATGCCGTGAACCCCATGTCTCCGCCTCCCCCTCCGTCCAATGGTGCCGGATCCAACGGTGCATCAGGTTATTATCCCGACTACATGATGGGTCGGTAAACGGACACAGGAGTTCAACTTCTTTTTTTTTTTTACTTTTTTCTGTGGAACTTATGTCTGACACGCTTGATGACTGTTAGGGTATGTGGCGCATTTTGGGTTTTGGAGGGGTTTTCATTCGCCGTTTCACGGACTAGATCAATCAGCATTGGGAAGGGCTCCTCCCCTTCTTTTTGGGAGTAAGGATCATGGGTCCCTGGGATTTTCTGTCGCCTGCTTCTGCTTGACCTTGTTTTTTTCAATTTTCTTTTTACACTTTCTCTCCCCTTTTTCTTTCTCCAATCTTGCCTTTGTCGATTCGATTCACTTGTCAGCATGGAAATCAGGGGCGCTTTGATACACTGTCGTTTTCTCTTTTTCTTTTTATTGGTTTGCTTTTGGGTAGGATTGCATTGTCATTGTGTGCGATTGTTTCTTTTACCTGAGAAACCCCCGAGGATCTTGCTTTTGTTCCCCATTCCGCTCGGTTGATTTTCCTATTATCATTCATACCCTGTGCTGTACTATTGTGTTGCGCGTTCTCGGTAATAGTGCTTTCGGAAGGATATCTTGCGGGTCGAGTCTTGTGATTTTAGGTTTGCGTTTGTGTTCACGTTTTCATCGATAGCGATTACTTTCATCTGTGCATCCGGCGTCCTTTTGATATCGGAGGATTGCCAGTGCGATTCCAAGATTTGCTTTGCTTGGGGGTTTTGTCATTCTTATGACTAGTATTATTACTTCTCGTTTTTCATTCCGTCTCATTTGGTTTCTTTTCTGCTCCTTCTTTCCTTGCTTGCTTATTTACTGTCTTCCTCGGATGGATCGTTTCTCTCATCGGATATCTTGTCTTACCACTATGTTCATTTGCTCAGTTGATCGAGAAATGGGCAGAGCTGGTGCTACAAACCGACGAGAGAGCAGAACCCATTGTCCGGCAGGAGTATGATCATAAAGGACTGGATATACTCATTCTTGGAATCACCCATTAAGAGGCGTTCTGCATGGGCTATACATGGAGATACATTTCTTGAGGCTCCCTTCGGTTGGGACACGGGTCTCGTGGGGAATTATAGCGCTTGGCTTCTCATTGAATTGCATCTTATACGCAGCGTGGTGGGATCTTGCTCTACTTTTTGATATCATGGGTTTCTTTTCTTGTCTTGCTAAGTCCCTGGAAATGGTTTGCTTCATTTTTGCTTTTTATGGCTCCCAGAATTAAATGATAATTGGGAGACGCAATTGATTATTCCAGGATTTCCCCCTTTTTAGGCTTGTTCAAAATATACACAGTAAAGGGATTCTGTAACAAACGTCTTGGAAGCCGCGATGTTGAGGATTTCCCGAACGGGCGAGGTGGGTCACGTGAGCATTTCCGGCACCGAAAAGTTTCTTCCAGCATCCGCCAGTCTCTCTTTCTCCCTCTTCCTTTCCCCATTCACCTCCCCTCCTCTCCCAACACCCAATTGGTCTCTTTGTGTCTGATAGCAGCTTGTTCTGCTGTCATATATACCCAGTGACCTCTCTGTAATATATTTGAAATTTCTCTTTTTGTCTCGTGCGGTTGTCATAAAAGAGAGGTTTTTCACCTCTTTTCCTCATCATGCCTCCGCGAATACAGAATCAGCTCGTCTCCAATTCCCTACTTCCCTACCTCTCCTCAACCTCCTCCACCTCTTCCTCCTCATGTACCTCACTATCTAAGCTTCCCACATCATGCCCGCAATCACGCCGACCTTTCTCCTCCACCATGGCTCCTCAGACGAGGTTGCGTGTCAACATGTTCAAGTGGCTCGACACAGAGGGCGCCGGGTACAAGTCCCACATCCCAGGACAAACCAACTACCTGAAAGGTCGGAGGTTCATCGATGAAGATCGTCAAAATACACGCCCCTTCCCGCTCAACCCGAACTTCGTCAGCGAGAGCATCCTCAGCGAGGAGCTGCGGAACGAAGTGTACGAGCAAGTTGTGGTTAAGAAGAAGAGTGTGCGGGCCGTGAGTGTCGAATACGGAATTGACATGCGGCGAGTGGGTGCTGTTGTGCGGTTAGTCGAGCTTGAGAAGCGTACGAAACAACAGGTAACGATCCCTCGCTCTTTCTTATTGTTTTGTTCTTTTTTTTCTACAAACTCCGGTGCAATGATGAGACACAATAAAAATTCGATTAGTCTTTATGACCCAGTTTAATTGGCTGGGAATGGTTACAACGCCTTATGTTACTGATATGCATCTCTATTTATCTTTGTTTTTTTCTTATTCATGCCATGACGCGAAAGTTTCTGAGCCTAGCTCTTGCTAACATTACTTCTCGTCTATTAGGGCAAGTCCATGGCCTTACCATATGCTCGTGCTGTGCACGAAATGGTTCCCTCCACTCCCCTCTACGCTGACGCGATGGAGCGGCGTTCTAACCCTCACGAGTCGATCAACGACCTTCCGGTTCATCGGGCCACTGACCCCCAAATCTTCTACCCCGTTCCCGAGTCTCGTCAGTTCAACCGTATGGACGCTGGTCGTGTCTTCTCCGCTGCACCTGCTCTCACACACGAACAATCCGCGCAGCAGCTGTCGGATCCTGATGGTGTCATCATGGGCGTCACTAAGAAACCCGCGCAAATTGAGCGGGTGGGCAAGGGTGCCGGCAGGCATCAGGTATTGCAGCCCGCGGACGCGCGTATTCCTCACCCACATCTCGTTGCCCACGAGCGCCGCCGCGCCACGCACCCCGATGAGCACCGTGAGAACCGCAAACTGTACGAGAAGCGTCTCAAGTCCGTCGAGGCCGCCGAGCAGGCCATTCGGGAGAACCAGGCCCGCAACCAAGGCCTGGTCCACAAGGTTCGACCCGAATCGTCACGCTTCGAGTTCCGCTTCAAGGACGTCGTCGTCAGCAAGGAGACCACCGGTGCCGATGGTCGTGGTTATGACGCCCCTGGCCGGCGATACGGTGTTCCCAGCTACGAACGTAAGAAGGGCCAGATCAAGATTCCTACCAGCGTGGATGTTTAAGAAAGAGAAACCAAACCCACCGATTTTCTCCTACCCCCCTGCATCTCGCAGTTCCTCATCTTTCAACGACTTCACTTTTACGCTCATAATGTGATCTGATCGTTTGGAAGGCTTATCACTCATCCCTTTCCCTCCTATGTACTTGTATCCTGTTTTTCACTCAATTTCTTTCCCCACTGTACAGACATGTGACGAACGGGTCAATCAGTCAGCGTCGGCTTCTTTATCTTGTATTTGTATTTATCTTACCTATTTTGACGGGCTGGGATTTCATCACCTATATGTCCTATTACCATTCTATATCAACTATTTATCTTAAATACCACCTTTCAAATCAATTTCCTACTCTATATATCTAGGCTGTACGCGGTATCACAATGCCATGTTCGCTTTTGTGGACGTCTTGATACAATTACCTTGTCGTCAATTTTACAGCAGAAATGATAGAGATCTGGCCCATAACTACCGAGTCAGATGACACTTACTTACTAGTTCTCATCGAACTTGATTTCAAGGCTCCATTATACACACGTACATTATGAGTCTAGGGGCACTTACTTCTCCATGTCTTTTAAGGGTATAAAACAAATCGAAAATTCAACCAGCGCTTGAATATCCTGACTATTCTTCAAGTTTGGACGATATATCGATACACATATATAGATTTACAAAATGAAGTACAAATAGACAGATGCTGAGCATAGAAAAAAAAAATTCAATATAGAGATCGCAATGATAATGATAATAATTATAGTATTATGTAAAAGTAAAAACAAACACAAAACACTAGGTAGATAGATGTATGTATATATATAAAACGAAGGAATAAATCAAGCAGGAATGGAAATGGGACAGAGGATTGATAGAAAGACATTCTCGTTCGTGTTCATGAGCATATCCAGTGAGAAAAGAAAACAAGAAATAAATAGATAAATAGCACTTTGTTCTGTATTCCTTGCCTAGAAAGCTATGTATAAGAATAGAGGAGGTAGAAAGCAAATAAAGATCAGGAAAAGAAAGGAGAACCAACCAACACCGGAACGCAACGAAAGAGAAAGGGGAAGGATGAACATGAATGGTAAAATGCCAGAAAAGACAAGAACAAAGTAAGGTGGAGGAAAGTTTAAAGAGATAACATGGGGGAATGAGATAAAAGGAACATGAAAAAAAGCTATGCTGGGTATCCATAGAAGACACAAAGAGCGGGGACAGTTTGAGGCATCCCTTTTGATTTTCAAGAGCAGACTATCCTCGATGATATAATGGTTTTGGAGAAATCGCGGCAATCAAATCAGAAAAAGAGAAGAATATAGAGAAAGATGGTTTCAAGAGAATGGCGTGGTAAATGCGAAATGCTGACGGAAGTGATAGAGAAAATGAATGATTCAAAGAAAAGAAGGATCATACGTCTGGGCTATCAGTCGGCTCATCAACTGGCCCTGTGGACACGGGTGGACTGGCAGGGGAATCCGGGACCTCTGAACTGCCATTCCCCGAAGAATCGTCTTGTTCTGTATCGGTTGGTGTCGGCTTAGCAATGCTGGTACCGTTTGGCTTAGAACTGCCAGGTGCGGGGGTTGGAGTCGGAGGCATGGCGGGCGAGGACTTTTTTGATCCGCCCTCCGTTCCGATCTGCATGGGACTTCGAGGCCCATCGGACACAGGTGATGATGGCGCTTGCGTATCGTCCACGAACCCTCGCCATTTGCGCCAACCTTCGAAATCGATCAGGGCTTGCATGCAGCCCCATTCGGTGACTTTTTGCTCCAACCATTCAAATCGGACAGGCTACGAAGAGTTAGACGCTAAAAGAGGAAACGGTCCGGAAAGAGGGTACACACCTTGGTCAAGAAGTCATTACAGCCGGCGGCCAGCGCCTCATGACGATCACTTTGCAAGCTGCTGGCCGTCAATGCGACAATAATGACGGGACTCTTGAAAAGCGAAAGATCTTGCAGCGTATCTTCCTCCTTCAAAGGATCCGCCATGCTGGGGTCCCGCTCCGCCGGGGAGGTCGCGTTGGCGCTGGCGGCACTCGATCGCCCCGACGCCGTTTTGGGGAAAACACCAATGCCATTCAACCGCTCCAGTCGTCGAATCTCTTTGGTCGCGTCTAAACCGTTCATGACGGGCAACTGGATGTCCATCAGGACAAGATGAAACCCGCCTTGCTGCCACTTCTGTACAGCTTCCTGGCCGTTTGCGGCGCATTTCCAGCGCACGGAAAGACGCTTCATGAAGGCCTCCAGCAGCCTCTGGTTGATCACGTTGTCCTCAACGATGAGCACGTTGATTGGCGGTACCGTGCCCTCGATGAGACCCCCAAACGCGGCACTCAACGACTGCGAGTTGCTCTTCTTCGGCTTCGACGGACGAGGTCGTGGTGAAGCCACCCGCGCGGGAGGCGTAAGAACCTTATTCTGGGGTGATTCAGGAGGGGGAGGACCAGGTGGGGTGGGAACTGGAGGTGCCGGCTGAGAGGACGGCGTAGCTACGGACTCTGTGGTTGGTTAGCAAGAGGGTATAATTCAAGACCACAATGTACAAGAAGGTACAAACCTTTGGGACCGGATGCCGAGCCCAGCATCGTGGGCGAGTTCGTGGTATGTCGAGTAAGCGGTGGCCGACGCGCATGACGGCTGCCCCGGCTGCCTGGCGACGGCAGCAGAGGGGCCTTTCCGGTGTTGATAATGGATATAGCCGGCGCTTGGTGAGCGTTCACGCTGGTGGTGGAGTTGTTGGGGTGGGTAGGAGGGGTCGGAACGCTCGCGTTGACGGGCATGAGGGGGAAGTATTCGCCATGCTCGCCCGGCTCGGAATGGTGATAGTATATATTGTGGCGAGGCGACGGTTTCGGGGTCCGACGCTGCGGCATATCGATGACCAAGGCTTCCTCAACTGTTTGTCCACCAGGGTAATAGGCATCCACCACCGTCACCAGCGATTCTTCGGGACTCAGGATGCGATCGGGGGTGGCCTGCTTATTGGCGCCTTCGCGAGGCACGATGCGGATGGTGATATCGGGCGCGTCGAAAGTCTTGCCTAGGGAGTTGGCATATTTCATGATCACTTGATCGCGGACCTCGTCCACCAGGGCATCCGCCGTGGTGGGCACCAAGGTGGCCGAGCCCCCCGGTCGTTTGACCCAGATTTTGCGAGGAATCATGGTGGCGGCAGCAGCAGCGACGCGTTGACTACTCGTTGGGGGACCGGAGTCGGACGACGCGCCGGGTTCGAGCAACGAACTGATCCACTGTTGGTTGGAAGCGGCCAGCAGCGATTGACGGCGGATTCCGAGGCTGGGACGTTTGGAAAACGAGACGGAGGTCGCGGGGACGGGTTGGAGCTGGATCGGAGCGGAAGGGTTCTCCAACAAGGGGTTCGTGAATAGGGGTTCACCGACCGTGGGCGTAGGCGCGGGCTGCTGCCGTCCTCGAGGAGAGGTAGGCTCGTAGGGTGTAGGTTTGATGAGGAGGAGACTTGACGTCGGCGGAGGAGGGTCTACGGCGAGCGAAGTTGGCAGCTCGGTTGACCCAGAGGACGGCGGTGGGGAATCGACCAGCCCGGAAGCGTGGCGATCGGATTCAGTTGCGACAACGTTCGTGACCGTGTCCCGCGGCTCCTCGTGCGTGGATGCTGCAGCGTCCGGGGAATTGGGCCGCGACTGCGCTCGGGGCGGATCTTCTGTCGCGGACGCTGGAGGTGTTTTCTCTTCCTTCAGCTGAGGAGTTTTTGTGGCGGACCCGTCATCAACCGAGGAAAACCGGCTGTGCTGTGGAGACGACGAAGGCACGACGCGATGGGAGGGGTTTTTGCGAGAGATCAGGGGAACGGAGGTCGCGGAAACGGCGGGGGACGGAAGAGGATGCGAGGCCGTTGAGTAGGTGTGGTGGAGGGCGTTGTGATTCTGACTATTGTTGGGGTCGGGATGAAGGTTGGGTTTGGCCGGTGGCAGCGAAGTTGATCGCCGCAGTCGCTGCTTGAATCGCACCCAAAACGACGGATGCTGGGCCATGCTGGTGGCCATCATCGCTCTCTATGAAAACACACGAGAAACAAAAAGCAAAGCAAAGATAAGAAAAAGAAAGAAAATAGAACAGGACAGGACAAGGCTAAGATCAATTCAAATCAGACAACAATTAGAAAAATTAAGTACTAGAAGAAAAGGCAAATAACATAAATAGGAGCCTAAAGAAAGAAGGAAAATTTACCAGGCAAATTAAAGGAGAGAATGCGTTGTCACCTCTTCATCCTCACTTGCACGCCGAGCACAAGGGGAACCACCGCCGAGGGCATCGCTGGGAGAAAACTCCCCGGGATGGATGGACCAGATCCCCGTCCGAATGAGGAGGAGAATTGAGGATGAAGTAGGCGAGAGGAACTAGAAGAGGCAAAAGACAAACAAATGAGGGAGTGGAAGAGAAGAAGAAGAAGAAGAGAGAGAAAGAGAAAGAATGAGGAGGGAAAGAAAGAAAGAGGGGAAGAAGAAGAAGATGCAAGAGGTCAGTGACTTTGCCGACGACTTTTATTTAGTTAAATGCTCCCTGTTGATCTCCCCGCTAAGATGAGAGGGAAAAGGGATTCCAGACCATTTGGAATGATTTTAATCAAGTCATTAAATGAAGGCGATTATTATTAGAATCGACTTCTCCCCGAAAGCCGGTGCAAAGACCAACGCTTGGGCCGTTTTCTAGCCTTTAGCCGGCCTGCATCGGGCCGTTTTGACTCGCAGCCACCGTGAATGCAATTGTATGGCTCATGTGTATCATATATCGTAGAAATACAGATAGAGTGACAGGTAGACAGGTAGATGGCATCGGGAGCTCCTTATTCTATACATCCACCCCCTAATCCAACAATCCGTCGATCAGATGCCCACTCTCTTCGATGCTATTCCTCGCATCCAACATCTCGTCGATGCTTTTCCCACATGCTTTCGCCTCGATCCGCAGCTGGCGATATCGAATGCGCCAGATGAGATGGCTTGCGTAGATCCCCATCTCCAGAACAACCCTGTCCATCATTAGCAGCCGTCGACCGTAGCGGGCCGCGTTCACTTACACGAGAATGTACATGATGCCTCCCAGAACATCAAAGGTTCCCTGAGCAGCTACTCCTGTCAGTCCGGCACTGTCATTGAACCCACCGGGAGAATGTAAACCTACCCAGCGCCAGCAGAGAAAATACCCCTCCTAGAATGTCCATTGATAGAAACATCCAGTCTAGTACGACACGCATCAGTCAATTCGCTCGATTCCATTACCTCTCGCAGGCCACTCACTTATCCCAATCACCCGTCCATCTCTCTTCCACAGTTCAAAATACGGGGGCAGCAGCCCGGCTGCTAAAAGTATCGTGGCGGCAATCCCAACCAAGATGTTAGGCCAGGTGATGCCCTGACGATAAGGAATCTGCAGATACCGTCAGCGAGGATCCCATCGCAAAGAGTCGCACAGAAAGAGAAGATCAGAGATGAATACCCTTAAGATGAGAACTAACAGCATCTCAATCACACCAAATAGAACCGTCAAGCCAACGACCAGCGACACCGCTTTGGCACGAGTAAATTCACTGTATCCAACGTCAGAACATGTCAAATAAACGGCCACTCCGACACCATCACTAGCCCACGACAGATTTCTGGTGCCGACATACTGGCTATAATACAGGATCTGCCCCCAGCTGACCAAGGAGAAGACACCGAAGATCTGCGGCTGGATTTGGAGTGGAAGATTGACCTGCTGAAGAACGAGATATGCTCCCATCGGGACAGCACCTAGCATGATTCCCCTCGGTCAGTCAGTGGCCGACATGATAGACACGCGATAAATGCGATTAGACAGAACAGCACGCACAGCAAGCCCACAGCAGCATCATCAGCGGAGGTAACCCGTCGGTCCTCTTCCGCGTCCAGTTATGCCAGATCTGCGGGATCAGTTGGATGCACCATAGTATGGTCCCGATGGTGCCGAACACATTCGAGGCCACCGTCACGTTGCCAGCCTCGGTCATGGTGAATAGTCATTGGGGAAACCCGTAGATCGATAGCGACGTGGGGGGTATAACGTCGAAGAAAATTCAACGATGAGAACGACGTCGCTTTGGTAATTCGGGTGGTGAACGGGTCATGGAGTAGGTTTAGGTTGCAACTGTGGAGTCACTGGCAATAGGGATTTGGATGACCGGAAATCCGTTGCCACCGACGACAAACCTGCTCTCTGGCCTTAATTATTATAAACGGTAGGAAGTTGAAGAGAAGATCTATTACTCGGGCCAAGCGACAAAGTTCTTCCAGATGCCGACCGCAGTCGCGGAGGGCCGTGAGGGTCGTCGGACGAGCCGAGTTCATAGGTCCGAACTGCGAACTATGCAATCGAGTGAATCTGATGGTCTAACACCGATGCCGAAGATCGTGCGCATCTCCACCCCAGATCAGATCGATCTGTCAAATGAAGGGACTGCATGCGACAGGGAATGCGCGGATCAAGACGAGAGAAGAGAGAGTTGTCGGGGATTGCGCAGACTTGGCAAACCCCAATCCGACAAGCTTTTTTGGGCTGTTTCTACTCTGGTTTCATCGACACGTGCCCAGGGAATCCCGAGGCGATCAGTTTTCCCCCTTTTTACGGTCACTACGCATCTTAGGATTTCCAAACAGATCGATATATGGCTCGTAACAAATCAGTATGCATTGCCCACTCATTGACAAGGAGAGAGGAATAACAGTAACCACAGATAAATGGACCAATCAGATGAACACATATTCTCCGAAGATGAAAGAAAACATAGATCAGAAGGAATGCTGGTGGATACAGGAAGATGACAGACAAAAGGCCAGAATGAAGTATAAGAAAAAGAACCATCAAGACGTAACGTGATTTCGCAAACCAGACTCGCGCCGAGTGATACTACTCGAAGGGTATCAAAGATGAATTTTTCCTCGCAGCAAAAAATGAAAAGACTAGCGAGGACCGTGACAGACCAGAAAACAAAGAAAGAACACATGATGCAGGGTTCGCCCTCAATTTGATCACAGGAGAATCAAGTAGTTTGATGGGGCGATGCCCGTGTCTCCCGTGGATTTTCTGGCCTGCCACCATCGCCCACTCACGTCTGACACCTCCAGAATCTCGTGCTTCGTGAAGCTGATCTCGTTGGCATCCTCCGGGTTGGCGTCGTACGAGTAGATTGCCTTGGCTCGGTATGGGTATTCTGTCGGCTGAGGAACCTCACCCGCAACGTCTCCGCTGCCATTCTGAGGGAGGTTGGTGGTGGACGGGTTGCCGAAGCGAGCTTGCGAGGGACTGCGGTTTTCGGAACCGGGCGCACCGCCGGGGTATCCCGACACGGGTGACGAGGTTTCGAAACCGTTGAGTTGGGCGGACGTATACATCTGCGGGGGCTGGCTGGAAGTCGTCTCGGGGCGAGCACCGAAGGCGGAAGACATGGGTCTGCTGGTGCCTTGTTCCTTGTGGAGGGCGAACGAATCGATGAATCCTCGGTGGGTCGCTTGGGGTGTTGACCCAAAGTAAAAGATCCAAACAATCTGCATGTGGTCAGAACTATAGCCCAGTGCGACGCTCAATCAACGGGGTCTCCGACTTACCAGGACCATCGAAAGCAAGATAAAGCCAGCACCTGCGGCTTGAGACGAAGAGCTATCTTCGTACACCAACGAATTGACGGACAGGGTCGTAATCACGAGACCAGCCGACAGATACCCGACAACCTACAATCGATCAGCCTTCAGAACGTAGTAGAAATCATCACTGTCGATGGAAACCTAGGTCATACCGCAACGCCATACGTCAGGCCAGTATCCGTGCCGAAGACGACCGTCAACCCAACGATGCAGCAGAACATATAGGCAACGGCCCACCACGAATATGTCGGGTATTTGCCATTGATATCAGCGATAATGGACGAGATGAATGCGATGAGCCATGCGAGCTAAACAAGGAAGAGCGAGGTTAGTCGATAAAATCGAAGTTATCCGTCGACGGCCGTGAGGATACATACGATCGAGATCGAGACGGTGGCGAGTGCGAACGGATCGCCAAGGATGTTGCTGGGCCTGAACTGGGCCATCCTTCGAGTAGGCGCCGAATATGGGGTTGGTTTTTGAAAAGACGGTGAATATGTGGAGTATTCCACCATGAATGTGGTTTGAGCAGGAAGGCGCTGGAATATATAAGGGTGGCAGGGCGCGAGTGTTTGCTGTTTCTATACCGCTTTGCCGATACGGATTAAATGATCATGCACGGTAAGCCGACACGTTCCCGGTCTGCTGTGGTTTCCTCCTTTCGTCACCGAAGGAAAGCCCGATTCAACCGTGTTCCGGTCTAAGATTCGTTTGCTGGAGATGATGACAGAGATCAAGCGGTGAATATATCCAGACGGTCGAACTAGTAAACAGTCAGTCGAGCGTTGGGAAGAAACGAGGACGCGATGGACAAAGAAACATGACGATCGGCGGAGGAATGGCAATGCATGGTGGGTTCGTGAGACAACAACAACACGTAACGACGGCCTGCAGACGCAGGAAAATAATAATAACGACGAACGAAAGCAGGGCGAAGGCAGGATGCAGCCATGCAAGATCGTACCTTGAGACAACCGAAGCGAATGTATGACGACGGGGCTGGTGAAGTTTAAAATAAAGAAACCAATGCAATAAATCCAAGGGGAAGAGGATATAGATTGAGACACCGAAGCAAAGGGACAAAAAGAGCGAGTCCCTCGAGAGGTTGGCAGGTGGTTTAGGGAGAGCGTCAAGATAAAAAAAAAATAAAATAAAATAAAAAGGGCCCCTTGCAGAAAGAGGCACGAATAAACAACAGCACCTGGCTGGAGAAGGAAGGATAAAGTATGAAACGTTAGTAACGCGGTGGGGAAGAGAAAAGAGGGAAAGAAAGGGTAGGTCGAAACAAGTGCGACGAAGAAGCAAAAGAGGGGGGGAAACGAGTGAACAAGTCGATGGGATGCAAACCGATCGAGGGAGGAAAAGAGAGAGAGATGAGGAGGGAGGATGAAGCCCCAAACGAAACGAGACGGGAAAGGGGGGGGGGGAAAGTCAGTGACCAGCAGGCACCAGAGACTTGGTCGGTTTCACGGTCGGTGGGCCACGCGAACCCGTGCCGCAAAACACACAGACGGTCTGAATTGGCCCCGGAGGATCGAGAACAATCCGCTCGTATCGAAGAAATTTGTCTTACTCCGTACTCTGACAATTATGGCTTATGATTTATGAATTAATTCAACTAATTGGTTCTCATAGTCTGATCCGACGAACCGTGGATTTGACCCCGATGCTTATCTCCCCATCGATAGAAACGAATTTGATCTCGCTCGATGTTGGTCACCTACACCGTGTACGGAGTACGGAGAGAGGGGAATCCATGGAAATGACAGACGATAGATCGGTTATTCGACGCTTCATTTCTATTAATATTCAACCTCAATGGCTCAGGCTAATGCTGAAATTGCCCGGGCTGGATCCTCCCTTCTCCGCTTTCAACGAAACGACTCGGCGCACACGCAACTTCGCTGCGCCGTCCGCCATGATTAGTCGGACGCTAGACCAAGTGGGTTTGGCTCATTTGCCTTCGCATTCGGATGTGTCCACCTCCTTGGCCGAGACCTGAGGCTGAGAGAGGAGAAGGGAGGAGGAAATGTGGCTTTGCCCTGGTCCACTTGTTAGCCAGGCACCATTCCGAGAGAACAACCAGCTCTGGCAGTACTCATGTCTTTGGAGTATAGCGGCTATCTTGCGAGGTTTCTAACAAGTAAGAAGGTGTCTTCTTCATTGTATGATAGGCTTGGAATTGAGTTGGATAATGACTAGACTGCCTTTGGGTTTCCTACCACTGCGCCACCCAACTTGAACACAGGTAGCATTTCTATAAAGCCTCTCCGCTGTGTTAAGTCTATTTATACTAATAGAGCGCTTCTTCTCATATCTTCGCCAGTAAGCGTAGTCCGCTCCCCGTAAGGCACGCCGTGAAATTACATGCAATTCCACGGTAATAAGGATGGTCCTTGGCATGTGAGTCTCCCGTGCTTCGGGGAATAATGCTTACAAGGCTGATTTGGACTCCACGGCAAGGGCTGAATCGATTGGAGAGAAGAGAAAGGAGCCCTCGTCGGTCATCTTACAGAATCCCGAGAATACAGACCTTACATCCAATCAATGCCTCGGGTCGGCGGTTGTTTTGGGCTCGGTGCAAGGGCAAACGTGCAGACGCTGATAGACTCTAGACTCTCGGATTGGAAATCAGTCGATTTCCATCCCCGGCAGACATTGGGATGGAATCGTCCTTCTTGACTTGTTGATTAAGATTCAAATCAAATCAGATACATCGACATTGTCCGTCCAGTTCTTGTCATGTTCGACTTTTTCAGTCTCTCGAAACAGAGGCTGAAGGTCTGAAACACGTCGCCCGTTTTTTCTTTTGGTGGTTTAGACGCCAGACCAGTCGATCAACGGGTCCTGGGCCAATTTCGGGAGCGTTTACCTTTTCTCGACACCTTACGGAGTAGTTAAACGCAAGGATTGTAAGGTACCCGTGTTCGCGCGTCACGTTTCGGAAAGTGTTCATTCTAAGGGAGTCCGGATGATAATTTGATTACACAAGATGCATTAATGTCGCATGGAATTGGGATTTGGAATGTGAGGGTCTTTTTTCGGCCCCTCCCTCTCTCCACTTCCTGATTCTGGATTGAAATTTGCCGTACGGCATATTCAGTAGAACAAAGTACTCCGCATACGTTTCTTCTTATCGATGGTTAGGCAACATTCGTTCCCTTGCTGTAGTCATCTCTTTACTTACTGTGCATACATACACAAATGTCCTATCCCTCGCTAGATAACAGTCCAATTGTGATTGTGTACGCGCCCTCTCTGGCTACCAGCAGAATCACAGTCATCTATCTGTAAAAACTGTGTATGCACACCATTCCCTGCAAATCTATGCAACCCCATCCCTCCATTGCATATGAAGACGAGTATCAATGCATCTCAGAGATAGCGATATCCCAACAAGCAGAATAATCAAACAAAACAAGAGGTATCATCATATTAGAAATCAAACAACCAAATCCCCAAACCCCCCATCTTTATTCATCTTCAACTTTTGTCATAACTTGACCGGCAATGCTTATAACTCCTTCGCCCTCCTCTCTCTCACCACCTCCTCCCTCCTCACCTCCCTCTCCACATCCTCCAACCGTCCCTCCCATTCAGCCCAACACTCTCCGCCCCCGACCAACGCAATCTCATACCAGCGCTGCAGCGCCCGCGCCGTTCGTACCCGTAGCTCCGAGATCTCCAACGCTTGGGCTTCCTGCAACTGCGCCAACGCGGCCAGGCGCGGCGAGAGCTCGATGAGGGACGCCGAGGCCTGGGCGTCCGGGATCGGGAGGTCGTTGAGCGAGGTTAGGCGCGACGAGGTCTCGGGGTAGGCGGAGGCGTAGGAGAGGACGATCGAGGCGAGGTTTTGGGTTGTGAGGTTCTCGGGGAGGCGCTGTGGGGGGGTTGCGTGGAAGAGGTCGGGGAAGCGGTTGTCTGTTCCACAGGGTTAGTCTTTGGATGGAGATCGTTGGGGGAGTGTTTGAGGGTCTGGGTTGGGATAGGATTGGAATTGAATGGAATGGGATCGGGTGGATTGGACAGTAAAGGAGAGAAGGTATGCATACGAAGAAGAAGGACATCCCGCACGGCGGGGTTATTCCTGCTGAGCCGTTCAAGGTCTCGTTCGAGGTGGAGGAGACGACGCGAGACGCTCTCTTCCAGGGACGCTGGTTTGGCGGGCGCCGTGGGGATGCCGGTCCAATTGGCGTCGCCGGTCAGGAGGTAAGTAAGGCGACGAAGACGCGATTCAAGGAGTTCGATGGTTGCGCCTGCCACGGCGTCATTTTCGAGAGTCATTGCTGTATGTGTATACTGTATGGATTGTGGTGTAGTTGTGTCTTGTGCGGAGAACTGCTGGGAGCTCCGATGAGGCGGTCGGGGTGCAAACAGGACATACAAACATTCATTTGGTGGAGCCAATATACTACACCTACTATACTACAAGATGATCGCACCACTTACGACCCGATTTCCTAGTGGTATATAGTTATTATGCAATTATGTACATGAGAGGAAGCCATTCCATTATATGAGAAGCACAAACTCCCTATGGTAAGCCTACTTATGGAGCGACTTTGGCTTCCTTGTTCTCATCCCATTCGGGTTCCGCATGTGGCGCGGACTGCGCCAGTCCTGCGGTGTTGCTGCGACTGAGCAAAGGTCGCCCTCCCCTTTCCTGCATCTCCTGTCCCGGCCCCGTCTCCCGATCGAAGCCGCTAACCTGATAATCGAAGACGTTGACAGGAGCCTGAGAAGTATCGTCGGTCTGCATACGATCTGGCGGATTGGGGCCTGCAGTGGAATCCGGGGCCTGATCTTCTTCCATGATCTCTGTGGCTCCTGCTTCTTGAAACTCGGCATCGAAGGCTTTGTTGTCGTCTGTGACAAATTTCTGGAACATGGTCAGACTGTGATGCCGGACTTGCTTGAAATCTATTAAGACTTACCTGGAGTGGAGGCGGTGCCGGCTCGGTCTGCACGTTCAGAGCGCTGTCCTGGGCATAAACCAGGAGCACCGTCTTCGATTCCTCACGCGCCGCCTTGAGAACCTCGACTTCTCGGACTTTACGCGCAGTGTATCCCACCACGTCGGCATGACTCGATGCCGCGTTACCGCCTGCATTCGACTCCGCCCGTCGAGCTTTTGCATCCTCGATGGAGAAGCTTATCCGCCACCACTGCCACTCGCTGTCCGTTTCGGACTCCTCCAATGCTCCCGTGTCCTGGCGTCGAAGCACATACGTCACATGTGGCTCGGTGCAGACTCCTCGTAGCGTGTATCTATGATTTGGCGGCTCGCCGGGGGAAGCCGATGGCTCCGTAAGGGTTTTAGAGTAGCCACGAAGGGTCGCTAGGGCTTCTTCCTTCCGGGATTCCAACTCTAAAGCCGTCCTTCGTTAGTATACACACATATCTGTCAATGGCCCCAAGAACGCTACCTTTTAGCTTCTCTTCAATCTTGCGCGAAATTCCGCGCAGCTCCTCAGCCAGCCGTTCCGCCTCGGGTTTGGCGAATTCAGAGGTCTCGCTGGACCCATTGGCAAGTGTTTGTGGTATAACGATAGGTGCAGCGATCGCGGCCTTTTCCAGAACCTCTTTGTAGTTCATACCTCGGTGAGCGACGGACTTTGAGACGGAGAATCGGTGGGCTAGCCGTTCTAGCTTGTAAATCTCATCGAACACCTGCAGTCGCTGCAAACGGAATTCCCGCGCAATGTCCCTGCAGCTAGCGAGATACCTATCGGGGTAGAAGATCGGAGGAATCTTCACGTCAACAGGCTTCGACGAGTCGCTGCTTTCTAGTTTGATGGTCAGAACTTCAGCGACATGCTCCAGCCATACGTCGTCGAGCGATTCGCCGGGTCTATCCGACCACACGGTACGGTCCAGGACATCGTATAGTGTCTGGCCATGCTCCGGATCCACGAACGGGTCGATCGTGTAGAAATCCTTCTGGATCGGGGTATCGTATTCCGACAAAGGCCGCTTGTAAGCGCTCGATGAGAATATGGTTGCCAGCTGGTTCCCCGGATCTGCTCGAACCGCTGCCTCCTGCCATGTTTCCAAAAATCGGCTGACACTACCTTCGGAGCCATTTGTGGACATGCACTTCAGGCTTTCGAGCGCGTCGGCACTACCAAAGGATCTGTTGGTGGTGTCTAGAAGAGCAACTAGTCGTTGGGTCTCGTGGATGATGTCATCCCAGTCGGCGTTGCCCTCCTCGACGTCTTGCATTGTCACAATTTTGGGAAGGCTGATGGGCTGTCCATTCCACCACTGCGGATCGTGGCCATAGTCGGACAGCACCTGGCTTCTGAGCAGAAGTGCTTCTCTTGCAAGTGGGATCGAATGGAGGATTGTCAACAGTCCTCCCAGGTATAGGTTATCTTGAGTGGGGCGAAGGAAGGCCGGCTCGTCTCCCACCCTCTTGCGGTCCGCAGGGTCCGGACTGATGATGATCTCGCGTGCGCTGGAATTGAACAGGGTCATGGCCCAAGCGCCTTCGTCGTAGTGGTCTTGCGTTGCGCGTCCGAAATTCGCCGGCTTAGCGCTTGTGACGCCAGACTCTTGGTTCCCGAGATTCTGGTTCAGTGACATAGCCACCGCCTGTTGCAGCTGACGTTCCTCCTGCTCTGCCAGCGATAAGCCTTTATTGGGGTCTGCTCGGGGCCGAAGACGCGGTCAGCAAATCGTCAGTCTCTCCGGGAAAAGTGTTTGCAACCTTGTATCTCCTGCGACGGAGTCGTGTTGGGTTGATTCGGGCTCGGCATTTGTGCTTGGTCTCTGAGATTCAAACTCGACGGGGGTCGCGAAGGAGGAAAGGCTGCAGAACCGAGAACCGAGTCGGGATGCTCGATTTGAAACGCTGCGGAGGGAAAGCTGCTGGTCAAACTAGCCGTTCATCACGGTGACCGACAGGAACATCGACATACATGGAGCGTTCGCATCATTTTGGGGAATGGGGGCCTAGAGCAAGCTCGCAGATTAGCGATTGAAAGCATTCTGATGTTAGCGCAATCCAGGACTAGCTCACCTCTATCTGAGGGCCCGTAGGATCTTCGAAATAAGCATTGATGGCTTTATGGAGGTTGAGGTCATTAGCCTGTCGCGATGCAGGTCAGCCGGGAAGCGAGGGTGGAAGTTAATCAGGTCAGTTCTTGCTAACTTTCAGGAAGCTGACGGCCTGATCCCGAGAAGCGCTCGTGAAGTTCACAAAGTTGGAGATCGATTCCTCCGTGGGTTCAGACGTCATGTCGAAGTCGAACCCTTGCGCGTGTCGGTGATTTCGGTGCACCGGCGAGTTGTCCTAATAATTCTTGTTGCTTGTTTCTTTGGACACGGCGAATGCGGGGAAGGAAGCGGGAACATATTGGATGCCGCAGCTTTCAGGCAGCTCACACCTGACATGCCAAGACTTTCGGTGTTTGCTGTGCGCAGTCATTCTTCGTAACTATCCATGGATCTCATATTCATGTATCATTTTCGATACGTCTTTAGATGTATCAATGGAAGGTTTGACATACTGGGCCAATATTTACAAGTGTTTCTCGGTCAATCCATTACCATTTAACGTGATCCTCTTCCTATAACCTGAGAGTATAGAATTATATACGGAGTAGAGTCGGCAATATATACTTCCAAATGCCCTGATTACCTCTTCATACATGACTCCAACATGGACCACTTTACCCGATAGAAAACAAACTGCTATTGAACAAATAACTTAAACTAAATTATACCGGATAAGTGCTTCGGGTGGAAAATTAAGCTGTGTACTTTGTACTCCCTAGTGAGGCGACTCGTTGGAATGTAGATCAACGATAACGAGAGTAAGAGGCACTGCCCTGGACCTACAAATTAAACAGAGGAATGGGGACATCGTCTACGAGAATTATGGGGGTAAATTGGGCCTAGTTTGCGTATGCTGTCACGCTCAGCGTGAGCATTACTCATAAGAATTCATGCCTGATAATGTTAACCCTAGCCTCGGATTCGAGAACATCGCTGAAGCGAATGCCGCGGGTGAAATCGAGTAGGTTATAGAAGACATGAGAACGGCGTGTCATCAATTAAACATCTACGACCCCGTGGGTCTGGTAGGGAGCTGAATGGCCTCACCAGAGCCCAAGGTCTGTTAATTGGCATTGGCGGTGGTCCGGCTGTGGATGAGATCTTCCCTCGGGACTGAGCCGACGGATATCTGCGTCATATTGATCCTGGAATGATTGATCTCCACTGTCCGAGCAGGTTTGTGGCCTGATTCATGCTCGCCATCAGATGGGCGCTTAGACTACGGGACATGACCACCCGGGCAGCCAGTAGGGAAGGTCTGTCTCCACCCGCCAAGCCCTGTAGATGCATGAACCCTGGAGATATTGCCATTGAGAGAGAGGACGTAGGTCGACTAGGATATGGAACATACCCCGCGTATAAACCGTACTTCTGAAGGTAGGAATGTAGGGGTTTGGGTGTAACCCACATTGGCGGTGTAACCCCATGTCTCCCTGCCGCGCTTCGACATATCACACCGTAGAGACATAAATGGCACAGCAGACCAGTCCCCTGCCTTGAATTATCACTCCAAAGGGTCAAATACACCTCGCTCTGGTATGGCTTCCACCGACATCTCCAAAACCGAATTTGCGGCTACGTTGGAGAGATATGCCGTCGAAGCCAAGAAGCGTCTTCGTGTAGACGGTGTCGCACAGTACGCCGACATTGCTCTTACGGATAAGTTCAAGCAATTCGCCGAGGATCCTTGGATTCGAGGCGAGGAGAACCGGCGCAAGAACCCGTACCTCTCGCAGCCGCCTCCCGTGGCGAACGGCGGCCACGTCAAAGCGGTGATCACCGGTGCCGGATACGGGGCGCTGCTCTATGCCGTGCGGCTCATCCAGACGGCCGGCTTCACCGCGGAGGACTTCGTCTTCGTGGATTCCGCTTGGGGGTTCGGCGGGACGTGGTACTGGAATCGGTACCCAGGTCTCATGTGCGACGTGGAAAGCTCGTGCTATCTGCCGCTGCTGGACGAGACCGAGTTCATCCCGCAGCACCGATACTCCTACGGTCCGGAACTGCGGCAGTATGCCGAGCTCATTGCGGAGAAGTACGGACTGCAGAAGCGGCCATTGTTCGGTTGCACCGTCAAGGAAAGTCGCTGGGACGAAATCCAGTCCCAATGGGTGACGACGATGGTCCGGAAGCGCCCCGTCGGTACCAAGACAGTGGAGGAAAGCTATGTGCTTCATTCAGACATGATCATCTTGGCCTCGGGGCTCCTGAATCGTCCCAAGCTGCCACGCCTGCCGGGGCTCGACATCTACCGTGGCCACGTCTTCCATACCTCCCGCTGGGACTACGACTACACCGGCGGTTCACCGGAGGATCCGACGCTGAGCCGCTTGCGCGGGAAGAAGGTCGCACTCGTCGGCACCGGCGCCACGGGCATCCAGGTCGTGCCGGAACTGGCCAAATGGGCCGGACAGCTGACTGTGTTCCAGCGCACTCCATCCGCCGTGGACACGCGCGGGCAGCGAGCCATGGACCCCGAGACGTGGCGACAAGATGTGACTCAAGGGCGAAAAGAATGGCAGAGTGAGCGCCGCATGAACATGGCCGCGTTCGTGTCTCGGGTGCCCGACCGCCCGGCGAGGGACCTGGTGGACGACGGTTGGACGCACTTCCCGTCGCTGTCCGGGCTGATCGGAGGACCCGCGGCTGCCTCGCTGACGGAGGCGACGGTAGGTGAGTACGTGGAGTCCTTGCACCGACTGGATATGCCGCGACAGGAGCGCATTCGCCGGCAAGTCGACGCCGTGGTCGCGGACCCGGTCACCGCCGAGAGTCTCAAGCCGTGGTATCCCGGCTGGTGCAAGCGGCCATGCTTCCACGACGAGTACCTGGGGGCATTCAACGAGCCGAACGTGCGCCTGGTCGACACGGCCGGGAAGGGAATCGACGGATTCTCGTCGACAGGGGTACAGTTTAACGGACAAGAGTACGAGGCCGACGTCGTCATCCTGGCGACTGGATTCGAGTCTCCCGCCGCGGGAGCGCCGTCCTTCCGCGCGCGGATTGGTATCACAGGCCGAGGGGGAGTCACGCTGGATGAGAAATGGACGAAGGGCGTGGGCACTCTCCACGGCGTCCTGACCCACGGCTTCCCCAATCTCCTGCTAGCCGGCGTGACGCAGGCCGGGTCGACCGCCAATGCCGTGCATATGGTCGACATTCTGGCAACTCACGCGGCGCAAATCATCGCCGCCGCACAGAAGCAGGCGGACTCGTCGGGGAGACTGGTGATCGAGCCCATCTTTGAAGCCGAAGAGGCCTGGGGCATGGCGGTAGCGAGCACCGCCTACGCCTACGCTGCCATCCCCGGTTGCACGCCGAGTTATGCCACACTGGAAGGCGCCTCGATGCAGGCCCAGACAGCGGAAGAGCAGATTCGAGTCGCCAGATCGATCCCTTGGGGCAGGGGAGTTACCGATTTTGTGAACGTTTTGGCAGCCTGGCACAAGGATAACGAGCTGCAGGATATCCATGTTAGCCGGCGGAACGATGGTATAACTCGGATGCTGGATACTGTTTCTGAAGGGGTGCAACGGCAGGCCATGATGTATCCTAAGCCACGACTGTAGTGAGAATATGAGTGCAAGTCGTACATACAGATAGTGTCTACCTACTCCGTAGGTAGAGAAAAGTAGCGACTTCGGCGGTTGAGCCCCTCCAAGTCTTCCCGCCCCGCCGACAAAACAAATGAACAACAGAAGAACAGAACAACTTCCATCGCTCCACTTTTCACAGCAGCCCTGACCGGCTTGTGGGGGAAGTTCGACTATTTGGAGAACTCGGTTGATTCATATGATCATTCTGATTATTCCATTTCCCCTGCTCTACTGAGTACACAGTAGTTAAACTCTTCTGATCCGCCGTTCCACCGATTGCCGTTCACTTCCACCGCCTAAAATCCATCACGTCACGTTGCCATCTCTCGCTCTCTCTTTCGCTCTCTCTTTCGCTCTCTCTTTCGCTCTCCGGGAAGGATGGCCGCTGCCTTCGATGACGAAGATCTCTCCGTCCCCCTCCCATCCTTCGACCGCGACCGTGATCGTCGCCGTGATCGAGTTCCTGGCGCCCCTCCTCCTGCCGCCGTGAATTACTCCGCCATGGCCATGCCTCCGCCCTCACGTCCGACCGCAAAGGGCCCCGACCCGTCTACTCAGTCCCCGGCCACCACGAGAGACATGCAGCGACTCGATCAGTATCAGACCATCAAAATCCTCGGCGAGGGCTCGTTTGGTAAGGTCAAATTGGCCATTCACCAACCCAGTGGCCGCCAGGTTGCCTTGAAGATCATCTCCCGACGCAAGCTGCTGTCGAGGGACATGGTCGGTCGGGTTGAGCGCGAAATCCAGTATCTGCAATTGCTACGACATCCCCATATCATCAAACTGTGCGTTTCTTCTTCTCGTATTGCGCCTTCGTACCCAATGCGAAGCGACTGCTGACTGATTGCCTGGGGTTCTTGCAGATACACCGTCATCGCTACGAAATCCGATATTGTCATGGTCCTGGAATATGCCGAACGGGAGCTGTTCGACTACCTGGTGAAGAGGGGACGATGCAACGACACCGAGGCTCGCAAGTTCTTCCAGCAAATCATTTGTGCCGTGGAGTACTGCCATCGTCATAAGATCGTCCATCGTGACCTGAAACCGGAGAACTTGCTTATCGACAGCGAGAAGAATGTCAAGATCGCGGATTTCGGGTTGAGTAACATCATGACGGATGGTAATTTTCTGAAAACCAGTTGCGGAAGTCCGAACTATGCCGCCCCCGAGGTCATCTCCGGCAAGCTGTACGCGGGCCCCGAAGTCGACGTCTGGAGCTGTGGTGTCATTCTCTACGTGCTCTTAGTGGGACGACTGCCCTTCGACGATGACTATATTCCGGCCCTTTTCAAGAAAATTGCCGCGGGCAACTTCCATATGCCTCCATATATCTCACAGGGGGCTGCTCGGTTAATTAAGATGATGCTTCAAGTGCACCCGGTCCATAGAATCACCATCCCCGAGATTCGTCAGGACCCCTGGTTCCTCCAGGATCTCCCCAAATACCTGCAACCGCCGCCGGAAGAGTTCATCGCACCAGGTGTGGACCCAAACAAGGTGATCGATCCGCGCAAGCTGGCTCCCGGAAAGCCCCTGTCTGCGCAACACAAGATAAATCAAGTGGCCATATCCAAGCTGGAAAGGAGCATGGGATATGCCCGCGAAGACATTGAGGAATCATTGAAGCATCCGGAACCAAGCGCCGTCAAGGATGCCTTCTTCATCATTGTGGAGAACGAGATGATGCAAACCAATTGTAAGTGTTGGCCTGGCCGTATTCTGGTTTTTGTCACAATTGCTTTAAAGCAACTCCCCTTCAACATGGAACTATTCAATGACCTGCTGCTAACACACAACAGCCCCAACGGAGGATCATATGATGGGCTCGACCGTGTCGCCTGCTCCCCTCCCCGAGAAGGTCACTCAACGCCCGGCAGCTGCAGCAGATAGACCACCGGCTGCTCGTCCGCAAGGAGCCCAACCAACCGCTCTTCCTACAAGAACCAGAAGTGGCTCTCAACGCCAAAATTTCCAGTTGTCGCAGCAAAATGACCAGGAGGACCCGGAGGAGCCCCGCCTGAGCCATGTCAGAATCTTACCGACCAGTTTGCCCTACGTCCATGATCAGCTCATGGAGCAGCGGGAGCGGGAGCGAGAGCAGAGAGCCCAAGCCGCGGACCGGTTGTTGGAAGAGCGGGCGCAGGCCAGGGCAAAGGACGGCGACGACCCCAACCAGGCCAGTCACGACTGGCGCTCGCGAGAGGAACAGGAGGCAACGGCTCGAGCCTTGAAGCCTCACTCTCGTAGTATCGTCGATCTCGAGAAGCTGCGGTTAGAACCCCCGGAGGGACGCAGTGCACCTCATCAACCGAGACGGACCCGGAAATGGCAGTTTGGAATCCGATCGCGGAACCAGCCCTACGAGGCGATGCTTTATCTTTACAGGGCCATCGCAGCCCAAGGGGGCATCTGGGACATCGTTCCCGACGAATCCGGTAAGTATCCAGATTGCCTGAATCATTTATGTATGTCCTATGCTAACATGACAATGCACGAAGGTACCCAAATCGGAGGTCAGGAACCGTCCGCCGACAAACCCAAGCCGCTGCAAAGCAAATACCCCGATTTGCCCTCCGACTACTACATTCCCAAGGACCCCTGGTTTATCAGGGCTCGTCTTCTGAAAGAGGGAGTGAAGGCGCCCGGCGCGACGGGAAGCGTGCAGAGTAGTCGAAGCGACCTGGAAGAGTTCCGTCGTCGATTCAACCTGAGCGGACCATCTTCTCTTGATGAGAAGAACTGGACACCCGTGGAACCCGGCAACGTGTCCGGTCCATCTTCGACCACACAATATCATGCGATCCGAGGAATCGCCTATGGCGTTTGGGTGTTTGTGGATATCCAGTTATACCAATTGGAGGAAAATAACTACATGGTCGACTTTAAGTGCGATGGGTACCAAAACGTGATCCGCGCCGAAGGAGACGCTGAATGGCATCCGATCAGCAAGCGATTCCGCAACAAGGAAAAAGAGGTCACCAGTCCGTATCCGTTCCTCGACGTGGCATCTGATCTAGTTGCACAGCTAGCGGTAGCGAGCTAGAAGAGTCGGTGCAGCATGTTTGTTTCGAGCTTTGACAGCAGGCGTACTATGGGAGATTTGGGTGCATTTAACTTGGCGTTGGTGATTGTACATCTTTTTGTTGAGAAAATTTGACTAATGATCCTTTTCACTTTACCTTGCATGTCGGCGAAGAGAATGTGCTTTCTTCAGCTATGCCGTTCAATGATTGATCTATATAGCGACTATGAATACCTCTTTTTGTGCATTCGGTGCTTTTCCACTTCTCCTTCCCGCTTGCGCCACTCGTGTGGGGAACCGACAGTCAGTATGTATATCTATGAATCTAGGAGAGGACTGATCTCATCCTAACCTGCGATTCTCTTGCCGATCAAGTAAATGTATGCCAACCCGTCCCTATATACGCATCCTCGACACACTATTAGCCAGATTCCTGCCACCACATAGCACGTTTACGGTGAAGCTTACCAATAAATATGCTTGACGCAAACGAAGCGGCGGCAAACATATTGAGTTCTGTGATCTTTTCAAACTCTAAGCCCGATGGACCCGTCTTACATATCTGAGCTATCGGAGAATGCGGTCCCGGCGCGAAGATTCTCAACATTATTCTTTGGCCCTTTGATAGTTTCACGGTGTGGGTGGATCAGGAGACACCTGCGTATTGGCAACAGGCCATCGAGGAGCATCGGGCAGCTCCCCACCGGAGACCGGGACCGATTGCAAACCCGGGCGGTCGTTCATGGGGTGGGCTTTGAACCCCAGCCCGGGGAAAAGGGCGACAAGTGGATACGGCTGATGGGGTTGAGGGAGGGTCAGGCCATCTTGGTGCGTCCGGACCAGCATATCCTGGGGAGCGTTCACTGTCCCCGGGGCAGCTGTGGCGGTTGTCCAGAGCGGGTTTTGGGTGGGACGAGGATGGGACCCTTTCCCCTGATAGAACCGAGTAGATATCGGCTTCTCCTGCAGCTGGTCGGAATTCCCGAGGCAGGGCGTTGCGGGATATCAGCCGGTAGACGGTCTACATGGAATAGAAATAACCGGTAGATAAACGCAACAGACTGTGCAATTCTTGACGCTCTCCAATCAATCATGTATTTCCTGCAAAGCTTGTATAGCAATCGAATCCTCCCCACCGGCTCAAGTTCAGTCGGAAAAGTCGTTTGCCGCTCTCCACAGTTCGTGGGGAAGGCGAAAGTGGGGAGGAAGCAGCCGGGGAACATCCGACGATTAACTATGAACCATCCCATCTCCAACATTAAATATCGTTCCTCTCCGCATTGTCTCCCCTCACCTGTAACTCCCCCTCCATAGTCCCTACCACGCATCCTTGCGCCATGTGCTCATCTCACTCCCAGGAGCCTTCGGGCGAATATCGGCAGTATTTGCCAGACCTGAATCTGCCTCGGTTTCAGGCAATGCGCAAACAAGATGCGCACGAGTATGCGAATGACTTCAAAACGGGACGAAATCCGCCGTGGTTGCATGCGCTGTACATGCACTGGCTGGACCTACTACAGGAGCCTTTCAAGGGAGTGACGACGGACGGTAGGTTCTCAATAATATATCTATCTTTTGGCATTTACCCTGTAGCCTAAGACCTAGTATACTGACAAAGCCACAGGAACCGTACGCCCCGGTCTCTTCACCCTCCAAGACGAGGACGTTCCCATCGACGACATCGTCAACTCAGTACATTCTCTTTTCGCTACCCTGACGCAACCCCAGCGCCAATCCCTCTCCTACCACATCGACTCCCCCGAATGGCGCACCTGGTCGAACCCAGAGTTCCTCCTCAGCGCCAAAGGCTTGCGTCTGGACGAAGTGACGCCCGCCGTCCGCGACGCCATCATGACCGTCCTCCGCATCACCCTTTCACCCGAAGGCTACGACAAGGCCGTCAAAGCGATGCGCATCAACCACTTCCTCGGCGAACTGGTAGAGTCGCCGCGCGTCATGAACGAATTCTCCTACAACTTCGTGCTCTTCGGCAACCCGTCTACCACGCGGCCCTGGGGGTGGTCATTCTACGGCCACCATCTCTGCCTGAACATCTTCCTCTACCGGGGCCAGATCGTCGCCTCGCCGTGGTTCACGGGCGCCGAGCCAAATGAGATCGACGCCGGGCCGCACGCCGGCACCCGTATTCTGCAAGTCGAAGAGCAACTCGGTCTGCAGCTGATGCAGTCCCTGAGTCCCGAACTACAGATCAAGGCGCGCGTATATGCCCAGATGCACGATCCAGCCATGCCCCCGGGGCGCTGGAACCGCGACGACCAGCGCCATCTGTGCGGCGCGTATCGCGACAACCGGGAGGTGCCGTACGAAGGCATCACGGCGGCGGAGCTCAGCGAGACGCAGAAGATGCTCCTCTACGGTATCCTAGAACAGTATCTGCTCTATCTATCGGAGCGGTCTCGACGGTTGAAACTCGAGCAGATCCGACGGTTCGAGGCGGAGACGTATTTCTGCTGGATTGGCGGGTTCGGGGATGAGGATCCGTTCTATTATCGGATTCAGAGCCCCGTGGTCTTGGTGGAGTTTGATCATCATTCGGGGGTGTTTTTGAATAATGAGGAACCGAAGAAATTTCATATTCATACGCTGTTGAGGACGCCGAATGCAGGTGACTATGGGCAGGCGCTGAGGCCGTTGATTCCGCCGGTGGAGGGGTTGGTGGGGAAGGAGATTACGTGGGAGAAGTCTACTTTATGATCTATGGGAGAAAGAGTAGAAATGGTGCTGGTCACCTGAGAGAGCGATCAAGTACAGTACATAGTGTTCATAGTCGATACTATTCATCTTGTTCCTATGGATCTATAGAGTATCGGTATTACCGTAGGCTACAGGGCCCACCAGCAATAATGCGATAGATCCTGTATGATACCGTCATTGATACCAGTGGATCCCCCATGACTAGCGAGGCTCACGTGTGTCGCAACTAGGCCCAGAATAGCCTAGCGTCAAACGGCCGAGGCAAGGCAGCACGGCCGGTGATTTGACCGAATATCAAAAAGAACTTCCATCTCTCCTACTTCTTCTGGGCCGGGGTTTCCCCTTCATCCTCATTTCCTCCATAACGGGCTGGTGGTTTGTCTTATTTCCGGAATTGCAGTAGTCAGGTTGGCATCAACCGGACTGTTTTCCATTTAATCTCCCGCTCTTTCAGTTCTGAATACGACCCCGCCGCTCTGTGCTCATGACTTGACGAGACCGACGAATTTTCTTCTGTACTTCTATCACTACGTGGATTCTCTGCTCGTTTGGTGTCTTGGAAAGACCTGCTTGTCTTATCTCGTCATATACCACTTTTTTTGTTTTGTAACTCTGTCGACCGAATTGGTTGCTCTGCGCGTGTTCAGTGCGAACTCGTTTAGATTATCTTTTATCGTTGATTTTCTGCTAATTGGAATCTAAAATGGCTTCTGGTATGCCTTGTCTTCTAATTGTTCAGATTGAGGGATTGAATGGCTAATTGCTGCAGACATCCCCAAAGTGGTCCCCCTGACATGCCACGGACATTCCCGTCCCGTGCCGCATATCAACTTCTCTTCCACGGTGGAAGATGATCAGTACTATCTCCTGTCCGCCTGCAAGGGTATGTTTGAATTTCTTCTAGACCAGAAAGAGAATCTCCAGGACTGACCTCTCATAGACAACAACCCTATGCTCCGTGACGGCATCACGGGTGACTGGTCCGTGAATTTCTCCTCGCAGTGAAATCTTGTCTCTAACTCAAGCGCAGGATCGGTACCTTCCTCGGCCACAAAGGCGCCGTCTGGCAAGCCCGTCTGTCTACGGACGCTACCATCGCAGCTACAGCTGCGGCGGATTTCTCCGCGTAAGTCCCTCCCCTCTTTTGAACCTGTATGTAAATCGGGTAGAAGGTCGACGACTAACATTTCCCCACAGTAAAGTCTGGGACACCCACACGGGAGAATGCCTGCACACCCTGCAACACTCGCACATCTGTCGAGCCGTTGCATTCCCCCTGCAACCGTCCCCCCAGGTGCTCGCCACCGGCGGGTTCGAAAAGAAGCTCCGCATCTTCGACCTCTCGCGCGGCAGCAACGCCTCGTCGCCGACCTACGCGTCCGCTCCCGGCGGTAGCGAGAACGGCAATGCGCCCCCGGCCACGAGCTACGAGATCGGGCCCGGTGTACACACTGGCACCATCAAATCGATCGTCTGGAATCAGGATTACAACATCCTGACCACGGCTGCCGAGGACCGTAAGATCCGTTGGTGGGATCTGCGCTCCCGGCACCCTATCTACGAGCACGCCGTTGACGGGCCCATCGGGAGCTGCGAATTAAATACCCTCGCTGTGCGACCTAACGACCCTGGCATTTTGACCGTCGCGGCTGGTAAATCCGTCTATTTGTTCGATGGCGCAGCCCCGGGCCGCTTACTCAAGCAGTCCACCTTCCGGTATGAAGTTGCCAGCGCGGCCGTGAATAACGACTCGGCCAAATTGGTCACCGGTAGTGCGGATGATACTTGGGCGAGGGTTTATGATCTCCGAACTGATGAGGAGTTGGGTATGTTTCTCTTCCTTCTTTTCCTACGCCCTACTTCCTCTTACTCTTCTCCATTTCCTTCTACTCAAATTCTTCCTGAACCAATCAATCACTAACCATGTGTCTTTTGTTTGTTGTGATAATAGAAGTCCAAAAGGGTCACCACGGCCCCATCTGGTCCGTTAGCTTCTCTCCCGACGGCAAGCTCTACGGCACCGGAAGCGAAGACGGCACCATCAAATTGTGGAAGGCGTGTCGGGAACCGTATGGTTTGTGGCGGTGATCTTTTAGCTTACCAACTTACCTACCTACTCCTCTACCTAGGTCTTTTGCTTGTGAGCTTGGGGAGAAATCAATTCCAGGACCTTATTTTTCAGGTCAATTTACTTTTGCTTTCTATGGTTGGGAATCACCTTTCTTCCTGCGCTTCTCCTGAGGATTAATGGAGGGGTTGTTTGATTAGTGGGTAGCCGAAGTTGAAGCTACGTAGATCATGAACGAATAGGAGAATGACGGCGAAAGGAGAGTATATCACAGAGGAAAATAAAAATCTGGTTGAGCCGTGCTATACCTATAATATCACAAAATCGAGGGTCTTCCATCACCCCGCCCATTCGTCCATTCCTTCTGTTTGATGTTCGCCAGCACATTCTTTTTTTGGCTTTTCAAGTTACAGAAAGTTGACCTCCGTTGGCTTGATCAATAAATCAATTTCGATCTAGATCTCCTCACTCGATCATATCCACGTCGTCGTCGCCGCCGGCAGCGGGTGCTGCGGCGGGTGCTGCGGCCGCAGGGGCATGATCTTCAGCGCCGGCCTGTTTCTCGGCCGCGGCGGAACCGCCATTCACTCCACCCCAGTAATCGTCCATTTCCTGGTCCAGCTCCTCTTGCGTCTTTCGGGGTCGGCCATTGGCAGTTCGACGGTTCTCACCACCTCCACCACCACCTTGTCGTCGTCCTCCACCGTTGGCGGGTCGACGAGCGGGCGACCGCTGGCCTGGTACGTATCGGTCGATGTGTTCCGGAGCCGGCTTCGAGACGTCGCTGCGTCGGTAACGGCCCGCGCCACCGCGTCGACCACCGCCTCTGCGACGGCGACCGCCATCAGGGTCATCGCTTGCGCTTCCGGGGCTTAGACTGCGAGCGTCGCGGCCGCCGCGGGGGCGTTCCACGCGGTCGAAGAGGCTACCCTTGGGTCGTTGGATGTTGTCGAAGGGATTCCGGTCTCGTCGGCTAGCACCACCACCGCCGGAGACGATGGACAATCGGATGGGCTGGCCTTTGGCGTTTGCGCCGTCGAATTCACTGATCGCGGTTCGCGCGTCGCTGTTGCGGTTGTAAGTGACATAGGCAACGCCTTCGGAGCGGCCTGCTCGGTCGTAGACGAGGGAGACATTGTTGACGGGTCCGATGCGGGAGAACAGATCCTACACGTGGACTGCGTTAGATGTCATGGCGGTGAACTATCCATCACGGGCGAGCGCATACCTCCAGGTCATTCTCGGTGATATCGTAGTGAAGGTTCTCAATGCGGAGTTTCGATCCGGTATGGGCACTGTCTTGTATCAGCCGAAAGTCCACCAACCTCAGGCAGCCAACAAGCAAGCTAGACATACTGTTCCGGCGGGGGGGAGTAGCGATCACCGCGAGGGCGTCGGGAGGCACGAGAAGGGCGTGCTGCACAGCATCAGATTAGCATCCATCATGACATAATTCTCCCATGGTTCGGGGGGGGAAACACACCATCTCTGTCATCTTCGTACTTATCGTGGACCCAGTCCCTACCATACAAGTCAGCCACGGATCATCCACACCGTCCTTTCTCAACCCAGGATGAAATACAAATCTAAATCGACACGATCCTCTCGATAGGGCTGTTGTGATCGAAGAGTAGAAGACAAGGTCAGCTCGAAGTCAAAGTAGGTGTCATGGAAACTGCTCCATCATAAGATCATCTCATTTTCCGCGAGGATATTCGCAGCCTTGCGACCTCCCGAAATAGAAGGACAAGTGAATGCAGGCTAGCGACTTTCTTTCACGATGCGCGAGGAGGAGGAGGGTTCGAAAGGAGAACAAGAGGAGGGAGGACCTGGTTTTGCGATGGTATTGATTAGTATGATTGTTCCAGACTCTTGGCAGCAAACAAACAGATTTCCAGCGTCGCGATCTTTCAGTCGGATGGAGGGAGTTTACCTTTTTGACGCCATCACGGCGACGACCTTGACCCTGAGGACGGCGACTCCGATTCTGATTCTGCTGCTGGGGTTGATTGTTAGCAGATCTGAGGGGACAAGGGCGATGCAGGGTCGGCCGTAAATCTTGGGGTAAGCTATAGCCTTACAGGACGCTCCGCGATGATCTCGTCCAAGCTGCGGTCCATCTTGGGACACGTGGAGAGGGGACGAACGGGAACAAAGAGGAGGAATAGAATTCAAACAGATAACACTAGCTAGCCCTCTAAGCAAACAGTTGTGAGGGGGTAGTCAATGGAAGGTTGAGGTGAACCAGATGAGGCCGAAAGACAGAGCAAGGATGGAAAGGCCGAGACACGGAGCGGCGAGGTCACGTGGGACCCGGTCTCTCCTGCAGCCACTTTAGGCCTTCTATTATTAGGTCACTACGAAAGTGCCACGGTGATGATCAATATTCCATAATTCTATTCAGATTTTGACTACTCCTAACCCTCTGATCCATGCTAGTGATTGCAAATAATTTTGGTATCGGGGAAGAAACATTCATAACGCAGAAAAAAGGGCAAAACCAAGTGTGCAGTGCGGCCAGCCTGGTATGCATGCAGGAGATAATCGCCCATCAAGACACCCAACCCTCCATTTTGGCTCCAGAAAAACACCAGTTGCTGTATCCGAGTATGAGAGACTAAGAAAAAGGAAAAGAACAAAGGGGGTGTAATTAAAGAAGAAAACTGGGGTGAAAGAAAAGGCAATAAATTTTCGAAAAGGGGGGTTGGCCTAGGCTCCTCCATTGGTGGCTGCATCATGGCCGCCGTTGTTGTTCTCCATCATCTTCTCCATGAAGCTAATGTAGTCATATTTGGCGAGCTCACGGTCTTCGAGCAGGTCGGGCCCTTGGTGTTGGGGCATGGTTTGGACAAGATGCTCAATGAGCTCATCCGGAATCAGAGAGTGCCGAAGATCAAGTTCCGTGACATAGGGCTAGAGAAAGATCAGTCTATGAAGGAAGAAGAAAGACACACATTATACATACCTTGCCATCGGCAACTTCACGGAAACTCTGGAATACTTGTTCGGCCGTGTTCTGGTCTTCCGTTACGCTGACCATAAAACGGATAAACTGTTCAAAGCTGACACCGGCGTTCTGTCCGAGTCTAGCTGGACCGCAAGTCTCGACGTAGACTTGGTGCATCTCTTCTTCGTCATATACAAGACCGAGACTGGCGAGTGCCGCCGAGAATTCAAGTTCGTGGAGGGTGTTGGAGGAGTCGCGATCGAAGTGTCGGAACACAGACTCAAATTCTTCCAATTGAATCGGAGTCAGGTTCGTCATGTTTCGGGCGACGAGTTGGTTATCGAGAAAGGCGAGTTTCTTGGAGATACTGGATTTCACCAGGCTCAACTCGTAGGAAAGTTCGTCTAGTGTATACGTGGTGTAGTCGTTTTCTTCAATGTTCGCTTCGGCGCACTGCTCATCCAAGGCCGCAATGGTATCTAAGAAGGCATCGAGGGGAGGCAGGTTATCATTGAGCCTCTTCACGTGTGCCAGTTGGTCCTCTACATCACCGTCCAGTCCGGAGATCGCAAGGGATAACGTTTTCAGGGTTAGTGCGAAGTCATTTGCTTTGTCTGCGAAGGACCGGCGAAGGGCATTCTTGATGTCACGAATCGTCTCGTTAATAAGCTGGCTACGTTCGTGTTCATCGCGCGTCAAGCATTCCCATTCTTGGTCGCAAACCTCGAGGCGGAGATCCTCGGGCGGGTCATATGGACGAAGTCGGTATGTGCTAAGCTTAGTCTTGATGTTACCCAGCAGGGCTGCGAGGTCCGACTTTTCGGCGACCCATTGGCGCTTCTGGTTTCGCTTATACAGGGAGAATTGGAAAGCTTGGTCTTTGGCGTCCTTGTAGGTCCCTTCAAAGGTGGAGTTCTTCCAGTGTTCACGTTGTTGCCGGATCATACGCAGCAACTGCCTCATCCTCTGCTCGTAAGAGTTCTGCATCTCCCAGGCACCGTGCATGTTGTTGATGAACTTCTCCACTCGTCGACCGGCATTCTCGACTCGTTCCAGTTGCGAGAAGGCATGGAACCAGTAGGCGATGTACGTCATCAGGGACCGCTCGTCGGGCTTCGCAACGTCGCAGACATCGTCAACGTCCAACAAATCCGGGATACCGATTTCGTTCGCGGCGATGTCGAAAGCCAATTTCATGTTTCCGCGGTGATCTTTCTTGTCCAGGGCATCGAAGTCGATCAAGTCGGGACGGTGGATATCCAACAGAGCGCAGAACGCCAGGCCGTCGTTCCAGCTGGTGGAGAAGTCGCGCACCTCTACTCCTTCGTAGCAGGCAGTTTTTCTTTGACACCATAGCAGGAGACCCTCTTTCGCGGTCATACCCTCTTCGTTGATGTCGCTGATGGTGAATCGCAGAATGAGGGTCCATATTAGACCCAGAATGATCTTTCTGTTACCGTCCACAATATCCTCCGCACCGATGTTGGTCATCTGGATGCCCCTGCCTTTGATGAAGTCCAGACTTTTGTTGACATTTTCGAACTTTTGTACTCGCAGCTTCGGATTCGAGGCATAGCGACCAAGGGATTCTGCGCCGAGGATTTCGAGGAGATGGATGAGAATAACCTAAGTAGACAACAGAATCGTCAGCTAGAATTCATGATTGAGGAAGAGGGAGGGGTGAAGTTCGTTGTAGCCCCTCTGGCGATTACGGAAACAAGGCCGCGGGGTTTACTCACACCGGTCGACAGGTCCTGCACCAAGTCGTCAATGAAGATGCGTCGCACCTTTATCTTGTCATTAAGCCTGTTGATCACAAGATGCATTAGCGATCGATATCTCTCAGAAAAGCTTTCTAGAGCGACCGCCTCGAGCGGGCGCAACGGCGAGTTCAAAACGAGGGGTGTGACCGTCTACCACGGCAGAAACAAGGATAGAACACCGACCATTTTGTGAAAGTTTTCTGTTGTACATTGATCCACTGCTTCTCAACCGTCAACATGATGAAGGGTTGAAGTCCAAAGGAACATTCAGGGCTGGGAGGGCGAGATTGCAGTTGTCTGAATGACAATGGGAGCAACGGAAGGGTGGGGAGAGGGAGACGAGGGCAGGGCGACTGATAGAGACCGAGAGGGCGGACTTGGATGGAAAAGGCAGGATCTTCACGACGGACGAATGAGAGAGAAAGAGTGAGGGCAACAATACGATTCGCTCATCCGCGCTGGAACTGAAAGTCTTAGCGGCGACCGTGAGGGAGACTAAGAGTCTAAAGAGCGACAGGGCCGGCGGGACAATGCAGAGAAAATGGGATGGTTGGATGGAGGCTGAAACCGAGTCGACTGTCAGTCTGTCACGTCTGTAGTACGGAGTAGTGTAGTTATTTGGAGTCCGGTCAATGAAGAAAAAAAAAAGAAGACTTCTTTAATACTAAAAGCATTTAGTCCGGGATGCCTGATTCTTCCGGCCAGGAAAGGGGTGCCCTGGTATGGGTACCGTACCAAGTATTAATTAATTAATCTCTATGGCAGTCATGAACAACATAACATGTCAACAATCCCTCCGCCCCCCACAGCAACCGGCCATGGTTGACCGTCGGCTGCTACCAATTTGTTCCCCTGGATCCATTCCTGGGAATTTGGCGATGTTTCATTCCATCAGAATTGCCAGTGCCTCCCCCGTGGCATCCGTGGTGGCTCTCGGAACCTGCAAGCCCGATCGCAGTACTTTGGCGATGGTTCGTCTCGACGGGAGATGATCATCCTCTTTTACCTCGACGGGTATTGTCAATACGGTAATGGCATTTAGCGCTGCAGAGCCCAAAAATAGAAACAGGAGATACATTAAACATTTACGGAGTATGAAGTTATGAACGGAGTAGAGCTCCTGTCATGGCCTGATGGACGCGGTAGTAAAGGCTGATCCATGATAGGCTGAGAAACCGCTTCTATCTCCCTTCTTGTCTCGCTCTCTTCGATCCCAGCTTATACCTTCATTCTCAATTCAGGCACGCATGGAATTCCCGGACCCACTGCGACCCAAACTCTGGTGGCCCAAATCTTCCACATGTCAACTGGTCGTGTTTCATTCCATGACAATATTAAGGAGAAAACGGGGTGGTTGGATATAGATCCGCCAGAGCTAGGAAAGAGCCGAGCGACGTTGTTCTCCCGGGTGGCTGGGAAGCACCGTGATATACTACTTCCACCGCCTCTTGCCCCGGGCGCTTTGGATCTTTGATGCCCAAAGACACCGATCGGAATCACCTCATTTGCGCCTCACTCCAGCCACTCAGCAGCAGATCCAGACTGAGAGCTTCGAGGTCGGAAGAGGATCGGCACCTTTCGATCCGTCTGCGGCTCCATTCCGTCTTGCGCGTCTTGTAGAGGTATACTGAAGCCAGCTTCTCTATTTGCAAAGAATGATGAGCTCTCCCCTCCTTTAGCTGGTATGGTCATTTATTTCTTGGCCCTTCTGCTGTGAGAAATGAGATATGTAACATACAGAATTAAGAGGATATACACTGCGGTCTAGACTAGGCCATCTTCCTTAATATTAATGATGCTTAGTGTGATTTAAAACTTGCAAAGTGAACTGGCAATTAGTCAGTACTCGAGAAGAACATTCTGATCAAGACCAGGAATCAATCTAATGAACATATACAACGACGCAACAAAGATACATGACCTGCAAGTTTGAGAAGTGCTTATTATGAAGTAAGAGGTATACTGCCTTGCCGCTCGTTGAATGTTAGTCCGTGTTTGCTATAGATTTGAACAATGTACTGATCTAAAGCTTTTTTTATAGCAGTCTTTCCTATGTCCCATTATTCCAAGAGTCAAATATCCAAGACATATCCCCCTTCAAAGGAATTCATGCAGCCAAGGCTGTTATCTTGCATCATTTCCAGGGGAGAAGGAGCTCAACCCTCCGAACTGATCACGTCTTTGTTGTTCTTGTTTTCAAAATAGGTGGACCCATGTTTAATCGAAGTAATAGCCTAGCAATACACGGGTCCTTGCGGGTCTATTATCAGAATCTGAAGGCTTTTGATGGAATAACGGTTGGAATATCAAGCCGGAGCCAGCAATCGGGATGATATATATATACTGGCTGTAAATTGGATCGCATGCAGGATACCAGACAGATCAGTCCAAGATAGAATGAATAGGATGTAAGACGCTTTATATAGCTTTCTTATTTTTTATCCTTGATGGCTTGATCCAATCAAAAGACAGTCAGTTGAGTTGATGAATTATGTTGCCTGTCGTGTAGTTACTGAGTACCTATGAAAGTGTTTGTTTGACTCGTTTGCATCGAATGTTCGACAGAGGATATCATTACGTAAGTGATTTCTGGACGCAATGTTCGTTGTGGTTGATGTCTGTCATAAGCAGAATTAACTCAGTTTTGTTCTGAGGATCAAATTGAGGCAAGAAATAGAAGATTAAGAGGTGCAAAGTAATCCTATGCAGCTGTGGTTCTATTGCGACATGGTAACTGGAGGCTGCGAGGTGACAAGGAATGCCGAGTCAAGGACATGACTAGAACATACCAATTCGCCCCCAAGAAGAGGAAATGAAAAGAAAAAGGATCACATCATGAACAGTTTATAAATCGAGTCAGAGAAACAATTTGAACAATGGCCTAGTCCCTGATAGCCAGACAATAGCAATTGCGCAATAGCAGACTCCCGCGCTCATTGGTAAAGCGCGATGATATCATGTCGGATGGCGGGGCAAAAGCGGGACACCGCCGTCGATGAGCAAATCTCCTCCCCGCTCGCCTGCAACTCCAACTTCCTTTCCAGAGAATAAGAAGCAGCTCAGAGTCGCTCGCGATTTGCCAATATTAAAACACCGCATTGTGTTTTCTCTGTTGTTGATCTCGATTCATAGAAGGATTCTCTCTTGAAGCAAGCAAAATGTCCGCAAACTTCACCATCAACGACCTGCTCCCCCTCCCCAATTCCTCGGTCAGAATCCCCCGTCTTGGATTCGGTGTCTATCGCTCTCCCACGAGCCAAACCGTCCAGTCTGCCTCGAAGGCTCTGGAGGTCGGATACCGACACATCGATACGGCCCAGTTCTACGCGAACGAGAAGGAAGTTGGCGAGGCGATCCGCGCCTCGGGCATCCCGCGCAGCGAGATCTTCGTGACGACCAAGATCCTGAGTCCCGCAGGCTCACCCGAAGCTACCTATAGCAAGCTGGTGGATAGTGTGGAGAAGATTGGAGGCAAGGATGGATACGTTGATTTGTTTTTGATTCACAGCTCCAGCTCGGGGTCCTCGGGTCGGAAGGAGCTGTGGCAAGCGTTGGAGAAGCTGCTGGAGGAAGGGAAAACGAAGAGTATTGGCGTGAGTAACTTTGGGGTTAAGCATATTGAGGAGCTGAAGCCCTTTGCGAAGGTCTGGCCGCCACATGTCAACCAAATTGAGGTGAGTATTCGGATTCCTGCCTAGCTTCGGAGGAGTGTAGGAGTAGGATGCTGACTGGAAATAAAACGTCAGCTTCATCCGTGGTGTCAGCAGCGTGTGATCGATGCCTATTGCAAGAAGAACGGAATCGTTGTCGAAGCTTATTCCCCCATCGTGCGCAACTATAAGGCCAGCGATCCTACGCTTGTCGAACTGGCGAACAAATACGGAAAGAGTACTCAGCAGGTCCTGATACGCTACGCTCTGCAGAAGGGGTGGGTTCCGCTTCCCAAGACCGACAACCCCGACCGAATTGTCAGCAATGCCGATGTTTTCGACTTTGATATCAGTGAGGAGGACTTTGCTGTGTTGAACGCTCTGGATCAGGGGCGTGCTGGGGCTATCGTGGAGGCCGTGGCCAACGAGTAAATGTTTAGGATGTGTGACGCCTTGTATAGAGTGCAGCTAGAGCTGTATATGTAATGCAACCATATGATTGTCTAATAATCTGGTCTTTGCATGAGAAAGGCGTTGACGGACTGGAGCGTAGTGCGCGAGGGATTGACGTCGTGTTTTGACGATACGATCCAGGCCAGGCGCTGGCGGATGAATTGTTTGCTAATCCTGGGTTGACCGGAGGATGAAAATGACCCTGAGAGAGTCAGAAAAGACGTGTCGGGAGAAAAAGAAGGGAAGGAAGGATGGGACATACCGGTGTCATCGTAGGACGAGCATAAGATGGTGAGTAAGACGCCGGCCGAAAGATCCTTTCCGGATTCGCATGTCACGAGCAACGACCGTGACGGATCGGGAGCGAGCTGCGAGCTGATGAAAGCTTGAACCTTGTCTAAGTGATTGCGAAGGTCTCGACCTCCCGACTTTGCGGACCCGCACCCAAGATTCAGCCGTTTCGCATTATCTTCCGAGGCGTCTGCAGGAGCATTGCAATCGATGACCAAATCATACAGACCGCTCTCGTTTGTCCGACCATCCGACGGGCCGATGTACAGGTTCTGAGTCGGTGTGATGAGAGTGGCCTGATGGACGCTTTCCTGCCGACTCTGTTCCTTGGCCAACTCCTCAAACAGCTGGGGCAAATCTTCCTCCGCCGTCTGAAAAATGGTGGATTTGTTGGCCCAGAATACTGGAGGCGTCAAACCATAAGCCCAACTTTCACTGTCATCCCCTGCGCCCTGGATGTAGCCACCCTCCGATATTTCCGCGCCGTGCACCCGTTTAGATGCGGAGCAAAGGACGAAGAGATTATAGTCATCTCCTTTGTATAAGTCCGTGGGGTGAAAGTAAGAGCGATTGGCCCAAGCGATACGGATAGGCTTGCGCAGTTGCTGCCTGAGGTGGTCCAAGTCGAGCTTAAGATCCTGGGGCTGGTCAGTACCCGACTGGCATTAATCAGAATGGTCCAATCAGGAGCGAGGTACCGTGAGTGATTTTATAAAGCCGTCGATGCGTTTCTCAATTTGCGACTCTTCTGACTCGCCCAGGAAGTTTGGCGGGAACTGGACCGGGTGATATGCAGTGTCGGACGGAAACAGAGCTCGATTGATAACAGCAGACCAGATGGGCACGGTCTTGGAGAGGGCATCGGGCATCACTGGCGCTTAGTGAGACGACGGTTATACGAGGGGTGGAAAATCGGGCTGAACCAGCCGTTGACTTACATTTACCCCGGCGCGTTGAGTCGACTATAATACAGCTGCAGCGCTCATTGGGAGCAACGGTCAGCCCGGGAAGATATTCTATTGGCGAAAGCAGTCGTTGCAGGGCATTGGAATTACTCACCCCCCAAACTTCCGAGCAATTGGCAAGATCTGCAGGTTTAGTCTACGAAAGCTAAAGTCCCACTGGCCGGTATGGCCATCAGTGCTCTTGAAGTAGGCGCTACCACATTTGGCTTCCGGTGGGATATACCAACTCCCACATCGTTCATTGGCTACAAGGGGAAGGTCGTAGTGGTCGGAGACTTCCTGTGCGAAGGTGGCATCCGACTCGATAGAACGTAGTCGGTTGGTGAGGGAGAGTGCAGAGCGTCGCAGCGAAGACAGGGTCTGGGAGACGGACTGCAGCTCGCGGGATGGGAAATGAAGGGACGAGACTGAGATCGGGTAGGGATCGGAACCCATGTTTCCTCGTGGGACTTGGCAGCAAGAGTAAATAATAGTAAACAGGAGTGCCAGCCGCCTGTCCTAAGAATCAGGCTGTTCTCACCCGCAAATCACGGGCTTCCAGTTGAAAGGCGGGGAAATGCCGGCGACGTGGACGGGCTACCCAGGTGCCAAAGTAAGAGAGACAAAGATAGATAGCAATCAAGTATCCTAGTAGTATGGGGGGTTCGTAGCAGGGGTGTGGATATCCAGTTGTCAACCCGCCTGGGCCGATTTCGTGGAATCTTCGAGTCTTGGAATCCGACAACTCAAGAAAGCAGATCATGGAAGAATGAAATCCATAGAAGAATCGTTTCTGCGACGTGAAAAAAGAGGGGCCCCTCAGCCAATGAGAATCAGGCAATGACCCACCAAATTCTTGCCTGCGGATTCGGGTGTCGTTCCGAGGCAGCAAACCACATGATACAGAATGGACACGGGCAAGGCGACGACGGGAGTATCATGTCATCATGCTTGGGAGACCTTCGCAACAGACAAGTGTTTGACTAGAGATTGGTATAGAGTCCTCAATCTAGGAAATCTTGAGCAATGCGACTCTAAATCTGCTGTTAGTCAAAACACTGTACTAGTAGGTTCCAGCATACGGAGGAGCGGGTGGGGCAGAGGTTACCGCCGAGTCCAGGTACATCGAGATACTTCTAGACACTTTGAAATGTTTGATTCCCTAGGCCCACAGGAAATCTGGGCACGTACCGGGAGGTAGCGGTACTTTCGAAGTCCGCGCGGACTACCCTGGGACCAAGCCAATGGTCCCTGACTTTGAGAAACAATGCCACTTGATCATGTCCCCTGGTCATCCTATCCAAGTCAACTTTTTGATTCAACTGCACAGGAATTAGGCCTCTTCAACCGCTTGTTTGGCGTCAGCATTTGGCTCCATAACTAGTTATAGACATGGGGTTATTGTGCATGGACGACAGTGCTCCGGACAAAACACAAGGAGTTTCGAATTCTGTAAATGTTGTGCATAGACTGTAGACCGTTAGAAATGCAGCGGATGCCTGCCTCAGGGGGCTTAGCGCACGGTCTAGTGCCTGCGCAGCCCCGAAGGCCGGCGCCTTTCGGTGCGGGCAAACGAAGTCGGCAACGTCACGGGCCCCTCGACAGGTATGACCTCAGGCCCCGCTATCCTATTTCTCTGGTCCCGCTCTTGCCCGGTTTGCGCCCAGAATCCCATGATTTCGCGGTGAACAGAATCGTTGCTATTTTGGATTACCGGCTTAGCGTCATTGCGGGCTCGCTGGGGATCAATTTCGGCCGAACTACTTAAGGGACTTCTTCCCTCTTGTTTACCGGAAGTTACCTTGAATTCGTATTTGTTTTCAACCGTCCCCCGCTTCTCTTTTCCCTTCCCCAGCTTTTATCTTCCGGTCACCACCACCCTGCCCGCTCAGGCTTTCCTTCTACTTTCTCCCACTCCCCATCCTCTCTGACAGTTGAGATCGTCGATCATCGTCGCCATCATGCCTAAAGTGAGTTTATCTTTTCTATCGTCCGCTTGGTAATATCCCGGACACACGTCACTAACAGACGCCACGCTTGCAGATCACCGAGATCTTCTTCGACTGCGACAACACCCTCGTCCTCTCCGAGGAGTTGGCATTTGAGGCCTGCGCCGAACTCGCCAATGAGATCCTGGAGAAGCAGAACATCCCGGACCGGTACACTGGGGAACAGCTCATCCAGGACTTTGTCGGTCAGAACTTCCGGGGTATGATGGTCTCTCTGCAGGCCAAGTACAACTTCGATCTGCCCAAGGAGGAGCTGGAGGGCTATGTCACCAAGGAGGAGGACAAGGTGATCGCCAAGCTGACCGAAAAGGCTCAGCCTTGTGTGGGCGCTACCGAGGAGCTCCAGAAGCTGTATGATTCGAAGAAATATGACCTTGCCGTGGTCTCGTCGTCTGCTTTGCGCCGGGTAGTGGCCTCAATCAAGAAGGTAGACCAGGCCAAGTTCTTTGATGAGGACAAGGTCTTCAGCGCGGCTACTTCGCTCGAGAAACCCACTTCCAAGCCCGACCCGGCCATCTACCTCCACGCCTTGAAGAAGTGCGGCAAGGAGGCCAACGAGGTTGTCGCGATCGAGGATAGCAAGTCAGGCGCCCTCAGTGCCATCCGCGCCGGCATCCACGTTATCGGATACGTTGGCAGCTACCCCGGAGACGCCAAGAAGATTGAAATGACGAAGCTCCTCCAGGACCTCGGAGCCAAGGTCATCATGAAGGATTGGTCCGAGTTCGAGCAGTGCTTGGCTGAGATCGAGAAGTCGTGATCGAATCGCCATACCCTAAATACCTTTCATACGAGTCACGATAGCGAGCGCAGGTCGTTACGGAGCAATGGGCTTTCTTTATTTCATTTAATTTTCAACCACCCAAGATCATTCGCATTGCATGTCATCGACCATACGATAAAAATACACGTGTCGAGCGGACCAGTTTGATCATATTTTCTTCTCTTTGTTCCCACATATCTGCGATCGGGAAAGCATGGATTGTTACCTCGTTCTAGCATAGACATGTCTATAGCAAAGAAATATTATTTACTTTCTCCATTGCTCGATGTCACGGAAACGTTTAGTGTACCTTGAATTATCAAAATCCCGTAAATGCCGCATGATTACCCAATTTTTAATGAATACAGAGTGTCCATCTATTGAACGAACACAATTTAATCCGATGAACCCGAAAACGTCACATTTATTGGAGATCGAAGCCAAAAGGTATTAGATGTCAAATGGACGACAGTAATACATTGTCACAAAGACGCCAGTGGCTTCGGTATCCGAAAAAGGCAACCAGATTTGCAAGTCGCAGGTTTAATCCAGGTCAGACGACCGGCTAAAATGGCACAGGAAGTGATTAGTCTGTTTCAAGAGCAAATAATGTGCAACCAAGCCGGAAATGAACATACTAATACGCCGCGACATGGTCCATATAATCTCGCGCCTGTCCATCCCAGCCAATGTCCTGGAAGGAGGTGACCCATCGCCTCCGCGTTCTCTCGATCGTTCATGCCAATCAAGGGGGGGGATACGTCTTGAAGAATTTGGCTGATAATGTTACCCGAGTACCAGGAATTTGTCCCCGGCCTTGTGAATGCTCGCACCAAAGACCTGCTCCTCCGCGGTGGCTTCTGTTTGCACAATGAGTGGGAAGATCACCTGATGTGGTACACCCTCATTGCCTCCATATTCACTCCCATAAAATGTACCAAACTCGTCACAACATCGTGCTTACTTGTGTCCCGGCAATTCGTAATCTTCTCCAGCCAGGCATATCAAAGCCTAGCAGCTGTACCGGGTATATACGGAGGAGGAAGTGATGCCGCTGCTGACCGAAGCGCCCGAACTCAGCGGCGGTTCATATTTGATGAGATCTACAGAATCAAGTCAGTACCCGAGTAATCCATTCCGGATTAACTGTTCTTACAACATTGATCGCAGTAATACCTGTCCTCACAGGCAACCATATGTCTTTCGCGACTTCGGCAGTCGAAGCAGCCGACTGCATGGCCTTCACAGTCCGTAGATTGGAATCGTCGACGATGAGGACAGGCCCGCAGCGTTGAATCGACTCGGCATCTCCTGGTGCAGGCATGATCCGCACAGTAGAGCCTAGTGCTTCCACGAGAGAACTGATGCGCGCTCCTAACAGGCCTGATGCATCCAGCTTCCTGGCATGTGTGATACTGACATCGCGTGCCATTATCGAGTCGGCGCTGCTGACACCGCTGCTCGTGACATTTGAAGTACATTTTGGGCAACGGGTGTGGATTCATTTTGTACAGCTCAAAATCTCGGATCTTTTGGGCACGTTAGAATGAAGAAAACCTTTGTCTGGGGACAATAAAATGGGATTCTTCCTTCTTTTTTAACTGTATGAACGCCATAGCCGCCAGCCTTGTGAGCTGGCTTGGGATCCTTGGCGGGGTGTTTTAGCAGGCAATACCCCCCAGCCAGGTGGGCTTGGGCTTCTTGCCAGAGTGTCCGGGTATCGAGGAAGCGACATGATAGGCTGCCTTGCAGACTCTAGTCTATAAGGATAATCGCGAACCGACAGATCATTTGACAGAAAGAGGTTTGTTTCTAGCCTTCTTATATGCAAAAGTGTGAAATTTGAGCCTGTAGCATATTCATTGTCGTGTCAGAGCCCCGGCGGTCTTGGGGAATTATGAAGAAGATCTCCGTCGACCAGATCCAGCGCCAGGAAGTTCTGAACGCGCAGGGGAAAGAGATTTTCAAAGTTCGGATTTTATAAGAGGCCTTGCTTCTTCTTGGTACTTGGTCCCAAATTATTCACAAGCTGGCGATATAAATGAAGGTCCATGCCAAGTCCCAGCTTCTGTAATGTATCCAAAGAACTCGTCGGTTGCTAGTTGATTGAATGGATCACGAGCCGTGCCACTGAGATGACTGACAGCTTTGAAGGAGAAGCCGGTGACACACTTTGATTGCTGGAGATTCTGACTGAGCTCGAGGTCTCTGCTCCAACCTGCGAGTGGCTTGTAATGTGACGGAGTGCGATATGTGGGCAATGGGCCAAGAAATGGAGTGATGTGGTGGGCGAAAAGTGTCAGATATTGGCACTGCTGGTGAACGTTATATTTGGTATCAATGAGCAGCTTGCTGAGAATAAGGCCCCCCAATATTCTACCAGTCCTGTTGATCTTTGTTTGGGAAGTAGAGATATTTGCTCAAGCATTGAAACGCAGATTTAGAAAATTAAGTTGAATCATTTTTAGGCTTCGGCTGTGAGATAATAGGGATTATCAAAGCCATTATACCTGGCAGCGACTGTGATGGAAGATGGTACTTGGGAGCACTATACGAATCTAGTAGATCGTGTATTGGTATTTGGTTGGTGGGCGAAGGGTGGAATTCTGTCGGTTATATAGATGTTAGTAGGAGCAAGTTTGTAACGTCGTGTCGCGGATTGGGAAACAAGATCTAATGACACCTTGTATATCTCCAGGGATGCTCTCCGGGTTGTTTATAGTTCCAGCATGCTGTCTCTTGCATGTAGTATGACCCATTCCGATGCCTTCGGTGATGGAAACGGAGGTTTAAAAAGCGGAAAAGCTGTGTGAGAGAACCTCTTGACGGGACCTTCCTGTGATGTGTATGCTACACAATATTGCAGGGACATGAGCGCTTAAGTAATTGGAGAGAATAAGTGCAAGCACCCTCATGGTCTTACCGTTTTGGCTATTTGCAGGTCCCAGATAGCCTTTCTCAAGTTTGATACGGGGAACAGGCAGTGTAACAGTCACCAAAGCATCACCAATCAGAGCAAACACAGCCCATGCAAAGGCGACGCATGAAGAACAATTCGGACAATATCCTCATCCATAGAGCACCCCATACTTCGGAGTAGATTATGGAGTACCGATAAGATAAGGGCCCAAGCCCTTCCGCGGAACCCCGCTCCTCTGCCCCTCGTGACGGCCCCGTCGGACGAAGCTTGGAAGCTTCCTCCATCCGGGTCTTTGATTGTGTTGACTCAATCTTAATACTACAATTTGTTTCCACCTCCAACCATGTCTGAGCGCAAAGAAATCAAGTCGACGCTGGTGTCAAGAGGTCCGCTGGTAAGGTTCAATGATTCACGGGTGTTGAACCACTGGCATTGACGACTTCCTTCTAGGACCCAAAGGAAGCCCGATGGGCTAGACTTGTCAAGACTACATATCGGGATCCTCTAGGCGTGGAACGCACATGGGAGTCTGCAGAGCGACAGGTAATTACGTTCCCTTACCTTGGTTATGGCTCGATGGTGGCGGGGATTGTGGCTGCTTCTACTCCCGACTACCAAAATGCCACGGTCATTTGACCCTACGATATAGATCCCTGGTACTCACATGATAACTGCAGACTCGACCGGCGAACTGCGCCATTGACGGCGTCGGAATCGTGACCATTCTCAACAAGGCGTCGGGCCCTGAGCTGCTCCTACAAAAGCAGTACCGACCGCCCATCGATAAAGTTGTCATCGAGGTCCCAGCCGGTTTGATTGATGCGGGTGAGACGGTTGAGGACTGCGCCGTGCGTGAACTAAAAGAGGAAACGGGCTACGTGGGAGTCGCGGAGGAGACAAGCAGTGTGATGTACAACGGTAGGCTGGTTCTCTATTCAAGTAAGCTGCATATTCGGCGGGCTTCGTCAATCTACGAGTTGCCCCCGCTGGTGGGATTGAGTCACTAATCGCGATGATCTGGTAGACCCCGGATTTTGCAACACCAACCTGAACATGGTCCACGTGCGGGTGGACATGTCCCTGCCCGAGAACCAGAACCCCAAGCCGCAGCTCGAGGACAACGAGTTCATTGAGTGTTTCAGCGCTCCGTTATCGAGCTTGTTCGAGGAGTTGAAAAAGTTAGAGGCGGAGGGTTATGCCATTGACGCTCGCGTGGGGACGATTGCCGAGGGGATTGAGCTTGCGAAGAAGTGGAAGCTATAAAGTTTCTTGTCGATGGTTCACGCGGGGGTTGATATCGTATTCAAGACGGATAGCAGTCGTGTCGATCATTCGATAGAAACGAATAGACTTGATTCATTCCCCGACGATCAAATACGACCTTCCTCCTGGAGCCCTTTGTACAAGGCCCAAGCTGCCAAAGTCTTGCCATCCCGCAACCCTTCTTTCCACAGGTCCTTTAACGGTACGATTTTTAACGTGATCTTCTCCCCTTCCTGTCGCAAACCCGTCAATCGGCCCTGGAATGCGTCGATGTCACCCCGTGGCATGCGTTTCTGGCACAAGAACAAAGGAATGAACTCGTCACTCCCTCCGGCTGACGGGTATACCGCATTTTGGAGGGGTCCTTCATTTTCCGATCGGGCAGTCAACTGCGACGCTAGGGATGTCATGTCGATGAGTTCATCCTGGGGAATGACCAGCCCCGTCTCCTCCTGAATCTCCTTGGCTGCACCGCCGGCAAATGATCCGCTGTCGTCAAGCATACCGGCAGGGATCTCCGAGAATGCAAGTGAACCGGCAGGAACTCGAGGCTGGACCGTGAGAATTGCTCGCTTCTCATCTTCGTTGGACGGAGGCACATCGTCGGGCTGGAGGATGAGCTTTGTCGAACCAAGGGACGGGCTGTTAGTGACACAAAGAACCTTAGGGGGGAGCAGGGAACTTGGCCCGCGCTTACCAGCATTCCTACACTGCCACCCCGCAGGAACACGCTGCCCGGAAGCGATTCCCCGCGGTCATTTGACACGCCAGCTTTCAACTTCACGAACCCCAGACGACCCCCGCCGAAAAAGTCGACGGCCTGCACGTCGATTCTGCGTAGAACGTAGGGATCCTTGAAGAATTCATGGGACGGATTGCGCTGTTGCTCAAGCGAATGTTGTAGGGTCGAAAGCCAAATCCGAAACGCGGGGAAACGCCAGAGATCCTCCTTGCTGAGATCGGGCGTACCAGTAAAGGCCAGGCCCTGATCGGGGGGCGCAGCAGTCGACATGGCGCAGGTGGCAGGACGGGAAAGTCGAGAAGGCTGCAGCAGCCGGAGAGAGCGAGACCAGACGTTCATTCAGCACTCAGCGGCGACTGGCGGGAAGTGCGAGCCTGAGGTTGGAAAGGCTGCCTGGCGTCCTCAGGAATGAACGAACAAAGGACGATGACGTACGTCGCGATCAACTCGGAGGCGCTAACCGCAGGCGGGGCTGAGTCAGCGGGCACGGCGTTCCCCCCTCTCCATGGCTTCGGCCGGCATCCTGAATCCAGACATCTGCTCCATTCCTCCTCGGACCTTCGCGTCACGCCGCCTTTTTACTTTTTTTACTCCGTACTAATGTTGTTCTTTCTCCTCCGGTAACTAGTCCCATGCCAGCGCGGCCACGGTTCCCGGATGAAACGAACACATCAGCTGGCGGGGTCAAACCCGTCAGCCTGCTGACTCCCGCATCGACCTTGCCTTTCTTTGTCTCCTTAGCCCGAGATGGATCAGCGAATTAATTAATTCAGATCGAATCGAATCGGACAGGGCTGGGCGGGTCTTCCACCGCTGTCTCCTCTGACCCCTTCCCTTTCCCTTCTTGGTTATTTGTCCTGGTCGCTTAGGCAGGCTGTTCCGCGGCGGCGTTGCAGTGCAGCGCGCCGATGCCATCTGTGCCCTCGGGGGCTTGAACTGGTCGGGTCTAGAGCAACCAACGTTGTCCAGACGTCAATCAGCCAGCCTGGGTGGGCTCGGACCTATCTGCCTTCCGACAAACCCTCGTTCCCTTTCTTTTTCTCTCCCTCCATCCCCCTCCCTCCTTATCTCCTTCACACTTGGTTCCTTCCCGCGGCGCGGTGGTGATTTATGTAGGATCCGGATTCCGAAAGGAAAGGAGCCAGGTACGGAGTTTCGCCCTGAAAAGCTTCTAGTGTAACGCGGTTGAGCTTGTCGCGTTTGGTGTATGTAGCTCAAGGTTTCGTTCATTTGATTTTATTCAGTCATTGGGACCACTGTTCTGATTCCTGTCTGATTATTTAAAGGGCCACTATCCCGCCTGTAGCTTGATCTTCGACGGTTCATCTTTACCTCACGATATTTCAGAACAGAACAACCTCGATGCTGCTGGAAGGATCGACATGAGGCCACAGCCCATGAGTGTCTTTCTCCTATCCGAATCTAAGTCATCGTTTTAACTGGGATGCTCCTATATCTCGAAGTCTGACCCTATCTCATTCTATCTCTCTATATTGTATCTTAATTCTCCAAAGGAACGCCCTGCTTTTCTCACATACGATCTTCGAATCATGTTTAGCACATTGGCTCCTCCGACCAGATCCCTCCGCAAATACTCTCTGTCGCCCAAACTCAGTGCGTCACACTCAATTCGAATTGCACTAAAGTTTTGCGATTTGAATCGTCACCTTTGACGTCATTCCTTGTTGTGAGCTATCTGTAAGTAGCCAAACAAAACCCTTGGTTGGACCCAACAATTTGCATCTTCCTTTTTTTTTTTGCGGCTCTTCCTGCTATAACAAAAGACTTCTTCCTGTGCACTATGGCGGTCTGCCCCATCTGTATATCGATACCTGGGTCACTTGCCCCCCTGTCCAGTACTGACAGGCTGTCATTTTCCATGGACAGTGCCGGTTTTTTGCCGGATCCTGTCGTAATTTATTCCCTGACAACGACAGCATATAGAATCTTCCTCTTCCTCTTCACTCTCTCCTTTCTTCCAACTATATTCTCATCTTGTTTAAAGTATCGTCTTTCTCTTGAAAGAAATCTTGATCATTCAGCTAATCCTTGACCATCCTACTTCCAGATTTACCTGCCCTGCGAGTTGAACCCGCTTTTCATAATGTCTTCTGATACTCAACTCTGGGGCCCGGACACTATGACTCAAGACCTCGGAGCTGATCAAGTGTCATTTGCTCTGCCTCCTTATGACCCAGGGCCTCCTTATGACCCGGGCCAGGCCCACGAGAATGGCATTTCAGCCAACAATCATGGCCCTGCAGTTCCTAACCCATACGGGGCTGCTCACAATAATATGCGCAACCCGCAAGAACCTAGTGAGTAACTCTCTTGGTTTTTACATTGGCCAGCTCCTGACATGTCAGCAGATGGTCATGGATTTGCCTGGAACAGCAATATGTTGGATGGCAGCGTTCAGTCTTCACTCCTCGGTGGCAATGAACAGTCGACCGAAGCGACATCTAGGCCAGTGACTAGTGAATCTACAATAGGTGTCGCACCAACTCCCTTTCTTGACCATAGGGCGCAAAGCTATTCATGGGTACATCCTTTCCCGCAAACCCTGAATGCAACTGAGACACAACCACAGACAGTCGAACCACATGGGTTGAACCATCCCCAGAATATGCCCCCCGGCACACCTTGGCAGACTCAGCTTCTTCCTGTCCCGGTTGCACCCTCACCGCGTTGCCCTTACGCAACGGGCCTTCAGTTTTCGTTTTCACCGCAGCCTCCAACTCAGCCAATCAACCCTACCCCGTTTTCGCAGACCAGAGTCTCGGGTCAGTCGTTGACCTCGTTCCACCCAGAGTCGGCATTTATGCAGACACAGCTTCGTGCGAACTCTTTGTTGAATGCCGATACCCCAACATACGTCCCTGGGTATACTGGGGTAAACCCACGCACTCGGGGCCGGTCCTCAACGGGAACTAGCCCTCCCTTCTCGTCTGCTCGTGATAGAGGTCCAGCTGTCACGCTCTTCGGTCCCTCCTTTTTCAATCCGCCCTTACCTTCCTGGACCCCGGGAGCCCATCATTACCGACCCCGCCGCTCCAGGAATAGGCATGGACCAGCCCAACGTTTCGACACCACCGGAGTTCCCAGCAGTAACCATGTCTCTCGTCATGCACTGCCTAAAGGACTGGATGATCCGCTAGATAAGCGTCCCGAACCGAAGGAAACGGCCGAGATGACTGTCAACATGGAGTGCAAAGTCTGCATGAGTCAACCGGTGGATACGGCTGTTTTCCCTTGCGGTCATGCAATGTTCTGTCGCTGGTGTGCGGAAAAGTGCATGCCGTCGCCGCGTCATGATAGGGGCCGCGTTAAGGAATCCTCTCGTTGCCCGGTGTGTCGATGCACTGTTCGACAGAAGGCAGGCTTTCCCTCCCTGTTTCTCCATCATTTCCAAGCTGGTTCATGCTAACAAGGAGGTAGATGCGGATCTTTCTCCCTTAGCTGTCGGTAGTCTCGCTCTAGAAGCAAGACTTCTCGCTCCAAATGATTGCTGCTTACATGATGGAGTTGCGGTTTTACCAACAGACACAATCGGGCTAGTGGCGTTTCCTTTGGCGTTGTAATCATGACATAATTTGCGATCTCGGCCTTCTAACCATAAGTTCACTGGTTGGATCTTCTTTGCATAGGGTTATTGTGATTTTCATGCTTTAGATTCTTCTTAGATTATGCGACCGACGGCCTTCCCTCTTTTCGCGAGACTTTCACCTATTGCGATGTTCATGTCTTCTTTGCATACGATGCCTCCTTGATGAAATTGTGTCTTCATATGAGCGTGCTTATCTCTGGTTGCATCGTGTCTTCTGTTTCTGCTTTTGGCTTTTTTTATTCCCTTTGATGCATGCTTTGTCTTTTATTTCGGATCTCAGACATATATTTGCTGAATCCATAATCTGCGAAGCCCTGTATTTAGTCATTTCATTTTCATCCTACTGAACATTGACATCTAAATAAATCATCAATTCCTCTTGGATTCTATTTGAAGTTGATGTAGAAGGCATGAACCCTTTTGAATAAACCTTTCACTTTTCTTGCTCCTCGTTGTCATACCCATTTTTCGAGTTAGTTACAACGTCATCGTCATCTGGAGCACGGGTCACGGAATACGAAGTCTTTCCCTACTTGCCCTCGAGGTGCTATGCAAGCAGAAAGAGCTTTGATACATCCGGGTATAAAATTGAGTTTACAGCGTTTGAAAAAGGGATCCTAGGTAAACTCATGGTAAGTGTGTAAGTTAAGTTTCGCGTACGATTTGCATAGACCTGGCGAGATCATAGTAGGCTGTAGCAACTACTTCAGTACTGTCTATTTAACATACTGTTGCTTGCTTAAAAGCCTAACAGACTAGTGCGATCGTAAAAACTCGAGAACAGATAGTTATTGCTATGATAGTATGATGACTGGCATTCTAAGAACTACGGAAAAGTTAAGACCAGAGACTTATTAGCTAGTATCATTTGCGCATTCTGGGTTCGACTAGACAGGCCGAAACGAGGTTGTGGACATGAGTGTTGAAAAACGGTGTTAGAAGGAGAACCAGTGACGCCAGAGAGGTCCATACTCGGCTCATACTCTTGGAGTGGTGGAAGCCAGGATGGGCGCTGAGCCCAGGACGATCCCTCCCGGGGTAACGCAAACTCAAGCCAGAACGGGTCAACTCTGATATGTCTGAAGAACATGTTTAATGCACCTGGTTCGAAATAAGATGAAGCCACCGTTGTCCGCATCTTCGCCACAGGCACTAAGTTATCAAGCTCCTGGACGAAACTTGGTAAAATGCCGTCAAGATTTGAGCTCGAGCGAGATATCATGGCAATGAGATCTTTCTTATGGTTGGCTTTAAAATTCACATGGTTTAATCCTAGGGAGGTGGGTGAATTATGTTTGGGGAATTTGCCATGGTGGTATATTCGTGATCCGTTCCCAATGAATGGCATCTACAGTCTGCTGATCTTATCGAGGAGTTCCTGTTCAAACACTGTCATATGAGGTCGGACACAGTCCAATGAGTTGCCACAATCGTCAAGAAGGAAAATAGTCCGGCCCACAGAGACTGTTAATGAAGGCGCACATCATTTCAGTGACGGCAGGGCTCAGATCAGAGACATTGTTGACAACCCACCAAACACCCTCGAAGACGACGTTGTCATCGCGTATGTGGCGAATGAGGTCGACTAACTGCTGGAATACCAACTTTGCGTTATGCTGATTGATACCGGGTGTATCGAGAAAGGCGTAACGTTGCGACTTGATGCTCGCTTGTACTATACCACAATTGAATGTAGGTTCACGACTTGTGGTAGGTCTGCATTGCCAAGGCTTGTATGGCCAAGGCAAGCCTAGCGATGGCTCGCCAGCTTCTGGCTGCTCGCTATGTTTGCGAAAAGGATCGAAAACATGATCAATTGGTGTGGTTTTCCCGGCATCCAGTTCACCCAGGACAATGATTACACGGGTTTCTCCTTGGCCTTTGGGAATGATAACCTAATGCTCCATGGAAGGATCAGGCAATCAAAGAGTTGGGAAGTGGGCAAATAGAAAAAGTACACCGCAGTGATGGTTCCCCAAGGCAGGGCGTCACATGGCCAACATGTGACCGGATGCCTTTCTTGTCGCGACGACAGACCGACGGAAGTTTCATCATTGCCAAATCGTTCTTTCATCGACTGACATTCAAATTGACTAACTCTGACGGGGCTAAAAAGGCACTAAAAGACCTGCTTACCCGGCGTCGCCATAATATCTGAAATGGCGTGATGGACCCTCGACAAGGAAAGGCAAGCGTGGCCGGCCTGTTTCGAACCAACGCTAACTCTTATTTCTTCTTCTGTCCTCCCGCTATCCTCATGCGGAAACCAAGATGAAGGCTTTAGATGAATAGATGAAGGTAAGCGATCCTCTCAATTATCCCGGTGCTTGGCCCTCTCCTCCTTTCCCTGTTAGCTGAGTTTGCAAATGAACTGTCCGACGCCGCATCTGTCGTGATCTCTCTCCTTTCTTTTCTTTTGCCTCGTGTCTGTGTTTTTCCTCGGAGCTCCGTATCGGCTGGCCTAATGCCCATTGTCCACAGTGGAACTGGCGGGTCGACCTTACGGTGTACCTAGCCGTGGTGGGTCACCGGGACACGGTCAGCCCTATCTTGCTACAGTCAATCTTTTCTTGAAAATTATTGCCTACGGTCGAGGTACCAGAGCAGAAGAAGCTCTTGCGCTTCGCGAAGGGGAGCCAGGCCACCGGTCCTCAACATATACAGAAAGGCCCGCCAACGGTGGCCAAGATACGAACCATAGTGGGGTAAAATGAAGAGCAGGCGTACCAAGCAACTAGTTCCAGTCCAGCAGTCTGGGCGTGGCACCAAGACGCCAACACGGGCCTGGATCCAATCAACCATTCCCCGACAGGCTCCCTGCAATATCGAACCCGTGTGCAAAGGCGTCAAGGTGAAATCGTAGAATCAAACATGGTGGGTTGCCCATCGCATGGCAAAATGGCGCTATGCCTGCGTGTGGTGAGGATGGTGAAGCTCCGCGGGCCAATGCAGATGAATCTCCTCTTAACCGACAATCCTGCTCCCAGCTGGCTAATTCGTGATTGGTCCGATTGGAGTATATTTGCACTTCCGTCCTAAAATCACGACATCGCCTAGCCGCATGGCAGTGGCTCTGCATTCGCTTTCCCCTCGACCATGAGGAACAATTTTCCTTTGTCGAGATGCAGCATATAAGAGTTTGGGCGTTTTCCTTCTGCTTATTTTCGTCGACATGGCACTTGCTTCTTTCTCGACCTTTTCTTGACTGTTTGCTTGATTCGAATAGGTGCTTACGGCGCGTGTCGTCTGTCAAACGAATCGGACGCCGAGAGCGCCGATAAATCTGATCGGTCATGTCGGACAGCAAATCTTCCAAGCTCGGTCATGGCCTGGCCAAAGTCTTGGGAATCGATCCGAACAGCAACAAAAGCCCCAGCACCAGCCATGATTCCATAGAAGGTGTTCATTCTCTCACTTATGTCGAGCCAGAACCGACTGCAGGTGACTGGATTCGGGAGCACGCCCCTACGGCCCGTGACGCCATTCAATATGTCTACAATTTGTTCCCATTCCTACATTGGATTCTGAGTTACAACCTACAATGGTTCATTGGGGACTTGGTTGCCGGTAGGCTCCCTGCTCTTATTCTACATGCAGTACGAAACTGAGAATCCTAGGCATCACTGTCGGTGCTGTTGTCGTTCCTCAGGGTATGGCATATGCCATCCTTGCTGAATTACCCCCCGAGTATGGCTTGTACACGTCGTTCATGGGTGTACTGATATACTGGTTCTTTGCCACATCAAAGGATATCACGATTGGAGTACGTCTTCCTTGCCACCCTTTTGCCGCCCGGGCCTTCACAACTGACCGTTTCAGCCCGTGGCTGTCATGTCTACTTTAGTTGGCGGTATTATCATAAGCACACAAGAAAAGCACCCCGAGATAGAGGCCACCGACATCGCATCCGCGTTGGCCATCATCTGCGGCGCCATCGTCGTCTTTCTGGGCTTCATTCGATTCGGTTTCATTGTGGACTTCATTCCGCTGCCAGCTATCACGGCGTTCATGACAGGCTCCGCCATCAACATCTGCTCTGGACAAGTGAAAACATTACTAGGAGAGACTGCCAAGTTCTCGACGCGTGGTGCGACCTACCGAGTGATAATTGATACCCTCAAACACTTGCCGACCGCCCAGATGGACGCAGCTATGGGCGTGACCGCACTGGCCTTGCTGTATGCTATTCGGTTCGCCTGTAATTTTGCGGCGCGCCGAAAGCCGCATCGCGCGAAGCTTTTCTTTTTCATTTCGACCCTTCGCACGGCCTTTATCATTTTGTTCTATACCATGATCAGCGCTGCCGTCAATCTACACCGGCGTGATGATCCCGCCTTCAAAATCCTCGGTGAGGTGCCGCGAGGCTTCACTCATGCCAGAGTGCCTCGCGTTGATTCTGAAATCATCTCCTCATTTGCCAATGAGATCCCAGGCGCAGTCATTGTGCTCCTGATTGAGCATATTGCGATCTCGAAGTCGTTCGGCCGAGTCAATAATTACACCATCAATCCCTCGCAAGAATTCATCGCTATCGGCATCACCAATCTCCTAGGTCCTTTCTTGGGCGCTTATCCCGCTACAGGTTCGTTCTCGCGGACAGCTATCAAGGCTAAATCCGGTGTACGCACACCACTAGCGGGTGTTATCACGGCAATCGTCGTTCTTCTGGCTATCTACGCCCTTCCAGCTGTTTTCTTCTATATCCCTAGTGCTTCTCTCGCGGGTGTCATTATCCATGCCGTCGGAGACCTGATCACTCCCCCCAGCGTTACCTACCAGTTCTGGCGTGTTGCGCCCATTGACGCTCTCATCTTTCTGGGAGGTGTCATTATCATCATCTTCACTGAGATTGAAATCGGAATCTATTGCACCATTAGTGTCGCGGCGGCCGTTCTCCTCTTCCGTCTCGCAAAGGCTCGGGGCCAGTTCTTGGGCCGCGTGAGAATCCACTCCGTCATTGGCGATCATCTTCTTACCAACGACGAAGATCCTCATTCCATCTCGCCCAGAGCTATATATCTGCCCACCACCCACTCGGACGGATCGAATCCAGACATCACAATTGAACAGCCGGCCCCCGGAATCTTCATCTACAGACTGTCTGAAGGTTTCAACTACCCCAACGCGAACCATTACACAGACGAACTAGTAGACCATATCTTCAAGACCACTCGACGAACGACGCAGAACATCTACGAGAACCCGGGAGACAGGCCCTGGAATGACCCTGCTCCTCGCCGCAGCAAAGCCAAGGCTAGCATCGACACCACCTCACACCTACCCACCCTGAAAGCCGTTATCCTCGACTTTTCCTCGGTCAATAATGTCGACGTCACTTCTGTGCAGAACCTCATCGACGTGCGGAATCAGCTTGATCGCTACGCCACCCCGGATAAGGTTCAGTGGCATTTCGCTCATATCAACAACAAATGGACGAAACGAGCTCTTGTCGCAGCTGGCTTCGGATTTCCCCCATCGGTCTCTAATACCGGCGGCGTCGAGCAGTCTTGGAAGCCTATATTCTCGGTTGCAGACGTCGGCGGAAGTCCCGAGCTGGTCACTAATCAGCGAAACCCGGATTTGGAGTCGGGATCAGACGATGTCGACAATACTCTCGACAATACTCTACCATCGAAACAATACCCCCAGGCTACAGAGCGCAGTATCGAAAGTCAAACCTTCGGTATCGAGAAGGAACAATCATCAGAAGATGGCTCGACGGTCGCAGAGCGTCGTGAGAATGCCAACACTCGCAGGCGAATTCCTGGGACGATGGCTGTGGTAGAGGGAATCAATCGACCATTTTTCCACATCGATATCACCAGCGCGTTGCAAAGCGCTGTGGCCAATTCCCATCTTTCTTCTGGGTCTGAGTTCCAGGATGCACCCCAATAATTTTGTTGCTCTTTGGATTTTCTTTTGCCTCACAGGTTGGGAAGGCCATCTCTTGGAGTGGATGAGATTACGTGTTTTCCGTTTTGTTTAGATATCCTATGGTTACTCCTGTCCTAATTTCTCGAGACAGAGTCGCCCATTTTGTTCAATTAATGAAGGACTGCAACCGCAGGTCACTGCGCCAGATTGTCGAGCGGGGGGTGAAGATGCTGAACTGGATACCCATGTCTTAAGCTGGAAATTTTAATAATTTTTATGGACTTCGTATACTCCGTACCTTGTCTGTCACAGACTTTGGTCATCTTCACTGCTCTCTCCTTGCTCAAATTTTAATTCTACCAAGACCAACCTATACGATGTCTACAGTCAACCTGACCCGGGATATGCACCCTAGGAGAAAAGGTATACTCGGACACGGAGTCCGACAGTAGTCCATGTTCTCGTATCCGTGAATGGCTTCAGCTCTTGATCCGCATCCGTGTCCGAGTTCGTATTCTAGTTGTGCTGTGGAAATATTGAATGGAAGGTATAGGTACAACAAATTACTGTACCAAGGAGTTGATCATACTCTCGCGAACAAGAGATACTACTGAAGAGTGGACAAAGAATGTATCCCCATTCGAAACAATGTCTGCGTTTATCTAATTCAAGACATACAATCTAATACAACACAACACGCACATCTATACGCATGCCACATACATTTACAACCCCCTCACCTGTCCTCTCAGAAGCCTTCCTCTGGTCTCGTCTAGACCATGTTACTAAGAATGTACCCAGAACAGAAAGGAACAAACCTATCCTATTTCTTCCGCCCCCCAACCTTCCTCGAATACGGCCACACCCTGAAAACATAATACAGCACCACGGCCCCAAACACATTGAACACGAAATAAGCCCAGAAAATCCCGTAATTACGCCACCGGTCATCCCACGAGATGTCCCGCCCGGCGAGGTACTGATCTGCGATCCGCAGCGAGCAGTACTGGCATTCTTGCGTGGCAGAGGGGTTGTAGAGTTCTCCCGGCGCGGATTTCAGGTACTCGGCTAGGTAGTCGCCGCAGGTTTGTCCGGAGGGTGGGTCAAACGTGTTGAGTTCTCGGTCGGAACAGTGGATGGATCGGCCGTGGAGTGCGGCGCCGCTGATCCCCGCGATGTAGTAGGTTAATGGGGACACGCGGTGCATGAAGGTCCAGAAGCCCGGGAGGGCGGAGGGCGGTTGCATGACTCCGTTGAAGATGAGGGACATACCGAAGCCGAGGACGGCGAGCATGCCTCCGAGAGCGGGGTCTGGGAGGGCGGAGATGACGAGCTGGGCGAAGCTGGAGGCGAAGATGTAGAATTGGACGACGAAGAGGAGGATCAGGCCTTGGCGTTGGGGTTCTTGGGAGGCGCCGAAGACGGCAAAGTAGAAGCAGGCCCAGGAGCATACGCCGAGGATGATTTGCCAGGGGAGTTCGGCGAGGATTTGGGCTAGGATGAAGACTTTCCAGGAATAGGTTCGGGATGGTCGTTCGCGGACTTCGTATAGGGCTCGTTGGGTGACGAATTTAGGCATGATTCTGTTCGGGTTGTTAGTTTCGGGCGTCATTTATGGCTCGGACAGACAACTTACTGGTTGACCAAGATGGAGAAGATCGTGCAGAGAAGGAAAAGACTGAACAGCACGTTCTGGAATCCTTGTTGAGAATTGTCTGCTTTCCAGAACGAGAAACCGATAAAGAGACCGGAAACAATTCCCAGGATAAATTTTGCAAAAATGTACTCCGGCTGGCGGTAGTATTGTTGGAAGACTCGCTTGGTCACATAGTAGAACTGGCTAGTGATGGGCATGGCGAACTCGCCAGTGCTTGCTTCGTCAGAATCTGTCACCTCGGAGGACTCTTGCTTGGCGATGCGGTCTAGTTCAGCGAGGACATCAATTAGTTGGGAGCTATTATTCCACGTCTCTACCCAGTCCTTCGAGCTTTGGCCCGAAGCTCCTGCGCCTATTATCTCCAACATATATTCCGCAGGCTAGAGAGGTTCATTAGCCACAGCGATACGAAAATGAGAGACAGATTGGAAAGCCCTCAGAGCAACACTTACATTTTCAGTTTGCTCGCAGTGTCTTGCGCCGTTGCTTTCAAAGTAATTCAGCAAAACCCGCGACTGCTCACCAATGTCCCCAAAGTAGACCGTTTTGCCGCCTTTCGCGAGGAAAAGAAGCCGATCAAATTCTTGAAACAGTAAGGCGCTAGGTTGATGGATCGTGGCCAAGACTGCTTGTCCGTTATCAGCAAGCTTTCTCAGAAACTTGCAAATCGCCCATGAGCTCTGTGAATCAAGGCCACTAGTGGGTTCGTCCAGGAAGATAAGTAGAGCAGGCTTCGCAGCAAGCTCAACACCGATGGTAAGTAGTTTCCTTTGCTCAACATTGAGGCCTTCTCCAGGGTTTCCGACCACTGATTCAGCAAAATCCTCCATGTCAAGCATCCGGATCACATCTTCAACGAATGCAAATTTCTCCCGTGTTGGAACAGACGCAGGTTGGCGTAGGGCAGCACTGAACTGAAGGGCTTCGCGGACGGTTGAAGTTTCCAGGTGGAGGTCCTGTTGCTGCACGTAACCTGCCTTTCGTGGAAAACTAGCATCAAGACCTTTTCCATTCACCAGCATTTCACCGCTTATAATTCCAAGGGTCGCACGCTGAGCGAGCACATCAAGAAGGGTAGTTTTGCCGGCTCCAGACACACCCTGGAATGGAAAATATTAGTATGAATTGCTCGATAGGTGGACTTCGGGAGAGGTTGGTACCATAAGTGCAGTAAGAGTTCCTGGCTTCACCCATCCGTTTACATCATCTAGCAGTCTCCTCGTACCGTCTTTGACTGGAATATCGTAGCACAGCCCTTTCCATGTGAATATGTCCGTTTGCTTCGCTAGATGGGTAGCTTCATCCCCCTTTTCTGCCGATCCGATGGAGGTGGCCATGGATCCTTTTTCCGGCCCGTTGGATTCAACGTCGTCGTTTTTGAGGTACGCGGGCACCTTCCCTGGACGGAATACCAGTGCCTCTGGTTTAGATGAGAGGCCGGGGCTGAGCTCGGTGATGACCAGATACAGAGTATTGAAGAAGATCAGAAAGGCAATGAGAATGCCATAGTTTCTCCAGATATGACTGTAATAGTACTGGTAGTTCTGACCAATGAACTCATCACCGGAAACAAAACGCTCTCCTGCAACTGCACCCACAGCAGAACAGACAAAGGATTTTCCGCTCAACGAAGGGTAGCTAGGAACAAATTGGCTACATGCAAAATTGCGACCGTGGAATTCGTTGGCAATGATGCCTTCGAAGGCGTAGTAAATGGGATTGATCCATCTGATCCAGCCAAACCAAGGGTGCATATAGGGCTGGGGAATCGTAAATCCAGTGTAAACGGCCATGCAGATGATGATGATCCCGGCCAAGGCCATGGCCTGCCCGATGGTTTTTGTCATCGCACCCAAGGTCCTAAACACGCCAGACATTGTAACGACAGCCGTGATCAAGAACATGATAAAGATGAAAAACTGCGAAGGCTCCCGTCGAAGGTTGGCCATGAAATAGAGTATGAGACTGAAGATGCAGCACCGGAATAGCTTTATGGGAAAGTCCAAGATAATGCTTGCCAGTGATTCTGTGAACGGATGGACGAAGGCATAAGCGGCCTGTTTTTCAACAATTGGCCGTTGGCTATACAGTTGCATAATTTCGTTGACGGTGATCAGCGCATTCATCAGCACGCCAAAATAAAGAACGGCGCCTTTTTGGAAGAAGCCATCGGTGCTATTCGGGGTGTTGTAGAATATGGAGCCAATGATCAATGATAAAATAATCTGAACAACCGCGGTAGCCATTGTGGCAGGAATATCGTTTCTTGTTCGTTGATAGGCTCTTTTGAGGCAAAGCCTGAATTGCATCGGGATCGAAAGCAAGTATGGGCTTCGCTCGCGAACATGTTTGGCTTGCTCTGCATGCTTCCTGGCACTGAAAGACTCTTCATGATGGCCATCGACGGGAAAGTCTTGCTTGTACTTTGTCATTCGGGATTGCAAGGCATGGTATTCCGGGCTTTTTCTCCAGTACGATTCAAATTCTGCCGCACTTCGAGGGACCTTGTGCTTCATGTCCGGCCGAGCAACGCGTTCTCTAGGATTGGTTATGGAGGTCAGGAAGTCACCACTAACCTGGCGGAGGGGTCGCTCCCAGCCCATATCCTCAAAGTACTGTACTGCTCGCTCACAGGGACCATAAAAGATTTCCCGGCCCTCATAAAGGACAATGACTTGATCAAACAGATCATACATTGACTGAGAAGCCTGGTAGACTGCTACTGCATGGCAGGAACCCCCGAGGTCGGCAGAGAGCCGAAGGGCCTTGACGAATTCCAGGGCCGTGGCAGCATCAAGGCCTCGTGTGCTATTATCCCATGCGCCGATTGGGGCGTGCGATAAAGCCATCTCCGCGATACTGTTGGAATTTTGTTAGCCGGCATCTATGAAGATCATTGTTTGCAGCAACCACACTCACCTCACTCGCTTCCTTTCACCTCCGCTGACCCCGCGAACAAAATCATTTCCGACTTTGGTATTATACGTGTGTGACAGACCAAAGAATGCCATAATCACTAGGACCATGGTTTTCACATACTCCTCTCGGCTGTATCCATTGATCCGGTTTCGGGGAGCTCTTGCGTGAGCAGCAAACTCGAGGGTCTCGCCAACCGTCAAGTGCGGAAAATGTTTGTCGACTTCTTGATTGTAAAGGACCTCCCCCCGATATTCTTTGATCATGCGCCCGAACGGGATCCCCTTGTATTGGATTTCACCTGATGGGTCTAGATCCAATCCATTCAAATGACCAGATACTGATTTTAAGAACGTGGAACAGCCACTTCCAGGGCGTCCTAGAACAAGCAGCAGCTCGCCACTGTCTAGCAACCCGTCAAAGCTATTCAAGATTGTTCTCTTCTGGTTATGCGGGCGTTGTACGATGGTCGCAATTTTCGCGAAGGGGAGCAACAGAGTGGAGAGGACGGTTTGTTGAATGTGTAGCGAGGAACCGGAGCCAGAGACCGTGAGATTTTCGAACAACACTCCCCGGCTACGGGCCTCGACCTCGTTGGTATCAAAGGAACGAATTGTCTTCTTGGCCCATTCGTGAGGATTGAACTGGGGGTTCGTGGGGTCCAATGACGCGTCGTGCATCCCAGACTCCTCAGCAATAGAGGCCCGCTGCTGTATATTTGTTGCTATCCGTGCGACAGCTTCCCGGTCCTGGTTTGTGATCAGGCTCGAGGCTGTCTGCGTCCTTGTCAATCGGAGGTTGGGGTTATCCTCGGCATGCTGCTCGCTAATGCCTTGCGACATGATGAGGAAGATCGCGAGTCGCCACTAAATCAAGGCAAAATGAATGTCACAGATGAGACCCTTAGAAGGAAAGTGTAGGGTATCCATTCAGGCCAGTGATAGAGAAGTCCCAGTCGGCCCTTAATGTATCCCTCCTGTTTAGGGGCTGCCTGTTGGTATAAAATATGTTTAACCGCCATTGTATTTACATAATGGATAGGTACATCTACCCTCTTGGAAGCAACTCAGAGTTGTTCGGATAGTGGCAGATCCGGGCTTCTGGAACGAGCTTATGCAATCCTCATCTATGAATCCATTTTGCGGTCCACTCTGAAGTCTGAAGGTACGACCGGGGGTCGGCAGACGTGCCTCCGACAGTTTCATGTTGGATATCCACACTCCCAAGCCTGCCTTGGTTCAGTGTCCTCATAAACCATCCAAAGCAATCCAGCAAAGTTTACCTCCAGCATAATCGCCAGTGGAAAGCTACGCTCTTTCTGACCCATCAGATGCCATGGCGCTAACTGGTTTGACCCACCCCGCTTTATAGGCACGGCTGATTGGCTGGTCGGTATCTTGAAGGACCGAACGACCGATCGTGCTTTGAATACCGCCGATGCGGACAAAGATTTGACATAAGTCTGACGGGACACTGTAGTTGCAGCACGAACACCATCAGCGCTATCTCCTCCAACGGTGATAATGACGTTGCGAGCTCTTTTTGTCCGTTGACGTGGAATCGTACCTGGTCGTAGCAGTAGTCGATTTGAGTTGCGCACAACGGGAAGAAGGACCAAGACCCGTCAATGTTGGTCACCAAAGGCTCTACCTCCGCGTCGCTTAACACGCGTGAAGACGGAGATATCGGTCGTAGGGCTCCCCTGATCGATTCACGATAGCCCAGGTTATGTAACAGCTGCTTGAAAGTGGGACATGCTAGTTACCCATTGTGATTAAATCAGCAATTCGTTCCCGTCGAGCCACATCATTTCCATCATTCCCATCACTGCGACTGGGTCCTCTTCTGGAATCGGCAAAAATTTTTCACGATCGACGTTTGGTACAAAGTTATGTAAGCTTTCCTTTTGGCTGCGATCTGGCTGCACAAAATTATCGGGGCGTGTGCGAACTCCGCCTGTCTGCTGTGGATCCTGAGGACTAGATTGCAACGGCAATCTCCATGTACGGCCCGGCATCAAGGGTATGTTATTATCAAGTGAGTCAGATGGGCTGCCTTTATTAGACGCCAAATGGGTTCGGCCATTTGGCTTTTCTCCAAGTGGATACGATTCAAGCATTCCAGCCAGAATGTATCCAGGGTCGAATAGAACGATTGATTCCATAACTTGCGGTAAATTCGTTGCCATAAAGTATTCTGCTTGGCGTTCAGGGCAAACTGATACTGGAGGACTAGGGGTTGGTGTTATCCATTCAAACGAAACACGTTGTTCTTGCAGAAATCCATCGATATCTTTATTCGATATTCCGACGGATTTCATATCGGCCTGCAAGATATTCCACTGGAGTCAAAAGTCAGCACCTTTTTTTTTTCTTTTTTTTTCTTTTGGCTTCTATTTCAAGCTAGGCTCCAAACAGCCTTCGGGAGGGTTCGTTATCACCTACCATTGACTTAACAGGGGCCCAAAACTTCCTTGACTGGTTGAGCAAGTGCAAGTTGGAGAAGAGTCGTGTTCTTAGGAGACGAAATGCAGGGCTCTGATAACTTTTTGAAGCTTCGCTACGGCTTTGAACAGCTTCCACGTATTTCAGATAAACTGAACTTGATAACAATGAACAGTATGCAACAAAGGGTGGTAAGGCTGATCGAAAGGGATGTCGGGTGGAAATGCAATTCGTGAAGAGATCTGAAACCAGATTGATATGCTGGGTTGCAATTTTAGAACATGGCTGAACATGCACTTTAGTCCATGGCCCCTTTTTTTGCAAGAACCTAACCATCGCCAGGTGCGGAAGAATGCGGCAAAGATGGTAGATAGCTTGCAGTGAAATAATGTCGTCGAATTCCGACTCCCTATCGCAACGTCGGCCGTCAAAATCCCTATACTGTGCCGGGAACTTTTCGTAGAGGTGGCAGACATTGGTGTCTAGGTTGGCCAACGTCACCAACTGCGTGCTGGGATGGGCACTATTATCAAGTCCATGAACGAATTGTCTGATATTCAACCTGGCTGGTTATCAGAATCCAGCTGACCTTAAGCTGAGAACACCTTTACGCACCAGATCTCGACAAGCCTCATAATATTTCCACGAAGTTCACTCCCCAGAAGGGTGTCTGGACGTTGCGGGAGAATATCCTCTCGTGTTGGGAGTTGATCCTCCAGCACCGCATCGAAAGAAGCAACAGTCTCGTCATTGTTGAGCAGACATCGACATGTCATTGCGATCCAGAAGCAGGATTGCTTCAGTTCGCTAGCTTCACCAACAGGCAAGCGGGGGCTACGAACCGCCACTTGTTGGGCGGATCGCATTGCATTACCTATCCATTAGATCAGCTAATCGGAGTCGCCGATGGCAGATTGAGTGGGACGAAAGCACTCACTAGCAGCTTCTTTGAGATAATGTGTCTTCCCTGTCGCACACCAGTAAGCTGAAATGTTGTAGAGAGTCTGGACCGTCTCCAGAGTTGGACGGAAGACCTGCTTGACAGCCATGTTGGCGCGCTCGGCCCACAGTTCCGATGGTGGTCTCGTTCTCGGTAGTCCCGAGGGTTCTGTAAATGCTGTCTTTGATTGCAGCAACAGCAGAGCTATAGAAAATATCGAATCACGCATGAAAGCCGATATGGTGCCCTCGATGTATTGACGCTTCACGCGCGGTTGGTGACAGATGAAACTTGACGGGATAAAAAGTGAAAAATAAGAATCAAACACCATGAGGCTGTTGAATTCAGTGGCAAGATGGCCGTTTTTAACCACCGACGATGTCCCTTTGCTTGATCCAGTGCCATTGCGCGATGGATGTTCCACCAGCCTTTTTCTGCGAGTAGGCAGATAGCCGCAATCGAAACCGAGACGTCGGCATCGCTGGCAAGCAGGGAGTTCCCGAGAGCATTTACGCTGGAAGTAGATCAGCAATCGGTCTCAAGCCTGCTTGGAATAAACTATACCTTGAAAGATCGACAGCGAGTACAAGCTACCGGATGCAGGTTCATCTTGCCCGACGGTTGACGACAAACAAGCAATCAAGATGAATGACTGTTCGGCCAACTCGGCGGCGGCGAGGCTGCGCTAACCAAATGGGGTGGGCCCACTGTAACCTCAGGCCGCGAGTTTGCAGTAGTGTTTAATTGTTGTTGATTTGTAGTACATAAATTTGAACGGGCACTGCATTTTCTACGCATTAAACAATTGCCTTGGTGTCTATGATCACCCAGCTGCCATCGGAGACTAACTGATCTCGCGTGACTCAGCACGTTGGGACAAGGCCACCAGGTCCTCAAGTATCTGCTCTGACTTCAAATCAACCCAGATTTATGTAAAATCTGCTAAATGAGAGGTCAACTCAAGAGGCAACGCTGGCCCAACACCCTGATTGAACAGCCTCCTCTGGCTCGTCCCGGTTGCTAGAAGACAGCACTAGAACGAAACCTTGAAAATCAAGATTCCGGCCTACATACTCTGATTTCCATTGTGCAGAGCAACAAAATAATCTCTCGTCCCTACCAACGCTCTTCCGATATGGCGTATCCTTCGGGCTTCGACGTATTGAAAGTCGAAAGCGATATTTGACAATCAGCCTTGCCGATACAGCCGTGACGTTGATCAAAGAGCCCATCTCGCTATTATATGACAACACCAACAAGACGAAGAAATTCAAGCAGAGCCTGGGAGCTTGGCAAGGCGAGGCCCTTGATGAGAACGTACAATGTCGGATCCCAAGTGCTGCGACTTCCGGAGTTCGAAGAGCATTTGGTGTCTACTGACGGGAAGGTCTCACATATTACAAAAGCAGAAGAGAGACGGATGAGCTTGGGGGAAAGAATGCAATCCTTCTGGGCTTCTAAATCAGCAGTTACCGAGTCCTGATCCTCAAATCTCTCTGCCGAATTCCCGAATGCCGGGACAGCTTGTTGGGGCTACGTTTTATATGCCCTAGGGATTCACCATGGAATGTGTATTGCTAGCTGGAGACCATCGATAGACGGATCAACACCCAAAACGGTGGCGTGGAAATTGAAATTGATGGATCTGTACTCTGCCATATCATGAATGTATACTCCATGATGCCTGATTCAGGTTCTTGGGCTCGTCCTGGGGACGAAGATATGCCAACCCGCCGCGAAACGAAGCGATGCACGTTTCCATTCGGGGAGCTGGCATGGCGCACAGTAAATGGGCAAACACATGCCCATTTTAAACCGGGCTTAAAAAAGAGCTAGCCAAGACCAAGATGCCATTTGGTATGACTGGGTCGAAGCTGGAGCCCGGCACCCTGATTGCGACTTACTTAACAGCACTGACTCAACTTCTCAGCCCGAGCGCCCCTATATCACACCGCATAAACAGATTTTTGACGTGCTTCGACGCGCTGGAAAATTTGGACAAAGAGCCGTTGATCATCTCACGGGACTGGTTCCAGGAAGCAGCGCAGATCAAGAGAAGGGTTCTATCTGATGGTGGTAGCAATCGCTCCTTGTATGAGGATATTCTCAGAGCTATTGACCAGACAGAGTATTTCGGGCATGAAAAAGAGTACTTGAAGGAGGAAATACGTCACCGAATTTTTTTTGGTGAAGATACTTTCCAGTTCTATCTATCTCCCCGGCATATCCGATCGCAGTGAGCCTATGCCATATTATAAGGTTGAACAATTGATAAGGGAAGTCTTGTGGTCTTACAAAGACCGCCCATCAGGGAATTGAAAATGCACATTGTATGACATTATAAATGAAGTACTGGACGTTTTCAATGTTAACAGAAATGTGTATGTGCTGAAGGGTCTGTTGCTACAGGAATTCACAGTCAGATCTGAGTTGTGGAACAAAAAGGTCCTTCTTGAAGCGCCCATCCTCGCCTAAGATATACCTGTTGGCTTATTGAGGGCATTCTCTCGTTTATCTAGTTTATCGTGAATGATCTGCTTTCAATACTAGCTTGCAGGATCTGCCTGCTATAAATTAGTACATATTCAACTATAACTACTCCCCTCGGATTAGTAACCGAGGTTCCCAACAACGGGCGTTATCGCTCGGCTCCATCCCGAAGCCACGCATTTCATCCTGTCTTCTCCCCGCACCAAATTCCATTTTGAGGGCCCACTTCAAGGTTATGTTCTATGCAGTGCCATCTCATGCATATTAGGAACAATGGCAGGTTCTGGTTCGCGTTCTGCGAATGCGTAAGAGGCCCTGAACCCTCTCGGGAGCGCTCCCGAGGATAGATCCCCGGGACATTTCCGCTTACAATATTCCAGATGCGAATCGTGTCGCCGACGTAAAGTCAAGTGTTCGGGCGAACAGCCGTGCCGTACCTGTATTAGGCACAACTGGGAATGCACGTTTGGCACTTGGGGTCGGAGGCGATACTCTGAAGCGTGCGTTGTGATTTACATCTCATGCAACGGGTGGCTTCGCTGACAACCTATCAGTCATGTCCAGAGTCTTCTAGACAAAATCCGATCGTACGAAGAGCAACTGGTTGCTTACTCTGATATTGACCCAATCAGCAAGCAACAGGTTGGATATAGTCCCGGTGGCCGCGGATCGTCAGTCCAGCACCCTGTGTTTATTGCACCTGCTCCTCAACAGGGCGGACCCGCGACGCCTAGCGCGCATGAGCTACAGGAACCATTATCGGAAGGAGTCTCCTATCCTGGTGATGGTGATGGTATAAGTCCAGGTATGGCGCTAACCAATTCTATCGGATGTACAACTAACAGAACACTCAGCCACGGACTTGACCTCCGGGCCGGCCTTTGAATCTCAGGTCCGGTCTTTGCTGCATCGAAATCAACCATACAGTGACTCGAATAAGATTCTTTCGGATATCATGGGAGTAGCTGAATCAACAAGTCAATGGAAATCATCTCAAGCATTGGTCAACGAGGCTTCCGCACCTATGATCCCGTCATTATCAGAATCTCAGCACCTTCTCGATCGGTTCCTATTCTACCTAGGAGTTAGTCAACATTTCTTCGATCCTCGCACCTTTTCCGATTCAATGATGCTGTTATTTCAATCTCCAGAGCGGCAGCGACAGCAGTCTCACACGACTTGGTTTACCGAGTACTTGCTGGTCATGGCGATGGCGAAACTGATGGATGTTGAAGAACCAACATCTCAACCGCCGGGTGCAAGCCTTTTCGCGGAGGCAATGAGACGTCTACCTCGTTTACACCAACTTGGTGAAGAGGGTGTTATCGCTGTAGAGATACTCACTTTGATCACGACCTACCTGCAATGGTGCGATCGCAAACATGACGCCTATCTTTACGTGTGTATAATTATTTAGCACCCTAGGGTGGTAACGAGTACTAACCTACAATAGGTTGGGATGGCACTGCGATTAGCTATAGCCCTTGGATGCAATCGACCTGCTGCTGAACAAGCGTGGCTTCCCTCGGAGACTGCGCATCGAGTGCGATTGTGGTGGACAGTGTATATGCTTGATAGGTATGGGTCATCCGCCGTTTCTCCAAGACGGATAACTCAAATGTTCTCGTGCAGGCGGTTATCATCTGGTCTTGGTCTTGCAGCTGGCGCAGATGAACGCCAACTTCGCATAGAGTTTCCTCGCCACGCGATCGGGTTTCAATCACCCATTGCTCTAATTATCAATGTTCGCATTGCCCGTACCACCGACGATATCATGTCCTGTAAGCCACTTCGTCGGATGAGCTGTTTCCATTGTTTAACGTGTTTCAAGCTCTATATGGGAATGCCTCCATAACCCAAATTGAACTGGTGCGAAAGATCCAGATGGTTCTCCATGACCTCTACGAGACTGGTCGTTGTTTGCCTGCACCCTTGCTGTTGGACTTTAGTCGGCCATTTCAGACAGTTACCAGAACTGGTGCATCGCTGTATCTGATGCTGTTTCAGGTGTGATAATCTTCCTTGGTGTTTCACTCCATAGCATACTGAGCAAGTTCCATCCAGGCCATAATCCTATGCACCCGCCCGATTCTTCTGCAACGGGTTCGTCAAAAGGTCCGTCGCCAGGCCGAGCAACAGCCTTTGGAACCGGCGCCGCCTATTCTCGCCCGCTTGTGCGAGACATGCAACGAGGCAGCCACCAAAAGCCTCAGTATTCTCTTTGCTCTTCAGCGACAACGAATCATTCGTAAGTCTTCCTATCCCCAAATGACTACCAGGTCCACTGTCCCTAACATCTCTGACAAAAATAAGCACGATACGGCTTCTTCGACCTGGATGCCACTTTCTCCGCCGCCTTTATCCTCGTGATGATGGGGTTCATCGGAGACTCGGAAAGCAAACCACCACCACCCCTCGATCAAGCCTTCGTGGTCCTCCGATTTCTCTCCCAAGCAGGGAATCTAGCCGCGGAACAGCGTCTCCAAGACATCCTTCAGTCCTGTCTTCGTGTGTGGCCCGATCATTCTACCGGCGACAAGCAGCTGGATGAAGGTAGACAAGCTCCGGCTGGTACCCCGACAACTCCTTCGCGAGCACCACCGTCTGGGCCGTTTACTCCCCTGGCCACTGATGGGCTCAACTCATTGCAAGAGGAGTCCAGGCTGCTTGAGCCCTGGATGCATCCGGAAATGGCGTCTGGGGTGTTTGATATGCAAGGAGGCTGGAATATGGATCTGTCTGGGGAGGCGGAAGGGATATATTCGAGTTTCTATGATCCAACGATGCCACTGACTGGGGTGGACTATACGGATTGGGTGGAGATTGAAAAGGTGTTAGGCGGGTTGAACACTTAGCTTCGATGATTTTTATGAGTCATAGACAATTTACTTGACATATTTTACTCTCGAATTGTACGTGCTTAGGCATAGGTTCTTTGCTATAATGCAACCCCCTTCTTTGTATATTTCATTCTAACCTGTCCATCCTAAAAGGAAACTTTCTACTTTGAACCTGAAGAAGTCCGAAGACACTCTGAAATCGACTCTGCCACATACTGCACATTCTCGGGGTTCAATCCCGCAATTGAAATGCGCGAATTGCCAGCCATATAGATATGGTAATCCTCTAGAGGCATCATTAGCGCATACCCAGGATACACCTCCTGGGGTGGGAGATCTTACCTCTCAACCGTCTTACAACCTCAGGTTCCAATCCCAGGAACCCGAACATTCCCGACTGCTGCACCAAATGATCCCACGTTCCAGGTGCTCCTGAAATCACACTCGATTAGCCATGCCCCATAAAATCTGCCCGGGTAGATACGCTGGCTTACCAGACTGATTCAGATGATCATACAATGCCGTTCTCATAGCCCGGATGCGCGAACTCATCGTGATCAAATCCTCGTACCACATCGCCCGAAGCGCGTCGTCGTTCAGGATCGTAGACGCGATCTTGGCTCCGTAGGCGGGCGGGTTGGATACCTCGGAGCGCTGTAGCATTTCAAGCACGGATTGCGTGTTCGTGGCTGTTGTTTCGGTCTTCGTGACCACGAAGACACAGCCGACTCGTTCTCCTGTTTTTCCTATGAGCTCTCTCTCATTGAAAAAGCATGGCGGCTCAAAGTCGGAAGAACAACGTACCGTAAAGACCCATATTCTTCGCAAAAGACATGCAAACGCCGACCTCTAGTTGCAGGTCGTCGACAAAGTACCGAATGGCAAAGGCATCGTCGTCCAGATTTCCCGAGTTAAAACCTAGATACGCGGCATCGAACAGCGGGAAGAGTTGTTTCTCCTTGACGATGCGGCCGATCTGCTTCCATTGCTCCTTGTTGGGATCGCAACCTGTCGGGTTATGCGCGCAGGCGTGGATGATGACGATGGAGTGGGGTTCGGCTGCTTGGAGGGCGGAGATGTACGAGTCGATGTCTAGGGCTTTTTTGGCGTCGTCGTAGTATTGGAAGGAGTGGCAGTTGAATCCAAGAGAGGCGAATACTTGGTGGTGGTTTGACCATGTGGGTGAGGGGATGTAGACGTTGGGGAGTGGCTGGCGGCAGTATTTGAGTAGGAGGGCTGCCAGATGAAGGGCTCCTGTACCGGAGATACTTTGGCAGGCGGCGATCTAGTTTCATCCCGTTAGTACAATCTTTCCTTATCACATGAACCAGTAAGAAAGGGACCTGCTCACTTTGTTCTCCACCCTTCCAAACAGATCTAATCCCAGGGCCGTCCGAGGCGCAGCTTTCCGGAACCCGGCATGGCCTAGAATCGGCAAGTATTCATGATTCAGCTTCTCCTGGGCCAGCATGTCCCGGGCCTTCTGCACGGATGGTAGAATCCACGGTTGAGCGTGCTCATCGCGATACGCTCCCTGTCCGAGATTCACTTTCTTGGGAGAACTGTCGGCATTGTATTGCGCCGTGAGGGCGAAGATGGCATCTGCCGGGATGAAGGGCGCCGTTTCGAACAGCGAGGGGGTGTTGGTCGTTGTTAGCGTTGCAGTTTGGATGGCCATTTTGATATTATGGTAACAGATAGCTCTAAGGAATGTCACACTTCAAGTGACAGTTGGGTGCATCGTCTTTTATATGTTCGCATGTCGGGTTCGTATCCGCGATGTTGCCCGCGGGGTTCGGATTCGGCCCGTGGAGCCGAGATTTGATTGTCGCATTTGAGGATGTCGAAGGTATTTATTCTTAATGTGCGGAGGGCTCGATTGTTTCCAATAGACTGCACTGTATTTTGAACGGCCTGAACCCGTCATGGCTTGGTGATTATCCTTCTTGCTAGCCTTAAGTAGCGGGTCCTCGCCTCGTCGCTTTCACGAAGCGCGGTGTTTTTGCCAGATAGCATACAATGAGATGTCATCCTCAAGCTAATGAAGCGATGAAGACTACTGACACTCCATACTGAATTGTATCCTTCTTCTTTGCATGATATTCCTGCGCTTTGACAGTCAACTGCCCGGAACCGCCTCACGCAAGGGGGTATGTCCTTAGCCGACAAGTCGATTTTCTTCTCTTTCCAGAAGCTGGTTCTAGGTTTGAGCTTTGAACAAGCAATGACAGAACTGTTCGGATTCTATATCTCTACTTGAAATACAAAGCGATCCAGTCCTAGGAATGGGACAAGGGTGCGCATCGATGTACATAACCCCGAAAATACTCTAAACTCTGATCGAGGCCAAAGAAGGTGATGATAACAGCCAAGATGACTGTGGCTTCCATTTAGCCTATCCCAAGCTCACATTCACCTTGACAGTCTCCTTATCTCCTACAAAATGAGGGGCATGGCAGAATGACGATCTGTGAGAGCGGGGAGGGTTTCCTCAAAGCTGGGGAAAGTCGGAAGATCTGCCGGCGGGGTATTTACATGCGGAAATCCTCGCCGGGGACTACTTGTCTCGTCAATGCGGCAGGTCGTGCGAAAACAGTATGTTTTGGTCGAGTATACAACAGCCTGCGAGGTTATAAAAGATGCCTTTCTTCGACTGGACCTTCTTCTTTCTCATCAATTCAATCATCTACTTCTCTCTCTAGGCCATTTCATTACTATCCAGCTACCCATCTCACACCGACACAATGGGTTCCATCCTCCCCACCGACCAGGTCCTCAACATCGCTGTGGCTGGCCTTGGCCGCATGGGCAAACGCCATGTCCACACGCTGGTCGGTCGCGTCCCCAGGGCTAAAGTCGTTGCCGTCTGCAGCACCTGGGACAACGAGGTCCAGTGGGCCGAAGAAGCCTACAAGGGCACCGGCATCCAAGTCTTCAGCTCCTACGAAGACATGATCCAACTGCCCTCCCTGGACGCCGTCTGGATCTCCACCAGCACCGACGTGCACGCCAGTCAGACCCTCGCGGCCATCAACAAGGGACTGCACGTACTGTGCGAGAAACCCCTCAGCACCGATCTAGCAGAGGTACGTAACCCCTTGACCCCCTCCTATTTGGGCCCGTTAAACTCACGCACCAAGGTACCGTCCGCTTGAAAACCGAACAGGCCCAACATGTCGTCGACGTTGCCAATGCCCACCCGGAACTAAAAGTCATGGCGGGCTACTCCCGCCGCTTCGACGCCTCGTACCGCGCCGCCAAAGACCGCCTCGCCGGCATCGGCGCCCCCTTCGTCGTGCGCTCTCAGACCTGCGACCTCCTCGACGACACGGGCTTCTTCGTGCGCTATGCCGCCCGCAACGGCGGCATCTTCGTCGACTGCTGCATCCACGACATAGATCTCTCCCTGTACTACATGGGCGAGGACCTTGTGCCTAAATCCGCCTACGCGGTCGGCTCCCTCCAGCATCACCCGGAGCTGGGGCCGTTGCAGGACGTCGACAACGGCGTCGGTATCGTCGAGTACTGGGGCGGGAAGATGGCTTATTTCTATTGCTCGCGGACCCAGGCGCATGGACATGACGTCTGTACTGAGATCACGGGCACCAAGGGTAAGATCATGGTGAATTTGATCCCGCGATCGAACCATGTCCAGGTAGCGGACGCGAATGGGATCAGCAATGCCGTGCCAGAGGAGTATTGGCAGCGGTTTGAGGATGCCTTTGCTACTGAGGCCAATGAGTTTGTGGCTAGTGTGTTGGATGATAAGCCCGTTCCGGTTAAGTTGGGGTTGGGTGTTAAGGGGACTATTATCGGGAGGGCGTTGCAGGATTCCCTCCTTTCTGGGGAGGTGGTGAAGTTTAATGAGAAAGGACAGCGGTTGGATGGGAAGAACTTGATCTAGAACTTGCATTTTGAGTGATTATTTGTTTAGTGCAGTGTCTACCGAGGGTTTTAACAAATTGCCGAATGATTGTTGAATATTGCTACTACTAAATCTCTATTCCATGATAGCCTTTCATAGCTCTAGGATGTCTCTGTATAGGAGCAGGATATCTTATATTGGTATATAATAGCCATTCATTATACCTCCTGCTCTTGCTCTTGCACCTCCCTTTTCCAACATTTCATTCTTCGCGACTTCGACCTCGACCTCGACCTCGTCCCCAGCATATACCGACACCCATCAATCACCGCCAAATTCTCTCTCAAACGAACATCCCTCCGAGCCTCCTGCGCAATCGTCGACTCGCTATCCACCGTCTGCGAAGGACTGCGCGCCTTGGCCATGGTATACAACGTCCAGAACGAAGCTAGACATGCAACCATGATCGCTATTACATCTCTTAGCTCCAATTCCCTTCGGTCCGGCCAGTTCATCATAATGATAGAGTTAAATATTACTTACCTACGCAGATCTCCACCATACTCCATGGGATCAGCCACGAGACATCTGGGATCCCTGTCCCTACTATTGCCCATACCATGCGGATGATGGCCACGCAGATGATGAATGCCGTGAGGAGGCTGATGCCTATTAAGGCTAGTTTTCGTTTCCAGTTGATGCGCGCACGCCAGAGGACGTTGCTAGATAGGAGGATGACTGGTGTTCTCTTTAGTTTCGTTCCATCGATGAGTGGCTCACAGACAGAGAGGAGAAGTAATCAAGAAGACATACTTGCCACATCTGTCGCGATATCCAACGATGTCGCAACCTTGACAGTCAGCCGAGCGAGTCGAATAGAGTCGGTACTCGCGCAGTTTCCTATCTTTTAAATTAGTGCCTACTTTCAGATACTCCAACCCCAGAACCGAGAAAAACGCACGAAGAATCTCATCCACCGCGCTCACCTCGCACGCAAAATCCAACGTCCCGATACAACCCGCGAACGAAACGATCAGCAGCCCGAACACGCTCCACCAGATGATTTTCTGCAATCGATACCGCTCCCCCAATTTGCGAAAGAAAAACATGAACGAGAACTTGACGCTCCATATACTGCAGTAGTTGAGGATGTAGCCGGCCAATTGCGCCCGGAGTTGTTGCTGAATTTTATACCAGTCGATGTTCAGCGGGATGGAGGAGAGGTCACCTTTAGAGAATGCGAGGATGGTGTAGAGGTGCTTGTAGAAGATGGACCAGAGGATGGCCATTCCGAGGGAGAAGAGCCAGGCGAGGAGGAGGAAGAAGTCGTCGGCGCGTTTTTGAGGAGCGATTTTCCATCGTGTCGCTAGTCGCGTGGCGAGGAAGAGGAATGATGTGCTGACGGAGATCCAGAGGACGGCCTGTTAGAGTATCAGTATGGTCGCGACTTTGAGATCCTGTGGAATGGGCGAGAACCAAAAACGTCGTCTCGTTGATGTTCGGCGCGGACATCTTCGTCTGCGGCCGCACGGTGAACTGCTCCATGTTGGCGCAGCTTGGGCGGATTGGTGGGATACGCGCATAGTGCTATGGGAGAGGATGACGGCGCGCATATAGTTATATCGACATGGCGCCTAGGGATATTTGGGTGGAAGTTCGGCGCTAGACTGGTTGTCAATTTGTCTAATTTTGGAGAAAGGGAAAGGTGCATTGCAGGGGCTATGTGCATAAAAGGGAACAGACTGATGTTTAGGCGACTTTTGTTTGTTATTTGGATTTATGTTCTTGGGGGTTCTTTGTTGGACTTGGATCCTCTGCTCAATTTCATGGCGTGGATCATTAAAGTTCGTTACTTCGAGCACATGCCTTGATGGGGTCTAGGTGCCTATATCAGCATCAGTTATACATACTTGGGTGGCCTCTTATCTTGTACGATCTGATCTCTGGACATTTGAAAACCTATCGTTGGAAACAGCCTATAATTAGCGATACACGATCTGCGAAATCCTCAATGTGACTGTCAAACAAATATAGCTACCATTCAGCATTGCACAACCTGAGCATTCTCCTATTTCACTATTCCCTGTTAGATCGAAAGCCGTCCAAAAGCCAAGGTGTCACAGCTAATTCCCACCCCGGCTGGCTCCAAGCGTCCTAGTAGCCAACTACCACCTCGATACGCTATAAACGGACACCAACATTCAGAAATGGCTTAGGAAGGTCCTGATTGATGCAAGGTTCCCGCTGTTTGATGGGTCTGTTCCAGTAGGAAGTGGCCCGGGCAATGCAGTGTTGCGCTCTCCCCCTGAACTGGCAGAAGCAAACTTTCTTTGTTCCTCGGGGAGCTTGTGACACGGGCTGCAGATTGCGTTACACCGGCAATGGTTGGATGTTGGTATCTTTTTGTGGGAAGAAATCCAGTCTCTGGTTACACTCTTTCGAAATCTCCGGATTTCGCGCTATTTTTAATAAATTAAAAACTGGACTGAGGCTAGTTATTTATACATCGGAATGCCTCTCGGTAATAAAAAAAATAATTCTTAGTATCCTCTTGTACGTATCTCCGAAGGGTCCAACTTATAGTATCACTTTTTACAAAACCTATTTTCCTTCATTGATGATTCTCGGGTACAGAGTATGTCAGGGAATTAAAAAACCGGCAACATTGCCATAGCTTGCCCGTGCATTATGCAGAGATCCCCAACCTCCTTCTAGTCACTCAATACTAATACTCTGCCTTGAAGCTCTGGGCATTAGGAGCCACTATGTATCTCCCAGCTTAGCCCATGTTTCGATAAAGCAGACTTGCGTACAGTATATTAATCCCTCATCATCAGACTGATTCTGTTAATATAATCGCGCATCATATATTACCTGACGATGTCTTAGTTTATGTACCTTATAGAAGTTCCCCCACATTGTCTCACTACATTCGGTAAGCCAAATCGAGTAGTCGTCCGCGAGGGAGGACCATGATAGCCTGGTGGTGTTTACTAACCTTCTAGTGACCGTTGGAGGTACGTTAAGTTTGGCCTTCTCTATCATAAAGCGCTGTTATAGTTCGAAGATCTACATGAGGTAAAGAAGCGTGAGATACGGTGTAATGCTTGTATACCCAATTGCTTACTAGATCTAGCACGAGCCCTTTTCGCCAACCTGTCGCGTTAATGCCCTAGATAGCTCTTCACAAAACCAGTACTATATGAGGCCTTCAAGGTGCCCTTAATCCATTACTCGAGCACTGCCGGTGTGATGTCTAAGTTACCATGGAGTATTTCGAAAGTGGATATTGAAGAACGTCAAGGTATTCACACGGGCATATAACTCTTATAGGTACTTAGCGTTCTTGCTTGTGAGTACCATGGTAGCTACTCTCTCTATAAGTATGCTTCGTTTGAACAACATTACCATCATCATCAACAACAACTCCTCTACGCAGCATTCCTCTAAAGATTCTCTTCTTTGCCCAGTTCCAACACCGTCAACATGAAGACCAGCTTCTCCGCCATTGCACTCGCCCTCGCTGCGACCTCCACCGCCACCAAGTTCGTTGTCAGCGGTGATGGCTACATGCACCTGAATGGCAAACAAATTCTCGCTTCCAACGGTGCCGTCGAGTTCCAGAGCCAGGGCAGCGACTTCACCGTGAGCAACGGCTTCTTGAACACCTTCGATGGCAAGAAACGTAAGTATCACCAGCCATCTCCTCCGTCTAAAACAGTGCTTACCTAGGTGACTACCTCAGTCTACGTCGGCAGCAACGGTGACGTTCTCTATGGCTCCCAGAGCGGCGACAAGGGCTTCTCCATCGAGAATGGCAAGTTGACCTGGTCCCATGACAGCTTCTATGCCTGTCCGTTGGATGAGCTCTTTCAGACTATCAGGCTTGGTGCTGTCCGCAAGGATAACCAGTCTCCTGGTGATGACTGCTCTCTCATCGTCCTCACTCAGGTCTAAGTTCGTCTCGGAAACTTTTGGTATGTAACCACTATCGCTATTGCTGGAGTTACAATGCTGATTTTTGGGAAGGTCTCCAGTCGTTTGAATTGTTCCTCGTTTCTTACAAAACCGCCAGAGATTAGGAGGAACGTCGTCGTTTGTCCTTGGGGAATAATGACGAGGGCTACATGTAACTACACTTTTTTAAAGCCTAGACTAGGCATCCGCCTCTGTTCTAACCGTCAAGGAAATAGAATTTTATATACATACATACTCTTCTTTCATATAGTTATAGATCTGATACTAGATCGTAGCTACAGTCTTCAAAAGCATTGCTGTGGCTCCGAGACCTCAAGTAACAATATGTCCTTTAGAAGTAGTTCAGATGCAGACTATTGGCTGTATAATATGCAGTGGTCTATTACGTTAGCAATTCAGAAACTTCGGGGATTTGAAAATCTGTGGCCAGAGACTGTATCGAGTGACTGAGAATATAATGTTTTTCGAAGAAGAGAAATGGGCACTTGGTGAGGGACCCTAGGACAAGGTTAAGGGTGATGGTGAATGATGATTGGGCGGCCGGCAAGCTGTCAACCGACAGATAGGGGCAGATGGGTCCTGCGGTTCTTGAGTCCTGACGGAGGTCACTGGAAATGTACATCCGAAATTGACTAACTTCAGAAGCGGATAGAATATATTGTGCTCCAAGCCATTCCCTCGAGATCTTTCGCACATCAGCAAGCCGGTATGGAGCTATTGGACACGGTTGTAACCATTCCCTCCCATGCAAGTCAACGGCCTTACATACAGAAAGTACATAAAGTCTACTGGGATTCAAATCCTTCCCTACTGACCATTTCGACACTATTTCTTCAAGTGGGTGTCAGAAATCAAGCCTAACTTGACGCCTAAGCTCTCTCGCCTACAACCGCAGCGTGCTAATAATGAAATGGCCATTAAACGATGGACCTTGAGCTCCCAATGAAATATTCGATTCGTCACATTGAGTGGCTTTTGAGACCATCAGCTCCTTGCTAGATAATTGGACAGGATCACAATCAATCCACTTACGATATAACGTTATACCTTCGGTGGGTCTGTCGGGAGACATGCATAGCAGATTTCAACTTTTCCAAGGAATTCAAGTCAATCAGTATGAAGCTAGGACATCCCTTGTACAGTACTTTTCGCTCGACTGGAAATGACATTCAATCTGGAATTGTCGATCTCACCCACATCTAGGATCAATAACCACAGTATAGTGTAACTACTAACTAGACTAGGTAATTACCCCTAGATTTGGAATGCTTGGAACCCGCGCGGCTTCCAAATGGTAGCTAGCCCTGTCCAAGCTATGAATAGCCTGCCTACACAGTACTCACCTTCCGGTCGAAAGGATCGCTAGCCCCATCAAGGCGGACGGTCGATCAGGGTCCCAGGCGCCAGAGTCAAGGGCATCGCGTCCGGATTAGGCATGAACGTTAAACGTGGCGCGCTGATCGCAGGATAGAGTTGCGGCATACGAGACGATCCGCAGGGCTCCGGGCATGCTTCGGTGGCAAAAGTCTCACGTCCAGTCAGTCGGCGTTGTCTTTGCGCTCACGCAAGGGTGACCCGATTATTTGAATGCCAGGTAGGGTTTTCCGGCGCGGACTGCCGAGATTGAGGAGGGCCAGGAATTGCCGGGAGACGGTGGAACGTGTCGCACGGACGAAAAGGGAATGGGCGTGAAGTTGGGGCTTGGCGAAGGGCTCGAAAATGCGACTGATCTGGCCAGGCATCTGTTTGATATGAGCCATCCCTCGTCATGAGTTGCTGGCAATAAGTCCGATGGGTGGTGGCAGGAAGAGATGGAATCAGACCGTCAGAAAGGGTCAGACTCAATAAGTCAACAATCCACCGTCAACAGACCTTCATGCGCGGGAGCCATCAAGGGAGTGTCGTAAGCTTTATAGGCGCCTGAGGGTTAAGATTGCGATTAGTACCCAAACTCCGTACAGATCAAAAACTATTAATGTTTGCCCATGCGAATGACTGCCGCCCCACTGCAGCCATCCCGTGACCCGCTGCCGTCCGGATTCGGTCGCCAAACTCCCTTAGGCCGTCAGGCAACTACAAGTGGATCGCATCGCTTCGGCTCCCTTTTGCTGTCCACAGCACAGCCTTCATGCCTTCCTGGGAGTCAGACCAGGCCGACCAGGAATCTGGAGTTCCGCACGGTCGCATGGGCTGGGTACACCTGTACGAAGGCCATTCGCAGGAATAGTCCGCCGCGAAATCGCAGCAGTTGCTTCAGGATTGCGCATCAATGATGAAGCATCGACGCCACATTGCTGTGGCGGCAAGGTATGATGCCAAGCCACAGCTACCCGCTGCTTCGTCAGTTAATTACTTCATAGATGGCCAGGCAAATCAGATCAGTTTGTATCCGGATGTAGATTGGACAATATTATTAATTCTAATCATCAATGTCACTACTCACTAGTGAATACTCCGTGCAATCCAACGTAAGGCAACTGGCGGGGGTGGCAGGCAGGCAGGCCAACTATCGGTACACTTAGTTAAAGTTGGTTAGGCCCCATTTCAACTCAGCCTCTTCTGCCCGTCGGCCATTTTCATCGCCTGCTGCCCCTCTCCGCCTTCCTGCTCTCCACCGTCATGCTTTAAAGTCGTCGGATCGGTCTTGTCTGCCTCATATTTGAATATTATTGTCAATTTATCGTGGGCTAGCTCTTATCTACTATGCCTTTCTAGTTCCCTGCCTAGCGTCTTCTTCCTTCGCGCTTCTCTCCGGGTCCTATGCTGCTGTTCGGATTACTATTCAATTCGCTCCGTCGGCTTTCCTCCTAGGCAGATGAATACAACACGATAAAGCTTAGTTGCCTAACCTAAATGTCACCGTCCAGCCAGTTCCTTATATATCCCAAGTACTAGGTAAGTTCTGCAGTTGCTGGCTTGCGGCTCCGTTGATCCCATTGCTTGAATTGCCTGAATCCTGTTTCTGCTGCTCTGCTGTCATGTCCTGTTGATGCCATTGTGAACCTGCCACTGTCTGTCGCTTTATTGTTCATCGTGAATATCGTTTCACATTCAATTCACTTGCTCTCTCATCTCTTGTTCCTATATGTCCTGTCATCCTATTTCCGCCAAGTCCCTTTTGTGTTCCAATCTTGAGACATTTGCAAGTGTTTTGGCAGCTTTTCAACCACTCAACAATTCCCACTCGCCAATCACCATCTCCGCAACCGCCATGGCGACTGGGCAGCTAATGGACATAGATGCCGTATTACATCATCGTGGTTTAGGTACGATGAGTGATGATAATGTTGATCGGGGAACGATTCCATTCCGAGTCCGGGATTCGGTGAAAGATCCTGTACCCGGTTCTCCGCCCAGGCGTTCTTCAAGAGCCCATGATATAGACGTCGCCAAGTGAGTGGCCCCTGATGACTATTCGGTGCTTCCGCATCGTCAAGTCAGACGTCAATCCTTCGAATTATGCGTGTCGCAGCCTTCTGATTCCCGGTATAGGAGTCGAGTTAGCCCGCTACTCTCCGGCGCAAATTCCCCGGGGGGGTCTTCTACGACTAATCACGCACATCATTCCGCCAGCGTCTCTTTATCAAACAAGAGGCCGGATTCTCTTGGGGCTGTACCCAACAACTTCGTCCCAGATGACCTAAGTGAACAAGCCGGAGATCTGGTTAATCCGAGACTATCCAAAGGGCATCGCCCCGTATGCTCGGCGGACATAGAGCATTCAAGTCAACCTAATAGTCCAGCTAGCCGGATCTCTCGCGATAATCACCCCAGAAATGCCGGTGTCGCCAGCGGCATACAACAATCCCGGATTTCTCCGGACTCGCTGGGCCACGCAGCTGCAGGTCCATCGCGACTTTATCACCACAGAAATCGCTCCAGTCCCGCTTTTCAAGATAGTCCAAGGACCAACTTTAACGACGAACAGGAGGCATTTGCCTTGCCGAGGAGGTCACGTCTCGTCGCGGAGAGACTTTCGTACGGTCAAGGGTCGGCGCAGAATCTGAGCAACGAACATCAATTCGTCCGAAGGTTCGCTGCCGGATCCGAAGGTACAGCATCACGTGGGATTCTCTTAGAACTGCAGGACGCTGAACCGGTAACAGAAGAAGAACTGATCAGCGAGGTGCGCATTATCTACGGCGGGATAGTTGCGGTGGAGAAAAAGTGTGCGGAGTATATTCAAAACAACAAGGAAAACCCCGACATGACCCCGGAAAAATGGCATGCAATGCTTACGGTGCACCGAATGCTTCTACAGGAGCACCATGATTTTTTCATGGCTTCGCAACACCCATCCTCACTTCCATCTTTCAGGCGCATATCGGAGAAGTACGCTATGCCGGCTCGTATGTGGCGCTATGGAATCCACACATTTCTCGAGTTCCTACGTCGTAGACTGCCCGAGTCCTTAGAGCCCATGCTGACATTCATTTACTATGCATACTCCATGATGACCCTCTTTCTGGAGACCGTGCCGTCGTTTGAGGAGACATGGATTGAATGCCTTGGAGACCTGTCGCGATACCGCATGGCCGTCGAGGAGTCCAATCTGCAGGACCGGGAAATTTGGGGCGGAGTCGCAAAGTATTGGTACAACAAAGCGGCGGACAGGAACCCCGACGTCGGCCGCATTCAGCATCATCTGGCCGTCCTAGCGCGACCCGACATCGTCCAGCAGCTTTTCTACTACACCAAATCTCTTGTCAGCGTGCGCTCATTCCCGGGGACCCGAGAGAGCATTGTGCTTCTATTTAACCCTGTCATCAAGGGCCCACGGGTTGGTCATTATCATCAGGTCATGGCCGAATTTGTGACCGCACACGGCTATCTATTCGGCCGGACTACCTCGGAGCGTTTCTTCAGCGCAGCCGAAAACTTTTTGTCGGGTTTAGACAATCATATCCCCCGAGTTGGAGGAGCATTTAAAATGCAGGGAGTTCATATGGCTGCCTCAAACTTTGCTGCTATGCTGGAGTACGGCAGCACCAACGCTCTCTTGCCGAATGAATTCCGCCTAGCATCCACGACACAATCCAGACCTCTTGAGGACATTGATCCATCCGTTTCCAGGCACTGGACTTCCATCAGCGAACCTCAGAAGGTTGCCGATGATTTTCTTGCGCTCGACGACCCTGAAAGTCCTTCCCGTTTCATATTCTACGGCTCGTATCTCGCATTCCAAACATTTTCCATTTTCCTCGACCAAATAGGCGATAAGAATATCTATGCGGCTCTCCACTTCTCATTAGCGTTTTTGTGGTGTTTGTCATGCACGTCGGGCGGCATGAAATATGCCGAACTGGTGGTTCCCTGGAGGCGGATTGTCGCCTTTCTCAACACCATGTTTTCGCCCTTGTTGGACATGAGCTTGGTGGAAAAGGACGAGTTTCCCATCTCTGATGAGACCAAATGGATACCCGAAGACTTTCTCATCCGCGGCCATATCTGGAGTCAGGCCTACTATCCCCCTTCCTTTTTCGAAGGTTCCCCGACTGAGGATGACGGACGAAACATCGAAATGCCATCGCTCAAAATCTCCCGGATGTATAGATGTCTTTGGCTAGGAGTGAGGCTGGCAAAGGTGCGTTCTCAATCCCGAAGTAGGCTAAACAAGCAGGGGTTGTACTGATATATCGCGCAGTTCGATCGTTGGATGACCTATGACTCTGCTTTGCAGAAATTCTCCGTTACCCCCTTTGCTCTGGAACTCGAGAGGCTCGCGGAAGCACAGTGCCCCTTTCACATCACTACACCGCAAGAAGTCTCCGGTGCCGATGTGGAAATGCGTGGCTCTTGAGCATTGAGCAGGTTGCGGCTGACTGAGTTTCTTGTTTGCCTGGGATTTATTCTGAATCATTGGTTCATGAAGTAATATGGCATTACTAGCGTCGTTCTGTTGGACGTATGGATGCCCAGATGACACCGCCTGGGACGCAAAGAAACATCCGGTCCTCCGCGTCCCTTCGAAGTCGAGCATGTTATACGTTCTGCGGTGTTTACGTGGACATGCGTCAGGCAAGCGGTCATATTGATTGACGCTGGTACCGAGTGTTATGCCTTCGTCATGGGGGCACGATCCGATGCACATACCGAGCCATCGTCTAGCTTTTAGTCGTTCGCGTTTCAGATCAAGGCTTTGGTTACGGTCGAGCAATCTCCAGAAGCGTGCTACATTGTACTGCTCAAGAAGGGGGCAATAGAACACGGGTGAGGTGGACGATGATATAAATGTGTGATGTGAAGACAAGAAACAATGACCAAACTAAACACAGTCGTGATTCCATCAATTGAATATAGACAATGAGACACGGCACATTGCCTAATAATAATAATAATAACAAGTAACAATTGTTGTGTACCTAGTCCGACGGGGAATACGTAAGGCAGTTAAATTCCAGCACTTAATTTAGATGCTGACGACGGGTCGGAGACGCTAAGCACTGAAAGGACAAGCTGGCGACAGGAACGCGTCGGAGATACGCCCGCTTTCCCCCCTCACCTCCTCTTCGGCATTTTCCTCTTCCCTTTCGCTTTTAAGCTCCATCGCGCCCTTTGGCTAACGATGCCCATCTCTCCCCGATATCCAGGTTGATTGTTCGTACCAGACAAGTTCCGCGTCGCATGGCTGGCCAAGTCCGGATTGTCTCCGTCATCTTGAGCGTTTAAGCTCATCCTCCTTCTTCGACCTCGACATTCCTCTACTTCTATACCGCTCTCTCCCTATTCTCAAGTTCGCACAATTGCAACCATGGCGTCAGAAACGTGGATCGGAGTCTGCGTTCATTGCGCAGACCTCCTTGCCAACGTCCCCATCTCCATCCTCCTCTTGACCGTTGTCGCAACTCTTATCGGAGCGTTTGTTCTGGTACGTTGGCCCCCAATTTTGTGCTCTACGTGAATCAGATAGATCAATGGTAGTTATCGATGAGCTGACCTCCGCTCCGCTCGAATTACACAGTCCTACGTTATCCTCTTCCTCGTCGCCCCCGTCCCGCGAACCCCCTTGCCAGAAGAGAAGAAATACCGCACTCTATCGAAGGATGGATCAATTACGGAGCCCCAGCAATTGCCTTGCTGGTATGATACCTTGACCAAACGCACCGTTCGGATGCCGGACCATGCTGCCATGGAAGAGCCCGAGCTGTTCATGTCCTTAGTGGTGCCGGCCTACAACGAAGAGGACCGCCTCGGCGGTATGCTCGAAGAAGCGGTGAACTATCTCGAGCGCATGTATGGAACATTAGCCAGTCATGCAGAGGAGGGGGTCCACGCGTCGGGCGAAAAGGCGACTCGGCGACGCACCGCCGCCCAGCAGCCATTGAATGGTCAAGCTGCAAATGGCCGGGCAAATAGCGATCGGGGCTGGGAGATTATCCTCGTTTCGGACGGATCCAAGGATAGAACGGAGGAGGTGGCGTTCAATTTCGCTCGCGACCATCAGCTCTCGCTGCATCCTAAGGGTCACGCTGGTCCCTGGACGCCTAGGGTTCAGGAGGGTGTTCATATACCGCCCGGGACGATACGCGTGGTGACATTGGCTCAGAATAGGGGGAAGGGTGGAGCCGTCACGCACGGCATGCGACATGTTCGTGGCCAGTACGTAGTTTTTGCGGACGCAGACGGAGCGAGCAAATTTGAGGATTTGGGAAAGCTTGTCTCCGCTTGTCAGGGGGTCGAGGATTCCGAGGGCCGCGGCGTCGCGGTGGGCTCTCGAGCTCATATGGTTGGGAGTGAAGCTGTTGTCAAGGTATGGCTCCGTAGTAATCCTGCAACTAAAGTAAGTTATGTCGCTAACATCTGTCCCGAAACGATAGCGCTCGAAGCTCCGCAATTTCTTGATGCATTCCTTCCACCTGATCCTGTGGCTCTTGACTCCCTCGAAAACGGCTACGATCAAGGATACTCAGTGCGGGTTCAAGCTGTTTTCTCGCAGCTCGCTGCCCTACATTATCCCCTACATGCATTCGGAAGGGTGGATCTTCGACGTGGAGATGCTGATGCTGGCTGAATTTGCGGGCGTGTCGGTGGCCGAGGTCCCCGTCGGGTGGAGAGAGGTCAAGGGGAGCAAACTCAACGTGCTTCGCGACAGCATCGGCATGGCCTGGGGTCTGGCCGTGCTGCGAGCGGCCTGGTCGCTCGGCGTCTATAGACGGACGTGAAGATCGTGTCTCACCGCGCAGGGAATAGAGTTTACTTATATATTAAATTAACATTATGATTACCCCATCTCGCGCATCTTGATATTCAGGTTACTCTGGGGATGTTCAGGGTTTGATAGGGATCATCACGATGAAATCGGGCTATTGTCTTGCGTTGAATATTAATAGCATCGTCAGTCGGTGGCGCTACCGAAGAACAACCGGCACGGCGGATTTGCTCCGACGAGTCCAGACTTGCAGGGGCCAGACAAAGCCGATGACTCCATAGTCCGGAGTCCGGAGTAGATCTGGGATCTTGGGGAGTGACGAGTGACGAAGGAGGAGACAGGTGCAGAAGTGCCCGATAGTCAGTCCGAACTAATCATGGCCTGATATCAGCCTGTCCGGGATCTTTAATCTTGATATTTCCTGTCAGTCACGCTGCCCTTAATAAGAATTGCTCCAACGGGTAGGACCCAAAATTCCCCGACAAGGGGTCCTTCAGGGACTCAGTGGCGATTAAGTTCTTCGAGAAGAAAAAGTTTTCTGGTTAAAGTTTGCAGCGCGATGGTTCGGTTGATCCGGCCCGGTTTCTTTCTCCCTCGGAAGCCTCCCATTTTTTAAGAAATGGAGTTAGCTGATCAATAGTGGTATGATGTCGCTTTGACTGTTACAGAGTAGAATTTTTTTTTTTTCTTTCCTTTCTGGCCTTTTCTTGAATCGGTTCTATTTGCCCCCTTTTTTCCCTGTTCTTTTTCTTCTGGCCGTGAGCGCTTCGCCTTGGCATGAGCTGATTCTGCCTGCCAACTTGCTTCTGCATTCTTTTCTTTGTTTCTCTTCCTATCATTCATCCCTTTTTCTGTGCTGGCCTAGGATCTTGCCGATTAATGACTCAATTATGAGTCGGTGTTGCTAGGATTAGTGTCAGTTGATGCTTATGAGGAGTCCTTCGTTATATTCACCGTCCGAAGTATAAACGTTGGCTGGTATATCGTCACAACTTCCGCCTTCATTATCATCACGATAACTTGATACTGCTGCTATTACGACATATCTGACTACTACTATCTTTACCACTACTATCATTATCTTATCGACGTTGCTAGTCAACTACACCAAATGGAGATGCTTCAGGCAATCGAGCCGGGTGCTCGCAAACTGAGCGCCAAGGAGTCTCCTTTTCTGCGCTTACCGGCTGAGCTCCGCCTGATGATCTATGAATATGCCCTGGCCATTCCCAACGACTACATCGACCGACCCCTGATCGTGGTCGACGACCGCGGGAAAACGTTCACTGCGCGCGGGCGATATCGCGCCCTCTGCATGTGCCCCAGTTGGGTCGGCGAGAATGGCCGCGTTCGCAACCTGCTCTCCGTCAATCGCCAGCTGCACGACGAAGTCGAGGACTTTGTCTACTCGCACAACACGCTCTTCTTTCGCAACTCGTTCGATCTCGACCGCCTCGGCGCATTTCTTGATACGCTCAGCGCCACCGCCCGTAATCGCATCCGCAGCGTCGGCTTCGAGATCTTCTTCTTCGTGCATTCGCAGACGGGCGTGCCCAAGCGGACGCTGAAAGAGTACGAGCGCGCAGGTCGCATGTTGTCCGAGAAGCTACCTAACTGGACGACGGTGCTCCTGTACCTGGATCCGCGGTTCTATTTCCCATCTGCTGCTGCGGGTGGGCGCGAACTGTCGGCTCGGGGGGTCTGGTACCTGGCGACGGTTTTCGGGAAGATGCGCAAAGAACTTCAGTTTCTTGCGCTGCCTTCGATGCATCGGCATGTTATCAGCGAAGCGCAGCGGATGCTTCAACTAGGGAGGCGAAACTCTCAAGAAAAGTCCTCTCTTTAGGGGGAGCTTGGATGACTGACGTCTTTCCGATCAGCCGAACATATGCCGACCGACCATGTATTTCTATCTATTCGTCGCCTTTCTGAAATTTTGCTTTTTCTGCATCGCCTGTTTCATTTGGATTTTCGCAAACCTTTTCGCCTTCCGATTTGCGATTCTTTGGCCATTCCCCTCATCACATATTTGGCGTCATTTTCGTTTAGAGCGCATACCCTTTTTTTTCTGATTCTCCACAGCGCGATAGACATTGATTTCCATCGAAACGTGGAGCACCGAGATGTTCGAGGAGTCGAGCAATTGGCCCGGTGGCTAGTGGGTGCTGCGCGATGACGTTTTTTGATATTTGACGCAGAGCAACGGCGCGATCTTTGGTGTCAGCGATGACCCCACTAGCAGCCGATCAAAAGACAAAAAGGATGTCATCGAGGGGTTTTTTCTTATCGTGGGGAGCATCTTGGAGTTTCTTTCTTACATTCGAGCATGGGATGTTTTTATGGAGGGAGTAAAGGATTGTTGATGGATTTTCTGATTGATATCTCTGCATGGTTTATGTGTTTGTATATAGTAGAGATTGAGATAGACTGCTTTCTGGACAATATGAGCTGATTAATTAATACGAGATGCGACCAGTCGAGGCTGGAGCTTGTTTCGAGGGGATTGAGTAAAATGGCGCCTCGCACCAATCGGTTCGACATCATTTGGGCGATGATATCAAAGCCAGATGATTGCAACATCTGGCTGGACGGATGATCGAGACGGGCCAAGGACTAGTAGTCTAGTAGGGAGAACTACTGAGTCGGCTGTACCCTCATCATTCAGTGAAGAAATCAGTACTCCGTAAGAATATGTGTGGTTGCCTCGACGTCATCGTCGGCCCTCGTGATCGGCCTCAGGCCTCGCAATCACGGGGAAACAAACACCTTCAACTATTTCAATCCGTCGGTCTTCCTCCTCTTCTCTCCTTTTGACTCTTTACCTTTCGGATGTCTTATCTTTTTTATCTTTTTTAATCTCCCCTCCCTCCTGCTCCGTCCCCTCTCTGAACTGGCGGTGTATTTGTTGTCCCTTGGAGTAGGTCTATTTCTCCTCTTCCCCGCATGTGGGACTCGCCTTTTACCAGCCAGTCGTGGGAAGTCCGAATGCCTGACTTCTTCCCATCTCCATAGGTCCACTCGCAAATAACACAATGCTGTGAACCCATCACTGCAGTCAAGCGCATTGTCCACTTGTCGCCCCACGTATGGCCGCCTGATCTCAGTGAACTCTCGTCTCTCTCTCTGCCGGATCCGTGGGTGTCATTTTCAGGCACCCGTTGGCATCTGATTAATTAATCGCTCTGAACTGTCCTGTCTCATGCTTGGCTCCCTGCCAGCCCCGACCTTTTGATTGTTTCGCCACTGTACGTACGTTGGTCTCCGTAGTTCCTCCTCATTTGTTGTATGGTTTGCGACCTGCTTCCGCGTTGTTTCATGATGCTGAACTGTTGACTTGTGTAGCTGACCGTTCATTCAGTACCCAATTTTATTTTATTTTTCTGTCCTTCTGGATCTGCCCGAGGCAACTAACCTCGCCTCGTTGTTATTTTCTCGTTGTCCTTTGCCTCATCTGGTCTTCTTTCTTATACCCGACCATCCCTTCTTATGAGGGGCTCGTCCACCCCCTTGAAGTTGTCTCAGTAGAAGTCATCTGTTTACCTCTACCAACCACCCAAAATGAAGTCAGCAACCGCTACGAAATCTCCGAATGGCCACGGCAGCTGTTACAAGGAGGTGCGCTTCTCTCCTACCGCCACGCCCATCATGCGTCGTGCGCAGTCGTTGCCCGTCAACCATCCCTATCATCACATGAATCACACGCTTGGCACCCAGGGCGACTCCTCGGTCTCGAGTGTAAATTACCTCGACCAGGCTCAGTCCCTCCTGGATCGACAACGAGCGAATTTCGAAAAGGAGAGGTCTCTTTTTGCCGAAGAAAGGCAACTATGGGAGCAGGAGCGCTCGTTACTCAAATCCAAAATCGCCGAACTCGAATTCCTCCTCAGACGCAACGGGGCTACGGTCGCTGGTTCGACCTCCCCTCCGGGCGCCTCGGCTCCCCACTCGTCCGTGATCTTCCAGAGCTTGCCCACGAACTGGTCGGAGTCAGCTCATAACCCTCAGGTTTGGGAGGGGTCCAGCCCTGGCTCGCGACCCACCCGCGTTTTTCCCGAGGCGGAGAAATTAGTAGACAGTCAGACCTCATTGTCGGAGCAAGGAGCTACCCTGTCGACCCCTTCCCTTGACGCTGCGCTGTCACCCCGGTCCCATGCGACCGATTCGACGCCCGGCTCTACCATGTCCGTGCCGATTGAAAAGCTCGACAGCAGATTAGATGGCATCACGCTGAAATCCACCGCGCTACCGCCGGAAATCTTCGCCCGCGTGATGACACCTCCTTCCCCGGTTTCTCGGGAGACGTCTCCCTCTGCCACCCATAAAGCCGAAATCAAGCCTGGCTTCAAGCTCCGGCTTTCTGAGCTGGGGCCTCCTGAAAGGAACCTTGTCAGGGATGCTGGACACACCCCCATGGCCGTCATCGATCGCGATATGGAAACGGAGTTGCCTTCGCCCACTGAAGGCACGATCAAGGAGGAGGACGAACCCCTTACTCCCCGGGCGCTTCGGCAACCTGCAGAAAACTCCGATTCGTATTTCGCGGACCTGCCCGACGACCCGGCTCTGAAGGGGCCCCTCTCCCTAGTGAACGACGAGGAGCACGACCATGGTTTTCTCAAGGAGCTAGACCAAAAACTCCTGGACGAGGCGAGACACGTTCTAGGGTCGTCCGGGCCAACCGAGGAGTCGAAAGAGCCCGAGACCGACACCTCAAACTCTGGGGAGCAGGAACCGGAGCTGAAACTCAGAAGCACCACCAATTTTGGCACGGCCTTTGGAGATCCCGAGCTGGAACGATATCTAGCAAAGCAATCGTTTTTGGCATAACTTCTATACGGTGATGATCTATACAAGAATCTACTGTTGATGTTTTAGATATACCTTTTTTTTTCTGTGTTTCATGTTGGGCTTTATGGGCTTTTTTGGATCTTTTTGTGATATATAGGAACAGGCGCTTTTGTATCCCGCTGGGTTGTGGATACTGTTATTGACGATCTAACGATGAAGACTTGCATCCTCTTGACAGAAAACAGCCATGTGTAGCTTACAGAATACAACCAAGTTCGTGCGCCCTCCTTAAGGGTCCATCTCCCTAGCGACGTGAATAGTCCGGAGTCACCCTTGCATTAGTCTGCATCCATCTTATCTCCCTGGACTCCTGGTTCAGAACGAGCATCCCTGCAGCCTCATGCAACGCTATCGGTATCGATAGGGGCTTTTACTTATCGTGGCCTTGCATGAGATCCCTATGGAGCTGTATACAGGGCCTAGAGCCCTTTACAGGGCGTATGGCCCTGTCTATGATGACAGAGACGACCGGGCAATTATAAAAGGGCTTTGAGCTCTGTCATTCCTTCTAGCATTCAGACCTCATCCATCCTTCATTCCTTTGGCTATAGAGTCACTCATTCTTATCATACATTCTCTCAATCTTTAAGTGAACATCACTCATTCAGTCAGAATCGACAAACCACTTTCCTTTGAAGCATCAGGTTCCTACCTCCATGCACAAAATGCCCTCCACGAGAAGCATCTCGGCACTCTTGTGCCTCCTCTTAACTGCCACTCCTACCTCAGTTCTTTCAGTCCCCATCTCCAAGGTAACCAATCCTCTCCTTCTCATTGGTCCTCCCCACAACAAAGAAACTAGCTAACCCCATCTATAGAACCACGCCCTCCTCCCCAGACAATTCAACAGTAACTCCCAAGAGGGCTTCAACTGGGACTTTTCCATCCCCGACGGCCCGGGCTTCCATACCGGCAGCTCCAGCTCCAACAGTTACAATGAGAATAAGAACCGTGGTGACTCGGATATGACGTCTGATACTACCGCGAATTCGGATACTTCGATTGGTATCCCGGATGGTCCGAGTGTCAACTTTGGGAACTTTTTTAGTTCGCATTATGAAGAGAGTGAACCTGAGCCGGAGCCTGAACCTCAACCTGAGCCAGAGCCTGAGCCTGAGCCTGAGCCAACTCCTACACCTGCGCCGCCGACTCCCCCGCATACACCTGAAGAGCCGGAGTCTCCTCCTCCTAGCCCATCTTCTGAACCGACTCCCGAGCCCGAGTCTACCCCCGAACCTGAGCCGACTCCTGAGCCCCAACCTGAACCTGAGCCTACCCCGGAGCCCGAACCTGAGCCCCAACCTGAAGAGCCCGAGCCCCAGCCCGAGCCTCCTGTCCATGAGACCCCGGCGGAACCTGAACCCCAGCCTGAACCGGAGCCTGAGGTCGTCGTCGTCGAAGCATGCCCCGCCCCTGAGCCTGCTCCTGGTCCTGAAGCTCAACCGCAGCCGGAATCTGAACAGGAGCAGGAGCAGGAGCCGGAGCAGCCCGAACAGCCAGAGCAACTGGAACAAGAACCTGTGGCTGCGTCTCCGGTAGAACAAGCACAAGAACCGGAACCGGAACCCCAGCCCGAGCTTGAGCATGCCAATACATGCCAGTGCGCTTCTTGAAGCTCTCTTCATCGGTTCCAAAACTGACTTTCTATCACTCTCTCATTTTGATCTGGCATCTGACTGAAATGGTTTGCTATACTACCGTCTAGTCCCCTTTTAATCCTATTTGACTGATTCGATATTTCCTTTAATCCTCTCCATCTGTTCATTTACCCTACCTACTACCTCCCTACCCCTTCTGCCCCCTTGTATCTTCTATATCTGTTATTATTATCAACATTTCCCCCTTTTCACTGCCCTTTTCTTTTCCTTTCTTTCTTACCCTCTGTCTTATCCTATTCACTTCTTGTGCAGGTCTCCTTGGTGTTATCACTTATCTTATCATCACCATTTACCTACTTATTTTATATTTCTCTTTCCCTTATTCTCTTGTCTTTTCCTTTGTCTATTTGGTCTTTGTCTGGTTATCGCTCATATATCTTTCCTACATAGTTCTTCCTTGCAGATCGGTTACATGTTCATCTAATAGTTGTCTAGTATATGGTATAAATAAATATTACTTCGTCTTTTTATATACTGCTTTTCCGTCATCTGATTTGCTTAGGGGCTTTTTTTCTTGCACGGAGATGTGTAGATTATACGGTTTGTTTATGGTCCTGGGATATGTACTGTATGCAGTTTAATGTTGACATATTCGGTCGCTGCAAGGACTAACCATCGGCCAGATGAGCTTTTTGGTTTAGTTAGAAGTCATACCGATATCTGCATTTTCTACAGGTAAGTCACGCATGGTGATATTACGTGTAGATCAAGAGAGATTTGAAATATAGGAAGTAAATGCGGGAAGTTGCATATCTCAAGGATATAGAAACTAATACGGAAGTACTAGGGAAAAGAAAATGTTATAATGATGTTCTTCATATCATGTTGTGTCATGCTATCATGAGAAAATTACCTACCTACCTACCTACTATATCATTTGCGCCTTGGAAAGAAAAAAACTAGTAATGAACAAGCGAGAGACCCAAAAAGTAAAATCACTATTAAACGCTGACGCATGGACTGGCTGCCTGGCTATGGGTATGTATATGGATGGGGCTTGAAAACAAAGATCATGCACCCTATACACCCATGGTATAATCATGCTCAATACCAGGCGTCACACTCGCGATGAATTTCAGAAAAACAACCAGATACTGGTCCACCCGGATAGCCACCTGGTCTTCCTCGTCGTGCTGCAGAACTTCCCATTCGTCGCCGCCGGCGCCGCTCTGCTGCTGCTGCTGCTGCTGTTCAGTCAAAGACAGACCCTGGACGTCGTCGACCAGACCTTCGAGGCCACTTCCAGCAGCCGGGGCGGGGGCTGTCGAGGAGGAACTCGAGTTCGCTTGCGCCTGCTTCAGCTTCTCGGAGCGGATCTTGAGCGCTGCGTCGGCGCGGTCGAGAAGGGTTTTCATGACCGAGGCGTGCCGACAGGGGTGAACGGTGGCCATCTTGACGTTGCCGTCGAACCACGGGAAGTCTTCCAGCGTCACCGTCTTGTCTTTGTAGTCGCCGACGATGTCCTCCATCATGAGCGGTGGGGGGAGGGGTTCCGACGGAGACAGGTACCCGGAGAGGTAGAGTCGAGGGGTCCGGTAGAAGTTGGAGTATGTGATGTAGAGGTTGTAAGTGCGGGTTGGTCTATCAAGTTCCTCCCATGTTAGTTTCCATCCAATAGATAATCGGCACCATAAGTCCTTAAGGAGAAGGGAGCTTACTGCGTCATCCCCGACCCTCCCACCGGCTCACGAATAATCGCCTCCTCATCGTCATCATCATCCTCCATATCGGGAATCTCCTCTTCCTCTTCCTCCTCCTTCTCGCCCATATTCCCCGCCTCATCAACGGTCCGCACATCGCGAATCCGAGTCTCCCGGTCCCGATGGGCTGCGTCCCCGCCGCCCCCGGTCCTCAACCACCCATCGTCATCATCCTCCCCGGCCCCGCCCGACAACATGTCCCGGACGATCTCGTCATCGTGGCCCGCATCCCCCGCGAAGTTATCATTGAGCCGTCGGTGGCAGGGGACCCCGCGCGTCACCAGGAACTGCTTCCCCTCGGGGAGATAGGATACACGTTTGGCGGGCGAGGAGGCGTCGGCCCACGCCCATGACGGGAACTTGTAGACGAGGTAGTCGCCGGCCAGGACGAACTCTTCGGGTGTGATTTGTCCTGTGTTGCGGAACGTTGAGGTTCGGGAGACTGGGGCGAGGCGGTCGCGCCAGGTGGAGAGTGTGGAGTGGAGGATGTTCATGTTTGGCCCTCTCTCTGTGTATGATTATCGCAGTGTGTGTTTCCTTTCGTAGAGTGAATCATGAATATGAGTAAGATAGTGATCGTATGTTAAAGTGGGATGGTTGAACTGGAGGAAGAAAGGGAGACGATGATCAACGGCCCTTATCAGTTGAGGGGGCGGTGACGGTCTCTGCCTGGGGCACGCGGGGTCACTACATCATGTGGCGGAGACTTACTTCAACTCCTTCAACTCCCGGAAGGTCCCCTGATTCTCTGAGTCATGCTCCGGTCATGTTTTGTGGCTGAGGTGACTGGTCTTATGGATTATACAAGTTATGACATAGTTGTATAAATGGTTTGTTTTTAAAGTTGGTTTGATTCGACGATATCGTCCCTTGTATAGTAGGTATGTACAGGTAGGAAGCTAAATATGTATATACAGTGGTCTGGCCATGCACTCCTGTTGGTTTGTAGGTAGGCTGTTGCTTGCTGGAAGACAGACGCTTGGAGCGACCCCTTCACTAGCAGTGCAATATGCTCCACTTCCAAAATCAGGATTACATAGTTGGGTCGGGTTGGTTGGCATTGGCACCACCCGTGATCGAGTGACATCCAGCTCCAGCTCGTGTCAAGCAAGCATGGTAGAAGGCTCTTGAGGCACCTTGAGCAGCAGTAGGCGCTCGGGCCTAAGAAAGTGCAAGAAATGCCCATCCTCACTCTCCCTCTTCCATCATCCTTCTCCTCTCAATCTCTGCTTCCACATCGTCCACAGTCATGGGAACCGTCTTGGACGCCCACTTCTCCTTCTCGGCCCGCGCAAACCCCTCCATACTGCGCATCGCCACGACCAGAAACCCGAGCTCTTCGCGGTCCACGTCGAAGACCTCCCACCACTCATCGTCCACCAGTTTGACTCCTTCCTCCCTCGCGGCGAGATAGATGGACGACACGGCGAGCGCGTTAGGCTGATGCGTCACGTACACCAGCTGCGGCGAGAACAGCGACGCGTTCAGGTGCTCGAATACCCGTCGCGCAACGGCCGTCGACGAAACACCCAGGGTTTGAAGATACGTCAGGGCGATGGTGTGAGGGAGGGCAACGTGCGTGTCAAAGCCCAATGTACGCAGGATGATCGATTCGATGCGCATCAGAGTCAGTCGCTGGCTTTGGTAGCCGCCTTCGGAGAGGCAGTAGGTCTCCGGGGCGGGTTTCTCGGGCGAGCCCGCCGGATTGATGAACCATAGCGGCGAGGCATCTTTGGAGAGGAGGAAGGTGTAGACGTTCAAAACGGAGCGAGGAGAGGTGGGTTGAAAGGATAGTTTTGCGGTCATGTAGAGCGCCGCGGCGGATACATCCTGTGGCAGGGAAATAGGCGGTTAGCGGTTGTTTTTCCTGGCTGTTCAGAAGCTCCAATATCAAATACCTTCGCCGAGTAGATGCGCAAACTGCCTCCTTCAGGACCGATCCAGAAGCGAGTAAAAGTTACGACGGCCTGGGCGATGATATCTTGCGACAATCGCAGCAGAACTCCCGCGGCTTGCGTCAGCTGGGTACCGGCAAATCGAATGGAAGCTTCTAGGTCGGGAGAGACGCCGTCGATGGAGGACGAGGAGCTCGATAGTTGCTCTGGCGTCGCGAGAGCATTGGACAGGAACTTCAAATCGTCGGTGGCCGAGGGCGCCATAGTGGGCGAATGGAGATCGGAGGGCAGCTCGGGATGATTTCTGAGCTCAGGCTCTAAGCAAGTGCAATCATTGAGATGCGTGGGATGCTGTGTTCAGAACCCACGGTCGCTTTGGCACCGGTGAATGATACCAGGGCTTCTTGGCACTTGACGCAGTTGATGCTCTGCGCGGGCGGCAGAATAATCCTGTGTCGAAACTCCGTTCACCGCCTCATTTGTATATTACATAATTCTATAGATCTTGCGATGGATAAAGCTCAGTTGAGAAGAGGAATTACTGTGCATTAATGAGTGGACGTCTATCCTTCTTGTTAAGGAAAGGGCTTTTGTGTTCAGGTTTTCTTGATAATCTGTTTCTTTACCCTGCGGCGCTATCAAGAGTCCTGGGATATATATTGCTCAGATACCTTCACCTCCCGGGAGGATCAATATTTCTGAAGTGCAAGTGAACCATTTGGAGACTATGCGAGTTTTTGAAATCAAAGCAGTATACCTTGCTATAATTCGACGGCAGACAAGTAGACAGAAGTATCATAGGGTATATAAATAATAGAGACACTGATCACGACAGCTACTCCGTCCAAGCTGCCAGAAATATCCCGAATCTGTAATTCTGTATGGAATAGACGGCACAAGTGCATAGCTGCAGGTTGCAAGTGTATTCAGCAAAGCCAGCAGACGTCATAACGGACATACAACAGGAAGGCAAGGCATATGACAGCTGCCAACCAGGGGTTATGCAGTCTCACTGTCTCACTCAGCACTCAGCACCTCGAATAGACAGACATCTACCCCTGTCTTACCGGCCAATGAAGACAATCTATTATGGAGCAACGACAACTCGATATCTAAGCAGATTGTCCTCTATCTGCCACGGGGCCAATGACTGCTGTAATTTCCCGGAGGACTGGATCACCCCCGAGCTAATTAGTGGGTTGAAACGGGGTTGATTTCATCTTGTGCAGGGTCTAGAGCCACGGATTCGGCCCCTGATTTCGTTGATCCTGTCACCGTCGGGTGTAACAGAGTATACTGAGAATCATCACTTCAGATTCCTGATGGCAGTCCCAACAGGTGCTGAAAAGACACGATAAATGACGTCGGTCGTCAACCCAACCACATGAAGTCAGAACGACAATCCAAAATGGATCGGAGCTGGGCCATGAGGCAAATCTGCTAAGAATAAATTGCCCCGGAGAGACTGGGGCGACGCCTCGTCACGGTGGAGCATTGCTTTCCTCACGCTTTCCCGTTGTTCTGTTCCTGTTCAGCCACCGCTTTTTTGCGGAGCGATGATTGACGGAGAGGCCCCGTATATGTAGACCAGCCTTCGGAATTTCGAGTCTGTCATGCAGTCGAAACATCGTTCTGGCTTCTTTTCCTCTCGCTAATCTGATCGTTCTGTGCATCTAAGTGTCTAAGACAAAAAGTGTCAGAGTGTCAAACTCGTGTTCCCTTGTCTACTTCAAAAGTATACTCCGTACAGTCAGGGGCACGTGCGGTCGAGCTACTCCTGATTTACCGTCGCGCCGTTGGATTCCTCCAAAGTATTCCAGATTCTCTTCTTAATCTTTCTTAATCTCAAGTTCTCAACTATTCCTCGGCCTCATTTCCTAAGCTTCTCCTCTCCAACTATTATACGCCACTTTCCCCCCTCCTTCCGTCAATCAATCAATATCCAGTTGTCTTACCAATTCTCTACCTCCCTCGGCCCCCCCGAATCGGAACTCTCCGACAAAAGAAAAGAAAAAAAAAGAAAAACCACAATACCAAGAAGGGAGGAACAGAAAGGGCCGAACTATTAGGAAGTGACCCAATTCCATTCCTCCTTTTCTCCTAATTCCCACCCAACTATCCTCCGTGGGCTTCTTGGATTGGACGACCTTTCGACGTGGCATTCCAGTCCTTGCCCAAGTGGTCACCATCCCTACAATCCGACCATTCCAATCCATCCCTTTTCCCTCCCCGTGTGTCGTCACGACCTCCACCCCCCTTTACCAAACCGACAACAATGCTGCAAGACCTTGATCACCCTTCAACTCCCCTCGCACCGGCCATCGAGCATCTCAAACCTTCGTCGACCATCCTCTCGCCGCCGCCGGACCCCGAGGACAGTCATCAACCTTGCGATGATCGCCGCGACATCCCTGCAGCGTTGTTAGTACAGAGCTCGGATGCATTATCTCCACCTCCAGACAAGCCGTCATTTCCAAACCCCTCCTTTCACCGACGAGCCAATACCGAGATCATTCGACGCCAGACGCCCCATCTGCCCGCCCGACAGCTGTTTGCAGACCAGCCCAAAACATTCGAGGATCTGGACAAATCCTCGAGCTTGTCGACGGAGAAGGGTCCCCGCAGGAAATTCGAGGAGGGCGCCAAATTGATATCGGGTTGGTTTCAGGGCAAGTCACAGCCCGTCAGCCTGGGAGTCGTGCATCCTCCAACAGATCAGGAATCGTCGGAAACAGCAGCAAACATGTACAGTTCCCCAACCACTCCTACCGTCCCTACGAGTCGGGCGCAGAAGCGCATGACCGCCCCGTCGCCTCTCAAGCAGGTCACCTCCTCGAACCCGTTCTCCTTTTTCGGGTTGAAGCGCCAAGGGGAGAGTAAAACGGACCTCCCCGAACCCGCCGAAGATGAGTTTCTGAACATGGACATCACGGCGGCGCTGTTCCCGCCCACATCGAGCGGTCTCGATGACCACGAGGCGTTCGCTGCTCTGCGCAACAATGCAGACAGCGTGATCAGACGACTGCAGGCGGCCTATAAACAACGGACGTTCGCTCTGCACGAAGCGCTGGCCGACAAGAACGAAAAACAAGAAGAACTGGAGGAAACCCGAACGCGGGTCGGACACCTCAAGGTTCAACTGGACGGCATGGCCGAAAAGGTGCTCCAGCAGGAGAAGGCCGTGAAAGCCATGGCCGAGGAGCTGGAGCAGGAGCGACAGATGCGACGCCGAGAGGACGAGGCGCGTCGACGGAGCGTGATGTTGATCCGATCTAGCGACGACGAGAGCTCCGATCTGGGCGGCGACCTTCAGACGCCCAAGCGGAGTTTGAAACGCGCCAGCAACGCCACCTTCACCAGCGACTCGGGCTTCGACTCCGGCGACGAGAGCCTATCTGAGAGCGTGTTCTCGCGTCGCGAGGGCATCGAATCCCCTGCGTCCACCGTCGCCCCTTCTCCCAATATTTCCCAAGTCACGCTCTCCACCCCTACCACCACCCCCGTTCAGAGTCAAAAAGAATTGAAGCCTGCCCCCGCATCGACTCCTTCCTCCACTCCGCGACCGTCGGCGTACGATCGCGTACTCAAAGGCTTGGCTTCCACAGGTATTGCCAGCTCGTGGACCGGCAATTCATCCAAGTGTCAGATCTGCCATGGTGTTCCAGCATCGGAAGCTTGGAGCGTCATGGGGATTCTAAAAGAGGAGAACAAGGGACTCAAGGACCGACTGGGCGAGCTGGAGATGGTCATCGACGACTGTCTTTGTTTGGTCGGCCCGTGACCTTGATCCCTGAAACAAATTTGCGTCGATTATGACACAACATCTATACCGTCTACGTAGAGGTGGTTGACCCGATTTCTTTTGTTTTATAATGAGGACATACTTTGCTTGATCTTGATTGGCTTGACGACTGGAAGTTTTGTAATGTGATACCTCAGTCCTAGAAGGATAGTCTATATAGAAATACGAGACAGTGACAATGATTCCGCATCACTAAATAATTGTTCCATAGAAAACTGGAATTCTATCATCCTCCCTGGTATACTGGAAGACCACCTATGCCGTTCAGCGGAGAAAGTCACGGGGGGAAGCGACCAAGTGGCCTCAACGGGTTAGCGTCGGCTGGGAAGGCCAGCGAGGCGACTTTCCCTCTTCTCTGACTGAGCAACTCATTCGCACCCGAACTCGTCGTCCCTTTCTCCTCCTCCCCATCCCGTTCTTCTCTTCGTCTCTTGTTCTTTCTTCCCCCTCTTCTTTTTTCTTCTTGATTTCATCTTCGCTCCTTTAGCTGGTTGTTGTTTCCAGCCTATTTCCTTTTTTAATCTTCCCCCCCTAATTCTTGCAGCTGGGGCTGTGGACAGTCACAATGAGCGGCCGTGAGTTCCTCTGCACGCGGTCGCAAAATATCTTCGCGACAGCGTCTTCAATATAGCCTCAATGGATCAACAAATGCTGATTCCCGCATCTAGTCCGATTCCTCGATCTGATTAAACCCTTTACGCCCCTCCTCCCGGAGGTGGCAGCTCCGGAAACCAAGGTTCCCTTCAACCAGAAGTTGATGTGGACGGGGGTACGTTGCTTCGGTCGAGTCGCAGAAGATGGACCTCGAGACTGATGGATACCTCTAGTTGACCTTGTTGATCTTCTTGGTCATGAGTCAGATGCCTCTGTACGGCATTGTCTCCTCCGACACTTCGGATCCTCTGTACTGGCTGCGTATGATGCTGGCCAGTAACCGGGGTACTCTGATGGAATTGGGGATCACCCCCATCATCTCCTCCGGCATGGTTTTCCAGGTAGGTTGGCACGTGTCTTTTTTTTTTGGCTTCGGCCTCGTCTGGATCTGTCTTAACAGGTTTTCTCTGATAGCTCCTCGCTGGTACCCACCTCATCGACGTCAACCTGGACCTCAAGACCGACCGTGAGCTTTACCAGACTGCTCAGAAGCTCTTCGCTATTATCCTCTCCTTCGGTCAGGCCTGTGTCTACGTCCTGACTGGTCTCTACGGCCAGCCCAGCGACCTTGGCGCTGGTATCTGCGTTCTGCTGATCGTCCAGCTGGTCGTTGCCGGTCTGGTTGTCATCCTGCTGGACGAGCTGCTCCAGAAGGGATACGGCCTGGGCAGTGGTATCTCCCTGTTCATTGCCACCAACATTTGTGAATCCATTGTCTGGAAGGCGTTCTCTCCCACGACCATCAACACCGGTCGTGGCCCCGAGTTCGAGGGTGCCATCATCGCTCTCTTCCACCTTCTGTTGACCTGGTCCGACAAGCAGCGTGCTCTACGTGAGGCCTTCTACCGCCAGAACCTCCCCAACGTCATGAACCTGCTGGCCACTCTCCTGGTTTTCGCCGCCGTCATCTACCTGCAGGGTTTCCGCGTGGAGATCCCCGTCAAGTCCTCGCGCCAGCGTGGAATGCGCGGCTCGTACCCCGTCCGTCTCTTCTACACCTCCAACATGCCCATCATGCTGCAGTCCGCTCTGTGCTCCAACATCTTCCTGATCAGTCAGATGCTGTACTCGCGCTTCTCGGACAACATCCTTGTCAAGCTTCTCGGAGTCTGGGAGCCCCGTGAGGGATCCGCCCAGCTGCACGCGGCCTCGGGTATCGCCTACTACATGTCTCCTCCCCTTAACTTCAAGGAGGCTCTCCTCGACCCCATCCACACCGCCGTCTACATCACCTTCATGCTGGTGGCCTGCGCCCTCTTCTCCAAGACCTGGATTGAGGTCTCCGGCTCCGCTCCCCGTGACGTTGCCAAGCAGCTCAAGGACCAGGGACTCGTGATGGCCGGTCACCGTGAGCAGAGCATGTACAAGGAGCTCAAGCGTGTCATTCCTACCGCCGCCGCTTTCGGTGGTGCCTGCATCGGTGCTCTCTCCGTCGCCTCGGACCTTCTCGGTGCCCTGGGCAGCGGTACCGGTATTCTCCTTGCCGTGACGTAAGTTATCTGTCTGATCTGTTGCTTCAAGATTGTCATACTAATAATGCATCCAGTATTATATACGGATACTTTGAAATCGCCGCCCGTGAAGGCGACATCGGAGGAGGTCTCAAGGGCCTGGTTCCCGGCAACTAAGCAGGGACTTCTCTGTCTTCTTGATGAGTTCGTACGAGTAAGAAGAACGAGGGTTTTTGGTTTATCATCTTTTTACCTGTTCAATCCCGGGTGGTGCACTGTTGTGGCCGGATCTCTTTGCATGTTGGCAGATTATGGGGAAGTATAAGTTGAAGGGAGGCCGACGGGCGTGTCTTCCGTCGGGAAAAGTGCGGCCACAACTGTACATAGCATCAACCTGGTTTGTAACCATATTTTTTCTTATCTAAAAAAGGCCCGAAAATTCTAATTTCATTGTCGGTGGTTGAGTTTCTATTATGATTCTAGCATAGTTGATCTATACATTCGACTTCTCCGTAGCTGCCTGCTTCTTCTGCATCCTCAGCCCTAACCACGCCAAACAACCCGCCGACCCCAGATACATACAGCCCACAAACAGCTGCACTCGCAGATACGGCTTCGACCGACCATCCTCATCCCGCAACTGCACCGCAATGGCCTCCGCCACAGCCGTCGGCGGGCCCAACACGAACCAAAACACCCCCAGCGCTGATCCTAGACTCTGCATACCCACCACCTCCGCCACCAACGGCGCCGCAGCGGCCAGAAACGTCCCCGCGAACAACCCCACCGCGATCGCAAAAAAATACGTGACTCCGACCCCGTCCGCGAAGATCCAGACCACCAGCGGCAGGATCCCCGAGAACAGCGCCGCCCCGAACGCCGTGCGCATTCTCCCGGCCTTGTCGCTGACGAGTCCTACGGCTGGTCGACCCAATGCTTGTCCGAGACTGAGCAGTGCGCTGGCTATACTGCCTTGGGATTGCGTGAGTCCGATGGCGACGGTGTACGCGGACATGCTGAATAGGAGCGTCACGTAGCCCAGGCCGCTGAGGAATGCCCAGCCGAGGAGGAGGTGGTAGTCGAGGTTTAGGAGGAAGGGTGGGAGATGGGGTAGGGTTCTGGCTTTCTTCTCTTTCTTCTTCTTCTTCTTCTGCTTCTCCTCCGAGGGAATGGCAGTGGTGGTAGGAGACGTCCGAGATGAGGCCGGGATCCTCATTAAGTTCCCACACACCACGTTCACCGCAAAAGCCAAGATGCCCAGCACGCGCATCGCCCAGGGGAACCCCATTTCGGGAATCATCTTCCCCACCGCGAGCGAGTAAACAAGACCCCCGATACCTGACCCCGCAGACGCGATACCGTTCACCAGGCTCCGTTTCCTGCGAAACCAATACGACGCGATGCCCACGGAGCCGCAGAAGCAGAAGCCCATGCCGATGCCGAAGCAGGCGCCTTGCGAGAGGAAGAGCTGCCAGTCTGTCTTGACGAAGGAGGTCGTGATGAGGGACACGGCTTCAAGGATTGCGCCGAGGTTGAGCACGAAGCGTGTCGAGATGCGTTGGCTGAGGAGCGTGGCTAGTGGGGCGATGAACATTGCGCAGGAGATGCTGAGGCCGCCGACGAAGGCGTATTCGAGGGCTGAGGTGCCCGGGAATATGTCGGTGGAGAGGTAGTAGGAGAGGAAGACTCCGTAGGCCTGGGGTTTGTTGTTAGATTGGGGATGGAGGTTAGGGGGTGAAGAGAGGGTTCGTACCGCGTTAATGCCCCATGTATGCGCATTGATGAGAAATGTGCAGGCCACGCAGACCCAGCCATATCCTCCTTCACGGAATTCCGGCTGCGAGGGCGTTTGTTGCTGGGAATCTGAGATGTCCTCTGGTTCTGAAGAGTGCGATTCGGTCATTTTGGGCTAGCGATTGCCATGAATTTTGATATCCCTTGCTTAGCGACATTATGGGCGATATAAATACGAAGACTTATCAGATTTGACTTCGGAGCTGCGGTGGTCAACGCCCGAAGAATAATACATCAACGTTGACGAATTCATCGACGTGAGGATGTGCTCGGAGTCAGTGACCGAGATCGCCGAAGATATACAAAGTGGCGGCGGACATCTCGGCTGCACCACTCCGTCATCCTCCTCGACCTCACCGGGGGATTTCCTTTCTTCATCACCCTGCCAAATCGACGATGCTTCAAATCCAAAATGCCCAAAATACAAAAGCCTGCTTTGGATTCTACTAGAAACCGCAGAACAGACGCTCGGTCCTGTCTGGGCTGCCATCGCCGCAAAGTCCGCTGTGACCGCGGCGTACCGTGCACGAACTGCGCCAGGGCCGGCTGCACCTGCGTCTATCCGAGCAAGGCCAGCGACGAGCGAAAGAGGGACTCTTTGCAATGCATCGCCGACCGCCTGGAGCGCGTGGAATCTATTCTTGCGCATCTCTGTGAGAACAGAGGCCCTGGCGTGGCGACCAGCGGTGACTCTGATGATCAAGGACGACAGGATGCCGTCAGCCATCATCAGCCTTCGTCGGCTCAACGCTCTCATATGTCCTGGGAGCTGTTGTTGAATGATGGACAGATGGTGCAGTATGTGAATAATTCGAATATCAAGGATCTGCTTCAGGATGTAAGTCTTTTCTCTACTCGGATTTGCAATTGCATGTTTCCTCGCTTCACTCCCTGTTGGACTTAAAATCGCCCTTTTAATGCACAAGTAGGAGGAAAGAATGAAAATGACTCCTGCGTCCGGCCCTGAAAGAGAGTCCTCGCAACTGCAAGCAGCAAGTACTCCCATGCTAGTCGCCCAGCCAGGCCCCCCAGCGAGCACCTCGTCCGGTGTGTTCGAGTTCTATCCGGATCCACAACTCGCCCTGCGACTCTGGTCCGTGTATGTGAAGTCTGTGGATCCCGTTCTCAAGATCTTGCATATACCGACAACTCAATCCGCGGTGATAGCAACGATTCTAGACCCCAAGTCGGCAGGATCGTCCATGGTGGCATTGACCTTTGCGATCTATTTCGCCGCCATTACGGCTCTAGGGTTTCATGGTGAACCAGAGCTTCCGGTGGAGGAGAGACCGGTGCTCCTGAAGCGCTACAAGGCTGCATTGGATAGACTTCTCATAGCAACTGACGTGATGAATCAGCCGGAGATGACGGCGTTGCAAGCTCTGGCCATCTTTGTAGTACGTGGGATCACTTCCGTATGATTGGGAAATGTGCTTTGGAGCCTAGCTAACCACGCTCTATGTACAGACGTGTCTACGAGTCCATGAAGCCGGACGCAGCGCATGGGTCCTCAACGGTCTAGCCATCCGACTCGCCCAGTCACTCGGACTCCATCGCGACGGCGCCGACCTCCAGCTGAGTCCATTCGACACCGAGATGCGTCTCCGTCTCTGGTGGCATCTATGCGTGCTCGACTCCCGCGCCCCCGAAGACCAAGGCTTCGAATTGACGCTGGACGCTCCTAACCGCGCCCTGCGACTCCCTCTGAACATCGACGACCATCAGCTCTTCCCGACCATGACCCAACTCCCCCCCGAAACAATCGGCTGGACCGAAATGTCCTTCTTTCTGATCCAGACCGAGTCCTGCCAACTCATCAACCCTATTCTAGGGACTCGGGAACCTTTCTCCGCAGACGCCTTGCCCGACATCACCGCAAAGCGGCAATTGATTCACGATCGTTCGCAGCTCATCATCCGGAAATACGGTCTCTCATTGCCACTCAGATCTAGCCACAATGCACCAGCAACAGGAGGAGGACCAAGACAAGATACTCTCGCCCGCGTCGCCATGCAGCATTTCACCACAGCGCGGAAGAAAATGGAATTCATGCTGCAACTGCGCGAGGAGATCAGCATGCAGATGAAGATGCAGAACGCGAACGGGAACGGGAACCTGAAGGCTCATACAACCGATACACCCAATACCGATGGATTCAGACTCTCATTCCGTCTCGCCTGCGAAAGCATGGAAAGTAACTCCCTTCTCTTGAAAATCTCTTTTTCCGATGGCTTCAGGTGGCTCTTCACGACGTATACGCCGTGGTATGCGCTCGCGTACGTGCTGCGGTGTCTGTGTTCTTGTCCGAGCGGAGGAGACGCCGAGAGGGCGTGGGCGTTGATCGATGCTGTGTTTCCGGTTGCCATGAGTCTGGATGGAGACGTCTCGTCGCAGTCGGCATCGAATGGTGGACACTCTGGGCATGGGCAAACGCAGCAGACCCAGGGACAGGGCAGTATTTGGAAATGTCTCACCTTGCTTCGTGCCCAGGCCTTGTCGTTGAGGCGCGCGAGGTCCCGGTCCCGGTCCCAGTCCAGGCCGTCATCTACTGATAATCATGGCGATGGCGATGGAGGTGGGAGCCACGAGGCCAGTCACATGTACCCGCAAGGACATGTACCACTGCAATCGCGCGTCGAGAACCCGTCATATGCCAGAAATGCGCCGCCAGTTCTAACTCATGATGCAGCGCCCTCGGCAGCCATGTCTTCCTCTTCTTCCTTTGCACCACCTCCTCTTCAACATCCTCATCCTCTTCACTCTCATGCTCATCCTCCAGAATTTCCCTCCTTCCAAGAAGAACAACCATTCCTCACCGACAACGCGAGCAACAACCCGAACATCTTCTCAGGGGTGGATTTCTCAATGTCTGAGATTCCGTTCCTACCTGAGTGGAACGCAGTGATGAATGGATTTTCAGTTGGGGAGGGAGATGCTGATTTATGGTGATGTTATATTGCTTGTTAATAATACTCATTATCTTAGATACCTTGCATCGGTTGGAGTTGGGCTGGATACTAGTGATATTGGTCTTTTCAGTTGGAAAGTTAATGTGAAAAATTCATTACGTACATGGTGAACGAGTAGGTAGATATCTATTTAACTGATCTATATGGTTGTGGTGGTAGAAAGATTCCCGAGAAACCTGCTCTGCAGATTAAATGATCTGGTTTTGGCTCTTTGCTGATACAACAGGCTATGCTGTTGATTTCAATTACGAAAGCAAGGCAAGCAAGGCACCTAAGTGCGATAATCGCCATTGATCGTCACATATTCATGACTGAAATCGCAGAACCAGTACACGGCCTCTTCACCACCCAGACCCCGCTGGCCCTTCTCGCCGCCGCCCAGGTCCACCACGATCTCGAGGTCCTCTTCCTGGAGGATGACGCTGGCGCGCTCCTCATCGACCTGCTCGGGCTCGCCGTTCACCAGGAGCTTCAGGATGGGGCTGCCGTCGACGGGCTTGAAGCTGACGCTGGTCTGCTCGGGGACAACGGTGCCGGGGGCGACGCCCTGCGTGTATCCGATGGCACAGAGGATGCGGCCCCAGTTGGCATCTTTGCCGTACAGGGCCGTCTTGACGAGCGGGGACCGAGCGATGGTGGATGCGATGAGGCGGGCGGACTCGTAGTCGGGCGAGTTCTGCACGCGCACCGTCACGAACTTGGTGGCGCCTTCGCCGTCACGCACGACGAGCTGCGACAGGGACTGCGAGAACGAGGTCAGCACCTCCTGCATGGCGGCGTAGTCGTCCGACGAGGAGGAGCTGATGGGGGCTCCGCCGGCGGCGCCGTTGGCCAGGATGGCGATCGTGTCGTTGGTGCTGGTGTCGCCGTCGATGGAGATCGAGTTAAAGGAGCGCGAAATGGAGTGCTTCAGAAGGGACTGCAGGGCGGACGGTTCGACGGGGGCGTCGGTGCAGAGAACGCCCAGCAGGGTGGCCATGTTCGGGTGGATCATACCGGCTCCCTTGGTCATGCCGGCGAGGCTGTAAGTGCGGCCGGGCGAGGAGGGGAGCGTGAAGGTGCGGGACAGAAGCTTGGGGAAGGTATCGGTGGTGCAGATGGCACGGGCAGTGGAGAGCCAGGCATCGTGGGTGGAGGAGAGGTTGGCGTGACCGGTGGGGATCTTGTCGAGGATCTTGGAGATAGGAAGACTAGAGAGCTAGGTGTCAGTCGGGTTTGACTTCAGAATGGAGTGCAATTGTGGATGCGAACGTACCGCTGTCCAATGACTCCGGTGCTCATGACAAGAGTACTGGGCTCGCGGAGACCATTGCATTCGTCTACCGTCCTGCCCATGCTCACAGCATCTTCCAAGCCGCCTTTGCCGGTGACGGCATTGGCGCAGCCCGAGTTGATCACCACGGACTGAATCCCCTGTCCCTGGCGGTTCTTGAGGATATCCCGACTCACTTGGACGGGGGCCGCCTGGAACTTGTTGGTGGTGAACACCGCCGCCGCCGAACACGGCGTCTCGGACGAGATGAGGGCCAAGTCGGGGAACTTGGTGTTCGACGCTTTCACGCCCACATGGGTTCCCGAGACGCTAAATCCCTTGGGGTAGGTTCCGGACGAGGGGATGTATTTCTGTTTGGCGGCAGGAATGGCCATGTCCAGCGGTGCGGAATAATTGCGCACTTGGCCCTTCATCATCCTGGCGAAGGAAGCCATGGCTGCAGGTTGGGCGGGGGAGGCCATAAGAGGATGTGCTAGAAGAGGATGTATGCTAGACAAGGATAATCGTTAGACCAATCGGCATCAGAAAAAGAGCTAGGTGGCAGTCCAGGTCGAGAACTGATGGGTGGTATAGATATAGTTCTCCGTACCTGAGCTAGATCGTAAACCGGGGAAATGAGTCAGAAGCGAAGGATTGAGACTGACTCAATGCAGTCTTCCTTTCAGACTCTATGGAGGATCAAGACCACCCGCTAGAGAGCAGCGCAGAACCTGACAGCCCAAAACCCGCCGAGTCTTTATTTGCCAATGGTGTCGAGTGGTGAGGAGGAAATGCCGCAGTCGCTGTGTCACTCTCGACCGCTCGCCGATACCGCGGGACTCGGAGAAACTGTCGGCCCAGACGCCGTGTTTAAACAAAAGAAAGCAAAGCCACGAGAGATCAACATTCCACCGCCACTCTCCCTGTCTACGCCCTTGCGTCCTGTTTTCCAAATCTAGCGATTACGAGCGACTGTCGTGTCTGAATGGTATTTCTCACTCTGCGCGTGTCGACCCTTTCACCGGACCCTCTGTTCGAGGCATAACTTACTGAAATGAAACGGAAGCAACCAGATTCAGATGACGAGCGTCCTGTCTCGACGCCGAAGAGACAGAGAACGGTAAACCTCAATGGCGCCACGAATGGACACGCGAATGACGAGGATGCGGTCGAGTCGACGCCGGTGAAACGGATGAAATCCACGCCCCAGAAATCGACCCCCAAGAAAGCGACGACGTCGACGCCGGCGACGTTGAAGGAATCCGGACTCAAGACACCCACGCACAAGTCTAAGGCAAAGGCTCTCTTTTCGACTCCTACGAAGGAGAAGGCTGCCCCGACGCCGTCGAGAGTCAAGAATGCCGACCGATCTGCGAAAAAGAAAAGCGCGCGTCTGCTCCTCGAGCAGGACGAGGAAGACATTTGGGACGGGGGAGACCGTTTAGCGGAGGAGATCCTAGAAGAGGAGAATGACGCGCGGGAGACACCTGGTGAAGGGGGCAGAGATGTGGTTGACTCGGTCGAGGCCGACGCAGAAGCCCCGAATGGCAAGAAGACGGCGGCGACACCGAAGCGCCGAGCAGGTCGACCGAAAGGCGCAAAGAACAAGCGGTCTCCTACGCCGGAGGGAGAGCTGCCTGCTCACGAGCGCTACTTTTTCCAGAATCGCGCTGGTCCCCCGCGGACGTCCAATAACAATTTCAACAAAGTGCCGCTGCTGACACATGAGGAATACTTCGAGAAGCTGTCGCATTATGTGGACCCTTTCAAGAAGGAGAAGTCTTTCTTGTTCGACCTGCATTGCCGGTCTTTTCCGCAATGGAACTTCGAGTTCGACCAGGGCTTCAATATCTGTTTGTATGGATACGGCTGCAAGCGCGAGCTGGTGCAGGGGTTCGCCGATTGGGTTCACCACAAATACAGCGACGATCCGCCCTCAATTGTCATCGTCAACGGTCACACGCCGAACATCTCCATTCGATCGATATTCGCTACGATTGTGACGGCGGTTCTTGGGGCTGACATCCCTTCCAAAATGGGATCTCAACCAGTGGAGGTTTTGGAACTACTGCAGTCCGTCCTGAAGTCGCAGCCCTCTCGCAAACCGATTACGGTGCTCATCAACTCCATCGATGCACCTTCCTTCCGACGAGCTGCCAACCAAGCCCTCCTTGCGCGATTGGCCGTGACGCCGAAGATCAACCTTCTAGTGACCGCCGACACCCCTAACTTTTTGTTGATGTGGGATATCAGTCTGCGGGACCAGTTCAACTTCGTCTTCCACGACTGCACCACCTTTGCGTCCTTTGACGGCGAGTTCGACGTCGTGGAGGAGGTCCACGGTCTTCTAGGCCGCAAGGGCCGACGCATCGGCGGCAAGGAAGGTGTCGAGTTCGTGCTAAAAAGTTTGCCGGAGAACGCACGCAACCTGTACCGCGTGCTCTTGACCGAGCTCCTGACCATCATGGACGACGGTCACCAATCGGACGACGAGATCGACGGCGGCCATGACGAGGAACGACAAGGAGGAGGCCGCGAAGAGACCGGCATTGACTTCCGCATGCTTTACCAGAAGGCTTCGGAGGAATTCATCGCCTCGTCCGAGATGATGTTCCGGACTTTGCTGAAGGAATTCCACGACCACCAGATGATTACGTCTCGGATGGACACGAGCGGAATGGAGCTTCTGGGGGTGCCTCTGTCGCGCGAAGAGATGGAGGGCATCCTAGAGGATCTCGTGTTGGCGTGATTGGTGCAATTGCATGACTTGATGATACCCCTTTGTATAACAGTGTACCTTACCGACTATATAACCGTCCATTACGAGCCGTCGCTACCGAATATAAGATGTAATATTTCATTTGATCTGGTGTACAGTCCTTATATACAAAACCTCATCTCTTTCAGATAATGTCAGAGTATCCAAGTCCAGTGTATAAACCCATGAATCAAAACTGCGCAAACGCCGCCAGCGCCATCGTCGCCCCGAAGCTCAACTTGAACGGAATCTGCTTGGACACTGCCTTCTGCAAATCCACTCCCTTCACATATTTCTGCATCTTCTGCAGGGGGAGAATATTGTACCCCTTCGCAGCGGCCCACTGCATACGAGATCAGTTAGCCAAACTCGCGCCCAAAGAACCTATCCTACTACAGTCAAATCACATACCTCAACCACAACAACACCCATACCCAACAACACCACTAGGGCCTTCGAAAACGCCCGCAATCCAACCCCCGCCACGAGACCCAGCACGCTCCCCAAGCTGACCTGACGCATATTGGACGCCGTGAAGATGCCGCTGGCCGGGCCCGTGGTGCCTTGCTTCTGCAGGAGAGGGTCCTGGGAGTCAATGGCCCAGCCGGATTCGGCGGACGCTGTGGTCCGCGGATACGGTGCTGTGTATTGGCATTGCATCGGGGTGGAGCGGAATGGGGAGGAGGGAGATAGGGAGAGGCCGAGACCGAGGCCGACGCCGAGGATGGCGGATGTGCGGGTTATGAGGAGGGTCATTTTAGATTGTGTTGGGGTGGAAGAATGATTGGTGATAGTAGCAGGTTAGTTGATGTGCTTGAGATGTGCAAGGGCTGTGGTGGGTGTAATTGGGTTAAGTTCAGGGAGATATGAAGCTGGTCGTTGCTTGCTCGACGTATGCGGAGGTAGGTAGTAATGACGTCACGGGGCGGTCAGATGTCTGGCTATCCGGAGTAGGCAAAATGTTGTTTACATTCCGTACAACTCACTACACCCTCCAGCCAAGTCCTCTTGCCAAATCCAAAGGCCTAGCTTGCAATACCAGAGTAGACCACAATGGAAAATCATCTGCCAGAAGAGGTGGAAGCCTACCTGGAGGAAGTGGTCAAGCGTCTTATTGATCACCTGAAAGACCAGCTAGTCGGAGTGTATCTATTCGGTTCAGCGAGTAATGACGCCTACGAGCCAGGCCTCAGCGACCTGGACGTGCAGGCCGTAGTGAAGAATCCACTTGACACCGTCGAGAAGCAGGCCGTCATAAGCCGCTTGAACCAGGACGTCTTGCCCTGTCCGGCTACCAAACTCGAGTTTGTAGTCTATGCTCAAAGCTCTGTCTCTCCGACCAGCCGCCACCCTCGCTTCGAACTGAATCTGAACACGGGGCCTCACCAGCCCGATCATGTCAGCCTTGATCCCGCCAACGAGGCAAGCCACTGGTTTCTGCTTGATATCGCCATGGGACGCCAACTTGGCCGCTCTCTGCACGGCCCTGCTGCGACCGAGGCTTTCGGCGCTATCCCCCGCCGCTATATACTGGAAGCCATCGCGAATTCGCTCGAGTGGCATCAAGCAAACGAGCTCAACTCGCCTAATAGCGTTCTCAATGCTTGTCGAGGCTGGCGATTTATCATGACTGGCGAGTTTTCTTCGAAGTTGGACGGGGCCAAATGGGCCATGCAACAACCGGACTGCCCAGCCATTGTGGAACGTGCCGTAGCAGCGCGCAAGACTGGAGGCGAACTCCCTGCAGCGCAGGTGATGACGCTTTACGAGAGAGTTATGAAGGCCAACCGTGCGATTGAATGACGGCAAGAAGAGCAAGTCTGATAAATATGCAAGAAAGGACCATGACCATACCGAACGGTACCGGATACCCGACAATACAAGCGTACGGCAGGTGCCTGAGTGCCTGAATGCCTGACGGCCTGAGGGGCCATCCGCGGGAAAGCGGCGACACAAGGCGCGGGCAAGGGAGGGACGCCGACGCTCGGATTGGCCACGCACTCCGCGGGCGGAACGACCGCTGGGAAAAGTCGGCGGGGAATCCTCAGGCAGGCGTTTGCCTGTTGCCATCTTATCGGATTCCGACTGTCCGTGACTCACGGGGCAACCTTTAAATTCAATCTCTGCCCCTCTCTTCCTCCCCCACACTTGCTTCTCTGTACATACTCCCCGTTCTTTCCCTTCTCTTCGCTCTTTCTTAGACTCATACGAGCACCCCGCTTCAATCAATTACTCTTCACAATGGCTGCTCAGCAGAACGGTGCTTCCAATGACTTTACCGTCAAGGCCGGTTTGGCCCAGATGTTGAAGGGTGGCGTGATCATGGACGTTGTCAATGCGGAACAGGTATGCGCTCAATTGATGAAAAAACGATCGGCACGACTTGCGATACTGACGACCATCCTTCCTGCAGGCCCGCATTGCTGAGGAGGCCGGTGCCGCCGCCGTCATGGCCCTCGAGCGTGTCCCCGCCGATATCAGAGCTCAGGGTGGCGTGGCCCGCATGTCTGACCCCAGCATGATCAAGGACATCATGAAGTCCGTTACCATCCCCGTGATGGCTAAGGCCCGTATTGGCCACTTCGTCGAGTGCCAGGTACGTCTCAATTGCCACTCCACGTTGATATGAGAAGCTGACAATCTCTTGTCTTTTAGATCCTTGAGGCCATTGGCATCGACTACATTGACGAATCCGAAGTCCTGACCCCCGCCGACGACGTCTACCACGTCACCAAGCACAACTTCAAGGCTCCCTTCGTGTGCGGCTGCCGCAACCTGGGCGAGGCCCTCCGCCGTATCTCCGAGGGTGCTGCCATGATCCGCACCAAGGGTGAGGCTGGTACTGGAGACGTCGTCGAGGCCGTGAAGCACATGCGCACCGTCAACGCCGAAGTTGCCCGCGCTCGCGCCATCCTCCAGTCTTCTCCCGACCCCGAGCCCGAGCTGCGCGCCTTTGCTCGCGAGCTGGGTGCTCCCTACGAGTTGCTGCGCCAGACCGCCGAGAAGGGACGTCTGCCCGTGGTCAACTTCGCCGCCGGTGGCGTTGCCACTCCCGCCGACGCCGCTCTCATGATGCAGCTGGGCTGCGACGGAGTGTTCGTCGGCTCGGGTATCTTCAAGTCGGGCGACGCGAAGCAGCGCGCCAAGGCCATCGTCCAGGCCGTCACTCACTACAAGGACCCCAAGGTCCTCGCCGAGGTCAGTGAGGGTCTGGGTGAGGCCATGGTTGGTATCAACGTTTCGCAGATGCAGGAGGCCGATAAGCTGGCCAAGCGCGGATGGTAGATTGCGTCTGTTTTGTCTGCTTTTCTTCGTTGTACTTCTTCTTTCCTGTCTTCATTCCATCCATACATCTTTCTGGCGGGCGTTGAGAGAAAAGTTGGTATAGTGTCATGCCGAGAGAGAGGCTTTTTTGTCTTTCGTGTTAATATATTGCATAATGTATACCTTTGGTCTGGGATTCCGGCCGAGATCGTATACTTTGGCTACTTTGTATTATGAGCTATGAGCACATGAAAGAACCTTGTGATTCCAATTGCTACTCCGTACGTTTGACATCAAGTATCGAAATCCTGCGAGTAGGTTCTGTGTAACTCATTTCAGATAACACTCCTGAGTACTTAGCATTGATGCGTCATTTCTAATCACCCGGGGTCTGGACTTCGGAGGAGATAACCTCGATCCCCATTCCTAAAGCGGTCAACCTATGCGATCAGCCGTGCACCCAAAAAGAGTGGGACGTGAGCAGACCTCGCTTTTCCTTCCCATTGCCCACATCTTCCCACCCCGCCTTCCTAGAGGAGTATAAGGGGGTGGCACTCGGCGCTCCAGGGTCGTGGAAACACCAGAGTACAGAGTAGGTTTCCCATAGGGCGCAGACAACTAAACCCCACGGAACTAGTACCAGTTTGTTAGTTCGCCAGAGGCCGTGACTAACCCGATGGTGTTTTATTGGCCATTTTTTAAGGTTTCCGCCACGTCTGCTTCGGTGACTGAATGCAGGTGACAGAATGTGGGCCTGGCCGCGGCTCTTCTTCCGTTCTTGCTGCACCGGAATCGGCGCCGCTCTCCTCTGTACACGTGATAGATTACGGAACGGGACGGGCTGGGCTGTGTATGGATACCAGGTCTTACGATACACAAATACAGAGGTCGTTCCTGCCCTTCTGGGAGGGTTCCTGCCTATACTGGAGTCGGCCGTTGCATCTGCTTGTAGCCACTGTTCAGATGTGATAAATAGATGAGCCTCTAATTTATGTTTGCCCTTCTCCTTTCAATGAGTCTCGGCCCATTCCACCCATCTCCGTATGCAGTCGTCCACCCGTTTCAGAGATGCCTTGTCCGCCGGCACTTCGAACCACTCGCGGTGCTCCTTGCCGCAGTCCGGACATTTGCCTAGGTCTCGTGCCTTGATATCCGCCAGTTCCAGATGAATCAGTCGCTCCACGCGATGCACATGCGGTACCTTTCGCCCCGCCTGCAGTCCGCCGGGGCTCGCGTGCCTCCCCCCTGCGCCGTGTCGTGCCGGCGACGGCGACGGCGACGGCGTCGAGGGGGTATAGGGGTAGTACCGAATAAGCGTGAGTTCATGCGAGCACTGTCTCGACCACTCGTTCAGCCGTCGCTGCACGTTATTCGCGCGTCCGATCTTCAACCGTAACGTCCCCGGACTCGTGTCTGTCGGGTTACTCGTCAGGCTGTTCATCTCCCGAGCCGTCTGCAACGCCTCGCTGATCCGTCGCGGGTTCTGGTGTCGACTGGATCCGGACTCCGGCGGTAGTAACGATGATGCGATTTCCCGCGTTGGTGGCCCTCCTGGTCCACCGGACCGTGTCGTCTCGCCGTTGTTATTCGTACCGTCTGTCGGCGTCATCCAGAACATGTAGATATATCCTGGCTCGTCGGCATCGGAGATCGGTTTCTCGAGTTCGCTGGCCAGGACCGTGCTTGTTTGATCGGATAATGTCACTGGGATCCATTTCAAGATCGGGTCTTTTTGACGGTGACGGTCGACTGGTGGTGTGGATACTTGTGTCATTTGGGGTTGAGACGATGGAGATTGAACCGGTCTCGCGGGTACAGGCAGATCTTCTTCCTCGATGACCTCGAAACAGCAACATATCGTGCGTCGGGTCTTCTTCTTTTTCTTCTGTGTCCTTCGTCGATGCGGTTTTGAGCTCCCATCCCCGTTCAAGTCCATCACGCCGAGTCGTTCCATGAGCGTGTCGATACTGGTTCGGGGTTTTGTTTGCGAGGATGGATCTGCGGATACTCCTGCGGCGGCGGCGGCTTCTTGGACGATCGACGCGGCTTGGTCTTTGTGTTGCCAGCAGAAGAGCACGGAGGGGTCTGATTTGGCAAGTTTGATCGGTGGTGGACTATCTGGGGAGGTGGTCAGGGGTCGTCGACAGGGTCGTCCGTTGTTGGTTGTTCCGCGGCATGTTGTGGATGGGTCTAGGGAGTCGGTGCGTGGGAGGAGGGATTCGGGGGTGTTGGCTATATGGGGCATTTCTTTGGTATTTTGTTTTTGTTTTGAAGGAGGAGGGATTAAGAGGGAGAGAGAGAGAGAGAGGAGAAGAGGGGAGAGATCGAGGGATATGCAATAGAGATAGATATACTGCGAGAGAAAAAGGAGCATACAGAACAACAAGCCTGAAAGACTGAAACAACCCATGGAAAGAAAATCTTTAGATTGATGTGCTAAACATAGCTAATAATGGCAGCCAGTTAAACCCAACGAGGCTCGTCAGGGTGGACCCCGACCCACTTCTAAGGCGCATCGTGGAAATGCCCTGGTCTTGGGGATGTTGATTTCATTCGACATTCATGCTTCGAGGACCGCGCCATTTGGCAACTGTCATTTGTCATTTGTCGGTTGATGCCTGGTGCACCGCCTCCGTGGCTGGTGAAGGCTTGTTGTTCGCTCCACTTGGCGTCGAACAACAATCATCACAAGTGGCATTCGCTTCATTGTGCGTCGCTGGGCGGTAAGGGGGAGGTTGATCTCGTCATTAGGCATGGATTTTAGTCTTTGCATGTCTTGTCTTGTCTGGGTGTGTTGGGTCCTGACTTCAGACTTCAGACTTCAGACTCGGTGGGTGAGCGTCATCTTATAGCCAAACTTGTGTCTTTGCGCTACTTCAGCTTCGGGTCCGCGTCCTCCGAGCCTCACTTTGGACGGATAAGTCAGGTTGACTTGGTCTTTTCTGTTCTTTTTGTTGGGTTTTGGATTTGTATTTTCGCTTTCTCTTTTGTTCTCTGATCTGGGTTGTTCCTTTTTTTTTTTTTTTTGGCCTTCTGGCAACTTATTCATATTCATGTCCTCTTAAACCAAATCTCTTACATGTTTTCGATACCTCTACCTGACATAGTCGAACCCCGTTCCCCGACTCTTCATCCAAAAAGTCCGGGTCAGCTGGGCCGTTTGCGACTTGGCGCCTCGAGCGGCGATCAGCGACGCAAGGAAGCGCTGTCTCTCCTGACGAACAGTAGCCACTTCCGCCTCGCTCTTAGCCGCGCCGGTGTCGGGCAACTCGGACAATGCCGTCGCCAGATGTGGGCGCGCGTGGCCCTGATGTTTGAAAATCACTCGGCGCAGCACTTCGCACAGATGGTCGAGATCGGACCGCGCGCACCGCCCGGCTACCTGCACGATGAGAATGCGACATAGCGCGGGAAGACTGTCGCGGATGGCTACCTGCACGGACTCGACTTCCGTAGGGAGATTGATGGTGCTGACCCAGAACTGAGACGCCGACCGTAGGGGGAGTGGATCCGTGCCCTGCAATGACAGAAGCGTGAAGTTCAAGATGGCCTGGAGCACTGGCGGTCGCTGCAGTTGCCCGTCGGCATCGGCGGCACTGGGCTCCGGGGGCGTGCTGGTCAGCGCGAACAGGTAGGGATGGTACCGGGGGAGCAGGCGGGTCAGGAAGTCCATGCCGCTGTTGGCCACCTCGGGGTCATAAAACTCCGGCTTTTCATGCATCCAGCAGAACGAGCCGTAGACGTGCACGATCAGCGCCACCGTCTCCTCGCGAACGTGCTCGGGGTGCGCGCCGTGGGAGGCGAGGAACGCCGAGGCCGTGCCCATCACCATGTCCGTGCCGGCGCTGCCGAAAGGGATGCTCTTGACAAAGTTGACTGTCACCATTGGTGGGAAGACGTACGGACCCGTTCGCTCGGTGTAACCGGCCTTGAGGATGTCGCAGGCCGCTTCGATGATGGCCACGTCCAGGGGGAAGTCGGTCACGAGGAGTTGCATGCATTGCATGATTAGGTTCTGCGAGGCAGCGCCATTGCCGGCATTCCAAAATGTGGGTGGGTAGGGGTTGCTGTCTTCGCCGGGGCCGCCGTCTAGGGCGATTTCGTTTTCCGTTCGGAGGCCTCTGCCAATACTGGCCACGCACCGAAGCACCATGTGAGCCAGGTAGCGGGCGGGATCGACGAGGCCGCGCGCGGCTTGATCCCGTGCTAGCATCGCCTGTTCGTGGAAATGTTTTAGAATGCCTTCGAGGATGTGGGTTTTCTCTTCGTCGGACGGTAGGGTCTGTACTATCGCTGCTATTCCCTCCAACACCTTCTCCATGGTGGAGGTCGTGGCGGTGGGTTTCATGCGGAACTGTTCAAATTGGGCCATGAACGCGGGCAGCTCAAAGGTAAGAGCATTACGGCAGGATTTGCAGAGGTAGGAGATGGACCGGGATGCGGCCGAGGCGCACGTAGACACCTCGAGCGAAGCGAACAGGAATGTCAATACCCGGGGGAGCAAGGCGTGGGTCCGTTCAAAGTACGACCGGTATTTTCCAAACATGTCCACCAGGGTTTGGCGGGCCTTGTCCGGCACCTCCAGCTCGTTGCTCTCGCACAACCGAGCGAATTCATCGCTGAAGAAAATCGTATTCAGACACTGATCCGCATGCTGATTTTCATCAACCGCCTCGCAAAGCTGGGCAATGCAGAAGATGGCCGCCTCGAAGGTGGTCCATTTCTTCTGTTCAAGCGACTGCGTGGCGCGCTCCTGGAACACCTGGACCAACTCAACACCTAGCATGGGATAGATGGCCAGAAGAAAATCGCAGACGTCACGGCGAAAAGACGCAAATTCGGCGCGATCATCATCGGACCATTCTCGCAGGAGAAACAAATCCGGCCAGTGCAGCTTGGCGAAGCAGTTCGTGGCAGCGCGAGCTAGGTTTTGTTTGGCGAATGCGAATGCGGACTGATCTTCTGCTTCCAGCATGATTTCCTGGAGGTCGTCTGCAACTTCTGTCCACCATTCTACCAACAACGGGCTCGCCATATCTTCGATTGCTGCGAATCCGGAAGCCCTGAACGCGGTATGCAGCAATTCCAGCAGTCGCGCATGCTGTCGATCAAGAGTCTTCGTTAGCAAATCCCGCTGCTTCAGTGATGCATAGGCCAGTAGGAGCTCTAGATACGTCATGTTCTCCTCATCATAATCGGCGTCGAGGAGCCCCATCACGTGCTTGCTACCGGTGTCGCTGACGAGATATTCCAGGATTGACTCGAGATGGTCTGGTTTGAATGTGTTGTCCCGCCAATCTAGGATTTCAACCAGGACCTGCCCTGCAGATTTGGAAAGACTGGGGATATTCAAGGTCTGGATAACATAATTGGTTGTGGTGTCAGGCTGCGACGTGGATACAGCGTCGCGCGAGGGGAATGCACTTCGGACGGACATCCATGACTATGATGCAAAGTTAGATACGTTTCGAGGCAGAAAAGAAGTTTAAGAAATGATAGAGAAGAGTAATGAATGCAGAAGACCAAAAAGGGGTCCGCGAACTTACGTGGTATGAATTGATAGTCTCCGTTCCGGGACCTTCGGGAATAGTATTACCAGAAGCCCGCTGCTGCAGGATATTGTAAAGAACAAAGTTCACCAGAGCGAACGCGTCTTCCACATTCTGAGAAATACGGTCGGCGTCTTCGGGTTTGCGAGACTCCGAGGACCTGTTGATTTCTTCGCCCAGGATATTGCAGAAAGAAAGCAGGCTGGCCACGTATCTTTCGGGCATCGCCGGAAGGATCGCATTTTGCAAGTCGAAAGACTGGCACTGTTGCTCCGGGACGTACTTTCCATTTGCCAGAGAGGCCGCTAGACTCTTAATTGCACGAGTCCACGGGGCTTTAGGCTTTAGAAAGATCGTGGCTAAGCTGGAAGCCAGCTTGCGGATCACCAAAGCCTGCTCTCCTCCGTTGACCAGAAAGACAAAATGGTCAATGAGACGGGCCAGGACCTCCTGGATCTCATTTTCACTGAGCTGTTGCCTGCAAGTAATCCATTAGCATGCTTTTAAGATTTGTAGATCACGAAGGGTCATACCAGTCCTGATTGATCTTGACAGTAAATGTCAAAGCGCCAAAGAACCTCAGGTCTGTGCTTTGATCACTGAGGAGATAGTTGGCAATCAGCCATGCCTGCGGACTCCTTTGAAGGGTCTGCAGTTGTTCTTGGATGGCCTTGATCTTGGCAGGGTTGCCAGTGTTGACCGGATTGTAGAGTTGGGAGACAAGCTGGAAGAGGATTTAGAGACTCTGGAAGCTAAAACTGAGAGAACGAAGGTGAAGGGGGTAGCCTACTGTCTTGGCCTCATCAAGGAGAGGCTGCACTTGTGAGCCTTGGCCAGGGACGTCCATTGAGGCCGCAATGCCGCAGGGATCAGAAAAGGATGTATAGTTGGGCCGGCGGCACGGGTAAAGGGGTGTCACGTGTTGATAGCGCTATCACGGAAGGGTAAGGCGGTGAGAAGGTGGGATGGAGGGGAAGTTTTGGGAGAAACACAGATGGAAGTCATCCGTGAGAGGAAGAAGAGGTAGTTTTGACTTGGCGACTTTTGGGCACTAGTCAGACCAGGTCTGGCAAAGAAGGGGGGGGAATCCTGGCCATTTTATGTTCAATCACCATACTCTTGCTATTCTGTCTAGGTGGTTAACAGTCAAGCAATTCCCGTGTAGTTGAGACTGACCTGGAGGGGAGACGGCATGACGATAAGAATAAATAATATGAACTAAATACTACTCTACAGAGTCAGTTGAATGCAGACTGCCAAGAAGTGACGGAATCCCGTGCGGGTCACGGGTCAGTCACGGTATTAGCCATACCTTGTATCTGTGAATAAATGCTGGGATGTCTGCCGTGAATACCATCTCTGTACGGTACTGTAACTAACCGACCGTCTGCCCAAAGCTCCCATCCCGTCATATCTTGTTGGTTGAGTCTCTCACGTCTGCCACCTCAACCCTGCACTCGGCCTCTTTCTCTCTCCCTTGTGCAAATCTGCATATAATTAGCTCTGGTTCCATTTGCTAGTTGCGGGCTTTGTCCACCGTTTTCCTTTCTTCCTTTCGTTTTCCCCTCCTTTGTGTAACATCTCTAGGAGGCTTGTGCTTGCAAGGCCTCATCGGGAGATCATTCATCGGACACCCGCATCCCCTCCCTGGTCCAACTCGCCTGTCGATGCTCCTTTCCCACCCTCCAATTCGCCTTTGCTGGTCGTCAACCTTCCGATCGGTTCGCCAATTGTCTTTCGCCCGCTCTAGGTTCTTTTCCACCTCCGTTCCGCGCTACTCCGTCGACATGGAGACCGTCAACACTTCCGAACGCCTGGCCAAACTGAGACAGTTGATGCAGGAGCACCAGGTCGATGTATACAGTATGACATCATATCCTCCCCTCTTCCCCCATGCCGTTGCGATTTGGTTCTAACCATTTTTCCTTCCCCAAAAGTTGTTCCTTCGGAAGATAGCCACCAGTCGGAGTATATCGCCCCATGTGACGGTCGTCGAGGTTAGAATGTCGCCCTTGGTTATTACGCCTTTTTGATGCCGCGATTCCAATGAAACTGTCCGCAGTCACCGTTATAACTCAAATTTTTTTTTGCAGAATTCATCTCCGGTTTCTCCGGTTCCGCGGGTACTGCCATTGTTTCTCAGACCAAGGCTGCCCTGTCGACCGACGGCCGATACTTCAATCAGGCCGCGAAGCAGCTGGACAGCAACTGGGAGCTCCTGAAACGGGGCGTCGAAGGTGTTCCGACGTGGCAGGAATGGTACGCAACGGAGAAACCTAGGTCATCTGAAGGAGACAAGCTGAGTCTTATCTAGGACTACTGAGCAAGCTGAGGGCGGTAAGGTCGTCGGCGTTGACCCAGCTTTGTTCACCCCGTGTAAGTAAACACAACTTTCTCTCATGTGAAAGCCCCGAGAGCCAGACAACTAATGTCCTATAGCCGGTGCTCGCAGCCTTACCGAGACCCTCAAGAAGAACGGCTCGACGCTGGTGGGCGTTCAGCAGAACCTGGTTGATCTAGTTTGGGGTAAGGACCGACCTGCGGCCCCAAGGGAGCTAGTCAAGGTCCACCCGGAGAAGTATGCGGGAAAGAGCTTCCAGGAGAAGATCGGTGATCTGCGCAAGGAGCTAGAGACCAAGAAATATGCCGGTTTTGTGATTTGTACTGTGTCCCGATCCCTCTGTCCATGGTTCGGTGACTAACAAGGCAAATGATAGCTATGCTCGATGAAATTGCCTGGTTGTTTAACCTGCGCGGCACCGAGTAAGTTCCTCTTCGGCCGCCGTGTTTCTCTCCTATTTTTTGCTGACCGGATAACTGACAGCATCCCCTACAACCCCGTCTTCTTTTCATACGCCATCGTCACGCCTACAACCGTCGATCTTTACGTCGACGAGGATAAATTGACCCCCGAGGTCAAAGCTCACCTCGGTCAAGATGTCGCTATCAAACCGTACGACTCCATCTTCGCTGATGTCAAGGCAATCAGCGAGGCGCGCAAGCAAGAAACGCAGCCCGCGAAATTCCTTCTCTCCAACAAAGCTTCTTGGGCCCTGAGTCTCAGTCTGGGAGGTGAAGACCACGTCGAGGAGGCCCGTAGCCCAATTGGCGATGCTAAGGCTATCAAAAACGACGTTGAACTCGCGGGTATGCGAGCGTGCCACATCCGGGATGGTGCTGCGCTGACCGAGTATTTCGCTTGGCTCGAGAACGAATTGGTCAACAAGAAGACCACTCTTGATGAAGTGGATGCCGCCGACAAGTTGGAGCAGATCCGATCTAAGCATGAACTTTTCGCGGGCCTTTCCTTCGACACCATCTCGTCCACGGGCCCCAACGGTGCTGTCATCCACTACAAGCCCGAGAAGGGAAGCTGCGCCATTATTGATCCGAAAGCCATCTATCTCTGTGACTCGGGTGCTCAATATCTTGATGGCACAACGGACGTGACGCGAACATTCCATTTCGGACAGCCTTCCGAGGTCGAGAAAAAAGCTTTCACCTTGGTCTTGAAGGGCATGATCGCACTGGATTCTGCCGTCTTCCCTAAAGGCACTAGTGGGTTTGCGCTAGATGTTCTGGCGAGACAGCACCTGTGGAAAGAGGGGCTTGATTACCTGCACGGAACCGGTCACGGAATTGGCTCCTACTTGGTGAGTATTCAACGTCATCTATGTGGTCTCGTCGCCCGCTAATTGTACCTGTAGAATGTTCACGAGGGCCCCATGGGTGTCGGCAGTCGCGTTCAGTACACGGAAGTTCCGATTGCTCCTGGAAATGTCATTTCGGATGGTGAGGTCCAGTGAATTGGATGACAGATAGACACCTGCTAACTTGTATAGAACCCGGATTTTACGAGGACGGCAAGTTTGGTATTCGTATCGAGAGTAAGCACCCTTCCTTGCCCTTCGCAATTCGAATCGTCTAACTCGGGTTTGTCTACAGATGTCATCATGGCTCGTGAAGTCAAGACGACGCATAACTTCGGCGATCGCCCTTGGCTGGGCTTCGAGCATGTCACCATGACTCCCATCGGTCGCAACCTGATTGAGCCCTCTCTTCTTAGCGACTCCGAGATCAAATGGGTCAATGACTATCACACCGAGATCTGGGATAAGACGCATCACTTCTTTGAGAACGATGAGTACACCCGCAAGTGGCTCGAGCGAGAGACGAAGCCCATTTCGAAATAAGTGCTGCCTTGGTAGAAGGTGCCATGTTGCATAGTTACATCCGTAGTATCATTTGCAGTCTAGAACCTGCTTGGGCCAGGACCGGACGAGCCTTTTTAAATTCAATACTTGCAATAGAAGTTCATGCAATCTAGCATACATAATGTGTATTTCTTTGTGCTAAATTAAAAGATACTATCGATGATGGTCCCTCCCGGCCCTACTAGACTTCCCTGTGGTGCATTGCGGAACGTGGCTGGTTGCTTGTGTGGAGAAGTGCGAGCCGCCTTCCACCCCGTCGATGATTGCTCCTTTCTCTTTCTACTTTCTACCCCATACGGCCCTCGGTTGCTGTCGAGCCATTCGTACTTACTACCTGCTCTACTTGCCCCTGAGGACGATCATGGTCGCATCCTCTCCTTCCTGATCTCATTGCGCCAGCGCCTGAACACCGAAAATAGATTTCGCGACCCGACCCAAGCCGGCCTTCTATCATCGAGCCCCCCGCCATTCCCCTTCCCTCCGGAAGCCTTCGCATCTAGATTTGATCCCTTTCGCATAATATCGGCCGGCATCAGCGATCTGGTATGAGTGGCAGAAACGGTTACGCCAACGGATACGGTTACTCCGATTCCAGCCGGTACGATCGCCCCGATGGAGGATACGGCAGCGGCAGCAGCAATAGCAACCTGGGGGTAAACGGCTACGGAAGTGGAGGAGGACGAGACCGTCGCCCCGGTGGCTACGGCGGCTTCTATCCCGAGGCTTCGCAACAGCCCCCTTTGCCCCCGTCTCATTCGCCCGACCGACGCCGCGATCGATGGGAACGAGAGCGCGAATATTCGTCCTCGTCGCGCTCCCGCACACGAGACCGAGAAGCCGATTCCGAGAGGAGGTTGCAGACTTCGCGCGATGGTCGGTCACAAGGAGAGGCTAGCTGGCTGGCCAACAGCAGTAGTAGCGGGGAGAGGGAGAGGGGGAGGGACCGAGATTTGAGCAATTCAGCGGCAGGGGCTCATGCTACTGACGGTTTGGCTCCCTGCGATCTGACCGGCATTCTTCTCTTTCAATTGCTGATCATTCCGTGTCTGCTGCAGGCGTTCTACAGTCGATCCATAGCGAATGGGCATTCGTGGCCTCCGATGATTGCGTACCGGCGCAAGTGGCTTTGCAACTGATGGACACAAGCACGTTAGGGAAGGCCGATCGCGAACCGGACTTCCTGAATATGCACGACCAGATCCAGCAGACCTTGAAATCCGTTGTCAATGGTTCGTTATCGCTGTTGCACCTCTGTTGTCGCCTAATACTGATAGAGATGCCTTGACAGAGCACCACCAAGGATTCAACAGTTCCATCGGTACTTACCACAAGATCCAATCGAGTATACAAAGTTCACAAGGCCGGGTCCGGAATCTGAAGAATGCGCTAGAGCAGGCAAAAGGCGGGCTACTATCGACAAAACCCGAGCTGAAAGGGTTAGCGACATCATCCCAAAAGTACGACGACATCATCCAGCTTTTCAGCCAGATCCAGGAAATCCAGTCCCTCCCAGAGAAGTTAGAATCATTGATATCGGATAAGCGGTTCCTTGCTGCGGTCGAAGTACTTCACAATGCGTTTCGGCTACTCCGCCGTTCGGATTTGGACAACATCGGCGCTCTAGCGGATATTCGGGCCTATTTCACCAACCAGGAAAGTTCAATCACCGACATCCTGGTAGAGGAATTACACGACCATCTGTATCTCAAGTCTCCCTATTGCTCAGGTCGATGGAAGCAGCCTACGGCAGAAGGAGAAAATAATGGTGGAACTCCGGCCAGTTTGACTGGAACGACTACCTGGGAGAGACCCGTCCATGGGTTCCTTGCCAAGCTGGATGCCACGACGCCCATGATCGAGGATGCTTCGCGAAATCCAGAAGCCGACACCTTTTATTATATCCAGCTACTGGTAGAGGCACTCAACAAGATGGGCCATCTGGATATCGCTGTCGACCGAATTGAACAGCGACTCCCAGTTGAGCTTTTCTCGGTGGTTGACAAAACGAATGCTGAAATTGATGCACGCTACCCGAACCCGACTCGAGGTTTCGCATCTCAGGACAACAAGGCCGCCTTGCCCACCGAGGTCATCGAGAAACGTGGACACGTCTTATCCGAATACCTGTGGGCCTTGTATGCCAAATTTGAGGCCATTGCCGAGGGTCACCGCGTTGTTCACGACGTCATTGCGGCTATCGTGGAACGTGAGGGAATCCCTAAAAGTAGCTCTCTCGTGGGTGGTTTCAAAGAGTTGTGGAAGCTCTATCAGAGCGAGGTAAGTTGACAAGCGCTGAAGTAGGCATGGTGACAACCTTTGACTGATATATTGCGAGCAGATCCGATCTATAATGCACGACTATTTGGCCACAGACGGGGTGTCATTGCGACAAGGAGCTGAAGAGTCCGAGGCCAGGCGCCAATTCTACTCAGGCATCAGAGACAAGAACAAAGTAATCGCTTTTTGGGACCTTAATTGAGGTATATGCATTGCTAACCGGTTCCAGAAAATGTTTAAATTGTCAGAGGCCGATCGGACGACGGAAATCCAGGCCGAGCAGGATGAGCTGGACGAAATCCTTCGAGCATCGGTTCCTGGACTGGTGTCCAAATCAAGACAGAAATCCTCTGCAGAGAATGCGTCCGACTCCAAGCAAGGAAATTCGGGCACCGGCCATAAGATTCTTTTGGAGCCGAGCGTGTTCAACATGAGTCTCCTTCTTCCACCCTCGCTTTCATTCATCCAGCGGTTGAAAGAAATCGTTCCTGTGGAGTCGGATATCGCTATGAGCACGTTGACCTCATTTCTGGACGACTTCCTTGTCAATGTTTTCCTTCCCCAGTTGGATGAGACTGTGACCGATCTGTGTACCCTCAGCTACATTGCGCCAGACGCATTCACCGAAGATTCCCACTGGTCGGCAGTTTCCCCACGGCCGCTGTTCAAGGTAAGATTGATATCAGCCTCCCTTCACAGCCGGCATTGGCTAACGCATCGGCATTCTAGGGAACGGTCCAATTCATGTCTATCATTAGAGAGTTCAGTAAAATGCTGTCGAGCATTCCTCATGACCAGGCATTCTCCCAACTACTCATCACCCAGATAGTAACCTTCTACGACAAGTGCTGTGGGTGGTACAAAGGTGAACAGTCTGTACCCTTGATGTGTTATGGCAGTTTTCTGACAATAGTGGTAAAGCCATCGTTACAAAGGTCACTTCTCGGAACAACCAAGGCGCTCGACTCAAGGCGGCAGCTCAGTTTGCTGATTCCGGTGAACTGCGCGACTTGGTCAGTGGATTGTGGCAAGCACAAAATGACGAAAAGCCGGCACTTATCGACAAGGTAATTTACACCTATATGGGAACCAGTCCACGGAATTCAATTAACCTTCTTAGGAAACGAATATTCTCCTCAAGCGCACAAACGATGTGCCATTAGAACCGTACGATATTGTTTCCGACCCCAAGACAGTGGCCGCTCTGTCACTTCTGTACAATAGCATGGTTGGTGTTCCTCCTACTTTCCTAGTATATGATTGACTGACAGTAAACCAGCAATGGCTTGCAAGTCATCTCGGAAAGTTGCGTCAAATTACTCAGCCTAGCCCTGAGTCGCAAAAGTCACAAACTGAGAGAGGCCCTGGGAACCGCCGGTGGACTTTGGTCGGTGCGATGAAACCAAGACGAGATAGCGTCTCCCAACCTGTTTACCTCCCCCTCAACACCGAGACGGCGACTGCATTCGATACAACCCTCGAGTCTCTGCGGGATCTCTCCCTGACTGCTCTCTTTGCCCTACATATTGACATTCGATGCGGTGTCATTCACATGCTGACCCGAACAATGGCCGGGCCCAATCCTCCGAGTACTCGCAACTCTGAACCAGTGACTCCTTCACCCAACACCACGACCGACTGGTGGCATATTGTGAAGAACCAGCCAACGGCTGCATCGCCCACAGTGCTTGAACTAAACAATGATCTGATTGCGTTTGATACAAACATCTCCACCTACTTGGGGTCCTCTGAGCGTTGGTTCATCACATCAGGTCTGGCCCGGTTCATCGACCAAACCTTTGTGTCGCGAACACCCCTTATCGGTGCCATGAATGAGAACGGGGCTCTGCGGCTGCAACTCGATGTTCTTGTCTTGCAGCAAAACTTGAAGAATGTCATCATCGCGCCGACTGTCGAGCTGGCCGAGAATGAAAACGTCTCCGACCAAGAATTGGCCGCCCAGGACGAGAGTGTGGCGCTTCCGCGCAGTGCCAAGTTCCTTGACTGGTTCTTGGAAGGCGCCGAAAAGGCCCTGGACTATGCCAAGGACGAAAAGGAGTACTTTGCGGCAAAGGGCGACAAAGCGTTGGCCGCAGGAAATGGGGAACCGTTTACCTATGAGGAACTCAAGGTCCTCATTGATCTCTCCTTCTCTGATTACCTGCTAGGACCCAGAGGCGCAGAGAACCGGGAAGATTTCATGTTTGCGAAGAAAGCCAGCGCAGACGCTCTTCTGCGGTTGAACGAAATTATGTGGGATTCCAAATAAAGGGCGATTTGGAAGGACATGCAGCTCTTGATTATGTTTTATACTTGAACGATTTGGCTCGAAGGCCGATGGATTCGACTCCGATTGGCTTCGGTGATTTAGCGCCACGCACGATTATACATATTTAATTCAGACCTCAATAGACGAAAAACAGCCTAGAGTTAAAGAGGCGCTGCGGCAAGCGCACCAAATCATCGTTGAATTCTACGTGACGACGATTGTTCATTTTATTCAGCCTACAAAACGCATGATGAAACGCCGCATTGGTCTAGGTCCTAGACATTGTACTGTACATACATGATCGATCGCTCTCAAACCTCGAGTGATCAGTCTCCCCTTTCATGAGCGCAAATGAGCGATTTGTCTTCATTCCAAGACAATTCCAGGGGTCCCTGACCCGACTGGCGCTGGCTTCATTTCCGTCGCAGGATCTGATTGCTCGCAGTGGGTCCAGGATTCTGTAGTTTAATTTCCCAACGCTCATAGCTAAGCCTGCGGAAGCCATCGGACGACCCAGTTATCGAGATCCCGCGCCAGCAAAGATGGGGCAATGTGAACGAAATTTGCGGTGTGCGTGGTGGCCTTTGACCGTCTTGATCCACGTCCGGCGTTTCAGATAAACGTCTCATTTCGCTAGTCGGCGATAGAGCCCAAACCAGTGGCCACCGCTCTACGATTAGGGCTTACGATTCATTAAAACCATGGCACTAGTGGCCCTGTTTTCTTGGATGGTTCATTTGCTTTTATATTGCGGGCGTCAGGCGGTTCGTGTCTAGTCCGGTGGCCACCGAAGGCAACGATCGAATTCGGTTTGCTCATATATCCTCCCTGCTCGTTCCGGATCTTGGGTTTTTCTGTCCTTCGTCTCTCCTTACACTCATTGTCTGGAACAGCAGATCTGTTCGTCCGGGATTTGATATCCAGGTGTCCATTCATTACTTCGATTCTTGTGCTGGTTGCACGTCCAATCTTTTTGATTCAGCTACTCGCAGATTCATTCCTTCTTTTCTACAGCAGACTACTATCCATTCTCTACATAGTCCACCATGAAGTACCAGTCTATTGTCTCTCTGGGCCTTGCTGCCCTTGGCTCGGCCAGCCCTGTTTTCCACCACAAGGACAACGGCCAGTGTCCTCCCGGCTACTCGCCCAGTGTCTACTACATCACCGTCACCGCGGAGGTCGCTCCTACGTCGACTTCGTCCGCTGAGCTGACTACGGCGGTCTCTTCTTCGACTTCGACCACCTCGACCTCGGAGACGACGGTCAGCACCACGCAAACTCCCATCCAGCAGACCTACCAGACCTTGGTGGAAATGCCTGCTCCCGTCGCCACGGAGGCCCCTGTTACCTCCGAGGCCGAGGCTGCTCCCGTCGAGACCACTGTCGCTGCAGAGCCCTCTACTACATCCAGCTCCGTCCAGCAGCAGCCCACGGTTGTTGCTGTCTCGTCTGAGCCCCCTGCTGCTGCCCCTGCTCCTTCCACCACCGAAGCTGAGGTTCCGGTCGTTGCTGTCCCTACCACAACCCAGGCTGCTAAGACCCAAGCTGCTAAGCCTGCCGTTACCACGGCCGCTTCCTCTTCTTCCAACTCCAACTCCAACTCGAACTCGAACTCCAATGCTGGCTCTAGCTCCTCCTCTTCCTCATCCGGCACCTCTGGTGCCACCAACTCCGGCAAAGCCACCTTCTACGGCGGCAACGTGTCCGGCGGAGCGTGCTCCTTCAGCGGGTACACCATCCCCAGCAGCCTCTTCGGCACGGCCCTCTCGCAAGCCCGCTGGGACGACGCCGCCTCCTGCGGCGCCTGCGTGTCGGTCAAGGGACCTGACGGAAACAGCGTCAAGGCCATGGTACACACTCCCTCCTCCCCTCCCTGTTGACACCTGACACAAAACCCCCCTCTAACAATTGACATTCAGATCGTCGACAAATGCCCCGAATGCGAATCCAACCACCTCGACCTCTTTGAGACCGCCTTCTCCGAGCTCGCCGCCACCTCCGAAGGCATCATCCCCATCTCCTGGTCCTTCGTGCCCTGCGGCATCGACTCCCCCATCACCTTGAAGAACAAGGAAGGTACCTCCGCCTACTGGTTCTCCATGCAGGTCGTCAACTCCAACGAGCCCGTCGAGAAGCTGGAGGTTAGCACCGACGGCGGCAGTACCTGGCAGGCGACTACCCGGAGTGACTACAACTTCTTCGAGAATGAGAGTGGCTTTGGGACCGAGAGTGTTGATGTCAAGGTCACGGCTAAGTCTGGGGGTGTGGTTACTGTTAAGAATGTGGGTTGTCAGTCGGGGGTTGAGAAGGAGGCTAGTGGTAACTTTTGATTCTCTTGAGTTGTGCTTCGCATCTCTTTCTCTTTCTCTCTGAAGATATCGATATTCGAGGATTGACATTCGACATTCGACGTCAGTGAGATGAGATGAGATGAGATGAGACAAGTGGGTTCATACCATACTATATTGTGTGAGAGTCTGTGGGTACATTGCATGGTCCCTGCGCGGTTCGATGTTTCACTTCCTCTTTTTTTTCTCCCCTTCTTCTTTCGGACTTTTGATTTTCTACCTTCTCTTTTTTTTTTTTTACCATTACTTGCATTCTCTGAGCGGTTGCATTGTCCCGCTTCTCATGTTCGATATGCCGATGATGTGGCTTTTTGCGCTTGATGAAGCGCGTTTCTTGATGGGCCTTCTTTATTACTACTACTTTGATCCTTCTTGTATATACTTACTTTTTACTTTTTACCTTATCTATATCATGTCGATCAAGACATAAAATTGAATATCACGATCCAGTCCTACTCTGGCGGGTACTCTAACCTGGATGATGGAACATCTTACAACCATTGGTATCGAGCCCACAGAAATAGATCTACGACTACTCCATACAGGCAAATAATTCGAATTTAACTTGCATTCCCGATAACGCGCCGCGATATCGCAGGCTTTAGCCTCCGGATTAATCACACCCAGCCGTAGTTTCGCCAGCCCATCCGTGAAAGGAAACAGAGAAAAAGGAAAGATAATAGATAACGTACACACAGAATCAGAATGAATAGTGGGGGTTAAAAAGAGACAGAGAACAGAAAACCGACCCCAGGCTAAAAGATAAAGGAGATGGAAAAAGGATTAATGTGACCCACCACAGGAACATGTATGAGATCATACCGGCACGAATCGAACCCCGTGCCTTGCACAAATAAAACATCAAGTGATAATCAAGGTGGCATCGCAGCACGATCAAACGAAATCTGGTCGAGGGAGAGGTTGGAAGGGAGGAGGAAAGGGAGAAATCGAGACAAGAGAATAAGTCTCAACCTCCCGAGATGAACAAGTCGTAGCGCATGTAAGACCGTAAAGCGGAAGACACACCGCAAAGAGAGGAGAACAATGTAAACAAATGTCATACGAACCAGTCATTAGACTTGGCCCTGATCTACCTCAAGGGGTTCGAGCTCCTTTGATTCCTCGTAGTCATCGAAATCCAGGCCGGCATCGCGGCAGCGTTGCAGCCACTTGGTGGCGATGTCGCCACGGCGGTTGACTTCAACCTTCAGCTTCGAATTTTGCGAGCTGATCTCATTGATTGCATGACTGGTGGTCATGTTGTTCTGTTCCCATCTCTCGCTCATGGCCTTCTTCTCATCGTGCAGCTGGCAGATGTACTCGATGGCACGCTGCAAGATGGCACCCTTGTTCTTGTCACAATTTGGGACTAAGCGAGCAATCTGATTGATACCCTCGTTAATTGCCTCACGACGTCTTCGTTCCACTGTAAATGGCCGGGTTAGCAGACAGTCAGATGCTACGGTGGGTGTTGGACTACCGTACCTTCTTTGTGGTTGTTTTTGCGAATCTGGTGCCACTCCGGAGAACCCACCGAGGGTTTCTGATTCATGCTCTGGGCTTCGCGCGCGGCATACACGGCGGCGGCGGTGGAGTTGTGGCCGTGGGTGGATCCAATAGCCTGACCCATATCATCGCCGAAAGTCAGCCCGTGGGTAAGGTTGTTGTCGAAGGGCGTGTCGGGGGGAGGAGGGTATTTGTTTTGAGGAGTGTGGGCGGCCAGCGCAGCTTTCGCGGTCAGAGCGTTGTCATCCGAGATGCCGTTCTGGGGGCCGACGTGCTGCAAGATCTGCTGGTCGATATTGAGTTCCGAGGCAGCGTTGGGCAGGCCATGGTGATCGTAGGAGCCAAGCGAGCTATGAGCGAAGTTGGCCTGCGCATCGGGACCGGGGATGCTGCCGTTGCTGCCGTTGGAAGAACGGTTCAACCGCTGAGCATCGGGTCCGGTGCTATCAGTGCTGTCGCGCTTCCGCTTGTTAGGCACATTGCCGTCCGAGCCACCGAGGGACGGGTCCGACATCATGTAGGCAACTGTGAGTCGGTCTCCTGAGATGAGTGACGGTCGTTAGTACGGCGTTAATCGTCGGGTCAGTTCACGACGGTCGGCCTACCCGATTAATGAGGCACGACCCCGCGGTGTAAGTGATAAGTGAAATCCTGAGATTTCAAGCAAGCGATCGCCCAGGGCCCCTATAAAGTGTGACTTATCAGTGTCTTTGTCTTCGAAGCTCGACCTCGATTCTCGGGACAGAACGCGAGGTAAAGATAAGCAGTGTTCGTGGCAATTCAGGAAACAACAGAAAAAAAAAAATAAACAAAATAAATGAACAGCTCAAGCGTGAGAACTAGTAACGTGAGGATAACAACAGTCACTGTCCCCTGGTTTACGTGAACATCGATGGACATCGATAACGGGGAGGTGGTGAGTGTTCGGGGACGCGTTGGGCTGACGCGCTCATCTCCGCACCACAACATCATGCGGTTTTTCAGAGATCGACCCAGCGGCGCCAGCCAACGAAACGCCGTGAGATACGGCTACAGGAACCCCGTGAAAAGTCGGAAAATAGGGTAGCAATAGAAAGAGAGATCGCTCAGCATGTTGATGAGCCCCGAGGCGACATCAAATACGCGTCCTGGCGGTTTTGCGACCGGCGTGAAGCGCGCCCCTCGAATAGTAGCATCGTGAACGAGCCCCCTCACGGCCGGATGACGGCGGACGGCAGACTGACGGCGTGTGCAGGAACATCACGAGTGACAAGACTGAGATGTGCTGACGCGAAAGTGGAGGGGGAAAGCAGCGGGCGCCGTCGCAGCAAGGAAAGTCGAAGGGGGAAGAGAGAGAAGGAGAAGGGCTCTTACTGTACCTTGGGATGGGCAGTCTATCACCTGACAGCAAGTCACCTGCCACGGGAAACAACAAGATGGAAGAATGGCGAGTTTCGATCGGGAGAGACGAAGAACGAGAATTCCACGCGAAAGAAATGGGGGAGAATGAAGAGCAGCAATTCAGCAGCGATGAGCAGGCCGGCTTTCAGCACAAGCAAAAGGACGAGGGCGATAATACACTGGAAAGAAGGGATACCCTCGGGGAAGTAGAGTAGAGAGCGCGAGTCGAGTAGAGAGGGAACTCACGTGGTCCCGGTCTGAGAAGAGGAGGCGCCCGGCCGGTCTGCGGTGCGCCACACGCTCCCGTCGCGCACTTTGCGGGTCACCTGATCACGGTGAAGAACGGAACAATCTGGATATCGATCTCGAATTATCGGTTGATTCCCACAAAGGAGATTGAAAGGATAACTCCCATAATAAGAAAAAATACTCGCCTCTGCACCGCTTATCAACCACTCGTCTGTCTTTCCTGCCGCCCTCCTTCTGGAGGTCCGTCATGTCATGTGCTGCAGTCCCGTGCCCCCTCCTCTGCCAAGGGTACTCTCCGGTTCCCTGATTGGCTGGCCGCCCTCAGTCGCTGCCCGGCACTCGGAGGGACCATTGACCCGGGGATCACGTGGTGCCTGCCTGCCCTTGGAGTGGGAGCCTGGGAGCCTTGGAAGGTTCCGACGGTGGTCCGTTCGACTGTAGTAGAAGTTAGAAGAACTTAGTCCTGCTTGCTCTCTCCCTCTCAGAGCCAATGATCCGGATTGCCTCGTCCTGCAGAATCCCCATCATTGGAACACAAGCACCCGTCCCAATTCGAAAATGCTGCTCAATCCCGGTCGGGCCGACCCTCCTTGGGTTCCTGCTGGGTAGCACGGTCCATGTCCCGTCGTGAATAGTACCGGTCGATCCCTCTGCTAGTCTATCCTGGGGAAGGACCGTCGTTGCCAGTGGTGTTCCCTAACCGTCCCATCCATACGGCTTGCTTCCCTGTTGCTCACAAGGGCGAGACAGAGTGTGGGAACGGGGAATGGTTGGTAGGTTGGGCAAAGTGTAGGGGGGTGGTGAAAAAAGCACTGCCGCGCCGGCTTGTCGTATCTTTTTCTTTTTTCCTTTGTGCTTTCCATAGCTCAGTTCTTTTTTAGATTTTCAAGAATGTCGTGCCACTAGTTGTCTCAGATAGCGGCAAAAAGGTGCCTCCTTTCTTGTTGAAACCCCCTCTTCCCTTCTCCCCCCGCCTCAGGATTCGATGCCTGCACATCTCGATCAGCTACTCAAAAAGTGGTCGTCCTCTTCACTGCCCCCAAGCAGGGGAATGAATGTCACAGCACTTCAGCTGACCCGGTGTCACATGTACTGTACACCGGCCCTCAATCTCCGACATAGCAAACCCTCTGTCCCCTTCGACGATGGCAAGGTGGATGGAGGGTTGCGATCTGTGGGGAATGGGAGATCATCCCGAGTCTCTTCTTCACGGCTGCCTATGAGAAGCAGTCCATCTGATGGATCGGCGATCATCCTTGGGGTCATGCGATAACGACGATAAGAGGAGACGCAGGATTGCTTCTCACGACCTTCTTTTCCATTAAAAATGCCCGGGGAGGAAATCTAGAATGCAGCTGTCACATGGGAGGCACCGCCAGAGGGACGTCAAGTGACCCGCCGCATCGCTACTGGATGTGGCAACTCCTGCTTCTCGCTCTTGGGAGTGTCTGTCACCATTAGAACTGTAGAAGAAGCAAAGGGCAGAATAGAATAGAAAAAGGAAATGTCACAACACCTGTCGGGCATACTACGGGGGTCTGTTTCCCTGCCCTCAACTTCCCATATCTCGATCAAACCTGTAAACAAACATTGTAGATTCTCGTGGACTCCACACGCACGATCTCGTCGAGCAGATCCTACAACGGCGATCAACCCTGGAGCTGCATGCGTCATACCATTGCCGTCTTCTGTCATCCCCTCTATGTATACATAACGCATGATCTGACTACCCAACGAGAAGAGAGGGGGGACAGAGGCAGAAGGTCTATAATGCATAGGTTTAGCATGGCGGTAACAACATTCAACCGCCCCTCTTCACCAACTCAAAAATCATCCTAGGATCCTCTTGGGTGTCTGCGAAGCAAATCCCCTCGCTTGCCGCACCCATCAGATTCCAGCAATGTATCTTCACGTCCAGCGGCGGTGTCTCTTCCTTTGTCCCGTCCTCTTCGGGTCCATTCGGAGTGTTTTCCGCCCCCGTACTAGCTTTCTCCTCTGACGAAAGAGGCTGCGCGCGTTGGTTGACGGCGATGATGGCGCTGGTGCCCGCGTATCGAGCCAGATTGGCCCCTTCGGCCCCCTCTTCCTCCCCGGCTCGATTGGCGAAAACCAGAATGATCCGTTTATCTTGATCGGAGTCAACTGCACCGGCACAGTCGATGTCCGAGTTGTGGTTCATTCTCCGTCGGATCAGGGGAATGAATCGCTGTATCCAGTAATTAAAGGTGTCTAGATCCGGTTTGTCGGCCAGCATGTCCAGCTCCTCCCGACTTAGCAGGGTAAGCCATGCCATCGACAGCACGACCAGCTGAGTCTTTGAGTCGAGCACCCGATTCGCGAACTCCCAGGCTGTGAACGGCGCCTTGAACTGGTAGGGATTGATGTCCATGCAGATGCCAAACGATGTCGCCACCTTGGAGGCCGTAGCACCGCGGTCGGGGCTCGCGAAACTCAACTCCTGAAAGCTGCGCGCCGCGTCGCCTTCTTCCGCCCACGTCTCGTCCGTATAATACAAGAACGTCTTACGGTAGTTCGCGACTACTTCTCCGGTCTCGTCGACCAACAGCAGAGAATTATAACACTTCTCCTGCTCGCTGCTCGCGCCATCTGAGTTTGTCGACGCCGTTTCGAGTTCCGGATACCCCACGCACACCTTACACTGATAGCGTTTAGCGACGTCTCGTGCCCAGTTGGCAGACGGGCCCGTTCCCGTAGGTTCCAGATACGGCTTGATAGCCTCCAATGAAGGGAAGTTATACCCTAGCAGATGTTCAGTCAAGAAAATGCCGGACAAAGAAGAAGCAAAAACGAAACTATTGAACTCACCCGTCAGTGCTAACTCGGGCAATACCAGGATATCTGGCTTCAAGACATCAATCCCCGTCGCGAGGCCCCTTGATTCGAGCAGTTTGCCATGCTGGAGTAGTTCATTGGCACGTCGGATATTACCCTCGACGTCGCCCAGTTTCGGGGCGAATTGTAAAGTGGCTATTTTCATTTCCCGGCGTTGCCTATTGAGTGTATAAGTACCGCGGCGAATAGGAACTGGTCGGATTACAGTCGGGAGGAAACGTGCTGGGGCAAGTCCAATAGGAAGGACCTTTAAGTGCTGTGAGAAATTAATTGTGGCTGTTGTGGAGGGTGTGTGTGTTCACAGGGGTTGTGCGCGTGAGAATCTTGGGGGATGGTCGTCGTGGGGATGATAGAAGTTGGTTTCATGGATATGACGCCGTGAATTATAATTGGCTGGAAGTGCACCAGATCAGGTGACGGACATGCGGCTTAGGTAACAGCACTTCGCTCTACTTGCCTCAGGCTTCTACGGAGGAGAAACGGGATGAACACTGAACAGGCAGTCATTTCAATGGGGGGTGTGGTGTAAATGTCATATGATATTTAGCTAACATCCAAAAGATAGACAAAAAAGCAATGTGTGCCAGCGCCATGCATGATAATGTCTTCAGGATATAATGGCATCTAACTGACCAAGCAAATTGTGAACTTGGCTAAACAGACAAACATAAGATCCTCTCAAAACGCCGTGATGCAATGCAATGTACATGCCGTCAATCCCACACCGGCTGCTTTATGGCCAATCCATCGGCCATTATTGCCCTTGGACATAGGTTTCTATTCGGTCTTTCGCTGCTTCTTCGGGGTGAAATCCAGTGGTTTGTAAGCCAAGCCCCTGCCCCCGGTGGCCCGAATTCTTTGCTCGGTGCGAGACATCGAACGTCCCAGTCCATGGTCCGTTTCAGGAGCCAAGGCTACATCGTATCCGTTGACTTGGAATGATGACTGAGGAGACTGACTCCGTGAAAGCGAAAACGGGGAGTTCAGGCTGCTCCGAGGACTGAAAGACCGTTGTGGTTCAGAGTACGTGGAAAAGCTATCTGAAAGGCGAGGTCCACCGCGAAGAGACTCGGCAGCAATGCGTGCGGCAGACAACAGCATTTCATCTTCATCAACTTGATTGCGCCTCGGGGGCTCAAGTTGAAGGTCTGCCGAAGGTCGTCGGGCAACTAGTTTCTCGATCTGTTCCAGAATGGGGAGCGTTGGCAAAGGCTTGACAGATGCCTGAGCCAGTGACCTTTTAGGTGGGGGCGGCAGCTCAGGCTTTGACACTTTAGGAGGTTTTGTCCCAGTGTCCATTGTCTCCTCTTCAGCATTATAGACTCTCTTACGACCGGATGACGTTCGCCGTTTCTCGGCTGCTTCTCTCAGCGAGGATAACCATACAGGTGCCTGGTTATTTGCTTCGGTTGCTAGGTAGGATAATGTGAAGTTAGTCAACAAGTCTTTTATAATGGCAATATAGCGAGAAGGCTAATGCAGACATACCACTAGAATCATGGCTGGCGGCTGGTGCCGGTGGGTAAGATTGATGTCCATTCGGGAACTCTCCATTCGTAGATGCCTGTGATGTTGCAGATGCAAAGGAGCTCTCCGTTATTGTAGTTTGTCGCGATTGAGATGTTTCATCGGCGCGAGGAGAGGCCTGGTGCTGGGCGGCGGGCAACGCGTTAACTCCTCCATTAATTGTTGGCCCAATATTGGATTGAGGGTGGCCGGCGTGTTTTGATAGAGCAGCATTGGGAAAATTGGTTGTTGGCGGAGCGAATGAAAACTTCGGGGTATCTGCAATGTCTTTAGCATGTCAATTGAGAAAGTTCTTGTTCGAGATACACACCATCAGGCTTCTTTGGAGCAAATGGGTTTGAAGTGGTTGGAGGAGGCTCGGAGATATTAATTTGTAAAGGTTTTGGTGCCACATTTTGAGGTTGCAGGGCGTCGCTGGTGTTACTAGCGTTGCTCGTCTGGCTAGGAAAAGCGAAAGTGGGCTTGACTCCCCCGGAAAGTGTCGGTGGTTGAGAGAAACTGATTTGTGATCGTTTTGACAATGCATCTTGAGACTGTTGAGCAGTGCTGGTATCACCAGAGACACTGGTCTGGCTGGGGAAAGTGAACGTAGGTTTAGCGGCTCCGGAGGGGACCGATGACTCAAAGATGTTGACTTGGGAGGGTCTCGGGGGCACATTTTGAGGCTGCTGGTCGTCCCTGCCAGTACCAGAGTCGCTCGTCTGGCTGGGAAAAGTGAATGTGGGTTTGGATCCGTCTGGGATTGCCGGTGGCTTGAAGAAATTGTTTTGTGAGGGTTCCGAAGGGGTGCTTTGCAGCGGCTGGTTGCTCCCGGTATCACCAGCGTCGCTGGTCTGACTGGGAAAAGTGAAAGGGGTATTGGAACCCCAGGAGATTGACGATGGTTTGGCTCCAATTAAAAAACTGGAAGACTGGCCTGCAGTCAACCCAGAGCTATTGTTCGATTCCGAAGCAGAGAGGGTGAGATTGTGGGATGACAGATCAGGTTCAACTGTATTGACCTGTTGCAGAAGTTTGTTTTCAAAAAGAGGTGCTGCCGGAGATGATACAGGTGTCTTGCCGGTGTTGTCTAATGGACGAGAGGCAGAAGGTTCACTTGAGGATTGGATGTCCGCATGTCCTCCGAATACTGGCGATGGTTCTGCACGAATCCCGCGGCCGGACTGCGGAGGGAAGATAACAAATTCTGGGGAGTTGAATGTCGGGGGAGTGTTCCCTTGCGCGAACGGAGCAGAAAATGGTGATGCTGGATGTGAGCTATTCGCTTGGTTGGTTAAGGTGCTCGTCCCGCCACCTGCAGACGGTTCCAAAAGTTCGTCGAAATTTTTCTGGAGGCTGGAGGCAGACGTTGGCGAATCGAGGCGAGCGCCTGATCTAAGGGCAGCTTCGTGTGGATAAATCGAATCGTTATCATCGTCGCTCACAAATAAGGACTCTTCATTACGATAATCGCCATACTCCAATGCTTGCGCCCGTGTTTCTAGCAACGACGTATCGATCATGTTCAAAATCGCGGCCTCCTTGATGTTGAGACCAAGAATGACTGCAACTAATGTTCGACCTCTTCGTTTCGACTCGACGTAAGTTTCAGAAAAGTAATGGCTTGAAGATGGTTGGAAGGCTAGTGAATTAGACAGTTAGTCGAAGTAGTCGAGGCACGATAAAAGAAACATGTAAGCCGATAATTCTTCGCCTTGTGTTGTTATAGAGACAGCCACCGCTAGGCTACTTGGTCAAAGAAGCCAGGATGGGACTTTTGTCGAGATCTAAACATACCGTCTGAATCATCAGGGCCGTTTCCCCAGTTGAGATAAAGCTCGCCATTCTCATTTTCCGCAAATTCCAAACTCTGCTCTTGGCAGAACTCCATCGTCTGTTCTTCTTCATCAAAGCACAGAACGTCCGTCAGCTCGCTTACAGTCCATTCCTCATTCTTATGCCGTTGAGAAGCGGGCTGGCGACAGTATCCTCTCCATATTGACTGAATGGCGGTTTGGCGAACATGATTGAAATAGATTTCGGCGACGCAGCCCATCAGGTAAGATACTGCAGGGGAGCTGATAAGGTTGAAGAAACGGGTATAGAAGCCCTGGGCTATCGCATTGGGCCTTTTGGCGTCCAAGGTCCCCTGGGGCTCCCAAGTATTGCTGGCAGCTGCGTGAAGCTCCAATGCGACTTGGACTCGAGGCGACTGCCGTAGCTCGATTGGCCACCTCTGAACACGGGCCTCTAAGTCGGGTCGCTGGTCAAGGATAGAGAAGATGATATAGTAGGCTCGGAACTCATCCTCGTTTGGGAAGAACATCCGCTCTCTGTTGTCGTCATAGTAGTACATGAGAGACAACATGGTGTTGTTGAGCTGTTCACGTTCTTGATGATGGTCGAAAGGTTCTTCATTGGCGGGACTGGAAAGCAGATGGAGTGATAAGATGTGGAAACGAGCAATCCTCTCGAGACAAGTGACTGCGATCTTGACATCGTTTGCTTGTGTGAGTTGCTGTACTGAGAAGTCGTTTCGGATGGATCGAGTTCGATCCCAAACGAACTTATGGATCAGTCCAAGAGGCTCCGGGCCACCAACAACATGCCGTGTCAGGTAGTTCATGCTCTGTAGCAGTGTATGTGGGGTCCGGATGTCGGACGGAAGCTGCTCGTCGTATCCTGCAGCGGATCTCCTAAAACGTTTGAGCATCATTGTTTCCATGTACTGCAGTTCGTTGGTTTTCGGGTCCATAAACTATTTCGGAGTTAGCACACGTGAGATGTCAACCGTTCGTCTCGGTCCAGGAAAGTACCTTTTCGCTTTTGTCAACCATTTTTTGAACGATGCGTTCAACTCGTTCGAACTCCGGACACATACTCGTGCATGTCCCAACGGGTGTGATCGCTTGTGTCAAAGAAGTTGGTTGGGAAGGGTCTGCCATCTGCCCACTTTCGATCGCATTTTTCCTTTCTTGGGCCCGGTCGGCTTTGAGCTGTTTGGTTTATGGGTCAGTGCACTCCCTCAAATCGGCGCATTGGTACGATTAAGGAAAGACCGACCTGTTCGTAACGGTCAGTGTAGCTCCCTGGATCCCGCATGGCTACATCGGTTGCGCCTTTCTCGTTCGCCTGCTTAAACTGATGTCGCCTGCGAGGATCCCTGCTCGAGTCTACCATGTTGCCGTCGGGCGTGCCGGACTTTCCTCTTCCTTGACCGGGGTGGGATGTTTTCTTGTGGGTTTTCGACTTGTCTCCGAAGGAATTCTGTGTCTTGCTTTGTTGGGGTTCCGTTTTAACAGATCGGACGATTCCTCCAGGGCCTCCTCTGCCGTTGCCACGAGCACCCCTGTCCCCTCGCGCTCGACCACGAAACTTGGCATCGCCACGGGAAGCGCTTCCATTTGTATCTTTAAGAGGTGCTTGCGGGGGGGAAGATCCACCGCGTCCGCGCCCGCTCCCACGTCCTCTCGAGGCCGCGGCCGCATCTCCGCGTTTGATCGCAGAGAACGGGTTCGACGGACCGGCCATCCTGCCGCGAAAAGCGGTAAGGCCGAGGACGGAGCCAGATTCCGTCTACCTGGAAGTGGCTGGGGTTCAATTGATCTGCTGACTCCTAAGAGAATATTCTTTGATTTCCCGTCACGATTCTTCGTCGGTCGAGAGAAACCGGGGTGATTGAACGAGACGCCGAGGCTGATGAATATGTGATCCTAAACGTGCTGAACTTCGCGAAGCGTTGGCAAGAACGTAGAGAAAAAGTTAGCCTATTTGGCATGCCAGGTAAATTATGAATCATCGTAGGCGAATGCGACGAGGCACCGGGTGGATGGAGATGGAATAAAGAACGACAAAGAGAACCGGAGACGATGCGAATCGAAGCGCAAGCAGAAACAGAAATGTGGCGCAGTACCTTTGAAAGCGACAGGTGGTAATGAGGAGGTACTATGTTTAGCAACAATAGCAATTCAAGTGAATGCGCTCGTCTCAGGTATTGAATGGTTTGGAACAATAATTCGAAGAGGGGTGTCAACTTGGCGGCCTCAAGGATCGTTTTCGTTCGAGGGAAGTAGGCGATTCTCGAGCGATGAGCGAATGAATGTGGGATGGGGCCTTCAAATGTCTGAAGACTGCCGATGTGATGTCAGGTGTTGAATTTCTGTTGTGTTCACGATGAGCAGGATGGAGGAGAGGAAGCTGGACTCTTTGTCCGACCGTGCAGCTCGGTCAGCGGGTCACCGGGGTACACTGGACACGCGCTTTTGCCGCGCGGCTAAACAGGTACATCCCTTATGTACTGTACAACCCACCAGTCACAACTTTCTTCAGGAATCGACAGCAAAATTGGTGCGTTTGTGTTAACAACTCGAGTGTTCCTTCGACTTTCTTCCTAAGCAACCCGTTTGTTCTGATAACAGCAGTATTTCAATTGTCAACATTCTTGTCATCAACCATCAGAATGTACTTATGTATTTTTTCCACCGGCCTCAAAATCAAAGTCCTTCCGATATATAAACTTTGGTTTGTTCCCTGCAGCTTAAACAATGAAATTATCAGAACCCACCTTCTATACCGAACTTCTTGGGCCCTTTGCTTGGCCAATGATTACTTGAATTCATGCACAATATCGCTTCTCGTCGATCCAGAACGAAGGGCTCGCATTGTATGAATGTTCCCAATAATATCAAGTCATACTCAACCCGGCTTTAACTAGAGCGGAAACTTTACATACGGATGAATTAACGCCCCAAGACTGTCGCCATCTGGGGCATTTTACCGGGAGATTGTCGGCAACCTGACTGGGCAAATGGGAAGTTACAAATGAAGTCCATGCGCGCATTAACGACGATATCCGATACTTGAGCTTTTCGACAATCATCCACACGGTCCTTGCCCGGGTCGGAAATGTCCAAGGAACAATGGAATTTGCCGAGGTCCGTGGGCTGAAGTTCCTGATTATTGTCCCCAAACATGACGAGTTTAGAAACCCATGTGCCCAGGCAATTAGGATCATTGGGGGTTTTGATGCAAAGGCTTAGATAGGTAACGAACGGTGGGCAGGCTTTCATGTTCAGCCATGCAAGTAGACTGGCCATGACATTCTACGGCGCATGTCATCTCCCCGGTCTAGACTCTGTAGAGAACAATTGAGTCAGATTGTCAACCTGGAACAAAGAGTCATCGTCTGGAAGAGCTGGAGGGTTATCATGATTGCCTGTTTCGGAGCCGGCCGAGTGCTTATGTCAGCGGCGAAATGGCATGCAGGGATGAGCATCACGTCATTGCCAACTGTTCCTCTAATTTGCCGATTCTTGAGCCTCCGGGGTACAGCACGGCTTCCAGGATGCTCAATGAAGGGTAGGTCTGTTCGCACTTCGCAGCCATTGATCGAACCACCGCACTCGTGGTATCAAGCTAAGATCGAGAATGAAGATCGGGGAAAGTTCATTCTGGAGCTGGCATTTCTAAGCAGCTCCGCCGCCTCCCCACGTGCCAAGACTGCCTACCGCCTCAATTCGTTATGTCATAGTGCTCGTTTCCGGCCAACGGCGAAGGGGAAAAGACTTACGGATGTAAGGGACAGGATGAGACTGCGCGGGAAATTGCCCTAGACCATTACTAGCACAGAATCTGAAATCCTTTTTGCATTTGAGTCATCGACCAAGGGCAGAGTCAGCGCGAAGTCTTTAGTTAAATCCGAAGGCCGATCCAGTGATTATTTGGTTTAGTAAGCAGCCTGCAGCCTTAGCGGCTTTAGTCTCTCTCGCTCTCTTCTCGCTCGCCGTTATCTCTCGTCCTTGAACCTTCTTTCTCCAACTGTTGCGACCGTCCTTTGCTTGTAATCGCCCTGGAAAAATTCCCTCTGTTCTTCTTCCTCTTCTCCGCGTGGCCTGAAAGGACCAGGGACCAGGTTTGAAGTTGGGATCTCGTGCCCGGGTAAAAGCATGCCTGACGGCAATTCCCAGGCGATCCTCGGGGATTCTCTCCCGGGATCGCTGGTGTCGCCGTCGTCAAGGCCGGACTTTGCATTCCAGTCCCCCAAGTTGCAGCCCTTCTGCGGCGATCCCGAGGGATGGGGACCGTTAAGCAACATTCGGTTCGATCTGACCCCGTGTTTTCTGGATCTGGGTGTCGCTATCGTGGCAGCATGGGGTCTGATCATGGGAGCAGGTGCCCTGTGGTTCCTGTTCAAAAAGCGAGTCCCTGAGCCTGTCTCGAAGAACTGGCATTTCTACACCAAATTGGTTAGTTGCGCAACCCCACCGCTTCCCCCGATCCCCTGCTGACAGTAGCGTGACCGCTGGCTAGACCGTCTTAGCCGCTTTGATGTTCACGACCGCCCTCCAAGCTGCGATCCAAGTCGAGACCGATCCGAATACCTGGTTTGCCGACTTTAGATTCTGGAGCTCGCTGCTGGTTTTTGCCTCGCTCGGCGTGATTTTTGCGGTTCAATACTACGAGCATTGGCGCAGTCGACAACCCAACGGCGTCGTCCTCTTCTATTGGCTTTTCTTCGTCATTGCTTATGGCATTAAACTCCGATCGCTCGTGGCACAACACGCATACCAGGATCGGCTACCGTACTTTGTTTGCTTCAACGTGAGCCTGGGGCTGGCAATTCTTGAATTTGCGCTGGAGTACCTGGTCCCAAAAAAGCAGAGCGCCTACAACGCATTGGGTGACGAGGATGAGTGTCCGTACGAGTATGCCGATATCTTCTCGGTCTTGACTTTCAGTTGGATGACTCCAATGATGAAATTCGGGTACAACAACTTCCTAACCCAAGACGATCTGTGGAACCTTCGACGACGGGATACAACTCAAGCCACCGGAAACACGTTGGAGGACAAATGGCAGCAGGAACTTGAGAAACCGAAGCCATCCTTGTGGAGTGCGCTGTTCAGGGCATTTGGATCTTCCTATTTCCGAGCAGCAATCATCAAGTGCGGCAGCGATATGCTTGCATTTGTTCAGCCACAGCTTCTGCGCATTCTGATCGACTTCGTCAATTCATACCGGACAGATGACCCTCAACCTGTCATCAGAGGCGTTGCAATCGCCTTGGGGATGTTTCTCGTTTCGGTGTCTCAGACTCTGTGTCTTCATCAGTATTTCCAGAGGGCTTTTGACACTGGTATGCGGGTGAAGTCGGGATTAACCGCGATGATTTATGCCAAATCTCTGCGCCTTTCTAGCGAGGGACGTGCCTCGAAGACCACTGGTGATATCGTCAACCACATGGCTGTCGACCAGCAACGTTTGTCTGACCTGACCCAATTTGGTATTCAGCTCTGGTCGGCACCTTTCCAAATTACCCTTTGCATGATCTCCCTGTATCAGCTCATTGGCGTTAGTATGTTTGCTGGTATTGCCATGATGATCTTGATGATTCCGCTGAATGGAGTGATCGCTCGGATGATGAAGCGCTTGCAGCTCAAGCAGATGAAAAACAAAGACGCACGTTCGAGATTGATGACTGAAATTCTGAACAGCATCAAGAGCATTAAGCTCTACGCCTGGAACACCGCTTTTATGAACAAACTTAGTCACATCCGTAATGACCTCGAGCTGAACACTCTCCGGAAAATCGGTGCCACTCAGTCCATTGCCAACTTCACCTGGCAGTCGACCCCGTTCCTTGTTTCATGCTCCACTTTCACGGTTTTTGCACTGATCGATAGTCGTCCCTTGACCACCAGTGTTGTTTTCCCCGCGTTGACGCTTTTCAATCTGTTGACCTTCCCTCTCTCGATCTTACCAATGGTCATCACCGCTGTAATTGAAGCTTCGGTGGCCATTAACCGTCTGACGAACTATTTCACCGCAGAAGAGCTGCAGACCAATGCCGTCAAATATGAGGATGCAGTTGCTCACATTGGGGATGAGTCCGTCCGGATCAGCGAAGCCTCGTTTACCTGGGACCGCTATGATGGCACTCATGTTATCGAGAACATCGACTTCAGCGCTCGCAAAGGAGAGCTCAGCTGCATCGTTGGCCGGGTTGGTGCCGGGAAATCGTCCCTTCTGCAGTCGCTCCTTGGGGATCTGTGGAGAACCGATGGAGAGGTCGTGGTGCGCGGCCGCATCGCCTACGTTGCGCAATCGGCGTGGGTGATGAATGCCAGCGTGCGCGAGAACATTGTTTTTGGACACAAGTGGGATCCTCAGTTCTACGACCTGACTGTGGAAGCGTGTGCTTTGTTGGACGATTTCAAGAATCTGCCAGATGGCGACCAGACTGAGGTCGGAGAGAGGGGAATCTCTCTCTCCGGTGGACAGAAGGCCCGTTTGACCCTTGCTAGAGCGGTGTATGCTCGTGCGGACGTTTACCTACTTGACGACGTCTTGTCCGCAGTCGACCAGCATGTCGGCAGACACCTTATTAACAAGGTCCTTGGACGCACCGGTATCCTTAGCACCAAAACTAGAATCCTTGCTACAAACGCCATTCCAGTTCTGAAGGAAGCCGATTTCATCGGCCTTTTGCGAAACAAAACCTTGATTGAGAAGGGAACGTACGAGCAGCTGCTTGCTATGAAAGGCGAAGTTGCCAACCTCGTCCGGACCACGATGAACGACTCGGATGACGATGGCTCAAGCAGTAGCGATGGACCTGGCCTTGCCAGTGCTGAAAGCTCGGAATCTGCTACGGTGACCGATAATCTGGACTCGGACGCCTCCGACCAAGAGGAGGCTGAGCAGGAAGTTGGCTCCCTCCTTCCTATTCGATCTGGCCATCAGCGACGCTCAAGCACCGTGACTTTGCGACGTGCCAGCACTGTCAGCTGGTCCGGCCCCAGACGGAAGCTCGCTGATGAGGAGAACGTTCTGAAGTCGAAACAAACCCAGGAAACCTCGCAGCAAGGCAAGGTTAAATGGAGTGTTTATGGTGAATATGCCAAGAACAGCAACATCATCGCTGTGTGTTTCTACCTGGTCGCCCTCCTGGGCGCTCAAACCGCCCAAGTTGCCGGTAGTTACTGGCTGAAGTATTGGTCGGAGCAGAGTGAACTGAACCCGCATCTCAAGGTTGGAAAATACATCGGTATCTATTTAGCCTTTGGTATTGGATCTTCTGCGTTGGTCATCGTGCAAAACCTTATCTTATGGATATTCTGCTCGATTGAAGTAAGTTTTTCAGGCAATTATCTCATGCGAACTTATATTGATCGTTTCCCAGGCGTCGCGGAAACTCCACGAGCGGATGGCGTTCTCCATCTTCCGTTCTCCCATGAGCTTTTTCGAGACTACGCCGTCTGGACGGATTCTCAATCGATTCTCGAGGTAAATCCACACCACCTTGCGTCTCAGTACAAAGCCATTGATGGAAGCTAATTGCACCGTCTAGTGATGTTTACCGTATTGATGAGGTTCTCGCTCGCACATTCAACATGGTAAGTTGCCAAGCTTGATCTATATCTGTCTCCTATTAACTATGTTCTAGCTGTTCGGAAACTCCGCCAAGGCAATCTTCACGATGGTTGTCATCGCCTCCGGGACTCCCGCCTTCATCTTATTGATCATCCCGTTGAGTTACGTTTACTTCAGCTACCAGAAGTATTATCTGCGTACCTCTCGGGAGTTGAAACGCTTGGACAGTGTTACTCGCAGTCCAATCTTTGCCCATTTCCAGGAGTCTCTTGGAGGCATCTCGACTATCCGTGCCTATCGACAGGAGAACCGGTTTACTCTGGAGAACGAATGGCGTATGGATGCGAACCTCCGGGCTTATTTCCCGTCCATCAGCGCCAATCGATGGTTGGCTGTCCGTCTCGAGTTCATTGGTTCGGTCATCATCTTGTCATCCGCGGTCCTCTCAATCATCTCGGTCTCGACCGGTAGTGGCATCTCTGCAGGAATGGTTGGTCTGGCCATGTCGTATGCTCTCCAGATCACCCAATCTCTCAACTGGATCGTCCGACAGACGGTCGAGGTGGAGACCAACATTGTCTCCGTGGAGCGTGTTCTGGAGTATGCCAACCTCCCCAGCGAGGCACCCGATGTGATTTTCAAGCACCGTCCGGCGATTGGCTGGCCGGCGCAAGGCGCGGTTTCCTTCAACAACTACAGCACACGTTACCGCCCAGGACTCGACCTCGTCCTCAAGGATATCACGCTAGACATTAAACCGCACGAGAAGATTGGCGTGGTGGGCCGTACGGGAGCAGGCAAGAGTTCCCTGACTCTAGCGCTCTTCCGTATCATTGAAGCGGCTCGCGGACACATTAGGTGAGGACCGCTGCCTGAACATATGAGTCTGAGCCCAAAATACTGACCGTACTTCCCCCCTCCTTTAGTATTGATGGGCTGAACGTGTCTACCATTGGTTTGTTGGATCTGCGCGGCCGTTTGGCCATCATCCCCCAGGATCCTGCCATGTTTGAGGGCACCGTCCGAGATAATCTGGATCCTCGCCACGCACATGACGACACCGAACTGTGGAGTGTCCTGGGTACGTTGGGCTTGACGCACTGCATACGGCGGCAACATAAACGGGGTTAGCTAACTTGTTATCTTGCAGAGCACGCACGACTAAAGGATCACGTTGCGCAAATGGAGGGTCAGCTCGATGCCCGAATCCAGGAAGGAGGTACGTATCTCGGCTTTCTACGGTGCCACTGACCTGTAGTTCTGGCCCGTGGTCTTTTCTCTAGTTGCATCTTTGTTCGAATATGGAGCTAACGTGGACATGACAGGATCCAATCTAAGTCAAGGCCAGCGCCAGCTGGTTAATCTTGCACGGGCTTTGCTGACGCCTAGTAATATTCTTGTGCTTGATGAGGCCACAGTAAGTAGTCACCGAAATTCTTCCTTCTCACCGATATTTCCCAAGCTACCCTATGAAGATTTTTCCTTGATTTATTTTTAAATTAAGCCGATGCTAACGCCACTGGCCAGGCTGCGGTGGATGTGGAAACGGATGCATTGCTTCAACGCACCTTGCGCAGTAGCATCTTCTCGGATCGCACCATCATCACCATTGCCCATCGCATTAACACGATCATCGACTCCGACCGGATCGTGGTGCTAGACAAGGGCCGGGTGGCCGAGTTCGACACGCCCAAGGAGCTGATCAAGCGTGGCGGTAAGTTCTACGAGCTAGTCAAGGAGGCCGGTTTGCTTGAGGGCGAAGGCCTGGCACTGGTGCAATGATCCTGGCATTCGCGACACGATGGCTACGGGGATGGAATTCTACAGTTCCGGTCGATCCCTCTTCCGCCAGGAAGAGACGAGAAGGTGGTCCCCCTTATTGACCGCATCTTGGGCCACCACACCATTCCCTCTCCGGATGCGTGGTTATCCCCTTTGAAATAAAATGAAAGGGATATGAATGAAGCTCCTGAAGGATGGGGGGAGGGGGGGCAACCCCTGGTACTGCGTGGTATTCTGCACCGCCCTCGGACCTCAGACTCAAGGAGTCAGACTCGAGACTTGAGGCAATTTCTACGAGGATAGACACACCGGACCATACCAAAAAGAAACGGAATCAGCAACGACAACCGAAAAAGAAAAAGAAAAAGTACGATTGGCACTTCTGGCGTTCAGTTCAAAAAGGGAATTTCCTCCCCCCTGTTTATAATTTCGTCCTCATATCTCCGTCCGTGTCCTGTGTTTTGAGAACTGTCAACTGTCACCAAAAGCAGAAACAAAAGTTGTACCCTCTACATAGTATAATGAATCAATTCAACCTTGTCTATACCTACATTTCAGTCCTGTTTTTCCCACAACCAAGAAAGAAATACCCTCGAGGTCACCCGGTCATCGATCATCTGAACGAACGAGGGGCGACAAAAAACAAAAAACAGAAAAGGGGGGTCAGGTCAGAGACAGAAAGTGTGAAAAATGGGTGAGAAATAAAGAAAGAAAAAAAAACAAAAACAATGGCAAGGAGATAGGTAAACAAGCAGCGCGTAAACCAGAACCAATGGATGTGTCAACAGTAGCGGTGTAGGGATATCGACTGCATTGCATGCTGCAGAACAGTTGTCTTTGCAATCGCCGGGGGTGGAAGGCAGGGAAGACGGGGAGGGGTAAATTGAAGAAAAAGAAAAGAAACATTATTAATTGTGACATTGCAGAATGAGAGTACTCTACAGTGGTTAGGGGGGAGGGGAGGGGAGGGGAGGGGAGGGGGAGCTACAGTATTATTGTGATTACTGTGTGTGTGTGTGTGTGCTAGGTTGGTTAGCATAATGGTATTATTATATTAGATTAACTACTGTACCTACCTACCTAGTTATGTGATACGAGGGGTTTTTTTCCTTTCATTTCGTTCTTTCTTTCTGTGTGTGTGTGTGTGTGTGTGCGCGCAAAACTAGCGTAGAGACTGAATACTAGTTACCTGCGACATCCCAGCCACCGCCACACTGGAATAATTCAGGACGGAGGCATTTTTAGCATTTGGCATTTGGCATTAATGCGGCTGTCATGGTGTACCTAGCTACGACGCACACCGGAGTACATACACCGTGTACCTACTGGCAAAAGTGGCATGGTACATACATTCCTGCGCCCAAAATAGCCGATAGCAAAGGGTCCCGTGACTCGGCCGATCTCAGGACAGTCGGGGGTCGTCTACAGTCTACACCTACGTAGTACTCCGTACCTACAGTAGATATCTCGCGTGGCGAATGTTGCTTCAGCCAGCCAGCCAGCCAGCTGAAGAAACCGGAAATAAGAAACTCAATCGAGAAGTGGTCGTTTCGGTCAAGACATGCATGATGCTATCGACGGGATTACCGTAACCACGATGGCAAAAATCCCTTGAAAATGAATAAATAAACAAATCAAACCGAGATAGACTATAAAGTATGAACCATGGAACAGACCTCATTGCGACAATTCCAATGGCCGGAGATATCAGCCGGACACTCCCCAAACTCAAATCCAGCTCGAAGAACTCGTCTATCGCGGCGGAAAAGGTCACCGGAGACAATATCGCCCACGGGAACTGGAAGGCTGGCAGGGGAATGGAATGGATCGATCTTGCATACGGTCAGACAACGGACCTGGTAATCGGGTCTGCACTATGCCCCAAAGTAAAACATTTCAAAGACTTCAATGGCGAGAAACTCTCAAACTACTGTGTAGGGAGTGATTTGGGGGTTCGTTGGGAGGGGCCGAAGGATGTCCAGCTTATCCACTCCACGTCTGTTTTGAGCGGCGTGCAGAGCGAGCCGAATGGTGCAAGTGGGAAATTCGATACATGATGAGGGGTCGCGGGGTTTGATCGGGATTTTTATGGACTTGCATCATCGGATCGAGTGATCTTGTCTATCGTCATGGGTTATAGAGATTATAGGAATTATATAGTAAATCTAGAGGGTTGTTCTACGTTATAGGATATAGAGTCTATACTACGGAGTCGGAGTACATAACAATAGAGAAGAATATTGCAGAACAATCTGCCAGAGAAAAGACCAGAACCCCCGCCACGCCTAATCGCTAAACCCATCGATACGAGAGCCACCTCTAGAACAATCGATCCCCAATATCAAATCCCAGAGCCAGACCCGATCCACCAACGCTCAGGCCGTTGATTTTAGCCCCGGCCAAGAGATTCCTTGCTTCGGCTTTCGCTCCTCGTCGATAGTTCAGTCGATCCATCAGACGGCGGCAACTGCAGGGGCCTCTCTCCGGCCAGAGGTTTCTCTTCTTTTCTGTCCATCTTTTCCAGGATAGCCCTACGATGAGGGACAGTAGTCGATGGGTCCTGAACAACTGGCCGTGATCGATTTGTCCAGCCACACACGGGGTACACTTGGGTGGATCGTTGGAATCGTGGATGACCCGGGATGATGCAGATTCAGGATGCAATGAGAACGGGATTCGCTCGGTCTATGTATCTTCATCATCTTGTCTGCGTACTCGAGATTAACTTTGCACTGTATCCAACCGGTGGGCTCGCGGGCCGTCCGATCAAGGAATGGAATTTCTCCGTTGGTCTTTTGCAAGAGATAGAATGAAACCAAACCACGCCATCAGGGGATCCAAAAAAAAAAAAAAAAAAAAAAAAAAAAAGAGGAGGGACGAAATCAATGGAGAAGGCCAAAAAGAACCTGTGATAGATTGCCAGGACTCGATCCGGCCCGGAGAGTGGTTCTACATGCTCGGATCTCGATCACGAAGCGCACGATAGCCTTCCGCCTAAGCAGCAGGTGTCCGGATGCAGAAACGATTGTGTTGAAACAATCGCCTCTTTTTTATCATTTGGACTTTTGTCTGTGGTCCTTGATACTCAAGTTTCAGCAACCCTTGTTGTCGATCCCCCTTCTGTTCAGTCACCGGGGCAGACCACACTAACTACTGTAAGTCGCTAGTCAAGGCTCTCCCCTCTAACGTAATCGGACACCGAACCGCCGCGACACCGAACCGCCGGCCGCCCGCTGCCGTGATCATCAAAATGCTCGATTTCAACGATTTAATCAAAAATGAAGCGATTTCAACGCTCAAAACTGCAAAAAAACATAATAAAAATTAATCATATTCTATTTTTTAATTAAAAAAGACATTTTAATCAATTGTAATCTTTCTGATTGCAATTATTGCAGCGCGATAATTGGCGTATTAAAGATCTTTAAACAATTTTATTTTTTGTTTTTTTTGCAACTTTATTCGTTATTTTTTGATCTTCTTGACCAATTAAAGTGTCTTTTGTTTGAAAATATTGTCATGAAATCTTTTTATTGTTTTTTTTATATTGTTTTACTGCACAAAATTGACATATTTTTTGTTGAAGTAAAATCACATTCTGTATAATTATTTTCGCATCTTTATAAATCTTTTCAAACGTTTGATTTACAATAAATGATAATAATCTCGATTCTTACAACATTTGAGATTTTTCACGTTAATGATTTAATTGATAAAGATTCACAGACATTTTATCGAAATACATAAATTGATTAAATGATAAAATTAAAAATAAAATAAATATTGAAAATTGTAAAAATTTCAATTTAAAAAACATTTTATTTAAATTGTATGAAACGAGGCCTGTAACGACGAAAAAGCTTTTTATATTATTTATAAAAAATGTTTTTTTATATGCATGTTTAAAATAACAAATAAAATCATTTTTATTAATATATTTCATTCCATTTTGTATAATTTTGCTAATTTGCTAATCATAATATTTTTTGAGCGATAAAAAACAATCCACATCAAACAATTGCAATTTATGTGAAGAATGCGACAACATATATAAAAGAATGATATTTTTTATTTCGCAGAATTAATCAATTCAGATGTGAAATGAAATCTATAATTGTTAAACAATAAAAGACAATATTGATCGGTCGTTTTTGAAATTGTAAAATTATCGAAAAATTGAAGTCATTCAAAGTCAAATTTATTATTCATTCATTTATTCTCGTTCACACTAATCCTATAACTCTTTGAAATATCTTTAAATCATTTTTCTTGTTGCATTTTATTTGCAAAAATGATTTACAAAAATAAAACGATGCTTGCAACATTAATCGTGATAATTGTTGTAATTCATTCATGATTATTTAATATATTGATCTTACATTGTTTTTTTACAATTTTATATCACATACAACTTTCGCGATAGCGGTTACTCTCATTTGAAAATTTGTTTCATTTATATTATAAATATCTTGGTCCAGAATCTTATATTTTTATATAATATTTTGCATTAATTTGAACCAACGATTTATGGTCTTGGAATTTTCACATTTTGCATATTAATAATTATATCGTTTTGTATATTTTGACTTTAATTCAGTTTCATGACGAGAAATGAATCAATTGATTTAACAAACATTTATAAAAATGTCATTTGAAGTGAAAGGCTTCAATCTTATAGCAAAAAGAATTTCTGCAAAATAACGGACTTTTGCAATTGTAAGAGAATATTCACAAGAGTTTATATCGAGGATTTTCTATTTCAATATTAATTTATTATTAATAGAAAACTTCCTGCAATTTGCCTCTATTTCATTACGAGATTTGATTTCTTTTAATCGGTTTTTTAAAATGTTTATTTTTATGTCAAAAACGATCGCGTAGGCCTGTTTAAAAACGAAAAGATTCTTTTTAAAAATTTTAATAACAAACGCTAATTTCTTATCTCGAGATAAAATCTCCATATTGATGAAAAGCTTCGTTTTTGATGGAATAATTGAAAATTCAATTTTTTGATAATTAGAAACAATAAGAGACCAACAATTCGGTGTCGCGGCAGTTCGGTGTCCGATTACGTTATTCGGTATCTACGGTGTATGCTATGGAGTATTCAGCAGCCTTCAACTGCCCTTTCGAGTAATTCCTCCGTGCCCTTCGGCATCTGGTCTGTGTGCCCCGTCGAGAAAACCTTCGAATCCTTCCAAATATACAGTCCATTAATTCAAATCACGAACTCTATCTACATGCTACATCCTAGACGAAACCGAGCTGAGCTTCCCTGTCTGCATGCGACCGAGTGAACCCAGGAAACGATGATAACCAGTGGATCATGCACATCCGTAGTTCTAGAACCCGGGATTGACGACACCGGGACGGGGTAGAAGAAGACATGAGTAACCTGGTTTGAGGCTGTAGGACTAGGAGTACTCCGTAGAAACTAGAAAGAAGTACTGTCTCCATATCTAACCAGACTATTTTAGCGAGTCGTTGACCTGTCAATGAGGACCGGTACGGCTTAATCGACACTAACTACTCAGTACAGGTGAGGTGGCAGTTGAGGACCGGTAGAAGGATTTAGAGCCTGTCTTTACTCTTTCTGTCTTTGATGGGGAGAAAAAGAAAACAGGCAGAAACGGTCGCCTAGGTAGTAGGGTTATCCCTGGTCATGGACATGCATACGTAGTACAGTTCCTGCCTTGATTCCTTCGCCGAACAAGACCACCAACTATACAGAGTACTGTGTATATACTGTGTACGTAGTTATACAGTTTAGTTTGCGACCATAGCCAAGTCATTCGGACATTGTAGATCCCTCGAAGCGAGATCGTGAAGAAGAGCGACTGTGCGACACGCATTGAGAAATCCGTGCATTTTGGTTTGATCGACGACGATCACTGACTCCGGTTGAGGGCTTCCAAATTAGTCCTCCGTAAGCCGAAGAGAAACGAAAAAAGAAAAAGAGACACTAAAAATGTGGGGGAAGAAATGACATTCGGACGAGAGAAAGTGAGTGACACTTGACAAGAAACGGACAAACTGTGCACAGCGTCAGCCAGCCAACAACTCCTCCGGACAACCGAGAATAGAAAGTCTGATATCATCGCCGTGCAACACCCACGATATTTGCATCCGACAACATGGATCATCCCTGCTCTGTTCCCCTGGCTGGGACCAATCAATCCGAGGGCTGGTGGAGGCACAAGCACGCCGCGGACAATTTCTGGGCCAATGGCCAGTGGTGAGAAATTCTTGAATCATGACCGATTTGAACTGCCTGCATGCATGCATGATCCACCGCGCGGGTCTGAACCATGGTTGAGCTGGGCGCCAGTCAGGGATCCTCGAATGGGTGGGATTGAGGCATTCATTTTCATTTGTTTTTCGCTCTGTTAGGCGCGGGCGGAAGTCGGATACTTGATCCTGAGTCTCCAGTTTCTCCAGTTTTCCTGCGTGTTTTGCTGTACGGAGTATGGAGTGCCTCTCTTTATCCACTCGTTGGTTTTGCTTCTTTTCCTTCTGTTTCTCTGGCCCCTCTTTTTTTATTTGGTTATTTCTTGCTTTTCGTCTCCCACTTCCCGACGGAGCATATCAGATCATCTATCATATTCCCACCATTCAATCCACCCGGAAACAGAGTGAGCCATCCCATCTGTCACGAGAAGCCCTCAACAAGACCATGCACCTTGCCGTCTCTCCCCGTTGCGCGTTCCGGCGCATGAGATCAGCTGTACTCCGTAAGTGTAACGCAAATATTGACTTGCAGGTTTGTTTACACAAATGGTGGACACTAAAAATCAAAATCAAAAATCAAATCTATCGATCGCAGCAGAGTGCTCCGTAGACCGGGGAAAGTTTATTTTTGTGAGACGGCTTCGTATCCGTTTGTTCCTGTTCCCTACGGTAGATTTGATATGATATGAGCTGTTCCAGGAGGTATTTGACGAGTCTACAGTCAATATGTACTTCGTAGTTAAGTTAGTTTTCCCCGCTCGATCAGACCTCAGACAGAACGTAACTCTGGGCCGAATTCCAACCGACTAACTATGGGGACGGGTTCCATGGTTTGGTTCTGAAGGCGCTCTTCCCGGCATTACCCGCAACCTTGAGTTTGATGGCACAAAACTCTACTTTTTTAGATTGCGTCTGGAG